GGGGGGGGGGGGGTAGTAGTAGACGAAAAGAAAGAAGGATAGGTAGGTATTTTGGGCGTGTGTTGCGATGGTGATGACGAAAGAAGGAAGGTGGGTGGGTAGGTAAGTGTAGGGCTGATGGAGATGATGCGTGCCGCACGCGCTAGCAGGCATTACTCAAGTACCGATGCACCTTGTCTTGTGTTGCACGGCCACGCCCACGACCGCGGCGCATGGTAGTTAGTGCTGACGCCGTTTTTTTTTTTTTTGCTGGCGCGCGCGCGTGTTCGCGCGCTCTGTCGATCATTCCCCAGTGGTTTGTCGATCAGTGGGTGGGCGGACATGCTGCTGCAGCAGCACCGTTCCTGCAGGCTCGTGTTTTTAACCGGATGGACACCTTGCCGAATCGAGTCTTTTACATACGCAGAAAATTGGGCATCGGATTGATGCCTGCACGTTGCAATTGGAAAAAGGCAAAGCTAAGATGCCTGGTATCACTCATCTAATCCATGATCCTTTTCACTATTTGCTGTGGAGCAGCTTAACAATAACAAAGCAAAAAAAAAAAAAAAAAAGCTCTTGAGCATTCTGGCGTCCGCGCGCCATCCCATTTCATCCCCAATGCTAAATGGTATTCCTCGTGCAAAAGCCATTACCAACCAGATCATCCCAGTGATACCATACCATGCCACGCTACGACTACTAGTACAAGAAAACGCCATAGACAACCCAATTCTGCAACCATTCTTCATGACGCCGAGTTAGCGGCAGCGGCGGCGGCAGCAGCAGCGGCGGCAGCCCCTCCTCTAGCCGCCTTCTTCCGGCCTCCCCTACCGCCACCGCCGCCGCCCTCGCCATCTTCCCTCTTCCTCTTGCTTGGACGGCTGCTGCCGCCCTTCGGCCGGTACGGCTCATCATCCTTGTTCCTCTTGCCCCGACCACTACCCGTCTCCGGCACAAAGCCATCCTCATCATCCGGGTCGCCCTTGATTGGTGTAGCGGAGTTGGCAGCCGCCGCCGCAGCAGCAGCCGCCGCCGCCGCCGCCTGGCCACGCTTACCACCTCCCCTCCCGTTCCCACCGCCGCCCTTGGCAGGCTTCTCACCCGGCTCGCCCTTCTCGTTCTCCTTGTCCTGCAGGAAGACCTGGGGCTGGTGCTTGCGCAGCCAATTGTAGACCGAGTCCGGGTTGCGGATCTGCAGCTCCTTCTCGCTCGGGACGTCGCGGGCGGGCAGCCGGATCGGGCGGCCCGACGTGTCGTTGGGGTCGTACAGGGCGGGGTCGCCCAGGGCCGTGTCGAGCTCCTTGAGGTACTCCTCCTCGTGGTTCGGGCTGAGGTAGCCGGCGAGGCTCTCGCCCACGAGGTCGTCCGGCAGCTCCGCCGGCGGGAAGTGCGTGTGCGGGACGTGGACGAGCTCGGCGAGCGCGTGCCTGTCGTGCCCGAGCCCCGAGAACTTGGCCGTCAGCGCCGCCTCGCGCTGGGCCAGCTCCTCGGGCGAGATGCGCCCGGCGGCGAGGTCGGCGCGGGCTTCTTGGAGCTTGAGGTGGATGGCGTCCGGGTCCGAGGGCACGTCGGCGTCGCGCGAGCCCAGGTTGAGGTCGTAGCGGAGGTGCTGGGGCACTTTGGGCTGGTCGTTGATGTCGAGCAAGAGGTCTAGGAGCTGGCTGTGATGATGGCTGTCAGCAGGGCTGGCGATGATGGGGCGGGACGTGTTGCGTACTCGTTTTGTTCCTGCAGCCGGCGGGCCAGGGCAATGGCCTTGTGCTCCTCGCGGAAGAGCGTGTTGCTCTCGCGCATGCGCTCGTCGAAGCGCACGCGCATCTTGCGGTACTTTTTCCTGCAATGGTTCAGCGGCACGTCGGGCGGAGCACGAGCGGTGGGACGGACCTCCATGAGCGGATCGAGGGCTTTGCAGGCGCGTCGGCGGCATCGTGGTGGGCTGGGCGCAGCGGGGCGGCGGCAGCGGCGTCGTCGCGCGGATGGGCGGCCATGTCGTCGTGGGAGGCCATGCGGAGGGTGATGCTGGGGCGATGGCGGTGGTGTGGTCTGGACGTGAGGTTGCGGGTCTGGGTGCTGGCTGGGGCTGCGCGCTGGCGTCCGGGGCTGTGATCCCTGCGCGCTCGGCGTGGAAGCTGACGTTCACTTGAAGGGGGGCCTCCACCGTCTCGACCTACTCTTCCCGCCCCCCAGCTCCAATCCCTCTCTCGCCCACCACTCCCGTCGCTGCCTAGCACCTTGGCCGCCGAACTCGCCGCTCGTTACCCCCCGACCGCATTCTCCCGTCCTGCGCTTCCGTCTGCCGGCCAGTCACCTCGCGCATCCCACGCCCTTTGTGCCGACCCCAACGTCCCCTCCACCACCGCCAAACTGTCGCCCATACTCCTCAACCGGACTACCTCCTTCCAGGTAGATCCGCATCCCGGCCATTTGACCACCGCCCATGCCGAAAGGATGAGCCCCGAGAAAGCCGGCCGCCGGCGCCGCTCGTCGAGCCTGATGTACACGGAGCCCCCGGAGTCTCTGGAGCACATCAGCGACCAGGCCGCGCTGCCGAACCTCAACTCGCAATGGGTCAACGCCAAGGGTACGCTGCACGCCTCGACGGCACTCCGCCTGCTAACCTCCGCAGGCGCCTGGGCCATCCACTTCGTCCTCATTGTCTGCCTCAAGATCCTCTACGACATCATCCCCGGCGTGTCGCAAGAGACGTCGTGGACGCTCACCAACATATCGTACATGTTTGGCAGCTACATCATGTTCCACTGGGTGCGCGGCGTGCCCTTCGAGTTCAACGCCGGCGCATACGACAACCTGAACATGTGGGAGCAGATTGACAACGGTGACCAGTACACCCCGGCCAAGAAGTTCCTGCTGAGCGTGCCCATCGTGCTGTTCCTCATCAGCACGCACTACACGCACTACGACCTCACCTTTTTCCTCATCAACTTCATGGCCACCATCGCCGTCGTGATCCCCAAGCTTCCGGCGGTGAGTCTCTCTGCCCCAACCAAAATAGCGCCGCGTAGGACCGCTAACAATCTCGCGGCAGACACATCGGCTGCGCCTAGGTCTTTTCTCCGATCCGCCGGACGAGAGCTAGCCCTCCGAGCCGTACGTCTCTGGTCTTCTTCCTCCTGTATTCTATATTTGAAGAGGTGCTCAAACAGCATGTCATGCATTCCTTTTTTGTCTCCCTTCCCCTCAGCCAACGAAAAAAAAAAAACCACCAGCCCCGGAAGGAAAGAAAGAAACCTTTCCAGAACAAGAACGTTGGGTCCAGGGAAAAAGAAGCCGCCACACCTTTACTCACCTCCGCCTACCGCTACTACTTATTGCTACATAATCGCCGCGCTTTGACCTCGGGCCTTACTTTTGTTGTTGTTGTTGTGAACAGAGAGGGACAGCGCAAACGAAACCCCGCGAAAACGACAGGCAACACGACCGGCTCTTTTTGTCTTTTTTTTCGCGAGAGGGAAGGGGGAGGCTCAGAAATTACCGAAAGAAGAAAAGAAAAGAGGAGATCTGGGTCTCGGTTGTAGCTGTCCTCTTGTGGGGAGTAGATATCGAATCTAGTTCCCGCGATCTGCGATAAATTTTCTGCTTCCATAACTTTTCCCCAGCCAGTGCATGGTCGCAATTGCCGTCTTCCTCTCGTTCTTTCCCTCTCTGACCGCGTGACAACGTTTCTCTCTCTTTTTCCCTTCTTCTCCCGATCCATCCTCCGTCCACCACCATTCCTTCACCGCACCCCGCCGATAAAACATGCGCAGGGGGTACGGCCACTCTATCTGACGCAAAAACGATACCCGGACCACCGCCCGGAATTATTTCCATCAGGGTCCCTCCCGCGAAAGACAGAAAACCACCAAGAAGCGCCGAGAGTGACGCCGGCGCCATCATTCGAGAACCTTTTTCCCGCCTGATGAGTTCTAAGACTCCCGGGTGATCCGGGTGTCGTACGCGAGAGAGATAGTATACGATATGGACAGATATAACGACCGGGAACGGACCACCACCTGCCTGGCGCGCGCGCGTTGTATCAGGGACGCGTATAGTGGGAGGAGAGAGGGGGAGGGGGAGGGAAAAGGGTCTACGGGAACTTGTTTTTGCGTTTGAGAGCCTCGTGCTGTGTGTGTCGTTGGCTTTTTTTTTTTTTTGGAGGTTGCTGTGTCGTTCACTTCGTATGTTCAACCGGAGCTTTCTTGTTTCCTTCTTTCGTCCCTATTTATTTTTTCGGGGCGATGAGAGGGAGCGAAGCAAAAAGAGAAGCATGCGCACACTGTCCTGCCACCGGCATGTGAAAAAAGGGGACTGCGGGGATGGGGGTGGGTGTGTGCAGGCAGCTCTAGGAGGATGCGCTGATGAGGCGCATGCGCTCGAGCGGGCGCACATGAGAACAATAGCGATCGCCCGGAGAAAAACGACTGACCAACTGAAGTCGGTGCAGCAAAAGAAAAAAAAAAATTGCGTGATGATCTGACGAATCTCCGCGTGTTTATTTCCTTTTTCGGTAAGGCGGATAGCGTCACGTACGGTCGAGGGTGGTGCGGGGTGGGGTACGGCGAGGCAGTGTTAGTTTTTGTGGTATGAGGAAGACTGACTTTTGTAAGAGGGGAGGAAAGTGAGATGTTGCCGTGCTGTTTCGAGTCGAGGTATGGGAAGGTGTGTGGTGCGGTGTGGTGCGGTCCTGTGGTGATGTTTCGCAGGGATTGTGACAGCAACTCGTTTCGAGGGAGCGTTGTGTGGGGCAAGGGTAGCTCCATCGAAAGAATAACGGCGCATGGAGGGCTGTGAGTTTTTGGATTAATTGCCGCCGTTTCTCCTATTTCCTTTTTCTGTGCGCGTGTGGGGAGAAGGAAGGGATGCTTGGGCCACTGAGGGGCGAAGGATCTTGTCGGTGTGAGATTGTTGGTCAGGGAGCTTGGAGCGGAATTTGGTGCCTTGCTGCGGACCTGAGGTTCCTTGGGGGCGCGTCGTGACGCGCATTAGGATTGGTGTTCTTAGGGGTTTGGGGCGCGTGAAGTACTCTTGATCTTTGGAGAAGATCCGAAGGATGATTGACTGGGCGATGAGACACCGTCGTATGTACAGTCAGTTCGCAGCAAATGATGAAGAGAAAAAAACGTACTACTCCCGATCGGGCAACCGGTGGTCCGGTATGCTGGTATTCCGTGAGGCATTGCGCTCTTCGTAATCAACGCCAATGTCGAGACATGGCCATAAGCTTAAATTTACAGGGAGCTCGGGGCTGTTATTACCCGCCGTCTCCATCCTTCACGGCATTTGTTCTTAGTACAACTTTTAGTATAACCAGCAAGGGTTGTCTCGGATTACACTTGCACCTGCTTATATCAGCGCCACTGTCCTTTTCTCTAGGACAATCCCAGGTAGAAAAGCGTCAAAATCCCGGGGTATACAAACAATAAGCTCTGCTTCTCTAAGATTGCTACAACATCACTGGAAATCGGCAGTCGGGAACGCGTTCTAACCGTCAAGACTCAAGACTCGTCAGATGCCGACACCATTACTTAATATTACCGTTTGCCTCACTCTATCATGGTTCAGACTCATCAACTTCTCAAAAGCGATGCGTCACTTGACTGTCTAAAAGGAAGGGAATGCGAAAGTTATTATGTTCCGCGGAGTCGAGCTCACTCAATACTTATCTAAAGATCATGTAGCCTTTGCAGTCTTTACACGACCAGAGAGACGGCGTGCTTAAGCTCCTCCTATAATTCCCTTCAAATTGCTGCTCTAATTAATTACAAGCTGGTGTCGTTCTAGAGGTGGTGTGGAGTTGACGCTCACCCACATTCAGCCATTAACGCAAATCCCATGCTGGGTATGTTGGACGCTGGAGCATCTTCCGTGCCCATGTAGCATTGTGGATAAGTGAAAGCGTACGCAGCAAAAAGCTGAGTAGGCCCGAGAGGGCCAAGCCCGGTGAGCCTTCCAATTCCTTTCGGTCGTAGCGCTTTATATCCGCATTTTACTTTAAAAAGCAAGCACAGTTAAAACCCAGATAAAGATTTACGAGTCACAACAGGTCACCACGTTGAAGCGAGAGATTGAGATTAAGGTTAAATCAGTTGATTAGCCCCCAGCACTAAGTGCTGATAGCCCACCCAACCCCGACCTTTGTAGGTAGTCGTCACCAGAGCAGAAGCTCCGTTTTGCTCTCAAATCTAAGCTCCACCCGAAGGCGAAACCCTGCCCGCAAAGGCAAAAGAAGAGAAAGCGATTGATTTAAGAGTAAACCAAGTTGATTGCCCCCAGCACTAGGTGCTGATAGCCCACCCAACCCCGACCTTTGTAGGTAGTCGTCACCGGAGCCGAAGCTCCGTTTTGCTCTCAAATCTGAGCTCCGCCCGAAGGCGAAACCCTGCCCGCGAAGGCCAAAGAAGAGAGAGCGGATGAAGAAAAAAAATCCTGGAGGGGGGGAGGAGGGGTTTTTATGAGTGGCAGGCGGCAGCAGCAGAACTGGTGGCACATGGGCGACCGCGGTGGCGCTAACCGGAAGGGGAAAGGCGCCTGCCGCAGGTGTGGTACTTTGGGAAAGAGCGATCGGGTCTGTCACTGACTCACCAACTTCTCACTCACTCTCATCACTGGCTAAGCCTCGAGAAACCCAATTCGCCGCGAAACCTGTCACTTCACCTCCATCTCACGCTTACTGCATGGCTGTTCGAAACTCTAGTATACCATGGATCCATCATCCATCAACCGACTTTTTCTAAAAGACTTTCGTTACTCCATGGTTTGTTACCACCTCAATTTCTCCACCAATGGCCGATCGAAGCTGTAATAGTATACCGTGGAACCATCATCCACCAAGTAACGTTTCCGAAAGATTTTCATTAGTCCATGATTTTCTACCACCCACTCGTGATTGATTGGAAACGCCTGTATATACCATGGAACTATCATCCACCGAATGACTCTGTCAAAACTTCTTCACTGGTCCATGAAACTTTAACCACCTCCATTCCCGCACCCATGACTGATCGAAGCTATGATATACCATATGACCTTACTTCATGTAAGATTTTCATTAGTCTATAATTATTTCCCACCTCAATCCTCCCACCCATCCCTGATCGAAGCTCCGGAACCCACCCCATGGAACCGGCAACCCCCACCAACTTTTTCGAAAGCAAGCAAGCAAGCAAGCAAGCAAACGCCAAGCCCAGAAACCCACTCCAGTGACTCCTAAACGCCCACCGCCGTAACACGTGCATACGTGTGCAAAACCGCACGCTAGGTCCCCACGGTAAAGCCTCTGACGCAAAGAGCCGCTAACCCAATCGACAGCGTTTGCAGGAAAAAAAAAGTCAAAAAAACTCATCAAGAACCACCGGACCCGGAACCCGCCCTCGCGGGCGCCTGAGACAGAAACCCGCTCAAGGCCGCCGCAACCGCCTCATCATCATGTTGCTGGCCTCCGCCTCCGCCTCCGCCCGCGCTTCCCGCTCCACCGTTGTCTCCTGAAGCGGAAGCCGTCGTCGCACCCGGACGTGCGTCACTCAGCGGCGCGTTGTTAGTCGTCGGCGTCGGCGTCGACCACAACAAGCCGGCACCGCCCGACCGGGCCGAGACGGCATTCATGGCCGCCTGCTGGCTCGACAAGCCGTTGCGCTGGCGGCCGTGCTGATAGTCCAACTGGTCGCGCTGCATCTGCGTCTGCTGCTCGCCCCTCTGCTGCAGCAGCAAGCTCTTCTGATACTCCATCTGCTCGCGCTGGACCTGCGCGGCATACAGGGCGGGGAGGCCGGCGCCGCGGCGTTCCATCTCGGCGGCGAGCTTCTTCTTCTGGACGAGGTTGCCTTTCACGCCGCGGAGGTACTTGACGGCGGCGTCGACGAGGTGGCGGGGCTCGCTGCTGTGCTTGAGGGCCTGCAGCATCTCGCGGACCTGCGTCTCGGAGCCGATGTGCGGGCAGGTGCGGCCGGAGCCGAAGTGCGCGAGGCCGCAGAGGTTGCAGTGCTCGACGCCCGCGAGCTTGAGCGGGCACGCGCCGACGAGGTGCGTGCGCGTGCACGCCGGGCAGGTGCGGACGTAGCCGGCGGCGAGGGGGAGGTCGGACGGGTAGGCGGGGGGAAACTGCGGTTCGGGGACGCGTTGGAATCGTCGGTTGGCTGGGAAGGAAAAAAGAAGCGGACTTCGAGTTAGAATGACTGTGGGACTCAAAAAAAAAAGCATGACCGGGATGGGTTGGATATTATTGATGATGCTACAAGGGGGGCTGCTGAAGTGACACTGCGGGAAAAAGTGGGTTGCTGGTTTTGTGATTATTTTTGAGCAGGCGCCCGCTTGCCAGTAGACGCCTGTTTTTTTGTAGCGAGAGACTTCTTTGCTGCAGTCTTTTTGGCAAGTGCTCTGCAGACCGCGGACTCGAGAGCCTGGTTGAGCTCTGGTGTCAAGATCACCCCGCGCGATACGATCCGAGCACGAGCAGCAGTCATGGCAATGTTGAAGGCAGGCGAAAAAGTTCTAGCAGACTCACCAGTAGGGCTAGAGCGACGTTTTCGTTGCTTTTGCGGTGTCTGGCCAGCTACAGCCAGACCCGAGACCTTGCCGTCGCGAGCCGGTGCAAGCTCGCTAACGTCGACATGGTCATCCGCCTGGACGCTTTCCTCATCGTCGCCGCTTGCCGCTCCGTCTGCGTGGAAGTCCGTATCGCTGTCACTGTCCCCGCCACGTCGAGAGCGACCGTGAGCTTTGGCAGGAGAGCCGGCGGCAGCATCGACACCGTCTCCAAGATCATTGTAGTCGACAAGCTGGGGAATGTTAGTGAGGATCAGGCAAAGAATAGCGAGATACTTACACCACGGTTGCGTTTACCACGCCCGAGTGCTTCTGCCTTAGCTGCCGCCTCCGCTGCCGCTGCCTTTTCACGCTCTTGGAGGATCTTGTCCCAAACGGACGGATCAGGTGGGACCTCCTGTTCGTCGTCCCCGGTGGGCAATGTATCTTCCAGTGCACCGGCATCGTTGGCCCAGACACGAGCAAAGCTGAACTGCGTCTCTGCTGAAGCATCTGTGCCAGTCTTGGTGTTTTCCATCTGGGTACGATCCAAGAGCTGCTCGATGGAGTTATGATCGTATTTGATATCCTGGTCACCGCTGTCGGAGAATAGCTCAGCCGCACCGTGTCGAAGGACGGATTCGACGTCCTTATCCTCAATGTCTTCATCATCCAAGGACTCTACCACGACATGATCCAGGGCCATTTTCTTGCGTCCGATCTGGACGATCTTCTCTTCAGCGCTTGAGCGGGTCATGAGCTGGAAACACAGGACCTTCTTCTTCTGGCCGATACGGTGGGCACGGGAAAGAGCCTGAATGTCTTGATGAGGGTTGAAGTCGGGATCCAAAATGATTACTGTGTCGGCAGTCGCCAAGTTGATGCCGACACCTCCAGCACGGGTAGACAGCAGGAATGCAAATAGAGGCGAATCAGGGGCGTTGAATTCGTCAATCCGCTTCTGCTTCTCTAAAGAACCGATGGTACCATCAAGACGGCGGTAGCCCATCTCTAAGCCATCCATAAAGTCTTCGATGATGTCTAGCATGTCGAGAAACTGGCTGAAGATTAAAACACGGTGGCCCCGCTCCCTTAGCTTCGGCAACATCAGTTCAAGGAAATGGAGCTTTGCAGACGCTTCAACCAGATTCCTATGCGAGATTGCGGCGACATCCGTCCTCTCTTCGATCTCTTGACTGTAGATGAACGGGTGACACAGGCACTTACGTAACTGCATCAAGATGTTGCTGAGGTTGGCTCTCTCGTTTGGTTTAAGCTGCCGATCCGAAGAGAAAAGAGCTTTGAGAAGTTCGGGATTCTTCGCAAGAATGGACTTGTAGAGCTTTTTCTGAAGGACGCTCATCGAGAGTGGTACGATGATCTGTGCCATGGGCGGCAAGAAGGTAAGTACCTGCGCCTTCGTACGCCGAAGGATATAAGGGCGGATAAGGTCATGAAGCTTTAGGATCTTTTCCTTGGTCATCTCCTCATACTCCTCCTCAAGTGAAGCCGCGTCGATTTCGTCATCAAGGAACTGCAGGAGATTAAAGAGCTCGCGAGCGTTGTTTTGCAGGGGAGTACCAGTGAGCAGTAGACGGGAGGGAATCTTGAGAGCGTTCAAGGAGTTGTAGAGTATGCTATTGTCATTCTTAAGCCGTTGGCCCTCGTCAACGACCAGACCGGCCCAGTTGACGCTTTTAAAGAACTTCCTGCAGCTGTCGTCCGCGGCAGCGTCGTAGGAAGTCACCACGATATGACAGCAGAGGGTCTTCTTCCCCTCAGGGAACATCTCATACTGATATGCCATATTGCGGGCTTGAGACGAACCGAAGTAAGTGACAACTCGGAGAGATGGAGCCCAATGCTTAATCTCTCGCCTCCAATTCGGACATGTTGAATTCGGAACCACGACCAAGAATGGGAAGCAACTGTGGTCCTGGATCAAAGTTGCCAAGAACGCGATGACCTGGATGGTCTTACCCAGACCCATCTCGTCGGCCAAGATGCCGTTCTTCTTGGAGTACCACTGGTAGTAAAGCCAATTTAGACCATCGATTTGGTACTTCATCAACTCCATTCCAGACTGAAGGATATCCGGCTGCTTAGACTTCTCGAGCTTGGTAAACGGCTGAGCGCGGGCCTTCTCCAGGCGGGCCTGCAGGGGGCTCTTCTTAGGCACATTGGTGTAGCGGCCGAGCACCCAGTCGTTGTAAGCCGTGACGAAGTCAGTCCAGCGATCGCCGTCCTCAGGAACCGGCACTTTTTCCCAGACGGCGTCTTCGTATCCAAGACCCTTGTATTTGATGAGAGCTTCATCGACTTCCTTGATGCGCGCCTTGTCGATCTCCTCGCTGCGGATCTCGACGATGCTGGTGTACTTCACATCCAAGACGATATCAATACGGAGAAATTCTTCAGGGATTGCATCTTCGGTTCTCATCTTTGGGCCGGTCTCTTTCTTGGAGAAGGCCTTGCGCATGGTGAAGGCTGTCACTCCCCAAGTCCAGGCTCCTGGCATCCATGCTGCACGGAAGTAGGACAGCTTATCCCATTTGACGAGGTAAGCCTTGTCGTCCTCGTCCACGTTCTCGCAAGACGTGCCAGCAATGTAGTTCTCTTCATCCACGGGCTTCCAAGCGATCAACCCGACGACCTTTGCCGGCATCTCCATGCAGTCCTTGCATTGCCAGGCCTGAGAGTACTCCGAGAATCTACGCTCGGCAGTTTCCTCGTCATTTTCTTCAATATCCATGTGGTGAGGAGATTTTGGCGGGAGATGATAAAAATGAAACCCACGCCAGCAGGTTAGGCAGCGGAAGAGAATGTTGAAACGGCTGTTGATGAGAGTCGGGCTGACTTCAATGATTGGATCTTCGCCCTCGTTCTCCTCGCGCTCACGCTGTTCCTGCATAGCCGACTTCCGCTGGCGGAAAGCCTTGCAAGATTTGCTAGACTCTTTACACACTTGGCATCTTCCAAGATCGGGTGCAAGCTGGTCTTTCTTGTGATGGGCGTTGACACAACGACGGCATTGAAGGACGAAGCTTTCATCAGATACCTTCGTCACCAGATGATCGCGGCCGGTACGGTGACCGAGACAGCCCTTGTGGTACGCGAGAATGCATCCCTGGCAGTAAATGAGCGGGCCAATGGTCGTTCCCTGGCCACAAGTGTCGCACTGCTGAACATGCCAGCTTCGGAAGGGATCATTATGATCAAGTTCCTGGAATACCTCACGTGCACCAGTAGCCTTTGGCGGAACCGGACGCTTTGGCTCATCATTTCGGAACGTTTCCTGATCAATGCCCAGCTCTTCCATGTTGTCTTGGTGCCGAGTAGCCCGATCGGAGCGGCGTGTTCCAAAGCGAAGCATCTTGGACGATTGCCCCGTATCCGAGTTTCGCTTCCTCTTCCGGCGAGGGAAGACGTCTGACTGCAGAAGCGCATATGGGTCTGAATCCGACTCATCTTCGTCATCTTGCGAGTAATGCTCTCGATATGTTTGCCTGGTAAGCCGCGTTGCAGGCCGAGGGGCTGGCTGTGGTTTCTGACGGGTGCGCCTGCTGCGCCTCACCCGCTGACCACTGTCGTCGCTGTCTTCACCCATCTCGGCGTCCTCATCATCTTCATCATCGTCCTCGCTGGAAGCCAAGGTAATTGGACTAGCTAGGCGGCTCGTCCGGCGAGTGGGCTTTGTGAATCGCATGCCTCTCTTGCCGCGTCGCCGGCTCTGGCTCCTGCTTGTTGGAGCACTATCCTCACCCTCGTAGTTCAACCTCAGCTGCAATCTCATGTCGCTAGTGAGGTCGAGGTCGTCTTCCGAACTTGACGGTTCTGGATGTTGTTGGAAATGCTCAAGAGCCGTGGGGCCGTTGTCGAGTTCCAAGAGTCGCTCAAATGGTATCTTCAAGTAGATGGTCAGCAGGCGAGAAGAAAAAGTCGAGGGTAGGATCGAAGAATATCTGGTGGAGCAACTGGAATGGATATATTTTAGGCAAGCGCAGCAACATGAGCAGCAGGTGATATGTCAATACATGATCTAGTCACATGTGCTCGATCCAAATGGGCGAACAACTCGGCCTACTCACCCTCTCTGTGTGGGTATCGCCAAACATGACGGTATATTCCAAAGAATCTACGTCTTCATACTCCCTCAACACCTTGTAGATCTTCTCAGAGTCCTCTGGATATTTGTATTCGTGTGGATTCGATACTGGCGACGGTATCACCTGAACGGTGTGCGTCTTGGGCGTGGACGTGCGGGAGTATGGGCGCCGTGATCTTGGTGGAGAGGAGGGTTCCGCGGCGGACACTACCTCCACGTCTGAATCGTCCGACATTGTAGTTGAGCTTTTGGCGCTGATTTAGGAGTGGATACGTTCTCGGGTCGTGGAGTGTCGCTCGCGCGGGGCAAATGGTGTTTGGGAATTGTGCTTGGTGACCAAGAGCAGGCGGCGGGACGGGAGTCGTTGCGACTGGCCTGGCTGATAGCGGATGGTGATAGTAGCTTTCGGGGGCGAGGTGCGGCGCGAATCTTGGAAGTGCTTGTCGCGACCGGTTCACTCCATTGGTGCGTGCGTGGTGAGTGAACGCGGACGGTATGGATGCAGCGGACGTGGAGTGGGAAGACGCGTCGCGGCCACGACTTGTTCGAAATGAGCTATGTATGAGATCGCCGCAGCCGCCGCCGCGTTGCACCGTTATTGTCCGCACGTTTTCTCCAACGCCTCGCGCGCCACTTCCACGCGCTGCACAAGCCCTCGCACTCGGCGCAATGGTTCCATCAGCATCCCGGGCCCGCCAGGCTTGGTCGCGCGAGCTTCAATGCGTCGCAACAGCGCAATGCTGCCCGCGCGGCAATCGCGCAATTTCAACAAACTCCGCCATTGCCCGCGGCTTGCGCGAGACCTCCACGCTTGACCGACGCTACAGTGGAGAGAAAAGACGCCCTCTATTTCGTAAGGAGTTGGAAGAGTACGACAGGAGGAGGGATCCAGTATACAAGGCCAAAAAGCACGCAGAGTTTTTAGAAAAGAGGAGGCTTGAGATGGGTATTGCGCCGGGAAAAGAATTAGACCCCGACGGGGTAGCTAGGTTTCAAGAGTGGCAGATGGGCAGAAAACCAGGTCAGTACAGTCTTCAGGCTCTTGTGGACATACGCGCTTACTGACACTTCCCGTAGAACGCGAAGGAAATAACGACCTGGTCGCCATACCCTACACGACAGCGGCATCCAAGTTTCTATATGGAGTTTCTGCCGTGCGAGCAGCACTCATTGCCAGACGAAGAAAATTCTACAAGCTTTATATCCATGATCGTGCTATCCGACGATCACAGTTTGCGGGCAGAGAAGACCGGAATAATACAGAACATGCGAGGGAATCGAAGGAAGAAATATCGGAGACACTGGTCGATCTTGCGGCGAATATTCCTGGCCTTGAGGTGAAGATGGTCACAGATTCATTCCTGTCTGTCATGGACAAAATGAGCAACAACAGGCCACACAACGTACAACGGATCCTCTTCTTGCAGCAACGACAACTCCACTAACACGGCAACAGGGCGTAATCCTCGAAGCATCCCCACTCGCCGTCCTCCCCATAACAAACCTACGACCCTGTATACGAACCCGCCCCTCGTTCAGCTTCGAGCTCGACAGGCAAAGCCCCGAGGAAAAGCGCATCAACGGCACGAACAACCAACTCCCCTACAACAGCCACGGGTGGCGCTTCCCCCTCCTCCTCTACCTCGACAGCATCGTCGACGAAGGCAACCTGGGCGCCATCATCCGATCCGCGTACTACTTCGGCGTCGACGCCATCCTCGTCTCCACGCGCGGCACCGCCCCGCTCGACGCCATCGCCATCAAAGCGAGCTCCGGCGCCGCCGAGGCCATCCCCATCCTCTCCGTCGCCAACCCCCTCTCCTTCCTCACCCGCAGCGGCCTCAACGGCTGGCGCGTCTACGCCGCCGACGCCCCGCCCCCGCCCCGCGACAACTTCAACGTCACGTCCGACTACGCCGCCCGCGCCCTCGACCCCCCCAACACGTCGCCGCTCGTCTCCTTCATCCGCCCCACCACCCTCGCTGTCCTGCGCGACCACAGCCCCCTGCTGGAGCATCCCACCATCCTCATGCTCGGCGGCGAGAGCGCCGGGTTCCGCCGCAGCATTCGGGACAAGGCGAACTACCTCGTCGGCGTCAGAGGCACGAGGGGCCTCGATATTGGTGTGGATAGCTTGAATGTCAGCGTCGCTGCGGCGCTGATTATGCTGGAGTTGTTGCGGAAGCCGAAGATGGCGGAACGGCTGAATGGGGATGCTGAGAGGAGAGTGAGGGCGAGACGGGCGGACAACAGGGCGAAGGAGAATATCGATGATATGGTGAATAATGATGAGATGCTGTTCTAGACGTAGACAGTGGCGGTTGGAAGATGGAGAGGCTTTGTTGAGATAACTGCAGGGTAGTGTGTGTCACGAATCAACAGTCACTCGAAGTACATGCAATTTTCTGTTCTGTTTGCTATATTACGCAGTTGTGTGTGTGTTGAGGTCATGCTGAATTCGTTGAAGACAGTGTTCGTGAAAAGGTAGAGAGCATACAAATTGAAGGAGAGGAGAACGGGGCTCGGCCTCGTACGAAGGCTATCCACCGTCCTATAGCGAGATTCATACAAAATAAGAAAGGGCGCAGCAAACATCCTTACTCGAAACTTGTAACAAAGGCAAGATGTAGAAACCACGTGCCGCGCCGATACGAACTCCGTTGCTCTGTTCAAATCACACTGGCCGTTGTGCAATAGCACTGTATTACCATTACTCATTCGTAGTCGGAGAGAGGATCATCATCGCTGAATCATCGTCGTGGTGTTGGAAAACACGTCGCACAAGAGAAAACGCCATCGCTATGCATAAATCAATCAGTCAAAGTCCCCGTCCGGGGGAAGAACAGCTTCAGCCGGCCCTCCAAGTTCTTCCGCACGAGGGCAAACAGCTCGGCAGCCAAGTCTGTGGACCAAAACGCGACGCCGAGCTCTTGCGAGGTGTACCAGCTGGCCCTGTCCATGTTACCGCTGCCGAGCACGACAAACTCCTCGTCCACGATCGTGAGCTTCAGGTGCGATTGCACGGGCTCTGGCTTTGGGGCGCCACTGCGAGGTTGGTAGTATTCGATGTGTAGACGTCCGCGGATCGTCGGGTGGCCTGGTGGATCGCGCTCGGTATCGTAGATGGGCGTTTCAGTCGGTAGCTTCATGTACTTTCCGACTAGCGACCTGAGCCGGAGGCCGGTGGTCGTGGCGGCGGTGCCGAGCTGTTCCAGAATCATGAGGCGTTCGCTGGTGACGATATCGACGTCAACGCCGCGAGCAAGGGCGCCCAAGATGGCTTTCAAAACCCAGGGGCAGGTCAGGTTTGGAGTTTGGATGTAGATGGAGAACTTTGCCCTTTTGAAGAGCCTCTGAAGGAATAGGTTCAAAGGGGTGGGCGGCGGCTGCGCTGCGGGAAGGCATGGAATGGGTCGAAATCGTGGGTTGACGTGGTGCGGCGATGGCAAGAAAACTGTGGGGATGGACTCGCCAGCAGTACTGTTCAGGTAGGAGAGCCAAGGTGGAAGCTCCTGCACGACGCTAAGACGGCGATTGAGGGTGGTGACTGGATCTTCCTTGGATTGAAAAGGCGGAAGCGGAGGAAGTTCCCGGCTGCCTCGGCCCCAAAACTCGTGCCAGAACTTGATGAAGTTGTTCACGACTGGACCAGAAAGAGAGAGACAACCCTCGAACCACTCTTCCCAGCTGACATTGCAGCTTGGAAGAAAGACCAACTGGCGGTCTAAGCATACGAACTTTGGGTGCATGACGCTAAAGGGCCGGACGAAGACGCTTTTGATTTCCAGATCGAGACCCGAGAGCTCCTCCGGCGGGGGAAGTCCGAGCTTTGATTCCCATTGCTCGGGCGGATAGACGTAGCCTTGGAGGGAGCCAGTCTGGAGGAGCTTCTGGCAAAGCGAGCGAGAAGAGAAGCCAATGCGGACGCGAATCTTGGGTGCGCCAGAGTCGCTGGCGTGGAGAGATTTGCGCGATAGAATCTTCAGGGACTTGGAGAGCCTCTCCAGGGACGGCGAGCGGGCCCAGAAGCAGGTGACGAAGAGGACTTCGGACTGGGCATTCTCAATGCGCGTCAATGTTTCGGCGAAGATGCTGTCGCCGGTGCCAACCTGGAACGAGTGCACGTGTGACGAGGTCACGAGGCTGTTGGAGTCGTTGGCAAAATAGTTCGGATCGGCGCTGACATTCGAGGAGGTGTGTTTGGAAAGCGAGTACGACCAGTCGGCGATGAGGTCAGTCCAGTTGTTGCGCTCATTTGCGGCCGGGGGGTGCGTGTTGTCGGGTGGCGTCAGCGTGTGCGAGCTGTTGCAGGTGTCGTCCATGACGGAAGCGAGCGTATGGTAGCGAACGTAGGAGTGAGGAGCGATGGCTCCCTAGCTGGAGTTGAAGGCTTGGAATATATGAAGCATTAACATAGCCACTTCTGGATACGAAGCAGAGTGGGCAGGCTGCGCCCGTGAACGGATCCTGAAGTACCAAAAATAGCGACAGCCAACTAGGGCATATCGCGCGTGAGTGTTGCGCAGATCCTGGAGAGCTTGCGTAGTGTTTTCGCCACGGAAAGCGTGCTGCCTGGAGAGGAGCGAGCGGACAGGACAAGCTGGCAAGCGGGAGGTAGGTAAGCTAGGCAATAAGCTGGGCCTATGACGCGACTTGCCGCGTTGCCGTTCCCTTTTGTTTCAGCGCTGCTGCCACACAGCTGCCCCGGCCCGACTCCGGCTAAACTCAAGAATTCCAGCAACACCAGAGCTGCTATCCGCAACTTTCTGCTCTCCACTTCAGACCTGGCCCCACTCGCTCGCTGCTGCGCCCCGCCCAGAAAATGCCAATCACCATCCTGCCGCCAGCTGCCGCGGCGTCCGTGTACGCCCGCCCGGATTCCGACGAGGAGGACGGCGCCTTCGACTCCGATGGTGACGTCGACATGGAAGGTGCGACCCGTGCCTCGAAACGGGCCCGCACTTCGCACAAAAGCATTGTCACCCCTGGAGAGACGGTGACGAATGACCCCCAGTGGATGCGGTATGCCCAGATCAGGAGGCGCACAGCCGTCTCCGTGCTTATAGTGATTTTCGCGCACATGCTAATGACACTGCCACAGAGGTCACGGCACATACGTCCCCGACGACAGCACTGAAATCGTTTCCACGGTCGCTGGCACAGTCCTGAAGACGAACAAGCTCCTCTCCATCACACCCCTCCGCACTCGTTACATACCAGAAATTGGCGATCTTGTCGTCGGCCGCATCGTCGAGGTTCAGTCTAGGCGTTGGCGCGTCGATATCTCGGCCCCACAGCTCGCCGGTCTCCCTTTGTCTGCTATCAACTTGCCTGGTGGTATCCTGCGTAAGAGAACGGCGGTAGACGAGTTGAACATTAGGACTTTCTTCACCGAGGGAGACCTGCTGGTAGCTGAGGTTCAGACCATCCACCAGGACGGGGCTGCGTCGCTACACACAAGAAGCTTGAAGTACGGAAAGCTGCGCAACGGATACTTCTTGGCTGTATCCGGCACGGGCGGCGGCGGCGGTAGACAAGGTGGCGTTGCTCGGTCGAGACGCCAGGTCTTCACGCTAAGCACAAGCCGTGGCGGAGAGATTGACATTGTCCTCGGCGTCAACGGCTATATTTGGATTTCGAAACATGTGGAGCCTCCCAATGCGGGTAAGGATGTGAGCATCACTCGCATAGAAGAGAGCGTGTCGAAGGAAGTTTACTCGAGTCAGAACGATGACATCGACGTTGAGACAAGAAGAGAGATTGCCCGAGTTGCCGGAGTGATACGAGCCCTTGTCGAATCAGGCGTCCGTGTCGATGAAGACACGGTTGTGAAGGGTTACGAGGCCGCCCTGGAGCTGGAGTTCGAGGAGGCGGGCGACGGAAAACAGGGAGCATACTACCTCGGAGGGGAACGGGGAAGAAGGATTGTGGAGATTGCTCTCAGCAATGCTTGACGCTGTTGAGGAGCAACTTCGAAGAACCAGTAAGAACTGCAGGTAAGAGCTATACCCTTGCTCTCAATCAAGAAAAAAAAATTACCACCATCCACTTGTATGCACAGTGGAATGATATCTTCGTCGTACATCCACGTGGCTGGGGAGTGATGTGTCTCATGCAACACCCATGGACCCACGCGGATCCTTCAAGATTGATCCGTACATGTAACAATCTAGATTCGCGGCACAGCCGGCACGAGAGACAGCCATTCGCAATGACGCTCACACCAGTCTGGTTTGACGTCGTCTTACGCGACACAAAAGTTGACCTCCCACCCGTCTCCTCATTTTTTCCATCGGAATCCCTTTCATCTCCTGAACCAGTCTCCGGGGTTTATATTACCTTCGGCTTCTTTTTTTGGTGGCGTACTGCATCTCGATCCGAATTTCCCCGCAATCATTGTTCTTTTTTTTTTCTCGAGTCATTAATGTCTTATTTTTTTTTTTTCAAAAGATAGGGGAGCATCCTTTCTGCAAGAGACACGGGCATCCGCGCAGCCCTAGGCAGGGCAAGCACCATGACGCACTAGTACTTTAGCTACGCGGGGATGGTAAGCCTCAGAGGTCCCGCGCCCAAACTGTGGGGTCTGAACAATTCATCTTGTAGAGGCTGGCTGATAAGTCTTCTGCGCTCCAGTTCCGGACGTTGTTTCAACGGGCCGTCTTCCGCGCGGAATGTTACTGGCCAGCCTTGCGCTGCGGACCGGCCCAGGATGCCGTTTCTTGACAATCCTGGAGTCCCTCCGAAACTAGCGCGGATCTACGAGATCGGTGGAGGATGCGCTCACCGGGCGTCGTTGATCTCCTGCCGAATGCCAAGGGCCAGAGACAGCAGTGATTCCCGTCCGCTGCACCAGCAAGGGCTCATGACCGGATCTGACGAACGTCGGGGATGGCATCGGGCACACTTCCCATTGACCCACGCGACCTTGCAGACTGCAATCAATCTCAGCGGTACCGAACACCTGCACGTCCTGCACCACGTGGGTATGGACGACGAATCTTGCTCCGATACCCCACAGGAGCACGAACCATCCGGAGGGAGAGGCTCTTCGTTCCGCATGCCGCGTACTGCATCCGACAACGTTCCACCGCATGCGCTCCTCCCTCTTCGGGCGCAATAGGAGACGTTGCCGCCCAACGCTAACAGAAGCAACGCGGATCTGGCTTATCTTGACTGTGTTTCTTTTGCCCATCGTGGTGGCTCTCCCTGGTCGCGATCTATAGTTGACTTTTAGATCTGCATATCTTTCGTGCCATCGGCCTGGATTCTTGGCGTCGCAGTGAGCGATGAGCACATCTGCCTGGTGGGGCCTGTTTTGGATTTGCTGGGTCAGCCTGCCTCTTTGTCGCCACATCGAGAGCTCCCTTGCTGGGTTTCCGCTGCCCCGAAATACTTCCTGTGCCACATCCGGTCGGTGTTCATGTACCCTACAGCCCATTGTGCCCAACCGGATGTTCGCCCTGCTTCCCCGACTACAGCTGTGCTACAATGACTACAACACCAAGCCACGGCAAAATATCTAGTTACCGGTCGGCGCATGTCAGGAAAAAGAAAAGCAACGTCAGGGGCAGTGAGCCATTAATTCACCAATGATCGGTTCTCTCCATCGAGCGTCTCTGGCTTGTCTCAAGCCCTCAACCCTCTCAAGGGTCCTACCGGTCGACCTTAAATGTCGAGCAGGAAGCCACCCGTTAGCAAAATGCGCAGCCTGACTCGTCAACGCTTTCAACTGAACCAAACCTGCAGGCATGGCAGAACCTGAGAATGGTATGTGCAAACCACTTTCCAGTAGCTTGTGCTCCACTAACGGCCTTTAGATCCCATGGCTCTTGCCAGTGCGTCAACGCTCAGTGCGATCGTCTTGAGAGATGAAAGCGCACTGGCGTCCTTCCTTCGCACCGACCCCCTTCTTGACGAGACTCACATCGTCGTCGGCATTCGGAACTCAATCGAGTGGGACAACACAGTGCATGGTCGACCGATGAACAAAGGTTCGACAGCCCGGCGGAACTCATGGCCTACGGGAAAGGACCAAGCACGCAGTGTTAATACCAGTCTTCGAGCGTCTGCATCCACGTCGGGTCTCGATTGCCATTTCGTCGTTCCCTCGATGAGTCTGACAAGGCCGAAGAAACGGGCGATGGAGCTACGGCTTGAGCTGGAGAAGATTCCGATTGAGGAGGAGATAAGTTTTGTGGGAGCGTGGGCTGGGTGAGGGTAGGGTATCACTTGTTCCGTCGCCGAAAATGTTCATTGAAATCTGGTGAAATTCAGTAGAACGCCACTTGCTCCCGAGCAGCATTTCTATCGTATAACAAACTATTGCCGCCGTCCATCAGAATTCCAAGCCTGACTGATATCTATATGTTTGCGACAGTGCCGACCCTTGCGCGCGAACGCGAGTCTCCGTAGTCGTGACGGGCGGCAAGTAGCACACTGCATTCTTTCGATTTGTTTTCTGACGGCTGTGCCAAGTACGGAATCTCGGTGATACTCAAATCAATTGTGGCGAGCCTAGAAATCGCTGGCGCAGCTGGCGGACCTTAGGGGTTTTCGAGCGCAGCCGGCCACATCGTGTCTATGCAGACTTAAATACGATCGGTTTGCTAGCCATATTCTAGTGCTGAGAGAGCGACCTTTTTGGCGTTTTGATGGGGTATTGAAGGAAAAGAAGTGGTGCGAGGCTATGATGTATGGTTGGCGGCTACATGTTGGTTGCCTTGCCCGTTGCTTTGGTCACAAGAAGGCAATAGACTCCTTCGAGTGTTGAGTTGACGCTGGGCTACAAGATTCGTCTTTCACCACGGCCGAGTCCGGTAGACGTTGCTTGCATACACCTGAAAGAAACATGCAGAGTATGGATACAACAAGAAGCGGGAGACAAGAAGACAAAGAAACTCCTCACAGACACCCTATCCCCGCCATCTCCAGAAACTCCGCGATCTTCCTTCTTTTGCAGTCGGTACATCGACTACCGCCACCGCCCTCGATAACCTCGTCGGAAGCCCACCGATCATGCCTCTGCCTAACATCTTCCTACCGTCTCCTTCCACCACCAGCGCCAACGATGGCAAGAGTGGCAGACGTCGCCGTGGTGACGACCAATCCATACAGTCGCCCTCGCCGCGTAGCTTCCAAAAGCTGCAAACCCCAACCTCCATGACCCCGACCCCGAGGCCGATACCGATGTCGGCACAGCCTCCTGACACTGCATGGATACTTGAGCAGATCTGCGAGACTCTACAGACCCTGCAACTACAGCATGCGGGCAGCCCCAACCTTGCCCTCGACGGATTCTATCAGCGCGCTCTGGAGCACGTTCGGATGATCGGGGATATGCATGCTGCATGTGGCGATGATAAGGCGGAGCTTATATGGCCCGTAACTACGGAAGAATCCCCAACGTAGACTTCCAGTTGCTCAGACAAGCATACTTGGCTCCGATGCGAGACATGTTCCCCATTGTGAGGGCAGGCGGTCTATTGGGCGTATCTCCATCTATGTAATCGTCATCATCATCGGTCTCCTAGGCTCAACAGAGGGAAATTTTCTCCTTTCGATGGTAACCACACCGAAAGGCACATGCGCACCATAAACCACATCTGACAGCCAAAGGATGAGGTAATATCTACCAAACAGCCCCACCGCAATGAGACGCAGCTCAACAAAGACGTCGTTCATCTTTCGTGGAACAGACGTCGTCCTCAGTAAAGTGTTCATCCCAAAGAATATCGGCGTCTTTCAAGGACATTCCTCCACGCAAATGTCCATGTCCGAAAACTCCACATCCGAACCACACATCGGTCTTAACAGAGACCCCCCATCCCCCGAAAACGCCAGCCTCGCAACTGTGATCTTGCCTAGCAGGGCAAAATACCCACCTTTCGTCCGCCCAGACGGATTCAGCCCTCCCGCCGCACACTCCGCGCGCACCGCCTTCGCATCACCCCGCACTGCCACCGCATGCCATATTAAGGTAATGAACGCGTCTGCCTCGACTCCCTCGTCAATGGACGCCCACTACCAGCTCGGAGAGCCTTCGCTCGGCGGCATGTCCGACAGGATGCACAGACTATCACTATAATGGTCAAGCCTCTGGGCACGGGTCCACGAGTAACGCAGGGTTTACCTTTCAGGCCTACCCTTGTGCTTCACAGATTCCATGACTGTAGCAAGCCTTGGATACACTAAGGGTGAAATTGAAAAGAAAATATCTTTCGAAAAGTGTCTTCATGTCTACCGAACCTAATCGTCGTTATTTGTGCCAAGATCACACTGTGTTTCGACTTGACTTGGGGCCAAGCCGCCAGTGAGTCTATGGGCTGATGCAGCACGAGCTTACCAAGCCAGCTCCGACCCAGCTACGCAGCTTTCGGCCTCAAGTTTTGAACAAAACGCCTCCTCTTCCTCCAGCTTAGACGTTTTCGTCTCGCCAGCGAGCTTCGGAGTTGCAGGCCAGATTTCTACGCCACCCTGCTGTTCCTCTTTCTTCCGGTGTTCCATCAGCTCCTTTCTTACGGATTCCTGGAAGTGCAGCGGACCCTGTTGTTACGCAAATAACGTCAATGCCGGAACTCAACGTCTGAGCGAACAGCTCCTCACCTTTTCCTTGTCCGGATGAAACTCCCCATTCACATACACCCCCGCGTTCAGGTTCCGCTGTGCCCCAACACAGAGCTCTTTGTCCTCTTCCAGAACTTGTTTGTAGAAGTCGCACAAGTCGTTAAACTCCTTGTCGGTGGCGTTCCTATGGCGATACACCTCGTTCTCGATCCTGGTCGTCGTAGCCGAAACAGGTATCATCCGCTGTATGTAGAAAAAGTGGTCCCTGCAAAACCCAGTCAGAAACCACCGCAGACACACCCCTCACCCCGACCCCAACTTACGTGACCGTCACACTCGTACACGGCGGGAAAAACGTGATACTCCGCCTGAACCGGTTGTCCTCCGCGTCCTTATTCACAATCGTATGCTCCAAACACCCCCTCGCCGGCTCGACTCGATACTTGTCCACATCCGACACGCCAGCGATCAGCGGATGGCTCGTCGGGCAATGATAACACTCGTTATAATTCTCCACCACCCCCTTCCAATTCGCCTCCACCTCCATCTCCCACACATGATCGAACGCGAACTCCTCCCCAAAATCAAACCCCCTCAACACCTCCTTCTCATCCGCCCCCCCAAACTCCTCCTCCCACCCCCCTTCCCCCTCCCCCTCCTCCCCCGCCCTCAAATTCACCCACACGAAACCCACCTTATCCACATGCACCTTCACAGGCAGCAACCCCTTCCCCCCCCCCTCAAACCCAGGCACGCCCTCAAACCTCGGCGCCTTCGCCAACCTGCCCCCGGTCCCATACGCCCACCCGTGATACCGACAATGCAAGATCTTGGCGTTCCCCGCGCTGTGCTGCACGACCGGATACGCGCGGTGGCGGCAGTGGTTGTGGAACGCGTTGACGGAGCGCCCATCGCGGTCGCGGATCAGGAAGATGGAGAAGCCGGCGATGGTGAAGGAGAGGTAGTCGCCGGGCTGGGCGAGCCGGATCGTGTGCGTGAGGAGCAGCCATTTGCGGGAGAAGAGGGCGCGGCGCTCGAGGTTGTAGAGCGCCGGGGAGCGGTACCAGGAGGAGGGGAGGCCGCGGGAGGGGGGTGGGGTGGGAGGTTGCTGGTCGGCGGGGGACCAGGGGTTGAGGAGGCGCCACATGGAGGGGGTGTTTGCGCCGGATTTTTTGGGGGGTTGGTGGGTGTGAGGCTGGGCTGGTGGGATGGGTCGGCACGAGACGGGATGGGATGGGGTGGTGGGATGCGGGCGCTAAGAATGTTGTTGGTTATAAATAGCGGTGGTGGGTTGGGGTGTCAAAGGTGGGGTGGTGGGTGGGTGCATCGTGGGGTTTGTGACTCCTCATTCGGTTTATCTATTCACTTTTGCTTTATCTGATCGTCTCCGCCGTACCCCAGAGTTCCCCCACTCTAGCACAGATGCTTTCAAGAGTGCTCGGAAGTGTCGGAAGCAATTTGTTAGGTTGTTAGACATACCAAATAGGAAATTCGATCGGCACATGTGTCAGTTTTCCGAAGCTCAAGCAATGTTATATCGGTCCGGTTTCTAACGTTAAAGTGGTTTATTGGAACCGCCGCCACATGGTTCCGCACGTGAGAGGTGACGCAAGGCAGGTGTGAGATTTGGACTCGGGATGAAATAGACATGGATTCCTGGCGTTCGGGGGTTACGCGGCGCGGCCCGTGTAGATATATGCTCTAATTGGCTGGCTCGGGACGGTAGCACCGAGCACCGGAAGTGACATAAGCGTCGACGCCCGTCTCGCGTGCACCGAAACACCGGGACGCCGAACTGTACCTCGCCTGCGACCTTCGACGCCGGCAAAGGGTTGCACGACGAGATGGACCTATCCTCAGCTCGGTCACAGACTTTCAATGCAGCTGCTCGGGATACGATCGGATTCGCGTCAAGTGACGGTAATGCTGTTGTACTACCCGACGATGGAGTGCTCTATGCCATGCTCACCGCACACCTTTGTCTTTGGCGCAGACGACGTAGTCCACTGCAATGGGACAGCTACTTTCCAAACAGGCAGCAAGTTGTCGTCGGCCGGTCACACAGGCTGACGGTGTGCTGATCGAAACGCCTCTCCGCAATCCTCCAGCGTCCATCTGGCCCCACGCGGCCGACACGGGGGCTTATGGCTTCCCGGAACCCAGCCTCTCGGACCCTCGGCCGACCCGACGGGACGCCGCATGCACAACAAGCCATTCTCAGCCTGCAGCCCAGCTGAGGCACTTAAGTACTCTCCCTCGCTCTTTTCCAAAAATTCCAGCATCCATTGTGACGCCCGTCAAATCTCACCTCCACCCAAACAAACCACAACAGCATGTCTCAGATCCTCCGCCCCCTACGAGCAAACCTCGGCACCGTCGCCGCCCTCGGCGCCGGCGCCACCCTAATCTACGCCTTCGCGAAACCCAAGCCCGCCACCGTCTTCGGCGGCTTCAGCCCGCAATACCTCCGCCTCGAAGCCGTCGAGCAACTTAACCACAACACCAAGCTCCTGCGCTTCGCCTTCCCCAACCCCGACGACCTCTCCGGCCTCCCACTAACATGTAAGCCCCTTCCCCCCAATCCAACCAAACCAAACCAAACCAAACCCCACAACTAACACCCTCTCCCCCCCCTCGTTCCCCCCCCACACAGCATCCATCCTCACCCTCGCCAAACCCACCACCTCCAACCGCCTCCTCCCCACCCTCCGCCCCTACACCCCGCTCACCACCCCCTCCACCCGCGGCCACCTCGACCTCCTCGTCAAGCTCTACCCCGGCGGCCCCCACTCCACCCACCTGCACTCCCTCCATCCCGGCGACCGCCTCTTCTTCCTAAACCCCCTCCCGAATCACCCCTGGCAGCCCGGCCGCTACACCCGCATCGCGTGCATAGCGGGCGGCGCGGGCGTGACGCCGATGCTGCAGTTGGTGCGGGGGATAGTAGAGGGGAAGGAGAAGACGGAGGTGGATGTGGTGGTCGGGGTGCGGGAGGGGCGGGATGTGGTGATGCGGAGGGAGTGGGGGGAGGTGGTGGAGAGGGCGGGGGGAAGGGTGCGGGTGTGGTGGGTGGTTGGGAGGGGGGACGGGGAAGAGGGGGATAGGGAGGGGTGTGTGACGGCGGGATTGTTGAGGGAGTTGGGGGTCGATGGGGGGGAGGAGGGAGGGGGCGGCGGCCAGGAGATGGTGTTTGTGTGTGGGCCGCCGGGGATGGAGGAGATGTTGGTGGGGAAGAAGGGGGGAGGGGGCGGCGGGGGGGTGTTGGCGGAGTTGGGGTTTGGGAAGGAGAGGGTGCATAGGTTTTGAGGGGGGCGGGGCGGGGCGGGGCGGGGCGGGGCAGGGGGGGTTTGTGTGTGTGATGGAGATGCGGCGTGCGTGGGAGCGGGCTGGGGCTGGGTTTGCTGGGTTTTGTGAACATTTGTTGTTTGTCTGCTTTGAAAAGACGGAATGTGATCCTGATTGACACTTATGTGAAAAGTGGCGATTCACTAATCGAAACTGGTATTGTGGCTAACAGAATTTAGCAGCCCGTTGATGTATATATGCTTAGCAAGGGTGTCCGAAGCCCGATCCACGAGCTAGCGTCAAAATCCATGGGCGGAACGGCCTGTATATGGGCTGTTTAGTTAGGGCCGTAGCGTGTTACAGGCGTGGAGGGATTGGAGTTGGAGATCGTTTGCTTTCAAACGCCAAGATGGGATTACGGGGTTAATGGGGGTTAGCCGAAGGTGGCATTACTGGCGGATGAAGAAACCTGGGGATAAGTAGGCGAAAATGGCTGGGACGGGACCGACGGCGGTGCAAGTGTTTTCGGAACTGGTGAAGTGGGTTCAGAAGTGGAGCGCGCGAAGATTGCGGCGAAGAAGGGGTGATGGGAGACGTAGCGGGCACGGTGTGAGATATTCAATCCGTGTGTCGCAAACACGTCAGCGACATGCCTTCATACTGCGGCATTCTCGGGGCTCGGGGCGTCATCATACCGTAAACCACATCAGTGCACACGGCCAAGCTCCAGTCGTGTGACTGGGAGCGCGCGGACGGGATTGTGAAGGTCTAAGACAGTGGAGAAACCCAAAGCGTACCCTGCCGCTTTCCACGACAACCATCTGAGCCAAGCGTGACCGTGATCGACACTTACGTGGAAAGCGCCAATTTATTTGGCAAAACCGATACTGCAGCCAACAGAATCGAGTGTCCCTTGGCACGGAACTTCCCTCTCCCGCGATGGATGTTGGAGGCCCCGCTTCACAGACTAGCGTCAAGGTGCATGTGCAAAGCGGCTTGGACATGGGTGGTAGGTGGGTTCGACAGGGGTTCGTGGCTTTGCACGGTCTGGCTTCCCATGACTTTCCCAATTTCTTATTCCCCGGTCTGTCCCCGGGAATATAACGCTGAACCATACTCTCGGGTAAGAAATGCTTGCTTCGCATGTCGCTTTCAATCTGACTCGACCGAGGCCGAGAAGAGTGCGGACCAGCCTGAAAAGCTTAGTGTCGAGGTGGCTCGGAAGACAGGGGAAACCTTGTCCTTGAAAACCACAGAGACCGCAGGCTTGTTTGCTACAGCCGAAGAATGTACACCGAGCTACAGCAGTGTTGAGGAAGACAAACATGAGGCCAAGGGCTCGGTAAAGTAGGTGAAGCCAGTTCGTACACTGCCTTGGGGAGCGAAATTACAAAACTTTTTGAAGTCTTGCAGGCTTGGTGAGAAGAGTTCAGCCTGAATGAGTAATACTCCATGTCGGTTCAGCAACGATGGTAGACTTCACGCAAACACGGACGATCTAATGAAAAGTGAAACCGAAGTTTTCAGAGCTACCATACTCAACATAGTGCATATGTCTGTTCGCCTATAGGGTCGATCAGCTCGTATCCAGCGTCTATCAACTGGCCTCCCGCCTCGGGCCGGTGACCAAAGCCTTTTTCGGCGGCTCCTCGTCCTCCCTCGCAATAACATGGCTCTTCTGCTTCCTGTCCACGCCCAGCCACAGCAGATCCGGCCTGCTGTAGTGTCCCACATTATCCAGGAAAGCCCTGTTCGCAACGACCTTGGTCAAATCCAGATCGGCGTACACGATGCCCTCCTTGGCCGGGTCGCCACTATGCAGCGGATCCGTCAACTTCCTCCCATCGGGGCCAACAACGCAGCTGCTGCCCCCGCCCGGCGTGTGGAACAACAAGCCCTTGTGCGTGCCCATGACATCCCTCCCCTTCTCGGTGCACACGCCCGTGCAATGCAGCACGTATCCGCCGCCCTCGACGGCATACGTCTGACTCAGGTTCTGGCAGCCCTCGGCGCTCATGCTCCACAGGCCGGGATGCTCGACGCCGGGGTGGGCGTCAATCGGCGGCCAGGCGGCGATGTGGATGACCTCGCCCTGGCTGTAGGTGTGGTACTTGAGCAGCGGCTGCGTGTGCTCCCAGCAGGCCAGGGCGCCGACCTTGAGCTTGCCGACGGCGCCGCCGAAGTCGATCTCGGCCACGTTGCGCAGGTCGTCGCCCGACCCGTCGCCGAAGACGGCGCGCTCCACGTGCGTCGGCTTGATCTTGCGCCGCGTCATGACCACCTCGCCCGCCGGCGAGATGATGGCTTGCGAGATGTACAGGCTGTGCGTGTGGACCCGCTCCGAGAAGCCGAGCACGACGGCGATGGAGTGCCGCTTCGCTGCCGACTTGATCTCGTCCATCTCCGGGGACGTCAGGGAGAGGGAGTTGTAGATGTACTTGGTGGTGAGCTCGAAGTCGACGGGGCGGGCCCTGTGCGGCTGGTCAGAGCGGTGCTGGGGGGGGGCGTGGTTTGGACGGGGGGAACGAACCATATCCAGCCGGGGTAGCCGGTGATCCAGCACTCGGGGAAGGCAATGAGGCGGGCGCCGTTGGCGGCGGCGGTGGCGATCAGGTCGCACGTCTTCTTGACCGTGGCGGCGAGGTCGAGCCACTCGGGCTCGGCCTGGGTGACGGCTACGCGAAGACTGGACGCCATGACACTGTCTGGATACGGATGGGGTGAGATTTGGAGACTGGTGAGCAGGAGGGTCGGTTGGTAGTCCGGGTCCCTCTAATTCGGCTGCTTATCTAGGTATATTTATGGCTGAAGCCAAGGCGGTCAGTCCATGCGGCGCGGCTGCAGCGCCCATTTGCAAATTGGCAGTGCTGCTTGACGACCCTCCCGACGCTGCGGCGCGAACATGGGCGTTGATGCGGCGCAGATCTGCCCGGAAGCGTGCCCGGACCTGCGGTGTACGAGTCGTAACCTCGTATGCTCGACTGCATTGAGCAGCGACTCGGGACCGCTGTCGCCAAGCAAGCCTACCTCAAGGATTTGTGTCTCAGAGGCCCAATAATAGCCCAACTTAGCCTGAGCGCCGAGCAATAGGATTCGCTGCCGCATCTTGTACTGCATGCGAGGAATGGATCGCCAGGAGCACTGCAGCAATGGGGGCCAGCTTCCATGAATCTGGCCATCTCGTCTTCTGATGTCTCCTGATAGGAGTGCTCGGGAGTCGGAGCAATGCGAGGCCTGGTACTCCAGCGAGGTAGCCTCAGATCGAAACTTCGCTTGGAGAATCCTGCGGCGCATCATACGCCCAGTATGAAGTCCCCTTCCTTAGTGCTCGCCTTACGGCTCATGCATCCGGTAGCCGGGAGTTCCCTTATTGCTGGCGCCGCTGCACCGCACTCTCGGATTCCACAATCGCCAGCCACGTCTCATTCTACTCCGCAGTGCAGCGGTTGCGTACTTTGATCCACCACCGGCATGGATTTCACCCCGAATATTGTGGAGATCTACACGCTGTACGGAATCGGCAGCTGTTTGATCTTTGCCCGCATAGCCTGTCGAACGAAGCTCGTCGGTGTTCGCGGTTGGCATCCGGACGACTACATCATCTTCCTCAGCTGGGTAGGTCGCCGATGAAGTCGGTCCCATATCGCAGTTGCTGACCACCAGCCAGGCCTTGTACACGGCAGTCACAGTGGTAGCCCATGTCTTCATCATCGTGGCCGGCGGCAAACACACCTCCCTCCTCACTCATGACCAGCGCCGGTTGATGCCACCATCGCAAGTGCCAGCATGGGTGTACGGATCCAAGATCTTCATGCTGGGCCAGATGCTGTACGCCTCCATCGTGTGGTCGCTGAAGTTCAACATGCTCTTCTTCTACCGTCGCATCACGCGCGGGCTCTGGGTGGAGAAGCTCATCATCCCCACGCTCGCCTTCGTCGCCATGACCGGAATCGCCGTGCTCCTCGTCTTCACCTGCACGTGCCGGCCCTTTTACAAGCTTTGGCAAGTGTGGCCCGACCCCGGCGGTACGTCTCCTCCCCCGCACACTGACTGCCCCCGCCGTAGGCCAGAACTGACACCTCCTCAGACCACTGCGAGCCGCAAAACTACGTCTTCTTCCTGTCCGTCCTCCTCATGAACATGGTGACGGACCTCATCATCCTGCTCATCCCCGTGCCCGTCATCGCGCCGCTGCACGCCTCGCTCCCGCGCCGGCTCGGGCTCTACGCCCTCTTCGGGCTCGGCGTCTTCTGCATGATCGCCGCCGTGCTGCGCGTCGTCTTCGTCTTCGCCCTCAACCAGTCGGGCATCAGCGCCATGTGGTCGATCCGCGAGGACTTCGTCGCCGTCTTCGTCGGCCAGGCCCCCATGGTGCGCCCCATCTTCAGCCGCGGCTTCTGGACCGGCGGCGACCGCAACGACTCGTACGGCAAGGGCAGCAAGGCCAAGAGCTTCGGGAACCGCTCCGCCGGCATCGAACTGGACAGCAATCCCGATCACAGCAGGCATAGCCGCAAGGGCAGCTCCGCCGGCTTTGGCGGGAAGAAGAAGGATCCGTACAGCGTGACGCAGATTATGAGTGAGAGCCAGGAGGAGATTGTGGCGGGCAGAGCGGGCGATCTGGAAAGGGGAAGGGATGCGGCGGGAGACGATATGCATTTGACCGTCGAGGTGAAGAGAGTGGTGCATGTGGAGAGCAGAGAGACTACGCCGGAGAACAAGATGGAACAGAGAGTCGAGGGCTGGGTATAGTTACTGCGGGACGAGGGACAACGCACACGTTAATTTTTCTTTTTTGTATATATCAGCTCGGGGTACTACAGGAGGTGCGGGTTCCTTCCGGAGGGAACCGGCTTTGGAAGGTTTATACACAGCGCGGTCAGGGTGGTGGACGGACATGGGCGGGCAAAGTTTTAGTGCGAGGACCACACACGTCGGCAAAAGTCCGACGGGTGGGCCTATTATTCTGCCTAAGTATTCTGGTAGGATTCTGTTTCAGAACAACGGATTGGTGATGTAGCGAGTCAGCATCCATGGCTTGCCAAGGTGCCCCTGCAGACATGTCGCCCGGAGTTCGGGGGACTGCCTGATTGGGAAACACTGCTTCACAACACAACATCATCACGAACCCGAGCCATAAAGAAGACTACACCATGTCATTTTGAACCCCCCATAGGCCGTTCTGCAGTCTACTTGGTCTGTTCGATCCTCCCGCCCACCAGATAGTCCAGGTACTCGACCACCCCCTTGATGCTCTTGACTCCCTTCGTTTCCAAGACAGATTTGCCCGCCATCATCAGCATCCTCTCGGGTGCAGGCTGCGCCAGATACGGCACGATCCTGACCTTGTGCGCCGCTCTCCAAACCTGCGTCGGCACCAAACATCAGCGTTCTGCATGTCGAGAAAAAAACATCTCCGGAATCACTTACCCTGACCTGCTTCGCGATCGCCGCCATCTCGCGCTCCACCTCGTCGTCCCCCATCTCCTTGGCCTCCCTCCTGAAACTCTTCTTCCTCACCTCGGCGCTGAACATGCGCTGCCGCACCGACACGCTCGTCCTCGACTCCTCGGGTGACAAATACGCGCCCATGCCCAAAAACGCATCGACGACCTGGAAAAACGGCAACTGATTCCCGCTCACGCCATCGCTCTCCACATACGCCCCGTCCACCTCCTCGCCCGCCCCGTACGCATGAAACCCCTGCACCCACCCCAGCCACACCTCCCGCTCGATCTTGCTCTCAACCAGGTTGTCATACAACACCTTGACCACATCCCTCACCCTTTCCCGCATCTCCCTCAACGCCGCCAACACCGCCGCCCGCTCCCCCCTCTCCCACGCCCCCAGCGCCCTCACCACCTCCACATACACCGGTACCGCCAGTCGCTCCGTCTCCGCAAACATGAACGCAAACCAATACTCCGCCCTCTCCACCGCCGGCGCCACCCCCTCCCCAACATTCACCTTATACACCGGCCCGACCTCCTCCCCGCCCCAGTGATACAGGAAATTCGTCAGCGCGTTCCCCGCCTGGCTCCCGAACCCGTACCGCCGCTGCAAATATCCCCACGGCACCCCCAGCGCCGCCGGATACCCCACCGCCTTCTCCTCCTGCGCCACCCGCACCGCCGGGATCGTCGCCCACCGGTACGCATGCCGCGTCATCGCCACGCACGCGAAGAACGCATTAAACACGTCCGCCCGCACGGCTGCCGCGTCCGTCTCGCTCCGTTCCAGCAGCGCAACCACAGCCCCGACGTCGACGTGCGCCTCCAGCGCGGCCGCGAGCCGCGCCCGGAACGCGGAGCGCAGCGCGATGTTGGTGGCGTCGCTGGTGCTGGGATGCGCGGAGTAGAGGTGCGGCGCCCAGAGGTGGTAGGCTTCGTGGTAGCCGCGCAGCGGCGCGGGCCAGGCGGACAGGTCGGACGGGAAGCGCGGCGGCCAGGTGCCGCCGCCGTCGTGGGCGATCATGGCGTGCAGGCGGGCGGCGGGTTCGTGGTCGGCGGCGGCGAGGGAGGAGATGGTCGAGAGGAGGGCGGTGGTGTCGATGGCGGGGGAGGGGTGGTGCGGGGAGTGGTGTTGGGGGGAGCGGCGGGTGGTGCGGGTGCGGGTGGTGGTGGTGGTGGTGGTGGAGGGGATGGTTATGCCGGCGAGGAGGGTGAAGAGGATGGTTTTGAGGTAGCTGACGAGAGCTAGGAGGAGCTTTTGGAGGTTTGTGGACATTTTGGGGTGGTGGTGGTCCGGTGAGGGGACGGTTGTGTTGAGGTGTCTCGAGGTGAGTGTGTGGGTGTGGTCTTCCGGATTGGAATTCTGAACGCCTCTGGGGATTGTGTAGCTCTCTGCCTTGGGAAGTCCATAGCCATAATATAGGAAAATTCTCTGCGTCTTTTTTTCTTTCCATCCTTCACGTGTCAACATCTAGTGTGAAGACATCCGAGTCGTAGGCGCCGTCGATGAACATACAAAAGTCCAAAACAGGAAGCAGCATTCTGTCTGAGACGTCGGCACTCCACTGCCGCTCAGTGAAACGACTGATGTTGACGCGTCTCGGAGCGAGCCGTCGTCCCTTCCGCATTTTTTTGCCGACGTCTTTGTTGTTGTATGGGCCGTCCGGTATTGGCTCACTGATTCAACAAACGTTTCGATTTTGGCCCGTGCTGGGATCTTGCGGCATTGTGGCTCGCTCTAAAGACTCCAAGCGCCTTCGGTTAGCTGTCCAAGGGGAAAGCCCTTCAAAGTTTTCCCTGGGGTTCGTGTTAAGATGCTTGAACTTCTCTGGGCGTGCATCCATCCAACAATGGCTATGACTAGCGCTCCTGTGATTGGACACACACTTCCCCACCACCCACGGTGGACCACGCCACCGCCGCCATGAGTAGTGAGTCATTTCTGAATCGGGAAGACTCAGCAATATAAAGAGTGGAATAATTAGAGCACGCCTTGTCCGGCGCTCTACCATCCTGAATACAGAGCGATGAGGGAGTTTCGGTACGAGTCGGAACGGGCCCACATGCCGAAGCGGAGACTTGAAACAGAAACTAAAAATCCTTGACTCAGGGTCAAGTGTCCTTGAGCCCATCTTCGTTGACATTATTGGGGTTGACATGCTCTGCTGTGGCCTGACTGACGGGCGGCTTTTCTGATCTGTGGAGCTCCCGCGCATCTAGACTGAACGGTCGTGAGAACGCAACCCACCGGAGCGAGTACGCGAGCGGAATCGGAGTTTTAGACGCTTCCATATGGAGTATTGGAAACTCAGCTGCCGGGCTCATCGTCTCGACAACCTTCTCACTAGCAGTTCGTGTTAAACTAGTCGGAGTCGTCTCAAATGCTAGCGCGCTCCACTCCGACAAGGGTGAGAACCAAACTCTTGTCGAGGGTCATAGCCAATAGGAAATTACTGCGAACACCCTGGACATGATGATTTACGTCCAAATTGCGCTAAAATTTGAGACCCCTCCAACCACAGAAAGTCTGTCTAGCTCCTACGCTCTTTTAACCGGCTCTAGATATCTTATTCCTTTCAAGCAACTCCAGCCGGCAATCGGCATCTATCGCAGCAACGCAACGTCCCCACCACGCACCCACCCCGCGCCAGTTCAAAAAAAAAAAAAAGGCCAGAAAGAAAGAAACACCAGAAAGAAAATAAACACCACCCCAACTTCCCCAACTTCCCCAATCTTCCCCTCCCCAAACCCCCCTCCCTCACGCCAACCCCTTCACCATAACCCAATCCACCTGCACCACCCCGCCAACACTAAACCCATGCTCGCCCACCCTCTCAAACCCCCACCTCGCATACGCCCTCTGCGCCCCCCAATTCTCCTCCCACACCCCCAACCACACGTGCTTCCTCCCCTCCGCGCGCGCCATCCTCTCCGCCTCCCCCACCAGCAGCGACCCCACCCCCCTCCCCTGCGCGCCCCCCGCCACGTACAGCCGCTGCAATTCGATGCATTCGCCCGGGTCGAGGTGGGCGACGCTCGGCTCGGCGCGGTTGGAGTTGCGGGTTAGGAGGGCGAAGCCGAGGAGGTGTTGGTGTTGTTCGCCGTTTTTTCCCGTGGATGTGGCGATGATGGTGGTTTTGTCCGGGTGGGCGAGGTCGGCGGCGATGTGGGGGATGGTGTAGGCGGAGTCGAGGTAGGCGGAGAGCTCGGCGGGGGTGACGGAGTGGCCGAAGGTGGCGGTGAAGACTTGGGCGCCGAGGTGGGCGATGGGGCCGGCGTGGGTGGGGGAGGCGGTGGTGCGGATGTGGATGGTTTGTGTCGCTTCGTGCGATTTTGGTCGGGCTGGTTGGTGCTGGGGTTTTGGGTGGCCGGGGGGAGTGCTGCAGGCTGGTGGTGATGTGGCGGTGGTGAGGGAGGGATGCTGTGTCATTTTGGAATGTTGTTTTGGCTCGGGGGGGCGACTTGTGGGGAGTTTCGGATGGGGCTGATGGCTTCGTGGTGTGGAGAATAGGCTGGAGGTGGATGAGAAGACGAGCGTGGGAGTGATGCCTGAGGTATGAATGCTCCCTTTCTGGCGGCCAGTCGGGAGAGGTCTTATACAAAGAAACGGCCAAGGGTAAGGACTTCTAGAAAGCCGAATCCAAAGATGCAGTCAACACTATCGACTTTCGACACTCATGTATGACTGGTTAAGAAGCGCATTGTAGACATCTAGTCTAGCTCAAAGCGGTGTAGCGGACAGCGGCTCGTCAATCACAGGGCGTAGGGCGCAGGGCCAAAGCGTCGCCTTCACTATCGGCATCAGCAACGCTCCAATAATGTCCTTCTCGTCTGCTTGCGCCGGCTGTTATTCTGGCTCAGAATTGGGGCCAGAAATATTTTAGATGGTCTAGCCCTCGCGCCGTTGACAACTGGTTCCTATTCCGGCAGTTGCATGCGATGACATGGTCCAATCGGCATGACTCACCACTGCCCGCAAAGCTTATCATGGCGCGCAAACATCAATCCTGCAACATCGTGCATCTTCGACTTGCATCCCACGATGCCGCTCCATTTTCTGCTTGTGAGTCACAGGATCCCATCACCCACCATGACACAGCCTACCTCGTCGGCCACCTTCCACCCACCTTCCCCGCCAACCCAGCCCTCTCCACAACCTCCTTCCCCCTCCTACTCGCCTCCCGCCAAACGCTTTCCTCGTCCATCGACACCAACACCCCACCCCTCACCACCTCCTTCCCATCCACAACCACAAGCTCCACATCCCTCCCCGTACACGTATACACCACCGCACTCACAGCACTATACCACGGCCGCAACCCCACCCTCCTCGTATCCACCGCCACGAAATCCGCCTTCTTCCCGACCTCCAAACTCCCCACGACGGCATCCAGCCCCAACGCCCTCGCCCCGTTGATCGTCGCCATCTCGAGCACCGTCTCCGCGGGGACGAGCGTCGGGTCCGCGCCGTGATGCGCCGACGCGGGCTTGTGCACGACGGCGGCGAGCCGCATCTCCTGCAGGAGGTCGCACGTGTTGTTGCAGGGCGCGCCGTCGGTGCCGAGGGCGACGTTGGCGCCGGCGGCGAGCAGGCACGGCACGCGGCAGAGGCCCGACGCGAGCTTGGCGTTGGACGAGGGGCAGTGCGCGACATGCGTGCCCGACGCGGCGACGGCGGCGACGTCGGCGTCGTCGAGGTGGACCATGTGGACGAGGACGGTGCGGGGGGAGAGCAGCGAGACGGAGGCGCAGTACGAGGTGGGCGTGTGGGGGGTGGGTGTGCGGGAGGCGAAGAAGGCGCGGTCGGCGGGGACTTCGGCGCAGTGCATGGTTATGGGGATGGCGTGCTGCTGGGAGAGGGCGGCCATTTCGCGGTAGAGGGAGTCGCTGACGCTGTGGGGTGGGGGGTTGCTTGAGCGGGTGCGATGGTGGATGTTTGGGGTGGGGGTTTGTTGCATACCCTCCTGGCGTCCTTGCGCCGAACCAGACTCTGATCCTGCCGTTGGCTTTGCCGTCCCACTTCTCCCACATCTTCAGCGTGCCTAGCAGGCTCGTTTCGCGGTCCTCGATCAGGCCTGGATGCATGGCCCACTTGGGGTCTGCGGCGTAGGTACCGACGTCCATGACAATCTTGCCCAGGCAACCGCGGATGCCGCTCTCCTCGACGGCGCGACACAGGCCGTCGAAACCATAGCGGTCGGCGAACATGCTTTCCAGAAAGCAGGTGGTGCCCGACTTCAGCATTTCGGCGATGCTGAGGCGGGCGGCGGCGTAGCCATCGTCGGCAGTGAAGTTGCCTTGCAAGACCCAGATGCGCTCGCACAGCCAAGATACGAGCTCCAGGTCATCGGCAGCCCCTGAGCGCCATGTCGTCAGATTGGATGTCTGCAAGATTTATTCCCAAGCTCTTTTACGGCGGTGCCGTCTGCATCTCGACCATGTGTGCGAAGTGTGACTTGGGGATGGAAAGCGAAGAAAATGGCGCATTTTGTTGGAACAGAGCCAAGGGTGAGATGGAGATATGGTGGTGACAAAGGATGAGTAACTACCTCTGAGAAGGGTCTGGGCGGTGTGCATGTGAGTGTTGATCAAGCCCGGGATGACGATGCGGCCAGTCAAGTCCGTTCGCTCTTCGCCGGGGTACTTGGCAATCAGCACATGGGACGCGTCTATATCAGCGATAGTGTCGCCCCGCACGAGGATTGCGCCGTCAAGGATGATCTCACGCGCCGGGTTGACGGTGATAAGGGTTGCATGGGTGTAGAGCATTTCGGGCGGGCAGTTGAGCGAGCTGGGCCGGTGCACAGCGCGACCAGAGGGCGAGGGCCGGGCGAAGATATCTCCAAGTCGCGGCGGCCATCTCCGACATGTCAACCGGGGCGAGGCGAGCGTTGACAGCAACGGTTGACTGGAGTTTGGGTGAGAGCACAGGCTCAGCGGCCGGAAGCGGCCCGAGAGATGATCGGGCCCATCGCTATCAAGCGAGGACGATTGCGGCCGACAGCTGCGCTATTTGGGGGTGGCGATAAAGAAGGTCGGAACTGGATTTGGACTTGGATGTGGACGTGGGCTTTGTCCGCGGGGAAGCGTGCGGGGACTGTGCGTCTGAAGTAGGCAAGTGCGTCGCAAGGCCCAGCTGCATCGTCGCAGCCGTGGTGCAGCGGTCCTTGAGCGACCCGGCGGCGGCGACGGATGAGCAATTTTCGAATGCGATGCTGCAGAAGCGGTGCGAGAATAATGATGTGAAGCGGCTGGATTGGGATGGGATTTGCAGGCATCACGCGGAGCCTGGGCAGGTGGCAGGCAGTGTGGCAGTCTAGCGCCCGAGTCATGGCGGTGAAAAGCCCGGGTGCACCTACGTAATGCCACCTGCCATCGCCCAGCCAATTGCGTCCACACCACTGTTGCACCACCACGATCGATCCGCACTCGTACATATTGCTCCCTGCCGCCCGCGCTACCAGATCGCTCTCCCCCATTCCGCTGCCTGCGAGGGCCAGCTGCCGCCACCACACCCGTCGTTCCATCCGCCTCCAACCCCTCCAGGCTGCAACGTGCAAGCCACGGATCCCCCAACAAAACAAGCTCTCGACAGCTGCCAAACTTTGCCACAATGACCCGGCGCATTGTCTACGGCATTGGCCTGTGGCTCACGCTGGCCGGTATGTCTCTGACGCTGCCTGCCAGCGCCGCTCCCGCTGACTGTCCGCCACAGCGACCGCCATGACCATTGCCAGCATTGTCCAGCCGCGCTGGCTCGCCTACGATGTCGAAGGCGTAAGTCTGCAGATTGTCCCAACGCCTCAGCCGCCCCCGCTCACACTCACTCCAGCACGGAAAACATGGCAAGTCGGTCAAGGTATCGTACGGTTTGCACACGCTCTGCGACTCCGTCACCGGCACCTGTCGCGACTTCCCCCAGGAAGAGGACTGCCGTGGCGACTCGTGGTCATTCTGCAGCCGCTGGCGCACCGTCGGCTTCCTCATGTCCTTCGCCGTCGTCATCGAGCTCGCCGTGCTCATTGGATACGCCGTCGTCCTGCTGGGCGGCAAGCAGAAGCGCGACCAGGGCTGGAAGATGATTTCGGGCTGCCTCATGGTCGCCGGCGCCACCTCGTGCGCCTCCATGGCCATCGTGGTACGTGTTCTTGGGACGGAAAAGATTTTCCCCTGTGGGGTGATGTTCGTGCGCACGCTGACAGGGATTCTCCAGGCCTTCCTCTTCGACCACGACGACCGCTTCTTCCCGCCGGGCTGGCGCCTCGATAGCTCGTGGATCCTCTGTACCGTCAGCTGGTCCATCAGCATCCTGACTGCCTGCGGCCTCATCGGCGCTGCCATCGTCCTGCCTGAAGAAGGCGACTACGAGCTGATACCCGAGGGTAGGATGTAGACGACTGTCACGGCCACCTGCACGCGTTTCATAGACATGGGACGGAGTAGTTGGTTTCGTGGAGCGCCGAGTGGACTGGCTTCCACGCTCGCGGGCTCTTGTGCTTAGCGCGCATCTTTCTGGCTGCAAGTCCGCTACGTCTTCAGTTCATGCTGCCGATAATGCTTTCACGCGTCTCCCGGCACTCTCGCGCAATTGTTTTTCTCGACATATCCCACAAAGTATCATTGGTTGGCATTTGGTCCCTTGCAGCAACGTCGGTTCTCCATCGTTTTCTACTGTGTTTGGTCCTTTAATTGTCCGGGAACTCCAGAATGTCCAACAAAGACGCCATGAAAGCGGACATCAACGCTGCGTCACCAAAAAATATCATTTTTGAACACGTCGCTTTATTTCTGTGACTGTTCTCTCGTTTAACTACCCCATCCGTGCCTCTTTTTCTTCGGTCCGAGCTCCGAGCTCTAGCGTATCACGACCAAATCTTGTCTTTCGTACACCACAACTTTTATGGTATAACTGCAGCAGTCTTCAGCAGATATCGATAACCAGGAGTTATAGTGTAACACCTGACCAAGCGTCCAGTTGGCCTAGTTGGTTACAACGTGGTGCTAATATCGAGTTTGGTAAGAGCTGGGATGTTTGGGGATAGAAAGGCTGACGACCTACATTTGTCTAAACATGGCGTCGAATGTGGAGTACCTATAGGGGACCAGCTGGAACACATTGGGCCAGTTCTGACAGTGCGCTATCAGTGATAGGTGGAAAGCGGTGCTCTCTACCTGCACTGGGGTTCAGAGACCACCTACGTATGAAACGACCGCCTAGCTATATGAATGTTTTTATCTTCCTGTAGCTACACTACGCGTGAGCGATAGTCCGGAAAGTACGTATCTTAATCATTTCAATGGGATGTTTCCTAGCAGTATGATCGACACTTCAAAGTGCCAATGGCAGCGATAGCTTGACTGGTGCGCCCTCGTTCATTATACACGTAATCTCCAGTGTTTCGATCATTATCTTCTGTTATTTCAAAGATGAGTTGCTGCGAAACAGACACAGTAAAATAACGATTAGGGCTCTAAGAGGATAGAAGAAGTTGCTGGGGCTTACTTGGAATCTCGACATGGTGCAAGCCCAAGTTTAAAATAGATGAAAACACGTGTAAGCGCACAGAGAGAAGGTGTGAATGTATTACGGAGTGCGGAAGAGATTTGCAATCACAGAGCGAGGAAAAGGCTGGGACACTTTGGAAACGACTTGAAGGACAAACTGCTATCAGGGCCGCTTAAGAAGGACGGAGAGAGGGTCAGACTCAAGTATGTTTTTGAGATATTCGCGATGCCTATTAGTGGAGGTTGTGCTCCATGTAGGTGAGGCTGCGGTCGAAGAGTAGCGCCGTTGGCAATTGAGAGGCTTGATGGGATTGCCTTTGTTTTCAAGGTTTGCATGGGCTTATGGCGGCCCATATTATTTGTCTCTCGCAAATCAGTGTGGCATCGTCCACACCCAGGATTTACACACAGATATCGAATTTACGTCCGCTGCTATGGGCTATTATCCTGATTTTAGATCTCCAACTGTTCCTGAGACGATAGGTGCTCGAGTTTCTCGAAATGTAGTGATGAGGTGTAGTTGGCTAAAACATCTAGCCCAATGCCTGACCCGTCAATTTGCAGCACCGAGTAGAATAGCCATATACCTAACATACGAGTTGATTTCACAAGTTTTGTTAGATGAGTAATGCCCTGCTCTGACCGAGCTTGGGTTACATACGAGATGAATCTCCGGCATTGCGTTGAGCCGAGGGATATTTTCTTTTCCGTCTTTCTGCCCCGCATTACGCATCCACCTCCGATTGCCGCTGTGCCCCGCCATTTGACGTGATCACCGTTGGTCTGCTACATTCCTTTGCATCTAAACTACAGGTCCCCTCCCCAAAAAACTCACGGATGCAACACGCTCGACATCTTCTTCCACTGCGCCGTCTTCACCCAAAGCGGCTCACTCGGAGAGCCGCCACACCATATCCCCACATCCAAAGCATCGACCGCAGCAGCCTCCACCCACCCCCCAAAATGGCCTCTACAACACCGCAACCCATCAAAATGGCCATCCTGGACGACTACCAAAACCTCTCCGCCCCCTACTTCGCCAACTTCCACCCAACCGAGCTCCAAATCGACACCTTCCCCGACACCCTCCCCCCCAGCGCCACCGACGCCCTCATCGCCCGCCTCAAACCCTACACCATCATCTCCACCATGCGCCAACGCACCCCCTTCCCCGCCCCCCTCATCGCCTCCCTCCCCAACCTCCGCCTCCTCCTCACCACCGGCCTCCGCAACAACAGCCTCGACCTCCCCGCCTTCGCCGCCGCCTCTATCCCCGTCGCCGGCACCCCCTCCGACATCCCCACCGCGCCCTCCCCCACCTCCACCCCTCCCCCCCTCCGCACCGGCTTCAGCAAAACGACCCAACACACCTGGGCCCTCATCCTCGCCCTCACCAGCAACATCCCGCGCGACGACCACAACCTCAAACTCACCTCCTCCCCCTCGCCCTGGCAATCCTCCCCCCCTCTCAACACCTTCCTCGCCGACCGCACCTTCGCCGTCCTCGGCCTCGGCAAACTCGGCGTCGCCGCCGCCCGCACCGCCATCCTCGGCTTCGGGATGCGCGTCGTCGCCTGGAGCGCGTCGCTAACGCAAGACGGCGCCGACGCGCTCGCCGTCGCCGCCGGATTGTGGGCGGGGGCATTCGAGTGTGTGGATACGAAAGAAGAGGCGTGTCGCCGCGCGGACGTGTTGAGCCTGCACTACGTGCTGTCGGGGCGGTCGGCGGGGATGGTGGGGCGGAAGGAGCTGGGGTGCATGAAGCGCGGGGCGGTGTTGGTGAATACGGCGAGGGCGGGGCTGGTGGACGAGGAGGCGTTGTGGGAGTGTTTGGTGGGGGGGAGGATTGCGGGGGCGGCGTTGGATGTGTGGTGGGAGGAGCCGATGGGGGAGGGGAGTAGGTGGAGGAGGGAGCCGTGGGGGGAGGGGGGGAGGGGGAGGTTGGTGGGCACGCCGCATATGGGGTATATGTTTGAGGAGACGCTGGATCTGTGGTGGAGGGAGACGGCGGCGAATGTGAGGAGGTGGCTGGATGGGGAGGAGTTGGCGCACAGGTTGGTGTGAGGGGGTGGGTGGTGCGAGGCTGGAGCTGGGGGAGGACGGATGGGGGGTGTTGGTACGGCTTTGAGGGCTGGGTTTGGTAGAGATAAAGTCGCAGGGTCGCAAACTAGCTGTTTATACTTGGCCTAATCGGGAAATCCAGATGTGGTTTAGCGTAGCCTGCTTGTTGCTCTCTGTGGCATTCCGTCCAGAGGCTGAAAGGGGTGAGTTCGAGCGGCTCGAGGTCGAAAATTGGTGGGTCGCAAATACTGGAGCAATAGCACGGTCGGATAAGACTCCGGGTGAAGATCAGTAGGTATGACGCAACAGCGGGTGAAAACTCGGCCACAAAGGGAGTGATCGCCGTTAGGTACAAGCACAATCTCGTAGCTGGAGCGGTGGGCGCACAGCTTCAAAGTCGCACCTCGTCCGCTGGTAGCGTCGTCTATTCGTCCACCCCAATGATACCGCGGCCAGACCCGGCCAGGTGCGCATACTCCGCTTTCTACATCTGAGAGCCACACCGTCGCTCGGCGTCGCGCGGCATCGACCATGGACAGACTCGAGCCGTCTCAAGGATACTCTTCCCTGTAAGCGCGTGCGCATGCTTCTGTTCTCCGCCCTGCTGCTACTGCTGACACTCATGCAGTGGCTTGGTTGTCTGTGTGGCCTATCTCACCTCCACCATCGAAACTTCTCTCGTCTTTGAGCGTCCAACCGCCTCATGGGCCGTCATTCTCGCCGCCGTCTCCGGCCTTCTGTTGCTGCTGCGCCCGATCAGGCTGTTGTTCTCTCGCAACCGTCGCCAAAGTCAGAAGTACAGCGCCATCCCATTGAATGACGTCAGCGGAGATGGCCGCTCGTCGAGCCCGCCGCTGCTGGGAGGCCCATCCAACAGCCAACCGCGGTCGCGGCTGAAACGATGGCTTCATCGCGCATTCCTGGCCGTCGTTCTGACCATCCGCGTTGACATGTTTCGACGGACCGGATCCAAGGCCGCCGGCGGAAGCCTCGAAGCTCTTGTTCCCTTCTTCATCGCCCTTGCAGATCGCTGGTCGAAGGTGACCCGTGGCCATCAGCATCACAACCGCAGACACGAGCACAAAGCGACCAACCAACTGCTGGCTACCAAGCCATCCTCGAGCTTCTGGCTCAGCCCGCTCGCTTATGCCACCGTCTTTTCGTGGTACGGGGCTTTGGCCATATGGTATTCGCCTTCTTCCTTGGCTTCAACCTACATCTCGGACCAACAGCTTGGCTCTTTGACTACAGGGACCCCTCTTCAGATCGTTGGAGCTGCCTTGGATGTGCTTCTCGCCATTTATGTGGCTACATCACTTGAATTGTCTACAAACGCCCGTGTTGAGAGTAGAGATGAGTCGGTACACTCAGTTGGGCTGTCCTTCCTTGTGAGTACCGTTCCTTGCAGTAGCTACAAGTGTTCCCTTTCCAATGCTGATGTATATCCCAGATCGCCACAGCTGCGTGTCTTGTCTTGGGTGCAGCCGACAGTATCGTCCAAGAGCCGGCGCACGTATTCTATCAGCCTGAGAACTTCGCGCCCCGCATCGTGAAAATCGCCTTTGCTGTGAGCTTCATGACTTTTTGTGCGCTTCATACAGTCAGTACATCCTCGAAACTACTCTGGTTCTTTGCTTGCTATTACTCGCGGACTTCAATCACTGACTTTTACCAGATCAGTCACAGCGGGGCCTTGGATGCCTCCCTGCTGATTCTCTGCACCGGCTCGGCGGTCACTCTTGCCGTCAAAACCTGGAATCCCCCAACCCCGTTCTTGGATGCTCCCGAGTTCAGGGCTCTTATTCCTCTGGGATTTGTCGTGGGCTTGATACTCCACTCGCTTGCTGACTTTAGAAAACAATGGCCCGCGGATGCTCAGGGAAAACCTGACCGACCAAAGCGGCGCTGGAGCCTATTCCATCTTTACGGACTTTTCTTTGCCATCCAAACACTGTTGATAAACTGGGGACATGCCGAGATACATGTCCACCCAGTGGACATCTTGATCGACCAAGCAAAGCAGCAACATGACACATGGCTGAAGACAGCATCTGCTAGCACCTCTCTGGCCGACGCCACTCGCAACTACGTCGCTCGATACAACATGACACCGCCACCACTTTTTGACAAGTGGTACGAGTACGCCATAAATCAATCTTCGGTCATCATCGATGAATTTGATGCCATACACGAAGACCTCCTGCCATTCTGGTCGCTTTCGCCCGCCGAGATTCGAAAAAGAACCAAAGAGGCCCTGGCGTCTCCTCTAGGGATTGGGGGTATCCAAATTCGGAACGGAGTGGCGTCAATCACTGGTGACCCTCCCGGAACGCACCGATGGGCACTGGATGGCGTTATCGCAATGATCGAAAAATTCGGTGAATTTCTACCGGATATGGACCTCGCCTTCAATCTCAATGACGAGCCCCGTGTATCCGTTCCATACCAAGAACTCGGCCGGGTCCGGGAAGCTGCCTCCCTTGGATTGGCTAACCACAGAACCAAGAGCCCAAGCCTGAAGGAGTTCAGCAAAAACCGAACAGAAGGCTGGGCGGTGCTTCCCGACGAACCTCTTGATCTAGGCCGCTTCATCACGCTTTCCTTCCAGAACACCTGGGACTTCGGCTCCGCCCACTGTCCTCCCGACTCTCCAGCCCGCACAAACCGCCACCTCGACCCAAACACCTTCTGCGCCTCATGCGCGGCCCCGCACTCGTCGGGCATCTTCCTATCAAACTGGACCTACGCCACCACCGACATATGCCACCAACCGGACCTCGCCCACCTCCACGGCTTCTACCTCAGCCCCTCGGCCTTCGACCCAACCCAACACCTCATGCCCATCTTCAGCCAAAGCAAAGCCCCAGGCTTCAACGACATCCGCTACCCCTCCCCCTGGAACTACCTCGGCAAAGCCCGCTACGACCCAACCTCCGACTTCCCCGACCCGCCCTTCGCCGCAAAGGACCCCACCCTCTTCTGGCGCGGCGCCACCACCGAAGGCTACTCCTCGCACTTCACCAACCCCTCGGGCGCCTGGCGCGGCATGGCCCGCCAGCGCGCCGTCGCCCTCCTCACCAACACCAGCACCCCGCAACCGCTGCTCCTCCACTCATCCTCTTCCTCCCAATCCTCCTCCCCGGCCCTCCACTACGCCCCCATCCCCCCCGCCACCCTCCACTCCCGCCTCTCCCCCTCCGCCCTCTTCACCTCCATCACCCGCTGCACCGACCCCGCCTGCGCCGCGCAGCAATCCTTCTTCGCCCCGTCCGGCACCGGCGGCTCCCACACCCCGGACTTCCAGGCCCACTGGCGCCACGCCTACCTGCTCGACCTCGACGGCGCCGGCTTCTCCGGCCGCTTCGTGCCGTTCCTGCGCAGCGCTTCGCTGCCGTTGAAGTCGCAGTCGCTGTTTCGCGAGTGGTGGGAGAGTCGGGTGCGCGCGTGGTGGCATTTCGTGCCGTTGGATTTGCGGGGGCAGGGGGTGTGGGCGTCGTGGGCGTATTTTGTGGGGTGGGAGGGGGAGCAGGGGGATGGAGAGGGGAGGTGGGAGGGAAGGAGGGAGGTGGCGGAGAGGTTGGCGGGGGAGGGGAGGAGGTGGGCGGGGGAGGTGTTGAGGGGGGTGGATATGGAGGTTTATTTGTTTAGGGTGTTGTTGGAGTGGGGGAGGTTGACGGATGATGCGAGGGAGGGTGGGAAGGGAGGGGGGGAGTGATGGGGTGATGGAGGGGAGTGGTGGATTGCGTTGGTTGGAGTTTTCTTTCTTGTTTCTTTCTTTTTTTTTTCTGTTGGGGGGCTGGTTCTTTTGGGGCATGTTGGGGGGGTTATTTTTTCGAGAGAGAGAGATATTATGGCATCTCCTGGTCGCAGCATCTGCTTGGGACGTTTCACCCACTAATAAGAGAGAGAGAGGCTGTGTCGATTCCCAAATACACTGTAAACCAGACATCATTCGGCATTGTCCAAGAATCAATTACCCGCGCCTCCAATCAGCATTCTCCAAGAAAGGCGGGTCCCATATCACTAAACCAGGGTCAGAGTCAGAGCCGTCCAGCACGTGTAATAGTAGATCAGCAAATGTGGGATCCTGAAGAACAGGACACGAGGCCGCCAGCTGGTCATGCAAGCTCGAAGACAGACGGGACTTATAGGGGATGGTATGTTCGTCTCCCTTTCCGTTTCTTCTCGTGGCTCAGCTTGCGGTTGATTGGCCGAAGCTGCGTCCGTTGATCGGGGTTGTACCAATCTTCCGGTGCTGGATGATTCCGTAACAAATGGCTGTATTTCCCTTTGGTACCGACTTAGGGCTACCTTTGTCCAGAACTGAGGTTGACACTAAGCAACATGTTTAATCGCACGCATGCATCTACGGGTAAGCGACTCACCCTGAAGCGAAGCTTGCATGTGCGATCGTTACTCCCTCTTCGTGTCTGCCTCATCATTTTGATGCAAAGCGAGAAACGACCGCTTCGCTCCAGTCGGGCGTTCCGTAAAAACTTCACCACGGCTCTCAGGCATGTTGATAAAGTTGACAAGCTCCATGAACACTACCTAATCAAGCTCGATTACTACCATAGACTTTTCCCGCCCCAAAAAAACGCCGCAAACAAGTAGATACACACACACATCAACCCGTAAACAACTTTCCTCCTCTCCTCATCGCCTGCTCCGCTCCTCCTCCCTCATCTCAAAACCCCCACTGCCTCAACCAATTCTCCATCAACGCCGCATCCACCTCCCCCAACTCGCCCAAACACCTACTGCTCTCAACCGTATGCGCCGTGCACATCGGCGGCAACGCCCCGCCCTCGACCCTCAACCCCTCATAAAAGTCCAACAGCTTAACCCCCGGCTTCCGCTCCACCTCCTCCTTCGTCAACGGCGTGCGCCTCAACGCCTCTATCCACTCATCAAACGACACCGCCTCCAACCTTACGCCCTGCGCCTCATAAAACGCCACCACGACCGGCACCAACGCCCGCCACGACACCACCCGCGGATTGACGACGTGAAACACATCGAGCGCCACTTCCCCGCGCGTCCGCAGCAACCTGTCCACGCTGCACTCGAACACGACGCGGCCCGCCGCGTCCATGGGCACCCAGTCGACGGCGTCCTGGTTGCCGAGGGCGGCGGGGAGGCGGCCGAGGTTGCGGCTGGTGTGCACGACGGACGGCAGCCACTCGTGGCGGTTCCAGACGCCCTTGGGCGTGCGCGGCCCCGCCAGCTGCCCGCAGCGGACGATGCTGACGGGGACGCCGGACTGGTGCGCGGCGGCGGCGAGGATGCGGCCCGAGACGTGCTTGCTTTCGCCGTAGCCTTGGGGGAGGGGGGCGAGGTCGTTGGGGATGAAGCGTTCGGGGACGGGGGTGGTGGGGTCGCCGCCGCTGATGGCGGGCCAGTTGGCGACGGAGGCGACGGAGGAGATGAAGGTGATGTGGGCGCGGTGGCGGGAGTGGAGGGAGAAGTCGGCGACGCGGCGGGTGCCGGCGATGTGGGTGGGTTCGTAGGACTCGAGGGCGTGGTTGAAGTCGACGGCCCAGGCGTTGTGGATGAAGAGGGTGGTTGTGGCGGCGAGGTCGTCGTAGACGTCTTGCGGTAGGCCGAAGCGGGGTTGGCTGAAGTCGGTGCGCAGGAAGGTGACTTTGCTGAAGTCGGGGGAGACGTCGCGGTCGGTGAAGGATTGGGCTTGGCGCGCCGCGGCGGAGTCGGAGCGGTTGAGGCAGTAGATTTTGGAGACGATGGGCTCGGAGATGAGGTTCTCGAGGATGTAGTTGCCGAGGGCGCCGGTTGAGCCGGTGAGGATCACGGTCTGCTTCTCGGGGAGATCGGGCAGAGGCGCGGCGGTCTTGGGGAGGTCCGCGGTGTACTTCGCGACCATTTCGGCCATGACCTGCTCGCGCGGCCTCGTGGGCTTGGCTTCGGCATCGCCCTCGGAGAGCTTGCTCTGGAGGGCGGCGGCAAGTTTGTTGACGGAGGGGTTGGCGTAGATGTCGCGGGGAAGGACCTTCGCGCCACGATCCGCAGCGTCATCTTTGATGGCGTGGCTGATGGAGCTGGCGAGCGCCATGACCTGCAGAGAATCGACGCCCAGATCGAGGATGTCATGATCGTCGGAATGCTCATCCTTGAACAGCGGTACGGTCAAGGCAATGGCATTGCGGACAAATGTGCGGGTCGTGGGCAGGTCAGCGTCCTTGGCCAACTTTCCCAACTGCTCGTCGAAGCCTTCGTTGGAGTACAAGGCATCAAGCTCCGGCGAGTAGAGGTCGACAGTGGCACGCCTCACAACGGAGCCCTTTGGAGCACGGACGAAAGGCTTCTCCTTCTTCGTAAAGGCAACCTTGTTCTTCCAGACTTGCGCGTGGGCAGGAGCACCCTTGTTGGCTTCGTCGACCGAAGACCACACGTCAGCGAGGAGGTCGCCGAGATCTTGTCCCTCCTGGACCTTGCTCCAATCGGGTTCGATGAGAACGGCCGGCTGGAAACGGCTCTGGCCTACAACGAGAGCGCCTCTGATCAAGGGATGATCTTCCACAGTCTTCTCGAAGCTGACCGGGTTGAACTTCTCGCCGTTGCTAAAGACGATCACGTCGTCACGGCGACCCTTGTATCTCCACAGAGCCTTCTTGGTCGGGTGCTGCTCCCACAAGTCCTTGGTTCTCCATTCGGTGATTTCGGGAAAGTTGGAGAAGACAGATACGTATCTAGTATCGACGATAGGCTTGATGACCTGTTCGTAGAGACCGTCACCGGCATCTTCCATGACGACGCCTGAGTAGGGGTGCCATTCGAAATACTCCCAGTCGGCCGGATCCTCGGGCTCCAAGGCAGCGATGAGCGAGGCTTCCGTAGAGCCGATGATGGAGTTGATAGAGGTCACCTGTCTTACACGATCACCTGCTTCTGGAGCCAGGGGAGCTCCGCCAAAGAAGATGTCGTGGAGAGTCGATAGAGCCTTGAGGCCTTTTTCGGTTTCGCTCATCTCTTCTAGAAGAGCAGGAGGGAACATTCCGACGGAGGCTTTCCTGAGGAGGAGGATCTCACTGAGCAGGTCGGCGCTGAGCGCAACACCGACGGGGAGAAGTACCAAGGGGCCAGTGTAGACGCTGCGGAAAAGGCAGACCATGCCCATGGTGTGATAGAAGGGAGCAGGGATAAACATGGGCTTGCCGTCTGCTGTCGGTCCCATCCAGCCTTCCGAACGGTTCTTGCGGCCGGCGGGAGCCTTCATATACTTTTGGTGGTCTAATTGCGCAACCCACATGTTGGTCATGTAGATTGGCTTGGGGAGACCGGTGCTGCCCGAGGTGTGAATGACTATGACATGCTCCTGGGCGTCCTCACGGCCGTGGCTCTCGAAGTGGCCATGCTGCTCGCCAAGAGCGACCATCTCGTCGAATGTGGGGACCTGGTGGCCATGGATATCTTCCGAGTGCTTCTCGAAAACACTCAGATGGGATTCGATGCCATCGGTGTAGAGGTAGCACGAGGAGTCTGTGCGTTGCAGGAGGTGGAGCTGAGCTTCGTCGGAGTTGCGCAGCGAAAGCAGGAGAGCCTATCGATCATAGTGTTAGTAAAGGCGACGGCAGCACGGAGACAGGCAATGTGGGCAAGCTTACCCTGCGGTTGGTTTTCATGAGGGCGGTCACGACTACGGCGTAGCGAGCATCGTTGACGCTAGAAACATATCTCAGCGAGATTCTTCACCTTCTGATCAGAAAAGGTCTTACCCCAACCATGCTACAGTCTCACGCTGATCCGGCACGGGGCCGATGGTCCTCTCGATCCACTTGCATGTTCCGTTGACGGCGTTTGCGAATTCACCGAAGGTGATGGTACGCCATTCTGCGTGGACGTCGGAGGTACGCGGGACAATGATCCATGGCCTCGAAGGGCAGCTGGCGGCAATGTCATCGACGCGGCGAGGAAGAGGAGTGTCGGCGAAGGGAGAGTGGCCGGCGTAGAAGCTGGAGGGGGAAGTGTCTTGGAGGGAGCCCATGGTGGAAAAAATGGCAGGAATCGTGGCTGTGGTATCACTGAAACTAGGGGTATACGTAGAAGACAAGAAAGCAAAAGTGCGATGGTGGAAGACTGGCAAAAAGCGGGTGGATTCTAGACGTTATATACAGCAGCTCGTGCGAGCTCGTCGATGTGTGCGGTGATTTGAAATGGAATGTGCGAAGGGCAGCGTCTTCCGTGACGTGCCTGGTGCATGGAGCAGCTACCCAGGACACGGGCGACGTTCGGTGGTGAGGTAATTTCTGGCAGACCCATCGCCACCCGTTTCTCGAATCGCCGACCACGGAGAGCTTGGAAGGACCTCGGGCTGGACAGCAGGGCAGAGAAGCGCGAGCCGGTAAGGGTCAGGGTGCCAGGGAGCTCGATGGATGAAGGTCGGGATCAGATGCGGCTCGGAGTCGGAGGCCATGGCGCAACGGCGGCAGCGTCGACGCGTGGGAAGGTCAGGATCTCGCTGGCAACAGATGTCTCAGGGAGCGTTCGTGGTTGACCATGGGCGCGCCTGCGGTCCGTGATTGGGCGGCGGCGGGACAGTGCCACCGCTATCTCCAGGAGAAGCTGCGGTGGTTGAGGGCTAGCGCAGCGTCGGGGGTCAATTCTCCACCTCGGCCGAGAGAGACACGGAGAGGTGATCGCACGGTGAGGTGCTCGAGACGTCAGTAGTGCCGCCGCCCGAAGCTAGCACCTGGCGGGCGGCCACAACCCAGAATTGCAGTGCGCTGCGGACCTGCCAAGCAGCACAAGCAATAGTGCGTGGAGGCTTGAATCAGCCTCAGCGGATCGATCCTTCGTGCCGGCAGCCATGGTGCAAAGAGGCGCATGGGCCGTCCCGTTGTCGAGCTCGCATCTCGCGAGGCTCGAGATCAAGCCAAGCTTCTTCGCCGCGACCCACCGGGAGGGGCGTCGCACCCGCGGACGAGGCAAAAGTTGGCCTCGATGATGTCGCGGCGGGCGGAAGTCGGAAAAGGCTCGCGCGACGCTGGCATATACCTTGGGGTGCTGCTGCTGCTGCTGGGAACTCTCGAGAGCCGAGGATGTCTGCCCGTCGGCATGTAGAAAAGGCAGTTGGCGCCATCGTCCACGCACCCGCGACTTCGCCAGTCACCCTCGGTCACCCTCCAAGACCCCTCTCCGCCGCCGTGTCGCAGCCCTCGACTCTCCTCACCGGCCACCGCAGGACGACGACCCGAAAAGTGGAGCCGCACAGATGTCGGCAGCGAAGTCGAGCGTGCGTGGTGCGATTACTTATCGAGCGGACGTGAGAACGACGTGATGGCCGAAAGCGTCGCCGTGGTGGAGGGCCTGAGTTTGAGTTTTGAGCGACGCGGGGTTCCATGGGTGATGGCTTGGTCGATCCCGCCACCGCCGCTGCTCGAAACATGGCCGTCTTGTTCCGCGCCTCGCTCGCTGCTGTGCCGCCTCCGCCTCCGCCTCCGCCCGCCAACTATCGCCCCCATCTGAGCGTTTCCGGCCTCGCCTTATCTCCGCCGTCGCACAATTCGCTATCTCTCCAGCTCCCGCCCACCCGCCCTTCAGCTGCGCCGCCCCAGCCTCGCGCTCTTGTCCCTGCTGTTCCCCGCCGGCCATGGCTGTCGCCCGTCCCACCGCTCACACCTTTGGCCTCTCGACCGCACCGCCGTCGCAACCTCCGCCATGGCCGCACCGCCGTCCTCGCCCCCGCCGCCTGAGAAAACGTCCGATCTCGATGTTCTGGACCGAAAACCCTCGTTCCGGGCTGCTGTCACTGCCTCGGAAAGTGTCGACCAGCTCCATCGCCGTCTTTCCAACCGCCAGATTCAATGGATAGCCATCGGTGGCTCCATTGGCACCGCGTTGTTCGTCAGCATCGGATATGGCTTGATTGAGGGCGGTCCGGGCAGCCTGTTCATCGCCTTCACCCTGTACAGCTGCATGCTGGGTCTGGTCAACAGCTGCTTGGCCGAAATGGCCATCTTCTTCCCCGTCACCGGCTCGTGGATGCGCATGGCTTCGAAATGGGTCGACGACGCTCTCGGCTTCACCGCCGGCTGGAATTTCTACCTGTACGAGGCCATCTTGATCCCGTTCGAAATCTCGGCCCTCAACCTGGTTCTGGCCTACTGGAGCGACAACATTCCTCTCGCCGCCGTCATCGTCGCCTGCATCGTCCTCTATGCGTATGTCAGAACTAACCCGGATGCGGCCCCCCGTCTTGGCTGATTTCGACTAGCATCATCAACCTGTTTGCCGTGCGCTGGTACGGTGAGGCTGAGTTCTGGCTGTCGTCAGGCAAGCTGCTGCTCATCTTTATGATGTTCGCCTTCACCTTTATTACCATGGTTGGCGGCAATCCTCAACGCGATGCCTACGGTTTTAGGTACTGGCGAACGCCGGGATCCTTCGCCGAATACGTCACCACGGGCTCTCTAGGCCGCTTCGAAGGCTTTCTCGGCGCTTTCTACCAGGCTGCTTTCACCATAGTCGGGCCCGAGTATGCGCGCCTGTCCAAGACACGACTCCGTTGATTCTAACGCGCGCTAGATACATCGGCATGGTCTCTGGCGAAGCCGTGTATCCCCGCAAGACGATCAAGCAAGCGTTCAAGACGGTGTACTGGCGCTTCGGCTGTTTCTTCATTCTTGGCGCCCTCTGTGTCGGCATTGTCCTGCCCTACAACGATCCCAAGATCAACGGGCTCCTGGGAGAGGGCGCGACTGGCGACGCCGGTGCCAGCCCTTATGTCATTGCAATGCAGAACATGGGCATCACCATACTGCCGGATATCACGAACGCGCTTCTTGTGACGAGCATCTTCTCCGCAGGCAATTCTTACGTGTAAGTCGACATGCATCGTTCCATATGGCCTACTCATTTTTCAAGGTACGCGGCAACGAGATCGCTGTATGCGCTGGCTCTGGATGGCCACGCGCCAAAGTTCCTCAGGAAGGTGAACCGACAAGGCATTCCCATCTGGGCTTTCGCCGTCACCATGGTCTTCCCGTTCTTGTCGTTCCTGTCTCTTGGCTCAAGTGCCTCCGAAGGCCTAAAGTGGCTGGCTAACCTGACCCAAGCCGCCCAAATGATGAACTACATCATCATGTGCACTGTCTATCTCTTCTTTTACCGCGCCCTCAAGGCTCAAGGTTACAACCGCAACAGCCTACCCTACAAAGGCTGGTTCCAACCGTATACTGCATATCTCGGACTGATCTTCATGATTTTTACCGTCACCACCTACGGATACACCGTCTTCCTGCCGGGCTGGTGGAACACTGGAACGTTTTTTACATACTACGCCATGGTCTTTGTGTGCATTATTTTGTATCTTGGATACAAGGTGATCAAGAAGTCCAAGGTTATCCAGCCGCATGAGGCAGACCTGGTCTGGGAGAGGCCGATGATTGATGCCTATGAGGCGGCAATCACCCCTCCGCTGGGGATATGGGAAGACCTTGGTAGGGTGATGGGATTGAGGAAGAGGAAGGCTCGAAGCTCAGAGGATTGATGGGAGCAATCCCAAAGATACCACTCGTTCGATTTTGATACTACGAGTCTACTGGCGTCAAGTGGCGTCAAAAGGCAACAAGAGAAGCTAGACAGCATGTAGAAGATGCAAGGAGCAAGAAACACGCTTATTTCGTCGTGTCCATTGATCACCAACTCTCTTTCAAGTATGTGCACGGCAGGATGCAGAAGCTTCGCACCCTCTTAACTCCACCGGGGCGGCTACATTACTACGCGCACAGCTAAATTCATAGGTCTGAGTAGGCTCGTTTCCTTTGCAACCTGCTACGTGGGCCCGGCACAAAATTGCTGGCCAGTTCAGTGCTGGCGTTTCGGAAAGCGGCGCGTTGCGTGACCCCGCCTGGCTTATCGCAAGTCGCCGGCAGTGGGCGGCGGCGTCTGCGGGGCAGCTTCGATCTCTCGCGACCGCGGATCCCGCTACATCATCAGCACTCTAATTCGTCCTACATCCTGCTTGCTCCCCCCCTCACCCCCGCCCTCTTCACTGCGGCATTCTGTCCACGACCTGCGTGCAGCATGGCGGTCACCGAGCAACGCGGCCTGTCGCCTGAGCAGCTCCAGTTCTGGGAAGAAAATGGCTACCTCTTGATCCCGGACGCGCTACCGCAAGAGACGGTCACAGAGCTCCTTGCCGAGTCGCATAAGATGCTGGCAGAGTTCCCCATCGAATCACATCCTATGACGAAATTCTCGACTGGTCAGGGCGAGAATCAGCACGTCGGTGACGATTACTTTCTCGAAAGCGGCGACAAGATTCGTTTCTTCTTCGAAGAAGGTAACCCTACACATATGCCCTTCCCTCCCTTCAACAGGCCCCTGGCAGCTAACGTCCCCCCTCTACCCCCTCCTCAGACGCCTTCAACGCCTCGGGCGAGCTCACCAAACCGAAAGACCGCGCCATCAACAAGATCGGGCACTACCTCCACCAGCTCTCGCCTCCCTTCCGCTCCGTCTCGCTGTCGGCGCGCAACGCGGCAATCGCGCGATCGCTCGGCTTCCGCGACCCACGCGTGTTGCAGAGCATGGTCATCTGCAAGCAGCCCGAGATCGGCGGCGCGGTGCCGCCGCACCAGGACTCGCCCTTCCTCTACACGGACCCGCCGTCGGCCGTCGGCTTCTGGTACGCGTTGGAGGACTGCACCGCGAGCAACGGCTGCCTCAGCTTCGCGCCCGGCTCGCACCGCACGACTCCGGTGCGGCAGCGCTTCGTGCGCCTGCACGAGGCCGGCACGGGCGGCTCCGGCACGGGGTTCGTGCAGAATGCGGGCGAGGCGTTTCCGCCCACGATACGCGAGATGAGGGAGAAGGAGGGCGTCGGGGCGGGTGGGGACACGGGGATTGAGAGTGAGGTGGAGTACAGGATGGGCGAGGTCAAGGCGGGGACGCTGGTGCTGATACACGGGAACGTGCTGCACAAGAGCGAGAAGAACCTGAGCGAGAAGAGCAGGTTCATCTACACATTTCACTGCATCGAGGGCGAGCATGAGTATGACCGGCTCAATTGGCTTCAGCCGCCGGAGGAGGGCTTTTCCAAACTACCGGTAAGCGCATGAGCGTGGCATAGCCGACCTGGAAAGAATCTGGGAGGGACAGGCGCTCGGGCGAGCGGTGAAAATGCAGCACTGAAAAAACCTTACCCTCTCATGAATGTTTAGAACCTTTTCTACGACGCCGACCTCGCTCGCTCAAGATCGGCCATCCGGACATATACCAACAACCCCGTATCTCCGAAGCCGAGTCTGGTTCTCTACCTGTGAAATTTTCAGTTTTCTTTACTGATGGAATAGCGACTGCAAGATGATCGCCATGTTGATGGACGTATCCGTTTACCCTTCCGAACAGCTTGACGCACTACTTTAGCCGGCATCGACACGCAGTGCTCGGCATCATCCGGCGTGCTTCCAGCAAAGTTCGCTGTGGGAGACTTGCCAAAGGGCTAGCCACAAGAGGAAATTCTCGGCCTTACAGTGGGACAACCTGTACAGGCAGTAGTACCGCAGCGGAAGAAAGTGTGCCCAACTGCAACCGAGCTGGAAGTACAGGCTGCTGAATGCCTGGCCTAAAGGAGAACGGACACTTGAGGCTTCATGGTAGCCGTCTCCGGCCACCGACTTCGCGGCTCAAACGACCGTACGCCTTTTCTTCTGGTGGCGTCCATCCATGCGTCGAGCCTCCCGAGCCCTTTACACGGAACCGTGCTCCAGAACAGCTCGGGTCCGGCTCGTTCCTTCACGGATTCGGACGCACTCGGGTTCAGAACGAGGTGCGCCCTTGATCGATGTGCAGCTCGGCTATCGTCAAGCCACCCAATCCCCTTCGCCTCAAGCAGACGCAGCGTGGCGACTGCCGCAGCCCTCCTGCCCGAGCGTCTCTGCAGGAAGCAAAGGTTCGTTTCATGCAGACGACACTGGCAGGCAGCGTGGCCAACGGGAAGCCCCGCTGAGCGGTTTTACGTACCTCTGGGCTGCTCTCAAAAGCGGGGCGGCAGGATAAGATTAGATTCTCATGGATCAGCTGGGGCCGTGACGCGTCGGCGTGCTCTTGACTCGCGACTTGTTGCGGGCGCGACGACGGGCTGGCAACGTGATTGGCAACACTCACACGGCCCGACATCGCACCTGGGCCGGACTCGCCGAGCACCCAAAAATCTAATCAGATCAGATGCCATTGCTTCCTCATGGGGCAGTTCCAGCGCGTTGGACCCGGCCCTGCGGTAACGACCATGTTCGAATCAGCTGCGGGCGCTCAGCCAAGCAATTTGTCGTGCATAGCTCCGACGCGTGCATTTGCGGCCAGCATGCGGCGTGGGCTCTTTGCCTGCCTGTTTCCTGCGCCGCCTCCGCAGCCCGGCTCCACAAATGCTGCTGCTGCTTGTGGGCGCGCCCGGACTCAGCGATTCACAGCCTCCGCATGGCCCTGCCCATACATATAGATCTGCTGCCGCCTTCCCGTCGCCTTTGCTTGGCGTCAGTAACTATCCAGTCACCCTGAAATCCTAGCCCTTGGTATCCCATCCGACTTGAGCCACCGCCGCCATGGCGGACGACATCCACCCCACCACATCGTCTTCGCGAAACCACAATCTTCACAAGTCGCAGTTTGAGCTCCGCTCGCAGCCCAGCTCGGCCTTTGACGACAATGGCAAAGCGGGGTCGTCCATACTCTGGGCCGACAACGATGGAGACGAGCGCGAGCACGTCCAAACCGGCATCAAAGAGGTGGAAGCCATTACACAGACCTGGACGGTAAACGCGTTGGTGATATCTTACCTCATGTACGAGCACCCGGGGTATCCCTACAAAGAAGCGTGCTGACGGCTGATGGGAAAAAGGATTCTCATGGTTTTCTTCGTGGATTCCCTAGAGCAGCAGATCTCGAACAGCCTGCTACCTTACGTCTACAGCGACTTCAAGGCACACTCGCTCGTCACGACCGCCTCCATCATGTCGTCCATCATCGGTGCCGTCGTCAAACTGCCCATTGCAAAGATGATCGACATCTGGGGCCGGCCACAGGGCTACGTTGTTATGATTGTAACGGCGACGATTGGTATGGACTTCCTGAGCCCCCACCCCGTCGACACCCACCGAGGCGTCTCTTGTAGGACTGACGGTATCGTGCAGGCCTCGTCCTACTTGCTGTCTGCAAGAATGTCGAAACATACGCCGCAGCGCAGGTCTTCTACTGGGTCGGCTTCAACGGCATCGGCTACGTGCTTGATGTCTTCATCGCCGACACGTCCGCCCTGCGCAATCGCGGTCTCATCTTCGCTTTCACGACCACGCCTTACATTGTCACCACCTTCGCAGGCCCTGCAGCGGCGCAGACTTTCCTCAACCGAGGCCCCGAAGGCTGGCGCTGGGGCTACGGCGTCTTCACCATCGTCATTCCAGTCGTCACGACGCCCGTCGCCCTGATATTCTTGATCAACAGGAAAAAGGCGGTAAAGGAAGGAAAGATCGAGCCGCAAAGCTGGTGGGAGGACGACAAGCGAAGCTTTCTGCAGAGCGTGCAACATTATTTCGTCGAGTTTGACGGTACGTTTGATGTTCTTTCCCCTGTAGCATCCCTCCCACCGGTACCATTTGATATAAACGGCATATCGATATTGACGCGTTGTCCTACAGTCATCGGCATGCTTCTCATTTGCGCGGGGTTTGCGTTGCTGATCCTGCCGCTCACGCTGGCAGCATACCAAATGAACCAGTGGCGCTCCGCGTCGATCATCTGCATGCTGATCTTCGGGGGGCTGTCTCTAGTCGGCTTTTACGTCTGGGAGAAGTGGTGGGCGCCGGTGCGGTTCCTGCCCTTCCACCTGCTGACGGACCGAACCATACTGGGCGCGTGCTGCTGCTCGTCGGTCGTGTTCGTTGCGTACTAGTGAGTTTTTTTCGTGCTGCTCTTTTCGGCGATGAAACAGACGACTGACTCGAGAGAACCTATAGCTGCTGGGACTACTACTTCACCTCCTACCTCCAAGTCGTGCACAAGCTCGACGTCTCCAAGGCCGGCTATGTCGGCAACATCTACAACGTCGGTTCCTGCTTCTGGGCCGTCATCGTCGGACTGTGAGTTTCCTCTCCCCCCCACTCCCCCCCCACCCTTCCCCCCCACTCCTCCTCCTTTCCCCCATCTAACCCAAGCCACCCCAAACGCAGCGCCATCCGCCAAACCAACCGCTTCAAATGGTGCGCCATGATCGCCATCCCCTGGATGATACTCGGCACGGGCCTCATGTGCCACTTCCGGTCCGACGGCTGGCCCGTCGGCTACGTCGTCATGTGCCAGATCTTCATCGCCTTCTCGGGCGGCACCGCCGTCATCTGCGAGGAAATCGCCGTCATGTCCGCCGTCGCCCACGCCGCCAACGCCGAGACTTCCGGCTCCGGCGTCGCCGTCGTGCTCGCCCTGCTCTCGCTCTTCTACGGCATCGGCTCCGCCGTCGGGCTCGGCGTCAGCGGCGCGATTTGGACGAATGTTTTTCCGGAGAAGTTGAGGGAGTTCTTGCCGGAGGGGAGCAAGGGGGACGTGGAGAGGTTGTATGGGAGTTTGGTGGAGCAGTTGGCGGAGCCGGTCGGGAGCGAGGTCCGGGTTGCGGTCGAGAAGGCGTATTGTGTCGCCCAGGAGCGCATGTGCATCGCGGCGACGTGTATTTTGGTGTTGGCGATCCCGTGCGTGCTGGTGTGGAAGAATTATAATTTGAAGGATGTGAGGCAGGCGAAGGGGACGGTGGCTTGAGGGGAGAGCCGGGGCTTGTGTGTGTAGGTAGGCTTGTGGAGGTGGCGGCATCTTCCTCCCCCTGCTTGAATCCTCTACGGACTGTCTGCTAGGGAGATGGAGTGGGTGATGGGAGTGGGGAGGGTCTCCTCTCTACAAGCTAGTTCTCTCTCGGATGTAATGACCGCAACGAATTTCTTAGTAGATATACCCATGTCTTTTGTTTTCGAGCCTTTGCAAGTGGCAGTAGGTCGAAGAAAATTGCTATGTACATAATGTGTTTGACGGTGTAATGGGTTTGACGGTCTAATGGGTTGTCTAGTTATGAGGCTACCCTGAGTCGTCTCTTGTTGATGACCGAAGAATTCCACGAGTGCCGTCTCATAATCTCGTTGGCTAACCCATTACTCCGTCGAACACGTTACATACCGTCATAGTACGGAGTAGATGATGCCCGAAAGACGACGCAGTCGATTTCACGCACGCTGGATGCGCGTGGTTGAAGAAAATACACGGACAGACATGTGGGGACAAACCACCAGACATGGACATGGAGACGTAGTAGGCTTCAACTACAACCCCTACGGACGTAGGGCTAACGGAAGAACAGGATCAAGTTCCTCTGCTCCCTCCCCATGTACATATGCAACCACACCGTTGCACGTGCTCGTTCTAGCCTCTCAACCATTGTCATTGGCGGGATCACATGAAACCGTTTTTCCCTCTCTCTCCCCCCCGTCAGCCAGCCACGAGTTGCGCAAGCGCATGATATAATATATATGCTTGTTCGATCAAACCGAACCGTCGGGATTGCGGCTTTTCACATGGCCGGTAGCATGGAACCCTACCCCGGGCGGATGAAGTCGATGAGCGACAACGGGGCGGGTTTTCTTTCTTTTTTCGCGCCCTACCCTCCGGTACGCATGAATGCACGCAAGGAGGGAGGGGGATTTTTTTTTTCCCCGGCAGAAAGGATGAGACAGACATCTGCATGCGCTTTGGCCGTTTTTTTTTTTTTGGCTTCGGGGCTCTCCACTCCACCCACGCGAGGAGGAGGGGGAGGTACAAAGTGGCTCCTCATGCTAGGTACCCTCCCGCGGCGCGAAGCTGGGCGTAGCACCTAATCGCCTCGGCACACGAGAGCTTGGGCTGGGCGGCGTCGTCTGTGTCGAGATACACAACCCACCTATCTACGTACCTACCGCTTCCGGCAGTTCGACTCACCGGTACCTCTCCTCTGACACACGTTCCTACGTGCAGCGTATACAAACACGAGAGTACTTGCCTCCTCGGCTGCGAACTGGTCCCGGAGGTCGGTCGGTGATAGCAGGGATCTCGTCGGGGCACCACCGCCGCGATTGGCAGCATGCTCCGTACCTTGCATGCGGCATTGGCGGGTTTCTGCGTGTTCTCGATCGTGGCGCGAAGGATTTTTTTTTTAATCACCGCTGGTGCAGAGGGCGCGAGCACATACATATGTAGGTAAGCGCATGTACATATGCACCTCACCCTACCCCGGCTCGAGGTGATGATGATTCTCGATGGGGAGCGGTTGCGGTTGCGAGTGCGTGTGGAAGGACGGCGGGCGGGCGGACGGCCGCGGGACGTACCGGTGAAGCGATGGCGGCGCGGCGCGGGGCTGCCGTGGGCTGGGCTGGGCCGGCGTGAGCGTTGACCGGTTTCGACGGTGTTCTCCGGTCATTGGCGGGGGGGACGGCGGGCGGCTGGGATTTGGGGGCGGGGATGTGATGGGTGAGTGGACCGGTGGTTGATGCAGGAGAGTGAGTATGCGAGAGTGAGGCGAAGGGCTTGGTTTTTTTTGGTGGTTTCTGATTGTTGGATCATTGTTTGGAGGGGAGGAGGGTGGGCGTCTGGATTCTTCTGGGGTCGGCTGTTGTGCCGCCCTGTTGGTGTTTTCGCTCTCTCTGTTTTTTTTGTTTTTTTTCTTGCCCTCTGGTGCTCGGATAGGCTGTTGCTTCTTGCTTTTGAAATGCGGATGCTGTGCCTCCGCGAGGAAGCATTGGATGGTCAATGCGGCGCAGCTTGGCCTGTGCGCGTTCGGCTGGAGGCGGCAGGACGGCAAGCGTGAAGGGAGTTCGAGAAGTTCTTTCATAAGCTTTGTGCGTGATGCTGAGTTGAGAGAAGGCGGCATGTCCCTGGGCAGTGGGAGAAAGTCGCGCGGCTGGGGCGGTGCTGGCACACTAGGGCGGCGTTGAGGCGGTGCTGAGGCGGTGCTCGGTGTGGTGTGGCGTTAAGTTGTTGCCGTGCACCCGTGCAACGCTGACATTACATAAGCGAGCGCGTGCCGTTTCCCACTTCGCCCGCGTGGACGCGCGCTCTCCCCTTCGACTCATCCACCTCGTCCATCGCGCGCAACCCCCATCCTCATCAACTCGTCCTCGTCGCATCGGCGACATCTGTAACCCGTCTCCCTGTCGCCATTCCTGGCTCCCTTGCACCTCGCATTCGTCGTCTCCGTCGCTGGCGACTGCCCTCGTCGGTCGCGCTGCCCCCGTCGGTCGCGCTGCCCCCAGCCACCGCGTTTCCATCGTCGCATCTTCACCAACACCCCACCGCTATCCGCCATCCGCCATCCCGTCTGTCACCCATCTCCCTTCTTGTTTCATGTGTTTTTCTATCAGCCTCGAGATGGATGGACAAGCGGTTCTGCGGATTGCGATGTCGGACGGGTTGGGATGAAACGGGCGTCTCGGCCCTCTCGCCTTCAACTCATCCCCGACATGTGTGCAATACCGTGGTTCCGCCATCGCCGCCGAACAACAACCGGTAGAGTCTGCCTCCACGTGTCTGTCCTCAAACTACTCCGAGCCTCTTTGCAGCGGTCCGGTTCTCCATCGCGAGGACCACCCTCATACGCTTTGCGGCGGTCGGTCGCGGACAGACAATGGTGTCTGCTCTTAGAAACGCTACAGCGGTCCGGTTTGCTCGCCAATGCGCTGAATCGCCCTTGGACGATCTGCAGCGGTCTCGTTCTTGACGCCGAGTTGCGATCTGCCCCCAGATGGTTCTTGTAGCAGGTTTGTTCTCCAATGTGAGGACTCCTCTCGAGGCTTCTGCGGCGGCTGGATCCAACGGGTGTGGAGAAGTGCCCTCAGATGGTCTACAGCGGCCAGGCTCTCGTGTTGGTCTTGTGAACTACCCTTAGCCGTTCTACCGGTTTATCGAAGGCGTAGATGCCTTCTTTTTGCAGCTGGGTGTCATTTTCCATTATATAGCGTACTAGGTCGACACTGCTTCTGTAGAAGAACGGAGTTGCGAATCTCCGTCGCTTCTACCCAGGCAGTTTGTCTTAGTCTTGTAATAGAGTGGTTCCAAAACAATCACATGCTGACTTCTACAACGTGCCATGTGTAGTATTCTGCGCGTTTTGATGCTCCACATCTAAGCGCGAGCCATTATAGCCATGGAGAGTGTGAGCTTTGACCTCGTCGACTACGTCAACGAGCAAGTGCTGGCCGAGTGGGTGGACTCTGACAGCTGCGAGACTCGCACTCTCGGTTCGCTCTCTGCTATCAACAGGCAAGATGCTGGCTTGGCGTTCAGAGTCGGCCTTGATGCTTCCTTGGAACAGGCATTCATGCGCTTCTCGATGGACGTGTCAGTGAGGGTGTCTGGGAGGCCCCGTAGAAGGCAGCTGCTGCTGGTTCTTCCGCTCCATGTGCTCTCGTACAAAACCCCCGCTCTCGAGTACGATGTTCTCAGGATTTCAGACATCGGCGAGTCTGCCCCCGCCGTGCACGATGCCGGCTTCTCCGACTCGGGATTCGTCCTTCGTGCTCGGTTCGACCTCCAGGAGCCGGGCTACGTGCTGATGCCGAAATCGAATGCCAAAGCGCTGCGTCCAAGCACTTCGACTGCCGCCAGCCACCTAGCCAGCATCAAATCCCTTTCTCAGGCTCTCAGCTTTACCCTCTACATCAAGCCAAGCGACTACGCGCAGCAAGGCATAAGGATGATATACGAACAGCTTCGCAACGACACGCTCAAACAGTATCCCTTGCACTGGGATGCCATGTACGGCGACCACGGTGCCCAGCCGGTCGAATGGCAGCAGTGCGAGCTCGGCGGGAAGGGCAAGGCGGCGGAGCTTGCAGATGATGGCGAGGACGTGGAGCCACCGCCTCCGTACGTGTCGGAACGGCGCGACTTGGCCCCACGGACGCCCAGTCCGCCTTCGTTCGAATTCCCGCCGTCGCCGGCGTGTATTCCGCCATTCTTGCTGTCTCCAACGCAATGCAGCTCGCAGATGGCGTCGCCCGAGGTGCTCGTCGAACGTAGCGTCAGCTACTACTCCTCCCCGCGGGAGGCCCTGTCCGCCACCGAGGACATGTCCACCCATGTAGGCTCCGACGTCTACACCATCCCCGCCACGCCAGACTGCCTGCCCGAGATCCGGATCCTGCTCGAGGCCCAGGCAGCTGCGCGAGAGCGCGAGAAGGAGCAGATAGAGCATGCCCGCCATACGTCAAGCCCGCCAGAGACTTGCCGCAAGCGCCGCGCCTCCACCTCTCCTGCCGCCTCGCCAGGCACCAGCGGGAAAGAAACGAAGCGAATGCACACCGCAGCCGAAGACGAAGACCCGCAGTGCGGCATGGACTTCCTCGCCTCCGCCGCCTCGGCCCTCCTCTCACTGCACCACGCCCCCACCCCGCCGTCGTTCCCCGCGTCTCCCTCCCTCTCCTTCAACATCACCCCCGCCCCCGCCGCCGCCCCCTACGCCGCCCTCCAATCCAAACTCTTCCTCCGCCAGCCCGACCCCCCCATCACCGCCATCCCTCCTCCTCCTTCTCCTCCTCCCCCTCCTCCCGCAGCCCTCGCACCACCACTCCCACCATCCCCCTCCCCACCCCACACAACCCCCAACCCCAACCCCAACCCCACCACCATGGCCACAACCACCTCCTCATCCCTCCCAGCCTTCCTCGCCCCCGCCCTCGCCCTCAACCCCCGCCTCTACACCCACCCCCGCCTCTCCCCGCTCCTCCTCTCCTGCGGCGCCGCCTTCCGTGCCGGCGACTGCCCCCGCTTCGCCCGCCTGCGCGCCCGCCTCGCCGCCGAGTTTTTTTGGGACCCGCTGGGGACGGTGGCGGATGCAGGTCGGACGAGGTCCGAGGCGGTGGAGTGGTATGTTTGTGATATGGAGGGGTTGGTGGGGTGGGTGGGGGAGGTGGATGGTGTGTGGGGGGAACTGGTGGGGTTGGGGAGGGCGGCGAGGGGGGAGGTGCGTGCTGGGAGCTGGGGGGAAGGCGGGGATGGTGGCGGTGGGGGGGAGGCGTATCGGTGGGCGAAGGGGGTGGTTATTGCGGCGGCGGTTGGGGTGGGGGGTGGGTGTGGCTGAGGATTTTCTTTTTGTGCGGATATATACCCCCCTTTCTTGTGTTGGATGCGAAGGTGTTGTTGGTCATGCGTGTGGGTTTGCTGGGTGTGACTTGGCTTGTTGATGCTGTCTGTCCCTGCATCGGAAGCGGGGATCACCTGTATGTAGAGCAGGTGTGAAGCGTGGGTCAGGCTGAATGCGAGTGAAGACTCGTCTTGTCTAATAGATGGTATCGCATGGCTGGGACTGAGAGCGGCTGTCCCCTTGCTGGCTTGAAGCACTACGAGGCTCTCAAGATTTCCCACAATTCACTTTCTCTTTTCTATTTTGAATCTTCCAAGTCTCCGTCTTATCCATGTTCCGCCTTGCTGAGTTTACCGCTCGACTGGCCGTAACCAACCTTTCGTCCTGAAGCGATGGCACAGCCAGGCGCTCTGCAATTACTCGGTACTTGCAGGATCATCCGTGGAGCTGAGACGACGGGCGCTCCAACGCCAAACGTCGCCATCCAATGAATGTGAAGACATGGTGTTGTGACAGGAGGATCCAACAGGCGACGCGGCGTAAGCAGCCTAGTGCAACCATAATCTCTCAGCCACCAACAGAGGAAGGCTGGGCAGCACGTGCAGCGCGTCAATCGTATTATAAGCAGCCGCGTCTCCCCGCATTCTGACGCGTCGCTCTCAGGCACCACCACCATCCTCCTGCCAGCTCTCGCCATCTTTTCCCAACGGCTGTTTACATCACCAACATCGCCAATCACTCTCCCTTGCCACCCCAAAAGACACACGCACACGTGCGCCCATCTCCCTCCCTCCCGCCCGCCCGCCATCGTCCTACTCCCCGCAAAACAACACACCAACATCGACCAGCGTCTCGACCCAGGGTCCATCTCGCAAACACCACAAAAGAAAGAAAAAAACAAAACAGAAATGCCCCTCCCCACCACCCCCCTCCTCCACCCCCTCGCCACCCTCCTCGCCACCATCCCCATCCTCTTCGGCCTCAACGCCTTCCTCCGCCCCTCCCACGCCCTCTCCTTCTTCGCCCCCTTCGCCGACAGCTACGCCTCCCCTGCCGCCTCGCCGCAGCTGCTCGACGCGCTCATGGCCGTTTACGGCGCCCGCGACGTCTTCATGGGCGTCGCCGTGCTGGTGCCGCTGTGGAGCGGGAGCAGGAAGGTGGCGGGCGCGATGTTAGTCGCCGGGGGGTTGGTGGCGGGCGTGGATGGGTGGGTGTGTTGGAGGGCGGGCGGGGGGCAGTGGGATCATTGGGGGTATGCGCCGGTGTTGGGGGCGGTGGGGGGGTGGTTGGTCGTGGGGTGAGACTGAGGAGGGGGGCTGGGCTGGGCTGGGCTGGGCCGGTCGTGTGCGCGGTGCTTGGGATGACGTCGTTTTCTTTTTCTTTTTTTTCTTTTTTTGCGAGGGAGCGCGCGCGTTTGCGTGACAGTTGGCGGCAGCGGCCAGGGTTGTGCTTCGTAACTGGGTGGATGGTCGCTGTTTTGTGGGAGCCTGTTGTATGTATGTTTTGGTTGTTTACAGAATTCTTTGGCGGGAGCATGTCGTCGTTGGCTGGGTTGGATGGCTTGACGGGCGGCAGCGATGGTACACTGCGCACTATCAGGAAGTACACCATCAAACCGGAAATCAACAACTGGTGTCAACTAAGCAAACTCTACGAAAAGCGTCTTGCTTTCTTTCTCGTGTTCATCTGGCCTGATGCTGCGGTGGTGCTGCACCACATCGAAGACCGCACCCTCTGGGAAAACGGCAACATGCCCATGAAGATCAAGAACCAGTTCATGGACGACTGCACCTCGCTTCCAGTAGCCGTAAGCGGTCGTTCCGGACACAGAGATGCCAAACACTGACCCGGTATTACATTTGGCGCTGCATGGATGGCAGCCTCATCTTCCCTCTCTTCAGCCTCCAAGCCCAAGCAGAGACAAATAGAAGAATGTCGAAGAAACTAAATACGAGGGATCCGCCAAAGACGACTGAATGATATTTCCACGCGTCCTCTGGTGTGATTCCAGCCTTACTGACCACGATTGCCCATGGTAGCACCCAGAGGATGTTTGACACTAATGATTGATAGAGATACCAGAGCGGTCGGGTTGCCAACAGGGTTGTGGCCAGCTGTGTACTGAGAGCATAGAATATGTACGTCCAGTCTATCGTCTTTTTTTTTCTTGAGTTAATTGAGGGACGAAGATTTGGAAAATAGGTTCGACGTACCCTCCACATCTTTTCTGTGATGACTGACACCGTCTCTGTGCCAGACAGATAGTACGCAAAGCGGCGAGCTCCCCATCGAGAGAGAAAGATGCACAATGGTACCTCAAAGACCAGGGCTATCGCACAGGACAACAAAGCCGGACGCGTTATACCTAAAAGCTGTTAAGGTTGAGTTCGTTCGCCCATGGTTCAGGAGATGTTGACTGACGGAGTAGATGCTGCGGCGAGACACTCGGCCGTCGCGAGTACTCGCCGACGCTTGCTCTCCACGCACCCCATGCATGGCCAACAAAGGCCAAGGACGTAGCTTCCAGCGACTGGACGGGAACCATGACGAGACCCCATCGAATAGTCGTGAACACGCCCCAAGCCGTTGCGTAATCATTCCCCATGGCCACGATCCCGCTCACCAGCCACAAGTACAGCGCATTTCTCACCGCCGACTCGAGAAACGTCAAAGAGCCAGGCGGCAGCAAAATCGCCAGTGCTCTGAGCGAGAGCCTTGGTCGCTCTTCCGCCGCGCCCGCCGCCCGTACTACTGCTCCATCTCCCCTTCTCTTCCACGTGCGCAGGCTGCTTGCACAAAAGTACACCAGCCCTGCTCCCGCGGCGCTGAGATCGCATGTCAGCCGTATCGCAGCCTGCGTGTTGATCGTCGGTTTGTGTGTCCCGACGTGGAAGCGCGAGATGAGCAGCAGATCCAGCGCGATGTTGATCACGAACTTGATGCTGCTGATCAACAGTGGAACGTCAGGCCGGTCGAGAGCTCGCGTGCTGGCCGCCACGGCCACTTCGACGGCAGAAGCGAGCGCCGAGAACGCGCTGATCCGGACGTACTTGATGGAGGCGGTGCGCGTGCCGCGTGGCACAAAGGCGGAGGTGAAGGAGGGTGCCGTGGAAATGATGATGATGGACACTATCAGTCCTAAGCCCGTTTGAAACACGATCAACGTGTAGGAGAGCGTGAGGCGCTGGGAAAAGGTGCGTGATGTCAGGTTGCCGATGATCAGCCACGATGCACGCGGGAGTCCTTCGTTCAGCACTTCGGCGACAACGGAGATGTATGTGTAGGCGTCGGTGGTGGCAACAAGAGATGTTGAGATGTTGGCAACCCAGAGCTTAGAGAGAGTGGCGTATAACGCGGGAAGAGTAAAGGAGAGGAGATTGAACAGGAGTGCGCCTGAATAGCGCTGGCGGCTCAAGGGTTTGGGTGATGTTGAGTGCGTGGAGATGGGAAAGCGGGTGGTTTCACAACCGCTGCTACTAGCATGCCCGCGTTCCACTTGGATGGCGATGTCGGTTTCTGATGATGGCATCGTTGATGGCCGAGGCGAAACAATCGCACTTGGAGTCGAGAAGGAATCGCCGAGGCTCGAAGTGATGACACTAGCCGAGAACTGAATCTACCAGATATGCGCTCAACACAGAGATTGGCTATGTCGAGGCTTGGTTCGATTGTGCGGGTAGGCTCTGTGAGATGAGGATGAGGAGGACACTGATGAGGGGTCGGTTGCGTTTCGGCTCCCTTGGCAGACGCCACAAGAGTGTGCAACATAACTTGACATGACCCTCGTTTAGTCGTCAAATTAAATGCTGCATCTGGTTTGAGGACAGCGCCGTATAAACGCAGCCTTGTCGAGTCCCTCTGATTTTCGTCAGTGGAGAAGGCAATAGCGTGCAAGGCTGACTGCATACAGCACATGAGCCTTGTGTTTATTCATTTATTGGTGCGGCAGGCCCCATTTCGACTGGCAGCACTCCGCATTCCTCAAACTCTAGCACCCGCCTCGTAAATCAAACCTTGTAATTTTTTGGAAGAAACTGATGTGGTCCCCTCAAAACCACGTACCAGGACGTAGATTCATCTAGATGTTCACCACCCTACCTCAAGCCGTACTACACTTACATTGGGCCGCCGGAGAAGCTCCTACATGGGCATTCACCGATGCTACATCAGCGGAAGACAATCAGAGGATTATGAAAGAATGGATCTGCAGCTGTCCAATGCAGGGCTTGTAAATTCTAAAAACCTGGAAAGATATAGTAACACGTCAAGGGTGCAATAATGGCAGCGATCATCGTCGGCGGCTTCGCTGGGCTGTATGTTTTCGATTTGCTTGAAAGGGTGTTTACGATAAGACTGACCTTATCTTTATTATCGCCGTGGATCTCACGCCCCCATCCTTCCTCTTATTCTCCGTCCGCCCAATGATTGACTGATCCTCTTAACCATCCCTCCGGCCCATTGCTACGTCTGATGGTCACTGAAAATCTGCGACCGAGCGGCGTAACGAGTCCAGGAGGAAGTGCCCTTTGACTACTATGGACGCATCGTCGAGTCACGACATTATGTGTACAAACATCCTCGGTAGCACAAGCAAGAAAAATTTCAGGATTACCTGTTTGACAAAGAGGATGCTGGGAGCTGCTCCGGCTATCCACGGGGTGTCTGGGAAGAGGATGGCGCCGGGAATGAATGATGCGGGCGGCAAGGTAGCTCGACGCCACACCCCACGTTTGCCCCACCTCCCCGCACCTTACAATGTAGTCATGGCCAACAGCATACACCGAGCCATGTCATTTGCTAGCCGTACAGACTTTTGATCCCCCACTTGTATCCGCAACCCTGTAGCTGCCACCGTCTGCGCGGCTGTAGTAGCTTCGGCCACCTAATCACCCGGCTGCATCCTTCCTGCACCACAACGAGGCAACGAGACGCCGCATCTCACTGACAGCCAGATCCATCAAGACTCCCTGCTAATTTGGTTTCTAGAAAGCACTAGTTTTAATGGCACATTCGACAACTTTCCCATGCCGTCATGCAACGACTTCAAGCTCGAGGAGGCCACCATTAACAAACTCGACGATGCCTCGAACAGTGCCGTCTTGACCAGCGTGGAGCTTGCTATTTGCTATTTGCAAAGGATACAGCAGACCGATAACTACCTCTGCTGAGTCCCGAGTGGCCTCCTCAAACAAACAGCCTACTAAGCAGACCCAGGGGGCAACCATGCAGCGCAATTCCGGCCTTCTTCAAATTGCTGCCAGCCTCGACGCACGCCAAGCGAGCCGCACGCCGTGTCCGCGGCCCTCTCCACAACATCCCTAGTCAAAGACAACATTGGTCTATGGGGGGGGGGGGGGCGGGTGTGGGGGGTGAGTGCGGTGGAGGATGTGAGGGCGAAGGCGGGACGGGGAGGGCGAGGCCCAAGTGGAGGGCGTGCGAGGGCGAGAAATGTGACTATTAATGACACCTGAGTGGGTGAGTGGGGTGGGCGTGGTTCGTGGTGTTGATGGCGGGGGAAGTGGTCGCGCGCTCGGGGGTTGTGCACGAGAAATTGCGTTCGATATGGTAACCGAGATGTACTGCGGCCCTACTGATCTTTGGCCGTTGTATCATTGTTTCCAAACCCTCCGCGACCGGTTCAACACCTCCCAACACCCCTGAGCTTGACGCCATCGTGCAGTAGTGGGCGGACAAGGCCCGGCTGAACAAAGAAGATGTAGCATGTCTAGGACGGATAGGCCGTAAAATTGAATGAAGAAATCAAGTAAGAGGAACAGACAACATTGAAGCCGCCTACGCATATTGCTTGCTATCTCCATGTGTTGCGTGCCGTTGCTTGTATGCCAATTTACCAGTCTCCACAACCGTGTCATAACCCATCTGACACATCATGCGAAGAATCAGGTCAGTGAGATCGTAGTCTGAGCCTATTCGCCCCCTATTAGAAACTGCCACTATTTGGAGGCATACTGGTTAGTTTTATACCTTTTGGTCCCATGATCTCCATGTTCACAGGCAGGAGGTGGGCCTGCTCTGTGATCTTCGAGGTATATGGTGTTTGGCCGACTAAGGATACCGATGAGTATCAAAGACGGGAGTTTGGGCTTTACTTACTTGGAAAAGTCAATGCAGGAACCCCAGCCAGACTGGCCTGGTGATCCTCGCGTTGGGACCAGTCATAAGGCGGTAATTCGTCTGGCGGCCTATGACGGTAAGTATTTACTTGACAAACGCGTGGTCATCGAGCTTACGGTCGATAAACATCTCGATAGAACGGACTTAGATCACCGGATGGATAGATCATGACATGGCCTGGCAGTAAAACCTTGTTGTTCAGCCACTCTGCGTAGACTCGGATCCGGCGCTGCGCCTCTTCATGGTCTTCAGCCGAAACCATCTCGCCCCGTTTCCTGATTCGGCATTTCAGTATAATCTAAACGGCGGGGACAATAGCCATACCAGCAATGCTGGATCACTGGATTGACATAAGGCCGCGATCCGAATTTTCTCTCGTGCTCTTCGCGAAATTCCTTGGAAGCGTCCCAGTAGGTTTTCCAAAGGATGTTCATGAAAGCCTTAATCAGATTATAAGTGCAAATGAACCCATATTAGACGAAAGTTTAGATACTAACAGATTGTAGGTAGTCATTCATGGCCATGCCGTTGCGAGGGGGATCATCTTGTTCCCATCTTTCAGCAAGAGACAGCTCAATTCGATTCAACCCCAGGAATTTTTCGAAATCGGAAACGAACTTGTCTCGTAAGTCCAGGGTATCGGACGAAGGCCATTGACTCCAGTAGTCGATGGGGAAAAGCAGTGTCCTGAGTTCCTGTTTTGAGATCAGTGTAATCCAATCATAATTCAAACGTCAGCTATAGTTTCACCTTTCCTGTCTGAGATTTTGAACCCGAGAACCATTCTCTTGTGACTTTTCTGCAAAGCTTGGCGTCTCTGCAGATGAATCCCACAGTGTCCATAGATCTAAGACGGTATTAGTCAATACGACATAACGCGCACGGGTATCATCTTACTTGGCGGCTGGAAGCACACCTCTGAGGCTTGAAACCCCCACCGTCGGCCTTATTGCAAAGAGACCCATAACAGCGGCTGGGCCCCGAATACTGCCACCAGCTACATCGCTTTAGCGCTGGTGGAATATGAATAGATGAAGAACGTACTGTCAGTTCCAATCCCCACGTCCAGCCACGGATAGCCAGCGATCGCAGAACCACTACCTGCGCTACTTCCTCTCGGCGACAAGTACCCGTCCGCCCGCGGGTTCCAAGGACAGAGGAACTCAATCCAATCAGCAGTTGGCTGTTCGCTCGACGCGAATTGAGTACATTTAGTCTTGCCAACAGGCACCGCTCCCAACTCCATCAGCTTTGCCATACACTCTGCCGAAGTGTGGCAAGCCGGAAAGGTATTCAGCCACGCGCGACATTGAGCACTTGTCTTCACTCCTCGAAGGTCGATAACATCCTTGACCCCAACGCGTAGTCCAGCAAGAGGTCTACCAGAATCTTTTGGATAGTGGAGCCGTGATGGAACGGGAATCATGAGCTGCCCATCCCACATGTAGTGGACAGGAATGAACCTTGCATGTCATCAGCCATTGCTCTTCGGTCAGGACCTAACAGTGTTTTTACCTGTCACTGCCCGCTTCTTGCACCAGGGGAAGCTGAAAAGCTTCGAGTGCATCTGGGAAAAGCCTCCATGTCCGGTGAACCTGGAGTCCATGGATGAAGCAAGGTCCTTCGCTCAGGATACCGCTGGTGCTTCTACGATCGACCATGTATATCCGATCACAGCCCCGATTCTGCAGAACAGTACGAACTTCGGCATCTGGGAATTGGTAACCCTTGGCGGCCTTGTCAAGGAGAAAGATGGTGTGTTGAAGAAAGGCTTCCGAGAAGTCCTCATCTTCCAGAAGGCGGTCAATGTGGGACAGTAGTTCGCTACCTGACTTTCCGTGTTGGGAAGATATTACTGTTGCAGGGCAATAACGCCTTGGACCAGTCTCTTTGCAGGAATCCTGCTTTGTCGTTAGCGATTGATTGCACCAATGGACTTCGAATGCTGACAGCATCGTTCTCGTGCTTCGCAAATCCGCACTCCCTCAGGTCGCTATCCATCTTCAAGGGAGTTTGTTCGATCAGAAAATGCTTTTCTCCTAAGAAACAGCTGGTAAATTGGTGGTCCAGTTGAGGCCCTTTGTTGGAAGCCGCATCGCGAAAGTTCGAAACAACCCTTGGAAACCCAAACAAGGAGCTGATAAGGCTCGATAGTGCAGCCATATTGGCTGTTGGGGACAAATATATCACTATTAGTACGATTATGACGATAAAATGAGAGTATCGCTGTTCTGCTTCAGGTGAGAAATGATTTGTCTGCCGGGGACAGAAGCGAGTCCTATAAAACGAGATGACAGAAAAACTATAATTGACCGCACCAATAAAGAACTCTGCTGTTTGTAGTTAGTTCGAAGTGTGACGGATACCTGGAGAACGAGGCTAGGGTTGCACGATCGACAAGGCGGACAACGCTAGAATCTATACACGAGATCCAATACACGTGATGAGCGGGGTAAGTACAGCTGACGTGGCCCTATCAATATTGTATCTTGGTGGCTACCTGTTTCATTTTCGTGCCAAGAGAATGTGCATATGTGCATTAAGCCACCATGTGCCATGCTGATCCTTCGAAGAATAAGCGACCACATGGGTAAAACGAAAGTCCTGCAGGGATAGCCGAGGTTCTCCATTATTTCATATCGCTTGTGTTACAGCATCGAGACTTTGGGTAGCTCATATCAGGCGAAGGTCATCTCCAGATATCAACTTGCTCTGACGACGGTGCATTCCGAACAATTTGGTTCCATGATGGAGAGCCCTAATAGTGTTGGTTTTGACTTGATTACTGATGCAGATGACAACATCATCAGCTCAATCAATTACACAGCTCCACTTGAGCTGTACGACAGAGAGAAGCCGTACTATTGTAACATTCCCGCTCCGAACGGTCGGCAGTCGAACCAGGTGGTTCAGAGCTATCCAAATACCACATTTCACAACATCCGAGATCGACAAAGTCACTTCACGCTGGACCACCACGGTTTCCAAGTCGTTCGCTACGGTGGCATCAGCTTCTGCGAAAATTTCACCTCGGATGCATGGATCGAATGCAAATACTATCCAGTCGTGGAAGACATGTTGCGGAGCGTGCTCGGCTGCCAGATGGTGAAAATATTTGATCACACCGTAAGGTTTTACCCATCACTACTTCCATTCCTGGATCACATGCTGAGGATGCACAAGGTGAGGAAGCGTCAGCGACTACAGATGGGTCCGAAAAATGACAGCTCCATCCGCACTCCCAGGCAACCAAGCCTCTCAGCTCATGCAGGTATGCGCTATCTGGAATGGAATGATAGGCCGCCTCGGGTTCTGACCGTCAAGAGACCAAACATTTCTCAGTGGCGCGAATCGAGTGAAGCTGCACATGGGAAATGAGGCTTCCTCGCTCTTGAAGAGCAGGTGCCAAATCATCAAGTGAGTCGAACAAGGCTGAGGTGTCTCCCAATCGGTTCAAAGAAGGCTGACGTTGGAACAGCGTGTGGCGCCCTCTATTTGGCCCATTGCAAGATGCGCCACTTGCCTTTTGTGATTGGCAGACAGTCAACGTTGAGAGGGATTTTCTGGCTGCGGACCTTGTTTTTCCACACTACATCGGAGAACAGTTCCTCGTCAAGCATCATTCTAACCACCGCTGGTACTTCCTGGACAACCAAATGCCCAACGAGTTCACTCTTCTGAAGTGTTGGGATAACAGCTCCTCTGGCGTAGCAAGATGTAAGCTTTTCTACGTCTGTGCATTGCATACATACTCACATTTCAAGGTGTCCCGCATACTTCTTTTATGAACCCGAGATGCTCTCAGACTACACGTCTCCGAGAAAGCATTGAACTTCGATGTCTGGTGTTCTACGGGCCAGAATGAGTTGTCATCCACCCACAAGTTGCAAATCGTGGTGTAGTGTCTATGAAGACTTCAATGATTTTCCGTTTGTTGACAAGTTTCTCTTCATTTTACTTTGTAAGTCCTTTTCAAGAGCTTTCACAATACCAAAGCATTCTTAGATTGAAATTGAGTAATAAATTTGACTTGCATAACATATTCCACTGTGGTCCCTGGATTCCTCCTCATCTCGAAGATCCAGTAAAGTGGTCACCAGAACTACTTTCGTGTCAACCCCCTTCCGCGTTGGAACTCGTCGGCGGCTGCTGACTTCCAGGTCCACTGCCTCCGCTCCCACTGCCTCCGCTCCCACTGCCTCCGCTTCCACTTCCTCCATTCCCACTTCCTCCTGCGCCGACTTTAAAGAGATGATTGTCTCGAGGCACCCAGTCAAGCCAGGGCTTTGCATTGGGCTTCGAGGGGTCCGGGATCCATCCGATCCAAGGCTGAGCCTTGAGTTGTTCAGTGGACATCTTTTCGGTCTCCTTTGGTGGCCACCAGCTGCGCCAAGGCTGAATCTGACCTGGCTTTGAAGTGGGCTCTTCCATATCCATACTCTGCACACTGTCAGCAGACGGTTCATCAAAATGACAGGTCTTTGATGAGATTGCTTTCAGACTCTAACAGTGGTTGATTGTGGCCAGCGGCTAAAGTGACGGTATGTCTGACCGGTGTAATCGTGGCACAGACTTCGATGTTGATGGGGCAGACTTCGGAGTCTGTGATGCGGCTAGTGTCCACATCCGACCATTTATCGTTTCCGGCACTATACTCGCAATGGGGTGGGAAACGTGTCGCTACTGGGGTATGATGCGGGGTTGAGGTAGCACTGCAGGCACGCAGCAATAACCTTCTATGGTGCACAACTCCGGCAAAGAAGCGGTCAAGAAGCCATCACGCGCACAGATCCACCCATAGCCTTGAAACCTGCTGAAGGAACCTGGTGCAGTATATCTGCAGTCGTTCGGAAATATCAACCACTGATCGTATGTACATCCTGTAAGCGACATTCCTCCAAGTGGATGTTGTGGACATGACATGCACCAATTGCCGGCGAGAGCATTATCTCCCGCCGATCTACATACTGCTTTTCGATCACGAGGGAGCATAAGACGGTATGATTTTGATTCGCGTAATTGGGTGGTGGTGATGGGTAAATCAAGGCAGAAGGCTGCTCGCGTCGACGACTGCTGACGTCTGACCCTGTTGATCTGCAAACACGTAGCAATGGGTGTGCCATGGGTCGCGATAGATATGACCATGCAGATGTGAGCCAAGAGCTGCAAAAGTCAAAGAGCATCCAGAAGATGCGCAGCTTACGCATTTCTGTGGGAATTTGGGGTTCAGCCTCGTCGGGCGTCGGTCGCATGTGTGCCTTACGGCTGGCCCCGCTTCAGCCGCTGCAGGGTCTTCGGCAAATAGTGGCAGAGCACATGCTCTCCACACCGGCATTTGTGTCATGTGTCTGCCTTCTTTGGCTTTTGACAAGGCTGAAAACTCCTCCCAAATGTGATATCATGGCCGATACTAACACAAAATGGAACAATCGCACATGTCACCCTTTTGCTTCTCCAATTCTATTACGTGATCATCTTCGCGCCAATCATGTCCACCATAAACCTCCAAGGTATTCCGAGCGAGGAGGACTTCAAGAGGATCATGCATACCTTGAACGAACATTTCCCGGTTTTCGAGTTCGGTATCGCGCCGCAATCAGCGGGACGACTTGGGGCAACAGTAACATTTCGGCAATGGAAGAGTGACCAAAAAAGTATCGGCAAAGTCGAGAGGGTGATCCAAGCGTATAGAGATGTGCGCGTAAGCTCCGACTTCCGGGGCTTGACGGTGCTATATGCACCTCAAACCCCGGTAGTAGAGTATGTCCCTGGGCTGTTGCAGTACACAAGAATTTGGTTTGACCTGTAAGCTAGCATTGTGGCTGTCCATGGGCTTGGTGGTCACGCCGCCGAAACTTGGATATACAGATCGTCATCCAAACCAGTATTCTGGCTGAGGGATCTTCTCCCACAGTACATGGCGACTGCTCGTATCATGACATTCGGCTACAACTCCAACATCGTCTCACGATCCACTGCGAGCATCAAAACCGTAGCTACTCAACTGCTCAATCAAGTTAGTGCAGAAAGACAGGTATCCATTCTCAGCATCAGTTCAAACACGGGGTGCTATGCTGACATGATGAAATCAGGACTCTCAGCGACCATTACTATTCATTGCTCATAGCTTGGGGGGGCTTGTAGTCAAAATGGCAAGCACACGTCCATAAATATTAATTAGTCGCTGTGCTGACGTCATACAGGCCTTGACAACTTCCAGAAATGAGTCAATAAATCATGAAGTCTTTACCAGCACCAGGGGAATCTTTTTCCTCGGAACTCCACACCAAGGTTCCAAGAGTGCCGATTTGGCGAGGGTTATCACAAATGTTGTATCTGTTGCCAGGTCTACAGCAACGCAATACTTGGACGTCCTCAAGCGCGACTCGAATGAGCTCTTGGAACTCTCTCAAGCTTTCGAACCCTTGACGAGAGACGGCACCCTCGAGCTAAGGAGCTTTTACGAGACGGAGAAGACAAGAGTCATGGTCGGAAAGTTTCGGTGGAGGAGCATCGAGGTAACCTACCGCATCGACTGTGATAGTTTAGATCTACGCTGACCAATTCAAGATTGTTGACAACAGGTCTGCACTCATAGGTTCATCGGGGGAGAAGCGATTCCCTATAGCTGCGGATCATCGGTCCATATGCAAGTTCGACCATGAAAGCAACCAGGGTTTCGTCCAGATCGTGAGTCAAATGAAGGATGTCTGCAGGAACCTTGGTATAGATCTTTTTCATTAGTGTTGCACGTATTTATAGGGGGTTCTGACATGAGGATAGTTGTCAGCTCCGAGGTCAAATGTATCTTTGTCCCGCCCGGTCGCCTCCCTTTGGATGTGAATTTCTTTGGACGCGAAAGTATCTTGCGAGAGATTTGCGATAAAATCCGGCCAGAAGGTACGAATAAATCCCTCAGATGCCTTTGTCTACACGGTCATCCAGGCGTTGGAAAGACACAGTTGGCAGCAAAGACAGCGCAGGACATGACCGGAACCTTTCGACACATTCTATTCGTACAAGCAGACACAAGCCAGAAGCTGCTTCAAAGCTTTCTCGCCATTGGCAGACACCTCAATCTTGCATCTGGCGAGTCTCCAGAACCCACGACGGTTCGATCTCAAGTGCTGGACTGGCTTAGAAAACAAGGTAAGGCGCCATAAAAGGTGTTATGTATGCAGTCTTACTAACATTGCAAAGATCTCCCATGGCTACTCATTTTCGATAATGTGGAGGAAGCTCGTCCTTTGCTGCAATACCTGCCTGAGAATGGCCAAGGGTCGGTCATCCTTACAAGCCGGAATGGCAAGATTGCCAACGGTCTCTCGATGGCATTTTCGGAACGTGCAAGCATCCAAGTAAGTGGTATGGATCCGGATGAAGGACGCAACTTTCTGCTCCGCCAGTTGAAAGATACGAAGGGCGCGGTCAAGGATCAGGATGACCTCCGCGAGATCTCGCTCTCGGTTGCAGAAAGATTCTACTACCACCCACTGGCGCTTAGGCAAGCAAGTGCTTTCATTCGGGAGACCGAAAGCACCATCACCAAACTATGGGACCTCCTTCAAATCAATCCTGCAAATGACCTACAGGTTTACAACTTCCAAGACCAAAGCACACCATACGAAGAAAGCCTGTGGTCTGTGTGGCGAATGATCCTTGCATCCCTAGATCATGGGGCTGCCAAGTTGCTTACAGTATTTTGCTTGTTCGATCCAGATGGGATCCCTGATGAGTTATTCGTACCAGCGGGAGTTCCAAATCAGGGCATTGATGATAGGCACGCAAGTGATCCCATTGAGTCAGTAAGTCACTACTTGCAGTTTCGACATCTGATAGCTGACCGTGAAATATTCAGATACTTCATAGACCGAGCTCCATTGATGCGATATGAAATCCTGATGCAACGTGCCCCGAGCATCATCTCGGTACATCGCCTGGTACAGCGAGTCCGCCTCAACAACGTATCTACAGAAGAAAAAGAGGAAGCCTTTGAAGTTGCTTTGCGTTTGTTAGCGCGAAATTTCCCGAAACAGCATCTTGGGGCGCATTTGCACGATCAATGGGCCAGATGCGAGCTGTTTCTTTCTCATGTACTCGCCATTGACACCATGGTACACCAGCTGAGCCCAGAATTGAAGGATCCTGTGTCATATATCGACATGCTGTGTGATTGTACATGGTGAGTCTTAGTAGCCCGCTCAAGCTATTTTTACTTCCGTCTATTATACGATCCTCAGACTGATGACAGTTTAGGTATTTGTGGGAAATTGAGCAATACGATGAAGCTCTTGGTCGGCTGGAGCAGTTGGAAAAGCTATGCGCTGAGACCATTGGCATTAAAACACTACAAGGGGCGCGTATTTTGGTGAACAGAGGAAGTATCTACGCCAGATGCGACCACCTACTCGAGTCCGGTGCATGCTTTCGCCGCGCTTTGGAAATCCGCCAGCGTCTGCTTCCTGACGATGACCAACTCCTCGCCAACAGCTACATGCAAGTCGGCAACTGGTACACATCTCAAGGACAGTATGATCAAGCCGAACGTCACCTTCGGTCATCCATCAAGATAAGGGACGCTTCTATCCCCGGGCAAACTATAATCTCCCATCAAAACCTTGCCAGATGCTTGCAACTTCAGGGCAAGTTAGATGAATCTGGAGACATAGTCAACAAATCTGCGGAGGTGGAGCGAGCCATGGGAACTTCGAAGGAGGCCCAGTACCACAAATTTGGGTAAGCACAGGATTGCGCCGAATACGGTCTTTGGTAACTGACTTCTTGCAGACGCCTATACATTCAGGGAAACATCCACCTGGGACGCGGCGATTATCGCCTGGCGTTGGATTCTTTCAAGGCCGTGTTCGATGGGCGGAAATCACTGTCAATATCTGCCGGCCCTTTCTCCGCTGCCTGCCATAAAGTAGGAGTCGCTCACCAAATGTTAGGCAACTACGAAGAAGCCCGGTAAGAATTGCTCCCACAAGCTACATCTGGGGTTAAAGCTCACGTTTATAGCGAATGGTTTCTGAGAGAGATTGAGATTGTTGAGACAATTCCTCGCAGAGTCCCCTACATGTTGGTGAGACTGTCCCGGGCACAATGGAGCTACTCTGAAGTTTTAAACACGGCCGATGACTTGGAAAAATGTCAAGAAATGAGTCAGGAGGCGCTGCGGAACTTTCACGAAGCTACAAAACAAGACTGTACAAGGGGATTGACGGACATTGAACAACACATACCGTACATAGATCGCTAGGCCATGCACGTGTTCTCAACCAAATGGAATGGTCCTCACAGGGATGTTTCTGTAGTACCGATTTTGACGTCCTATGTCACTATTGTTGTGTACGGATATAGCAGCAATTGAATTGCATTTTTCTAAGTCTACTAGTCATTACAGAGTGACCTGGCCACTAAGATATCCCGTGAAGCAGTAACAATATAAGAGACAATCTGCAAAGAAACCCTCCTCCATCACACTAGTTACATTAGAGCCTATCGATGCTGTAGAAACACTTGATAGCAAGAACTTTCCCAACTTCAGTGGTCAGAGCCGCGGCGGGAGGCGGCGAACATTCGTCTAATCCTCAAAGAAGAACGTCCTGCCACGTAATGTTTGAGAACAAAGGAACGTCGGCCTCACAAACAGTCCCAGGGGCAGGCATAGTGCCGTTCAAGAAGTACGCCCGAATCGCGTTCGACGTACAGACAGAAATCTGCGCGCTCGATCCATGCTGCAGCAAAAACACATGTCAGCCTCAGACTCCAAGCCGGATAAACAGTTCGTACTCACCCCCGCGCCCCTATGCTCCAACGCCACGCTCCCTTCCAGACTATACGTCAAGTTCTTCGCCGACAGGAACGGCGTGACGGGATCCCACGTGTTGCCAACCAGCAGCACGGGGTTCTTCGTCTTGACGCGGAAGTCGCCCAAGTAGCGCTCCTTGGCCTGCATCTGCCACTGCGCGCACGTCATCAAGGAGCCCTGCAGGACCGCAAAGCAATGTCAGCACAACGTTCGCCCTCCTTTTCCCTGCACACTTCGGCAATACTGACCGCTTTCCAGTCGCCTCCGAGCCTGCTGATGGCTTCCTGCCCGTCCAGCGCCCACGCGATGTCCTCCTTGGTCGACTGCCGCTGCGTCTTGTCGCCGCATTCGATGGCGCTCCAGCTCTCGCCTATGGTGCTCCTCGACTCGCCTGACTGGATGGTTGCGTCTATGATGGGGCCGAATTCGGTGGCGTTGCTCGTGAGCAGGCCGTGGAGGAAGATGGCGAGGGTGGGGTAGTCGGCGGGGGTGTAGAGCGTGTTCATGGTTATGCCCTTGACGATGCTGTAGTCGACGAGGGTGTTGTTGTAAAGGATCGGGTTGTACTTGATGGTGTCCAGGAGGTTGTATACGGATGCTTCTAGTTTCTTCGCGGTTGTGTTCAGGCTGGCTAGGGCGCACTGGGTATCGCCTGCGTCGATGCATGCGGAGAGGAAGTGAGAGAATGTCTTGTCTGTGTCGGTGAACATTTCAATGTTTCTGGAGGAAGGAGAGGGCGGAGTTAGCGTCGTCACTGCAGAGAGAAAGGAAGGACGTACTGTCCGCGCCAGTAGTCGTGCGGGTTGTAGACTGCGTCTAGGAGCACGTTACCCATTCGATCAGGGAACATGGCAGCAACGGTGGCTCCTAGCGTAGTGCCGTAAGAGAGGCCTAAACATCGCGGTCAGTACGACTGCAGACACGTTTGCCACGGATTGTCTCACCCCAAAAGTTCAGCAGCCCGTCGGTGTCTCCGAGCGCATCCACAACCTGCATGAGGTCTCTTGCGTAAAAGGCCGTGCCGACGAGGCCTCCAATATCCTCCGCGTTCTCTTTGCAGCTATCAGCCACCGCTCTCGAGGTGGCCCAGATGGTTCCCCGGGCTACATCCGATGCATTTCCAAGAAGAGCAATTTGAATAGCCTGAGCCCTCGCTTCGTCGCTATCGTAGCAAGAAACAGGCAGCGTGTTTACAGTTCCTCTGCGAACAAGGACATGATCAGTACACTGAGCCTGGAGAAGACGTGTGACCTTACCTGGGGTCAAAGGTGATGAGGTCGTGGTAACCTCCTTCCATGCTATGAAATTATAAGCGCCCTGCACCGGTGAATAAGATAGGGGCTCTCATCTTACGCTTGCATTTGGGCCGCTCCGTATGCCAGCGACACTCTCCCAGGGATGCCGGGTCCGCCAAAGTTGAACAGGATGCTTCCCTTCGCGGGTTGGTTTGCGGCAGGCACCTTTGCCAGTTCGAGAGTAAGCGTTTCGGACGAGTTCGGCTGCGTATAATCAAGTGGGACATCCAGGGTCCCGCAGACCATGGGCAAGGTTGGTTCTTGCGATAGACTGCATGGCCCCCACTGGATTTCTTGGCTCGGATTCTGGGCGTAGCCCAATGCCTGCGGCCTGGCTTGAACCGCAATGGCTTGGACTAAGAGTAGTTGGGTGAGGAAAGGTGCAAAGAGCATTGTAGTTGTGGAATTTGTTGGTTCGAGTGAATGAGTGATGGGACTACAGTAGGTTCAAGCTGGAAGTTATATACCGGACTTTTACACAGTGAGGCTTAGAAAATAGGCTGCCAAGACATGTTGCAGATACGCGTATACAGAAAGAACAGGCAATCCAGTCAGCCGCTATCCCGAATTGGGTACGACACAGACCACCAGTCGGTGGGGTGAAGTCCGACTTGTGCAAGGCGAAGCAGGTCCGCGGACAGGCCCAATAGCTTCGCCCCAAAAGAGCGGCCAAGAAGCGGCGCTGCAGTAGGTCTCAGTACAGAGAGTGCCGAAAGCCGAAACGGCGATTCTTATAGGCTGGGTACTTTGTGGGTGATGCGGCTGAGCTATTAAACGTGATGTCACGGTAAGCTGAGCGGTTTGCGTTCCATGAACGGCACTGCTAGGCTGCAGTGGTGTCGCGTTGCAATCAGGTTCATCGCAACAGCCGACGTGGATGTGGTCTCGGTTTTGCGACTCCCAAAGCTTTAGGTACAGCCATCAGTGTATCCCGATATTAAGCGAGCCGGCCGCGCACTGTGCTGTGAACAGCCAAAACCACTCCTGGTGAGCGCGCCAATGCTGCAATACTGGCCGCCACGACAGGACTCATTGACCAGGCGTTCATGCGACCCAAAGCGGCAGGCAAAGCGCTGATGAGACCCTGCATGTGGTCATGGCAGGGAAAGGCCGAGATGGAACCAAGCCCCTGATCCGGGCTCTGCGCTGGAATCATTCGAAGCATCGATCCTAATAATAGTGGCGCATCGCGAGGCGCCCATTCGCCAGGCGCACTCCTCATGACGTCGGGGCTCGCACGCAATGCATCGTCGGGCACGGCGTTTGCGGAGTCGGTCGCGGGTCGGTCGCGGGTCAGCGCTAAGCAAGAGAAAAGACGCCACACCCCGGCATCCACGTGGAACCTCGACCGCTTGGCTTTCTCCACCGTCTGCCCCCTTCCCCCTCCACACTCCACCCCGTCCCAGAGCTGATCCCATCCCCTTTCCAACACATCAGAACCGCACACCATGGTTCGTATCGCCGCCAATTGCCTCCCCTCTGCGACCTCCACGCCCGCTGACTAGCCCCCCGCCCCCCAGTCCGACGCACTCTCCCCCGAGCAGGTTGAGGAGTACAAGGCCGCCTTCGCCGTATTCGTACGTCATCCCCTCCACCCCCGAGTCGCTTCCAGTCACATGGCAGCCTTCCGCTAACACCTCTCTCCCTCGCCCTCCGCAGGATAAAAATGGAGACGGTGCGACAGCTCCCCCCCGGGTCCCGCGCTTTGCTGCAAAGGCGCCTGTCCGCGCCACTGCACCTGCTGCAAAAATCCCATGATCCGTAACTGACATGCTCTGATATTTTTTCCTTTGCCCGCGAACAGGCGACATCACGGCCAAGGAGCTTGGCGAGGTGATGCGCTCGCTGGGCCAGAATCCCACCGACGAGGAGCTGAACGACATGATCAACGAGCTGGACGTCGACCACACCGGCTCCATCGACTTCAATGGTAAGGAAAAAGAAAAGAAAAACAAACACCATGCCCTGCCCTGCCCTGCACTGCCCTGCCCTGCCCTTCCCTGCCCTGCCCTGCCCTGCCCTGCCGCTGCCCTCTGCCCCTTCCACCCACGTGCTCCCCGCCCTGGCACCGCTGACCAAAGATGCCAGAATTCCTCATCATGATGTCCAAGAAGCCCAAATACGTCGACCCGGAGCAGGAGATCCGCGAGATCTTCAACGTCTTCGACCGCGACGGCTCCGGCACCATCAACTCGTCCGAGCTGCGCCACGTCATGAAGGCCATCGGCGAGAACCTGACCGACGACGAGATCGACGACTTGATCCGTGAGGCCGATGTTGATGGGAATGGGACCATTGATTGTGAGTTTCCTATTTTTCTGTTGGGCGCGGGGGGCCGACTGTTGAGCGTTTGTTGGTCGACGGAATGCTGACTTTTGCCTTTGTAGATGAGGAGTTTGCGAGGTTTTTCAAGAAGGATTAGGGGGGGAAAGGGAGGTTAGGTTGTTGGGTTGAGCAAGCGAGCAAGAGCGCTAAAGGTTGGTGTATCCGATGAAACTGCTGGAAATGCGCGGCTTGCTTTCCTTTGGTCGAGTATCATACCATGGAAAAGGATCGTTCATCGAAAGGCATGCCCTTCGTCTCGTCGGCCTGCGTGCGACTGACACGCAAAGGGCCTCAGCATGCGCGAGACAACCAAGCAGCCGCGTCCGATCTCACGTCTAATTCCCAGCAGCAGAAATAATGGCTGACATCGTGAGCGCTCCGTCTGCTATCAGAGCCGTTTCCTTCGCCAAACCGTAACAGGCAAGGGCGCTTTCCTGCCCGTCGCTTCGCGTGCCGATTGGCATCCCTTGCTCGTCTCCTCATCGTCATACCCTTCATGTTATTTCCTCAAAAGGCACTTGCCACTGCCACACCAGTGACTCTGTATTATCCCATACCAGAAAACACCATAAAAAGACAACTCGAGCCTATCCCCGCCCTTCACCCTCTCTCGCCCGCCCATCAAACAAATACCCGAAAGCGAAAAGAAACACCCCAATCGCAGACGGGCCGTAGCCACCTCAAGGCCAGACGCAGAGGAATCACGCAGACAGCCCGGTAATCCACTACCGCGCCACCAGGGTGTGAGATACTATAAAAAAAAAGGGAACGAAAAAAGCTCCAGCCACATGCCAAACCAACAACTTCGGACGTAGCAAAAGCCCTGCCCCGCCACGGGGACCCAGGGCATGGTGGCGCAGTCTGCGGGGAAGGCCTTTTCAAAAAAAAAAAAAAAACGGTAACGAGGAAGGCGAGCCAACGCCGTCGGGGCGCGGGTGACCGAAAAACGACGAGCGTTGCGGTCAAGAGGAACGAGAACGAGAAAAAGGAAAGCGCAAGTACATACGTAAGCACATACTATCCGCCCTGTTCTATTTTTGTGTCTCTCCGGCGCTACGTCCCGGTTCCGCACTAGGTATGTACTGTCGATTGGCAAGGAACTCGGCACGCCGCTTCTCCATCACCGTGTATCGGTACTCGCACCACCACTGCCACCAAGAGCAGCAATCTTGCCCCCGCCCGTGAGTAGGTAGTCGTGCCCGGCACTTCAAGCACCTACTACACCGCACCACCGCTGCGCTGCATTCCCGGTCCGTCAGTGCGAAAGCAGCGAGACTGCCAGCCCCGCCCGCCCGTCCGCCCCTCTCTGATAAACCGACGGAACCCACATTACTCACGACGGCATGTAATGTCATGTCAAACGGACGTCAGAGAAGCCATATGTGTGCGCGCGTGGAGTATTTTTTTTGTTTTTTGCCGCATCGCACGCAACGCTTCACTTTGGCGCGCACCTACGTGTGCCCTCCCTTCAACGCTTAGGTACATAACCCGCGTGTCGCGTGGACGGGCGGCGCGCGCTGGCTCCCATTTAGAGGTAGATGCTGATGGGAAAGTCACTTAACGCCCGCGGTGGTCGTACGAGAAGAGATTGTTGCATCAATTGCCTGACGGCGAAGAGTGAGGTGAGGTGATCCCTAGTGTGTGCGTGGCTGCGGGATACGGTATGTCTCACTCGCAGAAGGTCGTTCGTAGTAGGGCTAGTAGGGGGAGGGCTGCGAGTCGCCGTAGGTAGTTTCACATGACGGAGCGTCGCAGATGCCTATCGTAAGTTAGCCCGGACCACTGTCGCGGGCTCGGTGGTGCCGGCGGCGGCCGCCGCCGCCTGGTCGATCCGCGGGTTTTTTTCTTCCAGGCTGCAGCGGGTCGGTCAGCTATTTTCGGCGGTACCAGACCAGAGAGTTTTGAGATGATGATGAGAGGTTGCGTTTCGCTAGCGAAGCAGGCGGCGGAGGCTGTGTCACGCTACTGCAGAGATTGGGGGGATTGGTGGTGGAGACCACCCGTTGTGTGTGTGCTTTGGGAAGCGGGATGTTCCACGGGGGCTTGGCCAATTCGACTGCCGCGTATGGATTAAGCTTCTTTCTGTTCCAAGGGCCCCGTGCTTGCAGGAGCTCAGCTCGCTGGCTATTGAACGCACGTAAGATGGTCCGGCGCGGGGAGCTCGTGTTCGGCGGGAGAGAATGCTGGCGCTACTGACGCTGTGAGTGGTCCGGAAGCCGCGGCAAAGAATAGCACGATGACAGGGTGGAACGACACGAGAGGGTGCGGAGAAAGAAGATGCCAGATAACGGGGAGGCGCCGAATTAGCTCGTGCTTAAGCATGGCCAAGCTTTGTAGCGTGCGGAGATCCGGGCCCGATTCGGGCCAGTCCCTTCGCAGTCTCCCCCCTGATTCGTATCCGATTATTGCTAAGCTTTTCTAGCGGCTGCAGCTGCGGCTGCAGCTGCGGCTTTTTTCTGCCTCAGCCGCCATGGTGCAAGCAGCGCCATGGCCCGATGCCAAGTGATTCTTCGCTTGCCGTCAACCAGGGCCGCTCTGCTCGCCGTCTCCTTCGCCTAAAAACATTATTGGACCCCTAAGACTTATCCGTCGACCTTATCCGCGGCGTTGGTAAGTACGCCCAGCGGCCAGCGGCCAGCCCCGCAAAGATGGGTGTGGCCGCCGGCCGCCGCGGGCCTGGCCAGGGAACGAGGGTCCGGGGCTTAGCTCGCGCCCTCGTAATGGCCCAGGCCGCATGCGATCCAAATAGCCCGCCGTGGAGCAAATGTCAGCCACACGAGGCGTTCTTTGCCATTCCCTCGCATCCCCCCCGGGACGGGAAGTGAGGCATTATTGGCCGGCGCGCGAGAGGCCGGAGTCAGCAGGAGTCCAGTCGGGCCTCCTCTCGGAGCAGAGGGAGGGGGGCGAATAATGACAAAAAGAATGCATACATACCCTCCACATCCCACCTCGAGTCGCACAGAACGTGGTCTCTCCACAAACGAAACCTCACATCCCCCTCTGCAACACGCCCCAATTTATTTTTTTCTTTCCCCACTGTTCGCAAGCCCAGCCAGCCAGGCAGCCATGCACGCGACGACCACTTCCCTGCTGTTCCTGCTGCTCGCCTTGCTGGTGCGGCCAAGCCGGCAGGCTCCTTCTGCTCCCCGACTAGTCCGCGGCACCGGATGCAGATGCAGCACGACGGCCGCGGCGGCGTCGTCGCCGTCGTCATCGTCGTCGTCCTCGGTCGGTCAGCAGAACCACCACGTCTTCTGGCTGCAGCCGCCGCCGATGGAGAACCCGGGCGACACTTGCGCGCGGCTGGCGGCCGAACTCGGGCACTGGCTCGACTGGATCGACGGCCGCACCAACCTGCAGGTCGCGTGGCAGATGTACGACGACGTTGTCCAGAACCGCCGGCGGCGTGGCGGCGACGGCGGGCCCGGCGCGGATGAAGCAGCAGCAGCACCGGGGAAGGCGCCGCCTCCTCGCCGGGCGGGAGACGGCAGCGACGATGTGAAGTGCGATATTGAGGGCATGAGCGAGACGGACGACGGCGGGGACGACGACGTCACGGCGTGGCAGATGGTGGCGGTCAAGGTGGGGCTGGGGCTGATACTGGTGGTGGTGGTGTTCGAGTCCGTGACGGCGATATGGAGGTGAGTGAGGATTTAATCCATGCGCTGTGCTGTGGGAGCCGGGCGCTGATCAGACTGGGGAGAAGGCTGGGCAGGGGCCTTGGCGACAGCATCGCGGGGGTGATTCGCATATGACGGCGGGACGGCGGGCGGCGGGGGGTTGGGGCTCGATGGCGGCGGTGGGGGCTCGGGGGCGGGTGGGTGGTTGAGAGGAAGCTTGTTGCCTGTTCAGCCAAAATTAACGTTTCAGCTGCACCTAGCGAGCAGAATCCGGGTTGTGGGTGTGCTCAATAACGGCGCGGCCTGATCCTCAACCTGGGCTGCTGCCCTGCTGCACTGCTGCACTGCACGGGGCAGGCGCGGCCTGGCGAGCCCCTGGCAGCATGGCTACTGTGTACTACTTATATTTCTGGGCTGCCAGACGAATCAAGCGGCCTACGCGTGCTTCTTCACCATGATGGAGCTGTCGTCCATCTGGCCGGTCAGCGTGCTGCTGCGCACCCGGGACCAATTCGCCCTCTTCTTCGTCTCCTCGTTCGCGGCCAAGCTGCTGCACTTCTACAGCCACCGCCAATCGCTGCCCATCCTGCTGCTGCTGCTGTACACGCCGACCTTTTTCCTGCCCGACCTGGTGCTGCTGCTCGTCGGCCGCCTGCTCGTCTACCGCCCGAACAGAGGCCGGCCATGGAAGATTCTCGGCGGCCTGCTCGCGTGGGTGCCCTGCTCGAAGCGCGATTGCTGGCGTCCCGACTGACCGCGTGCGCAGGCTCCTCACGGCGTCGACGTCGACGTCCCAGATCTGCTTCTACCTGACCACGGGTGGCGAGGTGCAGTGGATGGCGGCGGGCAACCTGGCGGCCGACCCGGCGGGGCTGGCGATGCTGCTGTCGGAGCTGCCCAAGTTCGCCATGGTGCTGCTGGCCTTCTCGAGCGTGGCGTGGCTCATCGCGGCGCGCTTCTACGCGGGCGTCTCCTGGGTGCTGGTCGACGTGCGGCTCTCGTTCCGCCAGATGCATCGTTGCCTTAGAGGGCAGTCGCAGCTCAGCGGATACGAGCAGCTGCACGGCCCGTGCGCCCACGACGTGGAGCCGAGGTGCGTCTGATCATTTGCCAACAGGAACCTCCTCGTGTCTCACCTTGGTTGCTGACTTGCCGATCCAGTAAGGCCGACCGCGCCCAAATCCCCTCGCTGCGCAGGGCCGCTTTGGTCTCCGTTGCCGTCATCGCCGCAGCCGTCACCCTGCTGATCCTGCAGTGCGTGCGCCCGCGCTCCGCCCCGTACGCCCACATGTCCGGCTCCCTGCCTATCACCCTGTTCGAGTCGCTGTTCTTCAGCCCCATCAATGCCGATTTTTGCTTGCCCCATCCCACCCACCGCGTCGACTTCCCCTTTGAGCAGTACGCCAATGTCGTCGGCCGCCAGCCACCCCCGGACTGGAAGCCGCTCGCCCAAGAGTGCCGCCGCCGTCACCACCGCCCATCCCCACATCCGCCCCATGGCCATGGCCCGCCCCACCATCCTCCGCCTGGATACCCTCCGCCGCCTCCACCTCCGGACTGGTTCGAAGATGAAGACGGCTTTGGGCCTTGGGACCCGCTGGAGCATGGAGTGCCTCCTCCCCCGCCGCCACCTCCCCCGCCTCCGCCCCACGGTGGACATCACGGACACTACGACCCGTCTTGTGACCCGCTGAAGCTGTCCAATTTGGACGAGAGCCTGCTGCATCCCCTGACCGCCGCATTGAAGCAGGATAAGCCGTCCATCAGGAATGTGCTGCTCGTCACCCTAGAGAGCACCCGCAAGGACATGTTCCCCTTCAAAAAGGCCAGCCACGCTTACGACACCATCCTTTCCTCCTATGGGGCCCCCGAGGCCGCCGAGCAGTTGGACAAGAAGCTGCAGGCCCTCACCACCACGGCGTCTTTCTTGACCGGTGAGTCTACCGGCTTCGAGGACGACGAGGCTTTCAACAAGACCGGCCGTCTGGGCGCTTGGGCATCGCATTTTGCCGCAGACAAGGGCGGCATCAATGTTCAGGGTGCCGTTACCGGCAGTGCTTACACGCTGAAGAGTTTGATCACCAGCCTCTGCGGCATGGAGCCGTTGCCCGTCGATTTCACCGAAGAGGTACGAGGTCGCATGTACCAGCCTTGCATGCCCCAGATTCTGGACATGCTCAACAAGGCCGAGCAGAGCGGGCGTGGCCAGAAGGATGAGGACGGTTTTCTGTCGTCGCCATGGGACTGGGCGTTCATGCAGTCGGTGACGGACCAGTTCGACTCGCAGTACACGCTGAACGAGCAGATTGGCTTCCGTACCATTGTGACAGACGAAACTCTCGAGGACCCCGCTTCGGCCCATTACCCACCTAAAAACCCGCGCAACAACTACTTTGGATTTCCGGAAGAGGAGTCACTGCCGTACCTTCGTGATGCCTTCGCCAACGCGAAGCGCGACGGCCGCCGCCTCTTCGCGTCGTACATGACCAGCAGCACGCATCATCCGTTTGCTGTGCCGGCCGCGTGGGAGGGCAAGGAGACGTACCTAGCCAAGCGCCGCTTCGCGCCCGAGAATTACAACCACTTCGATCAGTACCTCAACACGATCAAGTACCAGGACGGGTACCTAGACTCCTTGCTGAGCATGCTGCACGACGAAGGCGCGCTAAACGAGACGCTGGTCGTCATGGTGGGTGACCACGGCATGACCTTCGACGTGACGGACGGGTCAAGGTCCAACTTCGAGAACGGCCATGTGTCCAACTTCCGCATCCCACTGCTCTTCCTGCACCCGGACCTGCCGCGCGTCACCCTCGACGCCGCCGACGCCGCCACCCCGACCTCCATCATCCCCACAATCCTCGACCTGCTCCTGCAAACGAACAGCCTCAGCGACGCCGGCAGCGCAGTCGCCCACGGCCTGCTGCCGCGCTACCAAGGCCCCTCGATGATCCGCTCGCAGCACTGGCACGTGCCGGTCGCCAACCACTCGTCGCCGCCGCCCTCGTCCCCGTTCTTCCACGACCACCACCCCCACAACCCCTGGGACGACGTCGTCAGCACCAGCTTCCTCGACACCACCGCCTCGTTCCCCACCGCCAACGCCTCCGCCAACACCCACCCCTTCCACTTCTCCATCATCAACCCCGGCGGCTCCCTCCTCGCCATCTCGCAGGCGCACTCCCCCTACCGCCTCGTCCTGCCCCTCTGCTCCACCCTCCCGCTGCGCTTCACCGACCTCGACTCGTCCCCGAACGAGGCGGACGCCCTCGTCGCGTGGAACGTGGAGACGCTGGTCAAGGACGTGAGGGGGAAGCATGGCGACGCGGCGGCGGCGTGGGCGGACCTCGTGCGCAGGCTGGGCGAGTGGTGGTTCTGGGAGCAGAGGAGGAGGTGGGGTTATCATTTGCCGGCGCGGAGCACGGATAGGGGCGTTGTTGAGGGGAGCATGGCGGGGAGGATCAGGAAGAAGCATTGGTGGGAGACGTAGGCTCTTTCTCTCTCTCTCCCTCTCTGGGAAGACCCGGACTTGATTTGCATCACACCGCACCGCACGCGCGCGGTGGTCGTGGGAGTAGGGTTTTGTTTTGTGGAGCATTTTCTATGGGCGTTTTTTTTTGGTCTTCGGAGAGAAAGGCCAGCGTACTACCGGTGCTGGGGAAAGGGCGTCATTGGTGGTGTCGAGCTCGCTTGCATTACTGGCGTATGTTACCCGGAGATTATTCTTTTTTTTTTTAGCGATTACCATGACTACCCACGCCTCGTCTATAGAGTAGAGCCTGACACGATAGAACCGGAATTGCCAGTCGTAATATTTCTTGTTACATGTTTGGCGTGGTGGATAGGCATCTCGAGAATGCACAGTGTAATCTAGTCGTTGCCGCACAACCACTGGCCGATCAACGACGTCGTTATTGAATGTGAGACACAAACGGGAACTTTAATTTCATGCATAACGAAAGAGTGGGGTACAAAGCGCGCGCCAGCCGCGGTGCTTTCTCGGCCTTGTCGTTTTGACACTCTCTCTCAACCGGTTTTGCTTTCGAGCTTCGTCTTGCGAACAATGATGGGGCAGACCGTTTTCCATCTTTTTTTTTGTCTTTTCCGTTTTCCTTTTTCTCGCTTGCTGGTGTCGGAGGACTCCGCGCTGCTGCTGTCTCGCCTCGCTTGCAAGCGTGGTAGTATGCATGCATGCATGCGGGTTGTAGTTAGCGGCGCTGGCGCTGGCGCTTTTTCCTTTCTTGCTTCCTTACCTCCGCGGACTCTTTTTTTGCTCCGCAGTAGTACTCCACATTTTTGCCCGCGGCACGGACACCAGACCAGACCAGGCCAGACGCCAGGGTCACAAAAAAAGCTGGCTGGCTTTCAGGCCCCCCGCGAATCGTGAACCGATGACGTGCGATACCCTTAGCGTAGGGTCGTTATACATGCAGTTTCTGGTCAGCGCGCGCAAAAAAAAAAAAAAAGGCAGGAAAGCACGCTCGGTCGCTCGGCCATGCGTGCATCTCGCGGGGGTTTTTTTTCGTTGCCAGGAAAAACATGGATGCGGGATGCATCGCACATGGGGGATGGGGGAGGGATCAGGACGTTGGATGGAGATATATACGGGGCTTTTGACGTCATTTTGCGCATGGCTGCCTGCTGCGCCCTGGGGCAGCGAGCGGCACGGCGGATGGGTTGACGATCGGTTGTCGTTGTCATACGGACGTATGGGGTGTGATTGGGTAGGGCTGCGGAGCGGTGCACGGACAGGAGGGGGGGGATGGTTTGCCTCTGTTGTTGTTGTCTTCCTTCTGTGGGTTTGTTGGCCGTTGCGTAAAGTAGGGTAATAGGGGCCCAGGGGTAGAAGATCGGGGTGTGTGTGGTGGGGAGAGGTTGTTTCGATTTGTGGTAGGTATACGCGGGTTCGGTCTGGGGACTGCTGCACAGCAAGCAATCTGTCTGTGGCGTTTTGCTTGTTTCGCGCGTCAGGTTCGTGCGACTCGGGGTATTCCTCTAACTACCTGTCGTACAAGGGGAAAGGTCTACTTCGCACCGCTTCCCTCTCACGATATAAACAAAAGAAAGCACTGCCATTCAGAGCCGGCCTCCAGGCCCAGTCCATCCCCGAAATCGTATCCACCGCACCCCATCATAACCACCACCACCGCCACCACACCCACCACAACACAACAACAACAACAACAACAACAATGACATAACCCCTCCTCTCCTCCCCCCCCCAATCAATCCTGATCCCAAAATTCCCCCATCAAGACCCCACCACCTAACCTCCCCCCTCGCCCTCCCTCTCCCTCAACCTCGCCAACCCCCCCTCCACCGCCGCCGCCATCGCCGCATCCTCATCCCAATCCCCCTCCCGCCCCTTCAACACAACCAGCCGACCTGGCGGCCGCACCCTCCCCCCCTTCTCCCCGCCACCTCCCCACCCCCCACCACTCTTTCTCCCCATCCCCATCCCCTTCCCCCTCTCCCTCCTCTCCTCCCTCCTCCCCTCCCTCAACATCTCCCTCACCACCGCGTACTTATCCCCACCACCACCATCATCATTTCCCGCAGCAGACCCAGCCGCAGCAGCCGCAGCAGCACCGTGCCCGGCAGCAGCACCATCGACAGCACTAGCCATGAGCCGCTCCTGCCGCCGCGCCGTCTTGAGGACGAACAGGAGGGGCATGGCCTTCGCGGCGTGCGACGCCAGCAGCGCGGTGGTGGGGCCGACGAGGGCGAGGAGCGCGAAGGGCGTGGCCGAGTCTGTTGGGTGGTGGTGGTTTTTGCGGGTTAGTTGGGGGGGGTCGTTGTGATGGCTGGGACCTGGGTGTAGTTGAGGAGGGGGCGGAGGATGAGGCGGGGAGGGGAGGAGGGGGGAGGGGAGGAGAGGCGGAGGGGCGAATACGGCTTACATGTGAGGTCGTCGAGGTCGGTCAGGGCGGGGACGTAGGTGATTTGGATGGCGGTGGAGGCGACGTGGCTGTGGTGGGGCGGGGCCCGAAGCGGTGGGGCGTGGTGGTTAGTCGGTCGGTTTGGATGAGAGAGAGAGAGGGGCGAGTCGTACGCACCTGAATGCGACGACGTTGAAGAGCCCGGTGATGCCTTTGCCCACCCATCCCACGTCCGGCCCCTGCCGTCGCCCCATCGCCGACGCCACGGCGAAGCACGTCAGCACCGAATCCGCCGCCATGCTCACGCCTAGAAATGCGTACCATGGGGCCATCAGCTCCGAGGTGTAGCAGGCTGCTTGTGCGGCGGTGCGGTCGCGCGACCAGTAGGTGGGGACGGGCGTGCATTGGAAGAGGAGGAGGAAGAAGAAGAGGATGCTGATGGCGGTGGAGATGATCTGTGGGGATGAGGATGAGTGCGCTTGGGGGAGGAGGGCGCAGGGATGGGCTGACCAGGTTGATTGAGACGAGGCGCCGTTTCGAGGGGAAGGCTTTGCGGGAGATGGAGGCGAGGCCGACGGAGGTGCGGCTGGAGGCAGCGGCGAGGATGTGGAAGAGGGTGGTGAGATACCAGACCTGTGTGGACATGGTCAGTTGCGTGGAGAGGATCGTGCATGGAACGGTAGGGGGATGTGAAAGCTGCTGAAATGATACATGTGCTTGGGACGTACTCTCAGGGCTTCGGTGACGTTGCCGTTGTGTGTTGGTGGTGAGTCGAGGTAGTGGAAGTCTTGGTCCAGATCTGCCAGGTGCGCACCGAACCCATTCAGGCATGCGACGATCTGGCATACTATGTAAGCAAGCCAGAATAGCTGTTATTGCGTCAGTAATGCACAGGCATGCAGGTGCGCGGGGTTTACTTGCATCTGCAAGCGCAATGATCAGATCGCTGGCTGACATGCGCTTCTCAATCCTCATCTTTGCATAGCCGTGGACCAATATCATCGGGAGAACGAGAGCAAGAGCAAGACACACGAAGATAAGCACAACCCATCTTCTGTCCTCCATCGTGCCCTTGGTGATGCGAAAGAAGGGCCGACATCCTTTGCATTCCCGAACGCAGGGACGAGCTAAGCTTTGTACTATGGATGGATTACCCCTGTTTGAGACGGCAGTGCTTTTGTGGGATTTAGTAAATTGGCGACACCTGGGAAGAGAACGGGATGCCTTTCTGATACGTCCCTCGCAACTACGCGCGTTGTGTCCCGCGCTCCCCGTGTCGCATCCTTTGTGGTGGGAAAAAGCAAAAGCAAATGTTTACGCGGCAGGTCCGCACTCATGCGAGGTGTCACTTTGCGGAGGACACTACCACGAATGCCATCTCCGAATAGCTGCAACGCCGTGTAACCGTCTTCTGCTTATCAAAGGTGGACTCGGACAATATTCTACAAAGGTGCATCGGATTATCGCAAAATGAGCTAGTGCTAATGTCGCGACACTGTCTTATTTATCTGATCATTCATTAAGCGAACTATGATCTATCATTTGTTACTAGTTCTCCAAACCGAAAAATTTGTTGTTTTTCTCCGGTATCCGCAGTAGTGCCAATCCTATAGGATCTATGATAGTTGATTATTGGACAACAGTGGCATTCGTGGTGATGCGGGGTCAAAAGCATGCATGCAAACGGTATCCCTCTCCACGCATCCCCGCATTCGACGTTATACAACCCGTGTTCAAGTTTATAAGGGGGCAATGACGTTCAATGATATAACCTCTACCAGAGTACGCACACGTGCCTCGCGGCGTATTTTCTAGTACGCAGGAAGATCTAGCCAATTATAGCCTTAGAAATAACACACCGCTGCAGGTGCCCTCCATCAAGCATGTGTCACCCCGCTCTCCACCCTGTCTTGAAGAGCCTATTACGCAGCTTTGATGTAACCACACCGCTTGCAAGGGAATGCAGACCGCCTGCAGATTTCTATCAAAACATACAAATGTTTCCCAAACTGTCGAAGTGTGTGCGCTTTCACTGACTCAACTTCATCTTCTCCGACAATCTCTAGAACACATAACTTCCCACAGCTGGTAAGGAATAGCCTCTCCTCTCCAGATACATCATCTAAACATTGACCAATTACAGTCCTCCTTCCAAGAGTGTTCCAGCCCAGTGCTCTTGCCTAACAGCTCATCCGAACGCTCTATTTCTTGCGCTGCGTCGTCATGCCGCACATTCCGAACCTTCGAAGCTATGAGAAAAAGACACCACATGGAATCCCGAAGCTCATCATTGGACCACCCAGAACGGATAGCACCGACTCCACCGAGAGAGGTTCCGTGTCGGTCAAGCCCCAGGGATACCTTGACAATCCCAGCGTGATCTACTCACAATGGAATCAAAATGCCGGCGGGATTGAAAAACGTCTGGGCTCCTTTGATTCGCCTCCCAAGGTCTGTTTGATTGGTGGAGGAATCTCCAACGTGGTGACCGCCTTCGAGCTTGTCAAGGCCGGTGCAGACGTCACACTACTCGAAGCTACGGGAAAAGTGGGCGGTCGCTTGAAGTCCCTCGCCATGCCGGACTCGAGTGACACCAATAATGTAGCCGAGATGGGCGCCATGCGCTTCCCGCCCTCAGAAGACTTACTGTACTATTATGCCGAGCAAAACGGGTTCACGTTTCTGCCTGACTTTCCAGACCCAGGGGTCAAGCCGACGGTCATCTCGTATCAGAAATCCCAATACCTCTGGACGAACCCCAAACAACCACCACCAGGCTTTGAGACCGTGTACGGCGGTTGGAATGAATTCATCTCCAAGGGTGTTACCGAACACAAAGGCACCGAACACGTGCTGATGCCCTCCCACCAATTGCAGGAAATGCTCAAGTCGCCCGAACTCTCGCAGCGGCGCGCAGTAATTCCTCACTGGCAGAAGTATCTGGAAGTGTTTGCCCACGACAGCTTCTACCAAGGATTGCAGAAGATATTCGGCAAAAAGCACCAATGGGACGTTCCGAACGGCAATGTGTGGACCCAGGATGATTTCTCACGCTTTGCAGCGCTCGGCGTAGGAAGTGGAGGCTTTGGCCCCATGTTCCCCATCTCATTCAACACGATATTCCGCATGATTCCGAATGGCCTTGAAACAGAGCAACAGGTCTTCGCCAAGGCGCAAGACAGCGGACCCCCGAGCCCAGCCGGCATTCAAGATCTGGCAGCAACAATTCTCCAGAAAACCATTGATCTCGAGCGCAAGTTCACGTTCAAACCCAACACTACTGGGGATGTCGTCAACTTGAAGGGCGATCCGTCTAGTGGAGTAACGCATATGACAGTCGACGTCAGCGAGGCTCCGACCAACGGCGGGTCTGCAGCGACCAACACATACAATCTGGTCATCGTGGGCACCACGACACGCGCAATGGACGTCAACATGTCCATCTCGAACCTCGACCCAGAAGACCAACCTTACTTCTCAAACAGCGTATGCGAGGCGATAAACGACATACACATGGCCTCCTCATCCAAGCTGTTCATCCGGACCGCAAAATTCTGGGAGCGCGACCCCCCCGACCCCAACTTCCCACGGCTCATCCTCTCCGACACCAAGCTCCCCCAACTATACACGCTCGACTACGGCAACCGCGACTACGGCATGGTCCTCGTCACATACGCGTGGGAGGACCTCTCCACCAAGATCTCCGCCCAAACCGACCCCATGGCGCTTCTCGCCGTCCTGAAGAAACAGGCCGCAAGCATCATGAAGCACACCCACTACCCAGCGTGGGCGAGCAACCTCGTCCCCGTCAACAGCGGCGACGACGGGTTCCTCGTGCACTGGCAGCTCGATCCGCAGATGGAAGGCGCCTTCGCGCTGGGCTACCCCGGCCAGGATGGCTTGACGCACCGCATGTTCTTTGACTTCACCAAGCTGGTGACGGGCAAGGAGGCGCTGGCGCCCGTTTTGCTGGGTGGTGACTCGATCAGCTTCACGGGCGGCTGGATCGAGGGCGGGTTGCAGTGCGCTATGAATAACGTTTCGGCTGTCCTCAAGGCGTATGGGACTCTTGAGCCGAGGGCGGCGAAGTTCGCGCCTGTCAATTTGATGAGGAGTGAGGACTATGGTTATAAGGAGCCGAGAGGGGGTGCTCGTGGGGCGGTCAGGGATACGAAGGGTGGGGGTGGGAAGGTGGATGAGTTTGTAAGGTAGTCTCGGCCGAGTAAGAGTCTGATAGACGCTGGGTGTTACGCTCATAGAGGCTTAAGGGTGCTTGAGCTCTTAGTATCGGCAGGCGGATAGCCTCACTTGACGATGATGCTCGGGAAAAACTACTAACCAATAGTATATCTGCCTGTTGCAACTCATTGCGATTATAACTATTCCGTGGCGTTGTTGTTTTCTACTGTCGATATAAAAGGGCTTGTTGACGATGGTATGATGTCGTGGTGGACAAGTACATTTGTTGACTCAGGGTTTAGCGTGCCAGTTGAGGGTCTCATTGTACAGCCAGGGATGACATGTGACAACATGTGGCGTGACATGGAGCAATTGCTTGATCAAACCTACTTCGGCTAGCGAGTCGTACATTGTCAAATAGCCTCATGCAAAAGAGATATTGTAACTTCAAATGATTAAATTGCAAGTATGAGCTTCAGCAGCACTTTCATCTACTCAAACCATCAATGCGTTTCTGTCAGTTTCTTGTCCCGGACAACTTTAGAGGCCCAACCCCGTGATATCGAGCTCTGGTGCTGCTCTGACAAATTCGTAATCGAACGGCTTCTTCGTAATCTTCTTGCAACTCCCAGAGGTCGCCTTACCAGCGAAGCGCTCATCGATCCACCTCAGCCACTCCGGCGCCGCTGCCTCCAACACACCGGAATGATCCTGCTTAGGATAGAGCAGCATCTTGATCTCGTTTCCATACCCACACGCAGCATTGAAAGCGCTGATGGTCAGCGGCGCCGGAACAGCCGTGTCATTGAGGCCCTGAACAATGAGAATCGGCCTCTTCGACCTCCCACCATTCGCCGGCGCGCTCATCTCCTGCCACCGCTTCAAGATCGACATGTCCTCGGCCGACCACGCCCTCGCAGGCGCCACAATCTCCTCGGCGGGCAGATCCAGCGTCAAGCCCGCCGTGCCCGCCGCGCACGTCTGCGCGCGATCAGCAAGGCCAAGCCGCGTCCTCATGACCTTGCCAAAAATGCTGTAGCCGAACTTGGGGAAAACGCGCTTCGCCGACACGGCCGCCAGCGGCGCCAGCCCCACGAGCGAGTATCGGTGGAAATCCGGCCTCGTCATCACCTGCGACGTGAAGTACATCCAGAAGTCGTACACCTTGGTCGCGGGGCTGACGGCGACGGTCCCGATGTAGTTCGCAGCCTCGCATGAGCCGCTGCCATGCTCGGCCGCGAGCTTCTCGATGTCCTCGCCGAGCTTCCACGCCGCGCCGCCGCCTTGCGAGTGCCCGACCGAGAGCCATTCTTTCGACAGGACGTCGCCGAAGGCTTGGCGCGCCGCCGTCACCGAGTGGAAGACGTCGGCGGCGTGCGCGTTGAGGGTGAGGTATTTGTGCTCGGTGCCGTTGACGCCTAGGCCGGCGTAGTCGGTGGCGACGACGGCGTAGCCCCGCTTGCTGAGGGCGCTCCAGCTGTCGGCGTACTCGAAGAGGTTGGGGCTGTTGGATACCGCGCAGCCGGGGTAGATGCCGATGGTGCCGTGGGCGAAGGCGATCATCGGGAAGGCTCCGGATTTTGGGAGGGAGAAGGGCATCGCGATGTAGCCGGAAACGGGGACCGGGGAGCCGTCGAGGTCCTGGGATGTGTATTGGATCTTGTAGACGGATACGCCGGAGATGGATGTCATGGTTGTCGGGTCCACGGGCTTCAGCTTCAGGAGATCGCCGGGCTTGGATCCGGCGAACTTTTTGCCGACATTGTAGAAGCTCTGGTCGAAGTCGGCTCCCGTGATCTCGAGGTCGGCCTTGTTTGTCTGTTCAAGGATTTCGTAACACTCTTTTCCGCACAAGAACTTTCCGGCTGTTGTACGGGAGACATCGAAATTGGAGCCCTGCGCTGATAGGACTTGCGCGGGATAGAAGAGTAGGGGGAGTAGGAGGCCATACATGATTGCGATAGAGCTATTAGACTTGTACTTCTTTCGCTGGGGGGATGGGCTGAGATTTATACATCATCCTAGGATCACTTCAATGACGCCAATCATCCCCGTCGCGTACCGGAATGTAGTATTTTTCCCAGGCGGGGAAGGCACCTCTAGACGACTAGTAGAGTAAAAGCCTGTTCACGGCCGCGGATGTGAGGTGGATATCGCTGTTGGTTCAGCGTATGTGACTAAGGGATGCGCTAGTTAACCCTGCTGGAGACCTTTCATGCCCCATGTCTAAAGAATGTGTTGCCCGCGCCTGTAAATTCTCTATCAAGTGTAGCGCCTGAATTTCCAGCTCCGATACCTGTCGATCCAACATCGCCAGCAACGGAATGCCCGCTATCCCTATCCGCACGCAGTAACGCTCTCACCAACAAAAGCATGATTTTTAAAGATAAATCTTATTCAAAGCTCAAATATGCAGCTTGCTTTATAAAATGCCAAAGAATCTGCTTCGAAGCTAATTCTCATACCACAAGTGACTGCTGATAAAGATTGGCAAGAGGTTCACGGAGATGAGCCGAAGTGATGGAAAGTATAGGAGTCCCGAAAAGCTTGCTAGTCTGAATAAGGAAATCTATCCGTAAGTGAAGATCACCGGATAACTCAACCCATTTTAAGTCAAGTGCTTGCTCGCGTCGTGATGACTTAAGCCTTGATGGACCGCATCAAGGGGGGTCGGAGCTCGGCCGTTCACGCGGTCCGGCAAGCTTCCATGTGCTCTAGCCCTAAGCCCTACCATCTTTGCGCAGCGTCTCGATGCTTCATATGGAATAGTTCGTACCTATGAATAACTAACACACTAAATCATTATCCCACTATGATTATACTCGCAAACCCTTTTGGCATATTTGAGTGAGCGGAAAGGAACAGAAGGGGATCTGTACGAACAATATGACTAGTTCGGCACTCGAAGCAGTACTGCCGGGACACATCACCGTGGTGCGGTTTCGAGAATCATCAAAATGTCGCAATTAGCGTGAAACGTTGCTGACGTTGCTGACGTTGACAATACTGATTTGGCCGGTCGGGAATTTGCGAGTACCATGTTTGCATCCGTCCCATTGCCTCAGTGGCTTGCTCGTGGTCAAGATTTTTGACATACACCAAAGAAATGACATAAGTCAAGAGACGCTCTACGGATCTCCGCTAGGCAAGTCGGTGAAATACTTCCGCGCACTTCCGCCAGATCCCTTTTATACTCTGTACTACGTTCCGTATTTCTCTTGTCATCGCTGAGATGTATTCTTCATCGCAATAGCAAATATCTCCAAGGACCACAAACCATGGACGTCGACACAACAGGCTGCGTACCATACCAGCCAGGCGTTGAAACCAACTACGGATACGTCCCGTCAAAAGCAGCCGGCATAACCTTCATAACTCTGTTCAGCCTCTCGACACTCCTGCACCTAAGCCAAACGATTCGAAGCCGACAGTGGTGGACACTCCTCTTCGCCATCGGCGGACTGAGTAAGCAACCCACCCACAAACCACCCACCCACCCCGTCCATCCATCCACTAACAACCCCCCGTCTCCCCCACAGCCGAAGTAATCGGCTGGACCGGCCGCACCTGGTCTGCCCTCTGCCCCTACAACACCGCCGCCTTCCTGATGCAAATCACCACCCTCATCATCGGTGCGCCCTACCCCCCACCCCCCTCCCACCACAACCACCCTCAACCAACCCACCCCACCCCCCCGCAGCCCCCACCTTCTGGACCGCCGCCCTCTACCTCCTCCTCGGCACGCTCACCTCCCTCCCGCGCGCGCCGCCCTCCCCCCTCCGCCCACACACCTACCTCGCCCTCTTCCTCTCCGCCGACCTCGTCTCCCTCCTCCTGCAGGCCATCGGCGGCGGCATGGCCAGCGTCGCCGCGGCCGCCCTGCCGCCCGGCGACACCGCGCCGGGGACGCGCATCATGGTGGGGGGGATATTGTTCCAGCTGGCTGCGATGACGGTGTTTGTGGGGTTGATCGTGGCGTTCGTGGTGCGGGGGAGGGGTAGGAGGCTGGGCGGAAGGGTGCGGTGCGGGGTGGGGGCGATGGCGGGGTGTGCGGGGTTGGTGTATGTGAGGTGTGTGTATCGGGCGGTGGAGCTGCTGGGGGGGTGGGAGGGGTGGGTGGCGACGCATGAGGTGTGGTTTTTGGCGTTGGATGGGGGGGTGATGGTGGGGGCGGTGGGCGTGTTTAATTCGGTGCATCCGGGGGTGTTTCTTGGTGGCGGGGCGAGGGGGGAGGAGAAGGGGGAGGGTGGAGGTGGGCGGGTGGAGTCTTGGGCGGCGGGGGTGGGGGATGATGGCGAGGAGAAGGAGGGAGATAGTAGGCCTGGCACGGCTGTTTGAAGGGTAGCTGGGTTTCGTGGCGGGTAAGCGGGGTTGACTTTGTGCTATCTGATGTATTCGTTTGAGCTCGAGGATGGGTCGACTTTGGTGTTGGGCGTTTGAAGGTGGGACGAGTAATGGAAGATTCTAAAAAGTAAAGCAGCCTACTTCAATGCAACGTTTCTAACCACTCGCTTTGCTTCAGCCCACTTTGTCATCACAACTTCTCCAATGCCAATCCGGTACGAGTACCCTTCCTCATCAGTCCAGACGAGCATGACGTTGACGACTGGGTACGGATACGAAGCCCTGCCATTGCAGTCAAGGAATGACCACTCCTGCCTCCTCATTTCCGTGGGGCTATCACATAAACGAGCCGGGGAGCATACCCATGTCGCCACAGAGAGTGCTAAGAACTCCGCGTCTGTACCGCCATCAAGGACCCCAGGGCCGATCTGGCTCTCTAGTGTGGAAGTGGGCAGATGGTTAATTAATCCAACGGAGTCGCCTCGGTGGTCAAGGATGTTGTAATCTTCTTTTACTCCTTCCGGCGGACGTGAAACCGACACTGCGACACATGAGCCAACATCCGTCACAAGACTGGCTTTACTACTCACCACAACTCACTCTCACGATCTTGAGAACAGCAGTCTGCACCCGACCACATAGTATGCCTGCTTTCCGAATGTCGAGCGAAGCGTATTTATCCAGTTCTGCCTTCTCAAGCGCGTCTTTCGGGAAATCGCGAGGCGAAGGCCATATCCGGGTCGTGATCTCGTTAAGTTTCTCAAATGAAGTTTCGTTGTGATCCAAGTACCCAGGACACGGTTCTTTGAAGAGTCCATTCGCCCACGCGATGGCCAAGCACGTGGCGTCCTTGATGAAGCCTATCCCCGGCCCACCTGGCCATTGACGCTCTGGAATACTCACCTCAACCAAGTCTCTCTCCGCCTCGCTGTATTGCGACCACCGGACCAAGGTTCCGATGAAATCCTGTCCTCCAGCAATGATCTGGCCGTGCATTGAACCCCATGACCAAGTTGGTGCACCCCGGCGCAGTCCAGGCGACACCGCATTCTTATAGGATGGTTTATCGGCCCAGAGAAGTGCCCGATCAAAATTCGCTAAAGGGAGGCCGAATGTAGTGCCGCCGTGGTCGTTGAACAAAGGGTTCAAGATGCCCATGAAGGCGTTGAAGATATCGCGATCATCGCCCAGCGTTCGTTGGGTATATCGAGACAAGTGCTGGTGGTACGACTCCCAGGGTGGTTGGTCGTCAGACTCATCACGCCCTGGGGCATGTAACGCCCCCAGCCATCGAGACACGGGTTCCCTGGCAAGTTTGCTTCCTCTTTTGATGTACTTTCCCTTCCATTTATCGGTGTAGACATCTTCGCGAACAACGACTTCTCCGCACTCGAACCATACTTCTCTGTCCATTATGTACAGCTTCCTACTGGGGAGAATTCCCTCTTGGTACGTCCAACCTCGGGTTGACCATATGTTCGACTCGAGCAGTTCCCACGGCTCCTTGGAAGTTGACTCTGTGAGGCGCAGTCCAAGAAATCTGGACTGATTCTTCTCCGGGCGGTCCAGCGACACTCCGGGAATTGCTTGATCCATACTGCTGCCAGAAGCAACCACCAGCACCGCTTGAGCTGCGGTGTAAATGCTGGCCATCATTCCTATCTGCTCGCTCTTGTCTTCCGCGTCGTCTTGCATGATGCACAGACAATCAGCCCAGAGGTATCGCTCAGAGAGTTCCCTGCACACCACCATCGCATCCGCAATGGTCCGTGGCAAAAGAGTCGGCTGGAGAGATCCGGGTTCTTGAAGGCTTTTGGCGTTAGAGAGCTTTGCTATCAGCTTCGACCGGTCAAGCCCCGAGCCCCAGACGTAGCTCAGCGCCAGGTACCGACAAGGCAGCGTTGGCCGCACTAGTTTGCCCTCATGGACGTCGATGACGCAGAAATTGGGCGACAGGCTCCCTGCTTCCTTGGGGCGGCATTCATCGTGGCTTTGGCGGCACTCGTGGAGCCACGCTGCCGTACGCCTCCAGTCGATTCTCCGAGGAGGGGAGCCGTAGTGGTCTGGCGAAGCACGACTCCCGACCGACGTCGGCGGCAGATCCTCGATGTTGACTTCTATTTGAACCTCCTTGCAGTAATCGTTGTCCAGGAGAACGGTAGCCATCAGAAACCCCGGGTTGTTGGCATCACAGCTACTTAGAATAAACAGCTGGTCCGGGAAGTGCGGCATCAAGGGCGTAGCCAACGCGGCCCAGAACCGACACGAGGGGCAATCCCCGGCTCGCCCAGCCACATCCCTCGTCATCCCGAGAGAGACGAATTTCCAATTTTTCAGTCGCGGAACTGGCTGGTTGTCCCTGTCCGGATCCCTCTCGGCGGGGCAAAGGAACAGGTGCCGCAGTCTCAAGTGTCGGCAAAATGCACATATGCGCTGGTCCTCTGTTGCATGTAGAGCGGCGTCATCACATGGACAAGGGGAGTGGAAAAGCTCCTCGCAGTCCGACCGTGAGAGTTGGTAATCGTCGATGACGTCTGCTCTCACGCTGGCGCAGTGTGTGCAGTTACGAGCCTCCGGGGGGCAGCTGTTGCTGTCGTCGCTTTGGTCGCCAACCATGCTGCCCAAGGCGTCGGGAACGGTCGGGGTTCCAAGAGTGGGTTGTGACTGATTATACGGCTGAATAGGGTGTCCGGCCGCAGACTGACCCAGCTTGTCCGCTTGCAGAGTCGTGGTGATTCTTCAAGACTTTAAAATGTTGTTGAAATATGTTGTGGAGAGAATAGGATTTGGTGAATAGAGCAGCGATGGTGCGAGACCACAAATAACACAGCAAATTTTTGGGACATATTGGCGTAAGCGGGGTAATGGCGAAGCGTTCAGCCCATGACGTAATGCACGCAGCAAATATCATCGCTGATGACCTTTCTTTCGTAGGATGATATGTGAAGATTTATGAGTAGTTCCTCTGTAAGTTTTCTCATGCGCCAGAATATTTCTGGTTTAGCATGATCCACGCGTCTATTTTTACATCACGAAGGGTGTCACGGCGAGGCTGGAGGCTGTCGGAATCGTATCACGGATGCAAGGCTTACACGTTCGGGTGACAATCAGGCAAGATCCCAGCATGCAGCTGTTACACAGCACCAATCTCTTGTTTCATGTAGCACCTGTCAATAATCAACAAAAGAAAATGTACCACGTGCATCAGCCGTATCCGCAGCAATTCAAAGTTCGAGCCCTTGCCATGTAAGACAGCAAGGCTGAAGCTCAGCTCTCTATAAGTAGTACCTCATATCGCGCACACGCCCTTCTGCTCCCGCTGATGTACAGCTCACAAGTATCAGAAATTTTCTCACGCAATCCAGAAGTTCAACCTCCACAGAAACAAAACCATTCAATACTCACTTGTCCTTGAAAACCGAAAGAAGCGTTAACAGATCGTTGGGCCACGTTATCGACCATACAATGGAAGCGCAACAAACAGAGATCCAGCCCAGCGACATTGCTGGAAGCGTGGCGGCGCCGCTGTTACATGATGAAATCTCAACACGGCATTCAAAGTCCACCAATCGATTCTGGACTATTGCGAACGTCCTGGCTTTGGTATGCGTCCTCGCTTCGGTCGCCCTTCCCATTATCCTCTTCGCTCCCGTCTCAGGAAGAATCAAAGCGCTCTATGGTATATGCCGTCCTGATGGCGCTTTCGATTATTTCTTAACCGACCCACAATACTACTCGCGCGGCTTCAGATATTACTTCGTCAGTTTTATCAACCTCTTTTCCCACACCAACATGGTCGCTATAACCATTGTCTTCGGCAAATACAGTTTCGCACAAGCAAAATCGATTGACTTGGCCTGGGACATCGGGGTCGGGCGTATTGGCCAGATGGTTCTGGCCTACGTGTCTTACCTCGTCATCACGCGGACCATGCTACACGCCATGGAAACCACCGCCATTCCTTATCACCTATTCGTTGACCTATCTTTTCTGGATCCATCGTCCATGGCAACACTGTGGAGCATCGTTACCGTCACACCGAAGTCTCAACTGTGGAAAGCTTGGAAAGGGCCTCTTCTTGTTGTCGCCTATATAATAGCCTATCTTACCGCATTTCCAACAATTGTAAGCGCCATGACTGGTTACATCACCACATTTTCTGCTAGAGTCGAGTTTGGGGATGCTTCCGTCGACTACGAGAGCGATGAAATACTCCCAGTGCAATTAAAGATTGGGAATTGCAGTATTTTCAACCAAAGCAATGGCTGCAATATTTATTATCTGCCCGGATCAACGCCGAAAAATGGTTTCTGGGAAATCATCGAAACCGGGGAAACGTTTGACGATACAATTTTCTATGAGCTAGAATCTGGTAATCTTAGATTTCTGGCCCTCCTTGGAAAGCCATTGGCTGATCTCGAGGACAGCATATAACTGCCAACTCGACCCCAACTACTCCAGATCCTGCGGAACGCTGAATATCAGTGATAGCATCCTCAAAATCGACCCACTAGATTCATTGAACATAACGTATTTACCCGGCATATGGGCTTACAACGGAGAGATGTACAACGGTGAGTATATCGAAAAGCATGGTCATTGTCAACCTGAGAAAGAGTACCAGTGGGGGTTTTCATTTCAATTGCTCTTTATATTTTCCATTTTGAACCTGATTTGGGCGGTTTCCTTGTGGTATCTATGGCTTAGCGCTAGGGGCGACTACAATGTCCAGACCAGATATGGAAAGTACCGGGCGGCGGTTGATTTGGTCGGCGTTGCAAAGGAAGCGCTTGGCAATCGAGTGGAAGAGATGTCGAACGCAGAGATTGAGAAAGAGCTCAAATGGAGAAGCACCGGCATCGTCAGATCTGACACTGGAACGCAACGGCTGATTCACTGGGACTGGGCTCGTTTCTATAGGAAAAGGTACAGGCCCCCGTTCAAGACGCGGATGGCTGCCATTGGCGATGGCGTTAAACGCGGCATGGGATACATTAGAACAATACCAGCAAAGATCAGGTTGTGGCGGCGAGGGCTTTGGTCAACACGCCGAGGGCCTAGAGTTGAAGGGAGCGGAATGGTGCTACATGCCCTACAAGCCAGAGAACACCGCTTATCCAGCAGTTCTCGTATGTAGATAGAAAAGCTGATTAGGGAGGACTTCCATGGAAAGAGGGAGCGAACACAAAGCAAGATGAATAGTAACATGTATCGTGAGTGTGATTTTTTAACCACTTGCAACTCTACCACGCCCCCAGTAATTATTTGCCAGCAGTGATGGCAAAAGCCCATGGCGTGTTTCGACCCCAAGTCAAGTGGGTTACTGAACAGTACGGACATCAATACCACCGACATGCACACCCATCAACCATAACAAAAGATGACGGCAAGAACCACTATCATCTCACGTAATTGCCTCCAACCCCCGCAGGCACCGGACCACACACGCCACTCGATCCCCCACCGCAAGAACAACAAAGGGACCACCACCACCACCACCGCCGCCGCCTCCCACCCCACCCCACAAGACCCCAACCCAACCCAACCCAACCAAGCTCGACCCGTCCCATTACCCACCCCTCACCTCCACCCACTCCGCCAACTCCCCATCCCCCCTCAACCTCTCCATACACCCCCTCTCCAACCCCAAATACACCTCCACCCCCTCATCCGCCCCCGCCCCCGTCCCCGCACCCCTCGTCGGATACAAGAAACAATACCCATCAAACACGGCGCTCGCCCACCTCAGCGCCTTCAACCCCCCGAACCCGAAATCCGCCCGCTCGTACGCCCGCAGCACCCGCCACGACGTCGCGATCACGTCCAGCCCCAGCACGACGTCGACGGCCATGTCGACGCTGCCGACGCCGCCGCGCGGGCAGGAAGAGATCCAGCGGAGGGCGCGGGCGAGGAGGGTGGGGTGGCGGTAGTGCGTGATTGTGTGGCGGATGGTGAGGGCGATGGGGCGGAGGGGGGAGGGGGAGGCGGGGCTGGGGGTGGGGGTGGGGTGTAGGAGCTTGTTGAGTGGGAGGGTGGCGCGCGAGAACATGACGCTGTTGCCTGGGTAGGCGGCGGGGACGCCGATGGTGGGGCTGGGAAGGGTGGCCGGGTCGGTGTCGCTGTCGCTGTCGCTGCCGGAGGGGGAGACGGGCGGCGAGGGCGAGGGGACAGCGGCGGTGTTGCTGGTGGTGGTCGTCGTCGTCGGTACGTAAGCGCGGACGTCGATGGCGTTCATGAGGGCGACGGGGCGAGTGTCGTCGGCGAGGGATTCGGGCGTGATGCCGTGCAGGGCCAGGCGCGAGCGGGTGATGCAGCGCCACATCAGCGCCGTCAGGGCGTCGTTCGTGGACACCCAGGAACCATCGTCGTCGTCGTCGTCGTCGTCCGGGATTGCTGCTGCTCCTTTGTTTGGTGGCGTAGTGGAGGAGGCGAGCGCCTTGAGGGCTTTGAGCTTCGACGCCGGCACGTACCAGATCTGGGACGCCATTTGCTCGGGCTCCACGCCTGCTCCTGGCGCAGTACCGTCAGGCATCCATCGCATCGAGGGGACGGCTGGGGTGCGGTAGTCGACGGGTGGAATGGTGGGGTTGGCCATTAGTGGCGTCCGGTCATTCCAGGATGGGTCGAAGGGCGCGGGCGCGGGACCATCGGGATGGAAGATGGACCGCGTGTGCTCGGCCCAGCGCGCGAGGATGTTGTCCATGCCCCGTGCGTCGACGAAGCGGTGGTTGATGGCGAGTCCGATGATCAGACCACCCCGAATTAGGTTCAATTGGACCAATGTGACGGGGATGCCCGACCCGTCTGCGGGTAGTTGGGGGAAAGGCTCAAACCCCGGAGCAAGCAGATCGGTATTCTCCAGCTCACTGACTGGGAAGTGTCGTGAAGCGAGCTCTGCATAGGACGGGTAGTTGGTGCGCCGGAGATCCTTGACGTGGACCGTGAAATGGGTTTGGCTACGGGTGCGCTTGGAGTAACTTTGACCGTTGTCGTCCTCGTGGACGCATCCCGCAAGGAAGCGGTACTCCTTCATGACCCTTTGAAGCCCCGTGCACATGTTCGAGATGATGGTGTCGTCATCCACGGTCCCGTCAAGCGAGTACGTCAAGGTGATGGGGTTGGAAATCTTCCGCATGATCGCATCGAGGATGCTGATGGGATACACCTCCTCCGGTGGGTCCGACGCAAGGTCGGCCACCTGTATCTGGATGGTTCTTGTCGAAGCGCTGCTGTGAGGCATAATGGCGGCTCGTGCTGTCAGTGTGGCAGTACCTTGGAAGGGTGCTTACCGTGGCATTAAATGAAGGTATCTTTATCTTCGCACACGCCAGGCGGGATCGCCCTGCTCTTGCGCGTATGAGAAGCCTCCATCTATGGTGACCGCTGTTTGTACGATAGGGGAAAGTCCTCCATTGAGCCATGGTATTCTGCGCTCGAAAAGGGCCACGATCTCTGAAGTCAGTCCACTTTCTTGGCCCGTGCCCTCATTCCCTCCTCATACCACGATGAAAATCATTCTTCAAGAAGATCTTTGCTTCTGTAGGTAACTGTTCGCTTACTTCTGATATCTCTGAGCCCTGGGCTCTGCAAGGTTTTAGGTGCATCTAGTATGTCAGCCTTGGTGCCTGGTGGTGACGACGCTCCGGCAAAAATTTGAAGCGACCGTTTCAGGGGGCTTGGGCGGAACGTCTTCCCGGATCATCCGCCGCGCCTGTGGCGCCTAAATCATCGATGATCTACAACATAGTACTAGTGGGCTCTCCGGAGCAAATTGGAACTCGTTCCGATAAATCCGAGAAGTTGATCGATGTCGTCTTGGGCGGTTATGGGAAAACGAGCAGACATTTTTGGGATGCTCAAGGGACCATGGAACCCGTCTGAAAGCGCTATTCGGTTGATGACGCGTAGTCACAGCGTTGCTTTGAAGTCAGAAGATTTGCAGTAGACACGTACGATACTTCCAACCAACCAATTACGCCATGAAGTTTGACCAAACTATCTTCCTTAACATCTCGTAGCAAGCCTCCAACTGCTCCGATTGCCATTGAACTTAGTATTCAACCGATTGATGTTGGCCAAACGGACAGCCATGGAGGAGAAGTAGATACGTGCACTGCGGGACTCTGATGTATGTCCACTTCGGGATTAACCCTGCCCCACCTCGAAATTAACTCCCGCCCCGCTCTCACCTGCTGGTGTACTGTGTAAGCACGATATCGAGGCTCTGACGCAAGACACAAGCCTGTTCCTATGGTGATGGTGTAGAACCTCGGCGTTGGCTGTTTCATCGAACAAAATTCGATATTCTTCTTTTAGTGGTATAAATCACCTGCCACCAAGAAGAGTGAGTACTCACAAAACTATCAACGAATTAATACTTGTTGGACTACATCATCAAATGATCGTGATACTCATCATCATTCAACAAGGATCGCGATGATCATGTCATTCAACAAGGGACTCATTCAACAACATGTCGTCATGAACACCTCCCTGGCTAAACGACAACACCTTGTTAAACCTCCCTTTCTTCGCGCGCCTATATAGACCTCATGTAGCAGTAGTATTCAATAATCATCCAGCATTCAGCTTCACTCTCTACAGCCGGCTGTGATCACACCGACCGACAATACTTCATCAAGACGATACATGGTAAGATGTCATCACGATGGCTTGACCTTCGACGGCATTTGGTCACCTCTCCAGCAGGTAGCTAGAGCCCAAACGTGAAGTCTTCATACACCAGTCCAGACAGTCACATCCTTTTAGAGGCCTGGTAGAAAACAACACCTTCCGCACGCACCGAAGGGTGACAAGTTTTTGTCAACCAGCCGAAACACAATAGTGAGAGGAAAAACGAGGGAATCCTCGACTGGCTGCCGCCTCGTTACTCTGCTTGCTATCTGCCTCGGTTCCACTGCCGTCACTCCATACACATCAACATCCACAAGACAAAAACACACATAGCAACCAAAGATACACGACAGATGGGGAGTCTCGAAGCAAACGAACAACCCATCAGACGAGGCCAGTATCGAACACACCGAAAAGCTCGAAACCTGGAATTCAGCCAAATTCTAAAGGAAAACCAGGTGCATCATCGTCGCAAAGAAACTCCACAGCCTCGTACCGGAGATTACACTTCTACACACCATAGCGACGAAAGACGAGTGAGGTGAGAGGAAGCCCTGACAGGAGGAAAACTGCTGCCCCCATGACGTCCAAGAAACATACCAACACGCTGGACAAAAGCACCCCCGTTCGTCCCCCATACCTATCGACATTGACAACACCGACATCAACATCCACAGCGCCGCCGGCATTACAAGTTTCCATCTCTCCCTCCTCCAGGAAACAAGAGTAAGACCATTAAAAGCCTAACACCTACTACCTCCTCCCCTTCGTTCATAAGGAGACAGGTAAAAGTCGAAAGGAAAAAAAAAAGAGAAAAGCCCACCTATTACTGCCCAAAGAGCCCAGACATTCTCCATCCGAAGGCTCAAGGAGAGAGAGAAGCAAACCGACAACCAAGGAAAAAGGAGGAGCGATAGAAAAAAAAAGGTAAAGGGCCTTGTAACACACAATGCACAGGCATTTATCCATTTTTGTACACACTCGACAGTTCTTTAGACGCAACTTCCCCACTGCTCCTTTTTGTGAAGAACCTCGAACGTGGGAATTTAATAAAGAAAAGAGGAAATAAGAGAAAAGAGAAGAAAAAAAGAAAAACAGGGGAAAAAGAGGAAATATAAAAGAAAAGAAGAAAAAGACGCATCGACAGATAGTTTATCCCTAAACACGAAAGTGTAAAGTAACCCTCATCCCAGAAACACCTAGCACGCCGGTCGATATGATTGCTGTGTATGTGGTGAATTTTCCTTTTTGCCCCTTTGATGCAGACAACACGAATAATGTTTCTTTCAAGTCTCCAGTTCAAACCCCAACCAACCTCCACCCCCCATCATCACTCAAGCCTTCGCCCCGCCATCCGGCCCATCGCCACCACCTTCGTCCTTCCCCTCTCCGTCCTTGTCCTTTCCTTTCTCCCTCGACGCCAAGAACATGGCCTTGAACTCCGCATTACTCTTGCTGCCCGAAGCTTCCGCCCCCGTCTCCGGCATCTCGACATCCTTGCCAGCGGCTGATGCCGAGGGGCCCGTGGCCCGTTTGATCCCGAGTCCACCCTTCCCGCCTCTCCGAGCACCCTGCAAGCCTGGCCGGCTGACCCGCGGAGCTGGCTGCATGAGTGCAGGCTTCGAACCTTCCTTCTTCTCGTCCTTCTTCTTGCCCGATGGGCCGCCGCCGCCTATGCGGTCGACCTTCTTCTCGGCCCTTGTCTTCTTCATCTCTGCCACCGTGTCGACGTGGATTTTCCGTCCGGGTTCGATCTCGTAGCCCTCGAGCGCCAGGCTGGCCTTCCCCACGTCTGAGACGTGAGCGAACTCGATGATGGCGCCCTGGTGCTGCGGCATGAGAATGATCTTCTTCAATGCTCCGTGAGACTCAACGATAGAGCGGATGCGTGCATCGTTGACGGTGTCCGGGATGTTCATGAGGGCGATGGTGCGCTCACGGCGGTCGTTCGCGGCTGACGCCGTTCCATTTGTCTCGGCAGAAGCATCTCCAGGAGCAGAGCCGGGTTCAGGGGAGGCCGAGGGTTGGCTGATGACGGTAGTGGCCAGGCGTTTGTTGCCCTTCGGCTCCGAAATGGTAGCGCGGAGGATACGCTGCTTGAAGTCCTTCGCATCCAGGATGTCGGCAGCCTTCTTCGCGTTTTCGGGTGTATCAAATTCCACGAAAGCAACTCCTTTCATCTTTCCACCAATGTTCCTCGGGATACGCACGTTGACGAAACCTTCCAATGCTGATAGAAGATCCTGCACTTCTTGGTCCGTTGCACCATGCTCGATGTTTCCAACAAAGATCTCCCGGCCTTCATATAGAGCTCCGTGGCGCTCTTGTTTGTGAGCAGGATCCGAAATGAGTGCTCGAAGTTTGAGACTCTTTCCCAGCGGCCTGCCGTTCAGAGCCTTCGATGCTCCTTCCGCTTGCTCGGCGCTGGCAAATGTGACGTAACAGAAGCGACGATGGGTGTTGTACTTTAATGACGGAAAGCGCACCGAGACAATCTCACCGTGTTCCTTGAAAAGCTTTCGGATATACACCTCATCGGCCTCGGGAGGATAGTTAGTGACCCACAATGTGCTGCCAGTCCCAAGGGAGATCTGAACGCTTTCGCCTTCGAGAGGCTTTCCGTTGCGGGAGACCGCGAACTGCGCATCTTCCTGCGTCTCGAATTCAACCGTGGCTGCTTGCGTGGAACCATTGGCGTCGGGGATAAGGCTGATGCTGTTAATAATACCGCAGCCGTTGAAGAACTGGCGGACTCTTGTTTGGGTAGCAGAAGACGGGATGTTCCTGACAATGACAGTCGTGTGCTCCCTGTCGCGTTTCAACTGAGCCGCTGCTGACGAAGACGCCTCGAGTTCCATCGGCTCTACGCTTGCCTCCTCCGCTTGCCTGCTCTTCTTCGTGGCCGTCTCCTCGGCAACAGCCTCAAAGTTCCGCTTTCGCTTCCCGTTCGCTGCAGGATCCTCGTAAGCCTCCGCAGGGGCCTCGGTGGTAGCGAGTAACTGCTGTGGGTAAGCTGCTGCAGCTTCAGCAGCTTCTCTCTGTCGTCTGGCCACTACTTCCGCTCTTGCTTTCTTCGACTCGAAGATAGCGACGCGGTACTCTTGAACGTTCTCGTTCTGCTCACAGTGGTTGATGAACATGTCGATGAGTGCCTCTGGCCAATCCATTGTAACGACCTTTGAAAGACCCTGGCGAAGCATGTTAGTAGCTTCCCGGGGTGACTCCAGCGGTTGGTTGTTGTCCTTGTCCCGCATGCACCATTTTGACCAGACGACCATTTCCCAAATGTAGTAGCGGTACCAGAAATCATAGCTGTTCTCCAGGCGGGGAACGAGGGCTCTCCAGCAGTCGCGGGCTGCCTCAGGATTGCCGCTTTGGGTGATGAACTTGATGTTGATCCTCTCCAGGCGATACTGCGGATCACCCTGGAATTCCTTTCCGTATCTCTTCTCGCCAATCTCTTTGACGTGTTCCAGGGCAGATCGGATGCCAACTTCGGCAATGTCGACGTCATCCTCGGAGGAACGAGCATCGAAGGCCTTGCGGCGGAGGAAGCCACACCACGCGATGTAGACCTTGAGAAGCTCTTCCAGACCGCCGACATCCAGCAAGCCGGTCTCGGTGGCGCTGTGCTTGACACTCTCCATCTCGTCGAAAGACCTGCCTTCTGCTTCGAGAGTGAGTAAGCGGTGCGACCAAAGCTCCCCAGACCAAGGACAGTGGCGGGTGCCCCTCTCAAGCACGGGAAGGACCTCGACGCCTGAGCCGGAGTGCTCCATGAGCAGCTCCACATAATTTTGCCATATGGCGGCATCAATGGAGAAGCGAAGGGTGGCACGCTCGAACAAGGCATTGATGAGGTGGAAGCTGAAAACGCCCTTGTTGCGGAGCTCCCATTCTAGATACGCTGAGTAAGCCTCCCACTCGGCATCCTTGTCTGCGGCTTTGACGGCCCTGTCAATCCTCAGCTCATGGTGCTCACGCAACGCAAATTGCTGCTTGGCCTGGCTTGCACGCTTGGTCATGGTCATCATCGTCTCCTCGTACTCGGAATTGAAGTAGCGCGAGATGAAGGTGGAGAACATCTGGAAGGTGTCCTCCCACGTCGCGTGGGGTTTGAGGAGGCGGTCGGTAAAGGCGTTCCGGAGGTGGTGGAGCTTCTGGGGTTCCGGCCGAGCTTCCTGGTCTCTTAGCATGATCTCCATCCAGCGATCCCACACGAGATGGCTGTCGTTCATGTGCCATTGAGTGGCCGGCAGAGCCTGCTCCCAAACGTCCTTCATTGCCTGCCACGAGAAGACTTCCCGGCCCAACATCTTGTCCTCCTCCGTCCAGTCCGCAGGCTCCACGTCGAAGGCAGCCGCCCAGAGCCAGTACATGTAATCACCGTACAAGCGCCAGAGTGTGGAACTGCTGGGCTCTTCCTGAACGGACTTCACGCAAAGCTCCATCAGGCTCACGCGGTCCTCGGTGGAGCGCGCTAGCATCTTCTCGTCGTTTATCCAGGCAACCCAGCTGTCCTCACCTATCGCGAATTTTGCATGCATTGTATGGCGGGCGCGGCGGAGCTCGGAAAGCAGCCCGTAGGAGAAGGGATCGCGGGAGGCGTCCGGCGCGTCGGGGGGGCGGACGTGGTCGCGCAGCCCCTTGGTGAGGAGCTCGACCAGGCGAATGTGCGACGTGTAGTCGTACGAGTTCTCCTTCAGCTTCGCAACCAGGTCGTTGATCTCCTTGTTGTCGGCAGGGGAGAGCGAGTTGGCGTGGAAGACGCGCGGCTGCTCGTGCATGGTGATGTCCTTGGCCGAAGTGGAGGACATGGTGCGGGTGATGTTGTGGACGTTGTAGCTGTGGCGGGGTCAGTAGAGGTTGGCGGGGGAGGGGGGGAGGGGGACAAAGCGCCCGGTGAGGAAAGACGGGAACGCTACTCACCCGACGGAAGGAGCCCGCTGGAAGACCTGTGGCGACCGCAAGCCCTGGCTGCTCTGGCGAGTAGTCTGCTGGTGATGCTGCATCGACGCGAGATCTGCGCGGGTCAGCACTGTTGCCGCCGCAGGCGCGCGCAGCGGATCGCTCGTTCTCGACTCACCTGCCAGCGTATCCATGCCGGGGGTGGAGCCGTGTCGGTGCATGGGCGGCTGCTGCGGGCGCTGCGACGCGGGCGGGGTGCGGGCTTCCGCTATGTGCGCGAGCGGACTCCTGATGTCGCTCGTCGGGGTGCTCGTCGCGCTCAGCATGCCGCGGCCATTGTGCGCCGGCGAGGGACCCGGCGACGGCGCATGCTGCACGTTCTGGTACTGCAGATACGAGTGGGACGCACCGGCGGCCGGCAGCTGGGGCAGCGGGATGTGCTGTGGCGGGGTCGGTTGGTGGTGCGGCGCGTGCTGCTGCTGCTGCAGCTGGTGGTGGTGGTGGGCAAGCTGCTGTTGCTGCTGCTGTTGTTGCTGCTGTTGCTGTTGTTGCTGCTGCTGCTGCTGCTGCTGCGGGTTTTGCTGATGCGGGTGCTGATGCGGTGGCAGCTGGGGCGGCGGCGAGTACTGCTGGACCTGGCTCAGGCCCGACGACTTGCGCGACTTGGCCGGGCGGCCGGGGCGCTGGAGCGGCGACTGCGAGGGCTGGGGGCTGCGCAGCGGCGGCGTCTGCGATTCCTCTTTGGCTGGCGAGTCCTGGGGACTGAGGAGATTTGCGATGTTCATCTTTGCTGGCGTTGAGGACAGGCGCGGTGGTCAGGTCCGGAAGGGGTGCGACATGGCCAGCTCGCCGGCGCGGGGAGGGATTGGAGATGCGTGGTTGTTGTCGTTGGATGATGATGGCTTAGGTCGCGCGCAGACGCCTCTCTGGAGCACTGGCTTGGGCCGAGTGAGGTCAATTGTGGAATCGCGCTAGCTGGGCCACTGCCACACCTGGCCCACTCGTCAGCGGCACACGGCGGGCGCTCACGCGATGCGGCACTCTGCGAAATGGGCTGCACGCGCGGGAAGGATGCGGCTGCCGGAGGTTGCAGCTGGCACGCCCGGGCTGACTGTTGCGCGGTTCCTGGGTCTTGCGAATGGAGATACTTAGGGCGCTCCCGGTAGCCTGGTCTCGCATCACCCGCCGGCCTCAGCAGCGGAAAATCTCTGGCTCAACCTCAGCACACGCGACTCCCACCACCCACCCCAGCCATGAACGTGAGGATGCCCGCGAGACGGCTGGCCCCGCCAGGTGAGCTGCCCATGCCCATGCCCTGCCCGAGCCCAATGCCATGCTCCATGTGGCCCCCCGCCCGCGTCTCCCAATTGCATCAACAGCTTCGCTCCGATGCCGTCGACTCTCCAGCTGACAGCCCTCCCAGCCGTCTCCCTCCCCCTCGCCCCCCGCCGCCCCTTCGTCTCCGACATGTTCAACCGCTTTCGCAAGCGCCAAAAGGACGAAAAGCCCAGAAACGACCCCAACGCGCCGAAGCCCAAGAACCCGCTGCTGGAAAGATACCTCCGCGAAAAGCCCACCGCCCAGGCCTCGGGCCAGCCGCAAGTGAAGCAGGGCTCCCTCTCCTCCGACTCCATCTTCACCGAAGCCGAGCGCGCGCCGACGGCGCCTGCCGCTGCCGCTGCCGCCTCAGCCCCGAAGCGTCACGAAGCCCCCATCACGGAGCTATACCCCGGCCGCGACCCGGCTGCGATGGCGATGGCGCTGCACCCGGACCCGCGGGGCGACGCGCGGTGGGCGCGCAAGATGGTGATTCGGGAGACCAAGTACCGGGGGCGGGTGCAGCGGGCAGTCGCGCTGAAGCGCATCGAGCGCGAGCAGCTGATGCAGTCTGGCCAGATCAAGACGTCGGTCAAGAAGCTGGGCATGCTGGCCCGCCAGATCCAGGACAAGCCCATTGAGGAGGCCATCCTGCAGATGCGCTTCAGCAAGAAGAAGGCCGCCAAGAAGGTGCTCGAGCACCTCGAGTACGCCCGCGACTACGCCGTCGTCTCGCGTGGCATGGGCCTGGGCGAGGCCCAGGGCACCAAGGGCGAGCCGGTGGAAATCGAGTTGAAGGATGGTCGTAGGAAGCTTGTTGAGGATAAGACTGGCATCTACGTCGACCAGGCTTGGGTCGGAAGGGGCACGTACGGCAGGGCGTGGGATGTCAGGGCGAGGGGCAGGGTGAATATTCTGCGGTTACCGACGACGAGTAAGTCACCGAATCAAGGATTCGTCCGTCAAGCGGATTGCAGAAACTGACGTGAATACAGGCATTTCGGTGCTCTTGAAGGAGGAGGCGACGCGCATAAGGCTGTCCGAGGAGAAGCAGCAGAAGCGTGCTAACCGTAAGGTATGGACACAGCTGCCTGACAGGCCAATTCAACAGCAACGCCAGCACCTGCTGTGGTAAATCGTCATTACGACAAGGGCTGATGGCGTACATTTACACGGTCTCCTTGGGTTTATGTCTCCATGTATAACAACACCTGAAACTTTGCAAAACTTCGTGGTATGAATTCAGAACTTTTCCTGCCTTGAAAGGATAGCATTGTTTTTTTGCACGCCCTCTAGATATCACCGGATATCTCGTACAGAAATGATGTGCCCGTCCAAAACGCCAGCGCTATGCAAGAGGTGTTGCCACACTCATTTATCCCGCACACTTATCTTCCACACTCCATGAGACATAGCCCAACCCCACCAGTAAAGAAGAAAACAAGGCCAAGTTGTCTATGCCTGGCTTGTACCGGCCATCAGCATCTCTAGCATGCCCTGCGTACTCCATGCCTGCTGGCTGATTTCAGCATTTCTTCTGACCTTATCGTGCAGTTGATCAACCAGAGCATCAATCTCCGCATTCTGGCCCATCTCCTCAGAGTACAGATCCAACAGCACGAATGCCACATCAGTGGCGAGTTGGATGTGGCGTGGATCGCCGATGTTCTTATTGAGCCACTTGAGGACGGGCTGAAGGGTCATTTCGTTACGGCCGCTCAGAGCCGTCCGCAGTGCGGAGCGGTGGCGAAGAGCTGTGAGGAGGGTGAGAGTATCTTGCTTGGACGGGTTCTAAAGTTGTCGTTAGTAGAAGTTCGAGGGAAGGCAGTCAGGACATCAATGATAACGTACCTGAGCCTCGAGGACAAGATCAAGCGCCTTTTCGAATTGGCCTTTCCGAAGTGCTGTCTCCCACCTGCTCATGTTCTTGATCTTGCCGCGCTCGTTTCCGTCGATGATGATGTCCGCGCCTTCACCGGTGAAATCCCGTCCACGCAGTCTCTTCTCCCAACCCTTGCCCCTCTTCTTGTTCTTGCTGTCATACTCTTCAATCTTCCCTTCCATGAGTGCCTTCATTTCCTTGGCACGCTCGCGGGCTGCCACCTTCTGCTGACCGGATAACCTCGTCTTGAGCGACAGAATACCGTTTTCCATACCGACGGCCAAGTGCTTGTCTTCCCGCTCCGTACCCGATGCGATGACTCCGAGAGACAGAATCGGCGAGGGATACTTGAAGCCAGCAACGACATTCCAGCCAGTCGTCTCAAAGACCTTGACATGGCCGTCCAACCCACCGCTGATGACTCGCTCGCCGTTGTTCGCCAGCGCCAAGCTCGTGACGGTCTTCTGATGGTTGCGCAGCAGCTGCAGAGGGCGACCACCAACCAAGTCGAGCACGGAAACGGTGTTCTCGGCCGAGGCGAGCAGGGTGGTGCCGGACGGCAGAGGCAGGACACTCTCGACAGCCGCGGCGTGCTTGAACGTCATGACGGCCTTCCCTCTGATCCTCGGGTCCCACAGGCGAACCGTCTGGTCATAACTACCGGAGAACAGCAGGCGGTCCGCCTGCCCCGGCATGAATCCACCGCACCTCACGTAATCTTGATGCCCCACGAAAGTTTGAGTGCTCCTGTCCGAGGGCAGATCCCATAGGCGCACGGTGGTATCGTCGGACGCGCTCATGAGCGTCGTCAGTTCGGCCGGACTCCATTTGGTAACATGGACGGGCTGCTTGTGTTCCTTCCAGGTCTTGAGGATAGCGCGCGAGTTGATGTCAAAGGCCTGGATGGCGCCACTGTCGCCTCCGGCCAGCAGCACGCGGCCATCGCGGCGGATGTCACCGCTGTGCGCGCGGTCCTCGACTCCGAAGCGCGTGATGGACTTGACGACCTTGCGCGTACGGCTGCTGAAAATCTGCACGCGGCCGCCCGAAGTGACGGCGAACGTTTCCGGGCTGTTGAGCTGGGTCGACGAGGGTGCGAAGAGGGGTGCCGAGATGTGGGTGACAGGCGATGAGTGCGGCGAGGGCAGCAGAAGCTGCGAAGAGAAGGTCTTCCAGTACTTCTGCTCCGGCGTCAGGGCGGACGGCGCCGCGGGCAGCTTGACGGGCTGTAGCGGCCGGACTTCTGTTGCCATTGTCGCGTGTGGGTGGGAGCGCGGGGCCGGAGATGTGCGTGCGTGCTGGTGGTGGTTGAGGGCTCGCAGCGCGGGAGATATTTTTCTGAGCAATGACGCCGGATCCCTGCAAATCTTGGCGGCGCGCGTGTCAGGGCTCGCGTTCGGTCCCCCAGTCCCCAGATCCACCGCGCACCAGACACCCGTGTCCTGCATTGCGGTCTCTCACGTCCCTGCTTACCAATTTCGCGCGCTATCGCTCCCCGGTGTGCTCGAACCCCCTGTATCATCACCAATACTTCTTCCATACAACACCATGGACCCCGGGGATCCAGCCATGCATGCCGATGAGCCTCAACCTTCCGTCTTCCGCTGGGTTCTCGGCTTCCTGCTTGTCGGGGCGGCATGGGGAATGACCACGCCATTCATGCGGCGCGCTGCCGTCAACTACACTCCACCGTCCCGTCCGTATCTGACGGATCCAAGTGTTCCCTGGTTGAAACGGAAGCTATGGGGTGTCATATTCGCAGTGGCCGATCTCTTGCGGCGGCCGGCGTATGCTGTGCCACTGTTAATAAATATTACGGGGAGCATTTGGTTCTTCCTTCTGCTGGGCTCGGCCGGTAAGTGGAATGCACAGTCAATCTACCAATCCTATGTTGACTAGTTGCGTGCGTTGTAGAACTTAGCCTTATGGTTCCCATCACGAATTCATGTGCGTTCTTGTTTACCGTTTTGGGTGAGTGGCTGGCGGAGCGCAAAGTTATTGAAAAGGGTAAGTGAAACACCGCCCAGCTGGCCTCCACAGCAACATTAACATTCATTTCTAGATACTTGGTTCGGGATGGCACTGGTACTCGGAGGCATTGCTTTGTGCGTGACTGCAAAGAGATAGAACATACTGCAAACCAGCTAGAGATTTGTTCGCCACTCTTATTTTCATCTATGGTATCTATTACTACAATACATCTACAGAGCATCTGCACACTCATTTTTTTTCCTCGCTCTCCTGAATAGCAATCATTTGCTGGACCTCCTGATCGCTCATCCACTGCCTGACACTCTCCATGGCTTTCTCCAGGTTGTCCCCTCCTTCGATCACATCGTCCAAGCCATGGATCGTCAGCCCACTGCGGTGGTCCGTCACGCGCTGCTGTCCCCAATTGTACGTTCTAATCTTATGCTCGCGGCCCATCTTGGCAACGCCTATGACGCTCCTCCGCAAGTTCAGCGCCTCTTCCTCCCTGGATTCCCGTCTCAACTGCGCTATCCTCGACCGCAGCACCTGCCACGCCTTGTCCCTGTTCGCTCTTTGTGACCTCGAATCCTGAATCGCCGCCACCGTCCCGGTCGGAACGTGCGTCAGCCGGACCGCCGACTCAGTCTTATTGACATGCTGTCCACCAGCTCCACTCGCCCTCATGATATCCGTCCGCACCTCCTTCGGATCAATATAGTAATCGCTATTCAGGTCCTCGAAATCCACATTAGCCGCGCCCCCTTCGGGAAAACTCGGCAGCACCAGCACGCTCGCGGAGCTGGTATGCGTGCGGCCCTTGCTCTCGGTCGCCGGCACGCGCTGGACGCGGTGCACGCCGGCCTCGCAGCGGAAGCGGCCGTAGGCGCCCTCGGCCGCGACCTCGAGGATGGCCTCCTGCAGCGGGGCGTCGGAGCCGCGCGGGTCGCCGCCGCCCTCGGCGTCCTCGTACTTGACGAGCTGCGCGCGCAGCCCCTGCCGCGAGCAGTACGCCTGGTACATGCGCAGCAGGTCCGCCGCGAACAGCGCCGCCTCGGACCCGCCCGCGCCCGGCCGGATTTCCAGCATGCACGGGAGCTGCGCGAACGGGTGCTTCGGCACCAGGCTGCTTGTCAGCGACTGCGAGGCGCGGTCGAGCTGGGCGGCGGTGTCGGGGAGGTCTTCGGCGGCGAGGTCGCGGAGCTCGGGGTCGGCGGCGGTGTCGTTGACGAGGCTGCGGAGCTCGGTGAGGGACTGGTGTGGTGGTGAAGGTTAGAGGACGGCGGGTTGCGGCGATTGGGAGGGCCGTTTGGGGTCGCAAACCTCGTTCGCCTTCTCCCATTCTTTTAAGGCTGCGGCGATGGGAGCGGCCTCGCCGGCCTTTTTGGCGGTGCGGGTGTCGAAGCTCTCGACGAGCTTCTCTGAGAGCTGGGCATGCTCGGCGGCGACGGCGCGTGCGCGTTTGAGCACCGCAGATGAAATGGAATCTAGAGATGCGCTAGTGGTTTGGTGACGCACGAATGCGGCGGACCTGGCGGGGAAGGAGGAGCGCAGCAGGCGTCGGCGGCAGATCCAGCCTACGGCGGCGTTCATGGTGGAGGACGGCGGAGAAATGAGTGTCGAGATAAACTACTTTAGCTGAGCGTCACACACAGCGGCCACAGCAGCACGCGTCGGCCCGTGTGTGTGTTTCGGCCGCCAGTCGGCCAGGGCTTGGCAGGAACCGCGGGGCAAGCACTCCCGCGGCCAACAGCTGCTCGTGCGGTTGGCATCACCGCATAGTCTCTCTTCTGTCAGTGCCTTCGACTCGATCCGGTTAATCACAGGTCTGCAGTCGGCCTGCCACCACGATGCCGAGGAACAATCCCGGTCGAATGGGCCGCAACCGTGGAGGATAACGTAATGACGAGGGACCCCCGCATAGGCAGCTGGACCGGAGATATCGAGCTCAAGGTGGGATGCCAACTCTGTGTCCTACCTATGACTCTATCGGTAGAGACGGCATAAACTTCCGCCTTAGCCCCCATCGTTGCCCGTTGCCGCGTGCCGCTGCTTTCATTTCTTCTTATTAGTCCCCACGCCTTCCAATTGCGTTTCTGCGTTGCTCGCTCGATTTGTCAAGATCGTAGACACTTGAAAGTCACTGTGCAGTCTTCAGCATGCCTCTAAATCCGCAGGCCATCTATCCGGCCACGGACCCGGAATTCATCCAGTTTCCCAGCCGGCGAAGCACCGTCCACAGCACCAAGGGCATCGTCTCGTCCACCCAGCCGCTCGCGACCCAAGCCGGGGTCCGCATCCTGCGCCAGGGGGGCAACTGCGCCGTAAGCCGCGCATCGAGTCCCTCGAACAGCAAGAAAACCGACCATCTAACATGACCAAACCACACAGGATGCCGCCGTCGCCGTCGCCGCGGCGCTCAACATGACGGAGCCGGGCAGCACCGGCATCGGCGGCGACTGCTTCTGCCTCTTCTACGACGCCAAGACGAAGAAGGTGCACGCCATGAACGGCTCGGGGCGGGCGGGCGGCAATGTCTCGCTCCAGACCATCCGCGAGGACTTGGGCATCGCGCCGGGCGAGATCGGCAGCATCCCTATGACGAGCGTTCACGCCGTTACCGTGCCCGGCGCGCCGGCCGGCTGGGTCGATGCCGTCGAGCGCTTTGGGAGCGGCAAGGTGTCGCTCGAGGAGATCCTGGCGCCTGCCATCGAGCTGGGCGAAGAGGGCTTCCCAGTGTCGGAGCTGAGCAGCTCCTTCTGGCACAACAGCGAGCAGACCATCAGGAACGCGAGCCCTAACTTTGCTGAGATGCTGAAGAAGGATCCCGCCGCCAAGGATGGCTGCAGGGCGCCGAACCCGGGCGAGATCTTCAAGAACCCGACGCTGGCGAACACGTTCAGGTTGTTGGCTAAGAACGGAAAGAAGGGTTTCTACGAGGGCCCGGTTGCGGAGGCGCTGATCAAGGTCGTGCAAGACCTCGGAGGGCGCCTTACTCTGGAGGACTTGAAGAGGCATGCGGAGCTCGGCAGTGAGCCGGTGGATGCGATTTCGCTCAAGTTTCACGGGCAGGGGGTTGGGGACTTGCACCAGAAGCACATGCACGACGGAGGAGACGAGGGCGTGGAGGTGTGGGAGCACCCGCCGAACGGCCAGGGGATCGTGGCGCTGATGGCATTGGGCATGCTGCAAGAGCTCGAGAAGACGGGCAAGATCTCCAAGTTCACGTCAAGGGACCACAACTCGGCAGAACACCTACACGCCGTCATCGAGACGCTTCGCATCGCCTTTGCAGATGCAGGCTGGTGGGTGACGGACCCGAACGTGGAGAAGGTGCCCACTCAGGAGCTGATTTCACAACCCTACCTGGCCGAACGCGCAAAGCTCTTCAACCCCGCGAGCGCCTCGGACATCCCCGACCACGGCTCGCCGGCGCACAACCACAGCGACACGGTCTACTTCTGCTGCACCGACAGCGAGGGCAACGGCATCTCGTTCATCAACAGCAACTACGGCGGGTACGGCACAGCCATCATCCCGCAGGGCTGCGGCTTCACGCTGCAGAACCGCGGGGCCAACTTCAGCCTGCAGCCGGACCACCCCAACGTCATCAAGCCCAACAAGCGCCCCTACCACACCATCATCCCGGCCATGATCACCAACCCGTCCGACGGCAGCCTGCACTCCGTCTACGGCGTCATGGGCGGCTTCATGCAGCCCCAGGGCCACGTCCAGGTGCTGCTGAACATGCTGGTGTTTGGCCACACGCCGCAGTCCGCCCTGGACGCGCCGCGCGTGTGCATCGGCGCGGGCATGCCGGATCAGCGGAACGAGCAGAAGGCCATTGACCGGACGGTTTATCTGGAAGACGGCATCAGGCCGGATGTGGTGGAGAAGCTGAAGGCGATGGGCCACCAGGTCGAGGTTGTGAAGGGACATCAGCGTGGACTGTTTGGTAGGGGCCAGGTCATCAGGTGTCATGTGGAAGACGGGCAGACGGTGTGGAGCGCCGGAAGCGATCCTCGCGGCGATGGAGCAGCGATGCCGGTGTGATTGATGTACAGTAATAAGAACATGAAGGTAGAAGCCGCGAGATTTCTGATAGAGATTGGTGTCCGTGATGTCCGCGAGATGGATGAGGATTGTGAAACAAGAGTGCAGACAAAGAGGCGCAGTTCTGGTTGCAGGATGACAGGGCCGCCACGTGCCTGTCTGGGGAAAGACTAGGGTTCAACAGGCCGGGGGACGCCGCTTGCGGCCCGTGCGCAGAGGAAAGTCAGACGGGCCTGCTTCTATCCTCTTCACCAGCCGTCCAACTGCACCGCCGCCGAAACTTCTTCAACAACACCACCCTCGCCCGATCCGCTTGTACAGCTATCCTTGACGGTCGTTACACCATTGCCCGTTTGTATCGCAGCAGCTGTTCGGTAAGTCACGCATGGCGCAACCTGCAATCTGGCGCCTTAAGATGAGGGGCATGCCAGGGCTGTGCATCATCATTGACTAACTCGGACCTCCAGCCCGGCGAGAAGATCTACACACAACCCCTGCGCCCCCAGCGACCGCAGGCCGAAGCTACATACACACCGAAACACGCCTGCCTTATGGACTCGATGCGCAGCCTAAACACGTCGCTGCCCTCGGCGCGGCGACGCCCGCAGCCGCCGGCTCAGCTTCTACAAGCCTTCAAGACGGCCGCCCTGCAGGTCACCAACCTGTACAAGGCCGCCGCCACCGACCGCGAAGCAGCCCACGAGGAGGGCTACCAGGCCGCACTGGAGGACATGCTGAGCTTCCTGGACAACGAGAACCTGGGCGTCGGCGACGGCGAGGGCTGGCGGGTGCGGCAATGGGTGACGGAGAAGCTGCAGGAGGGCATGGCGAGCGGCAACCACATCGACAGCGACGACGAGAACACCAACACCAACAACACCACCACCTCCAGCCACCAACACGGCGAACACCAAGCCAAGCCCGCCCCCCAGCGCAGCTCCTCGCCCGTCGTCCCGCACCGCACCGAAGAGCCCGTCGTATCCGTCCCCCCGCCCGCCGTCGCCTCCGTGTCGCCGGAGCCGGCACACGTATCGGCCCCCGAGCGGCCCGCCTTCGACGCCACTCTGCCCAAGGGCGACTTCACGTTCCGCGCCGCCCAGTCCCTGCCCGCCCACACCGACTTGGACATGGACCATGAAGCGGAGGATGAGGGCGACGAAAACAACAACAACAACAACGCCACCGCACCCGCCCAAATCAACGTCTTCCCTCGCCACCACGGCCGCGCCAACCACCACCACCATCGCAGCGGTAACGGGATCAATCGGTCAAACCACGCCAGAGACGGCAACCGCAACAATGCTGCCGCCACCGCCGCCGCCGTCGCCCAGATCAACAGTATTGGCCAGGGAGCGGGTTTGAAGCGGCGAGCGCCGTTTGGCGACTTCTTCGACATCACTGGGGTAGGGAACGGGAAGGATATCTCTGGGGGAGGTGGAAAGAGGGGGAGATTTACGTAATGAGGGGGGGGATTTTCACGTTTATCACCACTCAGCGCGCATGGAACGGTTTTAGAGCATGGGGGGGGAGGGGGATGGGGCATTGTAGAACGTGGTGTTTGCTGCAATGGGCCTTTTTTTATTTTCGGTTAGGGCATTTTTTTTCCGGGTGTTCTTTTGTGTTTTTCGGGGATCTCTATACAAGTCGAGGATATCCATATACCACAGGCAGCAGTGCCGGCATAGGAAGCATATTACGGGAGTTTTTTTTGTAAGGGGCTAACGTTATATTCTTTCTGGGTTGTCTTATTGCAATGTTTGGAGGGGAGGGTTCTGTTCACATCATGTGGGCTGCATTGACGGAAATGTTTTTTTTTTTCGTGAAAGGGACATTTCCTTGGCTTTTGCCCGGAAAGAGGACCCTTGCATCGAGGATAGAAAGGGATCATGGACTACAATGAATCGGATTGTTGGGTTGGAAGGGCTCGGCGATGTCGAACCTTCTTGCACCATGGGAGTCCTTTCAAGGGGCTTTCTTTTTTCTTTCCACCAGCTAGATGTTCGCTTTACCGCGCCACCTGGTTGGGGGATTTGTCCCTGGGGATTCAAATCGAGGGAAGGGATAGTCAGTGGTGGATCTACAATACCCAAATATGTGTCGGTCGACCGGCCAACACTCAACAAACACCATGCTGTCAAGTGCGATTTGGCACCGTCATCTGCACTTTAGCTTCCTATTGGGTAGTACTCGACTGAGTGAGGAGCCCTGTAACAGAAATGAGTATGTGTGTACGTTCCAGGCAAATCAGTGAATGTGAACAACCCGTCCTTTCTCCAATTACACAAATATTATTTGTCCGTGGAAGCATCAACCAGACAGCAGCAATCATCGCCACCCTCCCCCGACGAACCGTCCCCCAATTCCAACAAGCCGAGCCTCCACCGCAACAGAGCAAAAATACATCCCCCCCTCCTCTTTCCCCACAACCCCCAGAATCCCAGAACCCCCAAAAAAACGCCGCCCGCCCCGCCCCGCCCGCGCCCCCCAATAACCCACCACCCAACCCCCTCCCCTTCCCTCCCTTTTTTTCCCCCCTCTTCCCCATCTTCCCCCCATTCCGTCACCCACAACCAACCAAAAATCCAAAAACTCAATTCACGAGCCGATACACCCCCAGCCCGACCAACACCCCCGCCAGCCCCGTTATGCTCGCCCGCCGCGCGCGCAGCCCCAGCCCCAGCGCCGACGCCTTGGCCAGCGCCGCCGCCCGCTCCCGCCGCAGCTGCGCGTGTCCCGACATGTAGCTGTAGATGCCGAGGCCGATGAATGCGCCGGAGCCTGTGGGTGGTGTTAGAGTCGGGCGGTTGGCGGAGGGGGGCGGGCTGTGGTGGGGTTGGGATTGGAGTTGCGGTTGCGGTTGGGTTGCTTACCCATTACTCGGCATGGCGTGCAGTCGTCGATTGCCTGGCGGTCTTCTTGGAGCATCTTGCTGAGTGGGGGTGGTTGTTGTTCGATTGGTAGGTCGGTGGTGCGGTGTTGGCCGGCGGATGGGGTTGCGGTTGCGGTTGCGGTTGCGGCGTCTTTGGACATTTTGGTTTATTAATTTTTTTTTTTTTGCACGCGCTGAATTGCTCTTTGGTGTCGGCGGTTGCGGATGGAGGGGGGAGAGGCGCTGAATGCGTTGAGCGGGGAGAGAGGGATCGCGTGGCGTGGCGTGGTGTCGTCGCGTGGTGGGGAGAGTTCGGGTGAGGTGTGGGACGCGACGCGACGCGATGCGATGCAGCTGTATGTAGGTACTTGGGCGCGAGTCATGTCGGTCTCGGCTGGCTGCGGAGTATAGTGAACGAATGCTTTGTACATATCCAAGAGGCTGGAATTCATTATGACGTAGTTCTTAATGTCGTGTCATGTTGTGGTCATCGGGCACTTGGAAAAAAATATATTTGCTTGATCACTTGCCGGCATCGACAATGTCATTTTAGTGGATGGAATTCTTTTTCCTTTTGGAAGCCAAGAATACAACCCGAACAGAACCGTTTTTCTATGTTAGTCGATGACGGTGGAAGCTTAAGATACGCTGTTACCCCCGGGCCACCAAAGAGTATGGGCAAAAGAGAAGATGAAGTGAGGATGGATGATAAAAACTACAAATCATTGCCTACTACAAAAGAGCAAAAAGTCAGTTCCTTACGGAACCTATAAAACCCCCTTTCGAGGATTTCCCCCCTAAGTCCGAAGACAAAGGTGGTGAGGGTGCGCAACACCTCCATGCCCTAGGCATGCTCCCGCCTGCCAGAAACGGCGGCGGCCGCTCCTTTCGGCAATGCAAAAGCAGCTCTATGTGAAGATAACTGGGACAGTGTCCAGCCACTACTCCATACCTGCAGCAATATATCTGCAGTGCCCGTAGGCGAAAGAAGAAGTTTGCTGAAGTGTTCATATACAACAGATGGGACTCGGACAGATTTTATTACAGATTTGCTGGTGGAGATTAAGGAGAAAGAACGAACAGTGAGAGGAGGAAATTAGGCAGTTTTATGCCTGCACAGTCTCAAAGAACTCTACTCAGAAATGGCAGTTATATCCAACTCGGGCCCTGACGATGGCGACGTCCACGTCCTCTCAGTCACTCCACTCCCCCGCCGGAAGGACCTCATCGACAACCGCGCAGGATCCTCCCCCGACGACATCGACGCAGACACCAATGACGCAGTAGAGCAACCCACTGAAAAGACCGACACCGTCTGCGTCTGCAGCTCCACGGCCACCAAACAGTCCGCGCTGCTTCCTCCCGCCAGGACGTGCTGCCAATCCCGCCTCACCACGCCCTCGCCCACACCATACCCCAGCGCCACGCTGTAGTTCTTCTCCATAGAAACGATTCACCGTCTCCTGTGATCCGATAATTCTGGAAGCCCGACGTGACTTGGCGAAAAAAGTCGCCATCCTCCCATGTAAAATTCAAAGCCTGACGGTTGAGGTCGGTGGAGAATGCCTGCAGTCTTGTCGCTCAGACAGAGTTCTCATGGCTTTGGTCAGCGGAAGGCCGTGGTATCATCTCACAACCAGATCCAGAGCTTCCAAGCACACGGTAAATACGAAGTAGTAGATGACAAGAGGTAACGACCTGGATTTTCGCAGAGATGATGGGTCCAATGTTGGGAGACCTCTTTGTCTCGAGGGATCTCTCTGTCTACTTGTTTGATTGAGTGCGGGTTTGACTGGACCTGATGACGGAGAGCGGGGTCGCGTTCCCAGGCTGTAGATGGAGGGTTAGTCAGTCGGTAAAGCATGGTTGCAGACTTTACTCACTGAGCCGGACATGGTCTCTGAATCTCTCTGCAGATGAGGGTGGTATAAATTAAGGACGTAGGAACATAGCCGCGGAGAGGTGCGTTTGGGGGTATGGGGGTTCTTAGAGTGATCGGAAGCTTATTCTACGCGCGAACGGTCAAATGGCAATCGTCCAGTGGGCGCCGTCAAGATGGCTGCTAAAGGACGTCCTGTGGATGCACGAGTCATGGCGGTCGAGGGTCCAGGGCGGCGACATCATCGGCGGCGCAGCCCACCCAAACCACCAAGGCGAGCCATCTCGGAGAGCACTCCTGCAGCAACCCCCGCTCCTCTCCTCGCCCGGCGCATGCATGGGGCGCGCTCGTTCACCCGCTGCCCGCCATGAGCCAAGTCGAGGCTCTGTACATCTTCGATGAGCACAAGTACGTCGATCCACCGCCCCGCCGCCCCGTCGACCGCCGCGCTCACCAATACTCCCCAGCAACCTGATCCTCGAACACGTCTACTGCGCCCGCCCGCCCGCCGCCCTGCACCTCCTGCCGCTCTACCTGCAGCACCCCGCCCCGCGGCCCTCGCTGGTCTACCTGCCCTCCACCAATCCCCCCACCCTCGTCCACTCCATCATCCAGGACCGCCTGCTCTTCCTCGCCCCCTCCAGCGTCGACACCGAGCCGCTGCTCGTGCTCGAGTTCCTCCACCGCGTCGCCGATGCAATAGAAGACTTCCTGGGCTCGCCGCTGCTGGCCACCAAGATCGAAGCACACTACGATGTCGTCGCCCAGCTGCTGGGCGAGATGTGCGACGCCGGCATAGTCGCCAACACCGAGGCCAACGCCCTACGCGACCTCGTCGAGGCCCCAAGCGTCATGAAGAACCTGCTGGGCAACATGGGGCTCCCTTCGTACGCCCCCCCTCACCCTCTCCCCCCACAATCCCACGCTGACACGCCCCGCCCCGCCTCCAGCTCCTCCCCGGCCCTCAACCCCGCCAGCACCTTCGGCCGGCCCTCCCTCAAACCCACCCTCACACCCCCCGGCAGCAGCCCCACCGCCTCGCCCGTCCCCTGGCGCCGCGCCAACGTCCGCCACACCTCCAACGAGCTCTACGTCGACGCCGTCGAGACCCTCTCCGTCACCTTCTCGCCCTCGGGCGCGCCCATCTCCGCCTTCGCCAACGGCAGCATCGCCTTCACCTCCAAGGTCAGCGGCATCCCCGACCTCATCCTCCGCCTCGACGCCCCCGGCGGCATCGCCCACGTCGTCCAGCTCCCCGTCTTCCACCCGTGCGTCCGCCTCGCCCGCTGGCGCGAGCGCCCCGGCGAGCTGAGCTTCGTCCCCCCCGACGGCCGCTTCGTCCTCGCCGGCTACGAGGTCGACCTGCTCGGCCCGGGCTTCCTGCTCGACGCCCAGAACCTCAAGCAGGGGACCAACCGCCCCGCCCTCAACATCCCCGCCAACGTCGAGGTCAAGACGAACCTCGGCCCCGCCGGCGCCGACTTCGAGGTCCGCCTCTCCCTCTCCCCGCGCTTCCGCTCCACCGCGTCATCTTCGTCAGGATCAGGCGGCGGTGGCGCGTCCGGTCGACCTGGCGGCGGGCTCGGCAGCCGCACTGGATCCGGGTTTGCCGGCTTGGGCGGTGGTGGTGGTGGACACAGCGGCACGTCGGCCGCGCCGCAGCTGTCGGACGTCACGGTGCGCGTGCCGCTGCCGGCCGGTGTGCGCAACTTGGCTGACGTGCGCCCGTCGCGGGGGGAGGTGACGCAGTACGCGCCGGGGGACGGCGCGCTCGAGTGGCGCGTGTCGTCCAAGGACGTCGCCGCCCTGCTGCAGCTCGGCATGGGGGCCGTCGCGACGCTGCGGTGCTCGGTCGTCGGCGGCGGCGGCGGCGGTTCGCTGGACGGCGACGACGAGGCGGATGGGGAGGGGGATGGCGCCGCGGCGTTGGTGCTCGGCGGTGGGAGGTATGACTATGATGAGGTGGATGGCTCGGCGTCGGGGAGTGGCGGTGGTTATCAGTCTGGCGGCGTGGTGGAGAAGGCGAATGGGACTGGCGCGGCGCCGGACGTGGACGCCCGGGCGGAGAGGAGGAGGCAGGCCAACAGGCTGCTCATGCCGAGTAGCGCTGCGCTGAGCTTCCAGGTCAAGGGCTGGTTGGCGAGCGGTGTTAAGGTGGAGAGCTTGAATCTGGACCAACGGAAGTCGAGGGGGTTGGGGGCTGGTGTCACGCCGTATAAGGGTGTCAAGTATTTGACTGTGAGTAGGGACGGCGTGGAGGTGAGGTGTTGATGGCGGAGGAGGATATGGTTGAAGGCATGGCATTGTTTGAGTGGCAAGTGTACGTGTGATGAAGCCTTGAACCCACGGCCCTGATGATGCGGAGATGGCTTGGGAGAAAAGAGGCTGGATGAGGCATTGAATCGCGATTGAATCAAATGAACATATTTCTCGCTAAGATTATTGATCCAAACGGCCCTGTTTGAATTCAGGATACGATATCTGTGTGCAATGGATATGGTCCTAAGAATTCGCTGTTTCGGCCGATGGGAGAGAGATGCCGCGTGAACCCGGCAAAAGTCCCAGCTGCGGCGGTACCAACCACATCAATGGCCTACATGCAGCAAAACGCACACGGACCTATTTGCATCCAGAGGAAACTGCGGATATTTGTAATGGACTCGGAGTCGGGATGGTACAATGGCTTCTATACTGCTACTGCTGACGCAATCGGGGGTAATCTCCATCATCTTGATTGGTCCATTATTCTACAAGGTCGCAGACCAAAGGTCCAAATCTCCCCTTCCCTTCCTCCCCCAGCTCCTCCCAAAAATAGCTCCCGGCGTTTACATGTTGGGATCACTGGCGCGCGCGCGACGAGGAAATTGACAGTGGGGGGCGAGATGGCTTATTGGCCCAGAGCCTTGGCGCGCTCGTCTTCGAGCTTGGTGTAGAAGTTGTCGCGGTGACGGACGGCGGGGACGTGGTAGCCGTACCACCAGCCGTAGCCAGTAGCGGTGCCGAGGCCTGGATGCGCGGGCGGCGCTGCTTGTTAGCGGGATGGAATGATCTCGGGAGAGGGAGCTTCGTTTGGTGGGCTCTGGATTGCGATTCGCGCGCGGGGGGATTGGAGGATGGAGCGGCCGCGGGGAGGAGCTCGGTCCAGCGCGGGATGAGAGGGAGCGGTTCTACGTACCGAGGGCGACGGAGAGGTCGAGGACGAGGCCTCTGCGGAGCATCTGTTGCGGGTGTGCGGGTTAGCCCCAATTGCGGGGGGAGCAAGGACAAACGGTGGGCTGCAGGGGTGGGGGAGGCATACTCCAGTGATGGGCTTGACCATTTTGGCGGCGGGGAGCGGAGAGGTTTCGCGGAGAGCGGGCGTTGGGGTGTGGTTGCGGTGATGCGGGTGGTGTGACGCGCGATAGCTGGGGTTCGTTGGTCAAGGTCGCAGTTGCTTCGCACCGGCCACAAGTAATGCCGAATCGCGAAGGAACGACCTGGGCAAAGCAGGTGGCCCAAGCTGCGCGCCCGCCGCCCGCCGGCGAACTGCAGCTCTGCCTCACCACACTCTCAACCTGCACCATGCGCGTCACATAGCGCGAAAAAAACAAACATCTTCCGCCCGTTCTCGCATCCCGCCGGACTTCCGCCCCTTTGCACACCATCCGTCCTCAATCGCTCGACCTTTACACGCCCATTGCAACGCGAGTCTGCGCAATGATGCCCGGACTGCGCTACCCCGATGCTTCTTCAACGCAGAACCACGCCGCCGGCTCCAAGCGCCCGCTCGCTCCGGACGATGAACAATACGCACTCTCTTCGAAACGCCGTCGCGTCGTGCGCCACGGTATCCGACATAAGCAGGCCTGGCGCGAGGACCCATCCATTGCCGCGCCGCAGGACGAGGCCTTCTTCCAGGCCCAGATTCTACGTGCCTGCTCAATCAGCTTGACGGCCGTCGGATTTGAGAGCGCGAAGCCCACCGCGCTGGAGGCGTTTCGCGGCCAGGTTGACGAATGTACGTGTTTTTTCCTTATGTCCACAGCGGTACCAATTGGGGAATGAGCGCGCCGGCAGCAGTGCTTTGGGACGGACTCTTCTGTGTTGAACTGCGAGGCTTACGCATCTGTTTTTCCCCAAAAAAAAACAGTCATGCTCCACTTCCTCACAGATGTGCGCGTCTCGATGGAGCACGCGCGCCGCACAACCGCCACGCCTTCCGACTTCGCCCGCGCACTCGCCCACACCGGCTACACTGCGTCGGACCTTGAGCCGCAGCTCGCGCTGCCGCTGCCTGCTGCCATCGCATTGCCGCCCGTGCCCGACGCGCCGCCCGCGGAGGAGCCCCCGCCGCGCCTCGAGGCCGTCCTGGGCGCCGAGCTGTCGGGCGCCGCCGACAAGAACGCCCGCGCGTACATCCCTACGCATCTCCCTGCCTTCCCCAGCAAGCACACCTGGCAGGCCACGCCCGTGTACAGCTCGCGCGAGACGGACCCGAGGAAGATTCGCGAGCGCGCGACGCAGGAGGGTATTCTGGCGGAGCAGGCGCTGAGGAAGCTCATGGCGGCGAATCGGACGGGGTCGAGCAGGAGGCGAGGCAAGGATACTGGTGTTGCGGGTGATAAGAGGAGGTCGCCGCCGGCGAGTAAGCAGATGTGGGAGGATGCTATGCGCGAGATCATACGCGAGGATGAGATGAAGCGGGGGGACGTGATCATGGGCGGGATGGATGACGAGCAGAGCGGGGACAAGACAAACGACTTCGTGGTGGACACGGGTCTGCTGGTGAACTACGATAAGAAGTATTGGCGGAAGGGAGTACAGTCGACGGCATGGTCGTAAGACGGGAGATTCGAAACCAGCGGGTCGAGGCGCCGAGTGGGGATGAAGGGAAGTTCAACGAAGGAAGGCAATCGATGAGACAGTGGGAGATAAACATTTTTAGCGCGGCGTTCCTGGTGTTTGGTCTTGTGGATGGCGTGTGTCAGGTGGCGTACGGTCCATCATTTTCTCGGGACAGGAGAACCAATAGCTGCATCAAAGCGGACGAAGATACCACGGTCGAGGTGTGATGGTCTGTAGAATCAAGATATGCAGCGCGCTTGGTGAATATACCAAACCGATTTCTTTGTTTGCTGTCACAGAGTCATACGCTATCCTGAACGGGTAACGGCACAGTGGGTGACGGAAGAACTTGGTCTACGGCGACTTTGCTATGCTAACTCTGTGTTTTCATCGCGAACCTTGGCTGAGGTTCAGTGCAGGGAAACGTGGTTGTGCCTGCGTTGGTCGGGCGAAGACGTCACAGGCGATACTCCAAGTCCTCCCACGACGTCGTCTCGACCGTCAACCCATCCGCACATCTTTTCACGACAGCCTGTCAGCACCTCGAATCTCGACATCTCCTCGCGAGTGGAGGGGCAAAAAAGTCCAAACGCACCTCCGAAAATAGCGGATCAACGGGCGGCACACGACGCTGGCGCGCGGATCCTTCCGGTTTTTGACCTCACACAGGTACTGCACCATCTCCAGCGGTTTGCACTTCTCCAGCTCGACCGGCGGCTTCCTGCGCCTGCCATTGGTTTTGTACTGCACGCGCACGCCGAGCTCCTCCGGCGGAAAGGCTTCGACGGGCGGTGCCATCGTCGTTGGAGTTGATTTAGGTGGGGAAAAGAGAAGGAGAAGAGGGCGTCACCACCGTCTCTGCCTGGAAGGATCCTTGACCGCGAAGAGATGCCCTGCGCGACAGCTGCGGCTGAGCGGGAAGCTGGGTACTGGTGAAGGGTTCTGCCTTTGTGGACTCAACGACGGCTCGCGGCGAGATGGCAGCGCAGGTTTTGGGACGGAGGTTGTTGGGCGAGGTTGAGGAGGCCCGACTGGACGAGGTGTGTATGCTTATTTGATGTCGCGACATCCCGCGGCTCGACCATGGTCTGCCAGCGCTACAAAGGCACGATACGCTAACTCTACGTCAGGTTTTCAATTCCGTGAGGCTGTTCACGCACCCAGAGCCGAGCGAAGCGCGATTCGGTATTCCCCCGCTGGACCGCCTCTTGCGCTTATTTGAGCAATCACATTCACGCTACCACGACCCGGGCTCTCCACCCCTCGACCAGGCTCAGAGACACCGACCTACTCCTACGCCTCCGCTGATCGAGCTTACATCTGCTGGTCCCGGCGCGGGCAAAACGCAGCTGCTCTACCTGATCACCGCCCTGGCCATCCTCCCCCGCGCCTACGCCAGCATCGACCTCCAGGGAAAAGCGAGCGCCATCGTCGTCGTCGACACCGACGGCCACTTCTCCGTCTCGCGGCTCGCAACCGTCGCAAAAGGCCACATCGCCCGCTGCTGCCGCCGCCACGCACAACAGCAGCAACAGCAACGACGCCACCACGACGGCATCGAGCCCGACAACAATGACGACGGCGACGACGACAACCGTCACCCACTCATCAAACCCGCCGCCGTAGACTCCATCATCGCCGCGGCCCTCACCCATGTACACATCCTCCAACCGCAGTCGCAAGCCGCGCTCCTGGACGCCCTGCGCGCCCTACCCACCTACCTCTTCTCGCGCTCCACCACCTCCACCACCACCTACCACCACAGCTCCGCGCACCGCCCACTCCACTCCATCCTCCTCGACAGCGCCAGCGCCTTCTTCTGGCCCCTCCGCGCCGCCGAAGACGACGCCCGCCTCGCGAACGCCACCACCACCACCACCACCACAACAACAACAACACCAACGCCGCCACCAACAACCGCATCATCCTACACCGCCCTCGCCCGCACCCTCCTCACCCTCCGCACCCAACTCAACTGCGCCATCGTCGCCACCACCGTCGCGTCGTCGTCATCCGCCCCCCCTCATTCCCGCCACCACGTCGACCCCTCCTCCTACTCCTCAAACCTCAAACCCCTCCTCCCCGCCACCTGGCCTGCCACCTTCGCGCCGTCGCTGCGCCTCGGCGTCGGACGGGCGGCCGTGCGCGGCTTCGCACCGGCGATGAGCGTCGCCGAGGCGCGGCGGGAGCGGGGCTTGCGGCAGGGGGTGGTGGAGAGGGGGAGGTGCGGCGTGTGGGTTGAGGGTTCGAGTGCGACTGCTGATCAGCTGGTGCGCGGCTACGTCTGCTCGGGGCCGATCATGGGGGCTGAGGGGTGGGTGGTTGATGTGAGGGGGGATGGGGTGGTGGTGGTGGTTGGGGAGGAGGAGGAGGGTGGTGGTGGTGGGAGCGGGGGGGAAGGGGGAGAGGGGGAGAGGGAGGCGGAGGCGGAGGCGGAGGGGGAGATCTGAGGGATGGAATACTGAGGGCTGGAATATTGGGCTGGACTACTGGGCTGGACTACTGGGCTAGGCTGGGCTGGGCTTTTTTTTTTTCTTTTGCTCCTGCGGCTGGAGAGGGCTTGATTGGGCGGGTGGATGGGAACGAGATAAGGCTCGGGCCGCGCCTTCCTGCTTGCCGCTGCCGCTGCCGCTGCCGCCTGCGGGACGAAGGATGGGGAGGAGGCGGGAACATGGCCAGGATGAGGCCATGATGTCGTGGTGTGGGTGCGCGGTCTGGCACGTCGCGCGGGACTTTGGTGCATGGTGCAGGATGGTGGATGGAACCCTTTGGGATGGATGCAAGGGTGCGAAGACGTCCGGATGCAACACAGAGATATCGGCACTTGGTCACTTATTTCGACTTTGGGGTCCGCATGACTTGGAGTCGGCCTCGTGCTAGCGACGGTGTACAGCAAGCGCGGGGTGCTGGCCGGGAATTCCTGGATCCTGGCTTGCTGACTCAGGGGTAGCTCGACGATGCCATTGGCGGACTGGCGCACCAGATGCTCGAGAGGCACGTTCGTGCAACGTCCGGGCTTGGGAACGTGGCTTTGGACGAATCTACGATACGAAGTTTCGGTTGCCTGCTTGGCCGCCCGCATTGGCCAAGACGATCCGGCACTGTCAGTCGTCGAGCATCTGACTCCTCGGTCTGCTCATGGCTTGGATGTCGTCCGGGTTGTTATCTCCACAGCTCGTGAGGACGGGATCGGGCGGGCTGAAACCGATATCTGGTGACGCGACAGGGGACGCCACACGCCAGCCGCTGTTCTTGCCGCCGTTCGCCGAGCCGTCCGATGGTTTCATTGCGTGACCTCGACTAGCATTCGATCTTCACAATCAAGTCCCCACGACGATCACTCGGCTGAACCGCGGCCGCCCACCCAAGACGGCAAAAGAGAGACGAGCCATCAACGGACTCCTTTTTTTGCCCGCCACCACGGTCCCTCTAGCGTCCTGGTGGGCTGCGCGGGTCATCCAGAGCTTGGAGAGGACGCCCGAGGAGTACGCCATGGAGATTTGTGACACGCGGCCGACCTATCTGCGACGCCCGTCCGCGCTCTCTCGCTTGACCGCGCCAACATGAGATGATGGCGGCGCTCGGCCTCGGCAATAAAGTCGTCACCGGCCAGGGAATAGCACTTCAGCCGGGGCGTTTCTGGTGGCGTGGGCCCACCACCCGACGAGTGGCTGCGGGGGACGGGAGGGAGTTTTGCTGGTCAACCTTGTCAACCTTGCTCTCGGACCTTCTCCGCAGCGAACCCAAGGCTTACGCTACCTGCCTGGGCTGGCTCGAGCCACGTACATGAACGGCCCCGGCCCTGTTTTATCCGCACAACTCTAACAGGACCTTCTTCGTCAGTGCATATTAAAGAGCGATCATTCGGCACTTTCTGTGGCCTTGCTTTTTAGCCCTACGCACCTACCTGCCGCTTCCTTCCGCTCCATCCCCCTGCCATTGATTGCAACAACATCTCGCTTTTCTAACTCTGAGTTGACTTTCGGCTTCGTCTTCTGTCGTCGGAGAACTGTCATCCAGGGTAAAGAGTAGAACATGGGCCGTCAGTTCTTGACTGGAACAAAGACTAGATCGGATTAACCATAAACTGTCCCCCATTCTCCTCCTCGCCTGCGGCACAGGTAGAGAACCCATGTTGACTGAAGTCGACTAAAAGAGACATCATTCATTTCGGCCTTGGTCGATCATCTCCACCTTAGGTGCGCGGCTTGAGACACCTTCTCTTTCCACTCTCGCTTTTCTCTTCTACCATTGTGGAGGTCTCTCCTCTTCCTCGCCCTCATCTAGCACCTACCTACGCTCAGGCCCTCAGCTCCTTCCGCTATCATCACCACCACCCGCTTATACCGTTTCGACTCCCCCGGCCCTTCAGCCTCCCATCGAAACGATGGCGTCGCCTTCCAATGTCTCGTTCCTCCACGATCCTCTCTTCCTTGCCCGCCGCGATCTGCACGTCGAAATGCCTGGCTTCGTCCTCGACAACGTCCGGCTCTTGTTCTTCACTTCAACTCCCGCAGTCCTGGCCAGCATCATTGCTGCGGCTGCCGCCGTCACCGCTGCGGTGGTCTGGACAAGAGACCCGTTGGCCGCGTTCTCGGTCATTGGGCAGGAATGGGGGGACGAGAACAAGAGGAGGGAGAGGTTTGTAATGGACGCGAAGAAGATTTATTTGGAGGGTTATAAGAAGGTTCGCTGCCACACCGTTTCACCCGCACTCTCGCTTGTTGGTGTGTAGACGAGATGGAGGGTTTGAGGGTTGAATCAGTGTGCTGATAGTTGGATTATGTGTTGTGCAGTTCAAAGATGGCGTGTATCAGATCACGACTGTGAGACGTAAGCGCTGCCGTAAATCGGAAGGAGGGGAAAGTTCTGAGCTGACTCGTTCCGTGGGGGTGTCAAAGGATCCAAAACGATCGTCATCGCGCCCAAGTTTCTCGATGAGCTGAGGAAGCTGCCGGATGACGTGGTGTGCAACCAGTGCGCCGCCGATGAGGTGAGTGAAAAGACACCACACTTGTTTGTCCGTCAGTCGTCGTTGACGACTCCTCGTCCCCAACCGCCCCCTCCCAAGCAGACGTCCGACTCCATCCACAAACCAGCCAGCTAACCACCACCACCACCACCCGCCCCACCAGACCCTCGAGTCCAAATACACCAACCTCAACACCCACGAGCCCCTCCACGGGCACGTCATGAAAACCCTCCTCACACCCAACCTCCGTACGTTCCCCCCTCCCCCTCCCGCTCCCCTCCCCCCTCACCACTGACCACCCCCTCCCAGGCCGCCTCAACCCCCGCATCGCCGAGACCATCACCATCACCACCGCCATCCACCTCCGCCTCCCCGCCTCCACCACCACCTGGTCCCCCCTCAACGCCACCACCCCGCTCCTCCACATCGTCGCCGCCGCCACCGGCGCCATCGGCGTCGGCACCCCCCTCTGCCTCGACCAGACGTATCTCGACGCCTCGGTGCAGTACGCCAGCAGCGTCATGCGCGCCATGGCGGCCGCGAGTCGCGTGCCCTGGTGGGCGAGGTGGTTGGTGGCGCCGTGGTTGAGGGAGTGCAGGGAGGTGAGGGTGAGGGAGAGGGATGTGGGGGCGTTGGTGGGGGGGTTGGTGAGGGAGAGGAGGATGAAGGAGGGGAAGAAGGGAGACGGGGAGGGGGATATGTTGGGGTGGTTTGTGGAGAGCGGGGCGAGGTTTGGGGTCGATGAGGAGTGGAAGGTCGTGCGGGCTTATCTGGGGTTCGTGTTTGCGGCCGTGCATTCGACGACCGTGGTGGTGGTGAATGTGTGAGTGGGGTGTTTTTCATTTTTTTTTTTCATCGTTTCCCCCCTTTTGTTTGTCTCCGAGGAAAGGATGGAGAAAATTGACGTTGTGATGTAGGCTGTTCAACCTCGCCGCCATGCCCGACTTCACAACGGAGCTTCGCGAGGAAATCACAACCGTCCTGGCCCGACACGACGGCGTGATGACGTTCCAAGCCCTCCAAGAAATGACGAAGCTCGACTCCTTCATGAAAGAAACCCTCCGCCTCTACCCCCTCCAATTCGGTACAACCTTCCCCCCACTCTCCGACCCAGTCCCTGCTCGCCCCCTCCCCCCCTTCATCCCCATCCCGCTGACCCGCCCAAAAAAACAGCAAACTTCCAACGCAAAGTCCTCAAACCCTTCGCCCTCTCCACCGGCCCCGTCATCCCCGCCCACACCGTCATCGAAGTCCCCAGCATGGCCGTCTCGCTCGACCCCGCCCGCTTCCCCGACCCCACCCGCTTCGACCCGCTGCGCTTCCACCGCCTGCGCACCGCGCCCGCCGCCGACCCCTCCAAGCACCAGTTCGCCACCGTCGCCGAGGATAGCACCAACTTCGGCTGGGGCCGCCACGCGTGTCCCGGCAGGTTCTTCGCCGCGAATGAGATCAAGATGGTCGTGGCGGCCGTGGTGCGGGGGTGGGACGTGAAGATGCCTGAGGCGGGGGAGGGGGAGGGCGAGGCGGAGAGGGAGTGGGAGGGGAGGAGGTGGAGGAATTGGGAGTATGGGAATTTTGTGAGTGGTGGTGTCCCTTGCTCCTGTTTTGGTTTTTTTTTTCTTTTTCTTTTTTTTTATCGTGGTGGATCGCTCGTTGGGTTGCTAGAGAGCGGATGGCTGACTGGTGCGTGCAGTGTTTTCCTGTTCCTACGAGGGAGCTGTTGTTTAGGAAGATTGTGCCGTAGGACGTCCGTTATACGCAGAATGGTAATGCAGAGATTTGGAGGTACCATGCACCTTGCGATGTTTTGAAGATATGCGTTCGAAGTCGTAGGTACCGGGGCTGTGCATATGCAGTCATCGGCTTGGCGTCAGCAGCTGATCCAAGCGTCGGACCCCTCTCCAGGCAGCCACGGCACTTGGATGTGCGTCTGTAGGGAAAGGAATGCCAATTGGCGGATGCCACGCCATAGATAGCCGCCGGGTTGCGGATTTCCCCCTAAACCAATAATGAGCATGCATACGTCCGCAGCCTACAGAAATACCGAACCCCGCGCGCAAACCTCGCTCGGTGGTTCTCTTTTCCGTCTCTTTTCGCCAACGTTCATCGTCGGCTCGCTGACTGTTCGCGGGTTGTCGATGGCATGGATCCTATCAGCACATTCTCCTTGGCAGCAGGCGTCATACAGGTTGTCGACTACGGGACCCGTGTTCTCTCCACCACCTACCAAATCTATCAGTCCGGGTCGGGCCAGACTACGCGCGATGTCGAGCTGTCAAGCTTATCTCAGGATCTTTCCGATTTGAGCGAGCGGCTGAAGAAGAGGCCTTCGGGAACACCTGAGAACGCCTTGCTTCATTTGTGCGACCGCTGCGTAGAAGCCAGTGATGAGCTGCAGAGGGCCATCGATGCTCTCCGAGCGCGGGGAACAACAAGAATCAGTGTCGCCGCGAGCAGCTTAGTTTCGGCTCTGAAATCCATCTGGACCGAGGACAAGATTGGGAGGTTGCGCGATCGCTTGTCAGAGATTCGGTCTCAGATGACGATCGCGACTCTAGTCTCTGTCTGGTATGAGATCCTTGGCGGGGCTCCTAATGACTTGAGGATGCTGATAGGTGTCGTAGGGAAGAGACTCAGCTGGACAGCCAGAGACACGTCGAATTGAGAGACCGGCTCGATGAAATCGCCGAGAAGCTTGACCGTCGCGACACATCAGCTCATCGATTTGCAATTGAGCTCAAGGGAATGACATCGCAAGACGAGGAGAGCCAATCTTCACGAAAGAATCACGAGCTGGTCCGAATCATTTGGAACACTGATCGGTCGTTTTGGGCTCTCAATCAAAGTGGCCAGCAGTTCAATGCTCCTCAGTCTGTGGATCGATCTTCATACGACGACGTTCCGGTGGCCGCCAAGGTCTTGAGCAATCTATGGTATAGCGACATGGAATCCCGAGGAGAAGCTATCCCCAATGCCTATGCAGATACTTTTGAATGGATCTTCCGCGACGAACACGTGGATGAACACGGACAAGAGTTGAAGTGGTCAAGCTTTCCAGCTTGGCTTCGGCAGGACTCACGCTCCATCTACTGGATAACTGGCAAGCCCGGCTCGGGGAAGTCGACCCTCATGAAGTTCATCTTCGAGCATGAACAACTGCGGCGCCACCTCCAGGACTACGCCAAAGATCTGCCGCTGATGCTTGCCGGCTTCTTCTTCTGGAATCCCGGCTCCAAGATGCAAAAGTCCCACGAAGGCCTCATCAGGGCTCTTTTACATCAATGTCTGACTGTCCGACGGGATTTGATCTCCGTCGTTCTACCCAGACGTTGGGCATTATACAGTCTTCTCGGGCACGATTCAACCGCCCCAGATTGGTCCTGGGGAGAGCTAAAGGAGTCGTTCGAGATTCTCTGCTCTTATCACGGAAAGGAATTCCAGCTTGCTCTGTTTCTGGACGGGCTTGATGAGTTTGACGGAACTCACGTGGACCTCATACAATGGGCAAAGGACAACATTGCTTGTCGCGATATCAAACTTTGTGTCTCGAGCCGACCCTGGAACATATTCTCGGATGCGTTTGGCCAGGGCCACTCCTTGACGATGCAAGACCTGACGAGACGTGACATTGAACATTTCGTCAAGGCGGAATTCGACAACAGCCCCGCGTTCCAGGACTTGAGAGGGATCTACGAGCTTGAGACGAATCGACTTCTCAGCGAAATCACACGGAAGGCCCAAGGCGTCTTTTTGTGGGTCAACCTCGTCGTTCGGTCTCTGTTAGAGACTTTGACCGACAGCCCATCTTTGTCACATGTTGAGGCAGTACTAGCTGAGATCCCGGCCGACATAGCTGGCCTGTACAACTCAATATGGCGCTCGATACCGACCGAGAGACTTCCGACATCGTCCAAACTGTTCCAACTTTGCGTAATTCAGGATCCAAATGAGCACCACGTCACAGTTGAGATGTTTTGGCGCGCCACTGAAGGGAGCTTTGCCAAATCCCGGCCTGTGGCAATGGATGAAAACGCACGCAAACGCATTACAAATGTTATGAAACGACTGCTGGACGGGCATACCCGCGGAATCCTAGAGATATCTTCAAATCAGGTTCAGTTTCTACACCGCTCAGCTAGGGACTGGATAACAGACGCCGGGATTTGGGGAGAAATATGCTCCAAAGCGCCAGCAGACTTTGACCCACATATGGATCTGCTCGAGGCCTACCTGGCCCAGCCACCAACGGTCATAGGGAGTGAGACGGACCTATTATCAGGATTCGTCCATAAATTCCTTTTTTACGCACGCGGTGCCTCGAAGTCAATTAAAGTTACGGAAGATCGACTTGTACAAGCTCTCGACCGCGCTAATGAGCTGGCCTGCGACTTGAGCGTAGCCTCTCCTCATATTACCAGGAAATTGTCAGTCGATTCAACGCATCCTGACCGCGACGAATATTCTCTTCGACACTGGTCGACCGTTCAATATTTTAATATCGATAAGGAAAACTCGTTTGTCGGCATTGCTGCACAGTACGGTGTTTTTAAATATGTTCAAGCAAAGGTCTCGGCGAACAGACGTCTTTTGGAGTCGAAACCTAACAGAGTCTCACTGCTGGAAAACGCAGTTTTCCCTGGCCTTACTTCCATACAGCTCCATACGAGATATGGACTGTACGATATTCTTCCACAGGGTTCAGTAGGCGAGGAGCAAGCACGAATCGTCCGATTTCTTCTCGACGCCAGCAGTGCGCACTACAGGACGGCCTTCGGCCGCTCATTGTACGATACTCTGCTGGAAGTACAAGGTGCCAAGAGAGTGTCGATGATGATGCCTATATCTCCCGAGTGGTACGTTGAGGCTCGGAAAATTCTGGAAGAGTATGGGTATGGTCACGAGGCAGCCAGGCCCGAGATAGCCAGGCCTGAGGCAGCCAGGCCCGAGGCAGCCATGCTCGAGGTAGCCAAGCCTGAGGTAGCCAAGATTGTGAAGGCGAAAAAGCTCGGAAGGCTTCTGAGAAGAATGCGTACGAAGCTCGTGAATTGATTCGTGCAGTTGATTACGGAAGTATATCATGTAGCCTGTCTCTCGAGTATCCTGTCCAGTATTCAAGGTCCACGTCAGCGGCGCGTCAATCCATTTCTCCTTCAGCCGTGTCTTCTTGAACTGCCGTGTTCCCTCTTTCGTGAGCTCCCATCCGCAATTTTACATGTATCACTTATAGTATCCCTACTCAATCAAACTTGATATCCGGGTTGCAGGCTTTCTCGAGGCGAACAAGGATGCCTCCTACTCGGCCAACTCCAATCAAACTTGGACATCGGTGTTCCGCCAGGCGATGCAGTTCGAGATCAATGTGTTTGGTAGTGCTGTCGGAGTGACTACTGGATCTGGTTAGTGTTGGTCCCATAGCAGACGTACGTATGCAACGTCAGCAATAATGTCTCGCTCAAAAAAGAAATGAGCGTGTACTCTTCAACGTCGACGAGTCACTTCGAGATAGCCAACACTTCAAGCGATCATGTCGCGTGCACTGACTAATGCCTTCGGTTGTCAGAGATTTCTCTATCGGCAGAGCCAATGAAGAAAAACTAACGCAGTCGGTTGATTACTCTCACCTCGGCAAATAGTGCAGATCTAGTGCCTGAAATATCCGCTCCATCCACCAATCCCTCCGCGCCCGTTCCGCTAATTATGTAGCGCCCGCTCGATACGTACGGCTGTGGCGGCGTCATTCCGCGTCCGCGTATGCAGCATGCAGGGAAAACGGGCTTGCAGGCGCCGCCGAAACCTCCCTTATCCAACCGCGTACATCCGCTCCAAGACAAACAGCTCTTTCACAATGCGGGTGTAATCCGGCGTTCCCGCTGGACGGGATAGTAAGCCTTGGATGTGAGCCGCTCAGACAGAAGTATGTACATACATATAAAAGTGTCTGGGGTCAGCGCGGGGTTGGTGGCCTACCACAATGAATAAGCACACCAAAGTCATCTTATAATTGTGTCCACTCTCTCTCCTCGCTCTCTACCTCTCTTTCTCTCTCCACACCCACTCTTCCCTCATACGCACCAGTCCTCTCCTCCCTCCTCAGCCCACCAACCCACCCCAAAAAAACAACAACCCCCGCAAGGAAGAAAAATGCTCGAACCAGCCATCCCCCCGCACCTCCTCCTCCCCCGCACCCAACCCCCCCGCCTCCCCGCACCGGACTTCGCCCCTCCCATCGCCGCATACACCGCACGCTTCCCCCAATCCGTCTCCCACCTCGTCATGGCCACCGTCTGCGCCCAAGCCCGCGACACGCGCACCACCCTCGACGCAGCCGGCGTCCTAGCGCCCGTGCTCGCATGCCTGCAGCGCGGTGCCGCCTCCGCCTCCGCCTCCGCCTCCGCCGTTCCCGACGAAACCACCCACAACAACAACAACAACAACAACAACAACAACAACAACAACAACAATAACAACACCGACCAGAAGAACGACTCACCCACCAACACCACCACCGCCCCCCACCCCACCGCCCACGACCTCATCACCTTCCACGACGTCGCCGGCCGCCATACCGTCGGCGTCATCGCCTACTTCGCCTGCTCCCGCCCAGCCTTCGCGTCCTGGTCCCGCCGCAGCGGCTTCGACGCGTGGTGGCAAGCGCTCGTTCCCGGCGCGGAACCGGTCGGCTGGTTCAGAGAAGTGTTTTTCCCCAGCGTCGACAGGTACGAGACGGTGTTCTCGTCGAGCGGGGAGGGGCCGGGCGGCGTGGGCGAGGGCGCGGCGCGGGTGGAGGGGATGCGGTTGAGCGGGGCGGTGAGGGAGCATGTTTATTGGGGGAGTATGAGGGATCGGTTGCCGAGGGGGCAGGTGGATGGGTTGGTTGGTGAGGGGGGGGAGGGAGTGAGGGGCGGGGTGGAGGGGACGGAGCGGAGGAGGGTGGTGGTGGGGGGGAGGGGGAATTTGTGCGTGATTCGGTCGGGGCAGGATTGGTCGGGGATGGTGGAGGGGGAGAGGAGGTTGTATCTCGAGACGATGCATCCGGTGTTGGTGAGGGGGATGGATTTCTTGCGGGATGAGGGGCGGGAGGTTGGGTGTCATTGTTGTCGGTTTGTGACGGAGCTGGATCCGGTGGATGCGGAGAGGGAGACGGAGCGCACGTTTGGGTTTGCGTTTTTTAGGGACATGGAGGCGCTGGAGAGGTGGTCCAAGTCGCATCGGACGCATGTGGACATCTTTGGCCGCTTTTTGCAGTACGTCAAGGAGCTGGATGGGAATATCTCGTTGCGGCTTTTCCATGAGGTGCTGGTTCTCACGCCGGAGCAGCAGCTTTTGGAGTACGTGGGGTGCCATCCGCAGACGGGGCTTCTCGGTCTTTAGTGTGAGACTTGGATGATTCGTCTCTCTGTCGACATTAGCCAACGTCGGTTAAAGCGGTATCAGTCTATCCAACGGTACCTGGATTCTTTCCTTGACTATGGCTTCGACGACAATATCCTGGATGCATACCACCAACACTTGGAACCGTACATAAACCCTTTTCAATTAGGTGAAATCCACGACTCTATCTACAGTAGCCGCCTTGCTCGAGCTAGATGTGGAATACTGCGAGAAGAATGGTATCAAATTGATCTTCCATCCGGGTAAGCGCAATAACGTGCAACCAAGAGTGGGATTCTGTAATAGGGGCATCGAAGTTGGAGTAAAAGGTGACAAAGGTGATTGCATTACTGTTTCTATGACAGGGAATAATTACCCTAGTGGGAGTCTACTCTACGAGGCATTTCCTATTCCAGACGTTGACGAGGATTCAGACGATGACGATGACTCAGACCTTGACTATGGTCTAGAGCTTGACGAGATTTCAGATGTTGGGGAAGTCTTAGAGGATGATGAAGGAGAGGAATTACTATCTTATTTCATGTTTACGGTTTAGGTTCCTACAAATTCCATCTCCAGGAACGAATATGGAGCCGAGGCAAGATATCCAGGGCGATGGATGAAGGATGAGAAGCAAGGAGATCTTATGTAGGATTTTTGCATTTCATTCTAGTTGGTGTTGGAGCTGGCTACCTAGTATACGTCGTAAGTAAGGATTACCAAAGCAACCCCGCAGACATTCGTCTTTCGCACGCGGTAGTCATCAAATAGTCGCCGCCACAACAGCCGCCACGCCCCCCAGCGCAGGCAGCACACTCCTCACCCCATTCAGCCACATCCACCTCCCCAGCAACTCCTCCACCTCCGATTCCTCCTCCCTTGAGGCCGGTGCTGCCACCCCCTGCCTGCCGATCTCTTCCGAGTTCTTGATCAGCTTGTTGTTCGTTCCCCGCATCGTCAAGATCGTGTACGGCACGATTCCAATCGTCAGCGCCGCCGCGGCGCCGTATAGGTAAAGCGGCCGCAGCACAGAGCCATGAGGTGCTCCTACGTGGCGCGTCGACCACGCGAGGAATGATAACGACGCCGTGGTCAGGGCGGCGATGGGCGGGTTCTGCGCTTTGCCCCGTTCGTAGGTGTGGCGCCAGAGGCGCGTCAGGGATACGGTGGTCGCGGCGCCGTCGTGGAAGGCGGAGGTGCAGGCCGGGACGGAGATCAGGGCGAGTGCAGCGATGTTTCCTGTGGGAGGTGGAAGTTAGTGAGGGATGGTGGGTGAGAAGTGTGGGCAAGAACGTACCGGAGAGCCAGAATGCGCCGCCGATGCCGATGGCGCGGGCGATGAGAATTGTGAATGTCGTGGACATTGCTGAACTTAGTTGATGGAATTTGTTTGAGAGTTTTACTGGGAAAGTGACAGTGATGATAGAGGGATTCCTGGTGTGCAGGCGGGGTAAATTTTATATATAGACGTTGGCTGCCTTGGATCGGATGCAATGGTCACGGACATCATACGACTGGGATCGGGGAGTCGGGATTTCGGAGGACCGAATGCTTGCAACTCCGCATCCGAGTCGCCAATCCTACGACCGGAATCCGGGGACGGGCTCATAACCGCTTAGCGCTGACCCGAGGCGGGACACCGAGATCCGTGTCTTCCGTCTCCGGCTTTTGCAAAACTGCATTCGGAGAGACACTGTGAAGAGTCTTACGATCAGAGGGTCTCAACTCATCTAGTGTATGCACTTCGTTTAATCTCTCATCTTTCTGTCCGGCGGCCAATAACTGCAAGACTGAAAGCAAATCAAGAAAAAGAAATTAGAAAATGAAAACCTCCAGACTACAGCATTTGAAACAATCTCTTAAGGGATGTGTTTGGGACCAATCCCCAAGACCCGCATGACGAGCTACCGGAAATTTATTACAATGCTTGTTAGCGTACGGTCTATGATGAAAAGGGCAGCAATAGCGATGATGAGATAGATCTTGACTGAGCGGGCGTCTGTTAACCTGGTCTTTTAGTAGCAGAATAGAGCTGATCAACTGAACAGCATTCCTGAGAGGCGTTAGCAGGCTTCTTACTTACCGAAATAGACTAAATCTACCCAAAGGTAATGCTTAAAAGTGCTTGGATGCCTCCACCAAAATGGAGCCCGACTTCCTCAAGAGCTTAATCGAAATTCAAGATCAACGGAACTAAGGCAATAAAGTTCACGCAGAAAACAACATTTGGGTTTCCCTGAACACAGTAGACTACAAAGCCTGCTGGGATGGAAAGTAAAAGAAAATTGAGCCAGCTGCTGAATATAACATGGTTGAATTGGGTCCATGGAGCGATGACGGGCTCCTTTCTGATTCCCCTATAATCAAGGTTCCAACACCACGCATCATCAAACAAATTCCCATTCAAATACTTCAGCCCCGTATCACAAATAACCATGACCACCGTCTTCCCTAGCCCTTGCTCCTTCGCCAACTCCAGCGCGGCCACGACATTAAAACCCGACGACGTCACCACAAGCAACGCCTCCTTCGCCAACCGTCTCTCCATCTTCCTCACTTCAACCTCCGAAATCGCTCCGGCCTCATCATGCAGCTTAGCATCCAAGGTTTTTACCACCACGATTCCGATGACACCAGACATGTCTCGTCTACCACAGATGACCGGGATTGTAGCTGGCGGCGAGGCTCTCTGCAGAAGGCGTCCGTGGACGGGAACTGTGCGAGAACTTCCTCCAAGTCCTCGTAGCGCAGATCTAGCTGCCACATGAGTTGCGTGAGATGCTCTTCGAACCACTGCCGCGGCGATACGATGCGGCTGTCTTTCGTGGAGACGGCCCATCCAACGAAGAGAACCCAGAGCAAGCCGTGCAGATGCGCTGTCCGTATCCACTGGTCGATAAAACCGGGAGCGGACACCGTGGTGTGGAGTCGCTCAACGAGGAGATTATTCACGGCCGTTTGCAGCGGCATCTCTCTCAGCGCGGCAAGGAGGAAGAGCTGTGCTGTCTGAGCTACGGCGGAGCGTACTCTCTCGGCTGCCGACAAGGTCGGCGATCTCTCTTGGCGAGTTTTGGAATCCGCCAGGATAACTAGGAGCTTGTGTTCTGAGTCGTAGAAGGTTTTGCGCATCGCCGGCCTGTTCATGCGCGCATTCCATGATGGCTCCTGTGCGATGCTCAGGTGGTGCAGGCTGAGCAGTATCGAGTCCAAATCCGCTCCAACCGTCGGAAGCCGGCGCTGGCCCGACTGATGGCGAAGTGATGCTTGCCGTCGCAGCTCGGGCGGAAAGGCTTCGAGCCACTGCTGCACGCTTCGCGGAGAAAGCTCTTGGTGAAAAGCCGGGACCGTCATGTGGCGCATCGCATAATCATTCTCGCACCAGATGAGTCCGCTTTGTATGACTGGTGCGAATGCTTCGAGTCCGCCTCGAGCATGGGTGAGAGCGAACAAACCGGTGTAGTGCATGTCGGCAATCTCCCATGAGCCCTCGTTGCTCTACTATGTTGTAAGTAAGGATACAGCCCTAGACGGAAAGACGGCGCTTACTGCACACAGCGCCAGAGCGCCGACTGCACAAGCTATCGGGTCGGATATTGGACGTCCAGACGCGAGAAATTCCGTGACCATGGAATGTGCTCGTTGCTCCCATATTACGACTTCGGTGGTCATATCGACTCCACGCAATTTGCCGTATAGTATAGCGACGAAGTGGATTATTGCAAAAAACGAAACCGGTTCGAAGCCACTGACCCGCCAGAGAGACTCTGCCCACTTTGGTGACGTTACTGCCACGTCATCTGGTATTCATCAGTCGCGTGGCATAAAATCCCCCTTGAAACACTCACCGTAAGCGTATGGAGCCTGAGCGGGCATGTCGTGGAAATCTGGGATGCCACGTCAGCTAGGAGAAGGCGAACTCCCGAGCATTTCTCTTACAAAAATCCATCATGCTGCGATAAAAAGGCGTCTCCTTCACCGGCCGCGTTTCGAACGGGTCGAGCCGTCCCGAGCCAATGCCCCGAATTGTTTGCCGACCCAGACTTGTTGCAACAGCGGCTGACTGCCGGAGATTCCGGGTCCATTGTTGTATCCCGCTTCGCCGCTTCTTCTCGTTCACATGAAACTGGACGTGGCTTCGAATCTCGCGTTTGATTGAGCGCGCACGCGGCTTCGTCTTTTCCTGCTCGCTCGCCGCGTCTACGTGGACGAAGAGGAGAGGTCTCCGCGGGCTGTTCCCGCTTGCGGTAGCGGTGTGGAACGCTGGCGCCGCAGTGCGAAAAGCCAACTGGTGCGTTTCGGCAGGGTCGCTGACACCACTCGGGCCAGGTCGTTGCGGCGACATACTAGCTTCGGCCAGCCTTGGGTCGATCGGGTTACTTTGGTTGATTCGCGGGCTGGAGCTTGAGTTTGTCGTCAGTCCTGCTTCCCCGCATCTTATCAGAGTTGAGACTCGCTCAGCTTCGCAGGCGCACGAGCAGGCCAATCAGATAAGTCACCGAGCCCCTTGGCCGCAAGAGGACATTGTGTACGCTCTAATAGGTAATGATCGGCTGAAGTGTCATGCACACGAGCTCTCGATGAGGAAGGCGAAAGGTACCCGTTGCCACCAACTGAAGTTCGCAAAGAGTCGCACAAGCCGTAAGGGGCAAAAAACCTCTTTCGTGTTGGTACATACATGTGAAGTACGCTCTATCAGCTGGAAAATAGCTCTCCCTGCAATCGAAAAATGTGTTCGTCCAGCGCGTCTCGCCCCCACAGCCTTTACTATCTGCCACACCGACATTGTTCCGTCTCTTTTGAATGTCAAGACATAAGCTCTACCGCAGCTACATCATCTAAATACAACTGCAAATCACAACAAAATTTTCAGCTCGCTTCGAAATCATCCAGGTATGTTGACACTCACCACTTACAGACGTCTGTAGTTTATTGAGTAAAGCCCCACTGCGGAAAATAGATGAAGGCCGACACCGGTCAGAACCCAGGGACCGCAATGCACAAGTCTCATTTTGTAGCAAATTCGGGATTCCATGTTACCAGAATGAACATTGGCTAGGTTTGGTATTGTTGCGGGTGCTGCACCGGCGGGAATCGGGTCAATATGTGGGAATATGACTGTCCTGTTTGCGGCCACTCTGCTTGTGTCAGCTGTTCTTTTGAGTTTCACGGCAGTTGCCTAGGTGGGTGGGGCTGTGCAAGTGAGTCGAGGGGACAACTGGGACCGGGATATCCACCCGAGCGACTGTAATCGGCATCGAGGGTTTTGGGGAATCATAGATGATGGAAGAGAAGAACATGGCCACACCAATCCTCACCGGAATATGGAGGTGGGGCTGCGAAGAGTTCTACAAGGGAATGTTAGCCTATCGTAGTCGAGTGTTACCAGCACATTCTTAAGACTGGACAACATTCCGAGCTTGGTAAAAGGTAGTTATTCCCCCCCATAAATGTAGTACCATAGTTCATCCAAGAGCCACACGGTAGCAACATCCTCAGCCACGTGCCTCGAGACATTCCCTTCCGCGCACTCCACCCCGTTCCTACCCTGCGCCCCAGCAGAAACCCAACCGCACCACAACAACAAAAATGACTTTCACATCAACAATCCTCTACCCCAACTACCCGCACAAGAACTGTAACTTTAATTACTATCTCAACACGCACATGCCCCTAATCGAGGAGCTCTGGGTCCCGCTAGGAGCAGGTGTGTCCACTCCGATGCTTGCGTTTTGTTCAAATTGCTTAGTCAACCGGTTAGGATTCGTCGCCGAGTATAAGTACGTCATCTCCGCCGTCTCCCACAATGACGCCAATGCGCCCGCGATGCCGGATGCGACCGTACACAACGTTTTCTACGACTAATACTCTGCCATAGCAGCGACAGGTGCTCCAGGACTCATCTTCTGGTTTCTGTATGTCAAGCTTCCTGTGCCAGTGCGGACTCCAGATTGTCCGTGATTCGGAGAAGAGGACATGGAACAAACAGTTGAAGAGTACGGAGACAAGCACGTTTGTACGACTTACAAGATCAAGGATCTGTGGGATGCACGCGTAAAAGCATCCATGGTGCCGCTGGAAGAGGGTGTGCGGAAGAAATGATGGGCGTATTGTTCTGCAGGTCGGAGACGCAATACACAAGGTGAGTTTGATTCATCCATCCGCCGTGATTCCGCATTGGAGCATCACCTGCAGGCCACCATCAACGCCGGGATCGGCGGGAACACGGCATACAAAGGCATCGCGTGCTTGACCAACAGCCTCGTCGAGCTTCTGGCGAAATCGCCGGCACCGTCGCTTGGACAATTCGGTGCAGCCTTTGACAAGTTCGAGGCAACACATAGTCTACGCGCCTAGTTATCAAGCTGTCGTGTCTAGTCACGCGATACGAAGCCTAAGACACGCGGTGACTGAAGCTTGCGTCTCGCTGGTTGAGTCCCTGGGCAAGTGACTCGCGCAAGGCGGATGCCTACGTCTCATACTTTGGGAAGGCTTCGTATCTCACTTATCTCTCAAATCCGGATGAGATGGTGGGAGCGCAAGCCAAGCCGTGAGCAGGGGTGCTTTTGTCTCTCTGATCGGTCTTGTCATTGGCTGGCTGAACAGGGGTGCAACCTTCCCTTAAGAGTACAGGGGGTGGGGGTCTTCTGCCTCGGCAGACCCACATGCTGTGAGACGTGTCTCTGTCGAGCAACATCTTCATTGGTGATGGAGGGCTTGAGAATGTTTTCGTGGCAAAGGAACGAGGCGTAAATAAGCTCAGCATTGGGGGCCAGTCCGACGATAAGTACGAGGCCTAGAAGTTTGCTTGGATTTAGCCGTTGGGGCCTTTCCAGAGCGGGTAGCTGTCCCCGCATCCTTCATGCACACTAACAAAATGCTTAATATATAGATGCAGCCTATTCACCCACTGTCATTCCTCTACCTTTCTTCATCTTCCAGGGGCTGTCAGGATGATGCGCGTTTCATACTCTTGCACTGTCGCTCTCAACGCGCTTTTGTTTTCGGCAATTGCAGTCACTGCCCAAAACTCGACCGACTGTAAATGCATTCCCGGTGATGCTTGCTGGCCGGCGGCCGAGGCTTGGGCAGAGCTCAACACCACCGTGTCCGGCAAGCTTATCGCCAACAAACCGCTGGCACACGTCTGCCACGACCCGGACTACGACGAAGCAGCCTGCACGGAGCTCAAGTCGGAATGGGTTTGGCCACTCGTATTGTGAGTCCAAACCAGAAACACGCAACTGAACACGACTGACATAGTCCAGCCAAGACGCGCCCACAGCCATGATGGACCCCGTCTGGCAAAACTGCACTCCCTACACCCCGCGCGAGCAGCCGTGCGAACTCGGCCAGGACGCCGTCTACTCCATCAACGTGACCTCCGCCTCCGACATGGCCGCCGGCGTCAAGTTCGCCGCCGCAAACAACATCCGCCTCGTCGTCCGCAACACCGGGCACGAGTAAGTCCCCTCCCCTCCCCCGCACTCCACCCCTCCCTAACACCCCCCCACCAGCTTCCTCGGCAAAAGCACCGGCACCGGCTCCCTCAGCCTCTGGACCCACAACATGCGCGACATCGCCCTCATCCGCAACTACACCGACCCCTCCACCACCTACACCGGCCCGGCCCTCAAACTCGCCGCCGGCGTCCGCGGCACCGACGCCCTCTCCGCCGCCAGCGCCAGCAACCTCGTCGCCCTCGTCGGCAACTGCCCCACCGTCGGCCTCGTCGGCGGCTGGACCCAAGGCGGCGGCCACAGCGCGCTGTCGTCCACCCACGGCATGGGCGCCGACCAAGTCCTCGCCTGGGACGTCGTCACCGCCGCGGGCGCCCTCCTCACCGCGACCCCGACCGAGCACCCGGACCTCTACTGGGCCATGTCCGGCGGCGGGCCCGGCGCCTACGCCGTCGCCGCCGCCGTCACCATCCGCGTCTTCCCCGACCAGCGCGTCGGCGGCGCGGCGCTGGCCTTCGCGAGCCCCGCGGCTAACAGCAGCAGCAGCGCCGCTGAGGCCGACGCCTACTGGAACGCCGTCCGCGCCTTCCTCGCGGCGCTGCCGCAAATCGTCGACTTGGGCGGCCACGTCGGCTTCAGCCTGTCCGCGGCCGGCTTCCGCATCCTGCCGCTGACGCTGCCGGGGGCGGACGAGGCGGACACGCGGGCCGCGATGGCGCCGTTCGTGGAGGAGCTGACGGCGCTGGGCGTGCCGTTTTCGTACAACGTGACGAGCTTCGCGACGTTTGAAGAGCACTACGACGCGTATCTGGGGCCGATCCCGCGGGGGACGATGAACATCAACGTGATGATGGGGGGGAGGCTGGTTCCGCGGGAGGTGGTGGAGCGGGATAACGGGACGGCGGTGGCGGGGGCGTTGAGGGAGTTGAGGGGGGGCGAGGGGGCGGTGCCGGGGCTGATTCTGGCGGGGGTGGCGATGAGGGGGACGGATGCGCGGAGGGCGGTGGCGCCGAATGCGTTGTTGCCGCAGTGGAGGGGCAGTTTGGTTTCGGTGCTGGCGGCTGTGCCGTGGGATTTTGCGGCCGCGGACGAGGTTAATCGGGAGAGGGAGAGGGCGTTGAATGAGGTGGTGGTGCCGAGGTTGGAGGCGTTGACGCCGGGGAGTGGGACGTATTTGAATGAGGCGAGTTATCTGAATCCGAACTGGAAGGAGGATTATTATGGGGTGAATTATGAGAGGTTGAGGGAGGTGAAGGGGGCTTGGGATCCGGAGGGGTTGTTTTACGGGCCGACGATGGTGGGGAGTGATGAGTGGGTGGAGAGGGATGGGAGGCTTTGTAGGGTGTAGATTGTCTCTCAGCTCCCCTGCAGGGTTTTGCGTTATGTTAAACTATTTTGGCAATGGTGCCGCGCCAACGATTGTCAACAGATGAGTGGTCCCACTGGACTAACCACATCATTCCTCCTTCACCTTCACAAACTTCAACTCCCCACCCTCATCCCTCGCCAACCTCGTCCTCATCCCCTTCGCCAGGGCATCCATCTCCCGACCGTCATCAACCCCCAAATCACCCCACCCGCTCAGACCGTGAAACATCAACGGAACAACGTCAGACTTCCACCCAAACGTCGCGCGATGCCGCCCCGCCAGCCTCAAGCTCAACCCCAGAAACAGCCCGCCGAGCACGCACAGCGTTGCAGGCAGTATGATCCACAGCCAGCGGACCCCGACGTAAACCACCGCAGTGTACGCCGTACCTTGGTGGTGCGTCGAGTTTGGCCCGACGAGTAGCTGGAGCGTCAACGCATCGGCGACGGCGGCGACGGCGGCCGATGTGTTCTGCCGCGTCAAGAGGCTCAAGCCCGTGTTGAAGGACAATCCGGAATCGACGCTGGGGTCGACGCGGAAGGAGAAGAAGGCTCCCAGGTAGCCCTGCACGTCGAAGGAGTCTGTCACCGCGACGGTGAAGGCCGTGTCGGGGATGCCTGCGGCGGTGAAGGCGAGCGTGCTGTTGAGGGAGAAGGTGTCGTCGAGGGTGGAGTGTGCGGCGTCGGGGGTTAGTGGGACGCTGGAGACTGTGTAGTCGTTTAGGGATCCGTTTGCCTTTTGGTCGTGTCTTTTGTCAGTGGGATGCGGCGAGGGTGCTTGCGTGGAGGCTTACCACTTTGACGTTTCTGAATGACTTCGCGCACCATTCTATGGAACATTCCAGTATATCGGCGGCTGGGTTGTACACCAACGTCTTTCGCCCGTTGATGCCATTTCCAGCTGGTTCTGACGCATCGGGCGTTCTTGAGGTATTTGCCACGGCGAAAGTGATGATGCTTCCGTTCCAACTTAGGGCCCCGTTGAAAGCAGCTTCAGTCACATTACCGGTTATTAGAGAGCCTTCGTCGATCAGAAATGGAAGTGAATCGTCCGTAGTATTGATTTGGTATGGAGCAGATACGTTGAGCAGAACGCCCCCCGGTGTGGTGTACACATTGGCCACCGCGTCTGTGCCGTTCTCGTCCTTCGAGTGGTCTACGGCTCGAAGAACAAATTTCTCGACTGTGCTGTCTGCAGTTACGTTTCGGCATGTATTGCATATACCAAGCGTGTCAAAGTCTGGCCAAGAGCAGTTTCCCGTGGTGCAGACATATGTGAATGGAAGAGGCGACCCAAGGAGAGCCGTGACGATCGCGCTTTGGAAACCGACGTTGTCCGTCCCTACCAGGTGTCAATCAGATATGCCGATTCGCTAACTCGTTCGTGGAGTAGGCTCACCAACCACGGTGTGGCTATGGTCATAAGCCGTAGCTGTTGCTAACCAAGGCGCGACTCCGTCTTGGGGAACATTCCGTGTGTAGAAAGTAATAAGTTGCTGAGAAAACGGATCCATGGCGAGTGAAAGGAGTATCACGAACGCTCCCAAGGTGGCAGTAGCCGTGCCATTTCGTGCTCGCATAGTGTACAGGAAGTCGAGAGCGCCCCATGGGCCCCTAGTTGCTTCGTCGAAGATGCTCAGCTCGTTGAGTGGCCGCACATGTTGAAAGTGTCGCCATTTCAATTGACCTATCCCGGCTGCAACCGCGAGTAGCATGGATGTCTTTCCGGTGGTAACGAGTATCGATATCACTGCATTGGGTGACACAGAGTTAAGCGCCCATTTAGAAAGAGGTTGGTCGTGTAGGTAGCGGAGAATGATGAGGATCGCAACCATGCATGATATGCTGAGGAGTGATCCACCTATTTCCCAAAGCCACAAACCCTGCGTTCGTGTGGATCTTCTGTGTGTCTTCAAGGGGACAGGTTTGCTGTGTTCTGCCGAGTTGCTGCCTTCCAGTCCGTGCTGATTTGTTGAATGAGGATCGGAGGTATCGGACGGAATTCTCGAATACTCTCCCTGATCTTGTTTTGATTCATGCGTACTTGTGCGAGGACTGCCAGTCCCTGATCCAGGTGCTCGATTGAAGGTAGGTGCTGATTTAATCTCCGGCGAAGAAGAGCTTGAGTGACTTGATGTGGCCATCGAGACTGGGGGCGGAAAGCACAACTCCCTCGCATCGCTTGCGACTGTCGAAGTGTAAGGCAGAGCGGTTGCACCATGGAGCTTTGTACTGTAGCTTTACATCTAGCCCCCGGTCTGCGCTGTTCATAGTCTGTTAGCGCCACTGCTGTCATTTAACACAAAAACAAGTTTTGCTTCTGTTTTCACTTGGGGGCCATTGGTTGTCGTGAGCACCAACACAAATTGCTGAGGGGTGGGCAATGATTGGTTGACCAACATCATGATAGTTCGCAAAGCACCTAGAGCGATAGAAACCGCGCCCATACTATATATTACTGCTGCGTGTTAGACCACAGTTGTAGGACGGTGTGGAGTGGTGCAAGATGTTACAAGCTCAATGGGTCCGGGACAGGATCCGATGCGGCGACGGAAGTGAACGCAGGCAGGGAAATACTTCTATGCAACACAGTATGCAAGTGCGGGATGAGTGTACAGAATGGTAAATAGGTTTGGCGGATGTATGTACAAGATGATCGAAATATGATTTCTCAAATCAAAAATCGGATTAAGAACAATACTGTAATTGAATCATAGAATTTCCGTATAGTTATAAGAACATACAACTTATCAACGGAACGGAGTACTGAGAAGCTTACGACAGCAGCCCGAACATCCACGACGTTCCCATCGTCGCCCAATCACATGGTCGTACCGGCCACGATAACCCCAAAACATCATCCTCCCGCATATTGCGTGCTCCCAACACCCCACGGCACCGCCAAACAATTGCCGAAGCCTGTCGTTCGAACAAGCTTCCCCTCTTGCCGCGGCACTTCGCCGCAATCTTGGACAAAGTTCTCTAACAACAGAAAAATCTATGTCGCCGCCTCCTCCCAAAGTCGGCGCTGCCGCAACCGCAGTCACATCGATACCTTCCTCGCCCATCAACAATCAATGCAAGCCTCTGCGGCGCCGCGTCCGAGAGCTCGTGTGGGACAGCTTCGACCGCAGCCCGGAGGAGCGCCGGTTCATCGCCAAGATCGACTTCTTCATCCTCACGTGGGCCGGCTTTTCATATTTTTCGAAGAACCTGAATTCGAATAATCTATGTAAGCGAGCGTCCCGGGAGCCATTGAATCGGTGTCGTGTCGTGTTGTCTGATTGGACTGATGGTAGCGAATGCGTATGTGTCGGGGATGAAGGAGGAGCTGGACGTCGTGGGGAATCAGTATCAGACTTTCACGACTATGTGGACGATGTAAGTGTGGGATGAGGAATGGGGTCATGTGTGGTCGGCTGACAGAAAGCGCAGTGGCTACGTCGTCTCCCAGGTCCCTTCGCAGCTGATCTGCACAAGAGGTAGTTCCGCTGTTCACAGTGGAGCTGCGCACGCTGACGCTGTTCAGTGCGCTTGTCGTTGTGGTGCCCAAGCTGGGAGCTATTCTGGGTCGTCGTGACGTTTGCAAGCTCTGCCGTCAAGACCCCGTATCAACTATACGCTTGCAGGTTCCTGGTGAGACGGCCGTCCGATGTTGTGATTTTGTTGACTGACGTTGAGCAGGTTGGCCTGGCGGAAGGCACATTCTACCCTGCAGTGCATACGGTACTCGGCGGGTGGTATACCAAGCAAGGTCCGTTCACTACTGCCCTCAAAGATCAATCCTAATGACTGGACAGAACTTGGTAAGAGGGCATGCATTTTCTTCGCCTCGGCCTTCATCGGATCCATGTTCAGCGGGTATCTTGTAAGCGAGTGACCATGTCCCAAATGCCCGGGCTGACCAGAGCAGCAAGCTGCATTGCATACAGGGATGAATGGCGTCCACGGCCTTGCGGGGTGGCGGTGGCTCTTCATCTTTGACGGGGTGATCACTCTACCAATGGCTGTGTGGGGTGAGTTTCAAGGCCCAGTTCGCTTGGAAAAGAGCTGAACGCTTTAGGCTACTACGCTCTTCCGGATCTGCCCAGTAACACTCGTGTCCATTGGCTGAAGCCGGCGGAGAAAGAGCTCGCGCTCGAGCGCATGAGGAAAGCCGGGAAGCACCTGGAAGAGCCGTTCACGATGAAAGGCCTGCGGCGCATCCTCAAAAAGTGGCACTTTTGGGTGTACACGGCTTACTACACGTGAGAGCTCACCAGTAGCAGTTTGTGCAGATGATGCTTACAGCCACCAGGTTCTTCATTTGCAGCGAAAATATTGGAACTTACATGAACCTCTGGCTGAAGAGCCTTGACCGGTAGCTGCCCGAAGGACGCCGGCTGCTCATTGCTAATGCCATCCAGATACTCGGTCTCCGAGATCAACACTTACCCCACTGTCATCAATGCAATCACCATCGTGACGACGCTGTGCTACGGCTGGGTCAGCGACGGGCTTCAGGTGCGCGCGCCAATCGTCTACTTTTCGCTGGGCGTCTGTTTCTTCGCCGCCACGAACCTAGCCGTCTGGGACGGCGTGCCGTTCGGGCTCAAATGGGCCTCCTTCTACCTCACCGGGTATGCACAAGAATCCACTCCAGCGCCGTTCGTTTTCACCGCGTTGCCTCAGAGCCCGCTGACTTTGAACCAGATTCGCTCAAGGCTCCGGCCCCGTCTTCCTGACTATGGTCAACGAGCACTGCGCCGGCGACAGCTTGGAGCGCAAATTCATCCTCGGGACGACCAACTCGGTGGCGTATGCGTTCAACGCGTGGATCCCGCTCATCACGTACAACACCAACTACGCGCCGCGGTTCCTGGTGGGCAACTCGGCTACCGTCGGCTTGATCGTGTGCGCTGCAGCGACCCTCACACTGGCGGTGTGCCTGCAGAGGAGGGATGCGTAGGTTTCACACGCTGATGATCTCTGCGAGAGCTGTGACTGCTGACTCATTGGCCAGGCACGCAAAACAGGGAGGCGATGCAGTGGGGGATGTGTAGCATCAATGCGGGCCCACTGCTTGCGAGATCGGATGGGAATCACCGTGATGCTGCAGGCGGTTTGATGAGGGTGTAGTCATTCACTCATGGGACACCATGGCCAACAGAGACGAGAGTCATGCTAGAGGACTAGAAAGCGCCGAGCAGCAGAAAAGATGGACATGGTTCCTATTCCGATCTTCAAGCACAGCACGGACCGTGCACAGAGCGTGGCTGGGATGACGGCTGGTCGTTGCGTGAGGGAGGCATTTCGCGGATGAGCGGGGACTGTTGCTGCGATCGTTGGCTGCCTCGTCGATGAGGCGGGAAATGGGGGTGAGAGAAGAGGGAAGCATTGAGGCACAGAGCCAAGGCACTGGTGCTGTGCTGGGGCCGTTCGCCGTACATGGTTGCCCCTGAACGCCGTGCGGATCTGCAACTGCTAAATCAGACTGCACGTTTCGGACAGGCGTGGATGATGCGGGCCTAGCGCAGAGCTTCGTGCATTGTGTGTAGACCATTGTTATTGTTTGCGCGGCACGGGCATGAGACACGGCGGCGCGTGCCACGATCGAGCTGCCATGCTGGCCTGGGCCGAAGCAGCGCCCGCTCACGGAGTGTATGGGCGTGGAGCGACTGTGCGATGGAAGAGGAGCGACTCGAGCATGGGCGACGCAGCGCACTGGCAGCGGAGGATCCGTGGGCTGCGGGGAAGGGCGGCGCCGGTGGGCGTAGATGGTGGCGGATGGCGGATGGCGATGAGGCAGAGTGGCAGCGGTCTCGCGGGCGACGCTGTGACGCGGGCGACGGACGCTGCGACGCGGGCTTGGCGAGGGGCACGGATGACGCAACTTCGCACACGTGACTCCGAGTCGCCGCGCAGCGCTCGCCAGGGCACGTGGGAAGCGTGGCGGGCGGGCGCAGGCTGCATGTCTTGATGCGATGCACGGCTGCTTTGCGGGCGGGGCGTGCGGGTTCAGTGGCATTGGATCGCCGGGCGGACGGCTGCGCGTGATTCTGGCAGGCAGAGGTGTGGAGGCCGCGGAGCCAGCTAGCGGCAGCGGACGCAGGCCGGGGCCAAGAAATCCTGGCTCGAACCGCTGCGCTGCGTCTTCCCTCCTCCATCGCGACCCAGCGCGCGCCCTCGCCATGAACCCGACCCAGCCCGCGGCCAAGAAGGCGTGCGACAAGTGCAGGCTGCGCAAAATCAAGGTGACCCAGCCTCGCGCGCGCCGTATCCGCCCCGGCCTCACTAACGCAAGTGGCCTGTGGTAGTGCGACCTGACCCAGCCCTGCGCCAGCTGCACTGCCCGCAACTTTGAATGCACATATCAGACCCCGCACCGCAAGAGAGGCCCGGCCGGAAGGTACAGCGCTGCAAAACCGCGAATGCGGCCACTCCCCCCGCGTGCTGACCCCGATCCGCAGACGGCTAGCCGAAATCCGACAGCAGCAGGGTTGGCGGAGTGCCGAGCAGCTGCAGACTCCCACCATCTCGCCCGGCCGCTCTGTCGACCACCTCGCCGATGGCGACCAGCTCGACCCGCCGCCCATGGTGTCGTCGTGGGACATGCTGGGCTGCCTGCCGCACCAGCCCCAGCCGCCCCAGGACCAGTGGCCCCAGAGCGAGGACGAGTATCTGATGCCCGCCTCGCAGCCGCAGTCCGCCCAGCAGCAGCCCTCGGCCAACGCCTTCGACGACCCCATGTTCTCGCTGCTCGCCCGTCCGCAGCCCCCCTCGGCCGGCTCGCTGCAGCAGCAGGGCCCGCCGAGCCTGCCCGACCCCACCAGCATCTGGCCGCTGGGCATCACCGACGAGAACCTCATCCGCTGGATCGACGTCTACTTTGAGCGCCTGTACCCGACCCTGCCCATCCTCAAGCGCTCCTCCATCTTCGCCCGCCTGCTGAGCCAGGAGCACCGCACCAATCCCGACTTCGGCGCCATGCTGCTGGCCCTCAGCGCCTTCTCGCTCATCCAGCCCGTCCGCATCAGCGAGTGGTCCTCGGCCGCGTCACGTGAAAACATGGTCAACTTCATGTTGTCCGAGTCGGTCAAGATGCGCGCCTCGGTCGAGTTCGGCGAGAACCCCTCGCTGGACGCCATCCTGACCAGCGTCTTCCTCTTTGCCTGCCTGTTCCAGCGCAACCAGCACAACGCCGCCTGGTTCCGCCTGAAGGAAGCCGTCGAGCTCGGCTCCGTCTTCGGCCTGGGCCGCTCCGAGTGCTACGCCAACTGCGAGCCCGAGCAGAAGCAGCAACGCCTCCGCATCTACTATCTACTTGCCGTCACCGAGAGGTTGGACCGACCCCGGGAGATGCACGTGTGGTGCGCTAACTGTATGCAGGGCCTACGCACTGGAGAAGAAGCATCCCATCACCTTCCTCGGCCACCCGAGCATGGAAACCCGTTCCCTGCTCGAGTCGGTGTCGGCTGCTTCCGACGGCGACGACCTGGGCATCGTCATCCACGACGAGGCCGAGTCGAACGGCATGCTCGGCCTGCTGAGGCTGATGACGCTGTTCGACCCCATCGACGAGAACTTTGTGCGATGCTGGAACAACCAGTGCGACAAGACGGGCGGCAGGTGCCGCTTCCTGGACGAGCAGATGGCCATCGCCATCCACGAGAGCCTGACGAGACACAGCATTCAAAACACCAGCGGCCATTCCTCGCTGTTCACCAACACGCCGCCCAGCTGGTTCATGAGCGCGACGCTCAAGGACACGCAGATTGCCGACCTCATGGTCAACGAGCAGTGGCTCCAGAATCGCTTCTGGAACCTCTGTCTCTCGCACAAGATCCTGTCGCCGCAGGCCGAACATCCCGCCCTGCAGGTGTTCCAAGCCGTGACCATCGCCGAGAACACGCTGCGCGTCTGTTCGGGCTTGTCGCTGTCGTCTTTGGAAGTCCACGGCGTCGGCCTCGTGAGTGCATGAAACGACGTATGCGAAAGGTTGCTGGGCTGACGGGAAAATAGATCGAGAAGCTGTACTGCGTCGTCGAAAGCGCCGTCGCCGCCAAGCGTTATAGCGAAAGTATGAGCTACGGGGCCCAGGTGGCAGCGCTGTCGCCGCATGCCTTCAACAACACCAGCGCGTCACTGTCTCCGTCGGACCCGCTCATCCACGGCTTCCTCGAGTTCTTCAAGAAGATCCGGGCAGGCCAGCATCCGTTTCTGAGCAAGCTCTCGGCGCTGGTGGGGCCAGACATGGGAATTGACGGCATCTGAGGCTCTTGCCACGGGAGGCCTGCCAAGCTGCCGGGTCTTGGGCTCCGCGGTTATGGCGTCAGTCCCGGCGGTGAGGAAGCGCCGCGGCTCCAGGCCCCCAGACTCGCGCGGCCGTGCGGGGTCGGCTGATATGGCTCGACGTTGCGGGATCTGGGGATGTTGGACGTGGAGATTGTAGCGGAGGCTTTGGCGGAGGAGCAGCAGAGGGAGGAGGAGAATCATCGGGGAGACTTGGCCTGAGTTTCCCCGGCGCATTTCCCCGTTCGGCGCTCCCGCTTGCAGCCTCGGCCCCTGCCCATCGTGAAGCTCAGTTTGGCCACTCAGACAAGGCGTGCTGTTGTTCCTGCCGACGGTGGGCAGCACGTCGGCGCGTGTCTGGCTAAGATAACTACGTCACCCAGCGCTTCAACTCTCGACAACTCCTCACAACCCCGTCTTGCTGTCGCTCTGCCTCGTCGCCCTTTGATCCAGAGCCTGTTTCACGCGATCTTGCCCCGCGCCCGCCCGCCGAAAATGTCTAGCACCGTGCTCATCGAGCGCATCACCAACTGCCTCGCCCCAGCGCCCAAGGACGAACCCGAAGTCACCACCACGCCCGAACAAGACGACTACTCGAGATGGAGGCCTTCTTACCACATCATCGCGCCCGCCGGCTGGATGAACGACCCTTGCGCTCCCGGCTACGATCCGACCACCCGTCAGTATCATGTCGGTTTTCAGTGGAATCCCGACGGTGCCGAGTGGGGAGACATCGTTTGGGGCAACTCGACCTCGCGGGATCTGGTTTCCTGGAAGGTCGCACCCAAGCCCACCGTCAGCCGGGACACTTCGTATGACCATGCTGGCGTCTTCACCGGCTGCTTCCGACCCACGGCACCCAACGGCGCTCAAGATGGCACTCTGACCTACATCTACACCGCCGTCAGCAAACTTCCCATCCACTACACGCTCCCCTACAACGTCGGGAGCGAAAAGCTCGCAATCGCAACGTCCACCGACGGTGGCAAGACCTGGAGCAAGCCTCTGGGGAATCCCATTCTAAACGGCCCCCCGAGGAATGTTCCCGTGACTGGTTGGAGAGACCCCTACGTTGCATCGTGGGCAAACATGGCCCGAGCGCTTGGTGGAGAACACGCTGATGGAAAGCTGTTCGCCACCATCTCCGGTGGTCTCGTTGGAAGAACGCCCACCGTTTTCCTCTACGCAGTGGATGCCTCAGATCTGAGCAAATGGGAGTATCTTGGCCCGCTGATGGACGTTGGGCTGAACAAGAGGCCATCGCACTGGTCTGGCGACCTGGGCGTGAACTGGGAGGTCACCAACTTCATGACGTTGACGGATGGCGACGGTGCAAGCCAAGAATTCCTGATCCTTGGCGCTGAGGGATGCAAGTCCGTCTACCGCCAAGAGGAAAGTAAGCGGACGCCTCGCGGTCAGCTCTGGGTTGCTGGAAACATTCGGTCCCGGGAGGGACAGACGACCACGAATGCGCTGGTGGATTACGCATATGGCGGCGTTTTCGACCACGGCTTGTTCTACGCCGCCAATGGCTTCTGGGACCCCGAGACTCAGCAGCAGGTCGTCATTGGCTGGGTCACGGAGGACGATCTCCCCGTTGAACTCCAAATCAAGCAACAGTGGAGCGGCTGCCTCTCGTTGCCCAGGATCGCCGGCCTCATGACACTCCGCCACGTCCGCAAGGCCCGCAAGTCAGAGCTCAAGTCCATCACATCGATTCAGACCGAGTCAGACGCCCACGGAACGTCGACTGTGCGCACGATGAGGATATCTCCCGACCGGAGGCTGCAAAAGTTACGCCGCTCCGCGCAGCAGACGGATCTCCCTACCGCGTCACTCGGCCCGCTCGACGGGAGAACCCAGGTGCCCCTCAGGAGTACGAGGTGGGAACTAGACGGCGAGTTTGCAGTGGCACAGACCTGCACGCGTGTGGGTATCGCCGTTTTTCACTCCGAAGGTTGGTCACGCCTCCGCTCTCCCCCGGCCCCGCCATGCATGTTTCCAGAAGCTAACAGAAGCGCAGATGTGGAGTGCCGCACCGAGCTGTACTGGAGCCCCGCAGAGGAGGATTTCGCCGTGGAGCGTCCCGACCTCGTGGGAGGGCAGTCTGCGGTGAAGATGCAGACGGAACATGCTCCCCACACCCTGTTCACGACGCGGGACGTCTCGACGGGGGCCGAGTCGGAGGAGAAGCTGCGGGTGCAGGTCTTCTACGACGGCAGCGTGCTGGAAGTGTTTGTGAACGAGCGCACTGCCATCACGACGAGAGTGTACACGTCGGACGCGCGGTGCGTTGGGCTCGCGTTGTTTGCTGAGGGCGATGCCCAGGTTACCGGGTGCTCGGTCTGGGACGGCTTGTCGTGCGCATAGATGTTGCTTAATTTGGAAGCGGGAGCCCGTGACGAGCGAGGGTACAAATGTAGATACTTTAGACGGCTTTGGCCGCGCATGGACGCACGACGTAACAGTGCTTCGTTAATTTCTCAAACCGATGGCATTCACACACATAATTTCCCGAGCGCCGGCCGCTCTCATGCCCGTCGTCTTGGATGCCGTTTCGAGTGATATCCGTACTATGTAGAGAGGCGCAGCGCAAGCTCTGGATGGTCAGACATGTGTCAGCAGAGGCGAGCGCCACGGTTGCGGCTAAGGCTGAAGTCAAGACGGCGGGCACCCCTTAGTTTCGCCGTTCCTGGGTTCCACGGCGTAACTTTCTGGTGCAGCGCAGCGGACTGCTCTCCGAAATTTCTCCTCTCAGCCGTCGTGACCCCAGATCCCCCGGGCGTGAGGCAACCGGGTCGTCCCACCACGTCCCAACCCCAGCTCCGGCCCCCCGCTTGGCGTCCAAGTTGGCGGTTCCCAAGCGCGTCGTCGCATGCGTCGTGGATCTGGAGACCCAGCTCTGTCTCGCCATGCGTCTGGTGTAGCCCCGCGTATATAACCTCGTAGGAGCCTACCCCCGGATCGTCTTCCCCTGCGTCATCCAGCCTTTGGTCCGCTTCCCGTGGTCGACTACTAAATAAGCGGAACACCCCGCCCGCAGTGCTGCGCACCCACCATCCCCCATGTCTAAGGAAGCCGATCAGACGGTCATGACGGAGAAGACGCCCGTGGAGTCGGACGGCTCGGTGCAGTACCACGAGGATGTCAGCATCAAGCCGCAGGGCAGCGCCGTCAACGCCTTCCTGGTCGCCACATGCACCGTCTTCGCCGCCGCCTCGTTCCTGTTCGGATTCGACGACAAGGTCATCTCGCCCATTGTCGCGCTCGAGCCGTTTGTGAGTTCCCCGCATGCTGCGCCGTCCCCACCCCCGCAGCCCAGCCAGCAGTCACTGACCGGCGATACCCCCTGAAACAGGTCGACAGGTACCAGGGGCCCAACCCGACCACCAACAAGCTCGTCTTCACCGCCCGCAACCAGAACCTGCTGTTCGCGGTGCCGCTGGTGGGCTCCATCCTCGGCGCGCTCGCGGCGTACCCGCTCAACAACAAGTTCGGGCGCAAGTGGCCGCTGGTCGGCTCGTACTTCATCTCCATCGGCGGCTGCTTCCTGCAGCTGTTCGCGCCCAGCCTGGGCGGCTTCATCGCCGGCCGGTTCTGGAACGCCTTCGTCATGGGCATCGCCAACTCGACCGCGCCGCTGTACCTCGGCGAGACGGTGCCCGTGGCCATCCGCGGCCGGGTCGTGGCCTCGATCAACATCATGAACCTGCTCGCCGGCGTCGTCGCCACCCTGGTCGTCTACGGCACGCACACCCGGCTCGACAAGCTGTCGTACATGGTGCCGCTCGCGGTGCAGTGCTGCCTGCCCGTCGTGCTGATCCCGCTCACGGCGGTGCTGCCCGAGAGCCCGCAGTGGCTGATCGGCAAGGGCCGCATGGACGAGGCCTTCGCCAGCCTGCGCAAGCTCCGCGGCTTCAGCGACGCCGAGGTGCGCGACGAGCTGCGCATGATGAAGATGTGCGAGGACAACGAGCGCAACCAGTCGCTCGAGGTGTCCTTCTGGAGCATCTTCGACCGCCAGAACCTCAAGCGCACCATCACCGCCGGCTCCTTCTTCTCCTTCAACCAGTGCTCCGGCGTCTTCCTGTCCACCACGTACGCCACCGTCTTCCTCGTCGACATCGGCGTCGCCTCGCCCTTCGCCCTCACCATCATCGCCTCGTGCTGCACCCTCGCCGGCACCATGGTCGCGCCGCTCCTCATCGACCGCTTCGGCCGCCGCCCGCTCGCCCTCGCCGGCATGGCCATGCTGCTCGCCATCGACGTCGCCGCCGGCGGCCTCGCCTTCGACATGGGCGACAAGACCAAGGTCCTCGGCATCGCCGCCCTCTCCTTCATCTTCAACTTCTTCTGGGCCAGCTCCTTCTACTCGCTCTCCAACGTCATGCCCACCGAGATCGCCACCATCAAGCTGCGCTCCTACACCATGTCCTACACCATCGCCTGGGCCCAGACCACCGCCGTCATCACCACCATCGCCGTGCCGCAGCTGACGGCCGCCGACGGCGCCAACCTCGGCGCCAAGACGTATCTCATCTTCGCCGGCTGCATGGTCGGCATCATCTTCTTCGTCTTCTTCCTCATGCCCGAGACCAAGAACCGCACCTTTGCCGAGATCGACGAGATTTACGACGCCAAGGTCCCCATGTGGCGCTGGGCTGATTATCAGACGACGACCGAGGCGAAGCAGGCCAAGGATTTGCCGCCCGTGGTGGCCAAGATGCTGGAGGAGTAGAAGGGCCCCGGGCTGAAGGAGCTGGTCGAGCTTTCTGTATATACTCTTTTGTTTTATATCTTTTGGTGGGGACATATGTGTATGTAAAATAGAATGTGTCAATGTCTAATGAACCGTTGAAGAATCGTTCCAGTTTAATGATGCAGTGGGCCGTGGGCCTGTGCCGAATCCTTCGAGAATCCCATGTAAGACATTGACAAGGGTTACACAGACTGCCTAGCTGCGTCAGTGAGTAAGTAATATGCCCGATACGGAAGGTGGGAGATGCGGCGGCGTAACCGTTCCGCGTACTTCAATCCGATTCCTGTCATGCTCTGCTCAACACTTGACTTCCGCTCTCTCCCCAACGTTACCTTCTGCCCAGCTGCCCTCTTCCGTGCCCTCCTGCTCTTCCAAAATGAGGTTCATTGCAGCTTCAACCCTTGGGCTGCTTGGCATCATAAGCCATCCGGCCTGGGCCGAGGTCTTGCTGTACGAGCCCACCGGTCCATACTACGTCTTCTCGAGACCAGCAAGTCTTCAACCACACAACCCCCAATGACCTCACCGCGCCAAACGGCACCGGCGTCGGAACCGAGATGCTCGTAGCAATCTACTACCCGACCCAGTCCGCCCCAAACACAACGCTCCCCTACACGGACCCCACCAACATCGCCATCTTCCGCACCGCCCTCGGCTCCGACCCGCCCTCCGCTCTCTCCTTCGTCGTCACTAACCTCCAACACCGCGCCCCCCACCTCTCCTGCCCCGCCTTCTCCACCCTCACCTCGCCCTACCCCTCTATCCTCTTCCTCCCCGGCGCCGGAACAACTACACCATGCCCCAACTCGCCGCCATCTACGCCCACAGCCTGTCCGACGCCCTCTCCGCCCCCTTAAACATCACCACCTCCCTCTTCGTCGTCTTCGGCCACAGCCTCGGCGCCCCCGCAGCCGCCGCCACCGCCGCCAACAACCTCGACATACGGCCGGCACTACTCCGACCTCGTCCTCGACCTCGACCTCGACCTCGCCAGCGCCCCGGTCGTCAACGCGTGGACGCGGTTTGCTGAAACGCAGACGGCCCACTGGCTGCGGGAGGTACTGGCGGTGCGCGGCGCGGCGCCGGGCAGGAGCCGGGCAGAAGCCGGGCATTTTGATTTTGGCGACTTGTCGCTGTTGGTGGAGGGGTTGGCTGGGCAGAATGGGGGAAGAAGATGGCGGAGGTGGTGGTGGTGGGGGTGTTGAGAGGATTTTTTGATGGGGTTGCGGCGGCGGGCGAGGATGGCTATGGGGGGGGTTCGATGCGGTGAAGAGGGGGGTGGATGAGACGGGGGTGAGGGAGGCGAGGGGTGGGGATGGTGGGGGGTTTTGTGAGGGAGCTGGCGGGTTGGGGTTGGGGCTGGGGTTGGGAGGGGAGGTGGTGCGGCGGAAGTTGATGATGGCCGAGTCGGATGTGCACGTTTGGATGGGGGTGGCTGCGTTTGTTTTTTTCGTACCCCCTGGATTGGTTTGACGTGAAGACATAGATGTTGGCTCCCACACACTGTTAGCGACAATAATGAAGAGTGTAGCAGGCAGGTACCTCGGCTGTCCAGGTTCGTGACTCGATAGGTAGCTTTTCCGGCAACACACATTTCCGACCTGGATCTTTTCCGAGGTAGGGACCGCTTCACCGTTCTTTCTCTGGCCAAGATGGCCAAGATATCGTGTTTTCCCGCTGAAGAACGTGCGGCGCGATCCTTGACCCCACAATTTAGGGATAAGAGCGGGGAAGCGGGGTGAGCCGCGGACGTGGGGCGGCCTTGGCCACCCCGAATTTCCCGTCCAAAGCTGCGGTTTCATTTGGATTGCTTGAAGTACACCGGGATACCGGGAGAGTCAATATATCTCGCGGGGCCATGGGTCTCTGCAGCTATAAGTTGGTCGGAAGTCCCATGGTCGAGGGCCAGGAGGCTCTCCGACGAGTTGACCATCCGCCGACACGATGATCGCTTCACGATCTACCACGGCCCTCGCCCTGGCCTTGTACGCATCAACCACGTGGGCCGCAACCGTGTCGGAGATCTTCCTCAGCAGCATCAAGTCCGCACGCCCCATCGCCGCGAAGCCCTCGTTTGCGCGAAACAGGACCTGCATCGTGGACAGCCACAACGACGGGACGACAGACGACTCGGAATACATCGCGGCGGCGCTCGAGTCGTGCAACGGCGGCGGCCACGTCCTCTTCCCCAGGACGCAGTCGTACGTCATCAACGAGCCGCTGGACATGACGGGCCTTTCGAGCGTCGACATCGACATCCAAGGCTACGTCAAGTTCACCGACGACATCCAGCACTGGCTCGACAACACGTTCGACCTGGGCTTCCAGAACGCCTCCAGCTTCTTCAAGCTCGGCGGCTCGGACGTCAATGTTTACGGCGGCGGCACCATCGACGGCCAGGGGCAGGCGTGGTGGGACAATTACGCCAAGAACAAGCACGACCGCCGTCCGGTGCTGTTCGCGATCGAGGACATGCACGGGGGCTCGGTGTCGGACCTTGCGCTGGTCAATTCGCCGTTCTGGCACAATTTCGTGGCGAACTCGAGCGAGGTGGTGTTTACGAACATCTCGATCCGCAGCGTCAGCAACAACCAAAATTTCGAAAAGAACACCGACGGTGCGTTTACCCCCCCAACTCTGACTGCTCCTGCCCTTTACCGGGGAGGGGGGGAAGGGGGCTTGGCTGACCTCGTGCGTCCAGGCTGGGATATATACCGCTCCGACCACATCACCGTCCAGAACTCCACCGTGACAAACGGCGACGGTGCGTAGCAGAACCCCACCCCGCCCCCCTCCCACCTCCCACACTAACCCCACCCCTCCCCTCCCCGGCAGACTGCGTATCCTTCAAGCCCAACAGCACCAACATCCTCGTGCAAAACATGTCCTGCAACGGCACGCACGGCATGAGCGTCGGCAGCCTGGGCCAGTACCCGGACCGCACCGACTTCGTCGAGAACGTGCTCGTGCGCAACGCCGACATGTACAACTCGTCCGAGGGCGCGCGCATCAAGGTCTGGCCCGACGCCTTCTCCGAGAAGAGCGCGACCCTCGTCGGCGGCGGTGGGAGGGGCCGCGTGCGCAACGTCACGTATGACGGCATGTGGCTGGACAACGTCGATTACGGGTTGACCATCACGCAGTGCTATGGGCAGGATGATGAGGAGGAGTGTTTTAAGCATCCGGTGAGTGAGACGGTCCTGGTGTTTGAGAGAAGAGAGAGAGAAAAAGAGAGCGTGCCGGGCTGATGAAGTGGGGGCGGGGGGTGTAGTCCAAGTTGAACATCACGGACGTCACGTTCCGGAATATTCGGGGCCGCTCGAATAGGGTGTTTGCGCCCATCGTGGCCCATCTGGTTTGCTCGAGCCCGGATACGTGCGACAACATCGTGGCGGAGAATGTGGATATCCGCACGATCAACGGGTCGAATCTGGTCACTTGCCGCAACATGGACGAGGGTCTGCTGGACTTGAACTGCGTGGATTGGAGCAAGGGATATAACCCAGCTTGATGGGGTTCGGAAAATTGTGTAGAATAGGCTATAGGAAAAAAGGTTGCCGTGTAAGTCAAATGAAACGGAAGCCTAAAAGATAGATAAAGGGGCTATAGCGGTTTCAAGACATTGGCGCAACCCAAAGTAGGAAATTTGACGGAAAATGTATTTTTAGACCTACAGACGAACCATAACCTTCTCGAAACCTTGTTTTGTGTTTCGCATACCGAGACCGTGGCTGAATATGTCTTAGAGTTTGGCGCGGGGCACGAATTAACCAGAGCACAATAGCACACGCCGATTAAGCATGATAGCTGCTTAAGACACGCCTGTTAAGTTAACAACGAGGCTCGGAGGTGGTGAGACAGATCTGCAGGAGGACGGATTCGAAAAGGCCGAAGCCAGAGGAGACGGTCGCTCGAGATGGACCGAAACGTTTAGCTCCAACTCAGATAGATGCTGTTTGCTTATTGCAGCAGAGGATCACGGCGGAATGACACCCCTGCAGGGGCGGATGGTCTGACAGCGACTGCTGGGAGCGATGCCGTTGTTCCGGTGCCGTGGTCCGACAGCTGCTCGGAGCGATGCGGGTCACCTGGCTGTCGTGCATACAAACGTCGCACTCACGATGGGCCATTCGGAACCACCACACTCGGGAAGAAGCGACCACGGGTCTGGGCCAGGGCCAGGGTCTTCCGGTCGGGATCGGGACCAGCGGAGGTGGGGCAAGACGGGAGCGGGGGATGGGCAACTAATTAAAGAGCTGACGACTGGGCTTGGGTATCCCGTCCCTGGTGAGCCACGTCATACGGCGCTCCGTCCTCGAGACATGTTGCGCAACGGTGCGTCTTGACATTGCCGGATCCAGCAGCCGGCACGAGGCCATTGGACGAAAAATCGATATTCCTCCTTGCTGATTCACCGCCGTGGCGCACGAGAGTTGCATGCTTCTATTGCCATGGCCGCCCAGCTTGGCGCCGTTGCCGTGATGCTCCCAATTTCCAGCGCCGGCGTAGCGTTGGGCTCGTTGGAGCCGCACACGCTCGATCCACTCTGGTCCATTCCCCTTACCTGCCCCCAAGGCCTGTTCCCCGCCTTTCCTTGCCGATGGACTCGAATCGCCGACGGCATAAAGCTGCCAGCTTTACCTCTGACCCGGAAACATAGCAGCCGGTGCACTCTGACGCCGAGGGCCCTGTTCGTGTCTCTTCAAGATGCTGCCACGTTTCTTTCCAAAGGCTCTTTCCGGCTCGTTCCAGCGTAGAGAAAGCAGCGCGGCATCGTCCTGGATCTCCACCACAACGCAACTGCTCCTCATGCTGCCGCCGGCAAGCTGCATTCGACTCTCCGTGCCCAGCAACGTACCCGAAAACGCCAGTGCGATCCTGGACCAGGCATTTCTGAGTTTTGCCATAGAAGGCAGGGACTTCCTGGACTACAGCGGTTCGTTCCTACCTTGACCGGCACCAGTAAGCACCGCGGCTTCGGTTGACACTGCCCAGGCAACAGCTCGGTCCCGAACGAATATTCGGTCAACATGCTCTCGACATTCTCGCAGAAGACGGGCGCGGCGACCTACCTACGCGTGGGCGGGACAACCCAGTAAGGCCGAACGGAGAATATCCAGCACCCAAGAGCGCGAGACACAGGCTGACTGTCGCAGGGATCACTTCCGCTACGACGCGCACCAGAGCGAGGCGATCCGCTTCGAGGAGCCCGGGCTCGCGACGTACACGAGTCTCTTCGCGAACATCACCGTCGGCAGCGCGTGGCTGGACGGGTTCGGGCAGTTCCGCGACGTGGTGTGGGATCTGCAGGTCTTCCTGGCGCGCAAGAACCTCAGCAACGCGGTCGAGTTTGCGCGGGACTGCGTCGGCGCGATCGACGTGGGGAATCTGAACGCGCTGGAGATTGGAAACGAGCCGGACCTGTATGGCAGCGTTGGCTTCTTCCCGAATCAGACGGACCGCCCGGCGGGGTATTCGGTCGAGGACTACGTGGCCGAGTTCACCGAGTTCGCGGAGGCGCTGGAGGGTAGCATCACGCTTGGTGACGGGCCGAATTTTCAGGCTTTGGCGCTGTCGAATCTTGTTGCGGATCCTTGGAATGAGTGCGTAGTAGGGCTTTCTCTTGCTCGGAACCCGTGAGTTGACCGAGGTAGGGAAAACGCCTTCGACGCTGGTCTCTCGCCAGACCTTGTGAAATCCGTTTCCGAGCACTTGTAAGCTCTCCGAGGAAGATGACCCGGCCAGCGAATTGACTCAATGGCAGCTACCAGTCCGAAGATGGCGAAGACCTTGGCGGTGCCGAATTCCTGATCCCACGCGTTCAAGACCAACGAACTGACGAAAGCCCTAGCAACGCTGATGAACAAGGCCGCCATCCGCAGCAAGACGGACGCCAGATTCAAAGACCGCATCGCCTACATGAAAAACGCACACCCCGACATACCTTTCCTAATCGCCGAAGCCGCGAGCGCGCTCGGCAACGGCACCGGCATCCGCGACTTCGACCTCACAGCCAGCCTGGGCACCGCGCTATGGACCGTCGACTGGCTGCTCTACGTCGCCACGCTCGTAAGCCGCCCTGTCTCCCCCCCGCGCAACGCACGCACAATCAAAGAGAAGCACGACTGACGGGGCGGGCGGAAACCCTCCCCCCACCCAACCGCAACAGGGCGTCACCCGGGTCAACATGCAGCTCGGCTCGCGCTTCCCGTTCTCGCCGTGGCTCGCGTCGCCGACGACCATCAACAACGCGACGCTGGCGCCGCAGACGCTGGGCAGCTTCTACGGCAACGTCTTCGTCGCCGACTTCATCGGCCGCGACGGCGCGCTGCAGGTCGCGGAGCTCGACGTCGCCGCCGACGACAGCGTCACGGCGTACGCGGCGTACAGCGGCGGGCGGCTGGTGCGCGTCGCGATCGTCAACCTCGAGGTCTGGCGGGCGGACTCGGAGTCGGGGGGCTCCGTGCGGGGGCGCAAGACGGTGGAGGTCGCGCTCGACGGTGCGTCGATGGATGGGTCGCGGTTCGAGGTGAGGCGGTTGACGGGCAGGGACGCCGGGGCGCAGGCGGAGGACATTACGTGGGCGGGGATGCAGTGGACGCGCGAGAGCAACGGCTTGCCGGTGGTGGTGCATCGCGACGGCTACGCGACGGCGCCCGTGGGAAATAATGGGTCGGTGCGGGTGAGCTGCCAAGCCTCGGAGGCGCTGCTGCTGCAGATAATTACTCCGGCGGATGGCAACTCTTCCGACTTTGCCGGCTAGTGGTAGGGCGTCGCAGTCGCAGTTCAGAGTAGCATTTTTTGGGGGGTGGTTGTGCGTGTCGGGGCCAATTATCACGGATCTGTTGTCCTTGCTTCGTCAATTGATGCGTGCTGCTCTGGAGAGCCCAACTGGTGCTGCCTTCGCCGCTCATTTTTGCCACGACAGGATAAAATAAGGGTGGCTTGCGGACAAGCGATTGCAGGTAGGCGAAAGGCGGGGAGAGCGGCGGGGAGAGGGCGCGAGGTTGTCGTGTCGAGGTGGTCCTTTCATCGGACACTGCCTGATGGAGCATGGGCTGGGGCTAGCGCTGCAATGGTGAGGCAAGGCTGGTGGTGTTTCACTGACGAGGGGGACCCGCAGAGGCGCACACCGACACCAGCGGCGCAGGAAGGGGGTCCCAGTTATTTCGCGCCGTTGTTGTGCTGCCGATTTGTCGCTGGCCGTGCCTTACGTAACCCGGCTGCACGAGAGCGGCGGCCATGCGAAAGACGGGAGCTGGGAGCTGTGGGAGCCGTGGTCTGATGAGGTAAAATTCTCTCGCTGGGAGAGACGACGGTTATGCAACGGAATCGCAGTCGGAAATGGCAGCCAATCAGAATCCCCGCACGCCGAAGCTACCTGGAGCGCCTCAGCCCTTCAGCCCTTCAGGTTCGCGCCGGCAGCTGCGCCTGCGCCCTCGGCAGCTGCCCGCCGCCGGCTGAATCCTCTGCGATCCTCTGGCATCCTGCGTCTTCTGCGTCTTCTGGAACCCTTCGCCAACACAACCGCCCGCCGCACCCTGGTTTCCCGCTGCCGACGAGCGACTCACTGATCACGGTGCCAGCGCGGCCGCCGTGTCATGTGCGGCGATCCGATTGCCGGCCTCGCCACGTGCTGCGCGCCATGCTGGATACACAAGCACAGCACCCAGTGCTCCGCGGACGCCGGCGCCACCTGGCCTGATCAGACGGGCCTCCGCAGCCACCGGGGCTAGTGTCGCGCCCCAGACCACCTGGGCCCTCGCTCGCGGCGCGGCAGATGGTCGCGAATCCCACGGACGGGGGGTGCCGCCGCACTCGAGATACGGGAGGCGTTGAAGAAGGCGAAGCCGGCCGTAGCTGGAGGCCTGAGGGCCGCTAGCCGTTCTGCGCCGGCTAGGCTCTGGGCGGTCGTGGGGGGGGCATATCCGAACGCACAAACGGGGTCGTCGCCCATCAGCAAACAGCATCCGCCAGCACCTGGCTCCCGTCCGCATCACAGTGGAGGACGGCCCCAATAATGCGAGACGGGCCGAAGGGGGGCTCGCCGACGCTGCAGAACAGGGCGTGGGGAGCGTTGACGTCACCCCGGGCGTAAACCGCCGACTAAAAAGCTTTTGACACGCCTAAGCCGCAATTTCACTCTGGCCCCGCTAGCGCCCTGCCATAAGGACCACCGCGCCGCCGCCAAAACCCGCCCCCCAGAGCTCTCGACTCCTCGCCAACTCGACAGTCCCGCGGCTTGCCTGTCCACCGAGCAGTCCGTCACTGTCCGTCGCTGTCGTCGCCCGCCGTCCCTCGCCGTCCCCACTCTCCGCCATCATGGCCGCCTACGATCACGCCGCCGGCGACGGCCTCAACCGCAAGCTCAGCTTGACCGGCAAGGGCGTGGACAAGACGTCGCTGCCTGAGGATGCCGTCGGTTCCGCCGACGCCGTGCTGGAGGCCATGGGCTACGCCCCCGAGCTGTCCCGCAATCGCTCCACCATGCAGGTCGCCTTCATGTCCTTCGTGCTGGCCGCCATTCCCTACGGCCTGGCCACCACCTTCTACTACCCGCTGGTCGGCGGCGGCCCCGCCAACATCGTCTGGGGCTGGATCGGCGTCTCGGCCATTATTCTCTGCGTCGCCGCCTCCCTGGGCGAGATCACCAGCATCTATCCCACTGCTGGCGGTGCGTTATCTCCAGTTGCCGATATCCCGTGAACGAGCCAGCTGACAGCCCGTGCCAGGCGTCTACTATCAGACCTTCATGCTCGCCCCGCCCAGCTACCGCCGCCTGAGCAGCTGGACCTGCGGCTGGCTGTATGTCGTCGGCAACGTCACCATCACCCTCGCCGTCAACTTCGGCACCACCCTGTTCTTCGTCTCGTGCATCAACATCTTCGAGTCCTCGCCCGGCGTCGGCATCTGGGACGCCAGCGCCTGGGAGATCTTCCTGACCTTCGTCGCCATCACCTTCGTTGCCAACGCCACCTCCTCGCTGGGCAACCGCTTCCTGCCGCTGATTGACGTGCGTGCCGTGCCGCCCTTGGCCTGAGTCGTTGCCTCCGCTGACCTTTTGGAACAGACTGCCGCCATCTACTGGACCTTTGCCGGCGTGCTGGCCATCATCGTCACGGTGCTGGTGCGCGCCAAAGACGGCCGCCGCAGCGCCGAGTGGGTCTTCGCTGACTTCGAGCCCCAGTCGGGCTGGACTCCCGGCTGGTCCTTCTGCGTCGGTCTGCTGCAGGCCGCGTACGCAACCTCGTCGACGGGCATGATCATCTCGTAAGCCCCCTTTTTGTGCTGCCCCCCCGTGAGTGCCGCTGTAGTAATGCTCGTGCCCATAGCATGTGTGAGGAAGTGCAGCACCCCGCGACGCAGGTGCCCAAGGCCATGGTCGGCACCGTCGTGCTCAACACGTTTGCCGGCCTGCTGTTCATGCTGCCGCTTCTGTTCGTCATGCCCGACCTCACCGAGCTGATCAACCTCGCCTCCGGCCAGCCCGTGCCCGCCATCTTCAAGGCCGCCGTCGGCAACGACGTGGGCGCCTTCATCCTGACCATCCCGCTGTTCGTGCTGGCCATGATCTGCGGCATCGGCTGCACCACGGCCACGTCTCGCTGCACCTGGGCGTTTGCCCGCGACGGAGCCATCCCCGGCGCCAAGTGGTGGAAGCAGGTCAACCACAAGCTCGACGTGCCGCTCAACGCCATGATGCTCACCATGGTGGTCGAGATCATCCTGGGCGCCATCTACTTCGGCTCGACCGCCGCCTTCAACGCCTTCTCGGGCGTCGGCGTCATCTGCCTGACGACGGCGTACGCGGTGCCCATCGCCGTCAGTCTCGCCGGCGGCCGCACCCAGGTCGCCGAGGGCAGCTTCTACCTGGGCAAGCTGGGCGCCTTCTGCAACGTCCTCTCCCTCTGTACGTGCCCCGTCCCCCTCCGGGCCCCCCGTGCTGACTTTTTCCAGGCTGGTCGCTGCTCGCCATCCCGCTGTTCTGCATGCCCACCACCATCCCCGTTGCTGCCGAAACGATGAACTATGCGTCCGTTGTGTTCTTCGCCTTCGTCATGATGTCTCTGGGCTGGTACGTCGCCTGGGGCCACCGCAACTACCAGGGCCCGCCCACTGTCGACTGAGAGAGAGTGTGTGTGATCAACATCGACCGACCCTTGCAACAAACACCGAATGCGACTTTAGAGAGAGACGACCAAACCAAATGCGACAACTCCCCGATTGCGACAACAACCACCAGATGCGACAACACAACCTCCCCCGATTGCGACAGAAACCAAACGCGACAAGTTCTCCAAATGCGCCAATAATTCGACGTGTAGCAGTGCATCAGATGGTTCCGGAGTAGTGATGGAGTTGGCTAAACAACAACAAAAACAGCTATAGACAGATACCCCTCATGCGATCAAAATAAAAAGTTCAAAGTTTTTTCCAATCCGCGCGCATCACATCTGCGCCATTATTTCTTCGTTCCTCCGTCGTTTCGTGACGAAAGGAAGCATTGGCCAAGGACGGGTGGGTGAGTGAGAGTGGGCTTGTGGGCTCTCTGATCAGTGCACACTACTGCGAGATCCGACATGTGTTCTTCGATCCCACGGCCGGGCTGATCGTCAAACGGTCGGAACGTTGCGGGTGCCGAATTTGATTTTTTTTTTTTGCCCATCGTCCCATTGCACGGCGAGAAGAGCCCACCCTTTCTTTTCGGTGTCGACGGAACGGAGGGGCCCACCGCATGGAGCCGGATTTACCATTGATCTAATGCACACTCTTCTGCTGAGCCCACAAAACGCCATTGTAGTACTTGCGAACGGGCAATAATGCGGTAAACTGGACCGCAGCTACGCCTGATCCACCACCACTCGCCGTGCATCTTCCGACAGACAGCCCTCGATCTTCTCCCTCCCAAGAAAAGAAACAAACAGAACAGAACAAACGCTCCATCCACCACACCATCAAAAACCGCGTTCTAAATTTACCTAGGCCAGGGGGGGCGGGGCGGCCGGCGGGCGGGCGGGAAGCGGAGCCTCCTCCTCCTCAGCCGCGCTCTGCATGAGATCGATTGGGGAGGGATGCCATGTCTCCATCCCGACAAAATCTCCGATCCGACAGGATTGGTGCTAGGTAGCATGTAGGTGCCCAGGGCAAGGCAGGGAATCATCAGCAATCGTCTTTCCTATCCGGGACAATTTTTGCATTTGCGCGGCCACGCGAGCAACAGCCCGAATCGGAACGATGGGATTCGAGTGGGCGCGCGTCCAGGCCGGGAACGACGCGGACACGCGATGGGGGAGGGAGGGATGTGGATGTGGATGATGCGTCACAAGCGCGAAACGCGAGACACGCGAGACGCAGGAACACACGGCCGCCGATCGTATGATGCATGAGGCAAGCTGCCGCCGCCGCCGCCGCCGCGCCGGTTAGATAAGACGGTTGTGTGTGGACGGTTTACCTAGTCGCGAGGGAGATGATACTTACTCTAATCTTCCTTCGGGCGGGTGGCGGGGTGGAATTATCCGGTGGGTTTCGTCAGCCACGGATTCCTAGGTACTACTAGGTGGATGGGATGGGATTCGACTGCCTGAGTAAGTTACAAGGTGCGGTGTGGTGATGTCGGTATCTCTGATGATAAGAAAGGGGGTCGCTTCTTTTCGCAACGCCCCGGCGGGAGAGGGGGCGGCGAGGAAGGGGAAAGGTGGGGGACGGGGGCGGGCGGAGGGACTTGCCGAGATTGAGTTAACCATCAGCCAAGCGAAAGGGGTGCAAAAAGCTCCGGCCAGCCAAACGCTCGCTATTATTGTTGCTAGCGCCGCGTACCTACCGGAGTGGAACCCTCGAAGCAGTTCGCTCCCGGCTAACATGCCGTCCCTGCGAGCTATCGACCGCCTGGAAGAGGAAGGTTGATACGTGCATGTCTCGCCCCGGCATCCGCCGCCGAAACGAACGCCTCTCTTCGGACCCTTTTACGTGCCTAGCGATCCAATCCCTGCGATAGCGACATTATTGTAGCGCCGCATCGGGGGTCGTTAATATTAATGCTATATTGCACTCTCACCAATCAAGCTGCCCTATACACACGAGTACGCGCTGCCCGGTCCATTCGCCGGATCTATATCCCCCCGACGCCTCTCTACTATATATATGCGCCAAGCTCGCAACCCTGCCGTGCCCAAGACCTTTCACCTCATTTCTACCGCGTCGCCGGATAGATATACGAACCATGGGCTCCTCGAAAAGGAAGGTTGAGAGCTGTCGCGAGCCTCCCACGCCATTTCGACCGCGATTGTAGCATTCGTATTGTTATTTGCCATGCGATTGCGCGCGTCTCGCCTTTGATAACGGCATCGCGGTGCCAGTAGCGGTGGTAGCAGTCGCAGCAGTATATATAACAAATACCACCGCGCAGAAACCACCGCCGCGTGTCCAGCCGGGTGTTGTCGTCGTCGTCCCTAACCATGCTCCTCCGCCACATCCTCCAGACGTCGCTCCCCACACTGCTCTTCGCGGGGGGCGCGTCCGCGTCCGCTCTCCACCGCCGCCAAGACGTCGCCGCCGCGACCACCAACACCACCGCCGCGCCCGCCGTCCCCAAGCGCTTCATCATCGAGTACCGCCAAGACGCGGCGGCGGGCCTGCGCGCCGCGCCCGAGCCCGGCATCACCGTCGTGCAGACCTTCGACAGCGACGTCTTCGCCGGCGTCAGCGTCGCCGTCGATGGCCACAGCATCGACGACCTCGCCCGCCTCGCCGGCGTGGCTAACGTCTGGCCCATGAAGTCCATCCGCTTGGCGCCCCCCGTCGACGGCGTGCAGACTTTTAGCGATGATGCTGCGGCGGGGAATTATACGGTTCATACGTCGACGGGTGTGGATAAGTTGCATGCGGCGGGCGTTTTTGGCGAGGGCGCGGTCGTGGCTGTTGTCGATACGGGGATTGCGTATAATCATCCTGCGGTAGGTGTTTGGGCGTGGGGGGTTTTTTTTGATGACTTTGTTTCTGATTGGTTGAGTAGCTTGGGGGTGGTATTGGCGAAGGGTTCAAAGTGAGCGGCGGGTACGACTTCGTGGGCGATGGCAGTGAGTTTCTCTGGACTCTGAGTCGGCCGGACGAGACTGATGGAATGCAGCATGGCCGCTTGATGATCAGGAGAAGGTGCCGGATGATGATCCGAACGATCAGATGGGCCACGGGACTCACGTCGCGGGGATCATCGCTGGCGAGACGGACTAGTAAGTCGAACACGTTTTGTTTGCGGCATGTGCCAATGCTGAACTCGGTTGCAGTTGGGTGGGAGTGGCACCAAAGGCAACGCTTCGGGGCTACAAAGTCTTCTCCACCATCGTAAGCTTTAGTGTACTTCCGTGGTGAAGCAGTGACGCTCATAGCTGCCTTAGGACTCTACCGATGAGGACACGCTCATTCAGTCATTCCTTACGGCCTATGCCGACGATGTAAGTGTTGGAGTTTGGCTTGATGCGAACGATACTGACAGTGATGTAGGTTGATATCATCACTTCTAGCATCGGAAGCGCAAGCGGGTTTGAGGACGGAGCCTGGGCTGAGGTTGCATCACGCCTCGTGAACAAGGGAGTGGTGGTGACCATCGCCGCGGGCAACTCGGGCTTTGCGGGCCCATTCTTTGCAAGCAGTGGATCTTCCGGCAAAGACGTCTTAGCCGTGGCCTCTGTCCAGGCGGATACCTTCCCGGCTCAGGCTTTCTTCGCCACCTTCAGGACCAACAGCTCTTCGAACACCACCACCGCTGGATACATTCCCGCGACGTACAACTTCCCAACCACCATCAAGGACTGGCCCATAATTCCTCTCAGCTTGAACACGTCCGAGGCCGCAGACGCGTGCTCCCCCCTGCCGGCTGACACCCGAAACCTGTCACAGGTCATCCCACTTGTGCGCCGCGGAACCTGCAACTTCGCCACAAAGCAAGCCAACCTCCAAGAGTTCGGCGCCCAGTACATCCTGTTCTACAACAACGACAGCCCCCTGATATCTCTCTCGACGAGCGAAGAAGGAAGTCTGGTCGGCCTCATCACCGCCGAAGCCGGCGCCGCCATTGTCAACACGGTGAAAGCGGGCGGCGAGGTCCTTGGTGACTTCTCCGCCGAAGCCTCCGCCGTCGGACTCTACGATGCCTCCGGCGGTAGACCGAGCACCTTCACGTCCTGGGGCGGCCTGTACGACCTGTCCCTGAAGCCGGACATCGCGGCCCCGGGCGGCAACATCTTTTCCACCTATCCGAACAACAGCTTCGCCGTCCTCAGCGGGACCTCGATGGCCACGCCGTACGTCGCCGGCATCGCAGCTCTGTACATCGGCGCCCTCGGCGGTAGGAAGGTACATGGAGCCGAGTTCGCCAAGGCGCTGCAAAGGCAGATCGTGGCGAGCGGCGGTGCACTGCCGTGGGCGGGGACGACCGAGGACGACGGCATCGTGGCGCCGGTCCCGCAGGTCGGTAACGGGCTCGTGAACGCGTTCAAGGTGCTGAACTACTCGACTGCATTGACCTTCGAGAAGCTGGAGCTCAATGACACGGTCAACTTCCGGGATACCCACACGGTGCAGATCACGAACAACGGTGATGTGCCGTTGACTTACAACTTCAGCCTACAAGACGCCGCTGGGTTTGAGGCGCTGGAGGAATTCGATGCCGCCGTCTACCCGTCTCCAAGGCTGAGGGAGTTCGCTGAACTGGTTCCCATCGAGGCTGTGCCGGGCATCTCCTTCCCGGACGGGGACTTCACGCTGGCGCCCGGAGAGAGCAAGGACGCCACCTTCACCTTCACGCTGCCCGAAGGCCTGAACGCAACCGCGCTTCCGGTGTACAGCGGCAAGATCTTGATCACGGCCACCAACGGCGAGCAGCTGTCCGTCCCCTACTTCGGCCTCGCCTCCGACCTGAAGAAGGAGATGACCCCCATCTTCGAGAACACCTACCCGTTCTCCACCTCCGGCATCAACAACGAGAGCATCAACAACAAGTCTTCGTGAGCACTCCCACCGAACCGAAACCCCACAAACCATCCGCTAACCCGCGCCCCACAGCTACACCTTCAACCTCACCCTCGACTCCCAAGACTTCCCCAAAATCTTCGCCCAGCTCAAATGGGGCACCGAAGAAATCCGCTGGGACGTAAGCAGCAGCCCAGCCCCCCCTCCCCTCCTCCCTCCCCCACCCCACTAACACTCCACACAGATATACGACCCCACCTTCACCGAATCGCAATGGCAATACCCGCCCGTCCCGGGCGTCAACGGCTACGTCGGCGCCGCCACGAGCTGGAACGACGCCGAGTCGTCCAGCACCTTCGACCCCGCGACGCAGAACGCGTCCGACGTTTTCGCCTTCCCCATCTACGACATCATCCGCAACGCGCCGACCGAGACGTCGTACCGCAGCTTTTGGTGGTTTGGCCGCTTGGCCAACGGGTCGGACATCGCGCCGGGGAGTTACGTGATGCGGTTTGCGGCGCTGCTGCCGTTTGGGGAGAGGGCGGAGAGTGCCGGGTGGGATGTTTGGCAGGCGCCGGGGATTGAGGTGCTGTAGGGTGGGCAGCGCGAGGGAATGGGGAGTATGGGGGTGTGTTGAGTTTGAAGTTTGTAATTAGGGAAAGGTGCTCGAGTTTTTTCATGTTTTATAATTACGCCTTCGCCAGAAAAAGTACGATCGGTTGCCTCGGTGCGATGTGATGCACGGCTCCCTTGCCGATGGAACGATCCGCCGTATGAGACGCTTTCCTGCAGCTTCGGCCCGAGCTACCGTTCACGTAAGACCCTTTGCAGATCGTCTGGGAAAGGGGACAGCTAGTGGGCGAGTGGGCGGAGTAGAGAGGAGAGAGAACGCAAAGTGGTAATGCGCGCGTCTTTAAGAGACGGGTGGTCTAGATTGATAAATGATACCAACTGAAATGTCCCACGGCTGTATGTCTCGAGAATTCCAAGCAATTTTGCAGAATTTATATCTGTTTCTCACAATTAAACGTCGTCACGGGAATGCAAAGGCCACAAGGCCTCTGGCTTAGCTTGCAAATTTCGCTGCATTCGTCTCCCATGTGATCAGAGGAATGTCCGCTTTCGGTAAGCTTCGAGGTCAGCTCCTGGCATGGAAACATAACTGGTGTAACTCACATGGATAACATGTTAGCCACCTATGTAGATCGTTGGGGTTCAAGAGCTGAATATGCGAACTGGCGGCGCAAATTCGCCTGGTCTCCCCATGGCAACCATAGGTATTCTCTCACATGCAAAGTGCCGTCAATAATGTTGCGTGAAGGATCGACTCAATATCAGATGAAGATCGATCGTGCCTTCTCACATGTTGATAGCGGCACTCTACATATAAGCTGCTGTTCTGTCCCGAGCGGGCCGCCTGTGTCCACAGGTCCCAAGAGACATTGCCACACATCACGCCGCACTCTTTGAAAAATGCCCGGAACACAGAAGAAGCGCCTCATCGTGTGCTGCGATGGCACCTGGCAAGCTTCAGACAAGACTTACGGCACCAGTCCCTCCAACATTGCCAAGCTCAGCCGCATGATCGCCCGCGAGGATGGAAATATCCCACAAGTGGTCTACTACCAGTCTGGGGTGGGAACTGGATCATGGGGGTTGATGGACATTGGCATTGCAGGTTTGAAGCCAGATGCGTTGTGAGAGACTTGTCGCTGACCATGCCAAAGGCAGTGTCGGCATTGGACTGTCGGAGAACGTCTCGTCAGCATATCACTATCTGTCGACCAACTTCAACGATGGCCAAAGCGCCAATGATGAGATCTTCATATTTGGATTCTCCCGTGGAGCTTACACTGCCCGCGCGCTCAGTGGACTGGTGACTGAGATGGGACTCCTCAAACCCCAGTATTTGGACAAGTTTCCCCGGGCCTTTGAAATCTACAAGAGGCTCAGCAGCAAGGCGGCAAACAGAACCGACAACTTCCTGAAATGGAAGGATTACTTTGTCGGAGGTCTGTCTGCGTCGGACAGGAATTTCTGGCATGACCTCACGAACAAAAAAATGTACAGGGACGTGAAGGTCAAGGTAGTCGGTGTCTGGGATACGGTATGGGCCATTGAGATGCACTCTATAGCTTCTGGCTAACACGTATGTAGGTTGGTGCGCTCGGGATTCCCGAGAGTTTCTTGTCCACCATGCTTCCCGGGTTCAATAAACGCTTCCAGTTCCACAGCACCGGCCTGAATATCAGTAAGTGTGGACTTGTTGCCCGTTCAAATCTCGTTCGAAAACTAAACGTCACCTGCAGAAATCGAAAACGCCTTCCAAGCCCTGGCGCTTGACGAGCATCGTGGTGCATTTCCGCCAACTTTGTGGTATCTGCCCAAGTATCTCCTTCGCCGGGCCGACTGCCCGAACCTCAAACAGTGCTGGTTTCCGGGCTACCACGAATCCATCGGGGGTGGGGGCGTCAAAGTCCAGTCCATGCTTTCAGACTGGTTCCCCCACATCATGAACTGGATCATGCCCGACACTTCGCAGATCCACGAGGTCACGCTCGCTTGGATGTGCGACCAAGTCAACGGCCTTCTCAAATTCGACGATGATGCCGTGCGAGACATGCTCCTCAGGAACGGCGAAGCCCGAGGCGACTGGGCCGCCTGCAAAGAGACCGACATGCTCAAGTACCTGAAAGTCTTCAACCTGAACTCGTTCGGTGGGTCCCGCACCAGGACTCCCGGCCGCTATTTCGAAGAGCAGACCAACGAAACCATCCACCCGTCCGTGTACTTCCGCACGAGCGAGGTCAAACGTCTCCACTACTCGGCCAGGCCGCTTCGCGAGCGCTTCGTCTGGGCCTACTGCGCCTGGCTCCCGCAATTCCACGTCAACTTCGCGACACCCGTTTGGGCCCTGGGCACGGTATTCCGCTTCCTAGGCACGGTGCTCTTCTACCTGGGAGCGCCGGTCCGGGCCTTCACGCCCTCGCTCTGGGAGGTCGCCGTGGATCTCTGGGACATGGGCGGCGACCTCGTGCACATGGCGGCGGCGACGGTCGCCCATCTCGGCCGCCTCGCGCAGATGTTTCCCTTCGCGTTTTGCTACCTCGACGAGCCGCTCTGGCGGTGGCAGCAGCGCTCGACGGACCCGGACAAGCCCGACGGCGCGAGCTGGGTCCGCCGCAACGTCCCGTGCTCGGTGTTCCTGCAGAACGGCCAGGAAGAGGTGCGCATCCAGGAGTGGGTCGTGCGGGCGTCGCCGGACCACAAGTTCAACTTCGAGAAGGACGTCATGCCGGAGAAGGTGTGGGACAGGCTGGGCGCGAGGAACCGCAAGTCCATCCGCCACGCCGAGAAGTCGCCCGACTACCGCATGCAGTTCTGGACCAGGACCGACTGGGAGCACCGCGACGACCAGCCCAAGCTGTCTCACGGGCCCGTCCACCAACAGGTCACGATTCCGCACCCCATCCACGCCCTGCACGACACGATCCACCACGCGTTCGGCGACGCCCGCAGAGTCCACGAGACGGCCCACAGGATCGACGAGAGCGTCCACGATAATCTGCAGAGTCTCCCCCATAGGATCCAGGATGCGCTCGATAACAAGACGGATCTCATACACAACAGGCTTCATGGGGTTGAGGGCGCGGTCCTTGGTGCTGTCGACAAAGCGCATGATGGAGTCGAAGGCTTCCATGACCGTGCGCATAAAAGGCTCGACGACCTGCATGACCAGCACGAACAGGCTCGCCTTGATAAAAAGAACAAGAAGCACCTGGACAAGAAAGGACGGGACATGGATGATGGGTTGCACTATGGTGGAGCGGTTCAGGGTGTCTGATGGCACATTTCCCACTGGGTAACGAACATGCTTTGGTCAAATGTTTATTGGGGGGTTTCTTCAAAGTTCTTCCGCTATCATGATTTCCCGTTATGGTCTAGCTCAACCTTAGTCACAACTAAAAAAAACATTCCCTCCACGTCTCCTTTAGTAGCTAATGCGCCAAGGCACCAGAAATTTCTTTTTCTTAGTGTGCCCTTAACAACTAGTAGAGTCAATCTCCCAGTGAAACCCATGACCTTAGTAGCTCCATCCGCCGGGATCCGAGTCCCTCAAAGCGTCTCACCACCGACGCTCCGGTGTCATATTGCCCACAGGAATCCGCACCAGCATATTCTTCACCATAGAAGTCAACGGCCATTTCATTTGGCCCATTCATCAGCTCGTGTCTACTAGCCACACCTCTTCACCCAAGCGTATGATGTCACCGAACCACCAGCCGCCACCGGCTTTGCTCTCCGCAAAAAAAAAAATAAAGATTTCCCACGCAAAGCTCCAAGCGCACCGGTACCATCACCACTTCTTCTCATACACACAAGACAATCGATCGCACTGGTATCCTCGCCCAATCAGTAGATCCCCCCCCAAACGCAAAAACATCTCGCAAAAACGTTCGCCAGGCTCATTCGACTCCTATTCCCCCGGCGCATAAAGGGTGCAGTAGTAACACTCGGCGCCCGCGTCTCTCGCCCAGCAGTAAGCGCCCTCCCCGCCACCCTTCTTGCACTGCGTGGAGTCTGTCAGCGTTGCCAGCAGGCTTGGATGGCAAGCGTGTGTCGTCGGCGGCGCTTACAGAAGTGTCTGGACAGCACTTTTTGGATTTCATGTACCCGAGGTAGCACCTGTTGGCGTAGCATTTCTAGTGAATCAGGATGGGTCAGTTTTTTCTCTCTCTTTTGCGTGGATGGCGAGAGATGGCGACGTACGCCGCAGGCGGCATCGTCGTCGAGGCATTGTTCCTGGGATTGGGCGGCGACGCCGAGGAAGATGAGAGAGAGGGTGCAGAGGGTGAGTCCGAAACGCATTTTGTGGGGCTTGGATGGTCTTCGAATGTGTGTCCTGCTTGGATGGTCTTCGGATATGTGTCGTCTTGAAGAAGATGTCCGGAGGAGGATGGTGGGGTTCTTTCTTAAGATCTGGAAGGTCCGTCTCGATATAAACTCGTTCATCAGTCGACTCACCGTTATCATAGCCGCTGTTCCTTGGGTGACTGCGAAAAAATTCTAGCCATGGTAGCTCCCGTTGGTCTCGCATTGGCCCGGCTAGTATAAGCCGTATAAAGGCGTACATTGGCTCATAATCTGGTTTTTCGCGCTAGTTTTGCAATGTTCCCCCGGAACGCGAAGCTGCAATGTACCTACTAGAAGCCGTTGGGTAAATTGTACCACAGTACCACTACTGAAGTGCTGAGGCTGTGCAACAGTACGTTGCCGTTTGCAGCGCCCGACGCGTGCGACGTGGAAGATAGACCGCAATTGAAGTATCGCCCCTAGCGGAAACAAAAACAAAAATAGAAACAAAAAAGGAGAGCGCGCCCTTCGCTAGCACAGATTGCATCGCATCAAGAAGCTTGTGATTGAGAGCAGGGTAGCCAGAACCGAAGATGGGAAGGGGAAAGCCGTTACGCTACGCATAAAGTTCAGACCGAGGGTGCAATTTAGTCGTCTACCGAGATCCGAACGGATGGTTTCGAGGGTCCAACCGGTACCTAGAACATGGACAGAGCTCTAGGCCATGGCTGGAAACAACGCCAAGGCCAGGAGGAAGAGCCGCGGTGGAACGATGAGGACACGTCAGCACATGATTCAGCGTTGGGTCGAAGATGTCGGCAAAGGGATGCGGAGTAAGTAAACATTAATTTTCTTTTAAAAAGCCAACCGAAACAAAGAACAACGATCAAGAATCAAAAATAGCACCATAGGCGGGAATGCCACGGGCCTCCATGGCATAGACGACCTTCTGGGTCAGCTTCTTGTTCGAGATGATGCACACGGCCTCGGCGCCGGACTCCTTCCACAGGTGATACGAGATGGCGACCATGTCGGGCTTGCCCATAGTGCGGGTATTATGCACGACGGCATCGGGGTCCGTGTCGTAAACGGCGCGCACGATTTCGGAGCCAAACGTCTGCTCGGGGTGCGGGGTGGACCAGAAGATGCGGCACGGCACGCGCCTGGCCAGGATGACGGGCAGGCAGGGGCCGATGCCGCTGCCCGTGGCGACGAGCACGACGCGCTTGAACAGGGGGGCGATGCGCAGCACGCCGCACGCCGGGATGCCGCGGACCCAGAGCTCCGTGGGGCAGCGCTCGATCTGCCGCCTGGTCCAGTCGCCGGCATTTGAAACCACGAGCGAGAAGCCCTTCTTGCCCGGCGCGCTGACCGTCGCGAACGCGTGCCACTCGAGCAGCGGCCGCTCCGAGAGCCGCACCGCCGTGCCCGGCACCGTGTCCGTGTAGTCGAAGTGCAGCCGGATCGCGTGGTCCGACAGCTTCTCCGGCCGTACCTTGACCTTGCGGAGACGCGTCCACGGCAGCACGATGCTGATGGTGATGACCACGACGAGCCAGAACCCGGCGCTGCGAGCGAGTGCGTCGCCGAGCGGCACCGGGCCGCGGAGAGAGTCGGTCGTGAGGACTGTCTGCACCCAGATCAAGGCCAAAGCCACCCAGCCTGCGAAACGGTGCACGATCTCAAACGAGTCATGGTGCTTGATCCGAATCGCCGGGTAGGCCATGATGATCATGCCCACCAGCAGCAGCACCACGAGGTAGCTCACCACCAGAGCCGCGAGGCTGATCGGGACGCTCGGCTCACCCATGGCGTAATACCTCGTTGCCGACACGACAAAGGCTGCGAACCAGAGCGTGGCCATCGTGGCGCATCCGCTGTGCAGTCCCCCGATGTGGAAGACGCGGGCACACTGGCGGCGGATGCAGAGAGGAACCGAGGTTGGAACAGCCGTGGCTAGGTCGAACAACAGGTTGATGACGTACTCCTGCCGCATCAAAACCGCAAAAGTCAGGTTCGCCGCCGTGGCTGTTGTCATGCTTTGGAGGCTCAGCGTGTGCGTTGTCCAGTAATCCGAGGCCAGCACCACGACGGGAACGAGGTTCGCAATCCACACCACCGAGAAGAACCTCCTGTAGAGCGAAAAGAAGCGATGGCGGACCCAGCGCTCTCCGTGCATGCCGTTCTTCTCTGGAAGCACAAACTTGTCCTCCTCTTTCTCGTCCAGCGAATTCAACGAAGCAGCTGTGACAACAACTCCCTTCTCGGCATCTGCGTTCCCCAGCTCCTTGGAGTCTGCAAGCCTCAGCGACTCTGGAGGAGTTTCCGGTGGAGAGACTGGAGGCTGGCCAGGGGAGCGCTGGGCGGCCAGCTCCTTCAGCTGTCGTTTGTCAATCTTGCCGTTGGCCGTAAGGGGCATGCTAGCCATCACGATCCACTTTGATGGGATGGCGTAGTACGGCAGATACTTTTGCGTATGCTGGGCCATGGCGTCTGCATCAATCTCGGTGGGTGTCGCACAAAAAGCCCAGAGTGCATCGTCGATCAAGAGAGTGCAGGCTTTCTCGATGTTGGCAAATTTCTGCGCCAGTCAGCGTGGCCCCAAGGAAGGCGGGCAGTGTGCATTTTTGGACCGACCTCGACAACTGAAGATATCCCATCCAGCTCAACACGGAATCCACGGATCTTGACCTGGTCATCCGCGCGACCGAGAATCTCGAGTGAGCCATCGTCGCGCCAACGAACAAGATCGCCCGTGTTGAACATCATGCTCCCATCGTCCGAGAAGCGATCCCGCTTGAACCGCGATGCAGTCAATTCAGGAAGGTTGAGGTAACCACGCGATACGCCTTTCCCGCCGACCCACATGCAGCCGACTTGGCCGGTAGGAACGGGCTGTTCATCTTCGTCGAGGATGTAGACGTTCGTGTTGGGAATTGGTTTTCCGATGCTCAGCTCCTGTCCCGGAACATGGACGTGAGCAGTGTTGAGGATTGTGATTTCGGTTGGGCCGCAAATGTTCACAAAGGTCGAGTCAACCGCCCACTCGTCGGCCAGCCTGCTCAACGTCAGCATGCCTGGTAGAAACCGGCTTGCACCAGCACACAAATGCTTACGACTGCGGGCATCGTTCTCCCCCGACGGCGATGGCCTTTAAATTCGGATAGTCGGCCTTTCGGTATTTCCCCAGGATGGATGGAGTGCAAATCAAGGTGTCGGCCTCGGCGTGGTTTAGCAAGGGAGGGACACGGGAGGCGCAATCAGAACTCACCTCACGAAGGCAGGCAGCCCAGTCGGAAGTGCGCAAGACCAGCGTGCCACCATTCATCAGGCAGCCAAGGATCTCCCAAGCCGCCATGTCGAATGAAACATTGAGCACTTGGCATACCCTGCTACCGGGGCCGATTTGAAGGTTGGCAGGCGAGAGGCACAAGGTGTTGGTGACGTTGCCGTGGGCCACGTCGACGCCCTTGGGCATGCCGGTGGTTCCTGTCTCGCGTGAGCGGGCTTTCCTGGCGAATGAGTGGGGAGAGCGTACCGCTAGTGTAGATGATGTAGGCTCCATCCTTCTCATCCACGTCTACAGCAAGTCGATGATCCGAAGTGGCTGGCTGGGCAGTATCAATGGCGCAGACGTGCTGATTGTAAGCCGCCACTCGCTTCACCTTGTCTTCGAACTTGCTCAGACAAAGAACGACGGGCGGCTGGGCGTCTCGGAAGATGTGCGACAACATCTCCTCAGTGACAACGCCGCCATCAATGGGGACATACTGGCAGCCAGTCTTGAGAACAGCAAGGATGGCGACGAGCATGGGGATGGACCTTTGAGCAACGATGCAGACGCGTTGGCGCGGACGAAGCCCCTGTAGGACAAGAAGATTGCCAAGGCGGTTGGCCTGACGGTCGAGTTCGCCATAGGTGATGGTGGCGCCGTTGTGACTAGCTGCCGTGTGGTCCGACTGAATGTCGGCAAAGTGTTCGAAAGCCTTGTGGACGAGGGTGAAGGGGCGAAGTAGGCTCTGTCCCCGGCCGTACTTGTTGAACAAAGCTCGGTCTTGTTCAGAGAGGCCTTGGGTCCCTTGGAAGACGGGCTCCATGGTGGGATGAAGTTGATGCAAAAGGCAAGAAAGAAAAAAAAGGCACGGAGGTCAGAGTGCAGAAGATGGATGGTCAGTCGGATATATACTCGGACGGAGCCAGGCCAGCCGGGTGCAGCACGGCTTGACAGAGGTCCTGGGCATCACGGATAGCTTCTCCCAATACGGTGGATGAGACAGTCGAACCACGGGCGCTGATGGCGATGGCCTCGAGGGCGCAATGGATGGTGCGACCAAGAAGTCGGCTCCAAACGGCCAGGAGGGGCCATTGAGCAGGGCATGGCCTGTGGAGCCCAGGCGAAGTAGCTACACGAGGAAGCAGCAGCAAGGCATAACGGAAGCGGAAGCGGAGGCCGAATTGAACGCTGGGTGTTACGAGCATGGGCCCGTATTGGCATTGATGCTGCGATGGGTCTGGATTTTTGGCAGAGCTGCCCGGGTGGGCAAGGCTCTGGGTTTCAGAGCGGCTAGCGATGTGGTGGTGGAGCTCCCGTGGGCAGATGATTGACAGTTGACAGCACGTGGGCATCGGCGGCTAGGGCAGATGGGGCAGGCGCATTGATGCAGCACGGGCGGTGCTACGGAGGGTGCTACGCAGGCTGCAAGCTGTACCACGCCGGGCTGGCGTAGACGAAGACGAGCTGGAACGTGGAAGAGGCGGCCCACTCATTCAATTAGGGAGATTGGGAGAATTGGAAGGTGCCGGGAGACAGTTTCATTGCCGGAGTTGCGGTCCGGGAGGGAAGGTCGCGGCGGGCCTGACGCATGTAGCTCTGTTTCGCGCGAGTCAGTCGAGGTCCTTCTTATAGCTGGCTGGCGCCAAAATACACACAGCAAGCGCCATCGCCCAGCGCGCAGTAATCGGCAATGACGACAGTTCGCACCACCACCAGGGAAGACGGCGTGGCCGTCGTCGAATTCAACCGGCCCAGCAAGCGCAATGCCTTCTCGCAGGCCATGATCGACGAGTTCACTTCGCAACTCCGCGCTCTCGATGGGGACTCGCAGGTGCGGGCCGTCGTTGTCACCGGGTCGCCTGGAGGGCCTTTTTCCGGTGCGTCGTCCTGCCTTCTAGGTGCAAAGACTGACGAGCTGCAGCCGGAGTGGATCTCAGAGAGCTGGTCCAGATGACCGAGGCCGAGGCGCACGAGCGACGATTCCTCCGGGACCTGACAGACGCGCTTGCAGCTTTCAGCAAGCCGCTCGTTGCGGCCGTCGTGGGGTTCGCGGTAGGCTGGCACGCAATGGCTTCAGCATTGGAACAGTGGAGGCTGACATGGGATGCGCAGCTTGGCGGCGGGTTCGAGGTTGCGTTGTTGGTAGGTGATTAGCATGGGAGTGGTGATGGAAGATGGAGTCGAGCTAAGCGATCAGCAGTGTGACATCATCTACGCCGCCGATGATGCCCTGATGGGGCTGCCCGAGATCCGAATAGGCACCATTCCGGGCGCCGGCGGCACCCAGCTACTTGCCGCGCTGCTAGGCAAGCACAAGGTGAGCGCATGGCCGAATGCTTCGAGCCACCGCCGCTAATGATGCCCGTCCGACAGGCCATGGAGTTTATTCTCACCGGCGCCTCGACCAGCGGCCTGGAGCTGGAGCGACTGGGCCTGGTCAATCGCACCTTCCCTGCCGATCGCGTGCTGCACGAGGCTCTGCAGCTGGCCGCCCGCATCGCATCCATGTCGCAAGCCGTTGCCAAGCTGGCGAAACGCTCCGTCCTGAACGGTAATGCCTCCACCTGCTCCGCTGCACCGCTGCTCCGCTGCACCGCTGCACCCCAATCACACTACTGACGCCGCTACCCAGCCTCGGAGAACCTACTTCCCGCCGGCATGGACAGAGAAAAAGACCTGTACTACGCTTCTTTCTCCACCCACGACTGCAAGGAGGGCATGGCTGCCTTTTTGGAGAAGCGCCCTCCGAGGTTCGAGCACCGATGATGACATTCCTGCTGTGTTTTGCATCGTGGCCTTGTCGGCGACGGAGAAAGAAAGTAGCCTCAGCAAATATACACCGTCACCGTTATGGCTACAAGTCGCATTCTGGACTTGGTATGCATTCAAAAACGCTGGCTGACGCTAACATGGTACACCACCACGCCGGCTTCTCCCGACCGCAACCGGCCGTGTCACAGGCCGGTGCCTACATTTCCAACTCGAGTACTCCTTCCTCGGCAACCTAGCCCGTCCATGATACGCACTTGAGTCTTTGACTCCTGTAGCCTTGCCTTTATTTCACAAACCTCATCGCTGTCTACTGACACATCCATGTCATATCATGCCCTCAATCACTACATACGAACTCAACGCGTCGCAACATCTCCTTCGCGCCGCCATCATTGCCTCGTTCTCCGTTACCGGCACTTTCGTCGCAATCCGCTGCTGCGTCCGCTTACGCCTACAGGCCCGCTTCAGCTTCGATGACTATCTTCTGGCCATCGCACTGGTAAGCATCTCTACTGCCAGCGTCTCTATCCGAAATCCAAAACAACCGGCCAGCCAACAGGAATCACAGGCCATTTATGCCCTACAGACAAGTTTCATCGTCTGCGCCATCGACTACGGCGGTTTCAACCGCAAAACAGCAGAGCTACCCCACCATGTCTACCTAGTAGGCTTAAAGGTATCGCTCTAGCCTTCCCGTCAATAAAATCGTAACCATCTCTGACCCGGTCCTTCTTTCCCATTGACACAGTGGACCATCCTCACACAGTGCGCCTATCCACTCGCCTTGATGTTCGCCAAGCTTAGCATCGCCTTCCTTCAATTACGCGTGCTCGGCCTCTCCAATGCTCCTACCGTCCGCCGCCTACACTATGTCTCTATAGCCGCCTGCATCATCGTTTCCATTTATGGTTTCTTCACTGCTTTCTTTCAATGCTACCCGGATACCGCTCCGTCCACCTCTTCCTCATCCTCGCCCCACCCAATCCTTATTCCTACCGCCAGCTGCTCTCCCCGTATTGTGATCCTCGTTTCCTCGTACATCTTCTCCGCCATCAATATCCTGCTCGACTGGTACTACTCACTCGCCATGGTGCCGTCCATCTGGAACCTGTACAACACCAGTGTCCTAGTGCGCGTGTCTACCATTCTGTTTCTCAGCTTGGGATTCCTGTAAGCCATCTTCTTCTCCTCCCTCTTCCTCGTCCTTGGCTCCAATTTCCGGTCCAGAAAACATCGAGGCACGCAGCCGCTGATGCCACCCTCCCCTCATAGAGCCTCCGTCGCCACCCTCGTGCGTATCAAGTACCTAGGCGGTTTCGGCGACTCCAAGGATCCGTTGAAGGCCGTCGTTCAAATCGGATTGTGGAGTGCCGTCGAAGAGTGTCTGTGCATGTGCGCCGCCTCCATTGCGACCTTTCGCCCGTTGTTGCGGGTCATCCCGGCGGCGGTTTCGTCGGCATTGTCGTCGTTTGGGGGGAGATCGGATTTGTCGGGACAGACTCAAAGGCCGAGTGAAGCGGGAGTCGGCGGGGAAAACAGCGCAAGCCATGGCAGTGGCAGTGGGAGAAAGAGAACCGAAGTCACGGATGTAAGTGTAACGACAGTATGCCCCACCACGGAGTCATAAAATACCATGAAAAATTCAAAGGCTTCCCCACGTCCACGTCCCCGCCACCTTCCAGCTGCCGTTAAGCATATCCTTCACGACGTCGAATGAGGGCTCTCTGCACGGCCACGCCCGTCATCCGCAACTTCACCAGCCTCTCATCGCAGTCCGGCCTCCCCGCCGGCAGCAAGCTCCAGCGCATCGTCGTCGTCGTCGTCGTCATCGCCGCCGCCGCCTACGGCACCCTGGAAATGACCTTTCTGGCTGCCGGCTCGTTACACCCCCTGAAGAACCTTACCTGGAACGGCAGGCCAGGGCTTCTCCGCGCGCCTCTGCCCAGGCCTTTCGCGTCCCACGCTCGGTGGCCATCTGGCACGGGCGAGCTCAGTCTCGGAGCGCGGACGGACATTCTGCACCGCCCAGCTGAGCGGGCACACGAGGTGCTACCGGCATTACCAGCCCCATGTTCAGGCAGCTCGAGTTCTTGCTCGGGCGAGTCACCGACCTCGGTGTCGATGTGGGGTTAACGACAGACGGAAGGCAAACGCGGGGGAGAAGACGGAGATGCTGGTGGTGGAGTGCGACTAGCCCACTACGAGATGGATTCCTTCACTTGCCAGCTGCTCACTTTTCTGGCCTTCCATCCCGCGCCCTCTACTGTAGCTGCGCACACCACGCTCTAGGCTTCTGTACAACATGCCAACCACAGCCAGACAACCTACTGATGTGGGCCTGAGGCGGATTGCTACCGCCAGCTGGGAAGTCCTGCTCCTCAGGGCGTACATGTGGACGGATAGTGGATAAGTCAGGATTCTATTCCGGCTAGCCGCACCGTTTGAAGGATGCAGTCTACTGTGAAGAGTTCCCACGGCGACCACTCAAAAACCACGTCCATGCAGAGACGAGAAGAACGCCTCGCCATCCAACCCGAACACAATCAGCTCTCCGGCGCGCCGTCCAACCACAGCCTCAGTTTGTTCAACGCCTCATACCGGTCCGACACCCGATTCTGCAACAGATGAGCCAACTAACCGCGCCCGCACAATCCAGGAAATCCCAAACCCACCTTAAACGCGGGATCCATCTCCGCAAACGTCTTCCCCTCATACTCAAAAATCGGGTCGTACGCTGCAAGAAAGAAAAGCCGCGGCGGGGCGAGCTACACGTCAGTCAAGTCACATCTCCAGCAACCGCACATTTCCCCCAGCCTCGAACGCACCGAACCCGTTACTCCCCCTCGGCGCCACAATCGCCCCGGTGCACCGTCCCTCGAAGATGATGGGCTCCTCCCCCGGGCCGTCGCAGTACGCGAGCACGCAAACCGACGTCGCGGCCTTGTCGTCGTACGCGGCCAAGAGGCTGCGCAGCCCGTCGTTGCCAATCGCCGTGAAGAACGGCCGGCTTTTTGCAGCTCATCAGTCGTCAGCCATTCAGGCGCGGGCAGCCAGCCAGCAGGGGAAGCGGGGGCGGCGGGGGCGCAATGGGGAAGCAACGCACATGTACGGCCCCGGCATGCCGTTGAGGGCGTGCAACTCCAAGGCCGTGTCCTCCACCAGAGCTGGGCCGTTGACCTGTCATCCAGCGGGAGAGCCCGAAGGGAAAAACGTCAGCAGGTGCGGTGCGGGCGGGAATCGACATGGGGGTGACGCACAGCGATGGCGGCGCGGCGACACTTGTCGGCTGCGATTTCCTGCGGCGTGCCCTGGATCTCCGGCACGTCGGCTGCGGATCGGCTTCGCAGCTCGACGTGGCCGCTGAGGATGGCGGCGGCTTCGCGGAGCTTGTGCCGGTTGCCCGTGACGAAGTTCAGGACGCGGGGGCGGGTGGAAGGCATGGCTGGGTGTGTGTGTGTGAGGTGGGCGCGGGTGTGGCTGGATGGTGGATGGGTGGATGGAGGGAGGAGTGACACGGTGCGTGGGAAAGGGCGACGGGTCGGGTCGGCTAGAGATGGGGTGCGACGACTCCTGCATGCAAGGGTTTCAGGGCACTGCCGGCCCCCGCTATTCCCGTGGGTGGGCCGAAAAAGATGGCTGGGAGGTGGACGGGGTAAGGACGAATCTGTCAAAGCAATGGCGTACGCGAAGGGAATCGTGCCCCGCATAAAGACGGTCCAGTTCATATGTGGAGTCGAATTGCTCGAGCGGCCTCTTTTGGAGTGTGCTTCGAGTGGCTCTGTCTTTGAGACAAATGCTTTGACTGGCTATAAGGATAAACAAGCGGAATTGGGTTCTATCCGTCCATCTAGAAGATCTGATACATTGCAAGTTAGCTTTCGGCTGCGGTTGCTTCCTGTATTCGCATTGGTTTGGGCCCAGTGGTTAGTGGGGTAGGCTTTTGGCAAGAATACGATAAAATCAAGAATACCGTTGTGATACTACTCTAGTCCGTCTATCCAAACTGTGACTACTGCACGACTTTGCGTCATGATGTCTCAGATGTAGCTCGAGCATAACATTGCAGTGTCACTCACGAAAGGAAAAAGAAAAGGTTAGCCCGGACGCTTGGGTACGCCGCTCAAGCACGTCGTGGCCTGAGATTACATCATTGTCGTCCGGAAGGGCGTGCATGCATGTGCAGCCTTCGTTTGCGCAACCGGGATGGTGGTGGGACATCAGCGATCGGTCGGCTATCGGGCTGCATCATCACCCGCTTCCCGAGACATCGGCTCTTGGGAGATACAAAGGCCGCGGGCTGTACTACACCTGTATATGTATACTAGGAGATCCCTGCCAATTTCCGTATCACTAGACTACACCATCATCCATTGTACAGCAGATGCTCGTTTTTCTTGGCGAAAAGAACTAAGCGTACACGATGACGAAACCGCCTAGGCCCCGCTCCAATATCCATACCCGTAAGGGAAGGTTCACCTATAAGTGCAATATCGCTTTTCATTCGCTTCATTAGCTCTCACCCTCTGGACCACGTCTTATTCACTCACCATGAACATCAACCAGCCCGCTGAACAGTACATCGTCATTCCCGGATGGCGGAAACGGACCGACGTCCGTGATGTGGAGAGCCAGGCCTCAAGCGATCCGGTCCGCCGACTCCCCGGAACACGCTGGATGCCGACCAGGGTGAAGAACCATTTCGTCGCTGTGCTGGGGGAGTTCGTGGGAACATTCTCGTTCCTCTTCTTTGCTCTCTCTGCAGCACAAGTGGCCAATGCAACTGCCGCCACCAGCGCCGTCGCCAACACGCTAGATACGTCCGACTTGCTCTTCATCGCCTTGGGCTTCGGCTTCTCGCTTGCCGCCAACGTCTGGGTCTTCTTCCGCATCTCTGGTGGTCTGTTCAATCCGGCAGTAGGTCCCTCGTGTTCTTCTCTGTGCTCCCCGGGCTAACTGCATGCGCAGGTAGCGCTGGGCTTGTGTCTCATTGGCGCTCTTGGTTGGGTCCGGGGCAGCCTTGTGATCTTCGTACAGATCGTCGGAGGCATCGCCGCCGCCGCCATCGTGTCCGCCCTCTTCCCAGGCACGATGAACGTACGGACAACACTGAGTGACGACACGTCGGTCGTGCGCGGCCTGTTCATTGAGATGTTCTTGACCGCCCTGTTGGTCTTCACAGTCTTCATGCTGGCGGCAGAAAAGCACAAGAGCACCTTCCTCGCGCCCATCGGCATCGGCTTGGCTCTCTTTGTTGCCGAGCTGCCAGGTGAGTGCCACCACGCCGGTTAAAGGTAAAGCTCACCAGCTTCGCAGGCGTCTACTTCACCGGAGGCAGTCTCAATCCCGCCCGCTCGTTCGGTCCCGACGTCGTCCTCGGAAAGTTCGACGGCTACCACTGGATCTATTGGGTTGGCCCCGCATTAGGCTCCATACTTGCAGTCGTCATGTACAGGCTCATCAAGTCGCTCGAATACGAAACGGCGAACCCGGGCCAAGACTTCGACGAGAACGAGATCAAGGCTTTCCAGCCCGCCAGAGACCCACCAAGCACCCGCGAGGACGTCCGCCGCCCTGGCGCGCCCTTGGTCCAGTCGGGCAAGTTTTCCCCTTGTGTTCGCCGGTCTTGAGATTCCGAGCTGACCGCATGGCAACCCTGTAGATGAGCCCTGCACCAATATCGCGTTGGTGCCGACGGCGACGAATCATTCCCACACCGTGACTGCTGATCCAAACCATCACTCTCCAGAAGATACGCTGCACTCGTTGGGCAAATAGATTCGGGATGTTTGTTAAGGTAGGCGCTTTGGACACAACAGCGGCCCGTAGCAAGATGGCAGCGACAGCATATTGGCGGTAGTATAATGGTGGATCCTCACGTAACGTTGGGTCTTTAGTGTATCGGCGAGTACCCTATGGCGGCCATGAGAGTTTTCGTTACCTGTGATCGTGATTATCCCTCTTAGTAGTTCCTCGTAGCCTGGGCGCGGGCGGCCATACAGGCCGTAGTGAGGGTAAAAACGCAGATTTTATTAGTCAAGTTCCAGGGCCCACATGACATCCAGATCATTATCCGTGATGTCTGCGAGAGGATAGCCGTGTACATCAAGTATTTTTGCCCAGTCATGGATACTGCTGTCCAAGCTGACCCCATCCACGCTGCGCTTCTGTGGGCCGGTGTGCGTCTCGTTCCTGAGGTGAGTATAATACACCTAGCAAGAAAGAAAACGTCATTCAATTCGTTCGCCCACTCATTCGAGCTAGTAGCTATTCATTTCGAGTTCTACAGCCTTCCGTGCTATGATTGAGGGATTCAAGTAGCTTAGAGGACCCGTAGTTACACGGTATACGTAAGTGTTCTACGACAGTTATTGGAGCTGCTAGCTCACCATGATTATAGCTGGGTGTGGAAAGACTAACAGCGTAGAAGTCGATTCGTTCAATGATGAGGATGAATCTGCTCTCACGAAGCGTCGGTGTCTATCTACAGGGTTTTGCGAGTCAGGCGTGACCGGTGTTGTACGAGTCCTTATTGCCGCTGGTGCCCATGGCTCCATGCTGAGGAACCAAAGGCATAACCAAGAGCTGATAAGATTTCTTTTCGATGGGAGGGTGCCGAGACCTTGACCGCTTTCCGAGCTCACGGACTGCCCCTTTTTCCCGAGGCCGACCGGTATGTGCGGACGTTAATACAGGCAGCCCAAAATGGGCAAGAGCACATGGTCCGTTACTTAACTCAGACTATCAAGCCAGAAATAAGGGATGCTATGGAGCAGGCGCTACTATCTACTACGCACAATGGGCATAAACAAATTCATGAAGTTCTATGCGGTCTCAATGGGGGGTATGGCTGTCTTTAAAGGAAATTCACTTACTGTCGCGTCCGCAGACGAATATGCTTAGCCTTTTGACCTGCTACTTCCTCACAGATTCGTCTATCTTCTTAATTGGGAGTACCATACTTTTTCCTTGCGAATCCCTGTCTACCGAAGTGTCTCAAAAATTCATTGATAATAGTAGTATTTACTCAGTTGATTTACAGCACCTGTATTTTAGATGTATAAATGAAAATAGAAAACAGCCCTATCTTGAATATTTCTAGACTTCAAAGGGCCGTTGACCAAAATAGATAAATAACTCCCAGTAAACAGTACACCCCTTCACACCACCCTCGCCATATACGCACTCGTCCGGTCCGCCTCAGGCCTCGCATCCCACTCCCTCAGCACCGCAGGCAGCTCGTCCTCCTCCCAACTCTCCCAAATACCCTTCTCAACCGGCGCCCATCCCATCTCTCTCAGCCTCACAGCCCTACTCCTCGAATTAAGCCCGATGGCCGGCCCCGTCCCCGCCGCAAACAACTGATCCCAATCCCCGGCCTCGCGATCGAACTCGCGGACCAGCTCCGCGCCGTCGTCGTCGTCGTGCGGCACTGGCAGCCTCCCCGCCTTGACCAGGCTCGCCGCCACGCCGTCCGCGACCTCCTTCCACGAGAACTCGCGGCCGTTCTCGCAGAAAAAGTACGGGTTGCGCCGGAGCCAGGCGCCGTCGTCGCCGGCGGCGTCGTCGCGGCTCCGCTCGAGCGCGTGCAGCAGCACGACGTACGCCCGCGCCAAGTCTTTGACGTGGATCTGCGACTCGACGCTGAAGCCGCGGCCGACGTGGCCGGCCCACCCGCGCGCGAGCGCGAAGCGCGCGATGGTCGGGAGCTGGATCGTGAGGCGCTGGTGGGACGCGTTCCAGCCGTAGATCTCGGGCGGGATCATGATGGCGAGTTTGGCGTTGGGGGTGCTGAGGAGGGCGTCGTGGCGGGCGGCGTGGGCGATGGCGAGGTCGACGAAGCGGTGGGGCTGCGTGGAGGGGAGGGCGTCGATGGTGGAGGGGGAGGCGTCGGTGTAGATGGTGGGGCTTTTGAAGGCGCCGAGGGCGTTGTCGTCGAGGAGGGAGGTGCCGGACGTGTGGATGTAGATGGTGTGGTTGTTGGTGGCGGCGCGTTGGCGGATCCCGTCGAGGATGGCTTCGACTGAGGCGAGGTGGTCGGCTGTAGCCGTGTGGATGACGATCTGGGAGTGGAGTTGTTAGTTGGTGAGGATGGGGCGGTGGTCGGCTGGTGTCTCTCGTACGTCGGACTCTGCTGTGTGCTGGGTGATGAGCGGCTTGTCGTCTAGGTCGCCGAAGACTGCCTCCGCGCCCGACTTTTTGATTCCCGCGGCGTGCTGCTCGCGGCGCACAAGGCCGGTGACGTGGTAGCCTTCGGCGACGAGCAGGTCGAGCACGTTCCAGCCGATGAAGCCGGGCCCAACGATGAAGACTTTCTTGCCAGACATTATTGTTGTGAGGGAAGCGTGCCGCAGTTTGCGACTGGCTGATGCGGGGTACGCATTCGACATGAAGAGGAAGCTGACAGCTGATTGGTAATCATATGTTGGCGGTGGTATGGTGGGTCGCCGGATATCGATTGCCTGTCCCAGTCTTCTTCCCCGCCACCACCGGGATTTTACCGCCTCTGCCTGCTGATGATCCTCGTCCCAAGCATCGAGCATTTTCCCTTCCTATCCCGCCGTTTGTGGTTTACGCAGAATTATAACCTGTTGTCAAGCACGGTAGTGAAGATGCAAACCTCGCCGTGGCCAATCCCACCAGTCAGACCCAGAAAACCAATCGTCACTGCCTCCATTATGGACATTCTCACCCGCACGCTCATCATACCTCCCTCCAGAATCGACCCCCCCACCACCCATCTCAAGACGCAAACCCCATAAGCCTAACCATCCCCTCAACCTGCACCTCCCAGCCCTTAATATCACCCCCCAACATCTCGACCCCCATCGCCCTCCCCGCATCCCACCCCTCCACATCATCCCCCAAATCCAGCACGCGATGCGGCCCCACCGCCAACGCGCGTCCGACCACGCCGGCGTCGCTCGCACACCTCAGCGCCGCCCCCACCGCCTGCTCCATGCGGCCCTCGGGCGCGCCGACCGCCCGCGACAGCGGCATCCATTCGGCCGTCATGGGCGTGGGGATCGCCCACGGCGCGAGCAGGTTGACGCGGATGCCGCGCGCGGCGAGGAGCGGCCGGATGCTGCGGAAGAGGCCGCGCACGGCGTATTTGGAGCTGGTGTAGGCGGCCATGAGGGGGATGTCGACGTAGGCGGCGAGGGAGGCGACGAGGATGAGGGATTTGGGGTCGTTGTTGGACTTCTCCTCCTCCTGCTGCTCCTTCTCCTCCTCTCCTTCCGTGGTGGGGGGCGGCGGGAGCTCGAAGTAGAGTTGGGAGAGTTTTGCGGTGAAGCCGGTGCCGATGGCGTTGGTGTCCCAGGCGATGGTGGGAGGTTCGGGGGGGTCGTCGGCGAGGGAAGTGAGGGGCTGTTCGTCGCGGCCGATGAAGGTGGTGGAGAAGTTGCCGGCGGCGGCGACGACGATGTCGAGGCGCTGGGCGGGATGGAATTGGATGGCGGCTTTGAAGGCGGAGACTTGGGCGCGCCACGAGCGGATGTCGGCGGGGGCGAATTGCACCCTGTGGGTTGGGTTTGGGGGTTAGATCGGGGATGGGCAGAGGCGAAGGGCGGTCGTACTTTAGCCCACGGGATTGAAGGTCTGCGGCATGTTTGTTGCCGGCTTCTTCGCTGATGTCGACCAATGTGACATGGGCTCTGCGTTGGAAAGATTGTTAAAACGTCACTGTTCGCCTTGGTAGTTGTGGTTTCTGGCATACCCCTTCTCTGCAAACGTTGTCCCGATGGCGAGGCCAATTCCTGAAGCTCCGCCAGTGACCAGTGCGTTCTTTCCTGCAAGGTTGTCTGCGGACGGGAAGGTGTTCACGTCCTCGCTGCTGAGAGCGGGAGATAGAGGGATCGGTGCCATTGCGTACTTGCAGCGGTGGTGTGAAGGAATAAAACCTCAGAGTGAGAAAATGATTTTCGCGCCTTGCAGAGGTCTCTGGAGGTGTAATGAGTTTTCCCGTGGTGCCAGCGAGCTGTGACGTGGCTGAGTTTAAGTACCCGAGAGCAAGGAAGCCCGGATACACTTAAGCCCTCTGATACCAGATAGAGATGTTGTTGTATGGTCTGAAATGTGGGCTGGCGGGAGGGATCCCTGTCCGTACCGTTCCGGCGGGATTCAATTTTAGGGCTCTTGAACTACTCGATCCAGCCGATCTGCATCAAATGTGGGGAACGGAAAGGAGCCAGGAATTGGTAAATCAGACAAGAACACGGTCTGCAGCCCGCTCCATCCACGCCTTCTATCTCTCGAATCAACCACGCAAACGTTTGCCCATCACCGATCTACGCCAGTTTGCAGCTGAGCACCAGAGTCAACCTTGAGCGCTTGCACCAGCCCGATTCGGGTAGACGACATACTATGGTAAGTAGCCAACGTAGGTATAAGGTCAGTCCGGTCTGGTGGCTCTGATATGGGATGGGTGCAGCTCGGCTGCTCGTGGCCCGCATAGACCCGGAAGATGTTGACTCAGATCACATGATCCGGTTATGTAATCGAGACTCACTGTCTTGAAAATAGGCATCTTGTATCCCCACCTTCTTGGAAAATTAAGCCGCCACTCTTTTCCTTCGGAGTTCAGCAGAAGAATGACAGCAAGACCCTCGCGTCATGGCTGGCAAATTGTCCGTCCCTTCTCCGGCGACAAGACAGGGATAATCCCACCTAGAGATGTGAAGAGTTGCTCAATTGTCGTGTCAGACAATAAAAGGAGGTCCTTGCTTGGGATGCGAGTACCCGCTATCCTCATACTGTCGGGAAAAAAGATCGATCGAACCGAGGTTTTTTATGGCCTCTGACTTTTCTTTCTCTTCGGCCGCGGCAGCATCAAGCTTATCTTGGCCATCCTACTCTTCCTGAAACATCTCAATGTTGTTGACCGTAGTCAACATCGCCTGGTCTGCCTCATCGGCGAAACGGCCGGCGGCTTCGGTGTCAGTAAAAAAGTACGGAATCAGAGCCTGTTTGCGTTGCGCCTTTAATGTGCCCATTTCCTGCAGGTCGGTCGTCGACAGGGTGTTGCGGCGCTTGCGGGGCGTTCGCGGCGTGGGGTCATGGCCGTTGTTGTCGTGGACGCGGGGCCGCTTGGCCAAGCTGTTGTCGCCGTGGAAAGGCGGAGGCGGCGAGGCTGGCGAAGAAGGGAGCCTCTCGAACTAGGCGAGCATAGTGGCGGACGGTGGCGATGAGCATCGTAAGCGTATCCGGCGCGTGAGGCGATGCGGGAAAGACGAGGCGGAGAGTGCGGCGGCGCGGAGCTCATAATGCGGAGGTGAGATGCGGGGCGGCGGCGGTCGCGAATTTATCAACTCGACCAACGCTCACTACCCCACTTCATTCGTAAAATCCGTAGTGGCGCTTCAGTCATGAGGAGATTTGTAGGAAATTCCAGTGCATAGTTTTGCGTTAGTCGTTTTCCAGAGCCCAGCCGTAGGCTTTCCGCACCAAGTAATCCGTAAATGCTGACAGTAACGTGGCCGTCCACCTATGCACGGTTTAATAATGGCAACCGACAGCCTTATGCGCACTCCCTCTGATAAGTGAGGATGACGCCATCTTTGCATAATGTGGCACGTGTGCGGAAGCGTCCCGTCCCGCTCCGCCTACCCGCATCGTTATAGCCACTCGCTATTTTCACCACAGCCTTCGTCTCCCTGTAGTGAGGTTTTCCCAACCCGGGACGGCAAGAATGGTGCTAAGAATAGAGCTGTTGGCTGATTTTAACTTGCACTTCTGTGTAGTGAATGTGTGAGAGCTTCAATAAATTAAAAGTTGATAGCCAAGGACAAGCGCAGCTATTGCTCATACGGCAACTTCAAACGCTGGCTCAGATCAACTGGCAAATACTTACATGCCGCCATGGTGGGTTGCGCGGAATGGATTCTGACGTCATCGTCCCTGACACTCTCCTCACTGCACGTCAACCGCGTAGCAGCGAATCCGCGACGCCGAACTCTAGCCAGCCCAGAAACTAGAAGTTCTTCCGAAAGCGAAGAAAATAGCTTTCCCCTTTTGCTCATAGAGCCCGTGTTTCACCGGTCAGTAACGATTCGTAGCCAAGTGCGCCCCTTCGTTGTCCCCATGCCAAATTAAAACCGTGCCCCGGAAGCACCTCCGATAATCACTCAATGGGTGGACAATCGTCGAATATCATGGGCACAGTTGATAACGGCTTCCACCACTGGCTGCGGCATCCTCCGCAGTAACACTACTAGCTGGTGTAACCAAGCCGTCTCAATGACGCTACGGAGGCATCGATACGTTGTAAGAGCAGAAGGAGAGAGCATGTTGCTCCAGTCAAGGACTCATGTCTAGATCGATAGACTCAAGTGAAAGCGCTCTGTGAAATATGGGGGGACATCTGTGCGAAAAGCAGCAGGCTGTAAATTCCGAAGTGTGCATTGAAGCTGGTAAGGTTAACATGAGAGTGAGCTGACTCTCATCTAAGGAGTCTAGGCTGTAGAACGTTTTCGGGATCATTGTGGCTGAGAAGACTTCCATCGGCTGACACTTTGCAATCCAAGATTCAGCTGCTCACGGCAGCTCCACGTATCGGACAGGTCAAGCGATGGCCTATGCTGGCACCAAGGAATTGGCACTGGGCTTCTATTCTTGTTGCAGTCTTACCGTAGGCGTCAATTTATAAGCTTCTTTTTGCGGCAAAACAATATTGTGAATTGTTCACGTCCTCGTCCGTTCACACCACTGGCCGATATAGTTATAGGCATAACGGGCCGTTCCGCCCGCTCGTATATACAAGCAACTCGAGGAAGCAGGAAGGGCTTGGATGCATCTCAATTCCTCCATAATGTAGACCTGGCCTTCAAGCGGCTCGGGGAAAAGTAGCTTTGAGAATACGAAAGTGTCAGCGTGGTCAAAAGAAGTTTGTAGGGCCTGCAGGGAATTTGGGGTAGGTCGTGGAGATATCTATCGGCAACATGCACAGACGTCTCACGAGCCTCAGCTTCGCGTGGCACCTTTGACTGAATAAGTTCTTCGCGGCATGACTTATACTTCACATTGGAGCTTGTGCTCATCGAGTCATTGCGGCTCAAGATGCATCCGTGCATACGAACCTAGTCCAGCCGAACGAATCAAAGTGAGCATCGCTTAGTATTTACGAGCACAGGCAACTGTGATCCATACAAGACGCAAGACTAGAAAACCTTAAGCTATGTTGTTGTTTCAAGCGACACGCCAACATTCTTGCCGCAATCTTTGGAAGACTCATGTTCCGATGGTTCCGGCTGCTCTACCAATCGTATTGCCCGAATCACAGCAACTGAGGCTGAATTCAGATCATCGTTAGGCGAGAAACAGGAGAAGCTCGGCGTTTCGTTCCTTCAGATAGTCATGTCAGCCGCTTGCGTGATGTGAGCAGCGTTCGAGAAGCCATCAGGACCCAGGCCCCTGCATGAGTTGCCTGAATTGGGTCCATATTTAAGTCTCAGCTACCACTGTTTGAAAGAAGCAACCATCTACACTCGTTTACCACAACCATGCGTCACTCTTTCATTATCCCGTGCCTTTTCGGCTCCGCTCTCGCTTTGACGTCACCCCCCAGCGGCGCCATCACCGTCGGCGGGTCTGACGGCAAGTTCAAGACGATCCAAGAGGCCGTCGACGCCCTGTCCAACACGACCGAGACGCAAAACATCTTTGTCTGGCCCGGCACCTACGAGGAGCAGGTCTACGTGTCCAAGCACGTCGGCACCATCAACATCTTCGGCTACTCGGCCAACGACACCTCGTACCAAGCCAACACCGTGACCCTGACCTCCGGCCTCAGCCAGGCCTTCAACCTCACCAACGACCTCACCGCCACGCTGCGCGCCCACTCGCCCAACTTCAACGTCTACAACCTCAACATCGAGAACACGTATGGCGAGGGCAGCCAGGCCGTTGCCGTCTCGGCCATGGCGACGCACCAGGGCTACTACGCCAGCAAGCTGACCGGCTACCAAGACACGCTGCTGACCCACATCGGCAAGCACTACTTTGCCAACACCTACATCGAGGGTATGTCTTTCCTTTCTCCCCCTCTCCAAACACATCAAGTCCGCCACTAACACCACACTCCCCCCCTCAGGCGCCACCGACTTCATCTTCGGCATGCGCTCCAGCGCGTGGTTCAGCAACTGCTCTCTGCGCGTGCCCACCCCCGTGTCGGGCACCGGCTGGATCACGGCGAGCGGCCGGACCACGGCGGACGAAGGCTGGTACGTCATCGACGGCGGCAGCGTCGAGGCTGCGCCGGGCGCCAACGTCACTGCCGGCGCGTACTATCTGGGGCGGCCGTGGCGCAGCTTTGCGCGGGCCGTGTTCCAGGGAGTGTACTTGAGCGATGTCGTCAATCCCGAGGGCTGGGCCATTTGGTCCACCTCGCAGAACAACACGGAGAACGTCACGTTTGCTGAGTTTGGAAACACGGGTCCGGGCAAGTGGGATGATGCTACGAGGGCGAGCTTTGCGCAGGAGTTGGCGAAGAAGGTCGAGATTGAGGAGGTGCTGGGGGCCGACTACAAGGAGTGGGTTGATGCGAAGTTTTAGATGGGAGCGGCAGGTGGGCGCTGAGAGGGAGGTGTGCTCGTTCAGCGCTCCTTCCATGATTTGTAGATGCATACGTAGCTGTTATGCAATAACTGCGCATCATTCGTTCTCGTCCTATATTTCTCAACACCCAACCTAATCCGGAAACGTACACGAAATACTCCTGAAAATTCCCAACTACCTAAGCTCTCGCAGTCACGCCGCCGCCCGCTTCTTCGGCCGTGAGACCAGCGCGCAACGCACGGAATCCCAAAACTCCTCCACTCATCCCGGGATGTGGAGATTAAATTGCTTGCATGTGGTAGCAGGCATGTGGCTCTCGGGCGACTGGATGCCTGTCGAATGAATGGGCGTTGTGGTTGAGACCTTCATGCTCATGAAGCGGTTTGTCCTGAAGGCATATTAGCTGCTGAAATGCTTAGCGAAAAGGAGTTAGTGGCCTCTCATCGAAATAAAACCAAAATGTCCAGATGGGGTTACAGCACATCAAGTTACTTACAGGTCCATCACAAGAGCTTTACTGTGAGTCTGAGTGGTGGTCAGCTGATCACTTCACCATTATCCAAAAACCTAAAGTACTGAAAGCGATTTAATCAACGAGCGTAAAACTTCCAATGACAAACGAGCGAATCCCCATCTAAGTAAAGCAATCTATAACATACCCATCACCACAACTCACCACAACTCACCACACGACCCGCCCCCAAAAACGACCGCCCTTCCTCACACCCGTCCTTCCCCTCAAACGTGGCATCCCCACTGATCCGCCAACTTGTCCCTGAAGGCGCTAATGACGCAATCCTCCACACTGTCGCCCACACCCGCAACCTGGTTGTTGTCGATGACCCAGCTCGAGTCGGCGGAGCTGTAGTAGCACGAGATGTTGTTGTCGATGGCGCTGCAGCGCGTGATGGCGTCGCCGCCGAAGTTGCCGCACGACTGCCCCAGCGCGTCGCTGTTGACGTCCGGCCGCGTGATGGAAAAGGCGACGCGGTACCGCTGCAGCGCGTCCTCGCTCCATTTGCGGATGATGGCCGCGTTGGCGACGCAGTCGACGCGTTTTTCTGTGCCGGGTGGGTTAGCGGGATGGCTTCGTGGGTGTGGCGGGCGGATGGTTGGGGTGTTTACCGAGGGGGTTGGCGGGGGCGGCGGTGGCGAGGCCGAGGATGGCGGCCGTGAGGGCGGTGGTGGTGAACTTCATGATGGAGGGGCTTGGGTGGTTGATAGTGGGAGAGGTTGGGTTGGCTGGTGATGGGAAGCTTGTGTTGAATATTTGTTGTGGTTGAAGTTTGAGTGCAAATGTGGATGCGAGTGGTTGTGATGAAGGCAATCTTGGGCAGGTACTTTGTCTCTTTATATATTGATCTCGACGGCGCTTCGGTCTGAAAATTGACCGCAGAGGCTGTGTCAATTACTGCCCTGGCTCACTGATTTGGTGGTGTTGTTGGTGGCTTCACTCTCAAACTGCTAAGTTCCTGCCCATATACCGCTTTTGGCTACCTCGGAGACTTGTACCTGGCTGTATAGAATCCTATTCAGACACGATCCTGGTGTCGGATTGGATGTAGTGCCAGTTTCTATTCCTGGTTCCAACAGCCGCGCTCATGGTGCATTCTCCTTTGACCGCGCGCTAGAGTGGACAGAAGAGGGAATTTTGTTTTCCTGAAACGCCAGCGCAGAGGGCCCAAGCTGACATTTCGTAAGTCGTGGGCCATGGCCGACGTGTGATCAGCTTACAGGGTGGAGGCGCGGAGAGTCCAGCGGCCCGGTTCATTGGTGGATGTCGGCGCGGGGGTCGACATAAGCACACCACAAAAGGCTTAGCTGCCCATCATGAAACTAACATCGCATGGGTCCTATGGCTCCCCAGATCGATGTCATCTACGGTGTTTTCCGGTCTAGCCCACAGATCTAGCCTTTTTGGGAGCGGTTGGACCGATGAGGAAGGATGTCAGATCTGTTTGTTCTCTTCTTTCGTTTAATTCGGTGCGTACGTACCTGTCGCAGTCCTGCTTGTGCCACGCCATACCAGATTTAAGTCAGCTTGAAGATGATCGCTGACGGACGCAACAGTGGTCGTGCCAATTACGCTCATACATCCCTATATCCAACACCCAAAGAGCAACAAATCACTTATACAGGCCTTCCACGTCACACACAGGAGTGCTGCGCGTGCGCATCCTTTCAGGGCATACCAGGTACTAATTAGGCCGCCAGGCGTGACAACCCCCACCGAAAGGAGCGTTAGGGCTGAATCCACTGTACCCATTGCAGTAGTCATACATTCCCTTAAGGAAGTCCCGCAGACGTGACGTTAAAGGACAGAAAGCAAACCAAAGAGCCAGCCAATCGACTCCCATATCATACTCCTCCAACACCAACGACTCCAGCATCTGTCGTAACCTGCCTCTATCAAGCCTCTGAAGCAAACACCCCAGCTTCCAAACAGCGCCAGCGCCTTGCGACCAACTCTCCTCCCTGACCAACACACGCACGCACTCCTCTTCCCTGAATCCTTTCACTTCGCCACGACTACCTTACTCCGTCCGACCCTCCTAACCCGTGCACTACACGCCCCTCATCCAGCCTTCTTCCTCCTTCCTCCGCTAATCGCCAACATCCTTCTTCCGCACTCGGCCGGGACGCTGATGCGCGCTGCGAAGCATGACCACGCGGATTTCTCCTTGCCCAAACCACTCACTTAGTCCAGCACTGACCGGGTGTGTGAAGAGACACCAGCAAAACCCGCCAACAGCGTTTCGTGTCATATGAGTAAGATACCGGGTATGATCTATGCCCGATGGCACAGTACGTATCAAAAGAAAATGGTCTATAGCGATTTTCTGTAGGTAATCGAAGCAAGCATATATATAGATTCAAAGAATCTGTCCTTTGGGGTCGTCGATGTAGATATCCGGATATAAATACGAGCATTCGAAATGTTCGAATGCACTCAGAAAGACGATTCCACAACCCATACAAAATAGATGCAAGTAGGCCAATCTCTTCGTAATCCACCGAGACGGCATTTCCCAACCGCGCACCCATCTACTCAATCTTGAACCCCACATCCTCCTCCAACCTCTTCCCCCCCACAACCGGCTCCTGCGACCTCATCATGACCAACAACATCCTCGCCCACGAATTCGTCTCGTTTTCCCACCCGTGCATTGTCGCCTGTTGCACCACCACATCATTCGCCCTGACCGTCGTCCTCGATCCATCATCCAGCGTCAGAACCACCTCCCCTCTCACCACATACACGTAATCCAGCGAAACCGTCCTGTGCAAAGGAAACTTCGCGCCGGGCGGAACATCCAGAATCCTCATGATGGCCCCGTCGTTGGTGAGCCCGGTCTCGAGCTGCGCCTTGTCCTGTGGAGAAGAGACGTCCGCGGGGAGTTCTTCCGTGGCCCAAAGGGGCGTGACCGAGGGACCGATCTGCAACGGGATGCTGGGTATGGTGTCATCGCTTTTGACGACAGCGGTGGCGTCGGGCGCGTGGCCCGTCACTACTCTGCGGACGGGCGGGAGGGGAGAGTCCGGGGTTGAGGGGAGGTCCTTGGGCGGCGGGGATGGTAGGGCTTTGTCGCTCATCGTGAAGGGTGCGTCCTGGTGGTGCGGATTAGCTACTGGGATTGGTTGTACGGCCGGTCGAGGCTATGCGTACGTGATGGTTATTGGCGTGTAAAGGTTCGCGTAAGACGGTGAGTTCAAATATGATGTTCACGCTAAGAAAATCCACAGGTGTATGCTTAACTTATATAGTCGACCGCTCGGACGGCCCGCTGTTACCCGGGGCTATTTGAAATCAGTATGCTTGGTTGCGTGGTATGAACAGCGGAGGCTTGGGGAAAAGAGGCTAAAGATGTGCGTAAGGGGCTCGAACACGGCCCGATTTGGGAATTGGTTGATCACGCTCCGCACCGTGCCTGGTCCGGGACATTGGGAACCGCTTTCTCTGGCGTAACGCGCAAGCTCGCCTCATGATGCTTAATCCTACGCTTCCCCTGAGCACTTGACACCAAATCGCACTTGGATCTGCTGATTTCGGTTTGGAGATTAGGAAATCCTCCCGGCAGCCCGGTAGCATCCAATACCTATGCCGGGTTGAAGCTTTGCTCCATCACTGGGGGGCGCAGATCATTCAGGAGTATCGAGCCCGTTGCGTCTCAGGATGGTGCACGTCCTCCCCACATCCGACGCTCCGCATAGTGTCTCTGTGACCATTCCGGAGAAAGAGTGAAGATCGTGGCGTACGGACTATGCGGAACGTTGCTCGGTTCCGCTTGCCTCTCTTCATCCTGAAAGATCGTCTATCGATGCTTGCGGCGCCCTTACTCCTTTACCAACTTCGTTCACGGCTGGGGTTACTTTAGGCTAAACTCTAACCCCAGCACACGGCTCTCAAACAACGTGGGTGGTGGAAGTATATCTCCTGGCAAAAATACGAAAGTGAATTTATGCACAAATGTGTCCAGATGTGGAAATCTACTACGAACGTATGTTTTGGGTCAACGTTCCCGTTTTCCAAAGAAAGAAACTTGTTACAAAAAGTACAGGTAAACGGTTCGGTCCATGGCGGCAACTAAGGAGATCAAGATAAAAGGAAATATCAGCCTAGAGTCCAACTCGTGCCACGCTTACCATCATACATGTCTTTCTGTTACAAAGAGATAAAACACAACCACTACTCCCCCCTACCTCCCAGCCGGTCTACCTTCCCAACGCCTCCAGCATCATCGGTAAATCGTCTTATCCAAGTACATCCAATGTACATTCGTATGATCACTCGCATAACCACGGGCCCACGCCACCCCCGCACAATAGGCGCTCCTCCTGATATTCAATCTAGACGCGCGCCGACAAAACCTAACCACAACACCATTCCCCTCGCCCTCATCTAAAGAGGCTTATGCTCCCCAAATGCCAAGCGCTCCAACAAGTTCCCTGTCCCAGTGGCCCCCGCTCCCATACCAGTATGATCCTTATTTCGCCATATACAGTTGCCGCCAAGGCAGGACCCCAAATTCTGACCGAGAAGTCTCCTAACAAATTCCCTGAAAACATGAAAAAAAAGAATTTGAATACTTGAGGGCCACTGCATCAAGACGAGATGCGGTCAAACTCAACGGAGCGGAGCGTACATGGACCGCTTACTCGAGCATCCGGGTTCTGAAATGTTGGCCTCGCCTCTGTGTCTGCACGAAAGTCTGGTCGGTGACAACCCTCTCTCCCACCTGTACATATCTATGCAGGACCCGTGACTGTCCAGGTGTGGTGAAGAGAACCCGCATCGGAGAATCAGCAGTGCGAACATATGCGAGTACTTTCCTGACCAGCCCCTCACACATCTTCTCTCCAAGCTCGTCTGTCTCAAGTACGTTTATGCTGTCGATGATGCAAAAGCCCACGACTGGCGTATGCGTGAGGAGAGTTTCAAGCACTTCGAGGCCCAACTCCCATGCATTGTCCTGCCGAGCGAGCCGCTCGAAAGCGTTGATGTCGAGCTCCACGGTATCATCAGTTGGGTTGAACCTGATGAGCTGGCATATGAGGCTATAAAGCAGTGCGATGCAGCCCGCCTCTTGCGGTGAACTATGTCCGGAAACATCTGATCTGTGTGGTCTTTTGCAGATAGCGGCAATAAAGGACGCGTTGGCCTGTGCTGCAGTCTGAATCGTCCCCAGCGCCGCGAGCGTCGCGCTGCTCATGTCCTGAAACTCCATTGGCGTGATGATCCACAGGAGTTCGGAGGTGCCGGGTGTAGCCGCCATCCAATTCGCCAACCTGTGTATCACGAACGACTCGGCCACCAGAGGCCCGGTGCTCTTGCTAAGCTCGATGCCATCTGTGATACCAGTCCGGTCTACGAAGTCCTTGAGCTTCTCGCAGTGAGGTTCGACATCCGATCTTTTTTTGGTCTTTGACATCATGGGGCCGATGGCCTTAGGACCTGCGATAGCAGATAGGCCAGGCAATGCAGGTCCATGATCTGCTCTATCGTGTCAACAACTCTCTTAATGTTTCTTAGTGACTTGCTTACTCTTTGAGAAGTCTGCTGTCTGATATAGAAGGAGTAGCACCATTGGGTGCCCCATGGCACCCGGCGGAAGTTGGTCATTGTAGTTGGTCTGCCGCATGGCATCTATTCCGTCCAGCTTCGACTCGATCCTACTCGTACATCCTTCCACGCGACTCAGCGCTTTTTCAATATCTTTAGTCGTCAGAAAGGTCGTCGCATCCATGGCCATGTGACCCCGTCTGCTCGCCTCTATAATTTCGAGGATCGCGTCGTCTATCTCTGCCCTGGCGCTCTCAACCTGTTGGGAGAAATTATCATTGAAAGAGTCCAATGACCGCGAGAACTTTCCCTTCAAGAACCATTGGATTGTAGAGCAGAGAAATTCAAAGTACTTGGAGTAGACGTTTGCTAGTCTCGCCCGCATGTCTTGTGTCCTGATCATGTAGAGCAGGCTGGAGCAGCCGGAAACCTTTTCGGAAAGTGAAACCACCGACGTAAGGAAAAGGTCAGCAATATGACTGTGGTTTACGGATGCCTAGAGAAGCTTTGTTAGTTGATGGAATCGGGTGTGGAAAAGGCACCAATACCTGTACCAGCACTGTCAACGCTCCACACAGCGTTGAAGTGTACAGAGTGTCGCTAGGGAAGATCTTGAAGACGGGTGCATGCGAGTCGACCGCTTTGCAGAACCTCTGAAGAGACTTGAAGGCCTGAAGAAGTTTTCAGTAACGATAATCCACAGAGGCGGTGCGGAGAGTACTTTGGAATGAGACCGCTCCCAATCCGCCTCCATGGTCTGGACCAGATCTTGTAGTCCTTCCACCCCAGAAGACCCCACTTGCTGGAGGAGTTGTTCTAACTTTTCTTCGCGAGATTCGGAGTTGTCAAGGCGTCGAAAGGTCTGATGCCGTCGACTTTTGCGTTTTTCTCGCATTGCTTCCACGTATTCAATGCAATGCTTCTCCAGAATCTTGCGCTCGAACTCGACGTGGTCGAAAGGACTTTACGGATTAGCGCATCGTCCATGACCGCTTGCAGAGGGTGGGACCAACTCTTGAGTACTATCGCCATCATCGTACAGTTTTTGCAGGCGATCTCGGGTCGCGGCTTGGATCATGGCATCAGCCTCGAGCTGGGCCTGTTTTGTACCCGTCTCCAGTGGGGTCGTCCCGTCAAGAGTCTGTGTAAAGCGGCGTACGAGTTTCAAATTGACGTCCTCGTCAATCACGAGTGGTCGCGGATGTTGGCGCTCCATCCGACAACGATGCTTGGTGGTGGAAAACGAAGCTGGGCGAAAGGCAGAGGTGGCCGTCTCCCAGGCGAAGGGGGAGTTGCTGAGACCCTGTCAGATGGGGCTGAGCTTCAGATCATCTTCAGCCTGCTGTGGGTTACACAGCCGCAGCTTGGATCACTTGCCGCGCGCATCTAGAGCCACAGATGATCTTGATATCCGACAAAAGCGCGCGGTGAGGAACGCCGATTATTCGAAATTGCGCGACGAGTGCACCTTTACCTTGCTGTTTACTGTCAGCTTAAGGACAAATACCCGCCAGCCAAAGATTACAAGCTGATCTGGGTGTAGGAGATCAAGAAGAGAAAATGGCAACTTTTCCGCCCTCTTTTACTATTTAGGATTTTGCTCCGGGAAAAAGAGCGCAGGAGCGAATCCATGCCAGAAGCAGTATGAATGAGCGAGGCTCAATTTTCAAACAGCGTGCTTGCAGCGAGGGACATGCGTTGTCGACCCTTTATTGGTGGAGGTAAACCATAGCCCATCATGGGGGTTTGCCTTGGCGCCTGGAGCCTGGAGCCTTGCCCCGCACTGCGGCCCCGCAGCTTCCGAGTATGTAGGAAAGAGTCGAACCGTAAGCAAAATGCGACCAAAGAAGTCTTACACATGTCGCACATTGTTAAAGGAAGCTCGGGTTTGTATATCCTCTACTAGTACTATATCAAAAGAAGACCAGCTCTTATCCTACCCAGCGTCCTGATACTTCCCCTGCAACGTACGCTTCGAAGGTGCAAGCAATGAACACGGAAAACTCTTCTCCATCGAACCAAGACGATACCGTTTCAAAACACGATGAGGCTGAAATTGTTGAAGTACTTTGTACAAATGATGTCATATCAGGGCTCAATCTTCACTGCTGGGTATATATTAGGTAGCACAACGCCTGTAGTCTAGTTCAATAAGCGACCCTCCTTCTTCATCTTACGTCACGTGATTCCTCGGAGTTCAACACAAATACCGTCTACCAGTCCTACGGGAAGCATGGAAGGTATAAACTCTCCTGGTGAATCCCAGAACATGTACTCAAGTTTCGGGGAGTAGGTCGCAGCGCACCAACCGTAGAGGGCACAGAGAGCGGCTTGGACTCTCCTGCCGAGGAGCCTGCTGTAAGCGGAGATCGCCCAGACGACGAGGCAGACGCAAATTGCTTTGATCATACGAAGCAATTGATTGGCTCCAGCCAAACCGAACAGGGCGCCGCAAAGGGCCATGTCCTGTTTCGAGACTTTCAGGGCAGCGTGTGGACGTTTCCATTTGATCGTTGCAGGTCCTGGCGGGTGAGGATTACAATAGTCTGTTATGGCTTCTGTTGACCAGTCATAGGGAATGAGCGACCTCGTGAAACGTGTCGCTTCCGTTCGAGATTTTCCACAGCGCTATTTGGAAGTAACCAAAGACCTTGACGCGCATCTAGGAGAGTTCATCATCATTCGAGCGAAGCCCGACGCTCCTCTGTATATCTTCCCCGATCACTGGGAAGATGTCGTTAAGCCCGGATGGGAGGTCATGATCAACGTTCTGGGCTTGCTGCCGACTGTACTTTTGCCAGAGGCAGGCCGGAATGGACCTCTATACCCACCCCCACCCCCACCCCCACCCCCACCCCCATCCCAGCCCCTGCTTGCACCCCCACCGACAACCGGCAGCGAGCAGCCTATAGTCGATGTATCCTACGTCGTGGACTTCTACGAAATGATCCGTTCAAATTACAGCAAAGTTTGGACAGAGCGTTCCAGTGATCCAATTACCAAAAATCTTTCCAAGAAGAGCAACATGGCTGCTTCAATCTTGGAGGAGGTCCGGAAGGTCTACCGCGGTAACAAGATGTCATCCGTCAGAGAGAACTCCGAAATTGAAGCCACCGACATTGTTTCTTCTCCTACCCTCTATGTGCGGTCCAAAATGCTACTCAACGCTCTCAAGGCGGTCATAGAGTTTCAGTCGATAGTTCCAGGACGTGTGACAGTAGTACCGGGCTGGACCGAGAAGAATGAAGAGGCGAGCCTGGACGAAGGAGTATTTGTCTACCCTTTCCAGGATCTTTACCACTGCAAGGATGACTTGCTTGCCTATCAAGGTCGACTCGACTCGGAAGAACGACACACCACCGACTACAATCACACGTGCAAGCAACACATCGACGTTCTTGTTCAATACCTGTACGCTCAGGAGGGCATGAACTTGAAAGAAGTGGAGGGCCTATTTTCCGCGGGAAAGACAACGTTCAACTGCTACTGGTTGCTACTGAAACCCGGGAGAGATGTCTATGTCCGGGACGAAAGAGATCAGCTCAATGCCTATGTCATCGAGACAGTGATAGGAGGTCCAGGCGTAATTTCAGGCCGACAATGGGCCGAAGCCTACACGTTGTTGGTTTGGAACATGGAGTTCAATGGAGAGCGCCTGAGCCGATCTACCGAAACAGTCACCGTTCCCATCTTCAGCGGCGAGCGTGAGATCCACACCTTACCTGTCTTCCCCACTGACAATCACAAGGACGACGAATGTGGAGAATCCCTAGAAGAGAGCCTCTTCAAGCGTGGGCAAACTTACGTCGAGGTGGTTCGCTCGCCAAGCTTTCAAGAGTACACAGGAACGAGCCACTTGCTGTCTGCTCGGATGGTCAGTGCTGCCCAAGCAGATCTTTTCAAGCTTTAATCTAATTATCACCAGTATGATCGAGTAAGAGTGATTACTGACCACAAAAATCAACCCTGGAAACTTCCATCTATCGAGGAGGTAGGAGGGCATCAACCTTGCAGTCAGGAGGCGCCTACGAGAGGCCCGGGGCACCCACGTCAGCACGACTACTCGGGACACCCGCTTCTAGACCACTACACTCTGGGCTCTAAGACAAGGGTTCCTGAATGCGAATGTCAGGCTTGCACGAATGATGGACCACCAGTTGATCACATTCGCCGCCGCGCCTTTGATGATTACGACAACATCATGCTCAACCCCAAGGATTTTCTGTCTCGCCATCAGTACTTTCTGTGCTGGTCTCATGTCTATGCGTTCATCCTCAAAGATCGCTTGTGGGGTAAGTGACCTCATTCCATCTCTGAGACCAAGCATTCTCACGCGGCACGGCAGATCTGCTGGACGTGGGCAGGTTGAGTCCACCAAAGATCAACCCTAATATCATCGATACCCTGGTCATGAAGCACGAGGGCAACAAAGACATGGTCAAGGCAATCTGTGACACTTTCAGTGCCGGCCAGGCGCAGAACCTTTATTTCGCCGATTCAATACAGGGCAAGGGAGAAGGGCAGATATTGCTGCTGCATGGCCCTCCCGGCACCGGAAAGACTCTGACCGCAGGTGAGGGTTTATTCGACACTCTCGCATACCTTTACCTGACACCCTCTAGAATCCGTCGCCGAATATACCGGTAGGCCACTGCTCAGCATCACTGCCGCTGATCTTGGGCATGAGCCTATCGAATTGGAGAAGAAGCTTCTTCGGTTCTTCCGAGACGCAAACAAATGGAACGCCATCGTGCTCCTGGACGAAGCAGACGTGTATCTCGAAAGGCGATCAAGGCAAGATCTGACAAGGAACAGCATTGTCTCTGGTAAGTTGCAAACAGCCCCCTACCGATGGAACGAGCTCACCCATCGCTCAAGTCTTTCTGCGTGCTCTGGATTACTTCCAAGGCATACTATTCCTAACGACCAATCGTGTTGGGTCCTTCGACGAGGCCTTCATGTCCCGGATTCATGTTCAGATCGGATACGACGCGCTAGACAATGAGTCGCGGTTCCAGATCTGGAAGAATCACTTCAAGAAACTGGACCATAACCATGAATTCGGTGGCCCCAGAATCGGGTACGAGTCGAGTGCCGAGTCTTATGTGATGGTGTCTGAGCCGGTGCGGGATCTGAAGTGGAACGGTCGAGAGATCCGTAACGGTAAGTCTTATCCCAAGTCGAGACTACGACTCAATACGCTAACAGTAGAAAGCTGTGCAAACTGCTGTTGCGCTGGCGTCATTCGAAGCACGACAAAAAGGTCGGGATGTGCCACGGATCACCAAAAGCCACATCGAACAGGTCGTGCACATGTCGCAGAACTTCAAGAACTACATGGAAGCTACCCTTCAGGCAGAAGATTCGGCTGTGGCTCATCAGGACAGACTTAGAGACGATAGGACTAAGGCTGCGGGACCCTGATAAGACTGATCTCGCAAGAACGGACTGCATTTCATCCCGTGTATCCTTTTCACCATTGATGAATCAATTGCTATCCTGCGGTGCAGGTAAATCCGGTGCGTTGAGTTATATCATGCCAGACTAGCATCCTACAAGCATTTTCGGTCAGAGCGAAGCACGAATATAGGAAACACGACTACAAGCATGGCAGATATCTTGTGTTTTGCTGATAGCCTTCAGCCGTGACATATGCCAACTCAGGCTAGCACACCAAAGTCTCCTAACAGAGCATTGACTGTTCTCAACCCGGCTATAAACCTGTCATAATCAACCATCACCATCCCTATGCGGTTCTTCCTCTCCCCTTCCACGATATGACAGCCTCACGCACATATCCGGACCGAGTCGGACGCGGTGATGCAGCGGGTTGCTACGGCACAGTAGCTTCGGCGCCTACCTATCCTCCTTGTCGTCGCGCTTTTGTCGGGGAATAAACGCTGCTGGCTCCATCCCGCTTCAACTCGTCCTCTCCGAAGATCCTGACGTCTTCAATGGAGAGCAGGATGTTGCCCAGCTCCAGGTCGTCGTGCAATAAGGTGAGACCGCGCAATGGATGGAGGAGAAAAGTTGTACTCACCCACTTCGGCCACATGTCTTGATAATGTTAATTGCTGTCCCTAAAAGGTAGCTTAACCAACTAACACTATATGCTATAAGGGTATACACTAGTTGATTCACCGAGATTGCGGTTCTATTCGCTGAAAATTCCTTCACTCTTGCACAGATGGCAGGATAAGCTCTTTGCCTGTGTGGCCACGGTATAGAAGTCATGATTCAGTCCAGTCGTGAGGTCGCTTGCAAATTCAGAATCTTCCATCGGCCTGTTCTACAGCACCGACCCAGATTGTGCCTGAAGATAACAGCGGATGCCCGCAAACGCAAACTGATTGATGTTTTCGTAGCAAATACCAGACAATCTCCAAGTACAAGTTTTTTACTCCTTCTTTTCGTAGTAGATAGTTATAAGGCTGCCCATTCATCTATTTACACCCTCTCAACCAAATCAAAATTTCACTCACGTTTGACCTCTGAGATAGTGAGACTTGGATACTTAGGGCTTGACAATGTCGCACCTGGACCCGACCCCGCAAGATGAAGAAGAATTTTTCCCCACCTCTCGCCCTTGTGCAAACACCAGCGCCGCTGGGGGCACATCATGCCGGAAGGGCGGACGAGAAGCCTGCTCCAACTGCTACCTCGTCCTCGTAAGTCCCAATAATCTGCACCCCGCATATCAGCAACTTACTCATCCATCCTACCAAAGTACTGTAGCAAGGAATGCCAAGTGAGCCACTGGCCGCGGCACAAGCTCGACTGCAGGTCCGAACTGATGAAATCCACATGGCGCCCCTCCTGGGAACGCGAACAGCGCAAGCCCCGCTTCGTGAAGGACGAACCCATCACCACCGCAGCAGGATCAACATCCCCATACGGCAAGAAGCAGTACCTATGGGGCAACGTCCCCGCCCTGGACATCCTGCATCTCTCCCACAACGAAGGCGCCGCCCACACCCAACCCATCCACCTCCTCTTCGCCGGTACGCACCCCTCCCTCCCCCCTTTCCTCCCCCTCTCAACTAACCCGCCCCTTTCCACCCAGCCTCCGGCGACCTCCGCAACGCCATCCGCACCACCACCGCCCTCCCCACGGCCACCCCACACCCGCCCCTCACCGCCCTCCTCAACGACCGCGCCTTCCCCCTCGCCGCCCGCAACGCCCTGCTCCTCCTCGCCGCCCTGCACGTCTCGCCCCCCTCCCTCGCCGCCGCCACCATCCTCCACACATGGTACTCGTTCCTCCTCCCCGCGGCGGTCGCCGGCGCCCTGCGCAGGGACGTCTTCCCGCTGGTGGACGGCGTGTGCGAGGAGGTGGCGGACGAGCCGCCGCGGTCGGTTGTGAGTCGCGTGTTTGCGAGGGGGGAGGCGTCGGTGAGGGTGGTGTTGGAGAAGGAGGGGTGGGTGGCGCTGAGGGGGTGGTTGGATTTGGGTGGTGGTGGTGGTGGGGTGACGGTGGAGGAGGCGAGGGGGGTGAGGGGGGAGACGGTGGGGGCGGAGGCGCGGAGGGATTATGTGGAGAGGATGTTGTTTTGTCAGCCGTGTGGGGGGTGGAGGGTTGCGGTGGGGAAGTGGAGGAGGGAGGGGGTGTTGGTGCCGTTTGGGGCTGGGGTGGCGGGGTTTGATGTGCCGAATCCGTTAGTTTGGCTTCTTTTGTGGCTGAGCGTTTTGGGGTGAGTTGTGCTGACAGGTGCTGTGTGGTAGGACGATGTTTCAGGAACGCGGTGTGTGGCCGATGATGGATTCGGCGGATCCGCTGGCGGGGTGGCCGTTGGACGAGGTGTTGAGGAAGACGGGGGTGGCGAAGAACGACATCTACGGCGGTTTGTTCTTCTATTTGATAGAGGTATTCGTGGACTTTTGCGAGAGGATACTGACGCGAAAGATTGATTTTGTGCTGCTGAACGTGGACGCCGTGGACCTGCCTGAGACACTGGCAAAGGATATGAGCTTGCCGCAGTCATTTGACCGAATAGAGGTTTGAACCCAGCCATTTTGTTGATACGTCGACAGGCGCTTACGGTTGCAGGTTTCGAATCTTACCGATGGTGGCTATCTCGGACTCAGATGTCTAAACATCTTCGCTCCCCTTCTACGGCCGCTCCATGACAACGCACACGCGACGCTGATCACGCTTTTCCTGAACGCCATCACTGAGGTGGAGACTTATGCAGACATGTTGGAAACCATGTCTCGTAGGATGGGACGTGTTGTTGCTTATCTACCACCAGCGAGAGAGGTCCCAACGGTCAATAGCAGCGGCGACAACATCAACGCAGACTCGATGAGGCGCCTTGTAGCGTATGATCTCCTGAAAGAGTTTGACCACCTTTGGGAGCGGTACACTCATGTTTGTTCTTTTGATGCCGTTGCTAGCGGCGCTGGACTGAGGGCTAAAATGGAGCACACTATCGTTGAGCCCTGGCCACTTCGTCTGGGCAATGATGCAACGAAGGTAGAGTTTGATAGGTTACTTGCATCGAGCCATACTGGAAGCGAACGATATGTCGAGTGGCAAAGATCTCACTAAACTAGCGCTGGGATATCGTAGCGTCACTGCTTCAGAGGTACAATGCTTCCCCTGATTATGGATTTGATATGAGTCCGGAGTGGGTGTCAATTGAAGGGCTCATTATTTCTGTAGAAGAAAGATATGATCAGATATTGATTCGATTGACACTAGCGGAGAGGAGAATGACCATCAGCGACGTGACTATAAATCTCCTTGCGCTAGTAATGCAACGTGTTTTGAAAGTTGACCTTGATTCGCTCCTTTCGAGAGACGCTTGTTCGAGCGAAGTGGGATGTCCAGTGTGAGACACTTGCATGTGTCGGTGCTTGCTACCAATCAGCAACGGAGAGACTGACACATGGCTGACAACGTCTTCATGTGCTAGCACACCTTGCTGTCCAAAGCTCTGGGATCCTTTCCAAGGGAACGATCGACCCGACAAAATTAATCGCGCTGTCCTTCCCAGAGCGCCGGTAGATGTGGATGCAAGGGCGGTTGCTTGACGACAGTCCCATACATAGGTTGATAGTTTCAAGGCATGGGGTAGAGGGCGTATGCATTGTTCTCGTGCAGTTGGGTTTACATTACGCAATGGATGTACCCCTGACTTGGCTATGCTTTTATGCTAACAATTTCAGGCGACGTGACAGAAGATTGGGCCACTACCCCAGCTCAGCTAGGTACATTACAAATCTTCCATCCACTCTCGGTCCGCTGAAAGGAAAGACGCTCCGCACCGGGATCCAGCCCGGTCAACGCATCGTCAATGACGTCCATACCGCCTTCATCGCTCACGAACCCTTCCTCATCATCACTCAACAGCCCGTGCCCGTGCCCCTGGCCGTAATGGTTGTGATGGTAGATGCTCCTCACCCACTTGTACGCCACATCCGCCGCCGCTCTGTTCGACGCGAACGCCCTCGTCAGAGTCACGGGTATCCGCCGCGGATTGTTCCACACGGTATCGGAGATGGTCTTGAGCATGCGGTTCTGCTGCTCGACGACGCTGCTCGGGGAGTCGAACGAGGCGGTGAAGAGGCGCGACGCGGGATCGTGTTCTGGCTTCGGCAGCTGGCGGATGATGTTCTTGCCTTGGTCGTGGGCGCGGGCAAACACTTCCTTGTTGTGGCCGTGGAAGGAGTCGACGAGCTTCTCTGCGGCCTTCTCGAGGCGCTCCGGCTGCCGCGGGTGCTTGTGGGCGATGCTCGCGAAAGCATCGAGTTGCGAGTCGAAGTAGGTTTCGATGCTGTGGATGAGCTCGAGCCCGACGTTCATGAGGTCGTTCTCCGACGGGTGGCTCTGGGCCGAGACGGGGCTCCGCAGGGAGAGGAGCTCGTTGAGGGGGTCGGAGCCATCGGCGACATTCTGGGCGATGATGGCGTGCAGGGGGCCGTAGTTGCCAGTGGTGAGGCAGAGATCGATGAGGTCGATGTGGCGGTCCACGCGGGCGTCCCAGTCGGGGGGGCTGGGGCGCGAGAACATGATTGTGTTGTGTGCTGCCAGGTCTAGGTGAGTTGATGTGGTAAAAGGAAGGTTTGTCTGGCTGACACCGAGATGAACGAATGTGTTGTCAGTGGGAGGAAGCGAGGTGTGTATTGGGTGATTTATAGATATGGTTGCAGTGGGAGTGGGCTTGGAAACGCAGAATTCCCGCTCGAGAACGGGCTGCTGAAGAGCTTCCTGATCGGTTGTCAGGATGCGTCACGTTCGTTTGGATGGGTAGTCATGATGACGTCCGTGAAGCTCTGGTGCGGCGTACCTTGTTGAGCACATTTCCGCATCTGGTCTTAGCGTACCCGTTGGGTTTGGAAAGGCAGTGAAGGGGTTGACGGTGACAGCGGGAACAGGCAAAGTCTAGAATGCGGGGGATCGTCCGCACCCCGCCCCCGCACCGTATCGTTCCAGCGGCCCGCTCCATTCTCAACCTTAGTTTCTATTTCCGCTTTCGCTTGCATGTCCGTTTCCATGCTATGCAACCAACCGCTTCCGCCATCTCAATCCGCTTTCGTGCCCTCCGTTCTGAATTCCATTAGTCATAGTTTTCCTCACTTCAGGACAAGGGGCAGGCACCTTGCTTTCGTTTTCATTTAGCATTTCCCCACGTTAAGGGATGAAGCGATTTGCGGGGAAATTCCAGGGCATTGGCCTGGGGACCTGAACGTTCCGCTGCCACATGCTTCTATCTAGAATGCAGCCAAACCATTTCCTAGCATTCCATCAGTCTGTCATCGTCATAGCCGTGCGCCATTTGCCCGTGTTCCGTATGTCTTTCGACACCTGAATGGGGAGTTTGACTTGAAGCAGAATGCAAGGCCTGCACAGGAGAGAATAAACAAGCCCAGCATGTGAAGACAGGAACACGAGCTGATGCGTATATATACGAGTGGATGTTGCCTACTTGACCAGATCATCAGCTTCCAACTCGACTCCAAAGATCCACTCTACTACAATCAGGAACACCCTGCATTCAAAGTAAGCCCCTCATGTTCACTGCAGCGCTCGGAGCAAGAGCTGACTTGTATAGCAAAATGGCCATGTCTTCCACGTCTTCGTCGCCCGTCCGCCCCGTGATGCGCAACTGGGAGGAGCTCCTTGAGCAGAGGATCGATCTCCTCCACTACGCCGTCGACCAGGGCGAGCACCTCATCCCGGCCATGTTCGCTAAGGACCAGTTGAGCGCCATCGACTGGCCCGCCACCTTCCACGAGCAGCTGAGGGAGTCGGAGCCCAAGGCGTCTGGACAGACGTCCGAGATCATGAAGGACCTCGAGAAGCGTGTTCTCGAGACCAACAGGGAGATGAAGGAAGACACTGACAGGATCAGGGAGAACCTTGAGCGTGTCTCCCAGAACCCGAACCAGGACTCTCCCGAGGAGTTCGAGCGCGTCCTCGACGAGGGTGTTGACCAGCTCCACCGCCAGGCCTCCAAGCAGCTCGATGAGCTCAAGCACTACGGCAAGAAGCGCGTCCAGGACCTGCCCAACAAGGTCCGCGGCTCCGCCATCCAGATCTTCGGCGCTGCCTTCACCGCCGTCTTCAGCTACGAGAACAACGCCGTGACCTTCCTCAACGTCGCTCGTGATGACGTCGAGTCCTGGTACCAGCAGCCCCAGCAGAAGATCCAGGAGTTTGACAACCTCACCAACCGCTGGTACGAGGGCTCTCGCGACACCATCAAGGGCTGGTTCAACACCCACATCCAGGGCGGCGGTCCTCTGGCCCACGCCTCGCGCAACCGCCACCGCCACCACGGCCGCCGCCACCACCGCAACGAGGCCGACAACCTGTCTGCCATCAAGGACATCGCCACCAAGCTCCAGTGCATGGGCCTTGACTCCTTCACCATTGTGAGGAAGGGCAACGGCTGGGCTCTCGAGATTGACTCTCCCAACTAAGAGGTCCTCCGATCAGGCTGGAAACCAGATGTGTGTCCGTAATCCGTAGCAGTAGTCCAAAAATGAATCGAGACGCTCCCTTTTGTATTATCACAATCTTCCTCGTCAAAACAAGTCTATCTTGGCGCTGATTCATTTGCTTATCGTGATCCAAAAGGGCGGATTCCCCACTTCTCGTACCTCGCCAAATGCATGACCCCTGCCAAGTCGTTCCACCAACCTCGTGTCAGCAATAACCCGGTGACCCCGCAGAAACGCTCATCAAGAAACCTGCCGCGTGCTACCCACAAAGCTTACACAGACTTCCGCACAAAGTTTCCCCCGCGTTTATTGCAGGCCCAGTTTCTTTTCGTGTAGAGACGCCGTGCAGATACACCGGAAAGCTTCCGCGAATACAAGGGCTGTATGTTGTGCTTTTCTCGGTCGGTCATGTCCTTTGCTCGGATCGTCTTGCTCTCCCCGGTCACAGGGACTCATTCGGCCCTGAAAATCTGCAGCAATCCAGCCTCACTGGATCCGCCACCTACGTATGTCTCCACTGCTGCGTGCTTGCGCCCACGCCATTCGTCCCCAAAGTCAGCCTTGCTCCTGCAAACCTGAGCAATAACAGGTATATGCAAGGTGGAGTAAATGGGGCGCAGGCTCAAGTCCACCACTCGCAGGGTCAATGACAGTTTATCTTCTACCATGTGCTCTATTTCAAATGGGAGTGGAATGTTCCCCTTGCCTTCGTACCGAACTTGCTTTTTCCGAAACAGGGACTGCATGTTGTGGTTCGTCAGCAGAACACGAGCACGCACACATGTGTTGCAAGGACGAGGTTGGGGGTCAAAGGCTGCCTTATTTGGCTGCATCCAAGCCCTAAAAGGAAGTGGCAATGCAGCCACGCACCAAAGTATCATTCAGACCGCATCGCGTGGTTCCCCACACAGGAGCGTTGTCCAGGGCCAGTCGGACCCTGGATGACACACTAGTCTCACTCAACAAGGCAGGCAACCCAATTCTTCACAAAACACGACAAACGCTCCTCTGCATGAATAAAACACAACACCGCGCAGCACCAACGAGCGAGAGACGTCCCCGTCTGGGGGTGGGGAACACTGGAAAGCGAATCCCTTGCCCCACCTGCCCAACCCTCCCCCGCCCTCTTCATCACTCCATCCTCTGCCTTATCAACCCACAGCTTCGACCCCCCACCCATAACACCCCCCCTCCCTCTTCCCCCTTCCCCCTCCGCCACCCGCCCCGCCCCACCCACTCCATCCAACCCTCCCCTCCCCCTACGAACCCCCCCGCAAAAACCGCACATCCCCCTCCATTTCCGCCGGCGCCGATCGCTCATCCAACAACTCCGACGGCTTACTCTTACTCGGCAACTCGTATTTGGGCTCATCGCCGCCCGCCTGCAGCTCCGCCCTCTGCTCGCCGGGCAGTTCCTGCGGCGGCGGCTCCTCATGCCGTTGCTGGGGCGGCGACTGGCGTTCGCGTTCGCGTGTCCGTTTCCGCCGTCGGAAGAAGAATATGGCGCCGAGGATGGAGGCGAGGAGGGCGACGGCGCCGCCGACTGAGCCGCCGATGATGGCGCTGGCTGAGGAGGACTGGTTGGTGGGGTTGGGGGTGGCGGCGGTGGTGGTGGTGGAGGGGATCTCGTCGGGTGGGGTGCAGTTGTCGATGCTGTAGTAGAGCCAGGAGGTGTTGTAGCAGTGTGCGATGTCGGCGATTTGCTTGGCGGTGGAGGAGCAGGACAGGCTGTCAGAGTTGGGGCCGTAGATGGTGACTTTAAAACTCACGAGGGGTTGTTAGAGCGGGCGTGCTTTCTTCCGGCCTTGCGCGGATGGGTAGGGAGGTACTGCTTACCGCCGCATTCTGGATCGAGGTCAACGACTTGGAAGCTCGAGAAGTTGCTGGTCGTTCGTTCGCTGAACAAGGTGCAGGCGCCGTCTGGGTATCCGTTTGGGCCTTTGATGTCGTCTTGGGATATTTGGCATTCGGCGTCTCTGTATGTCGTGATGTCGGTGGCGGCGACGCTCGGTGCCACGAGGCTGTGAAGTATGGACGACGCTGCGAGGGGGAGCCATGGCGATTTTGAGACGCAAAAGTGTCGGAGTAGGAAGAGTATAGGCCTGGCTGTAGCCATGGGGACACGATGCGGATCGCTGCGGTGGTGAAGAGTGCGGATGAGAAGCATTGTTGTCCGTCCCGCCGGGGGCTGGATCTCGCCGGGCTCAGGATATGAGGAAGAAAGAAGGCAACGAGGCAGATGAAAAGGCTAGCATAAGCCGCAGGAGATGAGCCTGTGGAATTCTTACACGCTTGACTGCAGCGATGTCTCGGAAGTGCGGGATCTGCTCAGCTGTTGCCAGCTCTCGCTAGTTTCCTGCCCCGGCATTGGTTGCCTGCAATGTAAGCGGTTTTGTGCGCCGATTTTGTCTGCCTTGTGCCCCACTATAGCTTGGGGAGCCTCGGGTGGATGTGAGTAAACGTAATGGTCTTATTATATCTTTATTAATAACTTCAGCTGGCCTTTTGGGCCCATCGCCCCCACGTGCCTTCCCACCGAGTTTGGAAACTGCACGGAGCCTTGCACCGAAGCTTCTGCTCAGCTGGGCTGAACTATCATCTACAAACATGTCCAGTCAGCCTCAAATCGAATATATAAGCATCCAACTCACGACCCAACGCAGCCAGCACAGAACCTCCCACAAACGCACCACATCCCCCACCTCCTCTTCCATCGATTCCCAGCCCACCATGCTCACCACACTCGCCACCATCCTCTCCCTCGCCACCTTCTTCCTCCCCTCCGCCACCGCCTGCACCACCATGGGCTCAATGACGCACACCTTCTACGGCTACCCCGACAACGACCCTCCGGGGGCCGGCATCGCCTACGACTGTGGGCGGGGCTACACAGCCGGCGGCACGGGCACGTACGACGACCCTCTCACGTTCGCGTCGGCGGCGGGCGAGTTCGACGAATGCGAGGTCATCTACGACCCGTACCTGCGCAAATACCTGCGCTACGAGGACTACTGCCAGGCGTGCACGGACGACTGGAACGACGGGCAGAAGGGGCACCTGGACGTGTGGACGGGGAGCACGAGCGTCGACGGCGGCGACGCGCAGATCGCGTGCGAGAACGACCTCACGCCGGGGGATTCGTCCCAGACGGTCGTGAGGCAGCCGGCTGATGACTTGCCGGTCGATAGTGAGTATTTGACGTCCTTGGATGCGGAATGTGTGGCGAGGCTGACGCGTGTGGGGTTGCAGCGACGGAGCTCTTCGCGGATGGACAGTGCCGCACTGATCATGTGTATGGGAGCTACAACATTGGGGACTACTGCTCTTAGAAGCTGGCTCGAGCCTGGGACAGTTCAACTGGTGGGTGGTTACAGGAGGAGTCTAGTGCGAGGTGCGACTGAGGCGCGGTTGCGGAGATTTCTATGTCATGTTGGTTTTTGTGCTGCAATCCGACTTCTACGCCACTCTTTCATCTATCAGCATTCGTTGGAATCAATAGTCAAGACGCTTTCCTATTCGCGTGACAGTATTCATGACCTCCTGCGGAGCAGAGCCTATACGGAGCAGAACCCTACGTTTAAAAAATATTTCTCAGGGATTACTTTTGCACAGACTTTTGCAGAAAAGAAACTAGAGGAGAAACCTCCTTAGAGAAGAATCAGTGCCGCAGTGATAGCATAGAGCCATTGGTCTATCTACATCTCTCACAGCTATTACAATCCTACATCTGGATGCGTTTATATAGATTCGATACTTGCATCTACATGCGGATATCTGCTCCACCTTCTCACGAGAAAAAGGTGGTTTGAATCGACAGATATGTCCAGACATCTGCTTTGAACTGTTGAAGAATGAGAAGCCGCACATATCCAGAATGGAATGCTTAATTAGGCTTAGTCTACCACACAGCATATATTTGTCTTCTATCGTACTGCGCCTTAAAGTGAATCCATCAGATTCAAACACGAACCCCGACGAAAAGAATTGCGATAAGCCAATTTATTTCAGTGCACACAGTGGGGCGTCAAAGGCAGTGCGAGGCCATGATCATCGCAATTGACAGACTGGGAGGGGAATCCGATGTTGACAGGTAACACTTGACTTTGACAGAGAGGGCTAAAGGAATTGATGGAACGCGCAGAGAAACAAGGGTTATTCGTCGAAGCACACCAATACCAAGAACACTAAAACATAGTGACATTGGGGGCCGCGAACGAAGAAGGACGAGACGCGACGGAGGAAGCGCCGTTGGGTCAAAGGTGGGGAACAAGCGCGGGGCAGCGGGGTTGATTGGGCAGTGTTTTGTGGGGGCCGAAACTCGTTGTTCCTATTCAGGCAATACCAGATAGTAAACCCTAAAGCGATCTCGCATTCGGCCCGAGGTCTGCCGCCGGTCTAGGCGCCGTGCGTTGTGAAGTAGGATTGCAGGTGGATCACGCGCGGAGAATTGCTGCCACATTGGGCTTGGGCAGTATGTGATTAGACCGGCGAACCCCATACCTAGAGCCTCAAACGGGAACACGCCACGCTAGCTCATGCAACTGCGGGGGTATGTCAACGGACGTTGACCCTCTGCCCTGCGTCGCCAGAGTCAGGGTCTACCGCGCTGCCCGTCGTCAAGGCAATTGGTCCGGAAACATGCAGCTGCCGTACCCGCTCCATCGTGCAATCGAAACCGTATAAAGCCTCTGCTGTCCGGCAACTGTCTCACAGCCAAGTTCAATACGTTTTCCCCCTCCGTCTCAATGGCCGACGCACACCACCCCCCCACCAACGGGACCGCCCCGACCAACGGCACAGCCAATGGCACAACCACCGCACACCTCCCCGCCCTCGTCACCACCGCCGCCGCCTTCCTGTCCGTTGACTACGACTACCTGATCGTCGGCGGCGGCACCGCGGGCCTCGTGCTCGCCGCACGCCTGACCGAAGACCCGAACGTCACCGTCGGCGTGCTCGAAGCCGGCAAGAACGCGCTGGACGACCCACTCGTCGACACGCCGGCGCTGTTCACGCACATGCTGGGAAACCCCGAGTATGACTGGTGCATGAAGACGACGCCGCAGAACGGGGGACAGGTGCACCACCTGCCGCGGGGCAAAGTGCTGGGCGGGAGCAGCGGGACGAACTACATGATGTGAGTGAGTGAGTGAGTGGAGCAGGCGGCGACGGCGGCAAAAAGAAAAAGAAAAAGAAAAAGAAAAAAGAAATAAACGCCCCCTCTCCCCTCCCCTCCCCTCCCCTCCCCACCCCCAACGAACCTCGCTGACCGGAGCAAAAAACCCCCCCACACAGGTACGTCCGCGGCTCCGAGCGCGACTACGACGACTGGGCGACGCTGACGTCCGACGCCGGGTGGTCCTTCGCCCAGATGCGCCCCTACATCGCCAAGCACCAGACGCTCTTCGCGCCGTCCGCCGAACAGCACGCGGCGCTAGACCGGGCGGGCATGGCGACGGTGGCGGCCAACCACGGCTTCGCGGGCCCCGTGCACACGACGTGGAACACGACGCGGCTGCCGCTCGAGGACGCGTGGGTGGCCGGCGCCGACGAGGCGTTTGCGGTGGCGGCGAAGCCGGCGGACGCGTGGGGCGGCGACCACTACGGCTTCTACAACGGGCTGGGGTCCGTGTATGCCGAGGGCGAGTGGAAGGGGAAGCGGTCGTATGCGGCGAGGGGGTATTTCGCGGGCCCGGGAGGTGCGGCGCGGAGGGGGAACTTGCGGGTGCTGTGTGAGGCGGGGGTGGAGAAGGTGGTGTTGGAGAAGGACGGGGGGGCGGAGGGGGGGATGGAGGCGGTTGGGGTGGCGTTTAGGCATGCGGGGGAGCGGTATGAGGTCAAGGCCCGGAAGGAGGTGTTGGTTTGCGCGGGAGCGATCCATAGTCCGGCGGTGTTGGAGCTGAGTGGGATAGGGAATCCCGAGGTTTTGGAGAGGGCGGGCGTGGAGTGCAAGGTCGAGCTGAAGAGCGTCGGGGAGAACTTCCAGGACCACGTCCTGTCCGGGGTAGGATACAAACTGGCCCCTGGCGAGGTGAGCGTAGACAGTCTATACGCCCCAGAAGCCATGGCAGCCGCGCAAAAAGCCTACGTCGAAGCCAAGGAAGGACCCCTGGCGGCGGTGGTCAGCGGACAGGGATTCGTCAGGTACGTATCCAGCCCCACCACACCCGACTCGAGACGAAAACACAGCCGAACTAACCCCCTCCCCAGCTACAAGCAAATGGCCACCGACGAGGAGCTCGAACAAACCATCGCCAGCATCCGCGCCACCCAAAAGACCTCCACCCGTAAGCCACCCCCCACAAACCTCCAACCAAACCCACCCACTAACCACCACCAGCCTTCCAACGCCGCCAACTCGACCTCGTCATCGCCCACCTCCTCGACCCCCGCTCCGCCAACATCCAATACATCCTCGTCCCCACCAGCGCCAACTTCACCTCCTCCGCCATCGCCAACCAAGCCACCCTCTGGCCCGCCGGCGACCCCTCCAGCCCCGGCGCGACGTGGGTCACCTGCCTGCAGTACCCCGCCTCGCGGGGCTCGGTGCACATCGTCAGCGGCAGCAGCGACGCGACGCCGGCCATCGACCCGGGCTATCTCGCGCACCCGGCCGACGTGGCCGTGCTGGCCGCCGGACTGCGGCACGGCGACCGGATCGCCAGGTCGCGCGCCATGGCTGGGCGGTTGGGGCCGCGGTACCGGCCGGCGCCGGAGGTGGATTTGGATGAGGCGGCGGCCGCTGAGCGCGCGGTGAGGGAGTGGAGTATTGGTGAGTATCATGCGTGCGGGTCGTGCGCGATGGGGGACACGGTGGACAGCCGGCTGCGGGTGAAGGGGGTGGGGAGGCTGCGGGTGGTGGATGCGAGCGTGTTTCCGAATCATGTGAGCGGGAATTGCCAGAGTTCGGTGTACGCTCTGGCGGAGAGGGCGGCGGATTTGATCAAGAGCGATGGGGGGGCTGGGCACGCGGTTTAGTGGGGTTTAGGGCCGGGGTGGGGGAGGGAAGACGGGGTACGGAGGCGAGGAGTATGCGTGCATCGAAAGACTATACTGTGCGTGGCTATAGTGCTAGATTATTGTTCTACTCTCTATCAGCGTTCGTTTCATACTTGAATGTTTTATGAGTACCGTTGCGTCTGCGTATGACGGGCACAGCCGCTGTCGACAGTCCCACCCACGCATTTTCACTTACACTTTCCAGTTCCCACGGCCTTTCTGGCCCCACAAGCCTTCCTTATACCTTCTCCTTCTCTTCATCAAACCGTCCAAGCACCCTCTCCCCCCGTTGCCACTTCTCCAACACCCCGCCCAACTCCTTAAACTTCACCGGCTTCGTCAACACAAGATCCACCCCTGCCGCATACGCCCGCTCCTCGTCCATCGTTCCCGCCAACCCCGTCAACGCAACAATGTACGTAGGCGGACGGATCGTAGCTAGCGGCGGGTGCGCAGCCTCGGATTCGTCGCGGCGTTCGCGTTCGAAGGCGCGGATGGCCATGGTAGCGGCGAAGCCGTCCATGACGGGCATGGAGATGTCTATCATTTTGTTGGCGCGGGTCATTTCGGTAAGGGTGGTCAAGGTATATGCGGAAATGAAGGTAGTGGTGGTGGGAATTGGACCGAGGTTGACTCACCCATGAAAATAACATCAAACCCCCGGTTTCCCTCGCCCAGCGTCACCACCTCATTGACGGCGATCTGGCCGTTGCCCGCCGCCGTCAATTCGGTGTAGCCCTGCTTCTTCAAGAAGGTCTGGAGTAGTTTGAGGTTGACCGCATTGTCTTCGACGAGTAGAAGGCGCGGCGATTCTTCTCCTTCCACTCCTGGCTTGGCCGCGACGGTCGACGACGACGAAGAAGAGTTGGTTATTCCAGGAGGAGGGGCGGAAGGAGGGGCGAGATGAGGAGGAGGGGAAGGGCGATGGGGTCTTTCCGGGATTGGCGACGGCACCAAGTCCGTTGGTGGTCTCATGGGGAGCGAAGAGGGCGGCGCGGGTGCTGAGGACGCTTCCTCAGCAGACGAACTTGGCTGCGGCGTGGATGCCGGTTCCGGCTCTGTGTTGTTAGTCGTGATGAACGAAACCTGACGTTTCGGCTGCCGTGAATCTCTAGCCGCTGTGTCCGCCTCACGAACTGTCTCGCCCAAGTCAACCTCAGCGAGACGGGCGAGACATACCAAAACGGCCTTGCAAAGTTTGAGAGGCCCGATCGGCCGAGTTGTCGTGACCTCGATGTGACCTTGGCTCCCTGCCGCGAGTGAATTTCGTCTCTTCGTGCGTGCAGGTTTTTCAAGAGCCGCAACAAAGAGGTACACACTCGCGTCGAAGCCATGGCGGATTGCCTTTGTCGCAGCATCTCCAGTGCCATCGACGACGACAATGTCTGCCCAACACCGCTCGCCTTCCCCAGACTCCACGACGTCCCACTGGAACCAGTCCCGAAAATACGTCAGGAGCGATTCCCGCAACATGCTGTCGAATCCGAAAATTGCAACCTTCCTTCTCCGCTCCCTGACCCTTAGGAGCGCCTCAGTAAGAGCAGCGGACGGTTCCGACGTCGGTACATCGTCCTTGTTTTCCTGCATCGGAATGCTTACGGTGAATGTGGTTCCCTTGCCAGGCGTGCTCGTCACGCGTATCTTGCCACCAAGCAAGCCCACCATGCTCTTCACGATGGACATACCCAAGCCTACTCCGTCCGTCGCCACTGCGTTTTCCTGCGTGAAGGGAGAAAAAAGATGCTTCTGTAGAAAATCCTTGTTGATACCCCGGCCAGAATCTGCAACGGTGATGAATAGAAGCTTTCTGCCATCGTCGTTGGGCGCGGCGAGATCGCTAGGGTCATTTTCCGTGTCGTCAATGTGCACAGATACTTTGACATAGCCAGATTCCGTGTACTTCAACGCGTTGCCGAGGATATTGGACAGGATGCGCTTGATGATTGCAGGCTCCGTGACAAAGGTCCAGCGCGGGCGTGGTGCGATGTTCAACACGATAGCTACGTCTTTGCTGGTCTCGTTGCCAAAGGAATATCCGTTCGCTGTAACCTCGACAACGCCCTCGCACAGCGTCGACACATCGGCCACACAGTACATTGTACCCTCCGTGTCCGCCGTCTCACGGCCGAGGTCCTTGTCTTCCATGGCCCATGGCGAGGGCTGCTTGAGGGCGCGCCGTCGAGCGACAGGCTTGTCGCTTCGACGTTCGAATTGATTGATCTTGGCGTAGGCGAGCACGCTGCTGAGCGTGTCGTGCAGCGTGGTGCTACAGGAGCGTATGGTCTCGGCAAGCTCGCATTGGAACGAGTCGAGGGACGTGTCGGATAGGAACTCGACTGCGCCCAGAATGCCATGAAGAGGCGTCCGCAGCTCGTGGCTGACGGACGAGACGAAGGCTTCTTGTTGCTTCACCGCCGCGATGGCGTCGATGCGCGAGACTTCCGACTCTACGGACTGGAGAAATGTCCTGACCGGATCTAGGTCTGCGGCCCTGGTGAAGAGCGGCGTAATGCGGGTGGTCCACGCGAGGCAGCATGCCAGACGTTTCAGGCTGGTCGGGTCGGTGAGCGGCGCAAAGAAGAGCTGGCGCACGCCGGGGAACGACTTGGACACGTGACGGAGGTCGTCGTCGTCGGCGACGCTGATCAACCTGTCGTCTTCCAGAGAAAAGGTGTACAGTGTGTTGTCCTCGCCGAAGTACCAGACATTGCCGTCCGGAAATCGGCGTAACAGCCGTTGTAAGAATCCTTCATCAAGAAATTTCAGCCCCACCGTGCCCTTCCCCAAGTGCTTAACAATGGGCCACTTGTCGTGGACGACGGAGAGCCCGAGACACTCGGCTGGCCGTCGCTCGAGGACGGACCTCTCATATGCGGTGCTGATGAATGTCCGCTCGCCGCCGGAGTCACTATCGTCAGGATCTTGCTTCGACTGAGATGCCGCAGAGCCACCTCGCAGCGTCTGACTCCCCTCCGCATCTTCATTCCCCGGCTCTGTGCCTGTGTTGTCCTGGAATTCTCCAACAGTCTGCGCATCCATCTCATTCTCCAGCTCAATCTCAGCCTCCCCGACGGGATTGCTCAAGCCGTGGAATCCAACAAGGCCATTGAGAAACGTCACGCCCTCGACATCCAGCCCGCAGCGCAGGCCCTCCGCCGCCCTCGCAAAAACCTTGCGATACATCGTCTCGCCCTCAGTGCTGCCGCGCCCGCGGTTCCCACCATCCGACCTCCCCGCGTCATCCACCGACACCGACGCCGCATTCTCCACATTATCGTGATTCCTCCCCAGCGCCCCGGCCTCGCCCTCGTCCGACCCCTTCAGCATCCCCCCCTCCGCCATATCCTCCTCCCTCAACACTTCCTCCCTGCGCAACTCCGACCCCACCTGCCCGTCGCGACGACGTCTCCGCACCACCACCGGCGGCTCCTCGCTCATCAGCGCCACCACGTCCTTGAACTTGACAAACGCCTTCAGCTTCCCGTGCAGGGCCGCCAGGCGGTCGCGCGACCGCACCGCCCGCGCGACCTCCAGCTGCGCCATGGCTTTCGCGGCCGTCGCGTGGAGCAGCCGCGCCTGTGCGTTGCGCTCGCCGCCGAGCAGGCGGGGTCGGGTGTGGAGTGTGAAGACGGCGCCGATGGGGACGCCGCGCGCGGAGACGATGGGGGCGGCGGCGAAGCGGCGGGCGTGCGGGGCGGAAGTGACGCAGGTGAGGTGGGCGGTGTGGGGGGCGTCGGCGAGGCGGCGGCGGGTGATGGGCGGCGTGGGGGTGGGCTTGTTGAGGTGGTCGGGGGTGTTCTCATTGTCGTCGTCGTCGTTCAGGCCGAGGGTGAGGCGGAAGAGGTGGAGCCAGGCGGCGCGGTCGGCGGGGGTGGGAGCGAACCATTGCGGCGTCGGGGGTGGGTTTGGGTCGTCGGAGTCGTGCTTGTCGTGCCAGCTGCCGGCGAGGAGGTGCTGGGTGCTGCCGTCGGTGAGGGTTATGAAGGCGGCGAAGGCGTCTGTGGAGGTCAGAAGGGCGGGGTGTTGGGGTGGCGACGGGCTGGGACGTACTGAGGCGGACGGCCACGACTTCGACGAGGGCGTCGAGGGCTTCGCATAGCGAGGAAGCTTTGGCGAGGGCAGGGTCGATGGCGAGGGCGCGGTGGGCAGCCCCTGGCGATTGGGGGGTTCCGGGATCGAGGGCGTCTGCATATCTGCGGCGCAGGAGGACTTAGTGGGCGTGCAAAGACGGCGACCAAGCTCGGGTCCTGGCGGCGAGGCAGACGAACCTACGGAACTCGTGGGTGGTGGAGGCGTCGGACATGGTGGTTATTATTATCTTGTTGGCCGCAAAGACGGTCTCCTGTGCATGTACATCGGGCAATCGGCCTGCTTGGCAAGTAGTGACGGGAGCGCGACACGGCAGCCCGTTCTTGAGCGAGCCCATCTGTAAGACTGTAATGACGTCACCCGTTGACGCGGCCGCCCCTGCCGCAAAAAGCAACGCCGCACCGCCTGAGACTCCACCTCGCCGACCCCGGCAGCAGAGTGCAAATGTGCTCGTGAGACATTCGATTAGCAATCTGCGCCGGATGCGACAATCATGAGCGCAATGGCTTGGTGGGTCGAGCTCTGCAGATCTGTGGGGAGATGGACCCCGAACCCTTGGCCCCTGGCTCTAGCTTCAGTTCAGAAGTCATCTCTTCAGTGATTATTGGACTGACCCGAGAGGTTCTACAGATTTTTGCACTGTCTCACCCATCGACAAAGCGCATCATTATGCCTTTTTCAAAGCTCAATACGTACCATGTCCTCCACGGACAACCTTTGAGCAGACATTCGCGCGCTATTTCTAAGAAACAGCCCCACTCTTTAGCATACTTGAAACGCCACCACCAGCATGCGAAGCCGCGAACAGGAGCTGCACCGCACTTTGGCCCGAAAATCCCCGAAAAATCTCTTTTTCATGCATATCAATGCGGAAAGCCAGGCCGAGCTACAGCGGGCGGTCTAGATGTGAATCATGAGGCTTTCATGCCACTTCTGGGTGAATAGAGCTCAAGCGGCAGAGGGATACTGAGCACCACGAAATGGTCGCACCAAAGGCCGCTGCACAACGTGGATGATTGGTTATATACATGAAGTAGGAAGCTATTAATAGAAAGCGTTTGTTCATTAGCACATGTATTTTGATCGGCCAGAAAATACCCGAACGCCTGTTGGTGGAGAAGTCGAAGGAGGCGGCGTGGGTAGGAAGGATCTAAATCCTACTGCGCACGGAAGACTGTAGTAATTAAAAGACGTGGGAAGGCTTCATTACCCAACACTAAAGAACGTATTAAGAAGCACAATCTTCTGTCCTCCTTACCTCAATTCTGCGGACTCTACCTTAACTTCTCATCTTCCCAATAAGGCGCAGTTTCCGGATAACATGCGACGGTCATACACTGCAGAGTAGGCAGAGTAGGCAGAAGAGAAGCTGTTACGACGGCGACGGTAGAAATTGGCCGAGCAAGCGTAAGCGCTAGCCGCTCCAGACCAAAACTACCACCAATCTGGCAGTAGAACCTGAGCTAATCTAAGCGAATCTAGACTTTAGAGCAAGGTCTACCAGCACGTGTCCAATTCAAGAAGTCCAAGCATTGAGACTATCCCATACTAAATTCGTGTGATGCACAAGTGTTGGGTCTTGCTCTACTTAAAAGATTCGGGTGGCACACTCCCCTCCTGAGAGGATTTTCGCTCTGTTTGTCATCGTCCACGTCCAAACATCATCACTTTACTTTTTTTCGCTCTTTTTCTCCTCATTATTATCGACATTGCCACTGCTTACTTTGCCCGGCTGCGTGCCGCTCAGACGGCCCCTAGTTTCCAGCCATGACCAGCTTCAACAAATCAAAATGGTACCAAATATCCTCACCCAACGGCGTCCTATCCTTCGTCGGCACACCCACCAGCACCATCGACAACAAAACCTCGGTGCAGCCCTACGGCCCCGTCTTCCTCCGCATCTCCAACACCTCCGACCACGAGCAGCAATGGCAAGTCTACAACATCAACACCTCGCACGCCGTCCTCCGCACCCGCGCCTCCGGCCCCGACAACTACCTCAGCGCCGCCATTGCCCAAAACGACGAAGGGGATGTCGTCGCCGGCAACACCAAGCCCATCATGGGCAACTACTCACTGCTCGACGACTCCATGTACTGGAGCGTCGGCGCCTGGTCCGACAGGCTGTTTTGGTTTGAGAATGCCCAGAATGGGAGCGCATGGCACTTGAATGCGACGGGCGCCTTTTTCCTCATGAGCATGAACATCACGGCGCCGCAGGATGGCCAGCAGTTTAAATTTACGCCAATTGGAGATATCGATGACGACAGGTATTCTACTTATAGCGTAAGCGCTCCCGCGCGCCTCTTCTCCTGCCTCGTGTGCTGACAAGTTACCTAGGCTCCCGGCGCGGTGGCAACGGCCACAGCAACAGCAACAGGCAGCTCGCCGACTTCTACGACTACTTCCCTGTCGCTACCGTCATCCAATGGCCGTTCAGCCGGCGCCAAAGGAGCTATCGGAGCCGCTGTCGGGGGAGTCTCTTTACTTGGGTTAGGTTTGGCATTACTTTTGTGTCTAAGGAGACGAAGAAAGCGACCAGCAAAGGACGCTGCGGTCGAGCCGTACAGGACCGAGCCGGTGCAAGAACCGCAAGTCCTGGAGCTTCCCGCAGAGACGGCCGCAGGGGCCGTGACGAAACACCAGGACCAAAGGTATTCGGAATTACCCCCAGGTTCATCGCCATCGGAGCTAGGGAATCACGAGATTGCTGAGCTGGATGGTGGTGGTAGCTGGAAGTAATCAGGTTATGTGGTGGCTCGAGCGATGAATATTCCCCATAATAATGTAAAGATGATATTTAATGAAGGATAGAGTCAACACTACTGAAGTTGGTTATTAATTCACATAAATTTCCTAGATAGAGCCTTCGGCAGGACTCATAACCCCATTGCATGAGCTCAGGAACTGAGGAGGCTCCCATGTCCCTTCGGACCCCCTTCGCCTTAGGAATACCTGCTGCAACGAGATCAAGATACAGTGTACGAAATAGCCTGAACTGGTAAAACTTTGCAGGCGTGGCCCACCATGACCTTGCCATTGACTACGATGAACTAGTGTGAGCTTCGGACTACGTCGCTACGAAAAGTGGAGAGACGCTTACACGAGTTAGGAAAGACTACATCTTGTTCGAAAGCCTTTGCGCTCTTGAATGGTGGTTGCAGGAAATCGACTGTCTCCGTGGAAACGTCGGGTAGGTACTAGATGCCGTTTAGGCATGTCCAGATGAGCTACCGAAATTGATGATGCGGAGGCTGAAGTTTGCAGCTCGTACTTCCAACCGGAAGTTTCGAACAGCATTGTCTAAGCCAATGCCTAGTGTGGAGTCGCCAGGAGATATATAGCAACAACACGGGCATGACCGATGAAGACAGAATGCTAAAAGATCCAAGTTTGAAGATCCAAGTTTGTTCAAGTGCGGGGCCGAATGAAGGTGCGTTGCAGCATTCGTTTCTCTCCGTTAGATAGGACACCACGAGGATTCTGGGATGGAACTCGTGGCGGTTTCCTTACATCAGTGTGACAGACGGTGGAGAGTAGTGAAGGTTACGGGCTGGAACGTATTGGGACTAGCGGCACAAGGTCCAACGCTGAGATTTCTCGAACCTTGTGCCACTAGACCAGAATAGGACTAGCCCCAGCTGTGCGGCGAATGGTGACTAGCACAATGGCGCTTCTTACTCCGGGTCCACATAAAGATTATAGAAACCAACAGCATAGTGCTTATGATGGCCACCGGGTAGTAGCGTTGGTACTGCACACCCCTCGGCTTGTTCAGATCCGGTTGCTGATTGAAGGTCCCATTCGTGGAGCTCGCATGCATCTGTAAAACCCCGTCTACTTGTACATACAAGTTGAGCACACCAATGTTCTTACCGAGATGAAACATCCAAGCCAATGAGCCGCAGACCTACCAAACATACCATAGAAACTTTGCCCTGCCCTCAAGTACCTCACACAAATTCCCGTACAACTCAAGAGAACGTTTGATACGGTACTCGTCAAACTTGTCCGGCCGTGTTTTAAACAAGCAGCTCTCCCGCCACCAGACGTTCAACCACCTCCACGATGCGCATGATACTATATCGGTCCAAAAAGCCAATTGATGTATCGCCGACGTTAGTGCCTTCCATCGCCATTCTACGGTAGACGTCTTCAAACCCGCTTGCATAGCTGTCATGTGGCTCTTGCTCCAGGCTTCGCCCAACTGCGGCCTCGATGAATGCCGCATTGCGAGGGTCCTTCGCGTGACCCATCCAGTCACAGTCCGTCCCTTGAGTAGACCGGTCACGCTGAAGGCGTTGGTCGTGATCAAGATCCCAGAGTGATGTGAGTAATTTGCCTGCTAGAAGTTGGTCGCGCCAGAACGCTTAAGGGCTCGACAGCATCGACAAAGTCTAGTGCGATGGAAACCACTGCTGGAGAAATGACCACCAGTGTAGAAGGAGCGACTAGTACAACGGCAAGCAGTACCCCAACTCCGCCTTCGGGCTCAAAGTGTCACAAGCAGTGCTCATCGGGCATCAACCACTTGGGAATTCACTGGTGTGAGGAGCACTGTCCTCATTTTTGGCTACAAAGAAGGACAACACGTACTATCCTCTGTTATTCGAGACACGGAAAGGGATTCTGGATGCAACGAGGACTGGGCTCGGTGTGGGCTAGACAGATTGGAGATAAACAGAAAAGATTCCTTTGTTTCTTCCCAAGTGGATTTCTTTCCGTTTGAGTACTGAGGGCCCAGAGCTGCTACCCGAAAACAGGCTACATGGTAGAGAAATGCTCATGCTAGTTTGAATGTTCCGTTTCTACCAGCACAAAGTGGACTACGCCTATCATTCTTACCCGCACCCGCTTTCCTCATTCTCCTGACCTGCCCGCGCTGGCCTGCCATGCATAGCTTTTCCAGAGCGGTTCAAGCCCCTTCCAATAACAGTACATTGACTAAACGCTATTTTTGTTTCGTTCGAGCCGTCCCCGAGCATGGCTTTTTTTTTTTTCGGACGCCCGCTTTGCACGACGCCAGGCTTCTCCACTCGAAATTTCTCCTTTCCGCCACACTCTGGTGCAAGCCAATATCTGACCCCCGTCTCAGCGGCTATCGTAAGTATTTCCGTATCCATCGTCGAGACCTCGCAAGCCTCCTCTCCAGACTCCAAGACAGCAAAAAGCCAGATCGTACCCACCGCACCGCACCGACCCAACCCCACCCCCTCCCCATCCCCACCCCCACACCCGCCTCCCAGTCCCTCACAGGGGGCGCACCGACAGAGTGGCCCGGCGGAACGGACTTCCGCTACTTCCGCTCCACCCGGCGGGCCCGGGCCCGGACCGCCGCGGCGGCGGCGGGGGCACAGGCACAGGCACAGGCACAGGCACACAGGCACACAGGCACAGGCGATCGATCGGGTCTAGATCGGCTCACGGCGGCCGTTGAGAGATCGTGCGTGCGTGCGTCGTCTGGCGGGCGAGGGGGCGGGGGAGGCGCAGAGGCGCGGAGGCGCGGAGGCGGATCAGGCGGATCAGGCGGGGCAAAAACGCCTCGTCCGCGGCGGCTGAGCACGGACAGGGGTGGGAGGAGGATTGGCGAGGCGTTGTGGGCGTGGGTTCTGTGGGGGGAGAGTGGCTGCGCCGGGGGGCTTGGGCTTGGGGGTGGGGTTTTTGGTGGTGGAGGTGGGGGAAATGTGTGCGTGGCGTACGTGCGGCGGATGCTGCTGGCTGGGTATTATTTGTGCCGCGCCGGGGCCGGCCCGGGCGCTTGCTTGCTTGCTTTCAATGTACATATGTGGTATCTCAATAAGGCAATCTCTCTCTCTCTGGTCGGTTCCCTTTGCTCTTTCGTCCTTTCTTTCTCTCTTTCTCTCTCTCTGCTCTTCTCCGCGGACCCTCCCCCTCATCAGTCCATGGTAAATCTCCGCGCCTTCATCGCATCCAGGCTGTACTCCTCGTCGCTGTCCTGGAGCTTCTGGGCGCCCTCCTGGCGCTTGAAAATGGGCTTCAGCCCGTGGTTGAAATTGACCATGCACTGTATGGCAGTGACGAGGGTGGCGAGCACGAACAGCCAGGCGACGATGGCGAACAGCATCATTTCGTCTTTCAGAAGGGTGTCGGCGCGGGCGCCGTTGCCTCCCATGGCGGCGACGCGCGACATGAGGTAGCCGACCGCGGCGATGAAGAGGAGCTGGGGAAGCGGGGGTCAGGCGGGCGGGCGCAGGAGAAGGGAAGGAGGCGGGAGGGACGTACGATGACGACGGCCATGCCGGTGCGGATCTCGGAGCGGGTGCACCACACGGCGAGGGAGATTTGGAGCAGGGCGGCGGGGATGAGGGCCATGACGATGGCGAACTCGGGCATCTGGTAGTGCACGTTGATGACGCCGTAGAGCACGAGGAAGGCGATGAAGAAGTAGACGCCGAGCTTCATGAGGACGAGGAAGACCTTTTTGGAGATTAGGAGAGCAGGGCGGCGGGGGTGGCGGCGGGGGGGTTACTTGGTAGGCGAGGTAGCGCTTGCGCAGGGCAACGTCGGCGCTGACGTGCTTGTAAATCTCCCAGGCGAAGTCGTTGTGCAGCTTGTAGGCCAGGCCGGACATGCCGAGGGTGGAGACGCCGACCCAGCCGATGGAGGTCTTGAGGGCGGGCTTGACGACGGGCCAGTAGCTGACGGCGGTCTTGACGAGGCTGTCGCCGTCGTCGTCGGTGGCGGTCTTGAGCAGGTCGTTGGTCTCCTCGGTCTGGTAGTAGCGCATGATGTTGACGCCGAACAGGCAGGCGTTGGCGAGGCACAGGGCGAACAGCTGGATGTTGTTGCGCAGGCGCAGGGCGTCGGTGGTGAGGAGCAGCTGCCACCAGCAGCCGAAGACGAACAGGCCGACGTTGAGCGGGATGGTGTAGGAGCGGACGGTCTCGTAGGCGCTGGGGTTGACCCAGCGCTGGTACTGCACGAGCATGAAGACCTCCAGGATGGTGATGACGGCGGCCTGGGCGGCGACGATCCCCAGGAACCCGCTCTCCCACAGCGACCGCGGCTTGTACATGACGATGCGACTTTTAGGGCGAAGATCTTTGGCGAGCGTGGCGGCATATATGCCCCGGCGGCGGCAGCAATAGGGAGATGGGCGGGGGCGGTGCGCAGCCCTACTGCCGATCAGGGGCAGCGCGAATCTGGCGGGTGGGGCCCTATACACGACGGTGGCGCTGCTGCCACGCCCGCCCTGCCCGCCCTCTGCCCGCCTCTGCCCGCCTCTGCCCGCCATCGGTCCTGCCGCGCGCGACTCCTCTCCCTGCGCCCCCGCAAAGTGCCATGTGCGGCGATCCGGGCGCAAGCGATGCTAGCGGCGCCGCGTCACGGCGTGCATTGGGGTCGTGTCTGCAGAGTAGTCATCAGTAGTAAATAGTATATTCATTGCTGGCGCACGGGACGCGCGTCGCAGCCGCCCGCTTTCGTGCCCTGCGCCGGCCAGACCTTTGGGACCTTGGGGCCCGCCCTCTCGCTCCGTGTATTTAACTCGGCCTCCCAGCCCGCCTTTGCCTTTGCCTCCGGCCCGCTCCACTTGGAAATGAGCGTGCTTCGTCCCATGCCCCGTTCCAGCGTCCGGCTATTAATATCCCGCCTCATTTCCCACACGAGCACCGCCAAGCCCGCCCGTTTCGCCTGACCGTCGCCTGTCGCCACGAAACCCACCGCCGTTTATGCGTTCCAGGAACTGAACGCCTCAAAATGTCGAGCTTTTTTTCTTCTTTCGTTTCTCCATCTTTAGACACTGCTCCGTGCCCTTGGTGCATCAGGCTTAGCCTCCCCTCGGCCTTGGGATACTTTCGTCGGGTTGATTTTTGGCGCCATCGACACGTCGTCTACCACTCAGAAAGAAAGAACAAGGGAAAAAAAAAGCCGGAGGAGCAAGAAGCAGAAATGGAAGAGAAGAAAGGGAAGAGAAGCAAAAGATGAGAAAGAATTGGAATGGAAGAAAAGGAAAAGAGGAAAAGGAAGGGAATAGAAAGAAGAGAAGAAAAAAAATAGAGAGAGAAAAGAAATAGAGAAAAAAAAAAGAGAACAAATGGTGTAGAACAAACCGACAGGGAAACCGAGGAAAAGGAACCCGAAAATAAGGAAGAAAACCGAATAACAGGAAGCCGTGTCTGTTGTCTCTCAGGATCCCCAAGCAGTCAGCCCGGCGGGAGAACTCAAGAGTAGTCTAGCGTAGTCTTCAGTCGTCATGAGTGCGTCCATGTCAACGACACCGAGCTCACAGCAACGCACAGGCCGAGCGTGAGGCCAAGAAGATCGTCCAGTCCCTTGAAGGGAACAATCCACTGAGTTCAAACAAACCGAAGCCGCTTCACGCCGGTCACGGTGCCAACGTCGACACCTCCAAAGACCAAGGAAACGCCGCCTGTCGAGACAGCCGCACATAATGACAGCTGACGTGCCGATGCGGTCTGAACTGGATGTCGTGGGCGACGCTCAAAGGCGGTCTGATACCGTACGTACACGAGGATCGTTGCTCCAACTGGCGTGGTCGTGACATCTGGTTGATCGTGTGGCATGGAAACCTATTGGAGTCGAGGGCGGTCGTGCGAAAGATTCAGGGGCCTAGGAGTGCTGAAGTCCGTGGAATCACGTGACGTAAGACGGAAGAATAAGAATGATGATTGCTTATTGAACTAACTAGAGGGGCAGCTAAAGATATATACAGTCTCTGCAGTGAAGGTTGAACCCGTGATATGACATCATGGAGTACTATATACGAAAAACTCCGACAAGGAGAACGGCGATGTTGAGACGTCGACGTCGCTTGCTGCCGGGGAAGGCGCTCTGGAATCTGGAGTCGACGCTTCTCGTGCTGGTGGCTCGGCGTACGGCGGCTGCTTTGGTTGCCGGTTTCTCAGCGAGCTCGTATACTCTTCGATTACTTGAGCAGCTGCTTCATGGCCCATTTCTTTGGCGAGTTGAAGCGGTGTTACCCTTCCATAACCCATAATTCCACCGGACCGGTCGAGTTCCGAGTCGAATTTTGAACTCTGGAGGAGAATTCGTAGAATTAAATCAAATCCATGGAAGGCAGCGCAATGGACAACACCACCGCTATTTTTTTCATCATAACCCGTTCTGTACCTCCTCTTGAATGAGACTTTAGACGTCTCGCGCCTGTCGAGGAAAATTTCCACGATCCGGGCGTGGCCTTTTTTGACCGCCCAGAGCCAAGGCGAGTTGCCCCCCGAGTCCACTTCATCGACGTTCAAGTCTCCGCCATCAAGAAGTTCCAAAACCTTTCGGTCATCGCCGTTGCAGACGGCGGAGCGAAATTGTGCCGTTCTTAACCATAGGCGAACCTTTGGTTCCTGCTGCTCATCGCGGAAAATTGAGAGAATGAAACTCTCGTGGCCTAGCCGACCGGCCACTGAGAGCGCATCACGGCCCTTCCTATCCGTTGCCCATTTGTCGCACTGCATTGTGTCGGTGAGATATTTGGCCATGTCCGTCCGATTATACTCTGCTGCTACATTCATCGAGATGCGACCTTTATCATCTTCCAAGTTAGGATCCACCCGATATGCAGTGAGTAGTTGTCGCTCAATTTCTCGGCGCTCATCTCGAATAGCGAGGTTCAGATATCCGGTGTGTCTTTGTTTCTTCTTGGGATTTGACAAAGCTGACGAAGGGTATTTCAACAGCTCTGCGGCTGTAGCATCTAAGCCAAGGTTCGTAGCCGTTCTTAGGAAGCCATAGATATTGGCTTCGGTGAGATTTCCGTAAACCTTCAACAATCTCTCCGCCGTTCGTTCATCGCGGGAGTGCAGGGTCCGCTGGAAAAAAAATTTGGCATCTCTGGGTTCAACCAAGGACCAGTCAATCTTATCAAACATCTTCTCTAGCATCTCTTGCTGCCCTGATTGACGCGCCGTGTGTAAAACCCCGCTATCCTTACCAATTTTGTAGTCGTCAAACCATAGGTGGGTGTCTTTTCTGGTGAGTTTTCCTTCCCATTGTGATATCCAGAGCTCGAACGCTGCGAAGTTGCCGTTCCGGATTTCTTTGCGGATATCAAGCGAAGCCAAGTTGCCGTTCCAGGGAAAGGTGGTATCGTCATGGGATTTTACATGGTGGCTGTGCTTGTGCTTCTCGAGTTCTCCCGCGGAGCTGAAGCCGTTGACAGATGACGGGCATCCGGACCAGGAGCAAGTCCATGTTCTTTCGTGGTCCCAGCAATGCTTATCGCGGGCCGCTTCTTTAGAAAAACCTTCATGAAATGAGTGACACTGCATGTCAGAGCACTTGAAGATTTTCCCTCCATAAAGCGGTTCCAGATGATCACCTAGACGAGATACGGTGATCATCTTCTCCATGACACTGCGAACGCATTGTAATTGTGCCTGAAGCGCCAGAGTCAACGGCCCATCGTCAGTGGGTCTGCTTTGTTTATCAGGAAGCTGCTTTGTGTCCGCAGCAGCATGTCGGAGATCCTGGAAGAAAGGTTCCGATTGGAATATAGCCAGGCAGTTGTCGACTGATTTCGCCGGTCGAACTCGCTTTGTGGATGCGTTTACGCGCCTTGCGAGAAACGTTCGTAGAGTAGCGCAAATATTGGTGTAATCCGAACATGAACCTGCGGTGAATTGCAAACACAAGTCGTAAAGATGGTCGAAAGCGTGCAAGATGGCGTACTCAGTGAAGGCGTATTCTCCTCTGAGGACGCATTGTCGAGTAAACTCGTTGGAGATGTCCGGGTCATGTGAATTAAGAGTCAGGCATGAGAAGCAGATGCGGGTCATGTTGAGCTCCTCAAGTTGTCGAGGAAGGGCAGCTTGATCCTGGAGGAAGCTAGCAACAGTCTCTATCAGCAGGCCGTACAATAAAAGACAGATATAACCGGCGTAGCTTACAAACGCGCAGTGAGGTGCACAAAATCTATTGCTCCCCCTTGACGCAGCTCAACCAGCGATCCGCAGAAGTGCTTGATATCCCTGACGAGTCTTCTGTCCGGGTCGAACGATCCGTCATCCAAATCCAGGCACATGGATCCTTGAATTTCGTGCCATTTGAGGGGTCTTTTGGCGCACAACAGCCAGCTGAGCAGTGTCTTGGTTATCTGTTGATCTGGGGAGCTGGATTCGTGGAGTAGTCGATGTAGTATGCGGTCGTAACTAAGCGCTTGTCTCAGCCAATGTTTGAATTAGCTCATAGAGTCAGACTTACATTTCGTTGAGAGTAGGTGGTATCTTCCCCATTTCTTTCTTCAGCATAGCTCTAGAGACCTGGTTGGAAAGATTCTCCATGACAAGCTTCGCGTAGAGAAACATTCCTGAACGCCGTTAGCCTGTTCTCTTCGAAGGAATCAAGTGCATTTACCATCAGCCTTTTCGCAGACAAGCGCCGCCAAACCTCTAATATCTTCAGGCTGGAGTCTGAATGTCGTACCAATCTCTTGCACCTGTGTACGGCAGTAGTGGGCAATCTCTTCGTTGTTGTGTTGAGTAGTGATTCTCAAAGTGGGGTATGCTTTGAAGAGTCTTCCTGTTTCCTTGTCATCCTGGCTAAGAAAACAGCACCGCAGGCTCTCGGACTGATTTGATAAGGAACTGGAGAAAGAGGAACGAGCCCATGACCCTATTTCGTTTTTCTGTGCCTTAGGACACTCATCGATACCATCTATGATGAGGAAAAAGCAGTCAACAGCCTTGAAGGCGACCTCCAAGATTTCTTTCGCAGTCTTGGGTGACCTCAACTTCTCAGTCCCACTGGATGACATCTTTTCCACTATGAAAGCTTGTAGTGAAGGCATCAGGTAGGAAAGTTGAAGGATGAGGCTGCATGAGAATGCGACGAAGTTGTTACGATCGGGCCGATCATGTTTGCAGTAGAAGTACGCCACAGCAGCAGTGGGAATGCTGCGGCACTTTTCAATGATGACTGAAGCGAGTATTGTCTTGCCTAGCAAGGAATTGTCAGCAAATCGAGCTTGGATGCTAGGGAATCCAGCCGATCGTACCAGCTCCCGGCTTGCCATTGATCCACAAGAGCGGCTCGGCAAAAGATTGTGGATCGAGCCAGTCCCTTATCAGATCCTGCTGGAATAGCCACGAACCGCTTTGTGGGTTCTTTTCGAGCACCGCGAGCGCGTCGTCATGATCAATCGTGATGTCTTCGACGGAAAGCCACCGTGTAACTGCGCGTTTTCGCCTTTCGGCTTCTTCGTTCTGGGTTTGCTGCCACTGGGCCTCAAGAGACCTTCTCATCTCTCTCAGCTCTTGTGTAGCCTTCGCAGTCTCCTGTACCCCCACTAGTGTGACCTGACTATCGAGAAGTTCCCGGTGGAATCGTAGGTTGGACAGTATGCCGTCGAAGTTGGCTCTAAAGGTCTTCCATGTCGCGTGAAAGAGTTGTTTCCACGCTTTGAGGCTTGTCAGCCTGTCGACTCATGCCCGGGATACATGCTACAAACCTCGCTGTCGGAAATGTTTCAAAGCCTTGCAATGAAACTCCAGAATGTCCGTGTATAGAAAGCCCAGGACTTGATGAAGATAAAGGCCGCTGATGGTGAGAGACTCATACTGTGGAAGTAGCGGCATGTGCTCTCCGATCTGCTGATAGGCTTCGAGGAGCATGTTCAGAGCATCTGCATGGGATCCGGCGACCAGAAGCATGAACTTGGCGGGACCCTAGAACCTGGGTCAGTACTAGAAGAATCCGTATTTTCCCGTAGACCGCACCCAAATGAAGCCTAAGTAGTCTGATGCGTTGAGAAAGACCTGGACAACTTTGTCAAACTGGTCCATCGCCTCAACGAATGCTGTGAGTCGGTGTAGATTTTGCATGCGCTTCTCTCCTGCTTGAGTTTTCTGAAGTTGAAGGATGGCTCTCTTGAGGTCCTCAGCCGAAGTGAGCTGGAAATCGACGATTTCCTTGTCGGACAACTGGCCCTTGAACCTGGCGAGAGCCTGGTCAAAGGGCGATGTCGCTGCCGGCAACGGTGTCGGTAAAGCACTGACCGGAGCCGCCATTGTCGTAGAAGTTCAAGTTACTGGTGGTATGAAGCTAGGAGCAGACTGAAAGATTTCCTGAGCAGTTGACGGAGAGGAGTGCATGGGCAATATCCAGACGAAAGCGGGGCAGTAGCACGGTGCAAGTAGTGCTGCGCTCCACTTGTGCCTTGCTGCGCCATGTGGATTTGCATGACAACAATGCGTTCGACGTGGCGCATCGGGTATGGGTAGCGATGCAGCGCCATGTCACTCGCACGCACCAAGTTTAGCCAGATGCGCGGCGAAAAGTCAGCCTCGCTGCGCCCGTCACTCGCGTTGCATGGGTGTAGTAAGTACCATGACGTCCGCCCCACCGAGGCGACACTGCAGCCTAGCTCGCGACTGCGCTACACCGCTCTGTCTGCTGGTGCTGAAAATTGCCGAGCGCTGCAAGACTGACGGTTCGTGGACCCTCACTAGCTGATGGCCCGTCTCAGCCTCGCGAGTTACACTGGTGTCGCTTAGCCCCGCAGCGAGATGCGCACTGTTCTCTGCAATAGAATACTTCCCCTTCTCCCAACTCTCAATTCTCTCATACCTGCCCAATTCTGTCCGCAATATGGCCCAGAAAAGGACGGCATTGCAAGTTCCGCTGGAGGATACAAGGCTTGCGAAACGCCTTTCGCCGTCAGCAGGTTTGGATGTCGACTCAGCCTACTGCAGCCCCTCCCTGTCGCCTTGGACACCTAGTCATGCTACGCTGGGGTCGCCTTCAGACCTCAACACCGACACCCCCAGCACCCCGTTGCCGACGACACTCGGTCTAGAGGATGAAGTCTGCTATGGAATGGTATATGCACCACAGTTATTGGCGCGCAAATAATGCTTACAATCGATAGCTCTGCGGCGTCAAGACGCAGTTCCTAGATGACCCGCACATCGCATCAGTAGACGCAAGCAGCGATGGAGCTTCGAACAGCCACTACCTGCTCCAGGTAGTGATGAAACGCGTATACATGTTGCAGGCTCAGGACGGCACTGACATTGCCCTCATCAACACCGGGGCCGCAAAAGCCCTGCAGCGGTTGGATAGTGGGAGCCTGGCCCGGTACTCAGCGTACGTCAGCGTCTCTGAGTGGAACGAAAAGATTCGACTATTTAGGTTGAATGGGAAGTCGGTCCTCCTGGAAATTGACATCTACCTATTCGGAAACCCTACCGAGGCTCCGTCCGTCGGGAAGATGCTGTCCGACATCGGCCTCTTTCTCCAGCGTCCCGACTTTCTTCATGGCTCCATGCGGTATGAAAATCCACAAGAGATCGGGTTTGCATCCATTCGCGACTCAAGTCCGGGCTTGAGTGTCCCGGCCCTCACTCTTAGCTCCGTGGGCGACCTATCGGCAGATACCGTTACAGCAATGCTGAGCAACCTTGATCATGCCGATGAGTTGACAAATGCTAATGTGGACACTTCCATGATTGTTACTGAACTGAAACCGTAGGTTTCGGCCTTGTCGATTGTCTTTCCGGTGGATGAACTGACTGATCCGACATCAGATACCAAAAGGAGGCCGTGGACTTCATATACCAGCGAGAATCATCCAACGTCCCGAAAGCATTTTCACTGTTTAGACACCGAGTCGATGCTAGAACCCGAAGATAGTTGGTTGCATCCACTTCTTCTCTCTGAGAAACAACTTTGACTGATGTTCACCGTAGCTGGGAGAATATTGTTCTCGGGTGCAAATTGGTGGATGTTCCCAACGAGAGCTTTGGAGGCATTGTTGCCGATGAGATGGGTCTCGGCAAGACTCTCATGACAATCGCAGCAATTTGCATGAGTCTAGGACGCGCCCGGGTCTTCGCGAAAGCGGACGCCCGCCACGGAGCAAGAAGCAGAACGAAAGCCACCCTGGTCATCTGCCCCGCTGTTTGTAAGAAATTCTCATTGCAATTATCCATTGTGGCTGACTGACAATCAATATCTCTTAGTGCTTATGGACAGCTGGGCGGCAGAGGTTTTGAAGTGCGTTATTACACGACGAGCACTACCACTTTGGCTAACAGTCACAGACATACTACTCCGGGGTCACTGAAGTGCACGAGATATCATGGGACATCCAAGGTATCCACTGCCATGCTGATCGAGTCAGATATCGTCTTGACAACATACGCCACGCTTATGGCGGACTCCAATCGTAGTGGCATACTACACAGTATCCAGTGGTTTCGCATCGTTCTCGATGAAGGTGAAGCCCAATATTTCCCAGTTGATAAAGAAATACGCTGAGAAGTAACCACTAGCTCATTATATCCGCAATCAAAACACCAAACAATTCCGGGCAGTGCACGCTCTTTCCGCCAACCACCGCTGGTGCCTCACCGGCACACCCATCCAAAATTCCATCGACGACTTTGGGGCTCTGATTCGCTTCCTCCGCGTGCCCGACATGGAGCAACCCTCTAGTTTCCGCACATACATCACTGGTCCCATCGAGGACCGTGCCCAAGCAGGCGTCCAGCGCCTACGAGCTCTTCTCCAATGCATCTGCCTACGCCGCACCAAGCACTTGCTCGCCGACTTACCGGATCTGGAGGAACACATTGAGTCGGTGACGCTGACCGAGGACGAGCGGACGGCGTATGACCGCATCGGCGAGGAATACAAACGCGCATTCCACGACGCCTTGAGCGGCAGCAACCCCAGCGCAGCCCATAGGGTATTCTTTACGGCCATCATGCGGCAGCGCATCTTCTGCAACTCGGGGCTTTTCGCCAGCGCTGAATGCAGTGAGATGGGCCCCACTGAAGACGAGGAACTGTCACTGCTTGAGCAAGGGGACAGGGCGACATGTGCAAACTGCTGCTGCGTTGTGAGGTCCATCGGCGACGAGAAGTCTCTTCACTCGGGGATATTCCTGGAATGCTCGCACCTCCTGTGCCACGAATGCGTTTCGCAGGGAGAAACGCACACAGCATCGCTCGATAATCTGGTCAGGTGCTTGGCCTGTGACGCGTTCCGCCGACCGCATCAGACAGATTCGCAGGAAGAAAACTTCTCCGCAGCTACCACGAACCTCCCACAGGGCCACAGCTCAAAGCTAGCAGCCCTAGTCCACAACATCCTACACCACCCCACCGAAAAATGGTAACGCATCTTCCCCCCACCCCGCCAGCTCTCCCACCACACTAACCCAACACCAAACCCACCCAGCATCGTCTTCTCCTCCTGGAAACACACCATCGCCCTCGCCTCCGCCTACTTCTCCGCGCACAACATCCCCAACGCCGTCATCTCCGGGTCCGTCTCGACAGCCGAGCGACGGCGGCGCCTGGAGGCGTTCCAGCTGGACGCGGGCGTCCCCGTGCTGCTGATGACGCTGGGCACGGGGGCGGTCGGGCTGAACCTCACGGCCGCGAGCCGCATCCACATCCTCGAGCCGCAGTGGAACCCGAGCGTCGAGAAGCAGGCGGTGGGGCGGGCGGTGCGGTTGGGGCAGCGGAGGGGCGTGGTGGTCGTGCGGTATGTGGTTAGGGATACGGTTGAGGAGGTGAGTGTTCTGGTGTTCTAATTTCTGGGGGGGTTGTGTGCGTGGAGACTTGGGCTGATTTGTGTAGTATGTTCAGACGAAGCAGAAGAAGAAGACGTATTTGGCGCGGCTGGGTTGGGGGAGTGGGGTGGAGGGGTTGGAAGAGGGGGGGAGGTGAGTGTGGGGGGTTGCTGGGTGACCTGTGTTTCAAGCTGGGATGTGTGTTTGCTGCGTCTAGCGCCGGGTCGCACAGACGGTAATTGCGAAGGTTGGGCTACGAGACAGTCAAGGTGATGGAAGGCCAGATGGTGCATCTTGATGACATCTAGACGAAGACCCTAACGCTATGGGTATTTCAATGGCTGCTTGCTTTCTGGGAGACGGGGAACTGGCGCCAGCTTAAGCGTGCAGCGTTACAGTGGGTGTAGAAAAAGATCCAGCCACCTAGATCTATGTTTCATAAGGACAGTGAGGTCATATCTGGATGCATTTAGACGGTCTAAAATTCGTATCTACATCCGGATGTTTCCTTTCGCCACTTCTGAGCAAAGGTAGTGTAAGAAAGAATCTACGTTGGTATATTTGCTTTGATTATCAACGTATAAGTATTCCCCTAGGCCGATATCTTCGTCACCCAGTAAGGCATCGCACAGGAGACTGCACAAGCAGTAGTACTACTCAGCGAGCGTCTCAGAGTAGCCGTACTTCTGCCGTCCGAGAGCTTGTCCACATGCGTCGTCTCCTTTACACGTATTTGAGTGTCCGCGAGGATTACTCAGCCCTACGTCGATGGGCGAAACAGTCGAGCGGGGTAATCAGGCAACACAAAGGACCAACTACGTACGCCAAGAAATTAATAAATTTCAAGTCATAGAAGGTAGCTATAAATTGCGTAATGTTTGTCACTTGCCGTGGGTCCGCTTCGCCCCGCACCTTTCCAACAATGGCATCCAAACAGAACGAACAGGTAAGTACAGCCACCAATACCAGCACACGTACAACATTGGTCGCGTACTCACCACCACCGCTATGTCAGCCCTACTCCGAACAGGAGAAGCGCCTACTCCACCTCTACGGAAAATTGCCTCGCAAAGGCGACCTCCTCCATCACCAGCTCGAAGTACCACGCACCCCACACTGCGCACCGCACCGCCGCCCTTCTCTCGATCTCCCAGCCGCCCTCCCATAGGCTCACTATCACTAAACACCTGCCGGCACACAGTCCCGCCAATACTTTGACTCGGGCGATTTCGCCCTCTCGCAAGCCAGCGAACCGTCCAACATCGGTACCGTCCAAACCGGCACAGAACACCCCACCTCGAAGACGGTGTCTCATCCGTCAGCACCCGTCCCGAGTGGCGGAAACGTCGCTAGAGAGGCGAACGATCAGCACCGGGACGGGAGGACAATGTGCGCAGCGCCCGAGTCTCACCTACAGCAGCAGTCGTACGATGATGGTGCTGCTGCGGGAGGAGAGAAAGGAGTCAAGTGAAGATGCGGCTTCGCTGTCGATTGTATCCCTCCCCGTGGTTATTGAGCTTTGAGAGAGGTCCATTTTGATGATTTACGAAATTGACTTGGGATGGGAAAGTATGGCGACCTTGTGATTTTTTCTTGTTAGGATCCGGTGTTGAATCTGCAAGGGTACGACTCTTTGCATTGCTTGACCAGTGCTGCTGGACGTGTCATTATATACACCGATACACTGCTCACTATCTATGCACTAGGTCTAGTTTCGAGAAAGGGAAAAAAAAAAGGAAACAATATAAACAGTGAACAACAACAGTCGCCGTGCCTTCCAACAGACCAACCCCGGAAATGCCCAAAATGCAAGAACCAACGAGCAAAAACCAACAACCACCCATCTCCCACAACAACAACAACCCCCCTCCCCCCTCATCACCGCCTTCCCGCCCCCTTCCGCCCCACCGTCCTCAACAACCCATCCGGCAACTTCCTAATCGTCTCCAACCCCCCCATCGCAGCCCCCGCCTCCAGCGCCGGCCCCCGCGCCCTCCCCTCGCCCCGCCTTCCCCTCCTCCCAGTCCCAGCCCCCTTCATCACCACCCCCTCATCCCGTCCCCCATCCTCATCCTCATCATCCGCCAACCCCTCCTCCTCCACCCCACGCATCGCCGCATCCCCATCCAGCGCGGCAAGCCCCCGGCCTCTCTTCCGCTGCTCGTGCTGCGCGACCTGCAAGTCCTTCCGCCGCAACGAGATGCGCTGCTCGACGACCTCGTTGAAGCGGATGTGCGGTTTCTCGCTCTTGCGGGGCGGTTTCGCGGGTGCTGCGGAGATGCTGCTGCTGCTGCTGTTGCTGCTGTTGCTGCTGGGCGAGGAGGAAGAGGCGAGGAGGAGGAGGAAGTCCGGGGTGGAGTGGCTGCGGCCGAGCGGGCCGCCGGGTCGTTGCGAGGGAGAGGACTGTTGGGGGAGAGCGGCGGCGGCGGCGGCGGCGGTGGCGGCGTGTTGCGTGCGGAGGACGGAGAGGCTGAAGGAGGAGCGGCGCGTCATGGTTTCGAGGGCGTTCATTTTTTTGAGGATGGAGCGTGGACGCGGCCGTGGTGCTGCTGCGGCGGCGGCGGTCACGAGGGGGTCACCGGCGCGGACGAGGACGTCCCTGCGCGTCGCGGCGCCCGTGCCTGAGTCGCGGGTGGTGGATTGCTGTAGCGGGCCGTAGAGCCAGGTGATGTCGCGTTCCTTGAACCTGGGCGGGGTTAGGTTCGTGGTGGTAGTGAGGGATGGATAATGGGGTTCGGCTTACCAGTTCAGCGTCTCGGGCAGGACGGTGGCTAGCTGGAAGCGTGACTTGGCCCACGCGCGCCAGGATGCGTTCTCCAGCCGCGATACTTGGCCGTACTGGTGGCGGTTCACGGTGATGTGGCGCCACGACGAGCAGATGTCGTCTTCGTGCCAGTCTTGCGAGAGGTAGTCGACGTGGCGGGACGGGTCGGACCGTCGCAGGAAGAGGTCGTCTCGCGTGTCATGGGTATTTGCGGGGGCGGGGGAACCGTTTGTGAGACTTGTTACCGCACATGGGGCGATGGACTCGGGGCTTGAGAACAATGGAGGCGGCGAGGGCGGGGTGAGGTCGTCGTCATGGTTGTCTGCAATGGATGGTGGTTGAGGTGAAGGTGGGGTGGGTGTCGGTGCTGAGGCGGGTGCTGGGGTCGCAAGCAGGTCGTCGAACAGCGATCGCCTTAACTCGTCCAAAGAGAAACGTGACGAGGGATGGGAGCCTGAGATAAGGCCGAGATTGTCCATGTATTTGGTCGGCGTAAACGCGGGAGCCTGTAACGATCGTGTACCGCGGAAGGAGGGCGCAGAGTGTTAAGCATGCGATGGTGAAAAATTGCAGCGAAAATTACGAGCGACTCGGGCGGTCGTACGTCATGGTGGCGGCGTCACGTCATCCCGTCGGCGCAATCAAGGAAATACCGCCCTCGTCCGTACCGCGCCGGGGGCCCGTTTTCAACCGGTAATGGCGAACCGCGGCGCCGAGCGAATCAGAGCTGCTTTGTAAGCGGGCGGCCGATACGGCAGCGGCGCCATGTGGAAGCCAGGGCGGCGGTGCATGTGATTGGGCGACGCGGCGAGAGAGGGTGCAAGTCGCGTCTCCCGGCAGCTGCGGCCAACGCCATTCCGCCAACTCAGCTCTGCACGGAAAACACTCCGACCTCCAGGCTCAACAGTCATCTTGCCTGCGCCAGTGGGGCCACCGTCTTCACATCACTTTGTTGAGCGGCCGCTTTGTTGGGCCTCGGTTGCCTGCCCTCACACGTGTTTCACCAGCTATCTACTTATCCCCGGCACCACCCGACTATATCGCATGTCACCCGCGGCGCCTTTGCTCGCCGCCGCCCAACTATGATCGGCACCTCGACCGCCGAGTACATTTTCATACGTGCCTGCATCCTGGGCCTGCGCTCAGTCACCCCGCTTGCCCTGCTCTACTGTCTCGCCCGTGTTGTGCGCCCCCACGCCTTTCACCTGCCATTGATCTTCGACATCTGGGCCGCCGCCGAGGCCGCCTTCTACTTCTTCTTCTACCTCCCGCGCAAGCGCCAGCTGCAAAAGGCCGCCGTGCACCCGCCCGCCCCGACCCGCGACCAGCGCGCCCGCCTGTTCAGCCGCTGCAGTGACCATGTCCCCGACTTCGAGCGCTACCTGCGAGGATGGTTCATGGGCGCCCCGCTGTCCGAGATCAAACGGGAGAACTTGAGAGAGTTCCTTGCCTGGGCCTTCCTGGACACCGCCGACGTCCACTCCCTGGACGGCGACGAGTTTGACGGCTACATGCGTGACGTCGAGGCCCGTCTCGGGAAGCCCATCGAGAGCGGCAGAGGGAAAGCAAACGCTTTGCGCCTGTCGCTCGACCAAGTCCGCATGACACACCGGTCTTTGCTGTGGTACCTGGTACGTCCACCCCCCGCTCGTCACCACCTCCACTAATGCCCTGCAGTGTGTCTTTGTCGTCGACGCAATAGCCTCGACCCGCCTGTGGTACTACCAGTTCGACTACCACCGCACCCGCCGCCGCCACTGGTACTCGGTCCTACCGCCCCGCCCCCACAACCTCTTCGCCAAACACATCTCGCCCTCCCGCTCTATCACCTACTGGCACCGCCCTCACGCCGCCAAGGACATGCTCCCCATCCTCTTCATCCACGGCATCGGCATCGGTCTGTATCCCTACGTGAACATGCTATCCGAAATCAACGTCCCCTCCAGCACCCGCCGGACCCGCCACGACATCGGCATCATCGCCATCGAAATCATGCCCATCAGCTTCCGAATCACCACATCTCCCGCCCTGCGCAAGCGCGAGATGTGCGCCGAAATTGCCCGGATCCTTGCCTTCCACGGCTGGGAAAGAGTCGTCCTGGTCTCGCACTCGTACGGGCCTCCCCATCCCTCGCCGCTCTACCGCTACTCTACTGACCCGACATCACAGATACGGCAGCGTCGTCACAACCCACATGCTGCACTCGCCGCTCCTCTCCCCCGCCATCGCCTCCCTCCTCCTCATCGACCCCGTCACCTTCCTCCTGCACCTCCCCGACGTCGCCTGCAACTTCGTACGTACCGCCTGCATTCCCCCTTGCCTGGCTCACGCTCACACTCACCCGCAGATCATCCGCAAGCCCCGCCGCGCCAACGAGCACCAGCTCTCGTACTTTGCGAGCCAGGACATGGGCGTCGCCCACACGCTGTCGCGCTGCTTCTTCTGGAGCGAGAACATCATGTGGAAGGAGGACCTGGCCGGCCGGGACGTCACGGTGAGCCTGTCGGGGAGGGATCTGATCGTCGACACGGAGACGGTGAGGGGCTATCTGAAGGGGGAGGGCAAGTGGGAGGGGAAGGCGAGCGAGGGGAACGGCGTGGATGGGAAGAGGAGCGAGTTGGATGTGCTGTGGTTCGAGGATCTGGATCATGCGCAGGTGTTTGATACGGCGGGGAATAGGAGGAGGCTGATTAATGTGCTGGAGAGGTATTGTGCGAGGGTGTAGACGGGGTGGTTTTGTGTGGGTGAGGGAGGGGCGGCTTGAGTGGGCGAGTGCTTGGGATTAGAGGTTTTTTTGTCTCGGGGTTAGAGGTTGGTTTAGTAGGGACGCTTAACGATTTATAATGTCCACGTTTCTTGCTCTAGTTTAGACGAGATTGAATTAGCGAGGAAGCTAGGTATAATAGCGTCTTCCATGGCTTTCTAAGCAAACTTAAATTAGACCACCTTATAACTTCTTCGCCCAGCGAGCGTCGTTAAGCTACTGATAGGCTGTAAGAAAACTCGCCAATCTGGACGTCACTGAGCCTTGGCCTCGACAAGTCCCAATCGTCCCGCCTCATCCCTCGCCGACCTCATCCCCATCCCCCTCGCAAAGCGCCCATATCTTTCTTTTCATCAACGTCGCCCGTCTAGCCACTCACGCCATAGAACAAGAGCGACATAGATCCAGCTTTCCAACCCCGTGACGCGCGACGCCACCGATTGGCTGCTACGCTCGCCGCTAGAGAGAGTGCACTTAGCACCGACAGTAGGGCGGGGAGGATGAACCATCTCCAGTGAACCTTGACGTACGTCTCGGACATGAACACTTTACGATTTCGCGGGTTTAATTAAAGTTGGCGCTATAAATGTTTTGAACAACGAAGAATGGGGTGAACCCGTTGCATTAATAAGAAATGAAATAAGTTACTAGATAATTATAAACAACTTGTATAAAGAATACTAATATCAACAGACTTTAACGTCCCTAGCGAATATACCTGGTATTCCATCCACACAAACCCGACTGACCCAATTAAAATCTGGCACAGCCTACACGCCTCGAAGGCAAAAGAGTGGCGCGTCTTACCGCAAAGCTGCGGAATAAACCTAATGAAATGTAAGCAAGCAACAATCACATCGCACTCGTAAGCTCAAACAACCAAACTGTTTCCCACAACTAAAACCTTCTCTCACACCATTCGCCTCACAGCTCTCCCTCCTCTCCTCTACCACGCAGCCGGGGGATCGCCAGACCGGCGGCCGTCGGTGACCTCCGGGAAGAACATGGCCTCCTTGAACTGCGAAATAGTGGAATCGGGCCTCACGACGGAAATCGTCGCGCTGACCGAGATCTTCAAGCCAGCGACCTGCGCCGGATCCGCCTGACAGCGGTTGGCCTACAAACATCACCGTCAGCATACCGCTCGACACACACGCCCAACGCAAAAAGGGAAGAGAGAGAGAGAGAGAGAGAGAGAGAGAGAGAGAGAGAGAGAGAGAGAGAGAAAGGGAGAGAAACAGAAACAGAAACAGAAACAGAAACAGAAACAAAAAAAAACCACTCACATCCGCAACCCTCCACGCCAGCCCCCTCCTCAAAAACGGCACCACATCATTCGGGCTCAAACTGCCCAACCTTGGCCCCCCTCCCCCTCCGCCCTCATACCCCGCCTCGACGTAGTCCAACAAAATCGGCGTGACGACACTCGTCCCCGTCACCCGCAGCCCCTCGTCCGCCTGCAGCGCGCAGTTGTCGCACGCCTCGCGCGGCGCCGCGAAGACGTGCGTCACCCCCGCGAACACGGGCGCGGACTGCCACTGCGCGGGCGCGGCTGGGATGGCGCTGGCTTCGCCGACGAAGAAGTAGATGGTGAAGGCGCCGTTGAGGGCGTCTCTGTGGGCGGTGAGTGACTTGGGTTAGCTGGGGGGTCGCGTGTTGGGGAGAGTGGGAGAGTGGGGGAGTGGGAGAGGGGCGGATTTGTGTGTGGTTTGGGGAGGGGAGGGGAGACGCAACTTGTTGACTTCGGTGTCGATGTACCAGTTCAGCGAGAGGCGGCTGCCTGGCGGCTCTTTGCAGAGGATCTCGTCGCCCTTGCGGAACGAGGGGATGTGGTCTGGGCCGTGCTGGGGTTGCGGGCCGCGGTCGTCGTTGAAGCCCTGGTTCTGGCTCTGGTCTTGGAAGCCTTGGTTCTGCGATGATCCTGGGGCGCTGAAGTTGCTGATCTGCCGTCCGGCGTTTTCGAATCCGGGGGTCCAGCCGTGGTTGTTGCTGCTGCCGCTACCGCCGTGGAAGCTGCTGCTGGCCTGGTGTCCGGCGTTTTCAAACCCCTGTGTCCAGCCGTGGTTGGTGCTGCTGCTGGTGTTGCTGCAGGCGGCGTTGTTGCTGCTGTTCCAGCTGCTGGCTTGGTGTCCGGCGTTTTCGAACCCGCCAGTCCAGCCGTGCTGTCCGCTGCTGTCGAACGCGGTGCTTCCGCCGGTGTTGTGTGCACCTCCACCGCTGCCTCCTGCGTGTTGTCTTTCACAGCCGCAGTTGGTACAGCGCGTGTTGGCGCCGAAGCCGTGGTTCTGGTGTGCGGTGCCGCAGTTGTGGCAGTGCGTGGTTTGGCCGCCGCCGCTGCTGCAGGCGCCAGTGTGGTGCGCGTTGCTGCCGCAGTGGGTGCAGTGGGAGGTATTACCGCCCCAGGTGCCGGGCTGAGGTCCACTGCTGTTGCAGGCTCCGGTATGGTGGGTGTTGCTACCGCAGTGGTTGCAGTGTGAGGTACCCTCGGCAGGGCCATGACCGGGTTGCGGTGCAACTGGCCCGCCGCAGCCCTCGGTGTGGTGGTTGTTGCTGCCGCACTTGGCACAGTGGGGGGTAGTCCCAGGGCCAGACGGGCCTGGCTGAGGCACGTTGCTGCCGCAGGTCTCGGTCTTGTGAGTGTTGCTGCCGCACTTGGTGCAGTGTGTGCTCGTGCTGCAGCCTTCGGTCCGATGGTCTTTGCTGCCACACTTGGTACAGTGTGAGGGGCTGGTGCAGGTCTCGGTGCGGTGGTCCTTGCTGCCGCATTTGTTGCATTGTGTCTTGTTGTCGCAGGGCTTGTTCTCGTGGTGAGGTTTGTTGCAGGTCTCGGGCCGGTGATCTTTACTTCCACACTTGTGGCAACCCTTGTTCTCGTGCGAGGGCTGTCTGTTGCAGTTGTCGCCCCGGTGGTCCTTGCTTCCACACTTGTGACAACCATTGTTCTCGTGCGAGGGCTGTCTGTGGCAGTTGTCGCCCCGGTGATCTTTGCTTCCACACTTGTGACAACCCTTGTTCTCGTGCGAGGGCTGTTTGTTGCAGTTGTCGCCCCGGTGGTCCTTGCCTCCACACTTGTGGCACTGCGTCCTCTCATCACAGTGTTTCTTTTCCTGCGGGCGTCCACCAAACTCCCCCCTCCTTTCGTGATGACCTCTACCGGCGTCGCCGTGGCTCTTGTCTTGAGGTCCCCGACTTCCGACAGCCTCGTGAGCGCTGCCGCCGACATCGACAAAGCCACCGCCGCTGGGTTGGTGTGCAGCACCCGGGTTGAATCCTTGATTCTGCGACTCCGAGGCACCTCCATAGCCGCCGCCAGCCTGGTACTGGCCGCCACCGAACCCCTTATTCTGGGACTCTCCACTTCCCCAGCCGCCGCCCCCGCGAGCCTGGTACTCACCACCACCCTGGAACCCCTTGTTGTGGGACTCGGAGCTGCCGCCGCCGTAGCCACCGCCAGATTGATGGGCACTGCCGCCCTGAGGCTGGAAGCCCTTGTTCTGCGGCTCGCCGCTGTAGCCGCCGACCTTCTGCAGCGGACTGTCCCAGCTGCTGCCGGCTTTGTACTCGCTGCTGCCCCAGCTGCTGGTCTGCTGCGCGGCATTCGCGTAGGCGCTGCTGCTGCTGCTGCTGCTGGCGTGGTACGCGCTGGTGTTGGTGTTGTAGCCACTGCCACGGCTGTCGTGCGCGGTGCTTGCGTAGTCGCCGATCTTGCGCACCGCAGCGCCGCCGTCGTAGCCGCCGACCTGGTGCGAGGCCGGGTGATAGCCCTTGTTCTGCGGTTCCTTGATTCCGCCATAGCTGCGGCCGGGTTCTGGTTTCTGAGGCGCGGGCTTGTTGGTGCAGTCGAGACAGTGGACGTTGCTGCCGCCGCAGCTGCGGCAGTGCATGCTTTGGGCGCCGCAGTTGGAGCAGTGCACGGTGGCGGTGCCGCCATGGCTGCTGCTGGTGGTCTGCTGGTGGGCGGTGCTGGTGCTGCCGCCAGTGTAGCTGCCGGCTTTGGTCTCGCTGCTGCTGCTCGTGTTGTAGGCGCTGCTCTGGTGCTGTTGTTGGTGCTCACTGCTGCTGCTGCCGCTGCCGCCGCCGGTGTAGCTGCTGATCTGGCGCTGCTGGTCGCCACCGCCGTACTGGCGTCCCTCGAAGCCCTTGTTTTGGGATTCGTTGCCACGGTAGCCGCCAGCCTGGTGTCCTTCAAACCCCTTGTTTTGGGATTCGTTGCCGCGGTAGCTGCCAGCCTGGTGTCCCTCAAACCCTTTGTTCTGGAACTCGCCGTGGCCGCCACTCTGCTGTTCTTGGAAGCCCCTGTTCTGGGACTCACCATATCCACGACTCCCATGGCCCTCAAAGCCCTTGTTCTGGGACTCCTGACCGCCATACCCACCACCACCGGGCTTGCCGCCGCCAGAGTAGTCCGTCCGGGGCGTGTCCCTGCCACCACCATACGCGCTGCTGCTGCTCCCGCCCCACGCACTGCTGCTACCATACGCGCTGGCCCCACTACTCTCACTATGCTCCATCCGCCGCTCCTCCGACGACCACGTACTACCGCCTCCCCACGTCGAGCCGCCGCCCGCGCCATCCCCCCCTCCATACGCGCTATCCCGCTTCCGATGGCCCTTGATCTCGCCGAGATATCCCGAGCCCGTGTAATCCGGCTTCGGCGTGTGCGCGCCGTACCCTTCCCCACCGTGCGCCGTCAGCTGCATCCGCTGCTCCTCCTCCCGCGGCGCCGCCGCCGCCTCCACCACCCTCACCCCCAGCCTCGCCTCCCACCCCTGGAACCGGAACACCTGCGCGCCCCGCACGTCTCGCGGCTTCATCTTGCTGGGGACGTTGTTGTTGCTGCTGCGGCCCCCCTGCTGCTGCTGCTGATGACGACGTCCACCAGCCGGCGCGCGCTGCAGGCTCCAGCGGTAGTTGGCGTCGAAGTTGGCGAGGATTGTGGCGCGGTCGGCACCGCCGTCGAGCAGGTCGGGGTAGGTGTAGCCGAAGGATCGGGTGTCGCGGGCGTCGGCGGAGGTCCAGAAGCAGGTCTGGCCGTTGACGATGGCGCGGCGGAAGGGGTAGAGGTTGGTGGTGGCGTTGGGGAGGGAGGGGGTCGGCGAGTGGGCGGGGAGGAACTCGGTGTGGAGCGCTTGCCAGATGGTGAAGATGCGGTCGATGTTGCTGGTGGGGGGGAGAGGGGGTGTTAGCGGTGGTGGGAGGGGAGGGGTGGGGACGAGACGCACGCGTGGTGCAGCCAGAATACGGGGTCGAATGCTGCGACTGGGATGCGCGACATGTGTCCTGCGCCGCCGATGTTGACGTGGTACGAGCCGTGGAAGTCCTCGAGCGAGCCGCTGGTCGCGTTGGGCGCGTCCGAGAAGGCGGATGTGGCGAAGTTGCGGTAGTCGGCGTATGGGGCCGTCTCGATCAGGTCGAGCATGATGCGGAGCTCGGCCTCGCGGTCGCGGTTGAGCACGAGGTCCAGCGCGTCGAAGTCGTCGACGTTGTTGTTTTCCGGCCGGGCGTGGCGGACGGTGTGGGTTTGGGCGACGGTGAAGGTCGGGCCGCCTCTTGCCGCGGCTTTCTCCTCGGCTTCCATGACCGCCCACTCGTTGGGGGCGATGCTGCCTGTGGTCGGGAAGACGAAGGACTTGAGTGGGTTGTCCATTGGCACGGGGCACGCCTCGTCGTTGGGCTCTTGCGTCTTGGGCCTGTAGACCATCAACTGCGGTTCTTTCAGCACCGAAGGGAGGCGGAAGTCGTAGGGGAAGCATGTTTTTCCGCCGGGACCAATGCCGGGAAAGACGGTGTTCTTCTCCTCACGTGGGTGGAAGTAGTCCCAGTATGGGAGCCGGAACTTCTGAGCGGCAACGCGGTACTTGGGGTCGTCGAACTGCGCAGCGAGTTGCTCCATGGTGTTGTAGATGGTTTGCTGGACCGATAGTCAGACGCGGCTTTTCGCAGGCAGGGGGGAATGGGTCGACCTACCTCCATCATGGCCAAGTAGGGACGGTGCCATGTCGGGAAAAGAACCGAGTTGTGGGTGCAGTATCCCCCAACCTCCTTCTGGTCTCCACGAACATTATCCCATTCACGCTTAGGGAGTCCATGGATACCTGATCGTGTCAGCAAGGACTGGCTCAATGGGAAGGATCATGAGTATAGAACAGACCGGCTACTTGGAAGTAGGACATCTTGTCCTGCCAGCCTCCATAGTCCCTTTGAAGAGCCTCGAGCGCAAGCAAGAACAGATTGAACATTTCAGGCTCGTTCACCACGAGATCATCGATCTCACGGCGCGGGTGGACGTCCGAGGCCGTCTTGAGGCCGGTCACGACGCCATAGGCCTGGGCGTAGCCAAGAGAAGTCATGGTGGGCAGTGGGTTGGCATGTGCGCGGAGATGCAAGCTCACTTCTGGTCCCAGAGTACCGTTTGCACTGGCTTTATAGACATCCGCACAAGGAGAAAGCAAACCCCATATCGTCCCAAATAAACCCCGCTGACAGTCAGCAGGCCCACTTCGGCATGGCACTCTCTCAGCTGGGACGGTAGCTGCATATTGATTGTCTTCGATAGTCTGGGTGCTCTGTGGCTCAGATACAGTGGCTGCATATCCCTTGGCTTCAGCCAGCCATGCTTCTAGACCACGATTCCCCCTTTCACGTGGACTGTGAAATGTGGTTGGGCGTGCCAGTAGCTGGTCGGGAGTGCATCAAGCAGCCCAATAACGGTTCCAGTTTACCGTCAACTAGCTGAATCCAACCCGAATCCTCCAGAGGGCGGTGCGGGGGAGATGGAACACTTGGGCAAACGGAATGAAATTCCACGTGCTCTGAGTAATATTTCTAAGTTATCTGCGTAAGCGGCACTAGCCGGATCGTCGTCGGGGTTGCGTTCCAGCTGAACCCTTCCCCGCACCAGCCGTGCCGTTAGCGCTAGATGCAAGCCCGATCCGCTCGAATCGAAGCGTTACACTAGCCCGACGCGGAATGATGTCGAGCGTTAGCAGCGATAACCTTTGTCTAGGCCCCATTCTCGAGCTTGTTCCCCGGTCAGATTTCTTATCCAGCAAAATCCCACATGCATCGACTCCGAATCTGTCTTGGTAATTGTATCAGGCCCTGTCATCTCGTATCTCGGAGGTGTTTCCGTCGTGTGGGGAGGGCCACATCCTGCAGCTTCGTAGCTGGAATCCCGCATACCCACCAATTTAACACGAGCTCATGAAGCCGTGGGTCCGACGGTCTCGCAGGCGGGAGGACCTGTATCTCGTCACCCATGCTTCGTGCGGGGTATTCGGTGGCTATTGAAATGGCCAGTAGCCGGTGGTAGCGGCTGGCCGTGCAAAGGAACGCTTGGCAAACTTTGCTGTTGTTTGGTATGGCAGATGGCTAGCACTGAAAAGGGCTAGACGCTATCAGTTAGTGGGCGGAAGTAGATATATGAATAATGGATCAAGGATAAAACGTAGATGATGATCCAATCACCACACACTTATTATATCTTCATCCACTTTCGAGTTCAATGCCGGCATATCATATCGTATCTTTTCTCGATTTAGTGACTTTGAGCATGTATTCCGGTACCTCTGGTTTACTAGCACCACTGCTAAATTATTTCCACGTTCCTTTTGCAGTAGACGAGATTTTATTTGAACGTAGTAGACGTGCTCGGTTCAGGAAAGGCCAGAATATTAGTTTTACCATCATCAGACTATTGAGCAGTTTTTGACTGAGAACCGAGATTGCATTCCAGTGAAAGAAGCAGCCAATACCCACTGATGTACGAAGATGGAAAAAATGAAGACCCAACGACAACGAAAGCTCTCTGAAAGCAACAGATACGCACAAAAAGCATGGTGACAGCCCAGCCCCCGACCGCTGTGAGGCTGCTGGCCGCCATCTCCAAGGATACAGCCTCTACAGCCCCCATCCCTCGCACCAGATGTCCACCCAGTCCGCTCCCACCGGCTTCAAGTTCCTCAACGTTTCGCTCCTCTTCACCGTCTCCTTCGTATCCAACCTCAGTCCAGCAAACGGCCCCTTTTCCTTGGCCTTCACCTCCTCGCCCATGCCCTCGAAGAAATCCAACAGCTTGATCCCCGGACACTTGTTCGGATCGGCATCCGGCTTCGCCGCCTCGTCCTCCAACCTCCTCAACCACTCCGCATACTCGACCGCCGGAAACAACTCCCCCTCCCCCTCCCCCAACCTCCTCCTCAAGGCCGGCAAAACAACCTCCGGATACGAACTCACCCTCGGATTAACCAAATGATCAAACTGCACAAACGCCTCCCCACCCCCTTCCTTCCCCGCACCCCCACCCAACCTCCCCAAATTCTCCCCCACCAAATCCACCACCACCCCCGCCACCACATCCACCGGCACCCAATCCGCGCCATCCATGCTGCCCAGCCCCCCAGGCAGCGCCCCCAGATGTTTCGACGACCGCACCAGCGACGGGAACCACTCGCGCTCGTTCCACTTCCCTCCTCCTCCTCCTCCTCCGCGCCCGCGCCCCACCGGCCCCGCTATCTGCCCCGTCCGACACACGGCGACGGGCACGCCGCTGACGCCCGCCGCGGCCTCCAGCAGCCTTTCGCCGACGTACTTGCTCTCGCCGTAGCCGCCGGCGCTGGGGACCGCGACGTCGTGGATGGGGCGTTCAGGGACGAGGGGGGTGCCGGGGTTGACGCTGGGCCAGTTGCGGGTTGTGTCGATGGTGCTGGTGAAGAGGATGGGGACGGGGGTTGTGGGAGGAGGTGGAGGCGGCGTGGGAGAGGTCGATCATGTTGCGCACGCCGTGGACGTGCGGCTCGAAGGAGGCGAGGGACATGTTGAAGTCGACGGCCCAGGCGTTGTGGATGATGTAGCGGGTGTGGGCGACGAGGTCGGCGTAGGCGGTGGGGGTGAGGCCGTGGCGCGGGAGGTTGGGGTCAGATTGGAGGTGGGTGACGCGGGTGTCGAGGTCGGTGGTGGGGAGGCCGCGGGAGAGGTGGAGGGCGTGTTGTTTTTTGGCGGTGGAGGTCGGGTCGCCGCGGTTGAGGCAGTAGATGTGGGAGATTTTTGGGGAGAGGAGGAGGGCGCCGAGGATGTAGGAGCCGAGAGAGCCGGTGCTGCCGGTGAGGACGACGGAGATGGCGGAGGAGGAGGAGGAGCCGTTGTTGTTGTTGAAGGGGGTGAGGGAGTCGGAGCGGGGGGCGTCGGCGTCGGAGGGGCGGGGGCGGTGCGGCAGGTCGTGGGCGTAGCGGAGGTAGAGTTCTTTCATGGCTTTGGCGCGCTCCTCGGCGTTGCGCAGACCGGCGGTGCCGTCGTCGCTGGCTGCGGCGTGCAGGGCGGCGGCGAGCTTGCGGCACGAGGGGTTGGCGTAGACGAGGGACAGTGATACCAAGTCGGGCGAGACGGGGGCCTGTTCGGCGGCCAGCTGCGACTTGAGGCTGCGTACGACGTTGAGCACCTGCAGCGAGTCGATGCCGGCGCTGAAGAAGTCGTCGTCGGGGCCCAGCTGGCGGTCGGTGAGGTTGGCAAAGAGGTCCTGGAGCGCGGCTTCGGTCGAGGCGGTACTTGGGTCGTCGACGTGCAGCGGCAGGGCTGACGACAGGGCGATGCTGGAGCGACCCGCGTACAGGTCGTCGATTTCGCGGGCGTAGGCGGCGAGGGTGGCTTTGCGGATGATGGTGCCCTTGCCGGCGCGCGTCATGGGCTTGTCGGGCGAGGTGAAGAGCACGCGGTCGCGCGACAGGCGGGCGTGGGCGGGGGCCGCCTTGTTGGCCTTGTCGATGAAGGTGGTGATGGCGGCGAGGTTCTCACCTGGCGTATTCTCCTGCTGGGCCTTGTCCGACAGCTCGACCAGGGCCGCCGTCTCGAAGCGGCCGTGGCCCAGCACCACGACGCCCGACACGCTGGGGCACTGGGCGAGCTGGCCTTCCATGGGGATGGGCACCACCTTCTCGCCGTTGGACAACACGAGCACGTCGTCGGACCGTGCCCGGTGCTGCCACATGTTGGGCTCGGTCGGGTGGTGCGCGAACAGGTCTTTGGTGTGGTACTCGTTGTCGTTCGGAAAGGTGCTGAAGGTCGAGTGGAAAGCGTCCGTGTCTGCGTCGCGCACGATGACCAACTCGGCGAAGTCGTCCTCCTCCCGCGCCCGCATCTCGATGCCTTTCATCTGCGGCGGTACCAGGATCCAGTTCCACTCCTTCAGCGGCACGAAGTTGTACGGCGGCAGCGCGTTCTCCGTCGTGCCCAGCAGATTGACAACCGGCGTGTGTTTGCTGATGACATCGCCCAGATCTTGCGAGAGAGGCCCTGCAACAAGTCAGCCGACGTGTCAATCCAATCCGTGTCTGGACTGCCCCACCTCCAGAAAAGCAGACAAACCGCAGCTTCTCCAGCTTCGGCAGCATCCTCTGCTCCAGCGCCACGTCCTCAATGACGGACGGCGGCAAGAACATCCAGTCAAACCGCAACTGATCACTATCCAGCGCCTTCTCGACCAACCCCGCGTTCAGCGGCTCCCCCATCGGCGCATACACGACGTGTATATCAAAATACACCGCCGCAAACAGATTCCACATCAACCCCGCAGCCTGTCATACACCGTCAGCCCAGCCTCCAGTTCCATTCCATCCACCCACTCACATGAAAACACGGCATCGGATTAAACACCGTCGACCCCTCACTCGCCCTCAACACATCCCTCACCCCCTCCGCCGGATCTTCCACCAAATGATGCGCATCCAACGACGCCATACTCCGATTCGTCACCACAATCGGCTTCGGCGGCCCCGTCGACCCACTCGAATGCAACACCACCAGCGGCTCGTCCCTCCCCTCCTCCCACGTCCTCTCGTACGGATACCGCTCCACCTCCTCACCCCCCTCCTCCTCCCCTCCCAGCAACCCCTCCACCGGCACCGTCACGCACCGCACCGTCCCCCTCGCATCCAGAATCCCTTGCACGAGATTGCTCCGCGGGCCCCGCAACAGGACATCGCACCCCGTCGCGTCCAGCAGGTGCAGCTGCGCGTCGATGCTGTTGCGCGTCGATGGGAGCAGCAGCTTGTACCCGACTTTGGCGCAGGCCAGCAGGACGATGTAGTAGAGCGGCCCGTTGAGCCCGATGAAGGCGAGCGTGGGGTGGGTGCCGCGCGGGGGCGCGCCGAGCGTGCGGTCGAGCCACCAGGCGGTTTTGTCGATGCTGTGGGCGAGGGTGCGCCAGGTGAGGACGGTTGGCTGGGGGGAGGAGGGCGAGAGGGTTGCGGGGAGCGTGCAGTAGATGCCGGTGGGGTTGGTGTGGGCTTTCTGCTCGATGAGGGGGATGATGAGGCGGTGGCCGTAGTCGGGGGTGGTGGGCATGGTTGGTGGTGGGGTGGTGTTTGGTCTTTTTGGGAGTTGCTGCTTTTGTGGCGGTGGGAATTAAGGCGGTTGGTTTTGCGGCTGAATGGGTGGATGGTTCGTCGGCCGGTTTGTAGCAGATCATGGACTTCTTTATACAGGAGGGCGAGCGGGATGGCCGGCTCGGTGAATGCATGCTGTCCAGCATGGTGCTTGGTTCCTCGCACGACGGACGCGTCCGAGACGCGGTATGACGGCAGCGATGGGAGCGGGAGGGCGGGGCGGGCGTGGCGTTCATGCCGCCGCGGAACATGTCGTCCAAGGCCCTAAGGCTATCAGATGCGGCTAAGGCAAAGATTGTCGTAGCTAGAGTTTGTTGCTGGCCCGAAGCGGCTAGCTTTGCGCAGCTGGCTCGGCCGATGCAGACCGATCGTGCTTTCCAACGGTCCGAGCGGCACGGCAAACCGCTTCCTGAGCCAAAGTCACTCCCGACCGACGCTCCTGAGCCAATGGACGCAGCTCAATCCACACAGGGCCGCCGACTAAGCGGGCGACCCAGCAGCGCTCGCCACTCGGGTTGCCGATGTCTCAACCGCGGATCCTGAGTCCGGCAGACGGATCGCTCCTCAAGTACTCACTGTCCCCCGTGCTATCCTGGGTGCTACTGGCCCAGTGATACTGACCTGTTTGCGTAATTTAAGATAGAGAGATGGTGCACTAGACTTTATATTGTGAGTAGATCTGGAGATAATGCTTCCCAGCTGCGCTTAATGCGTCGCCGTTCAATATGCATAACATACCGGCATTTGAGCTCATATACGCGTACGTAACTAATGATACAAACAATTAAAGCACATATGATAATGAGACGCCGTAAACCACCAGATTGATCTTTGGAAGAGCAGCAGACGATCAAAGTACAACCTTACCCTGAAACGCAAACATCAAGCTCAATCCACAACATCGAACAAAACCGGCTCATTCACCTGCTCGACCGGGATTGATGGCCTTCCCCTCGGTCCAGGCTTCCACCTCTGCACCTTCTCTTCGACCGTCCCCTTCAACAACTCCTCCCTCTTCCCAAACATCCAGCGTCTGAACCCACTCTTCGCTCCCTTCGACAACTCCACTCGGTACCTACTCCCCTTCTCCAGCGTCTCCAGCCCCTCGTTCGGCCCCCCGAGCGTATACTCAAACCGCCACGTCGCACCCGGCGCAATCTCGACAAACTGATCGTCGTCGGGAAACTCCCCCCACGGATCTGAATCAAAACACTGAAACGCCCACGGCCACTCGGGCTCCTCGCCCGTCTCCTCATCAACGCAATACACCAGCTGCTCGACGCTGCTCAGCCCACCCCCCACCGGCAGCATCGCGCCAAACGGCGTGCGCTCCGTACAGAACGTAACCGGCGGCGCCTCAGCCCCAGCGGCGGGAGGAGCCTTATACGTCAACTCCGCGACGAACTTGAACGGCGGCTCGCCCGACAGATGCGCCACCCCCGGCTCGACGCCAAAGATGCATTCGAACACCGGCGGCGTAGGGTCGTCGTACACGGCGAAGCGCACCGCCGAGTCGCGGTCCAACGCCACGGGAAGCACTCTACCCGCCGCCTCGTCGTTGGCGTCATCGTCGTCGTCGTCGTCGTTAACAACGTACTCGCACCACGCCTTGTCGTCATCCGCGTCCGCCGCGAAGCGCAGCACGTACGCCGCCCCCGCGCGCAGCTTCTCGCGCCACACCGGCGCCGTCGAGTCGAGCACCAATCCCGCGGCGGCCTGCGCGCTGCGCGGGCTGGGTTTCGGCGGGACGAGGTGTTGGCCTGCGGGGACGGGTTCGTCGCGGGGGAAGTCGACGACGGTGTTGGTGGATTCTTCTGATAGTTCGAGCAATCCGGCGCGCAGGGCGGCGAGGACGTCCAGGCGGCGGCGTTCGGTGGAGGTGAGGCCGCGGCAGGAGAGGAGGATGGGGCGGGTGGAGGAGAAGGTGGTGATTTCGAGGTTGTTGAGGGCGGAGAGGGAGGGTTGGTGGAGTTGGAGGATGTCGGCGCCGGCGGAGACGCCTTGGCGGAGGGAGAGGGTGAGGGTGGGGGGTTTTCGGGTGGTGGTGGTGGGGGTAGACATTTTGGGAGGTTGAGGGTGGAGTTGGGCTTTCGAGGCTTCTTCCTCGTGTGGGGTTTTGTATATTAGTGGTGTCGTGAAGAACAATACCTAGGCAGAAGGCGTGGTGGCGGTGAGGTGGGGGCGGGCCGCTGCGGCTGCTGCCTCGTGCGGGCCGTTGCGGGTCCGTTGACGTCATGTGGTCCGTTTATAGAAACCTGGTCGCCTATTTTTGGCAGTCTGTTATTTTCAGCCGCAACTCTCAGCTTAACGAAGCAGACCCTCTCGATCGTCAACAGCCCCCATGAAAATCAACGGTCGGCTCTCGGTAAGCACTCACGCCGGCTGTACCTGCATATGTCGTGTGAGACCAACCTGTGGCCTGGCGGATTTGCTTGAACCAGGTCTTGGCGTTGCTTCTCCCCGCGCTTTTCCTGACTCAGTGCTGGAAACGTCGATCCATCTCCACATTCTCAACCTGCTACTGCGCCTCAGCCGCCTTCCTTCCAGCCAACACCCTCAGCCATCCTTTGCAAAAATATCACTCCCGTGCGACAATGTCACAGTGCAGACCTGGACAACACCAACTGCGCCCCAATCTCCCAACATCGAAGGAACTCGCTTCGCTCAGGTCGGCTTTCCGCCCCCAGCATCTTCACCGCACGGATATCTTTACTCGTCCGACGACATGTATAAGATTCAGGCTTTGGTCCATGGAAAAGGACATCAAATCAATCCAGTAACACACCATCACTCCAATCAAACATCACCAGTTCCACAAGACCCATCTCGACACCAAGAAACCCAACCTCTCTACCTCTCCAACTTCCACGAACAATGTCTCTTCTCAAGTCTGTGATGCTGGGTGCCCTCGCCCTCTCCCAGTTCACCCAGGCCTACCCTGCTCCGGACCAGGGTCTCGAAGCCCGCAAGCTGTACCAGGTGGAAGACGCCATTTCCGGCCTCGAGAGGCGCAAGCTCTTCAATGTCGACGACATCTCCAACGACGACCATAAGAAGGCCCTCAAGACCGGCCTGAAGGACGCGGTCGAGGTCGCTTCCACGGCGCTCGACAAGATGGACGACGAGAAGTACAAGTCCTACCTCTCGGCCTGGTTCGGCGACGACGACAACCACCGCGACACGGTGCGCCAGGTCTACAAGAACTTTGTCGGCTCCAACCACAACAAGGAGGGCGCCGACGTCCTCGGCAACGTCATCGTCCACAACGACGACTACCACGAGATCAACGGCCAGAAGTTCTGCTCCATCAACAACAACGGCAAGACCGGCACCGCCTACTACAAGGTCAAGGACAAGAAGCCCGGCATGCACTTCTGCCCCAAGTTCTTCGAGCGCAAGAGCAAGGACGAGTACATCAAGGACAAGTGCGCCGGCATCGCCCAGCACATCAACACCGGCAGCATCGGCCGCGTCTTCCAGGGCGCCAACGTCCTGCACGAGTTCATGCACTACTCCAAGGTCGGCAAGGAGGCCACCGGCACCCAGGTTGCCGACCCGGCTTACGGCGCCTACAACTGCTACAAGCTGAAGGATACCGACAAGACCCAGACCATCCTCAACGCTGACAGCTACGTCTACTACGCCATGCACATCTGGCTGACCGAGACCTGCGGCCGCGACTTCTCTTACCCCCGCGACGAGCAGGACAACTAGATTTTTGAGATGGACAGGCGCATTTTGGTTGGGATTTAGAAAACTCGGAGTTGTTTGTTTGCAGGGATTGGGAGCATCGCACGGATGTGAATGATTAGCATGAGCATGGGAGCATTGCATTGGTTCAGGAGCATTGCATGGTTATGGGAGAAATCTTGGCTTGTACTTTGGTACCACTTTCGTTTATTGAGGTTTTCAGTCTTATCCCTGCTCACTCATGCATCGTGCACCCGAGATATTTGTCAATGCTTGCTAAAGATCGTGCTATGAATTTATAAGTGATGGCTCTTCTGACTAGCCACACTACGAACAATTCAAGGACCGGCGAGGGTTAATGTCAGAGCAATGCTCCATAACCACGAGAGCACTCCATGTACCGGGAGGTCACATGGCCAACCCACATGTCGTTGGGACCAGTAAGAGTGTTACCGACGTGCACTAAGCGGGCCAGGACATGATCGAATCGATGTGTACTTGTGGGATGAGTCTAATGAGTGGAGACAAAAGGGAGTGACACACTACATTCATGATAGGCCGGCCCTGGCACGCTTGTAGACATTATTCATCCGAACCATTCCCACCCTTGCCATAATCCCAGGCAGTGTCGACTTTAGTGGCACCATCTCACTTTCCATAGTCCCAAGCAACATTGACATCAGCAGCGTCGGCGCTCTCCTCGGCTTCGGCATCCCTCTTCCCGTAGTCGCAAGCAACATCGGCATCGGTGGCATCGGCACTCTCCTCCCTCTTTCCATAGTCCCAAGCAGGCTCAACGACGGCATCGTCCGTCACCTCCGCCTCGGCGTCCCTCTTTCCGTAATCCCAATCAACGTCGGCATCGCCGGCACCCTCACTCCTCTTCCCGTAGTCCCACTCCGGCTCAACGACAGCATCGGAACTCTCCTCGCTCCTCTTCCCGTAGTCCCAAGCAGGCTCGACGACGTCATCGCTGCTCTCTTCAGCGCTCCTCTTGCCATAGTCCCAGGCCGGCTCGACAGTATCATCGGTGGCCTCTGCGGCGTTCCTCTTCCCATAATCCCAAGCGGGGTCGACGGTGTCGGCGGGGGCGTCGACATCCCTCTTTCCGTAGTCCCAAACGGGCTCAACGGTATCGTCGGTGCTCTCCTCGCTCCTCTTGCCGTAGTCCCAAGCAGGTTCAACATCGGCGTCTTCCGCTTCGGCGGTCCTCTTACCGTAGTCCCATGCGGGTTCGACGGTATCCGCGGAGGCGCCGACGGCAGTGGAGTCGGGGACGGGAGTGGCGATGGCTCCCGTGGTCATGAAGCCCAGGAGGGCGCCGAGGGCGATGGAGGTCTTCATTGTGATGGGTGGAGCGGTGAGTAGGGTGTTGGACTGTCTGGCCTTAGCGTTTCTGTAGTATTTCGGAACCGCGAGAGGTGGTTTACCTGAACGGATGGTTGTGAAGGGGCTTGTGTCTCGTTTCGATTGCGAGGACAACTGAACTTTTATCCCTAGACTGCCCGCTCACTGCAGTCAGCTTACCGGTCCGAAGGGCACGCTGATGCTTCCCTTTCAAGGACATGTCCATATTACACTGTGTTGCGTGATGGATCTGGGCCGCCACTTAGCTAAAAATTGCAACAGCAGTGGATTCCTCCGGGCTCCGCCTGGCTACTGCTTCTCGGTTCATGGAGCCGGTCATGGTTTGCTCCGAGCGTTTGCATACCAAACAATATGGAGAGATCCAGAAATGAGACTCGCATCTCGTTCCCTCGCCACGTTGAAAGTCATCGCATTGACTCGCTACGGAGGAATTAGGGCTTCCTTCCCAAAGAGGAGATATGTCGCTTAAACTTGCCTTGTGTGGATCACTCCAACCCGGAATCACATCCGACAGGATCCACCTGTCTCCAGACAAGAAATCGCAGTGCATCCGGATGACAGCAGTGACTATCTCATTCCTTTGCTATTGTCCACTATCTCCACTACATGGTAAGAAGTCTCTCTTTCTGCCTAACATGCTCAGTCTCGAAAACCTCTTTTTCTGCCCGATGCGCGCTATGCGAGGCGTGGGGGCCGAGTCTGCAGAAGCCGGTTCTCGCGCCAGAAAAGGCAGGTTCCGTGTCATTCGATCCAGCCACCAACATGGTCATCGCTTATCTATTCGCTCGGGAGGATCTCGCTACGGACGTTGACAGCAGTCAAACACAGATTTCCGATTGGAAGTCTTCGGTAAAACGGCGACTAAACATTCGCCATGGCGGTGGCTGGCGCCACATAATCAGCGCCACTCCACCGACTTCTACAACAGGGAAATCCAACCGTATGGCCTAATGTCATAAGTAGGGCAAATGACGGAATTTATTAAAAATCGACTCACGCGTCCACTTTTTCTTTGCGTAGGCGCAGGATTGCGTTGCAATGCAGTAAGCCCGGCGAGTCGAATAATGGATGCCGCACGGTCTGAATGCAAGCCCGCAATTTTGCATGCAACATCTTCTCTGCAAGGTTCCACCATGTTCTGTCGGATGGGCAAGCACGGCATTTGCGAATTTATAATGTCGAAACAACTGAGCCGGCCAGAATGGACCCAGTCCATTGGTGACTTACCCGGGCCGCAATATTTGGTCATTTCTCACCGCAAGCCGTTCATGTCATGGCTGAGCCATGACCTTTAGATATGAATAGCCGTTAAACGGGCAACAGAAGCCGCTTCTACTCCGGCTTCTGCTTGAGAACTGTGCCCAGCGGGTGTCACTGCCTGAGCTCCGGTTTGATAGCGTATAGCGATCGATCCAGCAATCCTTGACTCATGATAGGTTGCCAACGCCATGCTAACAACCAGGATACCGCTTGCCGTCATTCGAGGCTGCGCAAAGTGCATTTCAAAAGAGGTCCTTCGGGCGTTCCTGGTACAGATGCTGACTTTCAAATGCAGGAGACACTGTGTATCGTCATAGAGCCCTGGTGGTGAAGTCCGCAACGGCCTTCCTCGTCTCGCTTTTTGCAAAGGGTTTCTGGAATAGCCGGTTGGTTTTAAGCGGTTAGCCCCCGATTTCGAGGCCTCGCATGCGGCTCATTAGTCGTTGTGTTGCAGGCAGCTGCAAGAAAGGGGGATTATGGGGACTTACTCAGGCGAGAGATGGAAGATAATTCTCGAAGTTGTCTACGGAATGCGACGTTGAATGCGATATACAAATATAGAAAAGCACGTTTACAACGTCTTTCCAACAATCACCTCACTCCTTTCGTTCAAGTTATTTAGGAAGGGCCCTTTTCCTAGCTTATGAACGCAGCCTGGGCATTTGTTCGTATTAAGAAGAAGGATTACCGTAGGTGCGCTGTCGTTGCAATATATGAGCACTCGATGAGTGGTATGAGAAGCGAAGGGGCGACCTGAGCGGTGTTTCATAATATCCTTCTCTGCCGACAAATCTACCTTCGTCTATGAAGGTTTCACCCTACCCCGGTTCCGCTAAGTCAAACCCACGCCAATCAATCAGACATGGGACTGAGGAGTAGATGGCTGACAACTTCAATAGCTGGGTCAACAAACTTGTTGATCGGCAGGCTGGCCAGAAACCTGTCTGGAACGGGCGCGCACGCCGCGATGGTCATCACATAAGCAGCCACCTGCGTAATTCTGTGACTGACGATTGGCCACTCCGTTGATTGGCGTCAGACAGAGAATGCACACCACTACCGTCAGCATCTCCATATTGGCCAGATGATCGAGCCACGCTTGTGAGAAGCGAAAAGCCAAGTGTGTATTACATCAAATCAGATTGGCGCACATCACCCATGCAGTGAACCGAGCTGAGCTCCACCCCCGCCTTTTGAAATAGCGACTAGCATCAGAGCAATTTTGTGACCGGCGACTCGAATTCTGTCCATGCTGAAAAGTTGGGTGGAGGTCGGCCATCCTCAGCCTTTCCATCAAACCTGCTTCCCATACTAAAATCGGTGTTGTGGTGAAAATCAACGGAAAAGGTATCACTATCTCTTAATGGTTAGTAGGGGTCCAACGGTGCTCATAGTAGAATTTCAGCAGTGCACAGCTGAGTTTATGCAAGCGCATAAGCCGTTGCGGATGACCCTAGCCAGACGAGGCCTCTCTTTACTTATTGTACGACATTTTCGCTTGTAACAACATGCCCACCTCAACAGCGAATAGCCAAAAACCAATAGCAGACCAGGATTTCGGCCCCACGCCGTGATTCGATGGCAGTTCGGCCGCCACTTCTCGCTTAGATGGAGCTGAAAGGTGGTCAGACGACGAGGCTGGATAAGCCGTTTCCCCACCATCTCGCCTCAAAAAACCTTGCAGTCGATTGTTTTCCATCGTCTCAACCTTTTCCACATTCTCTCTGGACACTCTGCACCGTCAGTGGTGGCAAGACTTTCACGATGACGTCTCAGGACATGCAGCCAACCCTGACTCACAACGACTACACCGTTGGCTGGCTCTGCGCGCTGTCCAAGGAGCAGACCGCGGCAACGGCCATGCTTGATTGCAGACACGGAGATGTTCCCAACCCGACGAAGGACGGAAACACGTATACACTCGGATCAGTCGGCAAGCACAATGTCGTTATTGCCTGCCTGGGAAAAGGCAGATACGGTACCAATCCAGCGGCGACTATGGCGACTTGGCTAATTGGGACTTTTCCATCGGTCAAGTTCGGACTCTTGGTTGGCATCGGCGGTGGCATCCCCCCAAAGGTCAGACTGGGCGACGTTGTTGTCAGTGTACCGGTAGCCCAGTATCCGGGGGTCGTTCAGTGGGATTTCGGCAAGGCTGAAGACGGTGGCCACTTCAAACGAATCGGCGCGCTCAACAATCCGCCAACTGCACTCCTTACGGCGTTGGGCAAATTGGAGACGGAACACGAGATGAAGGGATCCAACATACTATACCACCTAAACGAGATGGAGACCAGATGGTCCAATATGGCGTCCAAGTATGTCTGGTCGGATTCCTTGGAGGATCCCTTGAACGTGCCGACTAGCTTCGACCACGCCGAACGCAGATGGTGGGCTATACTTTTATGGCTCTGGAAGGCTTTGCTGGAGACAGTCATGCTTCCTTTTGGCATCTTTGCACCCTCACGGGCGGACCGACAGTCTGATAGAACTCCAAGCACTCCCTGTAATCCTTCTGTTGGGGGAAAGCAGAACAAGCCACACGAACCGCACATTCACCATGGCCTTATCGCATCAGGCAATCGAGTCATTAAAGACGCCAACCTTCGTGACACTCTCAACGCAAATCTGGATGACCATCTATTGTGTATCGAGATGGAGGCAGCAGGGTTGATGAACGATTTTCCTTGCATCGTCATTCGAGGCATTTGCGACTATGCAGACTCCCATAAGACCAAACTTTGGCAGGAATATGCGGCAGCCGTAGCAGCGGCGTTTGCAAAAGAGCTGCTCTTGGTGGTACCGGTACAGGAGGTGGAGGTTATGGCCAACCTGAAAAGTAAGGCAGCATCTGTATACTAAAGACGTAGAAACGTACGCCGGCAGCTTGAATGTCTATCGTTTGCTAACACTGCAATGACTTTTCAGGAGCCGAGGCACAAGTAGACGAAATTCATCAACACATGAAAGCATCTCTGCTGTGCAAAGAGCGCAAAGCTATCATGGACTGGCTCACTCCTGTCGACTATACTCCTCAGCAGCGTGGCCTTTCCAGGAGCCGGCAAGCTGGAACCTGCCAATGGTTCCTAGAATCTCCAGAGTTCAATAGGTGGTTGAAGCACAGCGGAGAAACAATGTTCTGTGAAGGTTTCCCTGGAGTTGGGAAGACATTCCTCACATCCGCTGTGGTTGATTACCTTCAGAAACTCCATCCTCGAAGCCAAGATATCGGTGTCGCTTTCATCTATTGCGATTTTGCGAAGCGGGACCAACAGAGGCCGGTCGACATACTGGGCAGTTTAATAAAGCAGTTGATTCAACAACATCGGGTTCCAGACAAGCTTCAGGACTTTTACGAGGAGAACAAAGAAACACCGGCTTCGTTGCACTCGTGCCACGATAGAGATGATTTCCTGGAACTACTACAGCAAGTCATCTTCATCAATTACGCTGGAGTCTTTCTCGTTATTGATGCATTGGACGAATCTCATCATGCCCCGGACCTGATACAGACAATTCTTGCGCTCCAGAAAAAAACAGGTGCAAACATCTTTGCCACCTCTCGACCCGAGCAGGGCTTCAAGAAACAATTTCCCATTTCCCTCTCCCTAGAAATACGGGCGAACGGCGAAGACGTGAGAAAATACATCAGGGAGCGCATTGTGAGCTTCGACCTCTTCAGCGATGCGAACCAAGAGTCGAGCGGTGAAAGAAAGAAGGAGCTCAAGGCCAAGATTGAGGAGAGAATTATAGAAGCTGTGGACGGAATGTATGGCAACTGTGAGAAACTTCGGTGGCACTTGGCTAACATCATCGTAGCTTCCTCCTTGCAAGATTCCACCTCGACTCTCTCGCGGAGAAGACAACTCTCAACCATTTGTTCAACGAGCTGAGAGCACTCTGCAAAGGACCCCACGCATACGATCATGCATACGGAAAAACCATCAAGAGAATTCGAAACCAGGGTACAGACCGACGAGACCTTGCAAAGCGTGTCTTGTCACTTCTCACCTGTGCGATGAGACCTTTGACGACTGAGCAACTTCGTCACGCTCTTGGCATAGTTGTTGGAAGCTCAGTACTTGACGAGGATGACTTCCCAAGCACCAACATGATTGTCTCCGTGTGTAGAGGCCTAGTGACAGTGGAAGAAAAAAGCGGTGTACTCCGGTTCCTACACTACACGACTTTGGAATACATGCAGACAAATCTGGGCTGTTTATCATCTTTGGGGGACTCAATGAGCTCCGAGGGCCCAACTATCGCACCCGCAGAAAGTAATTCCAGGACTAGGATCGAAATTCATCGTTTTATCGCCATGATCTGCATCACATACATCTCATTGAACGTCTTCGATGCAGGACCCTGCGGTACGGACGACAAGTTCGAAGAGCGACTAGCTTCCTACTGTCTTTACCCATACGCATCAGAGTGCTGGGGCCATCATACTCGCGAAGCGTTGGCTTCAGATCGAGGAATTCTACGTTTCCTAGAGTCTGACGAGAAAGCCACAGCGGCAAGTCAGGCAATGATGGCCATGAAGCAATATCAAGGCCGTCCAGGCTACAGCCAGAAGTATCCGGGAGGAATGACGGGAATCCATCTGGCAGCGTATTTCGGTTTGGAAGACGCTGTGAGAAAATTGATCGAGAGGGGCCATAATCCTGACCTTAGAGATGGTTACGGTCGGACACCGCTCATACTCGCCGCCGACAAAGGACACGACGCCGTGGCCAAGGTACTGCTCGAAACCGGTAGAGTCGATGTCAACCATAGGGATGATGCCGGGCGATTCTGGAACACATGGTCTCAGCAGACGCTTGACTGGATATTCTCATATTACACAGGCCGTCGGCTCCTGGAACGTATCGCACAGGGCAATTACGATGAAATAGCCACCTTCCTGGCCAAATGCGGATATGATGGTAACCGTGTAAATGATCTTATACGGAGCTTGGGGGAAACACATGACATACTCGGGAAGCTCGAGAAGATATACCATTGGCAGCATTCATCCTCCGATCTGAACTTGGAGAATCGGGCAGCCAGAAAGTTCGACAGGCTAATCGATGGACAAAATACGTCACAGAGGGGGTCCGACGATGACGTATGCGGCGCCACGGCTCTGTGGTACGCGGCTAGGAAGGGGCATGAGGCAACGATCCTCAATATCCTGACTGAACAAACCATCGAACCGGATCGAAAGGACCTCATGTATGGCTCTACACCACTATGGATCGCTTCAAGGAATGGGCACGAACGGATAGTCAAGCTGTTGCTCAAACAAAAGGGCGTAAGCCCCGATTGCCCGGACAGTTGCGGCCGCCACACGCCTTTGTCTGCCGCCGCTTCGAAAGGCCACGAATCAGTAGCAAGCTCCCTTCTTGCTATAGACGGTGTGGATTCTGATTTTATCGATCATCTCGGTAGGACGCCATTAATGAGAGCAGCTGCTCATGGCCACACGGCGGTGGTGGAACAACTCCTCGCACGTGGCTGAGTGAACCCTAACCATCAGGGCAAACACGGTCACACGCCACTCATGCTTGCAGCGTATAAAGGGCATGCAGAGGTGGTCAAATTGCTACTCGCGCAGGATGGAGTAGACGTGAACGTCAAAGACTCTCAATTATACCGCACACCGCTAGATTGGGCTTTAGAGGCTGAGCAGCACAAAGTGGTCCTCCTACTAGCCGCGGACGAGCGAGTTATAGTCACCACAAAAGCAACTCTTTCGATACGATGGAGGCTACATACAATGGCTAGTTGTAAGCCGCACTCTTAAAAGATGGAATGGAAACAAGCGATGAACAGGAAGCTTTTAACGATTTTATTTCATAGTGACTGGTTTTCCACTAGTTCAATTCTTCTATGAGCGTTACGTTTTACTTTTCACTCGTTATACGATTACTATCTACGAAAATTTATCGTGAACCTTTTGCTGTACCTGTTGAGGAGCATCAAAGAGTGAAAGAAGACTTAGTTATTCTATGAACGGGCATGAGCTGATATATATATACACCAAGGAGGCTCGTCATGTGACCTGAACACGTGACGTTATTCAGGTGACTTCAACAGTGCCAAGCTGGCAGGATGGGTACGCTATGCCTATTATGGATAATAAGCGCTCTAGATGATGTGGATTCCGAAATCGGACATGGAAGACAAGAGCCCTTCTACCACCCTCTCCACACCCCGCACCATGCGGCTAGCACCGGCATCCGACACCGGTGGCTACTAGAACTAATATAATTTATCAATTTTGTCAGTCACAGGCGACGGTGTCCGATTACAAGGTTGTGCCATGGCTGTTTGAACCGTAGATTGCTTAGCACATCGTAGATTACGTTGTTACCACCAGAAGACTTTGGAACTCCACAGACACCTCGATCTTTCCTCAAAAAATTGATATTCATACGGAGATGGCATCAAAGCCACCAGATGTAGGAATAGTCGGCGGAGGGATTACCGGCCTCGCATGCGCACTACTCCTCGTGGAGGCGGGCTACACAGTCACGATCATGGCCCGAGAGCTGCCCGGCGACACGACCACAAGCTGGTGCAGCTCCTAGTGAGGCATCACAAGACATAGTACGGCTCCACCGAATCTCCCCCAATGCTGACATCAGCATCAGGGCGGGTGCGTTGCTTTCGCCCCACCCCGACAGCGACGAGCAACAACTCCAACGCGACTCCCACACCTACTACTCGCTCCTCGCCCAAAACCCACCCCGCCTCAGGCATCAAAGTACGTGTACAGCCAACCAGCCTCGCCCCAGCCCGCCCACCTAAGGGGGATGTTTTAAGGAGGGTGAATGGGATTACGGGGGGTGCGTTTGGGTGGGTGGATGTCGAGCGCGATGTGGAGGATATTGTTGGGTTTAGGCCGGGGCGGCGGGGCGGGATGAGGGTGGAGAGGGAGGGGGATGTGGTGCATGCGTATGGGGGTGGGTCACTGGGCTATGTGTACGCGTTTGGTGTGGCGGGGCGCGTGAGGGATTTGGTTGCCGGCGGGGGTGGTGGTCGTCCCAAGCTTTGAGTAGGTAGGAGAGATTGCATTGGGGGTATTTGTTTTTCGATGGTTAGAAGCCGTCCACCGTGACACCCTTCCCCAATTGCGCGGCAAGCTCCAGCAGCTTGTCTCCCATGACCAGATCCATCAGGCCAAAGCCGACGCACTTGAACAGCGTCAATCCCTGCTCCTCGACCCGGGCCTCTGCACCCTTCAGAAACAAGTCGCCCACCTCGGTCAGTTCCTCGGGCTTCGTCCCGGCCCTGATCAGCTCTCCCGACTCGATCAAACACTCCTCCTTCGCATCAACCCAAATCCTCGCCGCTGCGCGCAGCGTCTCCGTGTCGATTTCTTGCATCTCGGGCTTATACGAGCCGATGAGCGACATGAACCGCGGTCTCTCAGTACCACCCAACAGATCGTTCTTCTTGAACAGTGGCTCGGTCGACGGGGTGCAGCAAAACACGGCATCCGCCTCCCCCAGCCTACTCCTCATCGTTTCGCCGTACACGTCCTCCGCGCCCTCCCGCGCCACGGTTTCAAAGTCAACATCGGGATACGCCTTCCTCAGCTCGCCCAAAACGGCCTTGTCCAACTCCGCCAAGCGCGCCTTCCCGCGATTGAAGACCGACACGCGCGCCAGCTGGCCTTGAGGCAACAGCTTCAACGCCAGCCGCACATGCCACTCGACCTGCCTGCCGGCGCCAAACACGACGACGCGGCGCACGGGGTGGGGCCAGCGCACGAGCAGGGTCATGGTGGCCAGGGCGGTCCGGAAGGCCGTCACCTCGGCGGCGTTGAGCACGCCGCGGAGCTCGCCGTCGGGGGCGAAGACGGACAGCGAGCCCTTGACGGAGCCGCCGTTGGGCAGGGTGACGACCTTGACGACGGTGGCGGTCGCGGTGTCGGACACGGGCATGATGAGGGTGGTGTCGCGCGCGGGCTGGGTCACGATGGCGGTGCGTTGCGGCTGGTGGATGGCGGCGGGCGGCGCGGTGGGGTCGCCATGTTCGCGCTGTTGGTTCTCGCGGGTGAAGGCGGCGAGGGCGGCGGCGAGGGCGGAGAGGAGGGCGTGGGCGTGTGGCGGGGTGAGGGTGCAGAGGATGGTGGAGAGTTCGGGGCCGGTGAGGACGAGCATGTTGTTTGCAGGTGGATGTCAATGCTCGGTGGTTGGGGTGCGGGGTAAGTATTTATTTGCATCGCTTTTGGCCGCCGACATCGCTCTGCCCCGCTCTCCGCTCATCGGCCACGTTTTATGGACTGCTCGCCGCCGACCCCTTCCTTCGCCCGGCAACCGTGCGCTTATCTGCCTTCCTTTCATTCTAATGCGCCTCGCCCGTCCTCGATACGATGCACCAAACCCTCCAGACGCTTTTTCCAAACGTAAGGCCGTAATGTCCCATCTGCCTTAACTGCGCTTACCACCACATCACTACTTCAGCCCCGACCTGTCATATGACGCACTGCAAACAGCTGACTGCGACCTCGTCCCGCCAGACTGCTTGATCCCTCTCGAAACCGATTGTTAGACACGGGCATATGGAGCAGTTTTGAACCACCGCGGTGAGGCTTTCGACTCTCCTCTAATAGAGGTAAGGAAGGATTTATCCTCGGCGCTGAAGTATTACGGAGGTTAAAATGTTGCTTCGTCCCCAGCAGTGTCCTGCTGCCGCCGGGAAAGAATGCCCGGGAGGTAGTGGCAGAAAATACGTCTTCTTTGATGTGAACCATGTGCCATCTGCCGTCAACGCTGATACTGTAGCTGCCGAGGATAGGCTCTATCTCGAGAAGGAGAGGCGGTATGTTGACTCCCTGCAAAGGCGCCCATTGGGAAAAAAAGAAAATAGGGGCCAAAGAGCAAACTTTTGTTCGTGAATCATCACTCGTTCTCCCCAGTCCCCTATTCTCTTCTCTTCTCTTTGCTTTGCAAACGGGGCTTCGTACAGTGACGTCAGACTGGTCGAGGTCACAGGAGCTATTGCGGAGTATTCCACTAGTCACGATGCATTCGTATCTATCACAGAGTGGCTATGTGATTTGTATTGGGTTTGCATAATGTCAGTCTCGAAGATAGCTTTCGCATGACATGTGATGCTCCGTCTACACGTTGCGTACATGCGACCTTGACGCACCTGTTGAGCTGTCACTCGGACACAGTCCTCATGTTTGTTCGAGCGGGCCAAACTCACCTCTCAGTGTACCTCTACCTCGTATTACGACTTCTATCTCGTGTTTGTGAGGCTCGAGCTTTGTCCAATAGGTGAAGATCTGCACTGCGGTGTTTCTGAAAGACCGAGCTGCGACTTCACGCACAAGCCCATACCACGGGCGGAGCATGTACTAGGATACAGCCCCTTTGTGCCCCGATGCTACTATTTTCGAAAGGTTCCCGCAGTAGGACCCACGATGCAACAAGGTTGGCATGACCCTCGCGAAATAAAAGGCATGTGGCTAACTTCGAACAAAGGCATGTCAAAACGCCGTTGAAGAATGCTACGCATCTTGAAGCCATCGGCGATGATAGATCGGAAACTAGACGCGCGGTAGTCCAGGAACTTACCGTCTTTCAGCCCTATGACAGCCCGGAGACTATTCTCAGCCCTGTAGCTGTGATCGGCGGCACCGTGGAGGCCCGGGTGCCGCACGGTCCAAGCCTTGGGTTTGACCGGTGCCGTCACTGATTGGCTGCCTTGTGTCTTTATCGAACTCTGATCCGCCCATGGTTGGTGCGTCTTCTCGAAAGGTCGTAAACAACCCACCGAACGTCGTACGGTCTGACACGAGCAGTGCTGATCGTGCAATACTTCTGGATGACGCCTTGTTTCGTGCTCCTACTCATCAGTCTACTGGGTATTCCGACTGTCTATCACCCGTATCCCGTTGATGAGCCGTCTGGCGGTGCAGGGACCATGTATAAGGCGCATCCACGAGAGGGGGCGTAAGGATTCGAGTATAAGAAGGCGACCGGCAGCGGCCCTCTACAGCTCACCATCACTCCAGCTTCCATCCTCACAAAGACAACAAACACCCTTCCCAAAACCAACCACCAACCCCAAACTCCAAAATGAAGTTCTTCGCCGCCGCCGCCATCCTGGCCACCTCCGTCGCCGCCACCAGGACCATCGTCGTCACCGACACCGTAAGCACCATCCCCTCCACATCCTCTTCCTCGCTAACCTCCTCCACAGACCATCCGTGACAACGCCGGCCTCCAGTCCGTCAGCTTCACCGCTCTCGGCATCAAGTGCTCCGCCGAGGGCGCTGCCCTGGGCGCCCGCCAGATCGCCTGCCCCGGCCTCGACTACTCCTGGCACGCCGCCGGCTCCAACTCGGAGTACACCCTGACCTTCTTCGCCGGCACCAACACGTATGTTCTCCCATCCATATCCGATAAGCCGCGAGTGGTGCTAACGGCTCAAACAGCGATGCCGCTCAGGCCGACGGCAAGGTCCCCGTCAACTGCCGTGCTGGTGGCAACGGTGCCAACGACAACGTCTGCCAGCAGACCGGCGACTTCGCTGTTACCCTCTAAGCGCTGGGAACCGGTGACTCGTCAGAGCTTTCTTGTACATATCTAGATAGAAGGGGAGTGGTTTTGTGTTCAGTTGAGAGTCTTTAATAGTGTTTTATCTGAACTATTACTTCCCATTACCTGCACGTTCCCTGAAATACTTACTGTTACGACTGAAATTGAATGTGACTTTCGCTGTTCATCGATGATCAGAGTCGCGCTATCGAGGTCCAAATACCTCTCCCTTATCGACGGTATTGTACATACAACCCGCATTAGATGAGAGGTTGCGGGCGCACTGAGAGGCTTGGAAAATTCAATTTGGAAGGGGAAGATATTTGTGATTAAGCGGGGGTGGCATGGCAGGGTATCGAATACTGGTGTTGGCCTCAGGCTCTATTGGTAATGATCGATAGCTTCGTGCGATTGCAAGCTCTACTCTAGATTCTATATAAAGGTGTAAGCCAGTTTAGCTTCGTTTAGAGACACAATCTACCGTTGTGGAAAAGCTAACGTGTTACGTGGTTTTTCAAGGTCAAGCAACGTTTAAGAGACGAAGCCGAAAATACACTAGACGACCCCATGACAAGGTATTCGCGGTATTTTCCATAATTTCTAAAACCAAATATTCTAGATACATAAATGACGACAAACTACAATACATTAATCTAGTAAGCCTAGAGTAAGTGTGCAGTTAAATATTTCTAGGAAATTTATCGTTTATTTCTTCATTCCTTTGTGGGCAACTGCGGTATGGGTGGAAAACCTATCCATCCTTTTCTTCGAGCTCTACCCGGCGCCTACTCTAAGATATCGACCTTACTAAGCGTTTCCCATCATGGGTGCCAGATCTCACCGGCTCAACCCCGCTCTTACCCACGGTGTAATCACTCGCTCGGCGGCTTCAGGGCCGGTAATAGTATGCTGCCGGCGTTCGGAGTATATAGCCTAATTCACTTTCTAGAGACCAAGAGCTGCCAGCCTGGATATTACTACCGAAATTAGGATATTCCTAGGAAAAGAAGTCAGACGCCGATATTCGTGACCGCTATAAAATGTCATCATCACCGTCAGCCTATTCACCAGTAGCGGCGCGTCTACTCATTACGCACTTCATGCCACTCAGCAATCCCAACATCAATCCCAAACCTTTCCCGTTCACCCTGCCCTCTCTCGTCTGCGTCACTGTTGCCCCACCAACCCATACTAAACCTAAGCCCTTTGAACAAGCCCAATCGCTCAAGCTCTCTATCTCCACACCACTCCGAGCCAGGCGGTATGACCCTCGCCTCCAAAACTGACGATCCTGCCAAAAGACTAGCCACCGCTGCAATCGAGCGCGGGTTCTTCGGCAACACGTGTTCCAAGCTACCGAGAGCGAAGGTGGCGGCGGTGCTGAGCGCCATGACTGCGAGGAGGGCTTGCAGGATGCGTGTGGGAACGGCGTTCTGGGTGAGCCTGAGTTGGTTCGCCAACCGTGCGGTTCCGTTGCGTGGGATGGGGTCGGGCGCGGTGACGCGGTTTAGGTTCATGACCTGCGCAACGACGCGGGGATACATGTCTTCGACGGCGGACGCCAGCTGCGAGATGTTGGTTGTGAGGGCCGTGATCGGTGTCCCCTGCTCGAGGATCGTGCCGAAGAAGCCGTCCACGGTGACGTTGTTGGGGAGCTGGATCTTGTAGTCGAATACCGTATCGTAGGTCCCGACTATGTTCTTTGACAAGGTTTCCGAGTTCGTTGTGTATGGAGCAAAGAGGTTATTGCCGATGCCAGGGATTTCAGCCGTTGTGGCGAACCTGCGGGTTGATTCATCGAGGATTGGCGTGGATGTGCGGACTTGAAACAGATCGGGGTATGTTAGCTCGATACTTGCATCAAGGGTTTCTATGTACGGCTCGCAGTAGAGAGCAAGTGGCTTCCAACTGCTGTTCGTGTGCTTCATATTGCCGGCGACAACGAGATATTCAGGGCAGTGATAAATGTCTCCGCTCCGGTCATTCCAAAATGCAAACTCTCCCGGGACAATCTCTTGAATAACTGTGGAGTCAATCGTGATAGGCTTTATGGATCCGTTTCCGCAAGGTGAAATACTATCGAAGTATACGATTGTTGCGTTGGTGCTATTCGAGAAGCTGACTTTCGAAGGCTGAATCTGTGTGCAATTGGCGACAGCGCGCGTTGCAGGCACAGTAATGCTAATGGTCTGATAGCTGTTTTGATGACTCAGGTGCGTTGGTATGCCCATTGCAGGAATTACAAGTGAGTCATAGGTCCATCGTGGAAGATCCATGCGCTCATCAAGGACCAAAGTGGCGGCCATCATTCCAGTTGTTTGGTAATTGACACGATCAACGTCACTGAATGTACCCATATCGAAATGGTCAAGCTGTTGCAACTGAATCGGCCTTTCACGAACGGCGTTCTGGGCTGTGAAAAGGCCAGCAACGATGATGGTGAGGAATTGTGTAGACAACGTGCCCATAAAGGTAGCGACAAGGCAACAATGCTTTCTCCGAGCTGCAGTCAAAAGCCCGTGAAAGCCAACAAGTCCGAGGTAGTTCTCATTGATGCTCGTGCTACCTTTCGCTGAGCCGCGTTTTAGGTCCAAGAAAGGTTGAAATGTTTTCAGTTCGAAGTCAAGTGCACTGTAAAAAAGGCCGTAGAGAACGAGAACGGTTGCCGGAATAAGTCGCCAAGCGTATTCTTTGTACTGATAATTCGTGAATGTTGCAAATCCGTCATGTCGGCTGGAGAACAGGTACACAGCCTCTAGGGTGGCAATGATCAGGACCGCGACAACGATGATACACAAACGGCCTAGGGCAGTGACAATGAACGGGTAGTACCAGGTGACATTGCTTTGCTTGCCCAAGGCCGTTTCTGCTTTCTCAGCGTCGGAAATCGTATCCCGATGAATACCAAATGCCTCTGTCGGGTTGGAGCTCGTAGCAATGGCCTTTGTGTGAAACCTATCCCCAGAAAAGGTGTGATGCAATGTCTTCAGAGTGGTCAAGCCGGAGTCGTGCAGGCTGTCAGCAAGTCCCTCGCTGCGGGCTAGGATAGTTGCAATCCCGGTAATTGATCCAGGGTCCCTGGATGTGACAGACGGCTTGAAGACATGACTAAGAGCAACAGAAATGACCGTGAGAGACATAAGTGTGACCTCGGTGATCCAGAAGGCGTATCCACGCAGCTGAAGCCTGTTCTGTGCTTGCGTTTCCATGACCTTACACTCTTCATGGCTATTTGTGAGAAGGTGACGGTTCGCGATCTGTGCAGTGGTGGACTCGTATAAATTGGTAAAAGTTTCTTTCAGCACGTCGGGGTCATGGAGAGAGCGACTGTCTCCATCTGGTGCTAAGGAACCCAGTACTTGTGTTTTGTTTATGCCCTTGATCGTTGTGAAGAATGCATCGGATATATTTTGTGTAGTGAGGGCGTCAAGGCTTCGGTCGTTGTAAAGATCTCCGATGGCCCATCTACCTGCTTCTGGAGATACATGGTACAAGTACGTCATGTTTGCGGTTTGGAGCTTATATCCAGGTTTGCACACAAGGAATGGCGACTGGTCATCCGAGAAGAGAAGTCCAAAAACGAACCGATAATCACTGTCGTTACAGGTCAGTCCCGGGGAAGTGTCGGCAATTGGATGCGGAAGTCCAAGTTCGGATCCGTGTGCTGATATGAAGGAACATGATTTCGAAGACAGGTTGGCATCAATCAGAACAGACCCGACAGATTCTCCCGAAGCTACTAAATATGGCAGCACCGTGTAGATGTGGGTATTCCCTTGAGCATCCGTAATGTCGTAACCGCCTCCGTCATAGACCTCCACTTCACTGCCATCCGGTTCGTCATACTGGTACATTCCGGCGTCAACCGCCATATAGGAAGGCTCTGACAGGAGATGCGCAATCTCGCAATCTGCGTACGCGCTGAAGATGTTTACCTGCGCAGAATTGTCCACAGTAGAATTGCCTTTCGACAAGGTCAGTGGGGGTATGAAAAGTGAACGGTGGCATCTTGCTTACCGGTGCGAGATGGTGGAATTTCACTCGCGTAGAGCTCAGTCGTGCCAAAAGGGTAGCTCATGTTCAAACTCTCAATTCCAAATACTCGCGCCACCGGTAGTTGGCGGATCAATGATGTGTTGAATCCCGAGCTTGAAAAAGTCCTGCCGCCCTCTGTCGCCGTGGGAGCGAGAGTGACATTGACACTGGCATATGTGAAAAGACCAGTTGATACGATTATCAACAGTTTGTTGAGCAATGTGCCGGATAGCGCCAGTGCGACTTGAAAATCCTGTCCTTTGACTGATTTGGCAAGAGCAGTGACGATGTTCGGCGATATGTAGTCTAAAAGGACGCTTCTATCTGCGATCTGTGCTTCGTGTGCCATCAGTATCCAAGGCATCATGAGCCTGGCGCGGTAATCAACTTGAGCCCACAACGTGGACATCAGAGTAAACGCTGTTACCAGAATCAGCACTCCATGACTCGTAATAAAAACGTGGGCACATCAACTTACCTGCGGTTGGAGCGTACTGCCAGAAGTAATGATCCGTAGGATGTACTCGACAGATTCCTTGATGTTTCGATGAGTACCAGGCCAGTAATGAAAGTGCAATCGCTACTTTCAGATAGACACAGGCAAACAGGGAAAGGGCGAGGCGCCGGAGACAGAAGGGAGACCAGAGATTTCTTGACTCCAAGGGCGTCGAATAAACGGCGGAGGGCTGATTCAACAAGCCTGTCGTCTCCGGAGAATCCGTCGTTCGATCTGGTTCCATATGTTCTGACATGCTGCTACCGCACGGCTATCAAACCACCGAGTAAATCAGTGCGAGGATGTATTGCAGAATACGAATGGAAGGACAATTTCCCAGGAAGAATTGTGTAATGTCTGCTGCATGCAGTCATGCGTTGAAGAGCGAACAGCACTTGAATGCGCGTATAGATATTGTCCGAGAGTCAAGGATTCCCAGTTAAATAGCTCCAAGCCACCATGTGTGTCACAAGATAAGCCCACATGTGGCCTCATGACCGACCACGGCTGCATAAGCCAAGCCGCAACCATGTCCAACGACGCTACGCTCAGCCTGACCTGATATTTTCCATGGGCACAAGGCTGTGGTGGCGAAGTACTTGTGTCAATGTGATTGGATTGGTGATCAACTTGCCTAGCGCCGTTAATGCTTAGCGTCGGGCTGAAGAAGGATCCGGCCGGCAAGCCACTACCCAGGAATGGGGCAGTGTACATACATTGTTAGTCGCACACATGACGCTGTGTAGTTATTAGGGTAAGACCGTAAGCCGACAATCCTGGCCGTAGGCTGTGGACGAGATTACCGTCCAGCTACACAGCGTGCTGCGGCAACGATTCAGAATTGGCTTTTGCTTTTCGATATATTTTTGCGAACAGATACGACACATTGATGTGAGGAAGTAGTAGGTCCATAATGTGTGGGGCGAAGGGTGGTTGCACATTGTGCAGCCGAGACGACGCGTCACCACCGGTGGGATAGTGAGGCGGGAGGGAGGTGTGGGTGCACACCAGGGAGAGGGGTAAGCGTGTGTGTGGGACGAAGGATTCCCTGTTGAAACATTTCGTATCTTGTACTCCATGATGTCATACTAGGAGTAGTTGTTATATTTGGTACCCGCCGCCGCTGCTGCTAGTGAACGCTCGCCGCCGCCGTTATTGGTGGTGATTCTCGCCGCCGCTGCTGGTGGTAAACGCTCGCCGCCGCCGCTGCTGGGGGTATTCGCTCGCTGCTATAGGTATTCGCTCGTCGCTGCTGGGGGTATTTGCTCGTCGCTGGTGCGTTGGGGTACGCGACGCGCGGAACGGGATAACCTTAGAGAAACGCGAAATCACATGATTTTTCTTTTAAACGACTAATAGAAAGACTGCATTTTTCGCGCTAAACCCAATCTTGAAGCTGGGTTTACCCGAAGATTCTATGGCTCACCATACCGAACGTAATTCACCAACTTCGCTCCGGACCTTCGGCCCTCCGCTTCGCCGGGGGATCACGGGCTCAATCTTCATTGTAGAGACTGTATATATCTTCAGCCGACACTCCAGCTAGTTTAATAAGCAATTCTCATTTCCATCCTTCTCGTCTTACGTCACGTGATTCCTCTGACTTTAGCATTCCCATAGATGGCCCAAACTCTTTAACTCCACAACCTTACTCTCCATCCCGCATATCGTCAACACCAAGGTAAGTTATAGCCAATGCTCCATTATCGTGAGCTGTAAGAACTCGAATCACCGTTAAAGTTACGGTCGGATAGTAGAGTCCTTTCTCACTTTGGAATCGTACTGTTTGGATTGGACTTCCTTTTTCGAAGACCGAAAAAAGACGTTTGATGTTTTTTCCAGTCTACTCCCAAGCAATGTCTGGGTGCCCGAATGACAAGTGGAATCATCTTTTGTATAGAGTTGTGAAGGGCCCATCAAACAATAGATTAGCAAGTAGCGGACATGGGCAATCTGTGTCTCATACTTGTGTTGTCCCTAGCTCTTAGATCGTTGTCATGATACTGCTCGCCCCTTGCCGCTTCTTTTGCAAGCTTGTCTGCCTCCACGTTCCCTGCGATTCCCTTGTGACCCGGTACCCAGTGTAGTTCCATTCGAACCCCACCGCCACGTAGCTTTTGCAAGTTCTCGGCCAACGCGTCGACGATATAGGGGTTTGATTTTTGCATTTGCTGCTGGATCGCTATCAGTGCAGCTTGGCTATCGCTGAAAACCAAAAATTCAGGGAGTTCGGTATCGATAGCGATGTCAATAGCCATCGCGATGCCCATCAGTTCAGCTGTTTCTACCGCAGTCGAAGACCTCGTGTCGAGGTGATCTTGACGGTATGTGCCCAAAGACTGTGCAAATGCGGATGCGCCGACTCGTGTGTCGAGTGCACTCCCGTCTGTGTAGATAGCGGGCGGGGCAGAAGGCTGGCTGATTTTGCGGTCGTGGTTGGCGATAGCTGATGACGCATCAGGAGCTATGACGACTGGTGGAGGTAACAGCGCCGTCGGTTTCTCTCTGTCTACTGCCGTCGTATGAGTATTGTTGACATGCTTGTCCTTATGCAGTTGGTTTTGAGAAAACGCATTGGATTTTGCAATAGGGTTCCGTCTGATGTGAGTTGAGTGGTTTCCCATCGAGCAGACGAGTGGCTTGCCGAGAGTCTTCAACATTGTTTCGTCGATGAGGAGGACTCTAGGCCCTAATAGAGAAGATGTGATCAAATCGATGCACTGATTGCGCCTTGCCAATGTTCAAAATTAGAGTCATGAAATGCCTGTGGGTTGACCAGGCGTACAGCCCTTAAATAAACTACTGGTACCTCGCGAGGGTTGCTGGTGGAATAGCACTTCTTGTCACTCTTCGATAGGACCTTGAAAAGCCTTACGTCTACGATGCAGGGGCTTGTGATCTCGGACAATATCGTACGTCTGTGTCGCTCTGTCGTCCTAGGTTCCTCAACGATCATGGTATGACAAACACAAGAATTCTTCGACCGCTCTCTTGCTCAATGCCTCGTGCTTGTAAGAAGGATGACAGAATGGGAAAGTCTCCCTTCGTTTTTCCTTCAACGTGATTAAAGTAGACTTTAGCCCGGAAAGATTGGCTGTGCTCGAAGCACAAGATTCTCGAAAGGCGTACGTGGAACACGCGGAATCACTTGATTGTGTTTTTGGATGGCTGGGCGTACGGAATCTGGCAGCCGTTATCAACGAAAAAACTGTAGGAATCAAAGTGGCAAGCAACGTCGTGTAATAGACACAGGGCTGGCGGGCCCATGGTCAAGAAGTGAAGGCGGCTTGCATTATGATGTTCTCCTTGTGACTCATGTAGCAACCAATAATCTGCTATGCGGTTGCGTCGATTCTTGTCTTATCTTGACCCCTTCAGGTGACAGTCGTTCCATCTTCTCACTTCCCGGAGCCCTTACACGGGCCATACCAGCCAGCTCCAAATTGGGTGACTGGAAGGTAAGAACAGCTCGCCAGTTTATTTGCATTGGAATCTGTGTACAACTATACACAACAGTAGTGATGTCCTCAAGAAGATGAAGAATTATGAGTCAATCGGCCAAGAATGCGATTGCACGAAATAGTTTTGGTGGCTTTGGCATTTTAGTCGTACAAATCTTATCGGTTGGAATTTATGCCCTGCTTGCCACTTGCGTATTGCGCTGTAATCTAGCGTGAGGATGGCTGGTAATTCTTTACTTGCACACATTCCAACTGTCCGCAGGTGTCAGCCATCGTCGCCTCGACATGCTTCTCCTATCAATGAGAAATGTCACATATAATATTTTAGATGCCAAAAAGCGTTCGCAATATATATCTTTAGAAGCCTGTCATTATTTGTTAATCATTACTACCTCTTGAAGTTACGGACTCCACCTACTCACCTCCCCAACGATAACAGCCTCCATCTCCCCCATCTCATCTATTCTGTTCCCCTCAGGAATACTAGAAGCTCTCCTAAGCAGCCGAATTAACCACTTCACCCGAAAACACGCTACGTAGGTGCTTTGACAATTGTGGATCATGCCTTCCGCTGCAGTCATTACCAGGCCTGGGGCCCTCTTTAAAGGGGGAGGAGGGACGTGGCGGTCAAACTGTCGAGGCGGAAAGACCTTGTCGCGGGGGAGTTGTTTAGCAGCGGCGGTGGTGGCTCTCCGCGGCTATCGGTATCCAATGGGGCAATTGAAGGGCGAGAGAGACTCTGGGTCACAACGCAGAACAACGCATGACAAGTAGGGCGTGGCAATGAACGCTATCTGTTTAACAAATTGAATAACATTGCTTTCCAGGCAGGTTAGTATCTGGCGTGGAGAAGGCCATGCGGGTTTATGTGGGCGTTTCACGCGGAGAACTTCCCGCAGTGGTAGGCTGGCGAAGATCGCGCGAGATGAACGGATGATGACAGAGGTACTCTACCTCATCAGCTATATGACTTTGCCTTCCAGCGGTCAAGCACACGGTGTGGAATATTCAAAAAGCCGCGTACTGCTTCTCCTTTCGAGCTAGAAACCATGAGGCGAAAGAGCGAATCGGGAGCACTAACAGCACGAATCGTGCGATATTCACATACAAGTGGACATCTTTTGTATTCTTCGGAAATGCTAAACAATCCTAGTTTGCGCCCATCGGAAACCCGCAGTGCCCAAGAACTCTTCTCCATAGGATATTTTTCATCAATCGCACTGTTGTTTAGTTAGAATCATTAAGCCGTTCCCTTGGTAGCATTTCAAAGAGAGCCGCTCTACACTTTGACTGTTCTCTCATGATGGTGCATTGAATGATTGTGAGTTGTGGCTAATTTTCGTGCCGATACAGAGCCTCAATATCACTGAAGCAGCCGGAGCTGTGTTCCGTGTTGCCCCAACGGTGGATCTCGTTGATCCAGTCGATATAGTGCTTGATACCGCACTCCGTATCAAGACTGTCCGCATAAACCTGTTTCATAACACAGCCATTCCAGCCGCCGGTAGAACAACCATGTTTGTCAAGAAAGGTTGGCTCCAGACACCAAAATTCGTACTGCACTCCGGCAAGAAGCAGCCCATAATGGCGTACATCCGAAAGAGCACCCGGAACGAATGATTCGTCCTTTGTCCGTATGGCCCGCTGCCTAAGCCTCCAACGATTGTAGAGAACGATAGAGCCGGCAGTCACAATTTGCTGACGGCCCTTTTTTCTGCCCGTGGGATCTTTCTTGACTTCAACCGTGAGGTATGGGCACAAGGCGCGATCGAACCGGACCGAAGCGTAGAGTGATATTTTGCAACGAACTTCTGGACGGAATCCACCGGCCCAAATCCAGTATGAACAGTCCGGTTCAACATTCATTGGATGCGTACGATTTGCAGGTAGGTCCCCATGAATGATGGGAGGCATCTCCCAGAGGCCGTCGTACTGTGGCTGAAAGCTCTCTTCTCGCATTCTCACTGGCCGCCACTGTGACGGGTTGTCGGAGAAGGTCGCTATCCTCTTCCGAGATTCTCTCTTGAGTAAGAATTGGATGGCATCGTCGACCCATTCGGGCTCACATAGTGGGCCCAGTCCCTTTTGCTGCATCTCAGAATAGTTATTGAGGATACCGCGTACAACTTCACTTCCATAGTTGATCCAGACAGTGTTGCCCTCCAATCCTTTGAGCTTCCTGTAATACTCGAAACGAGTTGATGAGGCTGGTGGTACCACGCTTTTAAAGTGCTCGAAAGCGCAGTTTGCCTTGTTTGGCATGTCGGAGTCAATTATAACGCCCCTGGGCTTGAGGACGCCAGTCAGAAACTCTAGCGTACCAATTGCCGTCTTCCTCGAGGAAGAAAGTGTGTCTGGTGATTTAGCTCTATCCGCGTTTGGCTTAAAGAAAGTCGCTGGTTCTGTGAGAAATAATTCACTTTTATCAGTCCTCGAGACATCTTCTCGCAACGGTGTCCGTTCAAGGGTAGTATCTGTGGTCTCGGTCAAGCAATTCTGGACGGGGAATGTAGCGACTTCTTTCGCTGACGTGCTCGTGCTCTCGCTTGTCCTAGCATGTCCAGCGGGGTCCGGAACGTATTTTGCAATCCAATCCATAGCCGATGTATCTTTGGCGCCTTCGATATGCTTTGCATCTTGGTCAACTGTTGAAAGGGCCTCGGCGTGCCTGTAAGGGGTTTCAGCAATCTTGTTCGTAGCTTTGTCGTGAATGTCGCGGCTAAGTGAGTGTTGAAAGGTTGCCTCTTCCCTTTCATGGTCACCAATGTCTTGTTTGATGCCTTTGACAAGTCCCTCAACGATCTCGAGTTTTTCCTTCATATTGCTGAACCCTTTCCCAATGGCTCTCGCTCTGATGAACTCTACTCCTTGGATATCCTTTCTAGAACACGTGCCCGTAAAGTATTGGATTGCGCCTTGATCCGATTCCAGTGGAGCATGGACCTTCTGCCATCGGCCCTTGGTATTGCGACCGGTGATGAAGCTCCAAAGAAGCTGACGGGGCAGTCTTTTGGCGTTTCGGAGCTCTCTATAGCGATTGAAACATTGTTTTAGAGCCGTTCGAAGGTTTGTGGTCGAGAAGCTGCGAGATCGGATGGCATTTTGCTGTGTTTTTGAGCGAGCGAGAAGTGGACGCTGGACGTACGGGAGCATCCGATTGCCGAAGCTGCTTGCACTGCGTAGCAAGCCCATGCCGTGTTGGTAATGGGTGACTATGAGACCCGTCGCGGAGGGAATGTGAGGCGGAGGTTCAGACAGTGAGGCAGGACCGGCGCAAAGTTGAGTTGAACGAGTGTAAGCCGCGGTGAAGCGGAAGAAAAGAGCGTCCCGGTGGTCTCCCGTGCTGAGCGGCAGGTCGTTGATCCGGTCCGCCGGTGAGTGACGCGGCACAGCGGTCGGAAGCCAGCGAACGCTGCATATTGGTCACCTTGACCATCCGCTTACCTCGTTTGTACTAGTCCCGAATCCACTCTACCACCCTGTCTTGATGGAACAAAGCAGCCAGCGCAAAGCATATGACGCACTCTAGTAATTATCATGCCCCGCATCTCTCGCTCCCTCCCCCCCAGCAGAAACTCACTGTCGCCTCAGTTGCCTCACCCGCAACCACGCCGAGTAGTTGCTCTGGTGGCGGGGTGAGAAGAGGCATAGTGGGCAGGCAACAGAGCATGGTTGATTGGTGGAGTAAATAAGTGTCGAGACGGAGTGAGGTGGGAAGAAAGTAAGCGGAGACGCTAGGTGCGGCCCGGTCCGGCTCATCGCTCACGTCACATCATGACGGCGGCTGTCAGATTGGCTCTCGCTTCTACAACTTGAACTCTCAACAAATGCTGAAACTGTACAGTCACGTTCTTTGTTCGTAGGCTTGCCAAATGGGCACCCTGGTTATCCGGCTTCATACAATGGAAAACCGTCGGCCGCTCTTTGTCTACCATTGACGTCCTCCACCCGCTCTTTGCGGCAGCCAAATATTTGTCATTTCCCATCAAGCTGCTACCCAAACCCTATAGCTGGCGTTATTTGATACTAACCGCCGCGTGCAGCCTTTTGGCGACGCCACTCTCACCACCGGTTCGCCGGGTCGGAGTCTATGCCAATGAAGAAGCTAGACACTTTTGGCCTGGACGTTGCGTCCTCTTTCGCCAACCACCAGCTAAACCTCAGTTTGCCGACAACATTCAGCCACATGTACTCCCAGACAAGTGGTCATCCCAAAGCGTATGTTATCTTAGAAGCATGGCGGGCGTGCGCGTCTGACGGTGTAAAATAGGCCAGAGGATGACGAAAGATCGGGCTGGGTCGCATCGGCGGTGAGGTGGATGGCGCTGTATGGGTGGGTGTGGGTAAATTGCTTCCAGGCTCAGTCATGGCGTTGGGAGTTCATGTAGTGAGTACGGTGGAGCGCGAGGAGCGCGTGGGTGAGGGATTTGCCAGGGTCGAGTGAGGTGGGGAGTCGGTCGGTGACGGGCGGGAAAGCGGTTGTTATAAAACATGTCGGATGTAAGGTTGTGGAGTAGGTTGCGCCCGGTGAGATGAGTGGGTATCATCAAACTTGTGCCACTGTTGAGTGATGGGGCTTGAGATGGATGTCGGCGCACCTCACCTGCGAGCCATCTCGTCGGCGACGCCCTCAGCGTCGTTGTCAGTACGGATTGAGCATCGTGCTTGTCTGGGCGGCACAATGGTCGACATGAGACGCGGAGACATGGCCTGGGATTGCCTGAGGCGGCGTTTGGAGCCCGTTACTTTATAAGTCCGACCCGGCTCTTTTTCCGTCACCGATAGCTCAGTTGGTAGAGCGACTTCTGGCGTATTAAGTAAGGCCTGCGCATAGCGTGCAATGGTTTAATAGCGGCTGGAGGGAGGTCCCGAGTTCAAGCCTCGGTCGGTCCAAGACTCACCTACTTTTTTGCCCTGCTTTCCTTTTTGTTTCGCGCCTCACTCATGTCCCGCCACTACGTCTTACTCCATGACGTCATTGAATTAGTTTTTGCTTCGGAAAGCACGGCGTGCCTCTTTCGCCCCGGGCTTCTAAGCATCGTAGACGGCACCCGGCAAAGTCGCCACCATTCCTCCAACTAAAGCCGATTCCTGCGACTCCCTCGTTACAGTATAAACGTCACTCACTCCCTCTCTAAACGCCCTGTCGCATCATTGCGCCCTCTATCGACACTATCGACGCCAGCCTCGCTCGCACGATGAGCTTCCGTGAGTCATCCTACGCTGCCGCAAACAGCAAGCAACCCCATGCACTGATATATTTAATACAGGTGTACGAGGCCACCCGCAATAAAGGAACTTAGTCCAGCTATTCCTTCGTACCAGCCGTAGCGTTAGCTGTCGCCGTTCAACGGTGGTCGGTGCTCACCAAAAGGAAATGGACTAAAGTATTTCAGCTCCACTCCCACCTAGCGGCCGCTCTCTGTTGGAGCACAACCCCGATTTGGCGCAGGAACTGTAGTATGATACCAAGTCAAAATCGGATCCACTAGCTTGCCACGTAAGTCCCCATCTTCCCCGGTGAGGAGCACCCAACGGATCACAGACTGGCGGCTTGGACACTCCAAGGTCAATGTCCCACAGCATGCCTGTCCCACTGACCGCCTCGTTACATGCAGGAGTGATTGCTTTTCACGGTATGTATGATGGAGGCTTCTCAATGCTGCCCTACCACCGGATGCCCACCTCACCCCAATGTCATCGCCAATCGAACCACGCCCTTTTCCCGTTCACATCTCTGCACCGCGCGCCCCTGTGCGCGTCATACAGCCTCTGTACGCCCGCCAGCTTCGCTACGACTGTCAAACACTTTTATATTCAAAATCAGAGAGGCGTGGACGTGGCTCAGCAGATACCAAGCAGCCCGACAGTGGACGGTCGCAACCGTCAGGCGGGGGTGAAACACTGGAAATGCGAGCCTCCTCCACCCAAAGGCATGGATTCGCCGCACTGCCATCAGCATCGGTCCATCTAAGCGAATAGTGCGTCGATGCCTTGGTAAGACCAAAGAGCAAGTCTTTCAGCTGCTAACGGTTCCCCACAGCCCCATCAACTGCTGGTCGATGCCTCATATCCATCCTTTTCAGCTCGCGTATCTCGCCCTCTTTTCGGCTTCATGTACATCACCGCTGGCCTGAGGTCAACGACCTATGCAGCATCGCATCGTATCCAGGGTATCCTCGTTTTCAGGCATGAGGGTAGGCAGATCTAAACGTACACCCGCTTGTCATACTGTGGTCGCCATGGGAGCTGCAGGAAGCCCAAAAATTGCTGGCTGCTGAGTGAAACAACACCAAATAAGACATCCAATATGACAGGCACGTAAGACACGGCTGGCTGCTGGTGGAAGGTGCTTACCCGATCTTTCTAGACGAGTGTCGTTGATGGCACATGATCAACTCACCGCATCTTAGCTCGTATCGTCGTGGCTTGCAAGGCTCGCGGCACAGCGTTGACAGGCAGCGTAGAATTTGGATATTTGTCAGAAATTCCTAAGTTGAAACAGCTAGACAAAACGGAGACGGTCTCGTCTCGTGTGGGATCAGCATGGAGCCGCTTGAGCGTCAGCATTCGCACGGAGCGACGAGCTTCGGCGGTTGAATGGGAAGCTGAAAGTATATTCTTATCCGTAGTAGTGTGCCTAGCATGGTTTTAACTAACCAGCATTCCATGACAGGTCTCAATAACACGTCACCACCATTCCTGGACTGCCGAAATCCATCTCGAAACAGTAGACGCAGGTAAGTCTGCATCCGATGCTGGGAGACAACTTACGAAGCTCAAGCCTTGTGACTACTTTGGAAGCGGCATTCGAAAAGCATTATCACTGTCTTAACTTCCGTAGCAGTGGAAGTGCTACACGCTATAGATGTTGGCACAACGAACCATGCGAAGCTGTATGGTACGCATCACACTTTAACTGATCTTGGGACACTGTTAAGTCTAGCCGTTTTTGTTTTATCCTCACCATTTAGTTATAAAGACAATATCACACATATCAGAGTAAATCGTAGATCATTATGGTAGTTCAGGGTTTTATTTGAATCAGTCTGGTCCGTAGTATGGCTACGCTTCCACCAGCACTAACAATATTAGCGATACCTATCAAACCCAGCCCAGGCATGCTCAAACCCCTACGGCTGCTGCTTGAGGAACACCCTGCATTCCTCGGCCGTCTTCTCCAAGCTATCAACAACCTGGAGAGTTGCCTTGACCACAGCGCGGAACTTGTCCCAAGCTTTCGGATGGGCCCGCTCAGTGTGAACATACCAGGGGTCACGCTTGTACATCTCCAGCATGTACTTCGAACCCTCAGCCTTTCGGGAAACATCCTTGTCCGCCTTAATCAGCTTGATCAGTGTACCACAAACACTGCGAACACCGCCACCAAATTCGTCGAGCAAGTCATCGAGGCGCCCGAGATGAGTAGCAAGCTGCATGCCCAGCTCCTGCATGGCGTGCTTCCTGGTGAGTGGGCGCGGACGACGGTTGAGCTTCATGAAATCATCCTCAGCGGCACGCTTGAGCTTGAAGAGGGGGCGCCGTATGTAGTAGCTGGCGTTCGTGTAGTGCGTGCGGATTTTCGGGGGGAACAGGGTATGCATGGGCATGCGCTCGGGGTTCTCTGTCATTTCGGTGAGGTGATCAATACCTTCGCTCATCATGGTCCGGATCAATCTGGCAAGGTACGGAATATCGTACTTCATGCGCTTGAGGACCGTCGGCAGGTCATCGTGAGGCGGTACAGGCCAGGAAGTGGTGGACATGATGTCGGGAGAGCAGCGCGTTCGTCCCAAGGCTTACCGTGAGTTGAGAATGGTTTGCGGTGCTTGTCTTGTCTTCTTTTAAGGTTTATATAGAACCTAATGCCTGCTGTTGCTGTTATACAATGCATTGTTTCGTACATTGTTGAGTTTAACATATGGCCGGGATCGTTGCATGCAGCTAACACATGTCTTTAACGTACTTCCTTCCTGAGTACATGCTGGAGCTTGCTGTGCTGAGTGCATCCTGAGCCTATGTTTGAGAAGAACCGCCGGTTCAGCTGTAAAGCGACTAGCGAAATGGATCACCGCGGACACTATATACAAGCGGCTGGATCCGAATACTGTGATCGTACAGAAGCAAGGCATTGGCAACTTGTATCACGACGTGTTGTGTCCAAACAACCCCAGCTCTTTCACACTACTTAACTCTCAACTTCCTTTGTTGACCACATCCGGCACAAGCAGTCATTGCTGCATACTCCGACTGGGTACCCGCTACATTTTCAACGTCAACACGAACCCTGAGCAGCTCCGGGCCGCCACTGGAGTCGGAGACCAATCCTCCCATAGATCGGCCATCTCCAACATCGGTCTTTGCAACAGTCACTTTCGTCAGCAACGCCAAAGCCCTTCCGCCTTCCACCAGGCAGACCCCTTCGGACCTACCACTCCTACTCCTTCCAACAGATTCGACATGGCAAATGCACCAGACAAACCATCGCCCACCCCGCGTTTCGCCGCCCCCGCAGCAGCCTTAGCTGCACCACAACCGCCCGCCGTCTACCACCCTCTCGGCACTCCCACCATCCCTACACGCAACCCCAACAGACCATTCCCACCTTCACTCGTCCACCAACCCGCTTCCGCCACAAATCACCCAGCTTTCCGAGCTATCGGCAGTCCCGACCCCAACGCCCTCCACCACATCTCGGCAGCGCCCCGCCGCGCGCCGCCGCCGCCGCCACAGCTCGCCGACCACCCCGCTCTACGCGCCCATCCCGTCGCCAGCGGCGCGGGACAAGCAGGCGTGCCGGCACCGCCCGTGTACAGGCCGTCTGGGGCTGCGGCTCCTGATGCCTCTGCTGCGAGACGCACCGGGGTTAATGTCGGAGCTGTGCGGCGACGCTATCGGCCGCAGCGGGTGCCGCGGTGCAGGAAGGTGCGTTTGGATGGGCGGGAGTGCGGGAATGTGGTTATGGGTGGGAGGGAGTATTGTTTTGCGCATGGGGTGGGTGGTGGCGTGGTTGGTGGCGATGGTAGCGATGGTGGTGTGGTTATCGTGGGGGGGCGGAAGCGCTGTGAGCGTCTTGGCTGTGCGGGCGGGGTTGTGGGGGAGAGTGCGTATTGTCAGGATCATCAGTGGTTGTTGAGGAGATTGAGGGGGCTGAACGGCTAGTCGATGTAGGTGGGAAGAGGGGGGTGGGGTTTATTGGGGTTTGAGAATTGTGGGATGGCTGTGTAGGTGTGGATATTTTTCGGCTGCCGTTGTAGATAAAATGGGACCTACAAATACGAATACAAATAAGAAAACGGATTTATTACGGATCTTACTGTAAACTTTTATTTATGTGCTTAAGTGATGGTATATTTTTGCTTCTTAACGGTGATATATTTAAATTGTTCGTATTTGCGAATAGATACTTCTAGCTTAAGATGCGAGCTCCTTTCTCTCCGGTACCTGAATACCTCGCTAAAATACCTCTCTCTCCGTATACTAGCATTATTCCATAGTACTTCTAGTGTCGCCCGTGATAACAGGCGTCAGGTAATCTACTAGTATTTGTATAATCCGGATCGTTTCCTACGCCGCTGGAATCTGGGACTGTTCGCACCTTGCTGGACTAAGAAACAACGGAAATCACTTTAAGGGAAGCCTTGCTGAAACAGATATATAAGGCTATAGGCGATAAGAATTCTTCGCTATTTGTTTAAAGAACCCTCCTCAACGTAAAGATTCCTCGTTTTAAGATTTTACTCCATCTTCTTTCTTTGTTCGTAACGCCTCGCGCCACGATCTAACAGATTTCTTTACGTTTACCTCGACTCAGGTAGGAAATAGGTTGCATATCCATCATAGTGATTTCAGGCGGCCCACGACATCCGGACCGATCCATTATTAGCATATCACGGTTCGAGGCAAAAGGAGATTAGGTTGCCATATTTGAGGTGACATTGTTGCAACTAGCTATTCTTAAACCTTGTTTCCACTGTCAAGATAATATTAACCACATCGAGAGGATACTCGAGCTACGAGTCCAATGTCCAAATCTTCTCACGCTTGTTGAGATTACATAAAGTCTTAGCAACGCATGCTTGATCCTATAGATGTCTACATCAGTACGACTCCTAAGTTCTAGCTGCAAGAAGCTTCTCAAGCTCATCGATCCGGGCCTTATCCTCCCTCCGTTGCCTATCGTTCGCTTCGTCAGCCGCCTTCTTCCCCTCCTTTGCCCTTGCAAGCTGAAGCTCTAGATCCTCCATCCGATGCCGTGCATACTGATACAGAGTCTGGAAGATTCTGGCCTTGTCAACAATGCTAGAGGTTCCCTTCGACGTGGCCTGGTCTTGCAAGAGGACCTCGGCCGTGTGGAAGAGATGGGAATTGTGCTCCCGAAGCCGCCTGTTCTCTCTCATAAGGCGCACCTTATCGCGCACGGTTTTGGTCCAGAGTTGGTGTAGACTCTTCGCGTGAAGGGTGGCACCGTTAGCCTCTTTCGCGGCAGTCTTGGCCTCGTGCTCGAGGTCCTGACGCTCCTTGACCCAGGACGTCCGCTCCTCCTCAACTATTTGCTTCAGACCTTGACGCTCTTTCTTAAACTGCTTCTTATCCACAAAGACCATGTCTATGGTGGGGAATTCGGATGACGCCCTTGAAAAGTCCGAGCCATCGTCAGACATGTCTGCAGTCTTTGACCTGTGAAGAGTTCACTAAGCTGGCTCCTCCGTGCAATGATTAAGGCTTGAAGTGGCTTCGACAAGTAATCCAGATCAAATGCCGACGATGAGTTAATGAGCTAGAGATAGTGGTATTCACTCGTTATATAGCCAAGTTTTGGTCAGCCTTGTTCTGAGACTGCTTCATCTAATGGTCATGTACGATGTCATTGTGAGTGAACAACACGTCGGGTTGCTTTCTATATTTATTCAAGACAATGGCTTTGTCTGTCCCAAGTTAGGCTGCTGCCGGTAGCATGGTTAGTAACAGCAGGAAGCAAGATTGACGAAGACATGATCTACCACGAAGTTCTCTCGAAGTGACCTCTTGGAAATGTAGCGCGTTTAGGGAATACGTACTAAGGGCACAGAGAGTCCTCTCTATGGGGAGTGGTATAATTTTCTTGACGACATGATTGTTGCAGTGGATGACCAAGTCATGCAGCTGGCGCCCACCGTATGCGCCATTGACTACGGTGGGCGAAGCGGCTTCTTGTGTTGAACCTCCGAGCACCGCCGTCGTTGCAATTGTCGGCCGTCACCCTTTGCGCGGCGTATCTACGGAGAAGCAGTGTCCTCCTACTCCGGTCTAATACCAACGTCAGGCCTCCTCGGGGTGCGTTCCTCCAACATGTTCGTACCCAAAAAATAACCTTCCAGTGCACCGTCACTTGAGCCGTAAAAAGCATTTTCCGTCTATCGAAGACAGTAGATATGCTTGTAGCAAAGATGTTCAAATATCACCTACGCAGCAGGCGTATCTTTGCTGCGGGAGGTGCGGATGTGGCGAACGTGAAATAAGAGTAGGTTCGTCGCGAAAAAAGAAAGAAAGAAAGACCGGAAAGGAACGAACGAGCGGAGTGATCAAGCAATGACCAAACAGATTGACATGTTAGACAAACGGCTCATACGAAGGTCGATGGAGAAGCGAGTCATACACCACCAGAGTCAACACATGATGGCATTGACGGTACATAGGCGTTACATTCGTACAAAATCCGAAAAAGAAAGAAAAAGCGGCATGATGTAAAACCTGGCAAGAGAAACTGTCTACAGTCTACGTGCAAGATATCATTAACGCGTCTATCAGTGCTGGTCGTTTAATGGTTCGCCCCAGCCCCAACGCGGGCTTGGCCAGCAACCAGACCAGCCCAGAAGCCGCGGAAGCCGTAGCGCAGCTCTTGTGTAATTTGATCGTTGAGCCGCTGTAGGATAGTCCCGCTCTAACCCGGAAGGTACAGGGAGTAGATGTTATCGTGAGCAAAGTGCTGGCAAACTGAAATCAAAAAACAAACTGTTGGGAGCAAGTTTCGCGAAGCCGTAGTCGTAAACGAGATCGAAACATTTGGTAGTCTCCAGAAAGCACGACGATAACATATCGTACAGATGGTGGGCTTGCGGCTCTTTCCGAAGTAGGCATCAGAGGGGTTCGTAATCTTGCTCGACACCGCCCGGCTGCCCTCACATAGCCCCAGCCCCCATCATCCTCTCTTCCGCCGCCTTCACAAGCAACATAATCTTCCTCTGCTCCCACTCATCTACCATGAACGGCATCACATAGCCCTTCGGCTCCCACGTATCCGCATACGCCTCTCCGGTCACCGGATGTGGCGACCAAGACACGAGGTACTTGTCTGCGGACTCATCTACGATGCCACGTGACGGGAAGTACGTGTCGGAGTCGTGAGTCTGCGCGGATTGGAGACGGTGAGCGGGCTTCTTGGTCGCCCAACGGGTGGCGGGGCGCCTGCGTTTCTTGGGGGAAGAGGAAGAGGTAGAGGTTGAGGCTGCGGTGGACGAGGTGCTGAGGGAGGATTGGGAGACGCACGAGGAATAGAAGGTGCTGGAAGATGACAGACTGGTCGATGAGCGAGCTATGGTCGAGCCGGACGGGCAGAGGCCAGAGTGCCCAGTGGCCCTGCCCTCACGCTGCGTCTCGCCGTTGGACGTCTGACTCTTGATGTATTCTTGTGTGGGCTTGTGATTGCGTCGGCTCGTGGCGATGGCCGGTTTTGTGGAGGTAGAGCCCTCAGTAGTAGGCGTAATGGTTGTAGATGACGCAGTGGAGACGGACTCGGTGTCGGAGATGTCAATTACGGGAGGCTCATTGGCAAGGAGGTGGGATGCGGACGGCTTGGCGGTGACGACACGACGTGTTGTAGTCGCTCTCGCGCTCCTCGCCTTTGCTAGCTTCTCTGTGACAATTCGTCTGGTGGTGGCCTTGCATGCGGATGGCTTCTCGATGGCGAGCTTGTCAGTGGGTAGCGGCTTAGTCAAAGGTTGCTCGGCGGTGGGTGTCTTCGCGACGGACTTCTCTGCAGATGGTCTGAAGCCGACAGGCTCTTTGGGAGCGTAGTCGCTTGTAGAGACAGAATTTTCGGTGCTACTTGGCGTTTGCTTCATGGCCCGCCTCTGTTTGGCCTTCTTCTCGGCCCACTCGTGCTTGAGGGCGGCATTGGCGTAGCGTTTGGGCTCCCATGTTGGCTCGTAGGGGGCGCCGGTAGCTGGATCGATGCCCTTCCAGCCAATTCTGTAGCGGTTACCCTTCTCGCCTAGGATTGCGTAAGCCGCAAACGTCTCGCGTTTGGCGTGTGCGTCCTTGGCGAACTTGCTTCTGGGCATGGTGACGGCAGCGATGGAGAGTACCGCGGGAGATGGATGCGAGTCGAGACTCTGGTGGGTTGGGATGAAAGGTAGAGGGAGTGAGTGGAGGTGGTTTGCTGTGGATATGAAGCGCGTTGTTGTGCAACGCGACCTGACGTGACGCAACGCGTCAGTTGTGAGACGCGTCTGTCCCCCGTTGCACTCGCGTTTCTGCAGGGCAGGTCTGAAACTCAAGAGAATCAAACGTCCTGGCTACACGACGAGAAATCTTCAAAGGGGTAGAGCCGCAAAGCCCTCGTCAATGCCCAGCCCGATTATTCGCATACTCGAGACCCCTCTCCAGCTTGACCCAATGAGCCATCGATATTTTCTCACAGCCTGCTGTGAGTCTGCAGTGATGTTGACAGCCCACTCCAAATGCAACGCGTAACTCCCCACCAGTTTGACATTCCTCCTAAAGTGCCTTCTTTCGCAGTCCGTCTCTGTCGCTAGCCTCATCCAGAATTCTGCTAACACACCATGTGCATACGGAATGATTCCAGGCCTTGTCGCTAATCCAAGCAAGCCCAAGATGTGTTCGATGCGCTTATGTGCAGTCTACATGACTTAGAGCGTCTGGTGTAGCTGTTTCAGCACGCCAATGAGCTTGGAGAGCTCCCATGTGTTCCACTCTTCTCTAGTCAAGAAGAGCTTGTTTGGGGCGGTGGAGCGAGAGAACAGACTAGGGAGTAGGGCTGAATCCAGTGTCTTGTATTCGGATCGCGGGGAGGAGAACGGAGGGGACGGATGGAGTGTTTTGGTTTCGAGTACCAAGGGGAGAGGGAGTCTTGCGGGTCCTTGGCGTGGCATGGCGGCGGGCAGTGACATACATACAAGTTCTGTCTTGATGAATGCTATCGAGAAAACCCCGACATGGTGATATTTCTGTTGCAAGCTCTGGAGGACATCTTTTCTGCCACAACTCCATGCGGTGCCCGAGCAGTCAGCATTTTGGAATTCTCATTCTACTTTGTGGAAAAGAGAAGTATAAAGCTATGTGAATAGGTCATTATCATTCTACGTTATCGAAAGCAGGATGGTATGTACAGTCCATCAATAGAGAAACTGATCATCCGTGATTTTGCTTGTCTTACTAACTGTGATCCTTACGGCGGGTTGCTTAAAGAAAGCCCACGTACATCTATCGAACCGTAGTGTCGCATTAGAAATTTAGAAGATACAAGACAATATTCCTGAGGACATTCCTATAGTTTAAATCTTGTATTTTCGCCTGCGTGCTGGGCTCTATCACATGGAGGTGAAGCACCGCCCTTTCTTGATACAAAAGCGAAAGGTCCTTTGAGTCGTCATGAGTCAAAACAAAAATGGTATTTTCGGAACAATGCAATTGTTTTCGAACGCATTGTTAATGAACAGTCCCATACAGCAATACTCACAACGTATATAAGTACGCACAGAATACGGTAGCTTTCCATTCCCCAGCTCGTGCCGGAAACTCGAAAGCCCCACGAACGACGCATCAACTACGACTCGAAACAAAGCTTCATCACAAACGGCAAGGCCTAAGCTTCTCAACATGTCTGACGGTCCTCCCGCAAGCCGAAATGTGGCTGATCCTATATCGCCAAGCAGGTCGAAGGCTGTTGGGGCGGATGCCGTGAGTGTGGCCGAGGCCCTACAGGACCAAATCCTGAAGCTCCTCGAAGACCCTCAAGCTGCCCAGGGCACCACCACCACTGATGTCCAATCGGGCTTTGCTTATCTGACGACCGTCATCAAGCTCCTTGACAATAAGGCACGCGCTTTGGACTCCCTTGAAGCCATGGTCCCGTATTTCACGCGGCTCGAGAACGAGAACAAGCGCCTTAGAGAGGCCAACCGCATCTTGCAAGCCCGGGATGCCCTTGCAGCGGACCGTGAGAGCAAAGACCATGATGAACGTTGTGTCCGCCATGGATTTTGCTACAGCATGATCCGCAATCTCCGGGAGGATGTTGCATCCAAGGACAACATCATTGCCTCCCTGAAGAAGGAGGACGCCCAGGAGCATAAGTGCAAGCATCTCCGTAGCGATCTTCTTACTGACAGGGCGGGAACATAAGAGATGGATGGAGGGCGGCTCATTGGTAGCAGACATTCAAGAGAACGGCAACCTTTGAGCCGGGTAGAAATGTAGAGAAAACTCAAGAAAACAATTTAGTTGATCTGAGCCTGAACGTACCAGTATTTCCTTTTGAAAGACTCACCTCTTTCGTCCTTGTGCATACCGCCAATTGTAGTTTTACGCCAGTTTCATTGATAAATCTTCTAGTAATGACGCGACCCGACGTTCCTACATTTCGTACTCCTCTATTCTAACCTAGTCAGTATCATCTTCGGAGGGTATAGAAGCTAATTTAGCTGCAGTCACGTTTCAGCACCTGCACAGCATAGTAACAGGGCCGTGTGAACAGTTCATTCTACGCAAGGCGCTGGACGTTCCCATCTTTTCTAGCCCACAATGCAAGGGCTCCACAACAGACTGCTCTAGCGCTGATGAAACTTCTCATCTGCAAAGCCCCGCGGAAAGAGGGCTGGTTGCCCAAACGAACTGAATCATCTAGCGGCGATTTTCTCCTCTGCAACCCATGCAAGAGTCTTTCCGACAATTCAGGGCAGATTTAGCTATGCGCACCCACCCGTAATTGTTTCTCTTTCTACATAAGGCAAAAACTCGACCCAAACGCCATCAATAATCCATCAGCTCCTTCAAGGGGTTCTTCATCTTCGATGGTCTAGTGGTGATGATTTCCGCTTGTCAAAACAGTCTGTTCTAGCAAGCGCGGGAGACCGGGGTTCGGTAAGATTCCATGTTCGATTCCTGTCTGCAACCAAATACTAATGATTAATAGATTCCCCGTCGGAGAGAATATCTTTTTTTTTCTTCCATGATGGAACTGCGTAGCAGATTCAGAAGTCTTCGTTAGACTCTTGTGTTGTAGTTTTTTGGCATTGTGAGGTCCGTTGCTGGGTGTCGAGAGCGGGAGCGGTGGATCAGATGCGAAAATTTTTGGTATCGGGAGCCGAACCCGATCTTCGGGACCGACGCTAACCGGAGTTGGTAAGTCCGACACTCTGGTACCCGGGCGCGCTAGCTTTTTGCGCTGGAAGGGTTTCATAAGGCGCTGGGATGGGCTGTGGGGCAGTTGTGCATGGTGTTGGGCCGGGGTCAGGTCGATCCGCTGGATTGGTTGCTGGACCCTAGGCAGTCGAATCGGTTTCATGATACTCCTTTACGTGGTGTTTGCAGCTTCAATCTCCTTTCTGCAGAACAAAGAGGAAGCACGCCCCCTACGGCATAGTTCGTCGAGGTCAGCTTGAGAATATGTAGCTCATGAGTAGGACCAATCGAGCCAGGACAGAGTATGCAGTCATTGCCAACGAATGAGGACGCCAAGAACGCTCACATCTATATCTGCCATCTAATATGACCGTTTTCTTTCGTCAACTCGACCTTTCAACAGTCCGCCTCAACCATTACCGCATAGTCGTCTCTCGGGCTGAGGGGTGACGTTGTAACCACCCCTGCAACCTCGCCTGCACACCATCGCTTGTGGATGCGATCGGCAATTTCGAACAGAGCGAATGCTGCGGCACGGCCCGCCCCGCGAAGATGGTTACACAACAGCTGCCAAATACATACTCACGCCAAGCCTTTCACCTGCCCTGATCCGTCCCGACATGTGGCTTCAAGATACGCCCCCCACTGACCGTTGACCATGACCGTTCCGTATGGCCATCCCTGGGTATTCTTGGATCCAAGCTTTCCTTGCGCAACGAACACTTCTCCCAGCATGAGCGGTTGTTTTATATTTAACGATGATGATCGACCTTCCTTTTTAGCACCGATTTATCTGCAGATAAAGTGGCAAATGGACGAAGGCATTCAAGGACATAGTGAAGCCTTCCTAATGAATTGTATAAGCTCTATGAGTGCTTTCCGCCTCACATTTGGCGTAAATACAGCGCCTCGCATATCCTCACCCGTAATTATACAAGCCACCCGACTTCATTCGTACCGACGTTCCACCCCGCGAAAAGATCTAACACGGTCCTAAAAACCACAACCCCAAGACCCAGCTTTCCAACAGGCGCGCTGGTATCAACCACGCGGAATGCATCCCAACAGCCACCTCACAGCATCGTCTCATCCTCCGCATCAGCCTCTCTCCCTCACCACCCGGCAAACCCAGCTCCATCCCACACCCAAATCAAGCACACCACTCAGCACGCCCTCTCCCCCGCCCTTTTCATCTCCCCCAACTCCCTCAACACCCCCTCCGCCACACCCATCCCATCCCTCACCCGCCGCAGCGTATGCACCACATACGCCCACTCCTGCCCCGTCGCCGGCACCACCGGCACCAGCACCTCCTCCATCCCCCGCAAGCTCTCCACGTCCGCCTCCAGCTCGTCCACGTGCGCCTGGCACGCGACCGACGCCGGTGCAGCACCACCCACGTTGTTGCGCATCTTGCCGAGGCCGAGCGAGATGCGCGAGTAGTCGGCTTCGAGCTTGGGGGTGTCGAGGTATTCGAGGTCGGTGTGGGGGTTTTTGTCGGCGGGGGAGGGGAGGTAGGTGGAGAGGTGGTTGGTGAGGTGGTTGAGGTGGGTGGGGAGGAGGGCGGTGAGGGCTTCGAGGAGGAGGGCGAGGAGGAGCTTTTTGGGATGCATCGTGGGTGGCGCTGGTGGAGTGGGGGGGTGGTTGCTTTTGGTTGAGGACTTGGCCGATTGTTATGGGGGGCTTGGAAGGATGAGTGATGCTTGTGTTTAAAGTCGGATTTTGTATATGAGGTGTCGTTGATTCTGTTTGAACAAAGACAGAATGCTTCGCGCTAAGTGCATTGTTCTAGGGTGTCTTGGATTCGCAGGTGGCCCGTATTGGCGAATTTGCGATATGACCGACACCGTGAACAAAGCATCTCGTGAAAAGCAAATAGGCCGAAAGGTGTCGAGCAATCTAGGTTGTTCGCTTTGCTCACAGAAAAAGGTCTTAAGAATTATACTCTAAGAATAAGTTTCTATGGTTTAGTTACGACTGAAAAAAGGCTATTGACTGGCCGGATTTGGTGGTGGAAGGGTCGTCCGAATCCAGTGGCCCAGGTGAATATTGGCAATTCCTGTTAAAGATTGTAGGCCACTCGGGATTCCGGGGTTTCAAAATGCTGTGGATGGGGATGTGGGGAAGTATGCCAAGCAACATTGAGTATATTAGAGTCGCTTAGGAGGTCAAAGATATCGTCGAACGAGCGTAGGCAGCAACGGCTCCGTTATTTCGGTTGGCTACTTTATATGCTAGCATCCGGGGGTTGGAGCTCCACGACAATGCGAGCGGCGTGACCATGTATGTATAGGTGTTCCATCTACTAGGGTCACATCGCGCCCTCAAGTGCGACGTCACGATACCGTTGTATATACTTTCAACCCACCAAGTAAGAATGAATCGGCTATTTTCTTCGGGCTTACCTTGCTTTTGTTATAGCGTCTGCATCTGCCGCGCCCCATTCCAGCTCGAATTTCGTCTTTCTCTCATGGTCAACACATTCACATAAATGAAGTCTGACGATTTGATGCACGAATAACTTACGGGTAAATCGTAAATCGTGGAATGCAAACATCCATAGGGGGTTGGGGGAAGTATTCTTAACATGAAAGGGATAACTGTTAGCTATCTCCCGCTCTCTCTCTCTTTGTTTATTTTTTCCTGTCTCTCGTTGTCACAAAATGAACCAAGACTTGATACAAGGTGAATGTGCCAGCGCGGCCGGAAGCTGGCAAGCGTATGCCCTAAGCAAGCCACCACCGTCTTGGGATCTACTTAGCCTACATACTTGAACCGGGGAGTTATCGAATCATAGTAATATACTTCTTGCGTGTAGTCTGGGGCAGATGACTGCATGATTGATTAGTCAAGATGGTGACGTTCTCAATCCCAGGACGGCATTTAATCAAGCCCAAGCTTTTGAGGTTGATTGACCTTGTCATTGTAAATTCCACCCCAGTATTGATCTTGAAAAAACCCTCCACTCGACAATTTCAGCCTCTCCTGGCATGATCGCCTGCAAGTTCTACAAACTCGCGATTCGATTGAAGTTCAAAGACGGGATTCGTAGCCTCCAGCTCGCCCGGGCCTCGCGACATTCCACCCCTTTCGCCTTTTGCGGTGGATCCACGCGTTGTATTGCTGGAGAGCTGCGCGAGGCTCTCGTACATCGGTGGAGTCTCGCCTCCGTGCCCAATGTTCGCCATGGTTGCACTTTCTCGTCTCAGCTGCTCTTGCGTTGGGGCTGCCCACCGTCGTCGACAACAGTAAACTAATATGAAGACAAAAGTGAGAATAGCGGCCGCACCGACGCCCATGCCTATTCCAATCTTCCCGCCACTTGATAAGCCATGGGAACTGGGCGTCGATGCGGGCAATGACGAGCCGTTCTGGCTGCTGGCGGTGCAAGTCAATGCCCCCGTGATGATGTTCTGATTCTTGTAGTCTTGGAACGGCGAACAGTCGAAGTCCGTCGCAGTGGTGTTAAGAATGAACCGGCCAGCTTTTTGGAGGCTGGGGAGCGAGACACTTTGAAACTCATTAGTAACGAATGCCATTTTTCAGGAGAAGGGAAGTGGACTCACTTGGCCAAGTTTCCCTGTAGAACCACTCCTTGGGGCGAGGTTTGTAGTTTTGGAAGTGTCAAGTCTTGCAGCCGGGCGTTGTTCTGAACAGTCAAGCCACCGCAGCGAACCAGGACGGGGAATTCGAGATCGGTCAAGCCTTGGTTGTCTTGTACGAGGATGCCCAGAACGTCATTGCCCACACTCTCGAGCTTGGGTGCGCTGTACTCGGTAAATGCATTGCCTGCCAACACGAGTTCGTATGCTGTAGTAAGTGAAGGAAAAGACACCCCAGTCGCATTTTCGATGTCGACTTTCTGCGCAGTGGACAGATTCGGAAAAGAAACTTGAAGCCCAGGAGCGTTATTGGTGATGATTATCGTGGAGGAATCGGAGGCAGTCGTGGATGCCACCGACATAGTGATGTTCGCCAAGTCGTTGTTGAACGTGGCGTTGAAGCCGTTGGTGGTGCCGTCCGGATCGATCCCGTTGAGGCTAGATAAGGCCGTGTCACTTATCACGAAAGATGAACAGTTGCTGATGGTGGCGTCGAATCCGAGGTTTGACAGCGCTGGCAGTTTGACCAGCCTCAGCTGCTGGCCCACGGTTGTAAGCTTGGGCATGTTCAAGGTCTCCAGATTGCCAAGCTCTTGCAGGTACATGTACCCCTCGATCACTTCGAGTGAGTCTGCAGACAGCGAGCTCAGTCCCTCGGAAGACTCGGCGAGCAGGTATCCATCGAGGTTTTGGATGCCATCGAGGGCGATGTCTCCGGTTGCGTCGCCGGGAATCTCAATGTTTCCGGTGAAGGTTTTGCAAGCAGCGAGCGGCGTGGCGTCGGCATGATTTCGAATGGTTGTGATCGCAGTTGAGCACGACGTTCCCTCTATACCGTTGGTTCTTAGCGTGGAGCTCGTCTCACGTGCCGCGTGCTGACTTACGGGCTGTAGCTCCCTGGCCCACGACGAGGGCGGAGAGGACAGCAGTAGCTGCCACTGACTGTTGAAACAAGCCCCGGCGTGGCGGCATGTCCTTGTTCCATGCAAGTATACCGGTGCCTGTTTCGCATCGGATCACGGTATAGGTGCTTGGTCTTTATTACGGAGAGGTGAGGGAGAGCGGGGACGGCGAAAACCCCGTCAGCTTTGCCCGTTATTGCTGGCTCCCGTGTCCATCACCTGGTGCGGAATTCGCCCCCCTTCCCGTGGTGGGCTGTTCGCTGGCATGTCCTGGGGGAGCACTTACCTAAAAGGGGAAGTGGTCAGCACTAAGCGTGCCGCGCCGGATCCATCTGCGGGAGCCGTACGCGGGTTCCTCATGCGGATTCCGATGGCGCAGCAAAGCCGGCGCTACAGCCTTGACGGGGACCCGTCCAGTGGCGCCCGATGGCTTGCCGTTTCTCGGGTCGCTGTTGCAGCTTCGCCTCATATATCCCTCTTCACATGCATTACCCCGCACCCGATCGTCCGCTGCATTACGGTGTTGTGCACACAGCGGCTGGTCAATTCAGAGCCACCAAACGACCCGGATGGACTCGGCCACGTGCTGATTTTGCGCATAATCTGTTCGCAGTACATGTGCTTCGGCCTACCGCACACTTGTGCATCGCAACCATGTCAAACTTCACCTGTCCCGGCTCGGTCGCAGATGCCTGGCGGTCTTGTCTCTCGGGCTCCAGATTCGTGGGGTGCTGTCAAGGCCAGCCGGTCGATCCCTGCGACCTAGGTTGCAATCCGGGGAACTTGTTTCCGGCTTCTTTCAACTCCGACTTGGACGGGGAAATCCCGCCGCTCGAGTGCAATAATCCAGAAGCGCAATTCTACGTCTGCTCAAACACCAGCCCGTCGTTTTTAGGCTGCTGCAAATCAAACGCGTGTGCCCAGAGTACTGGCTGTCCCCGCGAAGACCTTTTTCCCGCATTCCTGGCCAGCAATCCTGACGCCACATCCGTTTTCAAACCGACCGGAGTACCTTCTGCCTCTGCAGCCGCACCGTCTGAGGCATCTTCATCACATTCGAACACAACCGTGGTAGGAGCCGCCGTCGGCGGAGGTGTTGGCGGTCTCTTAATCCTTACTCTCCTGGCTCTCTTCCTTTGGTGGAGAAAACGGCGGCGAAGCATCCGGGGCCATGAAGCCAAGAGACCTGTGACTGTTACCAGCGATGGGCTCCCTCATCACGATCACAATACCACGGTCGACGATACAAACCACCAGCCGAGCGAGCTCTCGGCGACCAAAGCGGTGCATGCAAACGGTAAGTCTTCCCCACATAGAGCACAAAACGCACTCACTAAACCACGCAGTGTGGCAAACTCCGCCGCCGAGATATATCTCTCCTCCGCCCCAAAGTCCCTCCGGAGAAGAATATGTGCAAGCTCCCGTTGAACTCGAAGCGAATCCACCCCGCGAACCCGGAAAGGGAACGAAGTGAAGAGCTGCGATGCGCCGATGCGTTTCTTCGGTATTCTGCGGCTTTCGAATTTCCAGACCGATACATCGTAATTAGCCTGCTCAACCTTTTAGATAGACACTTGCAATTACTGCAGGTGAAATGTAATCATACCAGATATCCAACAGACATGCAGCGTGCCGATTGAAGGGTTCTCGATCTCATCTGTATTTCCTAAACGACACTAGACCCGTTGTATTCAAACCCCAACCATCAGTCCTATCGCGGAGAATACTATCGCAAGGATGCCGCCTGATGAAAGTACAGTAGTCTTCCCGCCAACACCCTTTGAGGTGGCTGCCGCAGCCGCGGACCCTGTGGCGGTGGAGGACGAGTTTTGAACGCTATTTCCCGTGCTATTGTAGCATGTTCCGCTTTCGCTTTGGCACCCTTTGTCCAGACTGCAGTGTTCGGTAGTGTTACCGCAGTAGCTACGCACATCAGTCAGCTTCTCGCTTTGATATACTTTTTATCGGGGGCGGTCTTTTACCCTCCACTGCTGCAACACGGGCCATACTGATAGACTCCAAATTGCTTAAATGCATTTGAGGCGGCGTGTGGGGAGCAGATGGCATTGTTATACGCAGAGCCGCATCTCCCGTCGCAACGGGGACTGGTTCCCACTCCGAATGCCCAGCTACATTCTGGCTGGTTGAGGGTCAGGTTGTTGGACTCGCATTCCCCGTAGTCGGATTGGCAGCTGTCTCTGCTACAGTAGTCCGGCCCAGTACCACAGTAGCCTCCCGAGCTGCGAACAGTCAGAGTCGGACGCAGCGAGCTGGAAGGCAAGGCCATACCTGCAGCAAGGAGACGTGCCGTTCAAAAGACACATTTTCCCATTTGATGGGCCACATTGACCGTCTGTGGTCAGCGGGTAGCTCGGGCTGGGTGGCTGTCCTGCCGTCGAATTCCGTGTTGTTGTCGAGTTCTGTGCTGCGACGAGACCGAGGAGGAACGCCTGGAAAAGTATGAATGCAAACATCGTGGCCGTTCAAATTCACGGATTATTTGCAAATGGTAGCGTCAAAGGATGTGCACAAGGATTGCCCGTACTGGCTGTCTACCACCATTTTGCTACACCATTGAAACACACAAATTCATCGTTTCTTATAGGGCTTAAGTCTCCCCGGATCCCATAGTGTTACCTGTGGCTTATTGCGCTTGGCTGAACAGCCGTGGTACCTTGGCCTATTGTTGTAGCCGCTGCAGTACGGTATGTTCCGTTTTCTAAAGCTGTAACTACGGACTTCGGAAAGAAGCCTAGCGTGGGGGCAGTGGTGAGCTGTCTTGCCAAGAGGAGTCGTGTATGGTCCGGTATTATTAGCGATTGTGTTAGTGCTTAGCGACGTACCGAATGTGGGGTTCTAGATTCGTCCATGATATTGACACGCGACAATTGTCAGCCTGGCTCAGCCGCACTTTTGGCCGTCAGGATCGATAAGGTCTATTGATCTACATGGTTTAGCGGATGCCTGTAAAGTCTATGTACGTGGTAAGCTTACCTTCTCTTGGAGTTGCTTTTGGTCGACGGGTGATAAGTTCATCGAGTCTTCCATCCATGGAAATTTATCTCCAACCGTATACGATATACCAGCACCGTCGTTCTATACGTCAAACATCAGTGTACATGCTGAGCCTGGAGACGTCGTCGGCGCCATTCTGGGCTACTCGATATGCCGCAATGCGCACCTTTCCGAAAATCGCCACATTGGAATATTTTGGGTGGATCTGCATACGATGCATTTCACGTGAATGGAGCTACTCTAGAACCAGGCAGATGCACGAATGGCCCGTCGCACATTATTGCGTTCCCCTGTCAAGTCAGCACACCATCCTGCTGTAAGAAGTTGTGGTCTCGGAGATCGGTCTTCAGCTGACAGATTTCACCTCTTTACCGAGGACGCAATGCAATGATTAGTGTGATTGGAGGGAAAAAGCAAAGGACCAACGCAGGCGCTAGCATTTCTTTTTTCCACTGATGAGGATACTTGACTCCGGATAATCAGTAGTACTGCCGTCAAATTCATGTAAGGCGAACACTCAGCTGCGCGATAGAGAACAGAACAGACGCAATCGTTCCGGCCCGCAGGAAACATGCATAGGAAAAGTAACCATCACGCGAATGTGTGACCAGCAGTGACTTGGGTCAGCATCTGTCCGTCTGTGTGGGGAGACAACATTGGAGTGGGCAGTACTGAGACAGTTGGACAGATGTCGAGCTATCGGAGAGGCTTCTCCGGAGTCTGACGGGCCAGTGATGATGAACAAAAAAAAGGTAAACTTTTCTCAGGAGAAGGTGGCAATTCGAAGCAAGGTACTCCCTGCTAATCGTGCAGTAGCGCATCTCATCGATGATGCACCTGTTCACCTTCTGCCATCACATCCGACCGTGATCAACTAAACAGAGAGACAAAAAATTGCAAAGAATCGGTCCCAGTGCTTGCCGTTGGCCTTCGTATGTGGGCAGTCAGACTACATATCTAGGCTTTAGTATCAGTTTTCCAAAGCATCTCGCTACCTCTACAAGCAGTGCGATATCTCCCCAAAGAAGATGCCGGTGGGTCCATTCCTTCGGAACATATCCTGCTGATCTGGTCGAGCGTTGATGCTGGCTGATGAATCCCGCATGTTTATGTCCCCGAGGCTTGTCATGCACACTTGAAAATCCGCACGACAAGCCTACCCAATCATCCGTCTCATAAATTTTCGGCCACATTAAAAGACGAAATTTATGCCCTACCACTATGGGCTCTAGGTTGCAATGGTCGTATGTGCCGTCGTACCTGAGTTGGCTTGGCTAAAGAATTATTGGGCCATATCGACATCCGCAAGGACAATTTATAAGTATGATATTCTAGAAAAATAGTGGAAATGGAAGCGGCGGAGGTTGAGAGTCTAGGTTCTTGGTGTAAAGAGGGGGTTACTGCATTTACACGACGTAGGAATAAGATATGAGTGAAGGGTATATCTTGCACACCGAGACATCTCGTAACCAAAGTACACTACATGCTTACTGCTGCAACAACTCTTTGTAGTCCGGGAGATCCCATCCTTTGACGTCTTCACGGAGAATCCAGCCAAAAATATTGATCTTTAACAAAGCAGCCGCCCACAAGAAGAAGTTTATGACAACAACACCAAACGACGTCGATGACAGCATATCCCAGACCCCATCCTTCTTCGGCAACCCTTTCTGCACCTGGTCCATGAAGGGCCGAAACTTTCTCTCATAAGCCTCGAGCGCAGCTGCGAGACCATCCTTACCACCTCCCCGTCCACCAGCGTCCACTCCATCAAAACGTCCACAGTGTCTCCCGATCTCGCCGGCGAGGATGTAAGCGCCCACCATGGCGGAGGAAGTGCCCATGCCCGTGTTTGCCGACGGACAATAAGCGGCGTCGCCAACCAGGGCCACGCCGCCGCGGGACCAAAAATCCAGCTTCACGACACCCATACGCTCGCAGTAGAAATCGTCGACATCGTCAAGAGCCTTCACGATCTCTTCCGTCCGCCACCCCGCGCCTTTGAAGATCTCCGCAAAGGCCGCCTTCTCCTCCTTGGCGTCTCCCCGGCGAATGTTCTTGAGCTTGTCCGACTTCGTCTTGCTGAAGAGGTAGGCCTGGATCGCATGTGGGCTGTGTCTCCGAACGAACACGGCCCGGCCGCCGGGCGCCATGTACGACGTGGCGATGTAGTCGTCACCCTCTCGCATCGGCCGCGGAATGGTAAAATACGCGACGTAGACGTCGCCGAACGGCAGGAATCCATCAGCAGTATCAGATCCGAGCATCATCTTGCGGGTGCGCGAGCCCTGGCCATCGGCGCCGATCACGAGATCGAACCCGTCCGTCGTCCCGTCGGCGAAGCGGACCTCGACGCAGCGGTTCTTCTCCTCGAAGCTCTCGATCGACGTCCCGAAGATGTACTTGGCCCGGCCTCCGATGGCGTCGGACAGCAGCCGGCACAGATCGCCCCGCATGATCTCGAAGTCGGTGGTGAAGCCTTGCAGCCCCTTGCCGGACTTGTTTGCGGGGAAGTAGGCCCACCGCCGTCCCGAGCCGTCGACGATTTGTAGGCCTTGCTCCGGGGCCGACCGGGAGCGGAATGCCTCCTCGAGGCCCATGCGTCTCATGACTTCGATTCCGTGGCCGCGCAGATCCACCTGCAGGCCCGTGGCCCGCAGGCTGGGGAACCGCTCGACGATGGTGATGTCGTGGCCCAGGTTTGCGAGCCAGAAGGCGAGGGCGTTGCCGGCGATGCCCCCGCCGCTGATGAGGATCTTTAGCTGTGCCATGGCGTCTTTTGTGTTGTGGGCCGATGGGCGTAAGCGGATTGAGTACTCGCGGGCGGAAAGGACGCACTGCGTACCTGTGAATGATGACAGATGTAAGGACAGCTTCAAGTGTTCGATGCTGATGAGGAGGGCAACTGGCGGTACGATGAACTTGTTAAATAGGACCGGTACACTCGGTGTTTTGACGCGCATCAACCCGACTATGTCCGGAAAGTGAAAACACCGTTAAAGCCCGGCTCGGCCGTAATATTTGGTCGTCCGCTACATCACCGAAATCCTTCTCGGTAAACACAGCGGCAAACCCCGAGTGCGTGCTCATCTGTTCAGCAATTGAATCTCAAGCTCTTATGATGTGTCCGGTTCTTTTCCGATTCTGTCATGTAATGAGGCCGCCTCTGAAACGTTTATTGGTCGGAAGTCCATGTGATTTCTTATTGGTTTGTACGGAATAAAAATTGTGCAACGAACAGAAAATCATGAAAGGGAAATATTTCGAGGCGAAGACTGTAGCTCGGTCCGCCGAAAAACGAGCCAACACGCAATGGAAAAAGATAGCTCAGCACATCAGGAAAAGCCCGCATCTGGGAAGGAAAACTCAAAATCCAAGTCGAATCCAAAACCAAAGCCCCCTTGTCCGCTACCTGGACTAGCCGACAACGGGCCTGGATCATTGTTGTCCGATAGAGCAAGAAAGTCAGCCCGTGTCTGTAACAGATCACGGCAAAATTCAAGACTGTCCTTTGCACTCTGGGCAACCTTCAACTCGCACGCTGTGCCTCCTTCTATCGCCTCGACCTGAGCCACAACCATGCTCAGAAACATGTGACTCTTGATGTTAGTCTCGCCTTGCCGAATGCGGTCCAACGACAGCCACATCAAGTCTTTCACAGCCTTCCTGAGAAGGTCCAAGTATTGGGAGTTGCGGTGAAGCGTCCCGTCAAGCCGTTGGGCTTCAGCCTGGGCAATGAGCTCGAGGCTGATGACGGTGCACGCGTACCTGAAGCCTTCCCGGAACATGCCTCCGCCGATGGCCATGAGATGAGAGAAGCCTTCGTCCGGCTCGGGCGAGACGATAGCCATGGCGGTGTCCAGGCTGGCCTTGAGCGAATAGTGGAACAGCGGGTTCGTCCGCGCTTTGCTGGCGAACGGGCAGTGCAGGGGGACCATGAACCGGCGAATCAGGTAGTCTAGTAGATTGCGGTGGAACGGCGTTATGCCGGATCGCTCGTTCGCTCTCATGAAGCTGCTACATGCGCAGTATGCGTCGGTGATCTCTGAGCTCAGCGCGAGAACGTCCAAGTAAGAGAGTTCGGAGCGCAGGCCGTTTAGAAGGTGGAGGACGCGGAGGCGAGTTGGCAGGGAATCGAGTAAGAGGAGCTGAATCGAGGTCGTGGTGTAGGTACCCTTGGGGTGGGGTTGAAGCGTTGTGGTCGAGTCGTTCATCTCATCGTCGTCGTTGTTGGAGGGTGCCTGCGTGTCAAAGTCGTCAAAAGAGATCCTGGGCGGCATGGCCGAGTCCAAAGACGACTGCACGACCATCTCGAGTATGGTCGCCCACAGCCTCCTGCGGAGTTCGGCTTGCAGCACGGACATGGCCGGAAGATGTTTGGGATCACGGTGCAAGCCAATCTGCATGGCTCGGTGGATGACCGATCCCATTGACACCCACACCAGGTCGCCGCCGATTGAGAAGATCTGCCTCGCCAAGATCGACAAGCAGTGGATCTGTAGGCCGGATACCTCCAGGCGGTCCTTTTCCAGTGGCCCGGAAAGCCACGACTGAGCGGCATAGACCCATTGATGAACCATGTTGCGGAATCCGGCGTCTGCGTCGCCATGCTCGTGCAGGCTTGATCCGATCCCAATGACGAGCAGAATCTTCAGGCGCAAATCGATTGGGGCACTCTCGGGATCTCTCCAGTATCTCTCGTACTCGGCCCAAAAGGTAGAGACGTGGAGTATCCGGTGGGTGGACTCATAGGACTGGAAATACAGGGATGCCATCTTGTCTGATACCTCACGAGAAGGGAATGCAAGGCTGAATCCCGGGCGCGAGAGACGCCGACTTGGCCGTCCGACCTTGAGCTTCCTTGCTATCTCTTTGCATTTCAGGAGGAGGTGTCCCATCTGTGCAACCAGCGCTCCAGTTTCGCCGCCCTGGAACGAGGGCCCCTTTCCAGTACCAGTCGCTTCGGCAAAGCATGCATCGATAGTTGCGAACTTGGATGATAATCAGTAGGGAGCGAGGTGCTACAGGTTGACGCACACCGTACCTCCGGGGCCGTCCCCAACCAGTTGCTCCATCTCAGCGTCCTCGTTTTGTTCAGAGTTATCTGAGAGTCCTGCAGACCAGACTGACGCTCAAGTATGTCCCGGCCAGTCTCTGTTAGTGCTTTGATCGGACTGGATGCTGTAGGTTGCTGCACTGGTTCGGCCTCTGATGTGGGCGCACGTGGTGGGGTATCGTTACGGGCGTCGTTGCCAATATCGGTCAAAGTATCGTCCTGTCCTGCCGCTGCTGCCACGACTCGGGAGCCGGATAGCTGGCTATGAGGCTCGGTGATTGGCCTGTCTTGGGTCGAGGTTGACTCGGGCGGGTGCGGGGTGACGGGGCTATCGCGGTAAACCTTGTAGGTACACGTATACCTGGCTGAGACGCAGTGTGTGCAAGGGTCCTTGCGGTCGCATTTGATCTTGCGACGCCGACAAGCAAGGCATGACAGAGCCGGCCGGCGGCGGCGTCGGGGTTGGGGCTCCATGAAAGCTGGCGATGAAGTCGGTCGGCCGTATGGCAGCTTGTTATCTCCGCTGGCGGGGTAAGTAGTCGTAAGCCCGAGCTGAGTCATCGGCCGTAAGCGAAAATGCCGGGTTTTGCTGGAGTCTGCCATCCTGGCAAGCTTGTGAGGGCTCGGCGACTCGCTGTCTAAGTTTGTGTGCTTCGTATATGGTCGCCGGGTCGGTGTATGAGAAGGTAAGAAAAGCGATCAGACCCATCGTGAGCGGTGGCCTTTCTTCATCACAAACCCCCGAAAAATCCGAAGATGCTGTGGAAGACCTGGCAAGGGGGGGGTAAGGGTACTGTTGAGAACACTGGGTGCAATCGTGTCTTTATATTAATCAAATCTTCCCTGACCCGGCGCCTTGCATCCTCGACGTCGGTCTCACTGATCGCCATCAACGCGTTCAGGTTTTTTTTTTTTTTTTTCGCGAATTTCGATCCTGCTGATACCAGCGACGGACGCGGTCCTTTAGCTCATCGGCCGTCTGGACCACCGTTGTAGATAAAATGTGAATGGGGTCAAAAGTCTCCGAATCGGTATCAAGCGGTTTTGCATTGTCATCGATGAGCTTGGACGATGCATCGGACACGAGGTAGTTCTACCTGGCCGATAGAACACCTTGAGGCGGAATTGAGAATTGTACTGACTGGCCGTGACCAGCTTGAGGCTCATCTTATTAGTGGTAGACGTCATCTGCAAGTTGTAGTGCTGTACGATAGAGGTAGCCGCGTGATGGCCAGTAAAAACAGATACGCCTCGCCACTCATTCCTGTGTGTAGTAGATGCATTGCCGTCATGTCATCGATCTTTACGGAAGATGCTTCCGGCAATTTGGGATAGGCCTAAAAGATTATATTAGTGTAGAAAAAAAAGAGACAATTAGCTTGCCTACAAGGAACGTAGACGCGAGTATTAAATTACACAAATACATCTAGATCTCAGCTTCCACTGCCTGTATGTGCAGGTGGCGAGTTTTCGACAACAACTGTGGTGTCACGATGCACTGCCAGATGAAGAGCCATTCGGGTGGGTGGAAGAGGACAAAGAAAAAACAGAGAAACGTAATGAAACTCTAGCCTACAGCCCTAAGCATACTCCAAGCAAACCCCAACCACGTCCCCAACCCTCCACAAACCAACCAATCCATCCGCACTACTCAACAAACAGCCCAACCGGCGCCCTCCCAGGCCTATAACTCCTCTCATCCCACCCCAAGCCCCTCGCCAGCTGACCCGCCACAGCCGGAATCTGCCCACCAATCTCATACGCCAACGAGCCCGCCGGCGCCGAAGGCCTGACGACGCGCACGCCCAAGACGCCATAGTTATCAAACAGCGACAGGACGGCAGCGGACGTCTCCTCGCCCGAGCGGGGGAATCGGTAGCGGGCGGGGAAGGCGGCGACGGGGCGCATGAAGGCGGCGGTCAGCTCGGATCCCTTGTCCGAGGCGCCGATGGGGCTGCGGGAGACGGTGCGCTCGAAGAAGCGCGGCGGCGCCGCGCCGGGGACGGCGAGGACCGTCAATTGCCCGTCGGGGGCGCGCACGAGGCTGACGAGGTCGGGGTGCCCGTTGCGGTTGACGTCGGCGAGGAACCAGGTTAGGTAGTGCGCTTCTGGTGTGGCGGACCCGGCGGCTGGGAGGTGGATGGTCGTGTCGGTTACGGGTTGGTGGTTTTGGAGCGAGAGGACGTCTAGTCTGATGGTGTCTGCTGTGGTTGTGAGTTGGATGGCTCGTGTGGGTGGGGTGGGGTGTGTTGGGTTGGATGTACAGTACGTACCTGAGTTCTGGCCGTAAAAGAGGCGGACGAATCGGTGCGGGCCGGCGTGGCGGGTAGGTAGTGGCAAGATGCGCTGGGCCCTCTCGCCGATATCTTCTTCAAACGTCTGCGAGTTCGGAGTTCTGTAGTTGTCGCTGAAGCTCGTAAATGTCCACACAGTCTTCGCGTCGCTGACAGAGCACGTGACATATGTCTCGGATGCATCCATTGGTTCCAATTTGGTGCAGAATGAGGCACTGTGAGGCTTGTCAGATGATTTGCATGCGCGAAAGATAGAGCAGGAGGGGTCTCCCTACTACGGCGCAGAAGAAGGTGGGTTCGGCCACGCCACGGAGCGCCTTGTCGGTGGCTCCTCGACACCTTGGTCGAAGGTCCAAAGCTCAAATTTCGGCTTCCACGGGGTGCTTTGCCTATACCAAAACTTCACCATGGAAAGCGTGTCGCTACCAGCGCAGAGCCTCCCGTAGTGAATGTCTCCAGCCAGCCATGACTCATTGGCGTCCTCCGAGTCATGGAACGACACCTGTTCAACGCCGCTGTCGGTTATGCGTAGCCCCAGGTGGTACGCAAGTTGGCCTGTTGCTCTTTGCCTGTCCACCTTTCCGACAAGGAAGTAGATATCGCTGTCGATTTTGGAGGTGGCGAGCCATGTCAGCCTCCCCTCCGGGTTGGGTATCTCAACCATTTGCTGCGAAACCATGTTCCAAGATTCCACCTTCGCGCCTTTACTCACTGCGCTGCGCGAAAAGGTTTGACCATACTTGGAAATGGCTAGTTGCGTGTCGGAGACGTGCCGGAAGTGCAGAAGTGAAGAGGGCGAGAGCAATGGGAGACTAAGTGGTAGCTGATGCTGGTGCTGACCCGATTCCTTGATGCGATTGAGGAGCCTCTGGAATGGTGCCTTGGGAAGGGGATAGTCCTCATAGGTGGGGACGCCTCGCTCATCCAGGCTTGCTCTGAACGACAGAGTCTTGCCGTCATCGCTCACTTTAAACAGGGGGAAAAAGTTTGCGGAATCGAGGCTGGTCAGGTCTGGAATCTGGACGGCAGTGAGAATCAAGACGGTTGGGTATCAGGACCTGAAACACTGCTTACCATGCTGAGAGCCGCAAAGTGGGAGATGTCGCGGTCTTTGCCGTCCTCATACATCTTGTAGATCTCGTGAGCTCCAGCCTGCACCGCGTCAAGAGCGGCGTCGAAGCTAAGGTTACCCTTGGTCGAGACCAGCTGCTTGTCACCGTACGTCGGCCAGCAATGCCCGTGCAAGCTTTTGGCCCAGAGACCGCTTGCACAGTCCTCGTCGTGCATCGCCTGTGCGCATTGATCAGCTGGCCAAAACGTTGGCCATGGGATCTTCAGCTGCTCGGAGATATCGTCGGATTGCATGTCGGATATCTCGTCTGACGGTAGGCCGGACATTGCGTCGGGCTGCATGCCGGAGCTGTCCTCGGACTGGAAAGGAAAATAAGTGTAATGTAAGGCACGTCGTGGGGTCCTCAAGTGTCCTGAAGAGAAGAGATCGGTGAGGAAGTGGGCAGCAAAAGCCTCAAGGAAGTATGCATGTCTCAAGTCGACAATGCTTCGCGTATTGTGGGCCGTCTTTGCCTGGCGCAACGCGGCCACGTGGCCAGCTTTGTAAGCTTTGACGGCGTCCTGGAAAGCTTTCAATGGTGGCACAAGATGAAGCAGAGGGTTGCAGTGGAACCTACTTCGCCAAAGTGATCCCAGTTGCACAGTGAGAGCCATAGGTACTGCATACCGGTGCATCGAGCCCACAGCTTATTGAATTTGTCGGCGATGCTTTTGTATGACTACTGGTCCGTCAACTGCATCCGGCGAAAGCGAAGACTGCTTCGGAGCGTTTGGTCGGACGTACCTGAGCAGGATCCCTCCCTTCCCTCAGCATGTTTGAGATCTCACGCTCCTGGGCCATCAAGATGGCAAGAACTGGCTCAAGATAGCCGGCCGTGTCTAGCCGAAGAAGGTCTGCGTTTCCAAGGAAACGGGAGATGCTCGCCTCGCGATTGGTGTCCCACTGATCGCTGATCTGCTCGGCATCGCCGGTGGTCTTGCTGTTTCCATAGAAATCGCCGGCCAAGGACACGATTTGGCCGAAGGAGAGCTCGACGTTTTTCCCCACTTGATAGGAAAATTGGCCACCGCTGATGTTTCCGTCGGGAAGTCGCAGCAAAATGCCATCGCCAATTTTCTGATGCTCTGGGCCCTCGAATCTGAAACTCATACTGTTGGTGAAGTGGATAAGGTGCCAAAATGAGCAGAGAAGTCTCAGCAAAAGACGGTTCAGTGAGCAGGAAAGCACAGAGAAAGGAACAGCCTTCACACTCTTCCTTCGGGGATTTATGTAGCAGTACCGAATGGCGCTGTAGAAACAAAAGGAAGAAGTTGAATTTCGTGCGGAAGGTGGCGTTGCACCCAAGAGCTGAAGGCCAAACTTGGCGGCAACGTGGTTCAAAACTTCCATGGCCTATCCAAGAGAGAAGCTAGTTTGCACGAAAAGGATGACGTCGACAAATGTGGGCGGTTACCGTTCGGGCAAGGGCGGTGTGACGCGAGGAGGATGCTTCTTACAAGGCCATTGGTGCAATGTTCAAGTGGGACAAGAGAAGCGTTAGGTCCGTAAGTAGCACACCATCTCCATGAGACCCAAAACGGCGAATGCTCATGAGGCTGCAAGAGATGGGCGGTAGCTGAGATGAGTTGATCAACATGATGCACACGACGGCATGCTCTTTCAGCCACCCCACAGGATCTCAGCTACCCCACAGCACCTCAGCCAGCCCTCAGCACCTCGACTAGCCCACAAGATAGCAGCCAGGGCCCACCGGCGCGTCAGCGGCCTTTGGACCCGGAGCCTCTCCCGCTGCGCAGCGGTCTCGCAAGGGGGAGGGGCAGATGCACGAACGGACCCGTATTTAATGGGTGAGGCTGCCAACCAGTCCAGGAAAGCAGCGTTGCAATCCACGGCCAGCAGGATGGACTACAGCTCGTACATCAGCATCGACAACAAGCTCAGCTGTTCCCTGACACGGGTGAACCACGGAGCGCAGCATGGAGAATTTGCAGTCGGGCCTCCCGATGTCATCAATGCCAGAACGAAGGGGGCCCAGTTCCAGGTCAAGGACAACGCAGGCATGTACTCACCCGGATGCCGCGGCGCTGGTTGCAGCAAACTGACACGACAGCTGCAGGATGGAGCGGAAGCCAGGGCTGGGTGCAGTACAGGGTCGATCTGCCGGACGTGGTCAACGACGACGCGAAACCGGTCATCTGCGTCAATTTCGAGTGTCCCACAGGCTTCAACGATAATAGACTTTGGGCAGATGCGACTGCCAGCGCGGATCCCAAGGCTCCGGCGTCCTCGCTGTTCAAGCTCACAGCGAGCGACTTCGTGAAGCGCGACCATCCGCTGACCGGTGAGAGGGCGAGAGGCGTCGCGGATGCAGATGGCGTGGCTGACGCGACGAACAGGGACGCTGACGGTCACGTTCAACGAGAGCCTCTCGACACGCTCGGCGGTCACGATGGTCAGGGTGGCTCGGCCAGTCACGTGCGTGAGCAACTCGCGGGGCGAGAAGCAGACGGGCAACAACCGGGTCGTATGGGAGGCGGGTTCGCCGACGAAATACGAGGACAACGGCGACGCTAGCTGCCCGGGGTCGTTCTTCCCGGTGGGCTTCGACGTCACTGACGGGTCGGTGAGCGCGTGGGTGTTGGACTTGACCATCGAGGTGGACGCGAACCTGGCCGGCGTGCCAGTGACGGTGCACGGCGGCAACGACGCGGCGGCCGAGGTGGCGGCCAGCGACGGCGACAGCGCATACGTCTTCGGCAAGACCGGGACGCAGACGGTGCGGGTCAAGGTCGACCCGCCGTGGGCGCAGGTAGAGAGGCGGCCGTGGGGGGTGAGCGGGAACGTGGCGTGGAGGCTGCGCGTGTGCAGCACCGGCCAGACGCTGCCGTTGAACGCCACGCGACTGGAGCTGTACGCACTGGCGCCGCAGCGCAGCCTGCCCGCCTACTTTGAGGGGGCGGTGCCGGTGAGGCTGGCGCGCAGGGCGGTGCCGCGGGGCCACACGGGCGACCACCTGTCCTGGCTGGAGTACTGCTACGACAACGTCTTCACACGCTTCGACTTCCGCTACGATGCCACGTACGGGGCGCCCGCCTACGTCGCCAGCCACCTCGGCGGCAACTTCCGGCTGCGGGCGTACCTGGCGGCGGCCGGGCGTGGGGCGTCGCTGGTCAACTGCTACGACCAGGCCGCAGCCATGCAGATCTGCCTCGCGCTGGCGCCAGGCACAGGCCGCAGCGGGGTGAGATGGGCCTTCATGGACGCTTTCGGCTTCATCAAGACGACGGAGCTGGTGGGCTGGGGCGCCTGCAACAACCCCTTCTTCCGGAACCCGGCGTGCGCGAGGACCCGCGAGTGCGACAACGACGACCCGCGGCGCTCGCACTTCGACAACCACGCCTTCCTCGTCCTGCAGCCCTCCAACACCGTCGTCGACGCCACCTGCTCGCCCCACCGCGGCACTGAAAGCCCGCAGCGGTACCTGTGCGCCGCCGTCCAGACGCTGGACGAGACGACGCTGTACCGCCAGCACGGCCTGACCCCCGGCAGCGAGACCAACATCGACAGCACCTCGCCCGGCATCGTCAGCCTGGACGCCGCGGCCATGGTGCCGCGCTCGGGCGAGCCGCTGGTGGGCGGCCCGATCGAAGCCCCACCACGTGACCGGGCCGTCGCCCGCCTTCTGCAGCTCGCCGCTCCCGCCAGCCTGCACGCCCCGCCCCCCAAATTCTGCAACGCCGACATCACCGCTGCATTGTTCGACGCCGCTGCCGCCGCCGCCGCCGTCCCGCCCTGGGACGCGGTCCGCTCCGACGTCTACCTGGGCCGGGACGCCACCACGGCTGAATGGGTGCTGGGCTTGCGCGGGAGCGAGGCCGAGGTGACGGTGCAATGCACAGTGACCGAAGACACGGAGCGCGCAAGCGAGCAGATGACGGCCCATCTGCGCGCCTACACCGGTCCGCTGCGCCAAGTCTTCGTCCGCCCGGAGCAGCGCCACGCCCAGTGCGAGCTCAGCCTCGAGACGGCCCCCGGCCTGCCCCGGCCCACGTCTCTGTGGGTGTTTGGCAACGTGTTTGTGCGCGCCACCCAGAGCCGGCTGGGTGCCCATGACGACGACGATGGCGGCGACGAGGCGACGGCCGTTGCCCACGCGGTTTCTGCCGCCAGCGGTCTGCTCTACGCCCGCCTCGAGAGCACCACCGTCGCCACCAGCGCCGAGGTGCTGCGGCCGCGCATCCTGGACGTAAAGTGCCCTGACGAGGTCAAGGTCGGCCAGGACTTTGTCGTGCGTGTCTCGGCCAACGGCGGCCCTCGCGTCGACATCCGCACCAGCGCAGCCGTGAGTTCAGCCCTCCCAGCCCTTCCTCTCCCCAGCCTACTCACCGCCTACACAGAACGTCGTCCTTATCGAGGCGAACCACCAAGTCCTTACTTACAAGTTCACCGCCGTCGAGCCTGGGCCTGACGAGCTGCATTTCTACTTCGCCCACCCGCAGTCGCTCATGCCGGCTTCGCACCGCCACCAGCTCACCGTGGTCGAGTAGTAGGGGGAGAGGGATGCTTTTGTGTGTGTTTGTGGTGTTGGAGTCCACTCGTTATGCCGTTAATTACATGATTGGTCCATGTCCATCTCGCTTCGTGCGTTTCATACTTGCCTATGTGCGTTAGCGCCCGCTTCATCCTCGCTACAATCGGCGATTCTACGCATGAATAATGCTGCGCCTCTAAGAAGACCTACCTACCTAGCCAAGCATGCACGCTGTAGTTGCTGATTTCTTAGCCTGGGGTCCAGTCGACACCTAGTCACCAGACAGCACAATTGCCACCCGACGTCTCCACCCGCACCTCATATTTCATGTCCCCTGCATTCACGGCGTCAGCCTGTGTCGATCCGCAGCAGACGACTCATGCTCTGCTGAAATCCCGGCGACGACGCTGCTTGGTCAAAGCGCAGATGCGCCCAATCCCTGGAAAGAGAAGCGGAGATCTACACGGCATAAGCGCCATTCTCTCGCCACAAAGCAGGCACCGCCGGAAAGAGCTCCGCGACAACTGCACAGTGGCTGCCATCTCGGGGCTACTTCGCGACGGCCCGCGCGGAATCGCTTGCTTGCGTTGGCCCTCTCGAATGCGCCAAAGTGGGGATGGCACATCAGCCCAAACAGAAGCCAATCATGCGGGTGCTCCCTGCAAGCGCCGCACACTGGAGCCCACTGTGATATTCTGCTAGCGCCAAAGTTTTCCTGATGTCGCTGAGCTATTTCCTTTGCTGGTCTGTCACGCCCCTAGTCCTAGAGCACCTGCATACATGTCTGCTATTGTGTAGCTGAGAAGCAAATAGCGACTTGCTACACCCCAATCACAATCCCTTCTTCACCACCTCCACAGTCTTCATCGCCACCTGCCCCCCGATAGCAAGCCCCATGACGACAAGCCCCGCGGCCGTGATCTCTCCGTCGATGTGATCGGCCAGCGCGGCGACGACAAACCCCACGGCGCTCATGAGCTGAAACGTGTCCCCAGCCACGTGGAGGGTGACAATGTCGTTTGTGTCGTCCTTGTCGGGATCGTCGTCGGGCGCGCCGAACTCGTTGGCCGCAATCGTCAGCTGCAGCGCGTAGATGGGCAGCGCCGTCACGATCTCGAAGGCGCCCACCAGCCGCTTGGTCTCGTAGCGTGGGATCTTCGCCTTCCACCCCCACAGCCGCGACACCACGAGCACCACGCCGTTCGCCGCCTCCATCGTCCATACCTGCGAGGGGGAAGGGGGCCCCCACCATGTCAGCGTCATCGATCACGGGGGAGGGGGGCCGAGGGACAGAGGAAGGGGGGAAGGAAAGAGACGAATCGGGACTTACCGTCCATCGCAGCATCCGATCGTGATGGTATCTGGCGGGCCAGGAGAAGACCAGCTCCAGCAGCAAAAAGTCGAAAGTGACGCAATCGACGACGTTGCCGACGAGCGGGCTCACGTCGCCCGCCCCCGTCGAGTCGGAGACGAAGGCGATCAGGCTCAGCTCGCCGGCCATGCCGGCCAGGACCGCCTGCACCGCCAGCTGCGCCTCGAGCATCTGGTCCGCCCGGCGCGGCGCCAGCGCCGGATCGCGGTCCACGTACATGCGGAACGCGTCCGCGGTCAGCCACGAGCCCAGGTCCGGCGGCTCAGGCTGGCTGCCGGCGGCGGGGTTGGCCAGCTTGTACAGCACGCTGGCGGGCACGGCGACGGCCAGGGCGACGCAGTTGGAGAGGGTGCAGCGGCGGCCGCCCGAGACGAGGCGCCAGAGCGGCGTGAAGACGGGCACGTCGATCTCGCGGTGGCCGAGGCGCTGGAGCTGCTGCAGCACGTGCTTGAGCCCCTTGAGGAAGGCGTCGACCATGTTGCGCAGCGTCTGGCACGCGAGGTGCAGCGTGGCGTCGGTGACGTGGGCGAAGAAGTCGTCGGAGCTGCCCTCGCCGCCGAACAGGGCCTTGAAGGCGTGGCCCAGCTCTTCGGCCCAGCCCACGACGGCGTGCATCTCGTTGCTGAAGTCGGCCCATACGTCGGCCAGGGGGTCGTCGTCGTCGCCGTCGGCGGCCACTGCCGTCGGCTCCAAGCTCGCCGAGCTCGCCATGGATGAGTGCCGGGCGAAGCCGCCGTGGCGCAGCTGATACGACGACCAACCGTAGGCCGGGCTCTGCTGGACGGCATCGCTGGCCGGGGTTGCGAGCTTGTCGGCGGCGCGCGGGCCTGCGGCCACGGGCGGCGGGGCCTTGCGCGTCTTGAGCCTGGCCTCGAGGTCGTCGACGAAGCGGCGCACCTTGGCGTCGACGTCGTCCAGCAGCGTCATGCCGTGCTCGAGGCCGGCGTTGGCGAAGGCGGCGATGGAGTCGGCAAAGCGCAGCATGTACTGCCAGTCGAAGAGGTAGCCGATGAAGGCGATGACGTCCTTGATGAACAGCTTCACTTTGGCAAACACCCAGCTGACGGCCTTGCCGATGGCCGACGCCGTGTCCAGCACGAACCTGTAGATCTTGCCCGCCCATTCGCACACGAAGTGCACCGCGTCGCCTGCTGCCGGTCAGTGTGGGAGGGGGGAGAGGGGAGAGGGCCGGACATGAGGGTACGTACCGATCTTCTGCAAGAACCACGCCGCAACTTCCTTCGCCCCGTCAAAGATGTGCTTGAAAAAGTCCCACGGCGATACGGGCTGGCTCGCGTCGCGGGCCTCGGCCAGCAGCGCTGTGTCGTCGGGCAGCTTTCCGGCGAGGTATACGGGCTTGTCGTCGCCCGCAACCGCGCCTTTCCCGGCGTGCGTCGCGCTCAGCTGCTGCATCATGGCCGCCGCGTGCCCCGCATCCTCCTCCGACACGCTGCCGGGCTCGATCAGCGGCTTCCCCGCCTGCGTCTTCGCGTCGAGCAAATCGCGCCCCGTCCGCACCCCGGACAGCCTGGCGACGACCTTGGCCGTGGGACTGAGCACCGGCACGTCGAGCGCCTGCTCGCTGCCGTTGCCGGACCGGAAACGGTCAATCCGCAGCGTGTGGCACGCCAGGTCCTCCGTCGGCACCATCAGCGTGACGACGCCGGCGTGGTCTGCCGCGTGCCAGCCGCCGGCCACGTCCACATGCGCCGCCACGCCGTTGCTGAGCACCCGCATGTGGCCCGACGCCGCCAGGTGCAGCGCGCCGCCCGCGACCTGCTCGTCCGGGCCCGTCCCCGTCGCCGCCGCCTGGATGCGGATGGTGAAGGTGTCGAGCTCGACGTTGCTGCGCGCCGTCGACACGTACAGCCGCCGCGCCGCCCACATGCCCGTGTCCGCCGCCTGCTGCAGCACCGTGAGCTGCCCCTCGCCATCCACCGCCACCAGCGTCTTCTCCAGCAGCCCGCCGGCGTCCCCGCTGCTGCTGCTTCTGCTGCCCAGCATGCCCGAGATCCGCGCCCCCGCACCCTCGCCCAGCAGCGGAACCAGCAGCCCGTCTTCCACTGCCGCCGTCGACGCCGCGTAGTAGAATGCCGCGTCCGCTCGCGTCGTGTACCATACGGTGATGGTGTCCTCTGCCTGCGCCGTGTGCATGCTCTTGACCCCCAGGCTGCTGCCCCCCGCGACTACCGTCGTGCCGGTGCCGCCGGCCCGCGTGTAGTCACCGAACTTGTACTGCGTGACGGCGTCGCCGCCGACCAGCAGCGCTGTGGCCTTGGTGTCTGGGTCCAGGTAGGATGCTAGCGACGTTGCGCCTGCGTTTGTTTGTGAGTCTTTGTCCCTTTCTCTTTTCCTTTTTGGGAGGGGTGGGGGGAAACTGCTGACCAGCTGGCGCGTTGAGCTCGACGCTGAACTCGTGCCCCTGGAAAACGCGGAACTGCATCTTCAGCCCCGATGGCGTCGTGTAGAGCACGAAGGCGCCGTCGCCCACCCGGCTCGTGCCAAACGCCACGCTTAGAATGCGGAGCGGGTTCGTGGCCAGCTTCCAGCTCGTGTTGAGCGCCATGTCGAGCGCGCCACTGCTGCCGTTGACCGTCATGTCGACGTAGCCGAGCTGGTCTTCCTGCGTGATGCGGTCCGCGGGCTGCAGCGCGAGGAAGAGCAAAGGCACCGGCTCGCCGGCTACGGTGCGCGTGAAGTTGCTCTGTGAGCGGCCCGATTGCCGTGGTTAGCCTGATGGATGTGTCTGGTCTTGCCAAGGGCGGATGCTGCTTTTCCTTACCATGTACACTTCGTGGATTCGGGAGAAGGACTTGCTGGCCCTCGTCAGCTTTTCCGCGGCGAACGCCAGCAGCGCCGATGGCTGCACGTTCTGGATAAGGCTGAAGTGGCTCTTGCCTCCATCGTCGGCGGCCGTGGCCACAGCGACCCAGACGCTGAGGTCCGCTCGCTGCGTCACGTCAAAGGCGTGGACGCGGCCGGGAAGCTTCCATATCGCGCCAAGGTCGGCGAGCTGCGGCCGCCCGTCGACGTTGATGATGAGGTTGAGCTTGTCGTCTTCGCTGTGGGAGAGGACTGCCGGGTTGCCCTTTTCGTCTCGGATCACGGAGAAGCGGTTGCTGGCTGGAACCGGATTTGCTGAGACGAAGTTGCTCATGAGCTCCGCATCCTGAGTGATCTTGACCATGGTTGCGCCGGGATGAAATCGATGTAGATGCTAATTTTTGGACTCTTTACAAAGTGAACACCAGAGACATCGCGCCGGTTTTATGTCCTCTTGCGGCATCGGGCGCTTGTGGTTGACGTCCCGGGATCGACCTTGGCGGCCTCGTCCGTGCGGTAAGCACATCATCTACATACAGTAAACCCTGCTTTGAGCGATCACCGATATCACCAGCCGCCGATCGCAGTGTCCAGGTAATCGCTATACTTAATACCATAACTCAGCCGAATCCTCGCCGGGTAAGCCCGGAGGGGTTCCTAATCTGGCTTAGACTCGGGTTAACCCCCTTCCCCCCTTCCCTTTTCTAGCCAAAATCCGCTTTGGATATAGCGATTTGGCGGGTGTGACCGTAACGATCACGGTATAACCAGAGAATCGTCAATTCCCTAGTAAATACGGACGGGAGTGGGGGTTCGATCGGTAAAACGAGATGATCGTTATGCCACGGGATCGCCCAAAGCAGGGTTTACTGTACACGCGGAGCTAAATCAGACCGGGTGTGGGGCAGTTGATCCACCGGGGATCCACAGCAGATCATTCGAAGCTGTGCTGTGATCAAGCTGAATGTTGGCGGGGCTGAGCGGGCACCAAGGTTTCTCACAGCCAGCCACACTCAGTCCTTCAGCTGCCAATTGATCACCGCGCCGTTCGCTCTGCATTCAGGAAATCTCAGATACGCGGCAACGGATGATTGGTCAGCCTACGGCCGCAGCAGAGCCGTGCCTGTGAAGTGTGAGCTTGCGCAAGCGCCGAAAACGGGGGCCTTCGGAAGCAGCCCAGCGTCCCTTGCACGACGCCTGCCTTACCCAAGATATATACCAGTCCCGTCCAGCATGAGCATAGCCAGACCACATCGTAGTGCCCTCGTCCCTTTGTTACAGTCACCATGGCGCAACTCACCCCCGCCTCGTCTTTTTTTGACAACACCAACCCTGAGCCATTCGACCAGATCGTGGTGCAGAGCCAGAAGATGGTCAACAATGCTCTTTGGAACATGTGGGCTCTTTCTGACGATGACTCGCCGGTCCGAGGTGTCGACGTTGCGGTGCCTGGATTTGGCAGAATCAGCGGCAGTCTCAGCGCGCCGTCCGTGACGCTGCATGTCGAGTCAACATCTCCGACTCTGTATTTTCTGGTACCTTTCAGCTCTGGGACTCTGCAGCTCGGCCCGGATAGCAGCCATTCCTGGAAAGTGGACGGATGGGTCTTCGCCTTCCCGGTCGAAGTCGGTAAGTGCCTGCAAAGCATGCCGTGTGGTGGCCGCTGCTGACCGAATACCTCAACTCTGGCAGCTTCCAACGAATTGGCACCTGGCACCGATGATTACGCCAGATACGTCAAGCGTATGGGCATATCTCCTGGTAGCTTCAGCCTCGTCGAACTTCTTATCGACATCTCTCGTGCGCTCTTTGTCCTTCCATGCGTCGACCAGCTTTCTAACATTTTTGTAGGAGCAAACACTTGGGACAAGAAACACAGCTCCTTCTCGCACGATTGGGAAACCGAGAGCCCCGCTGTGCAGCAACTTCTCAATCAGTTCGTCGCCGGCTGGCTCCGGATGATGGCGGCCGATGACCGCACCGTCATAGGCGTTTCAATCAAGGCAGCACGGCCTGAATCCGGTGAGTCCTTGCTCCATCCGCCGGTCTCGTGAAAACACCGCCTGACCGCCATCCGAATAGTCAACCATAACGCACCAACCTTTGTGCCCACCTCCTGTGAGTACGCAGTGTACCCGTGGCTTGGCTCGGGCGCTTTGGACAAACCTTCTGATGGTGCGAATGAAAATGCGCTCTGCTATCTGCTCATGACGGACAATGCTACTCCGCCAGCAATCCACAAGTTGCCACACTCGGGTAATTTCGTAGATGCGACCAGCAATCATCAAGGAACTTTTTGCATGGACAGGGCTCAGTTCTGGGAGCGATGGCTGCTACCACTACTGCAGGAGGTCAATGCCTTGACGGAAACGTACTCGACCACTCCGTATGTCGATGCCAATTGGGATGGCAGCGGGTGCGTTGGCCCACGATACTACATCGGCTACAACCCTGAGCACACAAGCTCCGCGGACGAATACTTCCAATTTCGTGAGGACTCTGACGGATGGACTTGGTCAGGAAAAACCATCAAGTCTGGGGCAGAGCAGAGCAGTGATTGGGGTTCTTGGTGGAATCACATCACAGTCAATGAGGCTGGCAAGTCTACCCTTGACACAATACGTGAAGCGAGCTGACATGATGGCCGTGTAAAACAGCCGATTCTTCCACATACGTTCGCTTCGCACCCGGCGGCCAAGCAATCAACGTATCCGGCCAGTCTGACTTCCAATTCAAAGTGTACCAGACCGGTGCAGTATCCGGCCCATTCAAGACTGAAGCACAGTAAGCATCAGGAATTTCCTCAGCCAGGCCACCAGCAACAGCATCTAACCCCTCTCCTCAACCACAGCTACACCATCACGACAAAGTGGCACCTCAACTTCGCACTCGGCGTCGTCAGCGACGGCGGGCTCCAGATCGCGCGTATCGAGGACCCCAAGGGCGTTCCAGCGTGCACATCAACGGGCCACGGCTACAACGAGGGCATCGACGCCCCATGGGATGACTACATCAAGAGCTTCAGCGACACCGTCAACAAGCATTTCACAGAGAACCTCGGCTTCGTGCTGAACCGCCTGCAGTCGGCGCTGGCCGAGCAGCACAAGCTCTTCCTGCCCGCCAGCGGCACCTTCCTGATGCGCGACGCCCTCTTCAACCGCCGCGGCGACCTTATCGCGTCGCTCTTCTACAACGGGTAGGTGCTCTCCTTTCCTCGCTGCGCTCCCTGCATCTCGTGTGCTGTTGCTTTTTGCTGAATCGTCCCTTTCCTCCCCTCCGAATAGCAACCAGCCTCCAAGCTACGGCGGCGACCTGCCCGACTACTTTGCATCCCTGCCGGACCGCTTGCCCCTGCACGAGGAGGTGCCTCGGGCAGTGCCTCAGGAGCCTTTCGGCGGCCCCGACTTTGCCATTCACCGGAAAGCCCCTGTCGGAGCAGAACCGCCGGCGTAGGCTGAGATCTGAGCGTAGATGTAAGACAAGAGGTGCACGTAGGAGGAGTGGTCGGTCGGTCTGATGGCACGGAGGTGAAGGTTCTATATGGATAGGTTGATGAATTTCAAAGAGTCTTATCGCCCTAAGAGACCCTAAGAGATACTTCTACATGGCTCGTTCTTCCAAGTGTCCCAGTTGGCAGCATTTATCCGTTCTCCTTGGCTCTTACTATCGTCAGATTGCTTGGTATGGGAGCCGAAGCAAATGGCGTGACGTGGATGTAGGTTAAGAGAAGTTTCCATCATAAGGAGCTGAAGCAGATATCCGGACGTAAACCAGCCGGACTAAGCACCACCTCACTTCGTCTCAACTTCACATACCCCTCACCCGCGGACGATTACTGAATGAGTAATGTTCAGGCTAATGTTGAGGCTTATGTAAATGTGTTACCCCCTCCTTTTTGTCTCATCATCGCGCTCTACTCTCTATTCTGTTCTTTTCTCTTTTTTCCACAAGGATATAATCGCAGCTCGCTCTTACTGCTGTAGCTATGAGCGTCGAGCAAGTTCAACCTTTAAAAAGGGTGCAACTGTCGCCATTACCGGAACTGCCGCCGTCGCCGGTTTTCGAGCCTCTGCCGACTTTACCACCGCCGCAGATTCCGGAGCTCCGTCACCGTTGTAGATACCGGAGCTCTGCCACCGCTGTAAATACCGGCTCCGTCAGCGATATCATTGGGCTTCGTTGAAATTCAAGGGGTTTATCAGTGTTTCACTCGGAGACTGGAGGCACTCCGTGTAAGTCATTGAGAAGAGCGGGAGAGCGCTGCGGCGCTTTCTGCCGCTGGATGTCCGAGTGATACCGCGATCGGGGAAGTGGAGCAGTCTGGTCCCGCCACTGGACTGCCGGCTGAGAACGTGATCACCGGAGTGGGACAGTCCGATCCTGCGGAGGGAGCATCGGTTCATCCCACGGTCCCGGACGAGGAGCAGCTAAAATCTGTTGCAACGTCTGCTGGCACCTTGAAGCGGGGCCGTGCAGTTGTCAACAACTTATCGGACGGTGCCCAACGGGCAGCTACTCTTGAGTGGTATTTTGCCGAACCTAATACTACAAGAACGGAACAAAATGAGCCGGGCGGTACCCCTACTCCCCTTTTCACATGAGACACGTACTATTTTCCATATAAATTTCAGGTAAGCATTGGAGAAAAAGTAACTTTCCCCGGGGGGAGTTGAAATACGGATGGGGTGTGTTAAGGAGTGGGTGGGAGGCGTTAGAATTGTAGACATTTAAAGAAAAACATCGGGGTTCATATTTTTTGGATTTATTTGATAAACACCCCGAATTATATAGCCAATATAACACAACACCTCCCCCATCTACCCACCCCATCACTCCAAGTCCCTCGCCATCCACGCCGCAGCCGCCGCGGCGACTCCCGCAAGCTTGAACGCATACGCAGCAGGGTCGTCCCTCCCAGCGGCCTCGACCACCTTGAACAGCGCACTACACACCAACGCCGCGCAGATCTGCGGCACCGAAATCGCCATATTATGCACCGCCATAACAGCCGCCGTAGCATCATCACCACCGCTCCGCTCCTCGCCCTCCTCTCCGCCCACCACCGATCCCGCACCCTTCTCATCCCCGCTGCTAGAACCCTCCCAGTACTCGCCACTCCCACCCCGCTCCTGCATCTCGCCCCAGCCCGCACGCCGCGCCGCCGCCTCGCGCAGCCCCGCGATCTCAGCGCCGATGAGCGTGTACGGCGCCCACGAGGCGACGCCCCAGGCGAGGCCGAGGGCGGCGACGATGACGATGGCGGCGGGCGCGGTCCACACGAAGGTGGTGAGGAACATGAGGGCGGCGAAGAGGCAGTGGGCGAGCAGCCACGCGCGGCCGACCGAGGGGCGCCACGACGAGGTGGTGGTCGCGGCGTCGTTGCTGCTGCTGTTGTCGTCGTCTGAGAAGGTGGATGACGACGGCGGCGAGGCGACGACGACGAAGGGGAGGATGCAGGCGGAGGCGAAGGTCACGCAGGCGAAGTAGAAGGAGGCGCGGGTGCCGGCTTGCTTGCCCATTTCGATGAGGCGCGGGTCGGCGCTGCCGAAGATGTTGGGGTCGAGGTGGATGTGTTGGTCCATGACGACTGCGGGGGTGGTTGTCAGCGGGGTGGGGGTGGAGAAGGATGAGTGGCTTCTGCGGGGGGGTGGGGCGGGGAGGATGGGGTGTCGGTAGTACTTACAGACTTGGTATACGTAGGTGGTTAGGTAGTAGAGCACGGAGAACCAGCCCAGCCAGGCGCAGAACTGGATCTTGCACACTTGACGGGTTACGGGGGGCAGCGAGCTGAATCGGCTCCTTGCGCCAGCTAGAAGCCTGGTCACCGTCCCCTGTCGTCGGCCCGGCATCGTGGATCTGCCGCATCCGTAATCAGTGCTGGCTGGGGCGTCGGCAATCAGGAAGCAGGCCGGGATAACAGTGGCGGCCAAGGCGAGCACGGCCAGCACGCACAGCGCCTTGAACTTTGTGTCTCCCAGCAACGGCGCCCATGCCGAGATGTCGGAGACGGCCGAGGCAGAGATGAGCACGGCACCCAGGCCGTTGAAGCGCGCGCTCCACGCGGCGGCCTCGCTCTGCTGGTGTGGCGGACAGCTGTCGACGGTGAGGGCGCGGACTCCACTTTGCAGCGGCTGCACCGCGACGTTGATGGCGCACGCCCAGAAGGCGACCAGAAGCTTTGTCAGCGTGCTGGACTTGGGCGGGCCGGACGCGTAGACGTGGTGGTGAGAAGGGTGCGATCCGGTGAGCCAGTTCGACACGTCTTCGGCGCAGGCGAGTCCGAGGAGGGACAAACAGACGAAGCTGGCGCCGCCTGCAATGTACGGCTTGCGGCGGCCCCAGGGGTGAGTGGTGCGGTCTGAGAGTGCCGCGAAGACGGGTTGCACCAGGGTGCCGCTCAGCGGGCCCGAAAGCCAGATCAGCGCGGTGAGAGAGGTGGGCATTCCGAGTCCGGCCATGTGTGGCTGCGCAGTTGCACGTTAGCGACTTGCTCTGCGGTGCTTGGGGTAGTCCCAACTTACTGTGCCATACGACATGACAACCAGCCAGAGCATTTGGATTCTACGACAGTGTCAGCGAGCCTTCGAATGAGGGACGACGACAGGAAACCCACCCCAGGTTCGGCAGCGCCAACACCAGAATCTGCCACTTTCGAACGCCATCGCGCAGACCGAGTCCTGACTGGCCGTTTCGCTCAAGCGGTTCATCTTCTTGTATCACCGGCATTGTCATGGACTGACGAGGGTAACTGTCCATCATCGTGGAGGGATCTTTCCCTTGAGCCCGATGGAAGAAACTGCGTGCTTAAACAGTTTTCATCAACCATCCAGTAGCACCTCCGTCTTCTCCCATCTTATTAATTGGACCCGGAGACGGAGCTCGCCATGATGGGGATCCGTTCTCAGTGGTGTTTTTCCGTTCCCGGAGTTCGGAGATGGGCCAACTTTCGGCGCTTCACTTTCGGCGCTTGAACCCCCTCCGCAATTCTGCATCTCCGGAGCAGCACGGGCCCAGTTGCACTTCTGCACTCCGCCCTCCTATTCGGGAAGCTGGAATGGTTGACGAACGCAACGTTAGGGAGCCGTCGAGGGCAAGAATGGGGTGCATCGCAACATGTCGTCCTTGTGGAATGAGTATATATCCACGTCGAGGCTTCACGACACCAGCTTCTTCCCTCCATCGGCCCACCGAGCAGTCTTCCTCTCCTTTCGACCACCGCCAAACTCTCCCGACGTGCTGCAACAACAGCATCCAAGACCGCAACGATGAAGTTCTCCTCCGTCGTCACCGTCGCCCTCATGGCCACTTCGGCCGCGGCCTTCCCTATGAGCCCTGGTAAGTTTTGCATTTGCCTGTGCAAATCCCGGTTGCAAATCCCGGTTTCGCTCGTCCCAACAGCGCGAGAGCATTGGCTGACAAAGATGACTTTCGATTTCCAGCCCAGCGCGACTTGGAGCAGTTCGACGGCCTCGACGGCCTGATGAAGCGCGAGGCTGAGCCTCAGAAGCTTAAGGTCGACAGGCGCGAGCCCCAGAAGCTCAAGGTCGACAAGCGTGACCCTGAGCCCCAGAAGCTCAAGGTTGATAAGCGCGACCCGCAGAAGCTCAAGGTCGACAAGCGCGAGGCTGAGCCTCAGAAGCTCAAGGTCGACAAGCGTGAGCCCCAGAAGCTCAAGGTCGACAAGCGTGAAGCCGAGCCCCAGAAGCTCAAGGTCGACAAGCGTGAAGCCGAGCCCCAGAAGTTGAAGGTCGACAAGCGCGAGCCCCAGAAGCTCAAGGTCGACAAGCGTGAAGCCGAACCCCAGAAGTTGAAGGTCGACAAGCGTGAGCCCCAGAAGCTCAAGGTCGATAAGCGCGAGGCTGAGCCTCAGAAGCTTAAGGTCGACAAGCGTGAGGCGGAGCCTCAGAAGTTGAAGGTCGACAAGCGTGAGCCCCAGAAGCTCAAGGTCGACAAGCGCGAGGCCGAGCCCCAGAAGCTCAAGGTTGATAAGCGCGAGCCCCAGAAGTTGAAGGTCGACAAGCGTGAAGCCGAGGCGGATCCCCAGAAGCTCAAGGTCGACAAGCGTGAGCCCCAGAAGGTCAAGGTCGACAAGCGCGAAGCTGAGCCCCAGAAGCTCAAGGTCGATAAGCGCGAGGCCGAGGCCGATCCCCAGAAGCTCAAGGTTGACAAGCGTGAGCCCCAGAAGTTGAAGGTTGACAAGCGTGAGGCCGAGCCTCAGAAGCTCAAGGTCGACAAGCGTGAGGCTGAGGCCGATCCCCAGAAGCTCAAGGTTGACAAGCGTGAGCCCCAGAAGCTCAAGGTCGACTAAACAGCCTACATTTTTGCCTTTGGGAACTTCATCAAGGCGAGAAACGGGCTGAGCGAAGGGTTTTGGCGACCGATGGCGATGGGCACGGAACCTAACGTGAGATGTACATAACAAACACCATTTCTCGTTGCTTGGAGCATGAAAGTCGCCGGGGTTTTGTTACTCTATGAATACAAATTGAGTTATTGTTCTCTCTATCTGTTTTGACTCGGCGGGCTGCTTAACGGCCCCTTGAATTTATTTATTTTCTACTAAAATCATCACAACACCTTACATTGTCCAGGAGCAAACGCTATGTAAGAAACAGGATTACAAACAAAATTACGATGCAAAATGCATTCAGTCTCCTCAGATAAGAGCACACAACCCCGACGTATAACATACACGCCAGAGTATATGTCATGGAAAGAAGCTTATAATTGAACATTACAACCTATCGCCGCTACAAGTTCAACGCTCCCAACTACTCGAAGGCTCCTGGACCCAGTATTCTAGTATGATGTATGCAAAGACTCCATTAAATGCTAAAGCGGCTACGGAAACCAAAGTTCATACTATAGAAACACCACATCTGCCATAACCAAAGAGTCCCTCTCAAGCTGGCACTTGCATAGAGATCCCGACGAGAGATCCGCCCCACTCCCCCACCATTCCTCTCACGCCCCACCGACAACCAGAACAAGCACCCATCGAATCAGCACGCCGGGTAGGACAGATCGACCCTCGTGATGACAGCATCCATAGGCACGGTCGTATTGGCCAAGGTATCGGCGCAGTGCTCAGTATGATGGTAAGAGGTGAGTGAGCTCTCCATCTTCCAGCCGCGCTCGATGGCGCGATGCATCATCTTCCAGCCGTAGATGCAGTGGTAGATGTGGAAGCGGCGGTCGGTCCACATGAGGTCGGTGGTGCGGCCGATGGCCTCGAGCGAGGGGATCAGCTCGCGCTCGGCGGGCGGGGCCTCGGGCAGGGTCGAGTTGGACAGGTAGAAGAGCCACGGGCCGTCCTCGAGGAACTGCGCCGTCAGCTCCGCGTCGTAGCACTCGGGCGCCAGCCACGACACCGTCATCAGGTCGAAGATGCAGCCCGCCGCTTCGGCTTCTGCCGGCGAGTTGCCGCAGGGCGTGCCGGTGCCCGATCTGTACCCGCTGCCGGTGCCGGCGCCGCTGCTGGTGCCGCTTCCTGCTGGGCTAGCGGCGCGGAGGGCCTCCAGGGACGAGGGTGTCAGGATTCGTGGGAGGATGGCGACCAGGAGGATGCAGAGGGCGAGGAGGAGGACTAGTGTGGCGGCGAAGGCAAGCAGGCCGAGGGCTATGCACGTGACGGCCTTGCCGATGCGTGAGCGTCGGGTGGTAGGGCGCTGTTCGCCGCCAATGGTCTCATCCAGAGAGGCGAGCTGCGAGTACTTGGGCAGGGATGCAAACAGAGACATGGTTTGGGAGCTGGAGAACAGTGGGGTGCGGCGGATTCAGCTTGGTCGCAGGGCGCTCGAAAGCGACGCGAAGTCGTCAAAGGTAATCTCGTCCATGGCGGGGAGGTCGTTGGAGGGGTGCGTGGTAGGAAGATGGGTTGTTGCGGCTCCGGACTTTGCAATTCTCGGAGGTGCAATTTTCGGAGCTTATTCATGTACATTCATAGATATGTAGATAGATAGCCCCGGGACCGGCCGCACCGGGCGCAGGGACCGGGCCCTTGTGTCAGCCTTACTCGCAGCGACTGGGACCAGGCGCCTGGGTCAGCCTTACTCGCAGGTACCCCTACAGCCGCCGAGTCGTGTTAAGCTTTTCCGCGCGATCCCTCCGCCAGCGATCCAGGCCCCCCCAGTCCACGCAGCTGTGCTTCAGGCCCCATCCAAAGTGCGCCGCGTACAGCTCGCCCCCCGCCTCCGCCGACCCGGGCAGCAGCCGAGGCTCGACGGTCCAGTGCTCGCCGCACACGGTGGTCAGCCGCAGATACTCCAAACAGTACTCGGTCATGGTCTTGCCGCCGCTGGCGTCAGTGGCGTCGCCCCCAGCCCCCAGACGCAGCCTGATGGTGTTCAGGCACCGCAGCTGGCGCAGCGGGGTCAGCACGTACTCGTTAGGGCGATACGCCGCTGCCGCCGCGCCAAAACGCTCCTCTTCGGCCGCATGCTCGTCGGCGAAGACGGAGTCGGTTTCTGCTGTCTCGTCGTCAGCGACACGTCCCGGACGCTGCATCCATCGACAGGGCCATGGACGTAGGTGCTTACCTCCGAGAAGATCGCGCCAGTGCTTGTCCACGGCGTCCGAGTTGCCGATGAAGTCCCAGTCCGGGCGGAACTCGAGCTCGTGGCGGGCGGTGAAGATGTCGTCGGGCACGGGGCGTGCGGGCACGATGCCGTAGGCGGAGAGGGTGGGCTCGGGGTTGCGGCAGAGGTAGCCGATGATCAGGCCGACGCAGATGTAGGCCAGCGCCACAGACGTGCGGAAGAAGATGGACTGCCGGCCGCCGCCCTTTGCTTCCGGCGATCCCGGCGGCGTCAAAAGCGGGTCGTGGCATCCGCTATTGACCGTGGGCAGCTGCCCACCAAGATTCGGAGACGGCATGGCGACAAAGTTGGCCAGTGATTGAGCAGACGTAGCGTGCTTATCTATGCCCGCAGCCCGCCTTAGCTAAGCCTACATACTCTAATTACCGGATGTTCGTTTGCAGCCCGCTTCCGGTAATGCACTTCGGCACGACCTGCACGACCTGCCCATGGGGATCCACAGCACCTCAACTCCATCGCTTACAAGCCCTGAAAGATGGCCCTCTCCTGCGCCCAGTCGACGAGGCTATCATAGTCCCGGCATTGATGCGTCACTCCCCATCCGCTGGACCCACGGGGCTGCAGCGTGACCCCGTCCTCTTCCAAAAACGGCTCGAGCGTGCCGTCGGCGAAGCACACGAGCGCCTGCCGGATGTAGTCGAAGCAATGGGTGATGTGCGGTCCTAGCGCCTTCTTCGTCGACGGGTGGCCCGGCACGCCTGACGGGTCATCCAGCACCGAAGGGCCGCGCTCGAGCACCGCGAACCAGGCGCTGCGGATTGTGCGTCTGGCCATGGGGTTTCCACCGTCAGCAAAGGTGCAAAATGCGGTCGGATGCGGGAGGAACTCACAGGCAGTGGAGCTGGTGGAAAGCCGAGACTGCGTAGGCGCTGACGTTTCCGTACTCTGGCGCCGGCGACGTGGGAGGGTAGCCTTCTTTTGCTGGGTCTTCGATGCCTACGTAGCCTGTCCGCCGGTGAAGCTTGTTAGCAAAGGCAGCTCTATCAGTTGTCATTGCGGGAAGCGTACGGGAATGCATCGTGTCCCACGCAGCGTCGCTAATTTCCGTGTGCTGGCCCATGACGGGGTCAAAGTCTCGATCCGGCATCCATCGTCGAGACACTGGCTTCTCCCATCCGCTTCTTGCCACCGCCGCGGTTTCGGGGTGCCGGGCAGATGCAGCCTGCCAGCCTCCGACAAAGACTGCGAGCAGCGTTGCGAGGCATATGGCGGCGTGCAGCAGGTGCAGTGGCCAAATCCGGTCGTGTACTCTCCGCTTTGCCTTTCCCGTTCCGTTCATGCCCCTCGGTCCCGGCAGCGACATGGAGCCATCGTCGACGTCGTGTGTCAGGAACGGCGTCTCCTCTTGCGATGCTTTTTGGGCCGAGGATGCCATCTCCGGTGATTATTCTTCTTTTCCTGTCCTGAAGTCGCCACCCTGGAAAGGTAGCTAAATATAACCGCCTGCTGCCTATGGAGATTGCTGCACCGAACATCCAGTCTACTACTGTAATGAGCAGTGTGCCGAGGCCGGCGGCAAGGAGAAGTAGCTCGGTGGCTCCGATGTTCGTCGCAAAGTCCGGAACCGAGCGATTTCGTACGAGCAGAGGGACATGTGCACACGACAGCAGCGTCGACAGGAGTGTTGCGACTCGCAGTCCCCTTTCTCGGAACCCCGCTACCGCCCATATTCGAAACGGCGGTGTAACGGCCACCCGTCGACGTGGCGCCCGAGCTATCTTTAAACCGGCATCGTGAGGATGGAGCACGTAGTGGAAAGAGTCAGCAAGCACCCGAAGCCGTCATGCCTGACTCGTTTTTCCTGGGCGGAGAGTCGAAGCTTTGAATTGGATGTCTTGAAGTGATCCCGCAGCAAGGGTCTAAACTTTATTCTTTGGGGCGCTGCCAACTACTAGGTAGTCTCTGTTGCCATCGAGTAGCGCCCCGAGCACACACCAAGTTCCTTATCTTATCCTCCATGCAGGACGAATCATGGAGTGAGACAGTCTAGAGCGATCTGGCATAGCCAGTGAAACAGTAGCACTGACGCAACCGCCATGGCGATTGGCGAGAAGACCGAGCACGAGCGCAGTAGGGTCGTTAATCGACACAAGGTCATTAGATAGCCCTCTACTCAATCTACGAGATAGAATTGTACTGTCGTCATCTGCGTGTCCAGCAATTACCCGCAGGGCCGCAGGGAGCCGCTTGTGCCTCCGGGGGTCTAGCAAATGGCGACACTAGTCATCAACGTTTCGACGCCCGACGCCGCATTCCGGGTACCTGAGACAAGCATCCTGTCAGTAAGCGGGCTGCGATCCGCCGTGCTGGGCTTCAGCCTTGACTGTTCATCACCGCTGTTCCACGACGCGCGGGGTATGGCGGCCCATGGCGCTTTCGGCGTTTCTCCTATCTCCGCCACCCTCGAGTCATTGACTTTCGTCGTCGTTTACCGTAACCCGAATTTCGTATCTAATGGAAGCGGATAAAGGGAAGCGATAACGTACCACCCTCGAAATCTTAACGTACTACCCTCCCCACTTTTTAGCGATTAGTGTAGCACGTTCGATAATAACGAATATAATAATAATACTTACTACTATAATTATAGTATTTTAAACGTATATACCACGCTATAAATTCTTCTACTCTACTTCGGTACGACCGAAGCTATAGTCCTTATAGCTTACGGTTATTAAATAACGTAACCCGTAAGCCTTAAGTCTTAAGCCTCTAGTAATAATACTTCGTTTATACTAACTAGTATATCCGACTACGTTCTAAACGAAGCGATATACTATATTATACGTATTAGACGAGAACCGCCTAGATAAAAACGTATACGTATCTTAGATATATACGTCGCCCGCTAATTACTACTACTACCTAATCCACTTAGTTCTAACGAACGCGAAGACGCGCCTTCTATCTATACTACTATAGAGATTATCGATTTCGAATCTACTAGCGAGTTCGACGATAGGTACTAGCTCGTTAATAATAAAGCTAGTATTACCGGTAATAATATCTTCGCTAGAAACGAGCTAGAGTTCGGATCTAAGTTCGAGAAGAATATTATAGCCCTTAATAAAACTAAAGAGGACCCTAATACCGCTATTAAGAATAATAGAGTTCTACTCTAGCTTCTTTATCCTTCGTTTATAACGGACGAGGGCGAATAGATCTTTATTATTAAGCCTCTACCGATAGAGACGTTCGAGTTCTTCGCTAATAGTAAAAGGGCTTATTATAACTAGAATCTTACGTATAGTATAGACTTCTATAAGCGTAAGTAGAAGAAGATAAATAGAGCCGTCTATTAGATACGTATTATTTATAATTATAAGAGGCGAAAGAATAGTACCCGTAATAACTCTAACCCGGACGATAACGATTATCTAGACGAATACTATTTATCTAGACTAAATTAGCTAAATAGTCGCCGCTCTAGAAGAGGTTCTATTCGTATAGATTATAAGATAGGCTTTCTCTTCGTTACTACTAACCGTAATAACGTTAATAGCGAATAGAAGATTCGTTATTAATAAGAAAATCTAAGCTTCTATTATAATTATCTATCTAGTATTAATAGCCGTATCTTCGCCTCTTAGCGTCGTCGGTAACGAGTCGAGATACTATAGCTTACTAAGCTTATTTAAGAGTAGTAGCTTAGTAGTATTCGAGCGAACTAGTCTCTTACGTCTATTATAAATAGATATCCTACTACGCTTATAACGTAATAAGATATCTATAATCTTTAATAGACTAATCGCCTTTAGAAGCTTATATACGAGAATATAGTAAATATACTACTCTCTCGTTTTTAACGAAAGAACTTTACCTTCTACTTTATCGTTAATAACGAGTATTAACTAGATTTTCTATTTACGCTTTCTCTCGAGACGATTAAGCTCTAACGTACTAATCTAGATATTCTACTTATTAATCTTACGTTTAAGACGAATAGATATAACCGGCTATTACTAAATATAGTTAGTATAATAGTAAATAACTAAATAATCCCGCTTAGTATTAGCCTTCTTTCGTCTTAAACGAAGAAGGTATATTACTAGACGCTCTTAAGCCTCTATAAGATCCTCGTTAAAAACGAAGTACTACTTCTAAGGGTTATCCTAATAGACTATAATATTAGTTATATTAATATAGTAAAGCGTAGCTTTACGGGTATTTTAATTATTCTTTACTACTAGTATATTAATAAGAATATTCTTATCTATATACGAAAGAGGCATCCTTAATCCCGATAAGATATAGAGTAGATAGATTCGGCGAGGGCGAAAGAGATTATAGATCGTTTTTCTATATACTATAACGTCTAGACCGAAGAGGAGTTTACTTCGGCCGTAGCGAGTATAGAGAGACTTAATACTCGTATTTCCGACTATCTAGAGGCGAAGTAGTAGCCGTAGAAAAAGATATTTATTTCGATATAGACGAAGGTCTATTTATATTTTAATAATATTACTACGTCTCGTATTAAAGGCGCTTATATCTAGATTAAGAAGTAGATTATTAACTCTCGTAGTAACGTCTTTACGCTTATCCGTAGGCTAGAGATATAGTAGACGCTTACTACTATAATAATCGTTTACGACGAAGCGAAGAATAATATCTAGCGTCTAACCGCCGTTCGTAGCGAGTTCTAGAACTACTATTAAAGTTAAATTTACCGCTACGCGTTAATATAAACCTCCCTTAAGCTTACTAAGACTAAGTAAAACTAGATTAAGAGCTAGTCCAATTCTCGTTTCTAACGAAGATAATATACTAGTTCGTTTAAGGCGATATATAGCCGACTATACTACTAGATACTCTTTACGATTCTATATAAACGAAGATACTTTCTTAATTCTCGGTTATTTAACCAATACTAGTAGATTAATAGAGACTCGGTACTAATAATAGAACTAAAGACGCCCGTCTACTATAAACCCGCTATTATTCGACGTCGACGAAGGGTAGGACTAAGAGTAATAGTACGTCTAATAGAATTCGGAGTAAATAGTATAAGAAGAGACCCTCTTCGTTCGAAACGAGTAAATCGAAATAACGTAGTATTACTATTAATTCTATCTTCTATCCCTACTCGGTCTAAACGAGTCTATATTATTTCTTCTTTATAGCCTTTATAGCCTTCGTAGTCTTTATAGCCTCCGTAGCTACTAGCTACTATAATAATATAGCGGGAGGTCTAGTATCTTCGTCTAGAACGAGTATAAACTCTAATATAACTAGCCTAGTAACGAGCTCTACTACTCTTTTAAATACCCTTCTCTTCGCTACTAACGATATCTATATAATACTACTACTTCGCTAACGGCGAACTATAGTATTATTTCGCCCCGCCGATAGTATTCGCTTACGGCGAACTATAGTATTATTTCGCCCCGCTAATAGTATTCGCTTATAGCGAATTATAGTATTATTTCGCTCTACTAGTAGTATTCGCCCGTAGCGAATCTACTCTACTAATATATCTAATCGTACTACTATAATAGTATTAATAGACGTTCGTCTTAGGCGAATAGTAGTTCTTCTATAGCCGTATACTAGTAAGGGCGTATAGCTAGTTATCCCGCTCTTCGTTTAGTATAAATACTATATAAGTATTTATTATTAGCTAGTCTTCGGTAATAGCGAGTATAAGTAGCTATTCAACTATATAGTCTAAAAGTACTAGCTACTTAGCTATACTACTTACGCTCGCTATTAACGAATACTATACTACTTACGCTCGCTATTAACGAATACTATACTACTTACGCTCGCTATTAACGAGCGTTAGCTATCCGGCCGTACGGTCTAGAAACGCTATTAACGAATACTAACTACTTACGCTCGCTATTAACGAGCGCTAGCTATCCGGCCGTACGGTTTATAGGCGCTAGCTACTAGGCCGTATAGCTTATACTCGCTATTAACGAGTGCTAGTAGTATAGTTAAATAGCTAATTTTATAGCTAAATAGCCGAATAGCTAGCCCTCGTAACTAGCGAGTATAAGCTATACGGCCTAATAGCTAGCGCTCGTAAATCGTACGGCCGGATAGCTAGCGCTCGTTAATAGCGAACGTAAGTAGCTAGCTAAGTAGCTAGTATTTATTAATAGCGCTTCTAGGCTATATAGCCGGATAGCTAGCGCTCGTTAATAGCGAACGTAAGTAATACGACCGAGTAGCTAGCGCTCTTAGGCCGTATAGCCGAATAGCTACTTATACTCGCTATTACCGAAGGTTTACTATATAACGAACGTCTCTTATAGTCTTATTTCTCTTCTTTATACTATACTAGTTTACTTCGTTATTAACGATAGCTATACCTTTCTAGTCTTTTTTTACTCTTCTCGGCTATCTAGCTAGTACTAGCTTCCGTAGCGGCTTTAGCTAAGCTAGCTAAGTTCTAAGATTCTATATAGCTAATTAGGCTAGGCGTATAGACGGTTTATAGTAGAGCTTAAGTAATCTAAAAAAGGCGTAAGTTTAATCCCCCCTTCGTTATAAACGAACTAACTATAAAGAAAGTTAGGTTTAAGCGTATACGGCTCGCTAGAACCCGTATACGAAGCCTTAGAATATCTAAGATAGAATAGAGAAGTTTATTCGGTAAGAACGAGCTCTTCTTATTATAATTCGTTACTAACGAGTAAATTATAGTATAATCTTCTAGCGTTCTACGGATAGTTCGCTAAAGTATTATATCTACTAGGCGTTAAATACCCCTATATCTACTAGAAATAATATTATCTACGATACTTAAATTATTCTAGACGAAGATATCTTACCCTATAGCTACGTATATAAAGATGCGTTTTTAGAGGCTTAGCTAATCTTAATTAGTAGTTAGACTAAGCGGTAAACGGCTTTAAATAAGTTTAAGATACGTAATATTAACTCTAAATCCGTTCGTTACTAACGAAGCGCTAGGCGATAGATTAAAAGTAGCGTAATCTTATAAAGAATATCGTTTACGCTATTCTAAATACTAGGCCTACTCTAACGGCCTTAGTTACGCACCGTACGCCTACTACTTATTCTTATTAATTACTATTTAGGCTTCGGTATAAACGAAGAGATTAGGTTAGCGAGTAGATAGTAAATTATATAATAAATTCTCTCTCTTCGTTAATAACGAATAAGTATAATAATACTAATAATACGTATAAATACTACTAAGAACTCGTCTATAACGAAATAATAAAGGTATATATTATATATTCGTTATTACCGAGCGATCTGCGCTAATTACTACTAAGTGGGGCGGGGTGGTACGTTAAGATTTCGAGGGTGGTACGTTATCGCTTCCCGCGGATGAAGTATAATGCCCCTGTCCGTCTCCCGCATGGCATTTTGAACCCTCTACCGCGCCCATGTCTCTCAGTCATCATAGCATACAGACATGTTGCAAAAGGTTGGCCTCACCTGGCGTAGCGCCTGGCTTTCTCTAGAAGTCGAGTGCTAAGGGCGACACGTCATTAGTCATGGTGTAGCGCGCGACCCATCTCGTAATCGCTTCCAAACTTCTTCTCCGCACCCCCGTAATCAGCAAGGTCGGCGAGCACCGTGCTGCAGGGCCCCGTGCCCTACCAGATGCACGACTCTTAGGCCACCCGGTCTCACCATCACCGTAGGGCGTCGTCGAGCACGCGAGCTTCGATAGCATTGCTACAATCACGTCTCGCTCCCCCACGTATGGCTGCACTGTGAGTCAGTATGCGTTCGTATACCTGTTCAGGCAAATGGACGTCCGTGTTGGTGCACGACATCAAACGCCTCGAAGCAACTATTATATGGAGGCAGGGCATTCAGGAGGGACCGCGGAAGAGAAAAGCAGAAGAAGCACATTATTTCCAACTATATCTCACACCCCAGCCGCGCGCGCGTCATCACAATCCAATGGAGTCGCTCGGTTCAGGAAAGGTTAATTCAAAGGCCTGCGACCAATGCTACCGATGCAAGGTCAAGTGCACAATGGAGCAGTCGGGCTGCGCCCGGTGCCGGATGACCAAGGGCACATGCACCTACAGCCTTGGCAAGTGGATGGGCCGGCCCAAGAAATCGACCAGCAGCAGCCGCCGGCCGACGTTGACCAGGGCGAGGGATGAAGCGGGAAGCAGGAGTCGGCCGCACAAGCGAGCTCGAAGCATCTCGTCTGCCGAATACGTTAACGACGACGACGAGGATGATGACGACCACGGCGAGGGACGGTATGCGTTTGGCATTCAAGGTTCGTTCGTTCCCCATGACCCCAGAGAGGCTGCTCGTGTGCTGACCCGGCGGAAGATGCAGACAGAAGACGCCATGGGCCCCCGACCCCGAACGACTCCCCTCATTTCTGGGATGTGTTTTCGCCGGCTATGCTGGGGATGAATGCCTCACAAAGCCTCGTGCCATACCAGATGGACGACTTTGCCAATTTGCATGTTGACAACGGTGCATTTGGCTCGCCAATGCACAATCGCCCGATAATGATCAGCCCGGCGACAACGAACGAGGGAGAAACAGCAGACGCAGCCACGATTTCCAGAATCGCACCCTCGACTGCAAGCTCTTCCTCAGCAAGCCAAGAGCAGGGCGAGGAGGGCCAAGCATTTGCCCCGCTACCGGTACGTCGTCACGGCACCCTGGTCGAGCAAGGAAGCGGCACTGACTGGGTTGTTGTTTCGGGAACAGTCGAGATGTGTTGGGGACGGGAACGGCGCTGCTGCACCGGCGGGCCCGGAGCACCAGACGTTCCAGCCCACGCCGATGGAGCCCATTAACTCGTAGGTAGCTGCTCACGGGTTGACACGAGAGTTTGCTGACGCTCGGCAGGCCGAGATGCGAAGCTCTGCGAATGCACTTCTCGCACCATGAAACGACGCACCGCTGCAGCTGCTCCCGGGCGGCGTTGGACTCGCTGGACCGGCTCTCGACGCGGCGGGATGGAGCGGGGTACGTCCAGTGTCTCGAAGCGGTGCAGCTGGCGTTCAGGACGGCGGAGGAAATGGTGCTGTGTGCCCTGTGCGCGCCGGGACTGGTGATATCCAAGTGCTGCCTGTTGCTCAGCAGCGCGTACGAGCTGCTGAACGACGTATCCATCGGCAGCGACCACGGCGAGGCGGCTGCGCGAAGCAGGGTAAAAGAGGACATCCGGAGGGTGAAGCGGCGGGCCACGATGCTGTTTGCGGGCTTGGGGACTCTGCAGGACCTTGACGCTCCGGCCAGCCCGGTCCTTGCGGGGGCTCAGGCCGAGTTTTTGACGGGGCTGGCCAAGGCGTGGGGCATGCTCTCGGAGCCGTGACACAGATATCAATATGAAGCGGTTGTAGTATTTGCTATGTCTTGGGGTGGCGGACGAGGATGGTTGACGTGTACGGCTCGGACCATCCGTACTGCGGCCGCTGCTGCTCCACAACCTCGACGACGCGGAAACCGTGATCTTGGTACAGCCTCACCCCCGGTGTTTTGGCCACGACCAGCACCTTGAGAGACTGCGCGTCCGCGTAGGCGAGGCCGCTCTGCAGGAGCATGCTTCCCACCCCGCGTCGCTGGTGGTCGGGATGCGTGGCCAAGTAGTCGAGGGCTGTGTCGCAGCCGCGGTCAGCATTGCTTCGTGCAGGCGTGGAGGGTGTGTGGATTGCATACTCAGAAAGTCGTCGCCACGGCCCCGCACGCGCTCCTCGGCAGCTTCGATGGCCACGCTCAGCTCTTCGACCATGGCGCCGTCGAGGTTGCGGATGCTGCCGTCGTCGGTGACGCTCTCGAACAGCTGCTCGAAGTGCTGTCGCGTCGCCTCGTCGACTGCGGGCACCGCTGCAGCCGCCCAGGCTTCTTCTCCTGCTTCGCCCGCAGCCGCTCCTCCCGGCAGAATCCAACGGGCGTAGCCCACGGCCTTACCGGTGGCCGTCTCGACGGCCTTCTGATGGCGCTTGGCGCGGCCGGTGACCAGGTTCCGGGGCAGCCGGCGTTCGCAGTCGCGGATGATGTCGTCCAGGGTGGCCGGGGGCTTCCAGAGCGAGGCCCAGTGCGGATCCCGGTAGAAGGCGCGCATCATTGTCTCAGCCAGATCGGCGGCATCCTGGGCGGGGGTGGACACGGGGTGGATCGCGTAAGCGGGCGGGCGAGTGGATGGCGCGATAGGGTGTCCGGGGGTGCAAGCCATGGCTGTCGGCCTCGTTATGGCTCGTTATGCTGGCCCTGTCGCGTTCTTCAGCACTCGCAGCTTTTCTGCCTCTGCCACACGTCGTGTTTTGGCCCGGAGGAGGCTCCGTGCGTGCTGGCCGAAAATCACTCTCCGGCCTTGTCCGGCTCCGGACTTTTGCGCCTCGCCTCCGAGAATCGTTGCGCTTCCCTCTGCTTTCTCTTAAGAGGGGCCCCATGTCGCAATCCATGTATGTAAGCTGCAGGAGCCGCATCCCAAAAGCACATCTGTTCGATTGGTCGACGCTGAAGTTTCCACAACCGTCATTTGCAATAATGGTGCCCAAGCTAGTAAAGAACATGGCCTCGTGTGAGTTCCACCATCCGCGACCCGTCCCGCGACTATACTGAATGCGTGCCAGGGGGCGGTGCATCCAACGACGTGGCCTACCAGGACCTGCCCGTCAGCCCCGGCGAGGAGAACCAGCCCTCACTAGGGTACCCCCGGCTAATGGTGGCGCCATTATTAATAGCGGTGTACCCAGTGGCCGTTTCCGGGCGTTATAATGGCGTCATCTATTATTATAATGGCATAATCACTGTATTCAATGGTTTCTCAATAAGATTATATGGAAACGGCAGGGGTGACGATGGTAATATTCGTATTTTAAATGGAAATATCACGATATTACATAGTGTTTCAAACTGACCCGCCGCCACCGCCGCCGCCGCCTGCCGCCCTAATAATTACCACCAACACTACCCCCGACACCCCCCCCAATACCCCCCCCACGATCGTGCTGCTACAATAAGCGCGCGATCGGGCCAACTATTATATATATCTGTCCTCCGCGTGCATTCGTATAGGTCATAATACCTATAGGGCATACGATATCGTTTACTAAATAGAACCTCCGCCGCCCGCCGCCATTAGCGCTCGTAGTAATTAGTAAGCCTCTCTTATTATCGCTTCTTTATATATCCCGGAGGTTTTCTATGTAAGCGTAGTAGCCATAGTTGGGGATGCTTAAATAATAGTGGATACGGGTATACTTATCCTCACCCGACACCCTCTTGTTATAGCATATACGGGTATTATCACGATTATCCAAGCAATCGCGCTGCGATGAGATGCTGCCGTATGCCACGGTATCCTTTGAGACAAGATACCGCTTGAATCTAGTATATTCCTCTACGAAACGGGTTATCTGGGTGTCCTCATCTTCACCAACCGTGATGAAGAATCGTAGTACCTTCCCTAGTATACGCCTCTTACGAGGTGTTATCGCCGCGTGTGGTAGTTTGCCTAATAGCCGTGGCTATAATAACGATACGTTGTTATTATCGTCTATTAGGGGTTTAAAGAGCTCTAATAGATGCATCTACTTCTATATAATCACCTCGTTCGTTATGCTTATGTCTAACTTCGCCTTATTGCGGGCGAGGCGCTTCGTAAGGCTATAGAGACGTTTAAACGGGAACTGCCACTAATAACGAGCTAACCTATAATTATAAACAGCTTCAGCGAGGTGTAGGAGGCTGTGAACTTATAGGGTGCATGCCGGTAGGCGCCTGTCGTTATTATTATAGTAGATCCTCTCATGCTCGCGCACGAACTCGCGGTAGCTGGTGTTAATATCGTCGATTTAGTGTTAAGAAACGTCTCTCTAGGAGTAGAGGGCGTATATCTTACTTAATAGTAATAGATGCTTATAAGGTCGCTCCTATAGGTGTCTAGCGAGGTACGGAGGACCCTAAGTAGTTAGCTAAGCTTTCTATTTAGCTGCTTTAAAGTATTTATAGTATTTGATAACGTCTCGTGGTGGTGCATTTGCTAGTGATCGGGGGAGAGTCGCTCTTAGGCCTTTATAGGTAGCAGATATCTTATATTAATCACCTTATAATAATATAAAGGTTCCAACCGCCTAAGGGTTATTGCGGGCGTTTATTTAATCGCTCGGCTTGCCTCTCGTGTTCGTCTAAAGCCCTATAAGCAGTTTGGTAAGATTGAGGAGTATATTATATATAGTGTTAATAGGGAAGCTTCGTGGGAAGTATATCGCTTAGAGCCTTAGCAGGTAGGATTCTCGTTCGACACCTACGGATATATTAGCGAACCCAATACCTATAGGAGAACATCGCGTGTCCACGTAATATTTTGCTGGTAAAATCGCGAAATTAACACGAAATCAACACGCCCTTCCCCATAGTATATTTCTTACCTAAGGTTCTTTGCTCCTCTGGCCCGAGAATTATGGCATCGCGTATATCGTCCCTTAGGCACGATCGTTGAGGGTGGTTAAGGGCTGGGCCGCTATAGGGATAATAATAACCGTTATTCGTACACCGCCGTGCCTTAATCTTATAGTATCTATACGGCGAAATGGCGTTGCCGGGTATCTTTAAGCCTATAATATTAGCAATAGCAGGCCCGTCACCCGTTATAAGAGATATAATAGCTCTTAAGCGGAAATGACGGTGTGTTGAACCGTCCCATGCCTTAATACTATAAGGTAACTCCAGTTCTCGCAGCTCCTCGATTAGTGGCTATAGATAGCTATCTAGATTCTTATATTTCCTTGGCCCAGGTATAATGAAACTTACGAGGGTGTTGCTACGCTTATAGCGAAGCTGCGGAGGTAGATTAAGCACTATAACGGCTATTAGAGTGCTCGAGTGGGTATATCGATCGGTAACTACCGGTATGCCGTCGAGAGATAGCTGCAGGGCGAGATCTAAGGGCTGCTTGATTATGTTGTCATCTTATAACCCCCGCAGCACCCTACCGCTCCAAACGTCTTATATAAGCTAAGGATGCATTTTTATAATATTAGCACGCTCCGCGCAGCGGTATTGTGCCCTCAATCTGGGTATAATAGGTATATACGCATATATGCGGCGAGGGCGGCGGCGGTGGGGGGTCCCGGCGTAATATCGGCTCTTGGAGTAGTATCTATAGCGCTTATCGGCGGCGAACGGTCTAATAAAGGCCATATAGCTATCTTTACAGCAGTCGATAAGAGTTGGATGGATGCCTATAAGCTTTTTAAGCCACTTGGGAACGTATCTTCGCGATAGGAGGGTGTTTGCTAGCAAGTGCCGGCGGAGGTCGTTATATACGCCCCGGGGTATATTGCGTGCGTAGCGGAGGAGTTAGAACTTCTTAAGCGTTGTCTGATCTATTCTATATTTATTAGCAGATTATATAGCAAACGAGAAGAAGAGGGACTAGGGGGTTACCCTTAAAGAGAATCTCGAGTGGTATACCGCAGGGCGTATCGTTACTTATATTAAAATTATTATAATAATTATCTTCGCTATTAGAATCGTGTTTAAACACGTTTAGGGTGTTAAGATTATCTAGCGCCGGCAGCTCTTTATCGTATTCGGTGTTATTATCGTCGTGATATTCCTCGTTGGGATTCTAGGCCGTAGGGGAGCGCTGTCGCGGGCCCTAAAATTGTTCCACGAAGGCCTAGTTATGTCTACGCTTAGTACGATGGCTAGACATCTTTAGAATAGTATTAAGAAGAAGCGGCGAACTTACTAACGGGTATTTCCTATTGGTACGGGCATAATAAATTTTTTAGATGTTAGGGGGGGGCTCCGGCGGTCTCGGCGGCGGCGGCGGCGGCCCCCGCATTATTATTATTATTGTTGTTATTTCTTGGTATATTACCCCAAGCATTCTATATTATATATAAATACACACCAAACACCGGAATTACTACGGTATAAGCGTTTATTACCACAAACTTAATACTATGCCAAACGACGATATACCCCGGCCTAGGAAGAAGAAACCGATATGGGACGATGTCTTACAGGTAGTACGCGAGTATAACGTCTACGAACTAGTACGATCTACCGCTGTTTTAAAGCGTTAGGCCCGTAGTGCTGTTAATTAATACGTGCAGCATAAGCTTAATAAGTACGGGAGGCTTTACCTACGGCTATAGCGTGATCTTCGCCGCTAATAATAGAAGGACGTCATTATAGAGTTTATAAAGCGCTAGGAGGTCGCCTTCCTACGTCGCTTTAAAGATGATTGGGCAGCTATCGCTATGATCGAGGCTGTGATACAGTTATACCGTTGTAAGGCCAGCCGAACGAAGCCTCGCATAAAGAAACTGGGTAGGTTGCAGTATACCGAGCCCTTAGAGAACCCTCACCAAAATACGCCCGATTTAGTAGAGGATTCTCCGCGCTATAAGTCGCCCGCGACCGATAAGGCCTGCGATGAGGCCTGCGATAAGGCCTACGGGCCAATAACACCACCGCCGCGGCCGCCGCCACCACCGTTACTACCACCCCCCGCACGATCGTTATCGCCAACACCCGCACCCCGGAAGCGTAAGATGTCCGGTAAGGCTAAAGAGACGTAGTAGCTACTGCGTAATAAGCGCTAGAAGAAGGTTGCCAAGCAAGATCGTGCGATAAATAAGGCTTATAGCGAATAAGCGAAGGCGGCGGCGAAGAAGAGGCTCGAAGAACGCACGGCGCTCGAGGACGCAACGGTGTAGTTCCAATCGCTCTTATAACGTGAGCGTAATAATTTATTGGCAATCGTTTAATAGCGTCACGAAGCGCAGAGGGTTGATGATAAATAAGAGAGTGTTGTTTATTATAAGATTGTTTATCGTGAGGTTGTTCATCGTAAGGTTTCTGCGAAGAAGCCGAAGAGGGGCCGGCCCTTTAGGAAGGCGGCCGTGTGAGGGCGGGGGACCTCTTCTTATATTAGTAGTATTTGCCTTACAATAACATAATAAATCTCTATCACCCACCCTTCTATTCGCTTAATACTACGGTGGTTTCTACAACCCCCGACCAAACCCACTGTATATATACCATGTCAGGACTATCTAAACGAGCTACCCAGCGTTCCCCCGGGCGTACGAAGGTTCTTTAATACCCCGCGAAGCGATCTGCGACCGCAATTTCGCAATACAATAGCACGTCTATATAAAACCTCGGCATCACCCCTCCAGCATAGGTAAATCATACAACGAAATGCTGTTGCCGTTGCAATAATAATAATACCATACCGACCTGGAAATACCATACGGCGTTTCGCGTTTCATACGAAATATATGTGTAATCCACAAACTAAGTATGGTGGACCCATAGATCATGGGGTTTCCATGTACATATATGAGCCGGGGGTACCCTAGTGCCTTCATCGCCAGCGGCGCCCAAAAGGCCGGCGAGAAGCTCGACTGGAACACGCGCAGCTCCAAGCGCTCCAAACTGTGCTCCGCCCTCGTCCTCCTGTCCGCCGTCCTCACCCTCGGCGTCCTCTCGTCCGTGCTCGTCGTCGCCCAGCGCCGGGAAGCCGGCTCGCTGGTGCCGCTGTGGCCGTCGTACCAGGGCGGCTCGCGCGTCGTCGAGCACTGCGGCAACTCGCCCGAGGAGGCCCAGGCCCTGGGCTGCGTGTGGGACCTGATGAGCTTCGGCTGGATCCACCCGCGCTGCTACAACCCGGAGCAGTCGCAGCTGTGGATGGACAAGTACGGCCCCTGGAAGTGGTACTACGACCTCAACGCCACCGCCGAGATCCCCGACGACCAGCTCACCTCCACCCGCCGCGTCTACACCGAGCAGGGCTACCACGTCGTGCACTGTCTGTACATCTTCAAGCTGCTGCACCTCGCTGGCATGTCTGGCCACATCGTCACCGACGAGGCCATCCCCCTGGCCCACACCCAGCACTGCGTCGACATGATCTCCGCCCCCAAGTACACCGATTTCAAGCACGTCAACACCAGGGTGGACATGCTGTTTGCTCGCTGCGTCACCATGGATTGATGGTCGCTGGTCATGTCGGAGAAGGAAAATTCAGATTTTGTTGCTCGCAGAGATTGTGAATGGAATTTTTAAAAACGCATCTACTATCCGAAATCAATTGTAACGATAATCTCAATACACCCAAAATCGTCTTTTCTTTTGTGTTGTTGAGCGTGAGCAAGGTCATCTTCCACGCCATTCCCAACGCCGCTGTCGCCTTGCCCACAGCACAATGCTGCTCACCTTCCATCCATGAGCCGATCCTGAGAAGACCTGTAGTGTTACACTCTCCAAGATCCTACAGCTTATCCTCCATTTCGAAGGATCTCTTCCAATATTCAAGAAATTCCCCATGTTTGCGCCACCGAGCGTCATCTTTGGGAAGACTCCTCAATACACCGTCGACCTCGATCACTACCTCTTTCGCTTTTTCGAGCTGCCCATTGGCCAGGTACAGACGTGGGAGCCAAGTCAGCGTTGCAATCCGGTTTGGGTTACCCAGAGGAAGCGTTGTTTTCTTGATTTTTGCAACATACTCGAATTGTTTCAGAGCTTCCTGGAGCCTGTTGGCCGTGGTATAAGCGCGCCCAAGCTCATGCTGTGATGCTAGCAATACTGGGGAGTTCTCCGCGAGTATGCTCTGCCGAATATGAACAACGTGTTCGAGCAGATTGATTGCCTTCTCTACTTGTCCATCGTCTAGGTAAGCGCCCCCAAGGTCATGCTGTGACTTTAGCAATCCGGGATCATCAGCCGAGTGTTTCCTCTTCCTAAGTTGAACGATACTCTCCAACTGCGCGATCGCTTCCTTGAAGGCTCCACTACTAGCATACGTGCAGGCAAGATTGTTTTTAGATGATACAAGGTCTTCTTCGTGGAATGAATTTGCCTCTTGAAGACTGACTATTCGCCGCCACAAATCCAGACTCGATGGGTATCTGTTGAGGTCCCCCCAATTGCGTGCCATTTCTTTGTAAAACGGCAGCAGGTTGATATCCTCTGGTCTCGATGGTTCTGCTTCAAGTGTTTCGAAGATTGCGAGCAGGAAAAGCTCCAGCTTTTGGTCAAGCCGGAAAATATGAAGTAGATATGCGATAACACGATTGACTTGGAGATACTCAACACCCCATGGGTCGCGGAAACTGCACGTCACTCTGTTATCCAAGAAAGAGCTGATGTGAGATTGGAGTTGTCTGGTGCGGAGCCTCCAGTTGCTTGAGTCCCGATAATAGTAAGATTGTGGAACAGACTTCATGGAGAAAGCGATGATTGAGCCAGTCATCATCCAAGCCTGCTCTTGCAGTTTCTGATCCAGGCGGTCTTTTGCCCAGGCATGTGCCAGTGGATGCATTGACACCAACTTGACGCCGTCTCCGTTGTCGATAGTGGCTTGTTTGATGAGTGAAAGAGCTTCCAGACAATCGAGCCCTGCTTGAAGACGCAAAGTCAAGCCTCGGCTCTCCGACAGAAATGCAGGTAAAAGATCCGCAAGACTCGTTGAGATTCTGCCAGTGTCGTTGCTGAATCCTGTTATCTTCATGTGACGGATTCCTCTCAAAGCGTCCTCGAAGATTGATGTGGGAAACCCGCTGTGATGAAACATCGCGAAAATCCCCAACAAGCACAACGCGTCCTCCGCCTCGGTACCCCCATCGGATTTGAGTGCACGGGCAGAGACCTCGAAGGTCGCGTACACGTCGCCGTATTTCGATCGTGCCTGTTTCGGCGAAGTTGTGAGAAGATGTTGGCGGTTGTCCTTGAAGAATCTGGGATATTCATTCCAGTTTCGGGCATCTCGAGATACGAACGCACCGGCCTGAATCAAGGCCAGAGTGTGAAAGTCGAGAAGCTCTACGATCGTCTTCGCTTGTGGCCGGTAGGAGTCCCAGTCCTTTGGGGGCAATTTGGCAGCTTTGAAGAGGAGCAGCATGGAGTCTTCAAAGGAGATTGGCTCGAGTTCTCGGCTGCCAATAGTCTCATGTTTTTCACATTCACGATTGCGCGACGTCATAAGAATTGAACCACTAGAAGCGGACGGGAAAAATGGTGCGTAGTCCCTCAGTTCGTCGGCGTTGTCCAAAACGAGGAGCCATGGGTAGGTGTTGAAATCAAGTTCGGCGAGAGCGCTTAAAGCGTCTCCCAGAGTCTGGTGTGTGTTGCCAGGGCGGATTTGATCCGCAATCTTCTTGAACTCTTGCTCTGCAGACACGAAGTCGCTTACATCAACCCAAAAAAGGCCCCAAAACCTTATACAGTTAGCATCTGCAATATACATATACTGCGGTGTGCGCAATGAAAGCCCAACTGTGCGCACTATATTTTCAAAAGAAAGATTCTTTTGTATAGTACTTACTCGTTCTGCATGTCCTTGAGAAGTTTCACACAAATCTCGCTTTTTCCAATGCCAGCCAAGCCATAGATGACATATCGTTTCTGTTCTCCAGCGGTGGCTCCCCTAAAGGCAGCCTTGATCTCCGCTACCTCAGCTTCACGGCCGAGAAAGTTTCTGTTCGGCGGTGGGTAGTTGCCATGTCGAAAGCGTTTCCGTTTGAGAGCAGAAGTCAAAGGGGCACTTTGGTAAAAGTTACCCTGCAAGATGGAATTTCTGTCGCCAGCCGTCACATCACCAAAGCTCTGAGAGGTAGATGCCATGTTTGATCATGGGTTATTTCGTTCATCTCCGCGAGGAGTTTGCGATATTGCAGGTAATGGACAGCGGGCGAAGTCCAAAATAAGAGGAGTGGCAAATGCGAGCAGGCAGCCTCGTCTGGAGAGAAGCGGGGTTGTCTACTCATGCATAGCCGGCTTACTGCACAGTCAGCCCGCATGTATTGATGCGACCATGACTACTGCATGTTCAGCTCGGCTCTTCAACTGCTGACGCGCGATTCCTGTAGCCTAGCTTGATCGGTTCCCTTCAGACTTGCGTACGATTTCATTACGTAGAAAGCAACGCGGCATTCGTCCACACACAAGTACACTGAGAATGTCCGTGTACGGATATCCTCATAATTAGTTTAAGCTTTGATTCCAGAGAATAAGATGCCGAAACGTTTTATTTGATTAATTCGGCTCGCTGGGCGTACACGCCTCGTACTGCCTAGGCTGCAGGTGTGATCGTGAGTGTGATTCGCTGTTTTCACGTCGCGATTTTCGTGGCGTTCATGGCAGTGCAGACGCTTGTGACGTGGCTCCACACTTATCGGTCCCCATCTCTTCGCTGAAGTGCTGGGATAAAGGAGAGAGCCCTGGAACCGAACCCAACTGAAGGATTCGGAAATCATCTAGTACAAGGCTGAACTTCCGTCTTCTCAGGATCTCGATCCTCTACAATCTCGATGCCGGATCCTCTCAGCATTTCTGCCGGCATTGTCGGCCTTCTACAAGCCGTGAAAAGCCTTCATGATTTCATGAACAGTATGAATGATGCCCCCGAAACTCTTACTCGAGCTAGAGATGATCTCAAGTCAACCGAGAGCGTCCTCGAGGACTTGCGCCAGTATCTTGAGATGCACGCGCAAACACCGCCAGCAGCAAAGGCTCTTACTGACCAGAAGTCAGCTTTGAGCTCCGTTCTGCCGCAGTTTGAGAAATTATGCAGGGACTTCCACAAGAAGCTGGATAGTTGCGTTCGCCGTTCAGCTGAAGGCAGCAAACTGGCCTGGACAGACCGGGTGGTGGCCAGTCTGAAGAAGGGAAGCATCGAAAAGTTCCGAGAGGAAGTATCAAAAGCCCGGCAGCTCATCAGCTTGAGAGTTGATATGGTCTCACTGTAAGTTCGCTTGGCCTCATTGCGTAGCGACCGCTAAAAGGTCATCTCCACCCTAGCCTCAATGCCGAACAAAACACTGCAGCGCTCCACGATTTCCAACACAAGAACGAAACGACAATGGCGAGCATCATCCAGCAACTCGGAGAAATTGACATATCCATGAGGAAGTTCCAAGAGCTTTCTGACGAGTCTTCGGAGGCCATGGAGAAAGCCCTCAGGGACCAAGAAGTTGCGCTGAAGGAACAACTCCTCCTGTGTGAGGAGAACCGTGTCGCAGCCGACAGCCGAGTGCGTCACGAGCAAGACTTTGGTAACACAAAGGCTGGAGACAACGCGCGGAACCTGCAGATCTTGGATTTAGACAAGGTAAAAGGCTCGTTCAAACAGAAGTATGGCAGTCTGGAAATTGGCAATGGCACGTGGAGCGCCCAGGGTGCCGCCAGTGCGACTATGGTAGAGAGGTTCTTCTACGGACCTACTGCCGCCTATCAGCCGGAAAGTTCCCGAGGTCCTGGAAGGCGGCTGGGTAGTAACGTCGCTACTTTGGATGGCATTCGAAGCGGGTCGGCACCTGGATGGTCTGGATCGTAGAAGTAAATTCTGTGTCCTTGTTAATTCCTTTTTGAAATTTCAGTTTCCTCTTCTACCATTTGTCTGAGAGTTCGTCGGGCCAGGCTGAGGTCTCTCCCTGGCTGACGTGCGCCTCGGCCACAAAGTCATTCTCTTATGCTCTGCCGAAGCCTGCCGACCCCCTGAAGGATTCTCCTATCCACCAATTGAAACAACATCGCTATCACGGTAGTGCACTCGCTGTTCCGCCTTCGTGTGCTCAAATCCTGTCCGCCGTCTATGCTACGTTTTGAGTGCAGCAAAGAGAACGGCCTCGAGACGCTGCACAATCCTGTCGACATTTTGATTGATCTGATTCGATGAGCCGAAAGCTGGAATGGTGCGAGATGTTCCGCGGGCTTGCAACTTTCTGCGTCCCTTCGCTAGCCGAGACAGCCGCGAATGATGGATGACTGGCCGGAGTCCGCCAGCAAGCAGACCGACTGCCCGCCTTTCCTTGGCACCAGCCTCCAAAATTGAATTTTTTCGTGACTGCTAACCAAAACATCCATGCGCACCGCCATGGAGATTTGTCAGGTCGATGACCGCAAGCAACGACGGTGGGGATGTGGGAGATGATGAGTGTGATTTGTTGCAGGGGCGTCGATGCATTTTCGCAGCCGGGTGGCGATGTCGGGGTGCAATGAGCGGGGGCTATGTTAGCACGTGCGAAAAAGAAAGTTCGCGGCATTTTGAGGTGGTAATGATAACTGCCCGGGTAACTGTCTCTAGAGGGAGCCTGTGGGCTTCCATAGCCGCAAAGCTTTCGCGTGGGTGTGGAGACGGCGTGCCTATCTACTTGAGGGAGTGCCAGTTATATTATGTTGCACGTACTGGTCTCATAAGGGACGTGCCCATGTTGTCGACACCATCAAGGACGTGCGGGGTGATGAACGCGCCGTGTGGATCGACCAGCACGTGTTTCAGCGAATCCTTGCTCCAAAGAATCGACGAGATGCGCTTTCGACGCACGGAGCGAGTCCACTTATTAGGGAGTTACGGACACGGTTGAATAAAGCGGGCGGAGTGCAAGGGGGCAAACGGAGGTGCTGGAGCCTTTGCGGGCTGATGTCGAAGGCCGGCTCTGCTGCTGATGCTGCTGCCTTTGTTGCCCGTCGATATTACCCAAACCCAAAGTCAGTTTGGGTCCCGTCGACGGCCCGGCCCGCCCCGCCGCTCGGGAGATCAGTGTGGGCCCGAGCCGGATCCCGAACATTACCGCCGCGGTTTCGCAAGTGGGTACGGAAGCGCGAGGGAGCAAGATAAGCGAAACAGCGGCGCCGCGAGCGGGGAAGAGCGTGGGAGGGCGAGGGGCGGAGGAGGCGGTGTGTGCGAGGAAGAGGCTAGGCGGGCCGAGTGCGCCTGCCAGCCGAACCGGGGTGGTCAACAATCAAAATTTGTTTAAAGCAAACCACACAAACATCGGGGTTGTAGCTCAACTAAACAAAGAAACAGAAAGGACTACCTTAATTGGAAGCGTACTTACTTGTTTACTTGGCAAGTACACGGACCACTATCGTAAGACATATTATAGTGTTTCGTCCTAATTTGGTATAGCTATGGGAGGCGGGGGGTACGGTGGGGCGTTAGAGGCGGGTCGTAATACCGAGGGAATAAAATACTGTACGAATCTCACGATGGTCCGCATATACATCAAGCAAACATATATGGTTGAATTTGTTTGTTGACCGCCCTGAGGCGAAGGGAGAATGCCGGGCGGCGCAGCGGTGGTGGCTCCGTTCCAGGCTCTAGTTAGACTTGGTTAGTGCGTATATGGGGGCAAGCGGCATCTGCCATGGTCGTCGTTGTAGTCATAGGGCTAGTTGGCAGGGCGATACGTAGTGTTTATCAGTCGCATTTCCAGCCCTGTAGAACCCCCAGGCAGTGCGGGTTCGATGCAAGTCACCTAGAAAACTACGTCCCCGGTGACACGGCCGGCGCCGACGAGGATGGAGATGTTCTCTATACAAATTGCGCGGGTGAAGTTAGAGCTGAGAATATGAAAGCGGATCACACTGATTGCTCTGGATCTGAACATGTAACGAAAGGAAGCCTTGGTTAAAGCGTTACGCGAGCAACGTCTTTTTCACCTCCGAGCTACCATGATGTCGTTTCCTCCTGCAGTAATCTTCGGCTTAGCTGTGCCATGGACTATGAGAACAAATGTGAAAGCTTCTACGAATCCAGGTAGTAGTCAAGGATAATCAGACAACATCTATACGTATCGTTGTATTTTTCCGAACATAAAACGTAACCCATGTGATGCTTTCCAAAGCCTTGAAGAGGGAAGGGCTTTCACAAGGATTGAAAGCGGCAGTGGGCTTCTTGAAGCGGGATCGGTTGGGCTGTTCTTTAAAAAGAAATGTATTAAAAGCTGCCAGCGTATGGACTTTGGGCTCCCCCGATACTAAATCTTGCGACGCCAGCATCGGTGTGTATTTCAGAATATGGAAAACTCCGTGAGACTCCAATGCTTTCTATTTCAGCATATCCCAGCCCCGAACCGTTTCTCGGCATGTATCTCGTTCGAAACCAATCACACCATCTCAACCGTGCCACGCCCTCGACTGCGGTTTTCTCCCTTCCCCATTATGCTATCCGTGCTTTCTGTGCTCCCAGTCCGCACACCATAAGCGCTTTGAACGCTGTAGGTGCTCGTGATAACAATGTCGTCATCGTTCGTAGCTCTAGGCCACTCAGTATCGCTTTTCACTTCCCTGGCTCTACTTGCTTTCGAGACCGTTACTCCCCCTTCAACGGAGCCAAGTGGGATGCTATCTCCTCGGCTGCGGCCCCGAGTGCCACGTGATCTGCCTCGAGAGGAGAAGAACATGTTCCAGATGGACGTCCCAGATCTGTCGCTCGAGTATCCGATCAACTTTGGCGCAATCTTTTTGGCGAGAGGCTTGAGCGTGACGATGCACTGGCACATGATTCCAATCATGATCTCAATGGATCTGGACCGAGGCGCCACAGTCGTCAGTTAGGGAATGTGTTTGCAGAAAAGGGTGAGATATCACGCGACACTTACGACCAGTTGCAGACTTTTGCTTGCTCGTATGTGAAGTCTGGTTTCCCGGGCAACCTTTGGATGATGACGAGACGTACGATACTGGCGATGATGACGCTGCAAACGGTGTTAGCTTGAAAGCTGACGCGGCCTGGAGCTTATGGGGGATTACAAAGAACCGCCAGCCAGCACTACCCCGAGGACTACACGCTGTCCGACCGGGAGATGTAGCTTATAGATCATGGGAATGGGCTACTTCTGTTAGCATCTCTTGTCTTGTCTTACATGGATAAGAAAGTGTCTTGCCATCAATACAATGATTGCATCCGTCACGATGTTGGAGATGGCTTGCGCAACAGCCAATGTTGCAATGCAATCGGCTTTCGTTGGATCTGTAGGCTTGCATCCTGCACTGGTCTACAAGATGTCAGTTCAGAAGGGGACTCGGTGGCTTTGGGAAAACAGACAACGAAGGTAGTCGCCAGAGTGTATGCCATGATGATGACCATAAGAACATATATGGCAATCCGGAAGAGCTTGTCCGGATTGACGTGGCGATATCTGTTCATGTGTCAGCGACCCCCAGCATAGTCTAGTGGAGGGCGAGACACACGTGAGCAGGATGGAGAACTTTGAGAGCATGGGGGCCCAGCTGCAATACGAATGGATGAGCGTGTCGAGTCGGTAAATCAGCGTTTGAGATATCGTACCAGTAAGTAGTGACCACTGGTATGCTCCACTGTAATTCATTTAGTACCAGGAATGCAAGGAACTTTAGGTAGGCGTTCCTACTTCAGCATATTTCACAACCTGTGCAAGACTGGTATTCCATAGGTGATCTCCGAAACCGTATTCCATCCCTACAGACTGATTAGTGTGTTGCTTGAGCAATCTTTCGAACGGGAGAGGGAAGCGCACATTGGATGCAACAAACGATGAAGCCGATACCCATCAGCTATTGTTTATCCCTCTTAGCTTGCATGAATCAGATGCGGGGACATTATATTTACCCATGCTGCCACAACTGCGTCTACAGGAGATTAGCTTGAGCTCAGATATGGTGGACCATCCATGTTAACTTACAGTCATCCAACCCGATATGCTTGACCACTACCGCACGTGTCCACACCCTTAGAGCCACCGTGACGGTGGCGCCAGCCGCGACTCCACTGGAGATGATGATGAAGTCCCTCTGTACAGAAGTCATCGCCGGATCAAGGTTGGATGTCTCGCCCGATGGCGCCGCCATGGCGGGAGTGTTTTCCAAGTCCATATCAGCAGTGATGGGCTTGGCGGAGGCAGTTTTGTCGTCCGAAATTTTCTCGAGGGAGGGAGAACGACAGATGGCGGAGCGAGATGACATAGGGCAAAGGGTGATCAGGGGTAAGTATAAGCGATAAAAGGTCTCACTGAGACCAGAACGTGAGTGGGGGCACGTTCATACGTGGACATGGGCGCCCTGCATGGGCGGCATTCGAGTCAGCGGTACTGCTCGAAGGGGCCAAGTGCAAACATGTTGTTTCGAAACGGTACCTGACTCTCGGGTCTTATGATTCAGGAACGAGCTGCAATGCCCCTTCTTGCATATACTCCAAGTGCCGGTACACCAACGTATCTTTCGTGCCGGCACAAACCTACAGGATGCGTAGGCACAGGCAGAGGAGTAGGATCACTAGTAAGTGGTCAGTTTTACTCTGCAACTAACGAGTCATGCACCGGGCCCTTGTATTATTCCTACGCCGCACCATCACAGCCAAAAGATAAGAACAAGGGCACTTTCGGCCCCAGTGTCCAGGAATGGACAGCGTACCGCCATAGGCCCCCGTCTCACCAGACACGAGATTCATGGGTCTGTACGTTTTCGGAACACGGCTTGGCCAAAAAGCCTGGAGCTTTACGGAAAACCAATTCGGCACACAGTATGGGGATAAGCGCGCGCAGACGTCGAGCTTCGGGCCGCACCCATGAATAAGTGAAAGGGCTGATAAAACCCCGAAACTACAGACTCCCCGTCCTTGCCCTGCATAGAACGGCATTTTCACAGATCGATTCGTTTCTGCGGTCCAAGGAAGGGAAAACATGGCGACGTTACTCCTCGCGCTTGTCGCCACCACGAGCGTTTCCGGCGTTTTCGCGCACCAGCTGTTTTTTCGCCGTATCCATGTCGACAACCACCCGTTTCTAGTGCTCGCTGCTTCATTCGGACTGTACCTGGCGCTGGCGTCATTTCTCCAGGCCCGATTCGCTCAGCAGGTCTCGGCACCTTATGGTGTCGCTTTGCTCCTTATGTCCTCCTTCGTGGTGTCGATATGGGGTAGCATGTTGACATACCGCGCATTCTTCCATCCGCTCCGGAACTTTCCTGGCCCGTTTCCGGCACGGTTGTCCAAATTCTGGGCTGTGGGGCAGGTCTTGAGTAGCGGGCTGAAGTGGTACAAGGTTGACGCTGAGCTTCACAAGAAGTACGGGGACTACGTGCGCACCGGTACGTTCCTTTCCTCGGTGGCACGCAAGATTGGATCCGGCGAGATCGTGAAACCTAATCTCAGGACACTACAGGTCCTCGTGAACTTTCCATCCGTGATCCCAAAGCGCTGAGCGCCATCCTGGGTTTCACGTCCAAGACGCTCAAAGGCCCTTTCTACGACGGCATGGAAGATTCTGTAAGCACCACTCGAGACAAAAAGCTGCATAAGTCAAGACGCAAGCTCTGGGACACTTCGATGAAGTATTGTAAGCAACCGCCCCCTGCATCAGTGTTCCCGCTTGCTTATTGACTCCGGGCTCAGTGCTTTCTACGTACACTCCCCAGCTCGAGCAGTTCACCGACATCCTGCTGGAGCGAATCGGTAAGAATGTTGGCAAGCCGGTTCCTATCAATGACCTGGCCATGCACTACAGCTACGACGTCATGACGCAGCTGGCGTTCGGCGAGCCCGGCGGCTTCGTGGATGGCAGTGCGGACGACGTGGCTACCGACATGCTCGACGGAATGCAGAAGGGCATCGACGCCATTGGCATCCTTTGCCAGATGCCTTGGGTCTTGGGCATCTTGATGGCTCTTGCTACGGTGATCCCCACGCCGATGAGCACCTTTAATGGATGGGCAGCGAAGTCGTTGGAGCGGAGAATGAAGGTACGTAACGCTCTGACCGATTTCACGCTACAGTGTAGCAATAGGAAAAGAACGGGGAAGGACAGCAAAACTAAACGTATGGCGATACAGATGAAGAACCCGAAGCCGGACCTCATCGGCCATCTCATCGCAGAGACGGCCCCTGACGACAAGAAGGGACAACACATGCTCTTCACAGACTCGCGTGTCATCGTCAGCGCCGGAAGGTCAGTCTCCACCATCGCCCTCTAAAACCAAAGCTCATGGTCGCAGCGACACAACCGCCTCCGCAATCAGCGAGATTCTCATCATGCTCGCCCTACGCCCCACCTACGTCTCCGCCCTTCGTGCCGAGATGGACCCAGTCTTCGCCGGCACCACCGACGAGTACTCGTGCCAAAAGGCATACCCGGTGCTCGACTCGCTCATCAACGAGACTCTGCGCCTCTACCCGCCCGTCCTGTTCGGCTCTCCCCGCGTGACGCCGCCAGGCGGCCTCAAGATCGGCGACGTGTTCGTGCCCGAGGACACCGTCGTGTACGTACCCGGCTGGCAGCTGCACCACGACGCGCGCAACTTCCCGCAGCCGGACGAGTTCATCCCAGAGCGGTGGACCACACGGCCGGAGTTGATTGTGAACAGGAGCGCGTTTATTCCATTTTTGATCGGTGAGTTTGAAATGCTTTTGCTCTTCTTCCTCTCTTCTTTTCCTGGCTGGACGTATGTTGGATCGCGGACTGATTCGTTTCCTGCAGGCGAAAACAACTGCCCTGGAAAACCCCTTGCCATGATGGAGATCCGCTCTGTGATAGCGAGGACCCTCCACAAGTACGACGTCAGCCTGCCCGACGGAGCATCGGTGACGGAGAAGGGCTTTTTCGAGGGAGTCAAGGATCACTTCATTGCCGGGGTGCCGAAGCAGAACCTCGTCTTCACTCAGAGAGTCATGTAAGGTGGTAGAGGTCAAAGCGGGTACTGTGTGCGGGCCCGTCGTGTTGTTTTTATTGGAGCAGAGGGCGTCCTACTGATTCTCAAGTCGAGGTGGCTTACTGAGTAATACGGCACCAGTTCTATCATATTTAATTGAATTCCAGCCCTATAAGTTGAACTTGATCAATGGGCGTGTTAAAGCCCACTATTCAAGTAGAGTTTGTGTACGTAGCACCTGTGTTGGAGCATTCCGTCATTTCGGGTAGAGATTTGTTGATCGTGTTTGTGTATAAAACGAAGCAAGCGAAAACAAAGAGCCTCATCCCATCTCAGGGTTGTCCATGCTGGCACCGCAATAGGGCAAGGACAGGGTTTCCGCACGACGCTTCTCCTTTCAAGCAAGCAAAGCCCCGAAAAAAAAAACAAATAGGGGAGCTTCCCTCCTAAACGGACGTACAGGGGCTTTGAGAAGGAGTGGTTCATTTGGGGGCGAGATTGCCCAAACTCCATCATCTACGCCCTGGCCTTCAACGTCCGCCGATCTCCCCTCAAGCGAGAGCTCGGTGCAGCTCGCTTGCAAGCGAACGAACGACACAGATCCGGGCCAATGACACGCATCCCAGACACGCGCCGATCGTTGTTGGAACAAGCCGTTCCGAACGGATCCGCCGGCTAAAATCAGTCGGCCGCGTCGGGTCTCGCATCCCTCTCGGCACCGCTACCGCATCCATTCTCCTCAAACGTTTCCCACCGCCAAGTGCTCGGCGAAATCAGGGCAGGCCAGCGCCCCACCCTCTACCTCAGCCTCACCTCCCACTCGCCCCACCCTTCCGCCTGCCTGACCGACGCGGACGAATTTCTTCTCGTACCCAGCAGGTGCTGGCAAGTACGACGATACGGGCATCTTTGATCAGCCAGACTATGACCCAGCGCGCGAGCTGAGTTCCATGAGCCACAGCGGGAGATGACGCGACGCGACGCGACGGCGGACGCTCCGACGCATGTTGACGGCAGGGGACGCCCAGAACGCCACGCCGGCGGCACAGCCAAATTGCCAGCCAATCACAACACTCACTCGCCGCAGCTTCCCAACGCCCCGGCCTGACCCCTGGCGTCGGCCTGCCGTCCGCGGGAGGCTCTCCATCCCGTCTTCACCGCCGGTACGCCCCTGCATTGGTTCCCTGCCGAGGCGGAGCTTCCGAAAATCTAGTGCGATTGCCGGCCTATCTCCGCCATGTACGGACGTAGCTTGCTGCGTGTAGCTACTGAACGCAACTGCAAATGCCGTGCATGTATGGGTCTTCGGCTCCGGACAGGCACACATCTCCAGCGACATCAAGGCGCAGTATATAGATATCTGGAGGATGTGAGCTTCGGTTTGAATCGGTAGATCAACTTTACGAAAGTGTTTTGAAGGAGGGGCGGGGCGAAGCCGCATTCGGCGGTGGTGTTGATCCAAGGACTGATATCAAGGCGCCTCTTCGATGATAAGAGGCTAGAGGATCATGAAGGAAACAGCTGTAGAGAACGCCACATCCCGGACAGTACAAGAGGTTCTTCCCGATTCTCCAGATAGCATGATACTTTACGCCGCCGTTGCCTCCAAAGACACTGATCGAATCAAGGCGATCTCAGGGCAGAAACTGCCTCTGGTCGAGATAACGGACAAGCCCGGTCGGACAGCCCTGTGTCTGGTCGTTAACGATTGCAATTATCATCCGGAAACCCCGAACTCATATCCGTCCTTGTCCAGCTCCCAATTCCCCATAGCAGCTCTCTTTTGTCAACCACGAGGACTGATTATGGGGCACCATGCCTTCCACAATAGGAATCACCTTGCGCAGGTTGTCCGGCTCGAAGAATGCGCCGCATACGCCGAGCAGCCGTACGGGGACCTGAATTTTCCTCTTGGGCTGGCCTTCCATTAAGGAAAATCTGAAGTCATGCAAACTCTATTCGGGAGGAGCGGACGAGCTTCAAACCTTAGCACTCGTGTCGGACCAATAGCTCGCTGTCTGAGGCATTCATGAGGGTTTGAGAAGGTGCAGAAAGCGTGTAGCAGAGGATGAGGATCTCGGCTGGGTTTTTACTCAGCTAAAATGCACCCTTCTTCCTCAAACCAGGCTACATGAGCAGCGATGGAAGAGGTTAGTTGACCCCATTCATGTAGATCAAGGGTCAGCGGCGCGATACGACATCTCAGGATCACTGGTTGCCGTACTTCGAGGGCTCTCTGTAAGGCAAAGGGTAGTTTCTCCGCACTGATGAACTTGTTATATCATGAAATGTAATCCAGTGCATGTCTGCTTCTGGCAGTAACTGAGTTATAGGCAGATCGCCATTGAATGTGCTAGTGATCCATGGTACTTATCTGTCTGCAGGCCTCCAATTGTCGAAGAAGGCCAACCGACAAATGAACTCGTCCACAGCCAAGATTTCATCCAGATTCTCGTCTGCACGGGCGGTTTCCGTGTGCAACGAGGCATGTCGTAGTCGAGCCAGCTCGTCCATGATGTACATGTTAGCACTTCGAGGTACATCGGTGTAAACGAGGTCGACCAAGTCTTTGATCTTATCCTTAAGGGTCAAGGGCAAGCTGAAGTGTTCATTGTTGTCTGCAATAGCGTTCTCCAGGACTAATTGCTGGTGATGTCGGACCCTTAAAATGTCAAAGATGCGGTAGTTGCACGTTCGGGCAGCCAAGGCGAGCTTCTATGAGTGGGAATAGCATGTTCTATGCGCAACCGCGTCGTACTCCCACGCGAAGTAAAGCCACTAGGCCAGATATCCGACGAGTTTCGTTTGCCCTGCATGTAAGCATCTTTCGTACGACTCCTGGGCGAGCTTTGTAAATAGTGTACGAGTTGCCTTGTTGCGCTTCGTTCGCTCGGGTACGGAGTCTTTAATTCCCAGCTCATCAGTGAAACAAATACGTGTAGACGTTTTCAAAGAGGCGGGGCTTATCGCCTCTTTAACGGGTGAGGAGACAGTTTGCGGTGATTTGTGCGGCCGAAGCCTAACATCTGGGTGTGTCGGAGCCTGTTCGGACACTGTAGCAGGACGGATCTCATACGGAGGTGGATTAAGCAACGGATTCCACGTGGGCCTCGTCAAGGCACCATCTTCGGTTGGAAACGCATCCTATTTGTCCGTGAGCAGCCTTGGCTTCAAGCTTCGAAGAAGCAAGAGGTGCATACTCGAGCACCGACACGATTGATGGCGACGGCGATGGCTTCCATATGTCATGTAACGGCACAGCCATTACATCAGAGTGCACCACCGAGTGTGCTGCTCGCAGCATGGTGTGCGGCGCTACGGTGATCCCACCCGCCCGGGCTTTATGAGAGCAGTCCTGACTCTGAACGAAGAAACGAATAGGTTGCACATACCAGCCAGGTTTGCGGGTGAAAGCAGGTTGAGGGCGTCGAACGATCAGTTTGCAGGTCGAGTTCAATGGTAGAGGTGGGCGCGGGTGGATCTAAGGGAGTCAATGGGAGTGTAGATAGACGGTAACCCGCGGGGCTGCGGGCAGTCTTCCATGGCCGTTGAGTTCGAAGAGGAGCGTAGACAAAAACAGAAGATGAAGTGGGCGAGAAGTGATAATGCAATGCGCGGCGGGGTTAAGCGAGAGAGCTAAGCGAAATCGGGTTAGTGGCGGGCGTTGTCGAGCCTGCGGGGGTGACCCGAGCTTCGGTCTGGCTTCCTCCACTCTTCCTCCACCCTGATTGACGCTACCGACCAATCACGTCGTCACCAATACGAGGCTGATCCAGCATCACGACCAGTCGCTCTCAACGCGTTGGCAGTTTTCTATGTCGCGAGTGAATTTCGGTCGAACCTTCTCCCATTCTTTGTGCACAGTAATCCCCGGTCCAATCGAAACTAAGCATGCGGCCGAAGTGCGAGACAACCGGTCATGAAACGTTGCAACGTGCATTACAGCAGGAGCCGCTCGGCTGATCACTCATGAATTTCAGCGCTTGTCCCGTTTCTCACCCTTCTCGCGCGAGACTATATGCCTAGCAATCGATAAGCCAATAGAAAGGAGCTCCGGGGCTGCGCGATATAGCCCCATCTGTACCGGCGCTACGACGAGTGTCTTACAGCAAGGGTTGTCTGGTTCAGGCGAAGCGTTTCTCCCATTCTCGCCGTTCTTGCGTGACACCGTGATCGACGAGCCAATAGGGTACCGCGTACCTGCGCCGCGCCGCCCCCAACCTGCCTCGACCTCCGACCGCCCAAACGCACGACGTCTTCACTTTGTGTGCGTACTGGAGCACCATGCATATCGGTTGCTTGGTTGGCTCCGCCGTTGAGCCGACGTCATATTTACGCAGCCTCAGTCCCCCCCTTCCACAGCCTTCACAGCCCCTCCTTCTACTGTTCGCTTTGCCGCTCCAACGTCTGCGGTCTTCAGAAATGGAAGTCCACGCCAAGATGAAAGTCGACGAGGTCATGGAGATTTACGGATGGAATACCCACCAGCAAAAACGATTCCGCGTAAGTTCGCCCGTTCATTGTGACAGTACATTGGCTGGGCCTTACTAGCTGCTAGGATGCTGTTTTCAAGGAGGGGAGGAAGCTCCTCTATAATGACGAGTACTGGAAAAACGAGCGAAGACCAGACCCGTTCGATTTGGCCGAGCTTTCCAACAGCGTTATGATGCATGTTATAGAGAATCTCAGGGCTCAGCTCTCCATGGACGATCTGGAGGCCAAGAGAACCATGAGCCCAGAGCTCGTGAAGTGGAAGTTGCAACAGTGGATTAGCGCCGAGAGAAGTACGTTTCAACCTACCTACTACCCACGTCACAGCTGACTGAGGGTACAAAGAGAGAATCTCCCAACGCCCAAGTAGTTCGGAGCGAAGCCGGTCTAGAACGTCGGGATTTTATGACCCGGTAGCGGATGCCCTTGGTAGGAACTAAAGTTCATCTTGCTTTCCAGTTTCCACTTTCGCAGATAGGGATGGAGGACTGAGGTTGGAAATATCGGAATTGCCGTTGGTCCTGCCTCTTGCCATCAACATCGCGGCGTCGCAGTCATCCAGGCCGGGCTGGGTCGGGAGACTACAGATTGCCTTCTGGTAGAATCGGAACGATGGGCATCTAGAACAGCCGGGCTTGAGAACGATACCCCGAACTCCTCCGTCTCTCAGCAAGTCGGCCAGTGAACGGGAAAGCGAGAGCCCCAAAGTAGCGGTTCGATTGTGGAGCAGTGAATTCCAGCATTCAAAGTGAATTATGGTTGTCACGAATTGAGCCTGTGAAGTTGCGAAAAGAACCATCATTGGTAAAAGTATGCACTCGCCGGCGGGCCATTTGTGCATGCGATGGAACAAAAGTCGGTTCTCGTCAACGGACCTGTCGATCTGATTGGAGGTGGTCGAGGCTGCTGCGGTATGAGAATAGCGAACGTGTGTTCCAGCGTGTCCGTCAATTGCGTTGGCATAAGCTGATGGCCATGGACCGTTGCGCGGGCAGGCCTTGCCAACTGCTTCAACTCATCGGAACATCCCGTTGCCACTTCAGGTGATTGTCCCCTTTCTCTTCGTCGTACGAATTTCCGGGGAACATAGCCGAGCACCGCTTTCCATCACAAAAGCTATTTGCAGTGCTCGCCGGCGCCAGCAGCGCTGCTCAAGTCGTTATCAGGGCCGAAGATGGTCGCATCGCGGGAGTGGGGAACAGGGTACGGTGGTCGCCCCGCCGTAAGCCTCGCGTGGGCTTCGTCGATCTCAATTCTCCGGGGTGGGGACGCGCGAGGTACCGGGGTGACGTTGGAAGCATGCCTACTCTGACTCATGCCGGCTGAGTGGAGTGGAGCACGCGCGGTTTCTCTGTGTTCGCTTTCGTGGGTCTCATGGTTGGAGATGTATATATTTCGAGCCATCTGGGCGGGCAAAACTTTCAGAAGAAGTCGGAGAGAGGTTTTTTGTAACCAAAGATTCCCCACAATAAGGCTGAAATGCACGGCACTCTCGTTCCCTTATGGCGGCGGCTGCTTTCCGCCAAAAAGCATACAAGCGAAAGGGCTTGCAGATCGCACAACAGCGGCCAGAACGCTCAGATAAGGCTGTTTCATAGGACGAGGTTCGCGCTAGTTTCAACAAATCCCCGAGCGTCGTTGCCACCAAATATGCGTACGCGTCAGATCTCGTATAGTGGTCCCGTCTGAATCTATGTCCTTGGCTCGGAACGGTTAGGCGTCCTCTTTTAGCTCAACGCTAGCTTCTCTAATATAGCTCTGGAACGATGCCCTCCTTTACTTAACGGGCTTAGCGGCCGCCATCAGCCAATTATAGAAGAAGTCCATGTACGGCCCTGAAGAGGGTGGAAATTGCGTGGGGTGATGATTTTCAGATCGCCGTTCTTGGGCTGCGACCGACTGAGCCCCGAGTCGCGTTGTCGGGGCAAAGGGAGCCAAGTTTCAGCTCTCTGACTCGTCATGGAAATGCAGCCGCTGGCCTTTTACTTCAACTAAGCCCTGGTTTCCCCGGCGCCGTGGGTTTCCCGCCTGTCTCACCCAACACCGAGTGGTCACGCAACAACCACGTCGAATAAACATTGCTCCCGACATGGGCGGCGGCCTCAGCCCCCCAGTAGCTCTTCTCATCCAGTGGGCTACAGATCGAGTCCGTTATCCATATGGCGAGAGGCATAGTCTCTTCATCGTCGTCTTGATGGCCACGCTGCTTGCTATGACGCTAGTAGTCGTGGCCGTAAGGCTGTGGGCGCGCTGCAAAATCCGACGCAACGCCGGCCTGGATGACTGGCTAGTCGTGATATCCATTGCAAGTAATCTCTACCTACCAAAGGTACGTCTGCTAACGAAATTCAGCCGATCCTGCTCGTCTACGATGCTTGTCACGCCTTCGGTAGGTGACGCATTTACTGGATTTCAACCACTCTTACAAGCCACCCCGAAATGCAAAGACGCGTGCATGACTACTTTTACCCGCTCGTTAAATTCACACTTCAACCGAGAGAAAAGTGTGGACAAGCGTTGCGGGCATAAAGCAGTGATATGATATCCTACTTCGGGGTGGCTTACCTCTTGACAATCGCCTTGGTCTAACTGTCTCGTCCAGGCTATTTCCTTTACGGCCTCGATCGCCATGCGTGGGAGGTAACGGTTTCCCAAGCCGTTGACGTCCGTATCATTACCTGGACGATTGCCCTTACCTACATGCTTATCACGGCGCTGGTCAAGATTTCCATTCTCATCTTCTACCGCCGCTTGAGCAAAGGCACCTTTACGACGTCGTGGATGTGGACCGTCCGCATCTTTATTCTTTTCGTTGCTTCTCTCGCCGTTTCGTTCACGATTCTATTATGCGTCGGGTGCCGGCCACTCGATGCTTTCTGGCATAAGATGGATTTCATATGGGCTCTGCAAAACAACTACACGTGCATTGATGAGGCCGCCAACTTCATTACTTACGCCGTCATCAACGTCATCACGGATGCAGCGGTCTGCATCCTGCCGCTGCTCGTCGTGTCCCGCCTACAGATGCCCCGCAAGCAGAAGTGGGCTGTGGGCGCGCTCTTTGGCATCGGCTTCTTGTAAGTAACATGACAACCACCTCCGTACCCAACCGAAACTGAGCATGAACCCCGGCAGCCTCTGCGTCTGCGGCGTCATGCGCTTGGTGTGGATGTACATCACCTACTACAAGACCTACGACACCACCTGGACCGCCACCTACATCTGGTCCTGGACGCTGGTCGAGACGCATTTCTCCATCATATGCGCGTCAGCGCCGGCGCTGAACATCTTCTTCCGCCGCATTCTGCAGCCCACGCACGCCTCGGACAGCGACGCTTCCCACCAGCGCAAAGCGTTGGACAATTTCGGCAGCTGCTCCAACCGTAGCGGACGTGCTGGACCCAGTCACGGCAACGGCGATGTCGAGAGCGGCATATACATGGCTGACATGCTTGCCTATAAGGCGGCCAAGGCCGAAGCGGAGAGGGATGACCCGGTCTTTTCGATGCGGGAGAGCGAGGCCAAGAGAGAATCCATGGCCATCTGCCGGGAAGTCGATGAGGCGGCAAGTGACGGTGATGAGCAGGGAATTGAAGAGCAATCAAGAAAGAGCAGCAGGGGAAGCAGGGGAAGCACGGAAAGCATACTGGAGACCCATGTTGCGATAGGATTTCATGAATGAGTCTCTTTGCGGTTGGTAAATATCCTGCTGTTGTGTTTGAGAAAGCCTCGCCTGAACTTCTACCCTCACAGTAGCATTTTCACAGTCCATGATCTACGATTGGCGCATCGCTTTGGGGCGCACTTTGAAAAGGACTGGAAAGCGGTGGCCAGCGGAATCGTCATGAATCCAGCCTCAGTGCTGCCTCCTCGAAGGCAGGTTTCCGTCAAGGGATCAGCTCCCTACGCATGATTTCGGACAACCGCCGGGAGTCAGCAGAAAAGGCTCTTTTCTTTTTCTCGCCTCCCTGCTGTTAAGTACGGAACTCATCGAAATTGCTTCCAGCGATCGACCAGACATACTGCCTTCAATTCGCATGATATCGAGGCGTCATTGTGAAGCAAGTAAGTAGGGATATTCCCCCATTGATTCAACATGCTCAATTGGAAGGCGCTGGAAAACGTGAGCTAGTATCCCAGTATTCCACCATATCGCGTACTGAACCCGTGATGCCTCGTCAGGCCTGAGGCGGGTCGAATTGCCGGCTTCCATCAAGGGACCAACGCCAATTTGAATGGAGGAGAGAAGGATCGCAGCGACCGTCTTGAAACCCATGGATGATGTTGTGCACGCTGGCCAGAGTGGCTTCTGCCGCGGAGGATCGTCGTAGCGCTCTTTCGGAACAAGGTTCTCAACTCGGGCGTCGGCCGTAAAATAGTGGTTGCGCAAGACCTGAATGGTTGCAGAGAGGGCGTTGTACCTGGGCAGCACACCTTTCGGCGCACCCAGGTGGGACGACGGAGATTTTCATGCGCACAGTGCAGAGCGCGCAGTGAAACAGGCAGCGGGTGCGAGACGCGTCGCGGTCGCGTCGTCATACTCGGCGCACCTTCCCTGGGTCCTGGCACTGACGTCATCCGCGCCCTTCAGATTTCGCAGCATCGGGGTGATATCTACCTACTCGTCACCCTTCCCGTCATCATCACTTGCCCGCTCGCCCGCTCTCAGCTTGCCTTCTTCGCCGAATCATTAATCTTCCCAACAGCCCTTGGATAGCCCACGGACGAAGGGCCACACTCCCCGTTCTTCCTGGACACGACACGACATAACACGCAACGCTGGCATCTTTCGCGACGCGCACGGTCATACCATGGAGCCATCCTCTCCTGTGAGTCCCACTTCTGGCACGCTCATCGTGGTGCCGATCTCCGCCAAGCCACTTGGAGGTCAGTATTGCAACGGTTTCTCGGTATAACACTGTAGTCAGGCTACTTTCTCCGAAACAATTTCCAATGGGATTACAAGACTTTCGTCGGCCAAGGCAATACTCATGTCAGCGGCCTTCCAGAGGAGCGGCTCCAACAAAGCGGTGGGTTCCCGTCGTAGGACGTCACTACGGAACTCGGTACGCTCCGTTGGGTTACATGCTATACGCAGGTGCTCGAGGGAGTGTTAGGTCGCCTTCCTCTCTACCACCCTCGCCCGTCTTGAGTCCCCCCTCCGCCGAACTTCCAGCTACTCTATGCTTCAATTGCAAACCGAGACCGTCTCAGAGCCTCAATAAGATGTCTCGTGCGCGCTATGCTATTGTGCTGACCGACAACGGAGAAATGCACATGGATGGGGCAGAGGGCACCAGTTTGAAGGGCGATGGAATTTGGAGATACTCAACGGTGCAGAGCATGCGGGGTTTCCTAGTTGCCAACATCTCATCCACGTTGGCCACGTCTTGGTGGAGGTGTCTTGTCGTCAGGGCGTGTTGTGTTATGACGGCGTGTGTTTTCTGGAGACCAAGACCGACTTCACCGAGAAGAAGCTGACTCGCAAGAGCCAGGTGTGGCTGAGCTCGAAGAAGATTGGATACAAGGGAGGAGGCCAAGGAATAAGGAGATCTGCAGAAGTGGAGGAGGAAGAGAAGAAGAAACGTCGACACGGAAAATATCCTAAGCGGACACGTCACCCTACGAACCATGAACGCCCGAATTGCGAAAGAGACAGCAGTATGTCAGTCACGAGCGTGGTCAGTCAAACTTTCCAAGCAACCCGGCGCACCCTCGAGGCGTTGGAGCGGGAAAGGCAGAAGAGCAAGGTACTGGAGAAGCAAAAGGCTTCGTTGAGCACCGTGATATGAGTCGCGGGAGCGATGCGAGTGAGTTTTTGAAAAGGTGGAGAAAATAAGCGACGGGGCGCGTGGGAGGGCTTGGGGAGACGGTGCTGGCGGTGGACTGTGTGTTGAAGTCTATCCGCGACCAGGAGAGTGAGGGGGTGAAAAGATATACTCAGAGGCATACTTCTGAGAGTGACGGATGGCCTTCGATGACGCACGGGAATGGCGTGTGGTGACGGGAGCTTCGGCACGGGGAATTCGTCTGCCTTGGTTGTTTGGGTTCTCACTGAAGATGGGGAGGGGTTTATAAGTTAAATCCGCGACTTTTTCTCCCATCCAGCCGATAAAGGTTACGTGGCTCCTGGCTTTGCCTGCCCACGACTCCTAGGCAACGCTTGGGGATTAAGCGTCAAGGATACCGAAAAAAAAGGTGGTGGTCCCCCGTGTCACCTTTCTGCAGCGGTCCGGTTTACCGGTGCCGTACGGCCGGCTTAGGGAGTCCTTCGGGGCCTTGCCCATGTAGCCCAGTGCCATCCCGTCCCAGTGGCGTGGTTGGTGCTGCTGTACGGTCCTGCGGCCCGGGGTTCAATCCTGGGCTGCAGCAGCTTCAGTTTTGCTTCTTTTTTGGCCTTTTCTTTTTGCTACGCCGTACTATAAGGCAAACCGGGCTTGTGCTTAGAATTCACTGTCTCTCTTTTTCTTCATTCTGATTCTGAGCTCGACTCCGCGCTCAGTGTCCTGACTCTGGCCGCGAGACATGTGCATATGCATCAGAAGCTCACTCAGAAGTTCACCGGTCCAATGCCGCGTAGCGTCCGCCTTTCGACCACCCCCGCCGCATCCGCTTCACCGTCTTCGAGACGCTGCCCGCTCACCCGCTCACCCGCGGCCAAAGTTTTCCAAACACAGTCCAGACTACGGCGCATGGCCATGTCTCACACTGACCTCACAGTTCCGCTCGCGCACCGCACCGCTTGTGTAGAGCGCCCAACATTTCACCTCTCGGTCACCACGATTAGGCACAACATCCGTAATGGATCCCAATCGCAGCCCACCAACACGGCTCCCACCCAGAGTTGCCCCGCTCCCCCGAGAGCAACGCCATCAGCTGCATCGATCTCACCCGCGAGCCCAGCACCCCCGCTGAATCGGCATCCTCATCAAGCATCCCGACACCCTGCCCCAAAAGGCACTCGCCCCCGCAAACCAGAATCTCAAGTCCCGAACCAGACTTCGAAATGCCGGCACCAGCTGGTTTCCGCTTTCCCACGTGGACTTTCTGTCAGGCCCACGCTGTCCCCCTCATGTCATCTATCTACCGTCACTGTAAGGTTGCGTGAGTCTAATCTCCTTGAGACGCGGTCCGTAGTGACAAAAGGATGCAAGGCATGCATCAAGCGTAGGGGTCCCACGTCACACCAGGCCGAGACCCACGCGCTGCATCTGCCGCCGCTTTCGCACAGACACAGACGGCCATCCACATGCTCGCTCAGATCGAGCTGCTCCAGCAACGCGGCACTACATTTTCGGGAGGGTGCTAAGACTGGATTGTCGGTCCGCGACTCAGCATAATACTTTCAGCGACCTCACTGCAGAGAACTTGGAGCGCGTTGGGGTGGAATCATGGTCATATGGAGCGATTTCGGGTATTTCTGTGAACACACGGCACATAGACTGGCACACTGCCCGTGAGCGCGTCAAACAGGTCACTTCTCAAATTCTGTCGGCAAGAGAGCGGTATTGAGGCTCGTACGAGTAGATTGGTGTTTGGTTTGGATACTCGGAGCGGTGATGCTCTCACCAGAGTTGTTTGGGACTGCGCCTGGATGGTCGTCAGCTGGTGTCTTCTCACATGTCATAGAAACCGGCGACACAACGGAATGCTTCAGTGGAAGGGCATCGTACACCGGTCGGCTGGACGCTGCCATCCCTACTCTGCATCCACCGCTCGATGACCATTCCTTTGGCCAAGTACTGTTTCACGGTGAAGAGATGGTCTAAATTAATCGTATGATTACATTCAAGAAGGCTCTCTGCATGTTGCAGCCGATAGGTCATGCTCTGTGCTACAGCCTCCAATGGCAATATTGGCTGGGGAGCGCCATCCTGAGCGTCGAGCGCGGCGAGTCAGGTGGGTCCGTCGTTGCAACGGTGGAGTTGGAAAGTGGGAGGGAAGCGGACGATGTGGAAACGTGAGTGATGCCAGCGGCCACGTCACCAGCCACTCAGAGATGCTGTTCAGGAGCTCTTGGATGTCACTCCTCCAAAGATGACGATAGGGCTGATCACGGGATAGACCGTCTTTCCATCACGGTCTGCCTCTCAGACCCTCGCATGCCCCTCTGGTTATCTTGTGTGTCCCATGTTTCGCTTCCGGCGACCCTGTCTGAGCACGGCGGCCACAGAAGGCAATTTGGGAGTAATGTGCACTGGTGAGCGGGCGGTCGCGGTCGGCATTGAGGCGGCGCGAGAGGCGCAGGGAAATGGTAGGTGAACTAAAAGCAAGTGGACTCGGTGAGGGCGATTGCGCAGTGAATGTTGTGGCCGGCGGTCGCAAGGCACGAGTGTTCCACCGTCGCCAGCGCGGCCACTCAGCTGCCAAACCTACATCTCTCAGCCAGGCACAACAACCGCCCACCATTCTCGCGCCACTCGCCACCCACCCCACCGAGCTCCCGTACGACGTTTCCAACATCTAAAAAACCGAGCCATCACATCTCTCGCCCGATGCACAAGCCCACGGTCAAGCGTAGGTGACAGCCGGAGCGGCTTCCGACGCGGCCTCCGACCCAGTCCCAATCAGTCCCAACGCGGCTCGTCGACGCGCTCCATGACTTGCTCGGTCGCGTTAGCCGCTCCCCTCTAGTCGCGCCCTAGCGACGACTCTGTCCAGACTACCTCTGCTGGAAAGTTGTGCTCAAGCTCTTTTGGTCTTTGTCGACCAGCTCCTCGAAAACGCGCGGCACGACCGTTCCCAATCCCTGCGCAAATCACAAAGCCGTTGAATCACTTTGACACAGGCTGTCTTCACATGCCAGCCTCCGGCGCCATTTGCCAGGGACGCGCACCTCGTATCGGCATCCCACGGCGACCCGACCAATCATGGCGACACAAGCCGGCTGCATCGCTCGAATGTAAGAGAATCTGCAAACCGCGCCGCACCCAAGACGTTTGATGTTGCCCGCTCAGCCACCCGCCGATCCGGACACGTGCAGCCAGCTTGGAGACCTTCCTTATACGTGCCCTCGACCTCAGCCAATGGTAGTTCCACAAACCCGCATCTTTGCTTGTCTGCGAAAAGGGAAAGGCAACTGGTGGGCGTCAGTAGCCGCAACCAAGGCGTTTGATGTTACCGCCTACGCCACGCACCCATGCAAGCGCCTGCAGAAGGGCCGGGCCTCTTCTTTTATTGGCTGGAGATAATGTTGCAACACGTGCGACTCCGCGCGTCCCCTTGGATCGAAGGTGATCTCTTCCTCTCGATTTGGCTGCCTCTTCATCGTGGTTTCCGAAACGGATGGGAACCATCACAGGCTGTATTGTACGTCGACAAGCAACACTAATGTAGTGTCATACATCGTTCGCTCAAGGCCGACTAACAACACACCATTTGGACAGAACAAGTATGAGATGGGCTGGGAGACGGTTGGTCCGGTTACGACTCTGCACGGCTTCCTCTGGATCGCCACGGCAAGTAGTCGGACGGCTTCAACTCGGCAACGTCACAATCGCGCGATACTTCACACATTATTGGCCGAGCGACTTGCATACTGAGCGATCTGCGGTTCAAGTAACCATTGCTTCTCGTCTCGGAGTCGCGGGTATGGATTCGCGCCCATGAAGAGAGAAGCCCGAAAAAGAGTCATCGGACGTCAGATGACTTGAGTTTCAGCCCAGAACTGTATCTCGCGGCGCAGAACCAAGAAAACCCAAGAGACTAAACAGTAGCACATGAACAAACTCATTTATTCAAAGAATCGGCTACCGTCTTCGACCTCCCCCCGGCTTTCGGGCAAGCATCGCGGTCATGGACCTTAATTTGTTCGCGTAAGAATCCTTCTCCTGTCCGCGACGATTGTAATATTTGTATGCCGGCACTGAAGGGTTTGTCACCACCCCTGGCAGGGGCCGAGTGTTTCTAGACTTCTCGTAATCTTCTGATGTCTCTTCGTCGCTCGACATCTTCCGCTTGGGTGTCGCTACTTCCTTTTTGGGATTTTTCGTGATACCCAACATTTCGTGAAGGTCCATCGACTGCCGGCGCTTGACATGTTTCGTTTTCTTTGCCCTGGGGGGCAGCCTCTCCAGCATGCCCTTTTCGGGGTCGTCCGACGCTTCCGCACCTTGTGCCTCTAGCTGACGACTCATGCTTCTTGTGCGCCTGCGTGAAGTAATTCCATTATTCTCTTTGTCTTTCGTACCGCCGTCGGACTCATTTCCGGTGATCGTTGACAGTTTCTCCTTACGGACGTTGATGTTTGTTCGCTTCTTGAGGGTCGCAGTTTTTCCCTCTTTTTTTACATCCACCGATCTTCTCTTGTCGCTCGTTGCCTTCGTGGGGCTTGATCCAACCCGGCGCTTCTTGACTACTTTGGTTGAATCGGCAGTAGTGATGGATCTCTTCCTTGTGGCTTTTTTGTCGTCAGACACGGTCTTTATGTCATCCAACTTCGGAACTTTGATGTTATTGGTTGGCTTGGCAACAGAAGACACCGATTTAGTCCTTGTGGCTCTCTTCTCGCCAGACGTCGTCTTTGTACCGTCAGACTCCGGGAGTTCGACGCTAGCAGCTGGCTTGGTACGAGAGACGGGTTTTTTTCTCATGGCCTTCTTGTCGTCAGATACTGCTCCTTTGTTGTCCGACTTCGGAATCTTGACGCTTTTAGTTTGTTTAGTAGGAGAGACCGGTTTCTTCTTTGCGTCTTTCATCGCGTCTGGCCTCTTCTTTGTATCTGCCAGCTTCGAAATTTTGACTTCTTCAGTCGGCTTGGTAGGGGAGGCTGATTTCTTCTTTGTGTCGTCTCTCTTCTTGGACAGTGTCTTTGTGTCACCCAGCTTCGTACGCCTGGCGTCTTTGGTCAGCTCCGTAGGAGCAGCCCGCCCCTTCTTCGGGTTCGTCTCATTTTTGTTCGATGAGTTGTCGCTCATCGGAGATAGCAGTTCAGGAAACGCAAGCATGGCCATCTGCCACCCGGAGAGGTTCTTACTGGACATGATGTTTCGTTCGTAGATGTCTCTGGCCGGCTGAGGTTTGGTTGGATCTTTGTGGGATGGGACGGGGTCGTATGGCCTTTATCAAGACCCACCGGGACAATGCGGTTTGTAGCCTTTCACCAGCTCATACTGTGGCGTTGGCGACTACCGGGTTCATGGCCGAACACGGCACTGGTCATTTCTTTATTGAAAACTCACCAGGCATCAAATCAAAGTCCTAAGGCGGGGCCCCGGAGACCGCAGAGCATTGGCGGATTACGTCATTTCGTTTCCGAGACATTATGCTTTTGGACAGCCCATCCATCTCGCCGGATAGCCTAGTGCTGGGAGCCGTCACGTTTTCGCACAGCCCGGCCCTAAGGGAGCGCAGCTCGCGAGAGAGTCCGGCGGTAAGGGTTTTGATGGCTTCGATGGTCTCTTTTGAGCGGCCCACGAAGCCACGGTCGGACAATTCAGCCTGGACGGTGGGGTATCGGCAGCCATGATGTTCGTGTGGGTGCGATGGAGCTCCAGGATGCATGGCTCAGGGTGCAGAATCGATAGTGGTTGCCAGTTCTAATTGGTTGCCGCACTCCGCGCCCACCGACACGCCTGAGCACCCAGGCAGTGCCTTCAACAACGTCTTGACCTACGTGGCTGCTCTGACCTTGGCCCAAAGGATGCACTTCTGATGAATGATGCTACATGAAATGACGACGAATTATGAGTGGGCGGGACATTCCACGTTGCTCTGGGAGCAGACATGTCGGTATTCTTTTGATTGCGCCAACGGAACCAGGTTCACTCCAGGAGGCTTCAGGCAGAAGCGAGGAGCCTGAGATGGGTACAGACCACATTCTACTTGGGGTGCACCGGCCAGCTGCACGGTCCAAGTAGTTTTCGGGGTCTCAGGCAGCAGCGAAATCGGTCTGCGGCTCTGTATTTTTAGATCGAATTCTCTTCCTGTTTCGGAAACGTTTCCCGACGATCGTGGGTATGATGGCACGGCGCGTTGGGGGCTGAGCCTGAACGTCGTTCTTTTTTGTTTTTAGAATGTGGCCCGTCGCCACAGGCGATGCGGCCTCGAGAATAAAAAAACGCTGCTATCTCTAGGGGTGGAAATACCCCAAAATGAATCACTACCCTTCCAGCTTCACGTCAATATCCCGACCCGACACCACGCGTCCTTCTCGAACTGCACCAGCATCCTTCGGCATGTCGGAGACGCCGTCCACACTCTTGTTTGTGAATGCCGAGGTCGCAACGAATTCGGCCTCTAGACGCACCAAGTCCTCTACTTCTTCTCTTCTTATCTTCTTCTCTTCTTGTTGTCTCTTCTTCTGCTGTTTTCTTCTCTCCTCCTCCTTCTGCCAATCGACTCGCGGCAAGCCGTACTGCCGGCCAGAGTCTCGATATTCCCTATAAATGTCCAAAGCGATGTCCAGAAGATAGCGGACAACCGGACCCGTTTTCAGCTTCCCCCACAAGTCGCGCTTCAGCTGTTCATCCAGGTACTCCTCCGGGAAGCCCTTTTCCGCAACTTTCGAGTATCGTTGAAGCTCTTTGACCGACCCAAACACCATGACCTTCTTGCCCGGCACCTCATGGCACTTCCACTTCAGCCACCACGCCAGATCAAGCAGGTTGACGTACTTGCCCCTCATCAGCTCGCGACACGCGTCGACATCCGCCGGCAGCGCCTTCTCCGCGACGCCGACGGCCCTGCACAGCTTCCGCCAATCGGCCAGCACGCCGTCCGGATCGGTGTGGCCGAGGTTGTCGACCAGCTCGCCGACCAGCGCCTTCCCATAGAACAGGCGCGCCAGCCTCAACTTGCGCGCGCCGGGCTCCCAGCGTCTGAAGAAGTACAGCCTCTTGAACGACAGGGACGGCGGCAGGGCCCAGTCGTAAACCCAGTCCCCCGGCTTTGGCATGTCCCACAGCCTTGGCTCGACGTGTTTCTTGAAGAAGAGGTCGAGCGGCGAGGGGTCCTTGTACTCTTCGAAGTACAGCATCCGGAAGCGGTGTTTGCGGTGGATGTGGTCATTTAGCTTTTTCGTGTCCTCGGCGCTGAACAGGCGCAGGCAGTGCGGGCACGTCAGCAGTTTCGGGTTCTCGTGGACTTGCTTCACGTGCAGTGAGAGGCGGGCGGTGTTGGTGAAGGTTTGGGTGCAATGGGGGCAGGCGAGGCGGGGTGGCCGGGAGGGGGGGGAGGGGCCGGTGTTCTCCTCGTGTGCTGGATGGCTGCGGCGGGCGCTGGTGGAAAAGGCCGGGGTGCTCGTGGGGTCATGTGGACCCGGTTTCCTCTTGGTGCGGTTTGTCTCGGGGCGAAGCAGTGGGTGGCATGATGAGACGAGTGCGGTGATCTGGCGGAGAGGGCGGAGTCTGGATGTGACGAGTGCCATGGGGCCAGTTTGGTGGTTAGACCGCCCGGTTGGGCTTGGGGTTCAACGTGGTTCAACGTGGTTCATCGTGTCGGGCGGATAAAAAGTTTCCGGTGGCGGGCGGGCGGGGTCGATCCGATTGGTGGTTGCCTAGGTTTGCGCGATGGGAACCCTGGCATCGTGGTGCGCGCAGTCACGTGCTCACGCGCCGGCTTTGCAGCAGCGATGCGACCATCAAGGACGGTTTAGCGCCGCCGCATCTCCGGTCTGACGGCAGCAGCCTCGTCCTCGTTTCGTCCTCGTTTCTTCTCCATCCACTACCATCTCCAACACCCTCACACACTCAATATTCTCAACATATATCGCGGCCTTCCAAGCATGCATGAGTATCGTCAGCTACATCACCGGCGATCATTCCTCGGCGTCGCACTCGCTCGTGAGCAGGATATGGCTTTCCATCACGTGGCAATCTCGCTGACATCATTACAGTAAACAACATCTACTTCTCCCAGCCCTGTTGAACATCGCTGTAATAGGCCTGCACGTTCCACGATCTGTTGATCAGCCACTGCTCGACGCTTTTGCTCTCTGGCAGCTCGCCAATCTCAAACTCCCACATGCTCTTCTCAATCACCGGCTTCTGCTGCTCGTCGAGCACCTTCTTCCCCTTGGCGTCTTTCTTATACTTGGCCCACACCCAGCCCTTGCGCTGCTGCAGGTCCTTGCCATAGCCGTGCTCATCCATGACGCGCTCCCACCCACGCATGGCAGCCGGCTCGTACACCACCAACGACTTGTCCGTCCGCTTCAGCTCCCGGTGGTACTGCTGCCGAAAGTGCACCGTCGGATGGACGCGCTCGACCGTGTACCCCGCCTCCCTGGCGTGATACTCGCGGGGCGTCCGGTCGGCGGGCGAGCCGAAGATCTTGTACATGGTGGTGTAGCTGTCCTCGATCTTGCCCCAGACCCAGTCCTGGCTGCGCTCCCACGCCGAGACCTCGCCGCCCGCCTTCTCCGGGTGCTGGAGCGTGGCCTCGATGTCGGCCAGCTGCGCCGCCAGCGCCGCGTCGTCGACCGCCAGGTTCGGCCGGATCCGGTCCAGCATCCACGCGTACGTGATGCTGGCCAGCTGCTCGCGGTCGCCCTGCGGGTTCTCGTGCCCCGCGTTGGCCGAGTTGCCGCCCCCGACGTTGATGTGCGCGCCTGGGAACCAGCACTGCACGAGCTTGGTCGTCTTGTTGCCTTCCTTGACGCACCAGAGGCATGGGGAGAAGGGGGTGCGGCGTTCGTCGAGGGCGAGGGCCTGGTACGCGTGCTGGACGTCTGGTTGGGGGTGGTGGTGGTTAGCGGGTCGGCCGTGGCGTGGCGCGCGTGCGGGGCCCGGATGATGACGACTTACTCGCGCTGAGGTCGGTGTTGTAGAACTGGTACGCCTTGCGCCAGCCGGAGTTGTCCTTTTTGAGCCAGTGGCCGAGGTCGGGCACGCCGAGCGAACCGACCGTGTCCCACACGCCGATGATCTGGATCACGACGTCCTTGGCCGCCGTGACGACGGGCTCGGGGCTTTTGGATGTGAAGTCCTTCCAGAACTTGGTCTGCGTGAATGGCTTGGAGAAGTCTTCGGCTCGGATGTAGTTGCCGTACTGCTCCAGGAAGTAGGGCATCAGGTAACCCTGGATGATGCCGACCTCTTGGGTCAGACCAGCCGCCGCGCGGACCGTGTAGGCGCCGCGGGAAAAGCCGAAGAAGTAGAGATGGTCTCCGGCACTGTAGTTGGAGGCGATGAAGTTGTAGGCCTCCAGCACATTCTCGAGGAGGCCGAGGCCCTGGGAGCCTGCCGGGCGATTGTCAGCGCCGAGCCGAGGAATCCGGCGTGGGGGGTCGGCTTCGTACCTTGTCTGGCGGCCTCGACGGAGGTGATGTCGCCCGTGCCGACGCCCGAGTCGTAGTAGACCAGCTGCTGCCACTCGTTCTCATCGCGATCCAGACCCGCCCTTGCGAGAACTCGGCTGAGGCGGGCCACGTTGGAGGGACACCCGTTCTTGGGGTCAATCGACGTCGCCGACTGCCATGTGCCGTCGCAGCAGACGACTATCCTTTTTGGCTTGGCTGCCTGGGCGGCGTGTGAGAAGAAGTCTTTGTCGTACGTGCGAACCATTGCAGCGGGGTGGAGGAGGACGGGGGATGGACCTATTTGGAGGAGGAAGCTCCTGTATATATACGACGAGCTAGAGGCGCAAGGGCTGAGGTCGACGCGCGATATATTCAGCTGGGCAGAGTTTTCATCGTCTAGCCGCGAGCCGTCTGGGGTGCGGCGTGTCGATAGGCGCCGTGGCTGATGGGCAAAACAGTCGACGACAACGCCGAGACCGACGTAGAAGTGGGGTAGACGCGTGGAAGCAGCGGCAGCGCGGGGCTATCCGTTGCTGTGGCGTCCCGAGATGCCGGCCCGGAGATCTCCCCGGGAGAGCGTCTAGCCAGAGGCGGTTGGTTCATCTTGTAGGATCGGTCGAGACTGGCAGATCATCCAAAAGTGGCTGGCTGATTTACCCTGTCCCCGCGTCTAAAGGATAATGCTTGAGTAGTGCAGCGTGGTCAACAATAATAGAGTGATTGGTAAATGCGTGCTTATGGGCTACTCTGATTGGCTGATGAATGAATATCTTGACTGCTGTTTGACCTGACTGGTAGTAAAAGCCGGAACTTCGTCATTGTCAGTGTATGGCCAGGGAGGGACGGGCTCTTCGTTTGGACTTTTCGGCACCTTTGGCAGCTTTCAGCAAGGCAAGCTTTTAGCGTCTTTCCGGTACTTTTAGACTCTGTGTGAGTGTCGCCAAAGAAGAGCTTCGTGCCGCGATAAAGTCGGCGACTCTGGATCTAGAAGCTGATCGCCCATCTGGGCCCATTCGGTCTGCTGCCGGTGTTTGTGACTGGCTGCTGAGGAGAATTCGTTCGATCGCGTGTCCTGGATGAGGTAGTAGGCCAGCAGCTCTTTGATGAAGCGCGGCCACTGGTGCGGGCCGAACATGCCAAGGGAGGAACACCTGCCTCAATGCCTGATGCCTAATGACACGCAGCCTCTCGCTCGCATTGCTCAACGTGAATTTTGTGTTGACGTCATAATAGCAAAATGGAAGACCCTGATGACCCAACCAGCCTAGAGGTGGCTGGTTTGTTGAGATCTAAATAAGCCACGCGAGTATATAACCATCAACATTCCCACACTTTCCATCCCTCCCTATCGACTCCGTACATCTCGCCTCGGCTTCGCCCACCAATCGACATGGATTCTCAACCGGATCCCGGAATCCAGCAGATGGCTTCGACCATCTGCCTTCCGTACGACGTCATGGCCCTCGTTGTTGGAAAGCTAGACTGGGAGACGCTGAAGCAAATCCGATTCTGCTCCGACTGGCTCGCCAGGGAGGCCGCGCGATACTGCTTCTCCACGATCCATGTGTCGATGCATCTCGAAGGCCTGGAGCGCATCTCTGGCATTGCGAGGAGCAGCAGGACCGCCCATGCCGTCAAAAAACTTGTCTTGAGACGGGCTAACACACCATCCGAGACGGTCATTTCAGATACAACGGCTGAGGCTCAGAGGGAAGAGAAGCAAGACGAGACGGAGGCTTTCACGTGGCCCACACCAAACCTCTCCACATGGCTACGCGCGTCGGGCGCGGTCCAAAAGTCCCGAGTCCACAAGGCTTACATTGGCTTAGAAGAAGCCCTTGTCCGGCTCCCTAATCTACAGACGCTTGTGACAAAGTTTGACTTGTATTGGCCGGAATACAGCCCCCTACATCATGCAGACTATGGATTGGAGGAGTGGCTAACGGTTCGAGATAGAAGCGCCCATTTGGCCTTCATCCTACGAGCTCTGGGCAAGCGCAACTCGTTCAGCAACAGTCTAACCGAACTAAAGCTTCGCTCACCTGGGTATACGTGGTGGGGACTCGGGGATCTTGACCGGGCTTTGGAACCAACGGACGATACGGCTTCACACGAGAACCGGAGGCTGATGGAAAATGCCTTCAGCAGTCCAAAGCATCTCCGCATTTCGATAGGAGGGAGGCAATCCGAGATGGCCACATGCATCGAGGCCGTAGCAAGGTTTCTTGGAAAATGCAGCAACCTCACTCGTCTTAAGTTCAAGATCCTCTTCTCGCATGGGCTGGCATACAGAGCGCCGGACATGCTTACCGGAATCAATGCTTGCGTGTCGTGGCCAGCGCTCAGTCACCTGAGTCTGGAACGGGTTCGGTTTCGAAAAGAGTCGATTCTCCGCACTCTTTCCCTCGTTTCACCGACGTTGAAGTCCCTTGTCCTGGATCTATGTTTTCTGATGGATGAGGAATGCTCGTGGTCCGACGTTCATCGGGAAATGAGGCTGATAGATTTTCATCCTCTACTACATCTTGATCTTCGGGTTTGTTATCAAGAGATGGGCGTACCTCCCGGAGCCCTCCATGTGTCACCGCAAGACCTCTCGGTCACATACATCCCTGCCGGCCCGAGAGCTTCCTATGGAGCGAATGGTTACGATCTGCTGGGCTACCCGTCGAATGTATGCGACTACATATTGAAAAGAACGGATTCCATGCCTCCCCTTCTGGGATATCGGAGAGGTTAGAATGGTTCTAGTAAGCCTAGTGACTGGCCAGAGCTGTATGACATGGTTATCCTGTGCGGCTGGGCGAAGAGCGGAAGGAGAGGTAGGGGTGCATGGGATTGCGGGTAACGAGACTACTCAGTATTTGCACGGCTTTCAATGCCCACTGGCACACATCCGACTCTGGGATGGTTCAGTCAACACGAATTATGAGAATGCCGTATGTAACCTCTGAATCAGATCTCCTTGGGCGCCGAAATGAGCTTGAGGCTTGTAGTGAGTTGTGGATTGGATATATAACGGCCCGTGAGCGGAATACTTGGAAGTAGATTTTCTGACCCGCGCAACAACCCTACCTGCCTTACCTACCTGTCAGCACCCGCTCTGCACGACCAACTCTCCGTCACCCGTAACAATGCGTCTGCGTTGACCTGATTGGCCGACAGCCGAGCCCGCGCGCCCGTCACCCCCACAAGCCACACCCCACAAAACACCCACACGACGTCACCTCCACAACAACGCGTCCAACCCGCGTCCGTCTCACCCGCGACACGCCCAACCACCATCAATTCCCCCCTCACCACCCGCCTCCCATGGCGAAACTCGCCCCATCGCGCGGCGACACCACCGCTGCGCCCTCCTCCATCGCCAGCCGCGTGGCGAAGCGCACACGCAGCGCGTCCGCCCCCACCGACCGCCCCTCCCGCGCCGCCCGCCCCGAAAGCGCGCCGTCGACCGCGCCACCCAAGGCCGCGAAAACCAAGGTCACGAAGAGGGCGAAAGCGAAGGGCAAGAAGAATGAATTGGCCGCCGCCGCCGCCGCGAAGTCCGGGCTCTTCACCGCGCGCGCCATCGTCGACGAGGACGCGATGCGCGGATACTTGATCGACTGGGAGGGCATTGATCCGGCGACGGGCAAGGCGTACGCGCCGACGTGGGAGCCGAGGAGCTATGCGAATGCGGCGCTGAAGCGGGAGTGGCTGGAGAAGAGGAAGGCGCGGGAGGAGGGTGGCGAGGACGGGGCTGGGGGAGTTGAGGGCGTGCGGGGCGGGAAGGGACGGCGTCGAGAGGGGGAGGAGGGCGGACGGGCTGGCCGAGAGAAGACTGTGGCTGACGGCTCCAGAAAGGAAGGCGCTCCGAAACGAACTGCGTCCGGCAACTTGCTGTCCATGCGTGAGCGCAAGTCTGGCACCAGAGATGCGGCGCAGAACATCGGAGCAAAGGACGGTGGCAAGCCTGACAAGTCTACGGCTCCTGACCGCAAAATCGAACTCGACGCTGCCGACGAGTCTCAACACGACGAATCACACGAACCGTTGAGCCTGAGCACGAGCCCGAGCACGAGCCCGAGCCCGAGCCCGGACCGCAAGCGCAAGCGCGAAGATGACCCCGTTGATGTCCAAAGCGGATCTGAAACAAGAGCCGCAGGCCCTCGGCCTCACAAAAAGAAGCAGCGGAGCCAGGCGGCGAACCACGAGCCAGCGAAGCTAGAACCAGAGCCTCAGGACGAAGGAATCTTCCCCGCAAGGGCCATTACTGGCGAGAAACCGCGATACTACCGCGTCGCATGGGAGAAGGATCCAAAGACCGGAAAGGAGTTTGAAGACACCTGGGAGCCCAAAAGCTACGTGTCACGGGATTTGGTGGCTGAATGGAAACAGCAGAAGGCAGGACAACCACAGAAGGCGCCGAAAAAGCAGCAGAGACGGCCGGCGAAGAAAGCCCATGAGGACAAGCAGGCAGAGAAGGAGCAGGAAGATGATGTGTACTCCGCAAAGGCCATCGTCGGCGAGCGACACCGCCACTTCCTTGTCTCGTGGGAGAAAGATGCGAAGACTGGAGAGGACTTTGAAGACACGTGGGAGCCGAAGAGCAACGTCTCGGAGGATCTCGTGGCTGAGTGGCGGCAAAGTAAGGAAATCGCGCCGAGCGAGAAGCCCGTAGCAGAGGAGCAGGAACAGCCGCTAGCAAAGCCGCGTGAGGAGCCAGAGTCTGTGGATGCGTCGGAGCAGATAGAGCCGCAGGCCGAGCAGGGAGAGCAGCAGGAAAGGTCGAGCTCCATGTATGCGACCTCCCTCCATCCGTCTCCCGCTATAAAAGATCAAGAACTGACATGCGTCCCCCCTCCCGTAGGCCCCTCCCAGCCGAGCCTGTAACTCCGCGTCGAGACGAGGACGAGGAGGAGGAAGAGGACGACGAGGCATCATACCCACCGTCGTCCACCATGAAAACCAACACCGTGCCGCCCGTCGCCGCCGCCGATACCCCCACCACGGACATGCTCGGGAGTGAGGAAGAGGGCGTCGCAAGCACCACCAAGTCATAAGACAACACGGCGATGACGCACAGGAAATAAACTGAAAAGGCCCCCGCCGTCGGAAGCGAGTCGCCATTCTGGGAAGTGAAGCACAAACGCCACGAGAGGATCGTGATGTACGGATCGCAAGGTAAAGGGATGCTTACCGATCTGGAAGGATTAGTCGAGTCTCGAGACGAGACGGCGGTGGAGGGAAGGGCAGGGTGTAGCTTGGCTTTGCCTTTCGATATTGGGTATGTGGGAATGGCGGGAGACGCACGGCACCGGGCCGGTAGGGCGTTGATTCGAGATCTGATGCTCGGTGTGATAACACCGTCACTAAGGGAATCTTCTTTTTCTTCTTCTCTGATTCCCCCATCTTCCCCTGGGAATTGGAATAGCTGGTCGTACAGAGTTTGCCGTTGGCTATGGACCTAAAGGGAATGGTTCGGAGTGCTGAGCGTTAGCGGGGAAATGATATTGTGAATACAATGGTGCCGTCGGAAACTCTGATGGCTTATATAGCGAGTACAGCACTGCTAAAAACTATCTCGAAATACTTGAGTAATCGAATTTCACTGCTATGGAATCCATTACTTGGGCAGCAGTGTAAATGGTGTGCTGGCCATTGTGATATAAGTCTATATATAACTCAATGCGCTTTTGGGTCATTCTGCGCCATCTACTTGATGTTTGTCGCCAAAGTTGTATTCACTGCGGCTACGTTCGCTCGTATTTCTGGTATCGAGCAGGGCTGGAGGTACGCTGGCGCACAAAAGTTTGATTGGAATGACTGAGGCAAAAGAGAGGCAGTGTTGGAGACAAGTCCAACCCAATCCAAGGCCTCAGGCACCCATGAGCGAGCCAAAAAAGATAAAAAAGATGGCATTGGCCTGGAATCGAACCAGGGTCTGATGGTCCAACCTGCGGAAGGCATGGCACAGCCGGGGCGCCTCCGACTGCACCATGCCCCCGTGACAACTACGGAGGGACCACCTATGCTATCACTACACCACCAATGCTTGAAGGAAAAACCACCTTGGCTACCTATATAGTAACAGCGTCTATTTCTCACACGGGCTATTCTACACCCAGGGATATTCGGCGCGCTCGGCCCGGCATTGTCTGTCAAATAGCCGCCGACGCGCAGCCTGGCATCATCCCGGCCTTTGCAGAAAGGTATCATGGTGTCCACTGAGACAGAACCACTTCAACTGACCTCACCGCGACCATCCACTCCACACACGCCGGTTGGCCCAGCTTCACTGCTGTCGACGACTGGCAGACCCCTCCTCTCCCTGCTCATGTCATTCGCATACCAGAGCCCGTTGGCTTCTCGCTGCGTGTTTCACACTCAGCCCACGCATACGCTCACGCCCGAATTATGGGCGGCATGAAGCACAGCACGATCCGCCACGCCAGGTCAAACACTTCTCGAGTGTGGCTGTCACGAGGCACGAGTCCCATGCACATAATTACAGGTTTGGCTCACTCTCACAGATACAGACACAACCACTTCCCGAGCCTTTCAAAGCCATGTTCAAGCTATATATAACGAAGTTTCGCCCACGACATACAAATCGACATGTCTCCAGATGTCCCTCCTGCCAATCCAACAGCCTCACCCCTCCTACCCGACGCAGATAGCGGTTAGCCACTCCTACGCCCGCCCACCGCAGAATCACATGTCAAGCGCCGGACTCACAGCTGAGAGTTTTCCCGTCCTTCTCTCGTCGGTTCAGCGAGCGATGCGCAATTTCTTGGCCCTTCGCAGACCTATGGCATTGGTGACAAGGAGGTAGGACTTCTCGCGGCGTCTGCCGTTCCTCTCCGCTTTCCGCGACCAGAAATGCTCACTTGGTCCGCGTGCAAGAACCTCTGGTATCCATCCTTTCCTTCTATTCGGTAGACGAGTTCGGTAGGAAGAAGGCGATGCTGCGCTGGACTCGTGTGGTAGAGCTTTTTGGTGAGGTAGTGTCGCTCGTGCGGGTATGAGTATGAGGCCGAGATGGTGATCGGCGATGAGATGTTTGTGGTTGTACAAGCGTGGAAGAGAGCTAGGGAAAGTGGGTGGTGACGGAGGCGGACGGTCAAGCGTTGCAGATTTGGGGGACGAGAGGCGCGGCGGGCGCGGAGGATAATCAGGAAGGCCAGAGAGAGTGGAACTCGCGGTGGGATGAGGATATGAGATACGATGTTGCTTGAGGAAGGGGACTACGGAGTCAGACATGAGTATTGGTTTGGACATTAGGCGGGAGCTGAGCGGTAGCCTCGGATCTGATAGCCGGCGGTATTCTTGTTAGGCAGCAAGCCAGCGGTTTTGGTGCGACCGAGTGTTTTTGCGTCCACCGCTGTTCGCCTTTTGGCTTCGTCCTCGCACCTTTCTCGCTTCTTCCCTCGCTCCCATTTCACTTCCATCCAGTCACGCTCGCCGCCAGAGAACACGCCAGCACCGATTACACTACGCGATCGTTGCCCCATGGCAAGCCTTATACAGACGAAGTTATCTCTATCCCGGACCCCAGCTTCACCGCCGGCTCACATTTACTCCATGCTTTCGGCGCACACGCACACACGCACACACACATACACTCGGGCCAATTGGACGTGTGGCTTGCGGCTTCGTAACCAGATGGCTTGATAACAGTGAGTCGGAATTTCCGCTCCTTGTGCACGACGCCGCGAAGACTGGCCCGGGTTGAATTGAAAACTTGCGCTTCTTCAATTTGGTCGCGGTGCGTGCCAAATGGCGCTGGGTGTTGCAACATCAGACTCGACCTTTGACGTTGAGGATCAGATGGCTGCTTTCGGTCGATCAAAGGGCACGTGTTACGGTTGCAGAGCAGGCAGCGAGGAGGTCAAGCACAAAGGACGCGAAGCATTCATTGTTGGTTTCTTTGACACCCTCACTGGTCCCACATTACAAGAATACCTTCTCTCACCAAAACCCGCCTAGCCCCATTGAAACCCGCACTCTGTAGGGTTCCTACGGTCACCCCAATCTTCGAATATGGTCGCCAACCCCAAAAGACGCACCGCCATCGAGGGCTACACCATGGAAGTACCCAACCCATCCAAGCGCGCCCGTTCCACCCGCCTCCCACCCGATCCCCAAGCCCAACTCGCCGACGCACCCATCGACCAAGTCTCCGACCCCGACTTCACACCCGCCACCGCCGCCGAAAACGACGACGCAACCTCCATCACCACCACCACCACCTCCTCCACCTCCACACCCCCCACAACCCCCCGCGCCCGCGCCCCCATCTCCCCCACCACAACCCCCACCGCCACGACCTCCTTCCTCCTCTCCCCCTCGACCTCCCTCCCCCTCCCCACGCTAACCTGCTGCACCACCCCCCTCCACCACACGCGCCTCAGCCTCCTCACCACCGAGCGCGCCCTCGCGACTTTCTCCGCACAGCTGTCGTCGCTGCTCCTCGCCGCCGCCGACGACATCGCCACCGCCCTCTTCCAGCAGCACACCCTCGCCGCGCTGCCCGCCGAGGCCTTCAGCCCCGCGCGCGGAGGCGAGGCCGCGGCTTGGTTGAGGGATGTGATGCGTGGGTTGGGGGTGGGGGTGGGGGAGAGGATGGCGCAGACGAGGTGGGAGGTGCAGAGGGCGTGTTTGGAGGCGCATGTGAAGGGGGTGGAGGAGGGGTTGGTGGGGGTGCTGGGGAGGGTGGAGGTGGCGGTGGGGGAGTGTGAGGGCGTTGTTGGGGGGGTGGGGTGGGTGGAGCGGGAGCGGGAGCGGGGGAGGGGGAGTGGTGGTGGTGGGTGGTGGGAGGTCCGTGATGATGTCGACATCGAGGACGAGGATGACGATGTAGAGGCGGATGTCGACGCACATCAATGCACTCCTTGGTGGCGACGCTGGCTCCCTGGCGCTCCTGCTGCTCCACCACCTTCCCCACCGCTCACGCCTCCTGCATCACCTGCACAGCTGCGTCTTCGGCGTCGCCGCCGTCGCCGCGCCCGTCTAGCCCAGGCCGATACTCTTGCAGGCCAATCGCCGCTGACACACACATGCGCGCACCTCGCCGCCATCCGTACTGGGCTGCGTCGATTGAAGCAGCGCATGGAGTTGCTACGAGAGGAGCGGCAGCTGCGGGCGGACGACGACGAGGTGGAGGGACGGTACGGCAGGCGGGGGTCGGAGGGGGTTGGAGGGGTGGAGAGAGTGTTTGGGCGGAATGCTGAGCAGTTGGATAGACTGAGGGGGGCGTGGGTGGGGTTTGCGAGGGGGTGTTGTCGCGGTGTGGTGGGGTGAGGAGGGGGAGGAGTGGTTTTGTCGGAGTGTGGCACATGTCCGTTGTGGCTCGATATAGCCATTTATCCTTGAGATGGTATTTGCGCTATGTTTTTGCGAAGAGAGGTACAGAACTGATTTAACCTCGCGGTCTTTTTCGTTGGACAGTTCTGCAAGCTCCAGCACGGGCTGGGTACATGCTTTGACGCAAGTGTAGCAGCTAGTCCTGTTTCTGTAAGGAGACAGGGTGACAGTCATTAAACCTAAGGGAAACCCTGAAGCCGGGCAAATGGTTTACAATCAACCGACAATCAACTCTAGCTTGACGCCCGTCGCATCTTTCAGAACGCTGAAGCCGGCGTAGTGCTTGTAGCGATAGTCGTACTGTCCTGTGTAAATAGAGATGCTCAATGTAAAACAAATTCAAGAGGCGCTCGGTAAGACGGGAAAGTTGCATGGGGATGGTATATGTGCTATACGCCATTCACAAGATCGGAGGGCGGAAACAGGTCGCCGGAGGTCGTCAGGCGTTCCACCGGCGACCCTCATGCGGCCCAGGCGCACAGAGGCTAAAACTATGCATACCATGGGTGGTCGAAGCCTTCCGCTTCATAGGGTCGTTTCTCGTTCTGTATGAGAAATCACTCTTTTTCGGTTCGGTTCCCCATCTACCACCATGTCTCACGACATGCTACATTCACTGTCAGAAAATTGAAACCATCGCGGATCCTGATGCATAGCAGATGTTTCACTTTCCAACCTTGATGGTTAAGGTTTTCCTCGCTTAAACACGACTCATTCTCATTATCGTCCTCGCTCTCACTTAAGGCCTCATAGACACTTATATGCCAGAATCCGTCGGTGCCGTTTCACGTGATAGGGAAATACTTGCAACTTCTTCTCAAAGCTCTCTCGATGCGGGCGTGTATTACAACGAGGTAAAGGGTGTTGTAACATTCCTTGGTGAAAGACACCATGTCTTTGACCGGCAATGTAGAATGGAAGTTTAACTCGTAAACCTGGCTCGCCTCCCGGATGCCAAAGATGTAATGCCGATGGTGACTACAAAGGCAGCAGAGAGGTTGGAGTGGGGATCCGTCGGGCCGGTCATCTTACTGGTCAGTTTGGCAGCAGTGTGGAAAATCACTGACGGGCCACCATCTTATTGGTCAGTTCCGCCGTCGCTGCTGTCAAACTGACGAATCCACCATCAAAATCACCATTGTGAGCGTGGTTGTTCCGCAGTCCAGAATGTCCAAGCCCGTCGAGTTCCAAGTGTTATTGGCCAATTTGGAGCCAAGTAGGAGCCATCCAGCCGCGTATAAATCCGGCATAACGTCCAACACTTACTCTCTCTCCTCCCTCCAGACCAAAGTCCAATCTCACATCTCCGAAACGCACCCCAAATCTCCCAGCAACATCTCACCCGCCTTCCAAAACACAACCCTCCAGTTCGTTACCCCCAAACTCCACCACCATCCACCCACTCACCCACCCACTAACCCACCTGCAGACTACCCAACACCATCAACCAACCAACTCAACAGACGAAAAACCCCGCCACCACCAACGCCACCATGTCCTCCACCACCACCTCCAACATCCCCCTCCCCCCGACCCTCCGCTTCCGCCCCCTCCCCGCCCCACTCCCCGCCAACCTCTCCACCACCACCGCCGCCTCCAACAACAACAACCTCCCCATCATCCGCCAAACCCCCACCACCCCCGTCCCCTGCCGCCGCTGCCTCCGCGACATCCAACCCGGCACGCCCGCCCTCCTCCTCTCCTACGACCCCTTCCCCATCGCCACGCAGACGCCATACCGCGGCGCGACCGCCATCTACCTGCACGCCGAGGACGGCACCGCAGCGGAAGAAGGCGGCAAAGACGACGACGGCAGATGCCGGCTCGCGGACGTGGCGCGGGATTTCGGAGGCATGGTGCCGCAGCAGCAGGCGGGGCGGAGGGTGGAAGCGAGGGCGTATGATGGGGAGGGGATGATGGTGGGGTGGGAGGGGGGCGTGGGGGGGAGGGATGTGGTGGGGGTTTGTGAGGGGTTGTTGTTGGGTGGGAGGGCCGAGTATGTGCATTTGTATTATGCGGGGCCGGGGTGTTTTGCTGTGAGGGTGGAGAGGGGTGGGAGGGAGGGGGACGGAGTTTAGCGGTGGGTGGGTGGGTGGATTGATGGGGCATGCGTGGGTTTTTGTGGTGCGATGATTTCTGTGGGAATGCTTTCGACTTGTTAAGCTTTGGCTCCATACAAGGCACCGCTCGTTATTAAAATGGAATTGCAGGTGTATCGGGTTCCTGTGTGATATTCCGCAAAGCGTCAGAGTCCTCTCTGGCACAAACAAGGTAGTGGACCATTACTCGCCAGTTGGAATAACAATATAGAAACTCACTTCGCGGTTTGCGTGAGTCATGGCACAGCTTCAAGCCGGTGGTGATGTATGCAAGGCAGTGCCCAACCGTCGATCGAAAAGTGCAGCAGAATGTTTCCACAAGGTTGGACATGAAGTGGATCTAGTCAGCACGGACTCCAATATACACTCTGGAAACGTCTGCTGAGAAAGCGGCCCAGTGTCTGCCGCCACAGCCCTCGACAAGAGGAGAACGGCACGGGAAGACTGTGTTCAATCGCCACCCTGGCGAGGCCTTCGTACGGGAAGTCGGCCCTGCTCCCACGGCTGCCGCCTTTTTTCCTTCCCACCCGTGTCTGGTGTGACAAGGAGAGGGTGGCTTGATGAGGGGCCACTTGTAGCGAAAGTAAGAGGGCCATCTGAGTCGGATCGATTGACCCCGCTGCTCTCCTGCTTGTGCACCCGCTTTGCAGTCTCCATCGTGTAGATCGCTTTTCCGTCGGGATCCGAGCCACGGCAAGTGCCCGTCAGGGCCCCTATTGAAGTTGCAATAAGCTGTAGCGTTTGCACGGTTGAATGCTTAGCGGCGAGGTCACAAGGTTGGTCGGGAGCCGGAGATAGAAGGTGGTTCGAGCCGTGCCGGGCGCCTTGATGGCTGATGGGCGCCGGAAGAATTAATTCATTTCGGCTCTATTCAGCGGGCGGAATCATGGACGCTGCGCTCCGCCCCGCCCGCAGAATCTCCGCTCGCCTGCTGCACCAAAGCCACCAATCTCGTATTCGCCTCCGAACGTTGTTTCACGCCGTCCCTCCAACTCCCTTTGCGGCACCTGCTCCGTCCCCTCCGGCCCCCTCGTTTCCCAACCGCTGTCTGCGAGCTCCAGTGTTTCCTTGATGCGATCGTCTTTCCCCATACGCCAAGCTGGACCGGCAGGCCAAGCTTCGCAGATGAAGCTTGACGATGTTGGCTGCCTGCAACGACCCTCTGACGGCGCAGACGAGTTGCAACGCCCCGCGCAACCCAGGTGGTGCCATTTCGGTGCCGCGAACGCCCTGAACGCCTCAGACGTTGCTGAGTCGCAAACGGCGGGTGCTCTCGGCCGGTGATCTAGAGCAGGGCGCACACCTCGTTTAGACCTGGCGATGGCGCGCTCCACCCTGATTCCAAACGCCTAGCCGCAACCCTTGCGCGCATCATGTCTTAGCAATCTTAGCTCTCACACTACTCACCACTGCCGCCCGCGTCGTCGATATATAAGGCTCGCTCCAAGACGCCCAGAGGTCTTGTTTCTCCCAGCATCGCACTCATTCCTTCGCTTCTTCTTCCCTCGCAACCACCAGCAATCCAGCATTCGCTGCTTACATTCTTTCGCCGTCTTCACCATGGTCAAAGTTTCCACCCTCCTTGCCGGCGCCGGCGTCGGCGTTGCCTGCGTCGCCGCGGCCCCCACTGAGCTCGCCGAGCGCGCCAGCTGCACCTTCACCGACGCCGCCTCTGCCATCAAGGGCAAGGCTTCCTGCTCCACCATCACCCTCAACAACGTCGCCGTCCCCGCCGGCACCACGCTGGATCTCACAGGCCTAAAGTCCGGCACTTCGGTCGTCTTCCAGGGCACCACCTCCTTCGGCTACAAGGAATGGGAAGGCCCTCTAATCAGCGTGTCCGGCACCAACATCCAGGTCTCAGGCGCGTCCGGCCACGTCATCGACGGCAACGGCGCCAAGTGGTGGGACGGCAAGGGCAGCAACGGCGGCAAGACGAAGCCCAAGTTCTTCTACGCCCACAGCCTCAAGGGGACCTCGTCCATCAAGGGCCTGAACGTCAAGAACACGCCGGTGCAAGCCTTCAGCATCAACTCCAGCTCCGGCCTGACGCTCGACTCCATCACCATCAACAACAGCGCGGGCGACAGCGCGGGCGGCCACAACACCGACGCCTTCGACGTCGGCTCCAGCGACTCCATCACCATCTCCAACTCCAACATCCAGAACCAAGACGACTGCCTCGCCATCAACTCGGGCACCAACATCAAGTTCACCGGCAACACCTGCTCCGGCGGCCACGGCATCAGCATCGGCTCCGTCGGCGGCCGCTCCGACAACGTCGTCAAGGGCGTCACGGTCGAGAACTGCACGGTCAAGAACTCGGACAACGGCGTGCGCATCAAGACCGTCTCGGGCGCCACCGGCTCCGTCTCGGGCGTCACCTACTCGGGCATCACCCTCAGCAACATCGCAAAGTACGGCATCGTCATCGAGCAGGACTACGAGAACGGCAGCCCCACCGGCACCCCCACCAGCGGCGTGCCCATCACCGGCCTCACCCTCAAGAACATCAAGGGCTCCGTCGCCTCGTCCGGCACCGACGTCTACATCCTGTGCGCCAAGGGCGCTTGCTCCGGCTGGTCCGGCTCCGGCATCAGCGTCACCGGCGGCAAGTCCAGCACAAAGTGCTCCAACATCCCCAGCGGTGCCGGCATTTCTTGCTGAGCGGCGAGCCTGCTTGATGGCGGTCATGGGAGAGCGACGGTGGCTGTGGCGGCTTTTTGTTTTTCGATTCGTGAGGGCTGGTCGGTTGCTTCACTCAACCGGGACGCAGGATTTGCGCCTTTTTGCCTGTCGGCTGTCTGTCTGACCTCGTCTCTTATTTTGATAATATATCTTCTTGCTGTGCATGTTTTGCTACCTTTTGCAATCTTCTGTGCCACTGAATGCTGTGATCGTGAGGCGAGAAGACGCGTGAGCTGTAGCAGCCATGGCGATGCTCTTGTCAAATCCGGAGAGCTCTGGCAAAGAGTTGTCATCACCGGTACAAGCACCACGGTTGTGAATCTTCACGCAGACAGCCAAGTCTATGAGATGAAACTATGGTCAGGAGCTCGCTATGTATTACCTGCTTTTTATGAACTTGCGCAGTCGATGCTGGAAGACCACTGAAGAAAGAAAGCAATTTTCAAGAGTGGAAGAATGATCAAAGGGCTGATTAGTGAGGCTCATCATCTGAACTTGATGATGATGAACCAAAAAGAGAAGTGACTTTTGGAGAGGCGGCCGAACTCGGGGCCATGACTTGAGTGAAAGAAAACCGGGCACTTTTGATGCAAGAGGGCTGTTGGAGGTGAGAGGGCTGTTTGAGGCAGGAGGGTTGCTACCTGACCATTTCTCGATTGACGACTTGCTTCGCTAGCCACGCTGGGCATATTCCGCGCAGGTGTTCAGATGGCGAGCGACGTCATCGCTCAGGACCGTCCGCCAATCAGCAACTTTGTAACGAAGCACTTCCCTGAGCGCCTTTACCTCTGGAGTGTCGTCTTCATCCGTCTTGAAGCTACGCATGAAAGTTCGACTGAATCTGGCGAAGATCTCCATAACCTCCTGGGTGAGTTTCTTGGTGTGTTGCTGGATGATCTTCTCGCAATCGCTCTTGGCCATTTTGAAGAGCTCTAGAAAAGGCCCGCGCACTTTTTCGGCGAGCTTGTTCTTCATGAGGTTGGCACGGTTCTCACGTGCAGACTTCCCTGTCATGCGTGTCAGTGTGAGCTGTCGTCATCTTTTTGTTCGAATGGGAGGTGCTTACCGATGATGGAGCCGCATTCGATGTAGGTAGAGTCCATGATCTTTACAAAGTAACACTCGGTCGTGTCATCTGTGTCGGTGATTCTCTCTTTGATGATGCCGAGATCTTTCTCGACCTTCTCCGCTCTCTCCTGGCACAGGAGGTCAAGTTCTCTGTTCTGTATGCGGAGCTCATCGAAGTATAGCTTCATTGCATTCTTGGAGGATCCAGCGGCCACTAGTCACGATCAGTCAAATCGAAGGACATTGGTCTGGAACGTAGCTTACCTTCCAGACGTGAGATCAGTTCATTAACAATGGCGCAAAGCCTTTCAGATAGGCTGGAAGCTAGAGAAGAACTTGCGTCGTCCCATGCACGCATATCTTTCTCGACGGCCTTTATCAGCGGCTCCAGCATTTCCCGGTTCCAATCTTGTTTCCCGACTTTTTTCGTGCGCCAATTGCCTTTGTGAAGGCAGAAGGCCTTGTGCGTCGAATTGGCCCAATTCTTCCAGTTGGAAAGCTGAGCTATCGCATGCTCGGCATATGCGATCTTGTTCGTCTTGATGGCTGTGATTCCGGGGATGATTGCGGTTTCGAGTAAAACTTTGAAGACGTTCTCAATTTCATCCGCCACGGGCTCTGGGGCCCCCGACAGGATCTTCTGCAGCTCGTCGCGCCTCATGAGCTTGGTCTGTGAGCAAGTCATCTCGAGGTTGTTCAGGAGCGACGGGAGGACCACTTTGCGGTGATGCTCAAACGCGCGGAGCTTTCGTAATGCCGGCAGAGCGTACAGGTAGGCTCGCAAGTCTGGTATGCCGGTCACACTGACAGACATCTTTGGAGGATATTTCTTGTCGTAACCCAGAGCGTGAGTGGCGTACTCGGAATTGCTTACGCAGAACATCGGGAGTGATACGGGGTCCTTGGTTAGCTCCAAGTATTTCTCTCGGACCTTGCGCGTAACCTTGAGGTTACGCATCTTGATGCAGTACTCGGAAATACTTGCTTCGAGTGACGCCTTCTGGAGCCTTCATGGCGAGACAGACAAGGTCAGTATGAACGCGCGGTGTATGAAGGGTTTCGGGGCTGGAGCTTACTCGAAGATGCCCTTCCGCTCCGACAAATCCTCAACGGCATCTCTGTCCCTTCGACTCCGGGCTGCGTTCATCTCCTTGGTGATGTTTTTCAACTCAAGGTCTGACATGTCGAATTGCTCTTTGAGTGTTGTCAAGTTAGCTGCGTCGACAGCGTTTGCCGCACTAATGCGCTTCATGAGTTGGGTGGGCCGGATATTGACCGACTACACAAAGTAAGCGGACGTAATGAAACAGACGGCTGATTCCAACATACGTCTGAGCCAGTAGCAACCATCAAGACACTCGCTCCTCGTTTGCGCCGAAACGCATCGATGAGGTACCTGTGCGTGTCGGCGTCGGTTTCCACTCGATCTACCTTTGCAACGACACCAATGAACTGGACGTCCTGGAGGTACTGTAGCGAGGCGCGCACACGGGTTTGGTTCGTGTCGGACGTTCCTGGAAGGTCTACCAAAACAATGTCTTGGGAGAGGATTGGGGAATCGAAGTACGTTCTTCAAATCGCGCGTGAGTGTTGTTCATTAGCGGAAGAATAGAAGACGAAATCAAGCAGAGGAGCGCTTGGGAGGGAACATACTTCACAAGCTTGACAAAAGGCCAAGGCGAGGGTACGCAGCAGCCGCTGTCGTGGTCAGATACCTCATGTTGGAGGTACGGAGCAATCTTATGCTGCATCATTTCTGGAGAAGTGTCGCTGATGACGACCTTGCCAGGGGAAGCTTGCAAGTTTTGTAGCAACTCCTCGGTCCATCCCTTCAATTTTGAGATGATTCCAGCATCGTCCTGGCTCTTTGCAGTGGCGACGAAGTTCCGAACGGCGTCTTGAGATGAGCATTCGTCATGGTTGCAGAAAAGCGAAAACAAGCCCTCGACAGCGGTCGAAGCTGCCTGTTCCACCCCTTCAAATGCATCATCCCCGGGCTCTGCGTCTGAATGCTCAAAATTGTAGACATCTTTCAGCCATTGCTGAAGAATTGTCAGACGGACAGCGGGTGTCAGAAAGAAGATCTCGGCCTCACAAGCGTTCAGCTGATTGGGACGGGGTTTGTGGAATTCTTGCACCACAGAGGTACAGGCTCCACCATCGTCACTCTGTGGGGCAATGTTGGGCATGCCAAGAAGCGAGTTGATGAGACTCGACTTTCCTGGTGGACAGTCAGTAACGTAGAGCTGCAAGGGAAACATGTAGAGCTGACCAGTTCCAGAGTCGCCTCTGAGTCCGACCTTCACACCCTCGGGGTAGTTGGGTGATATGGCCTTTTTTGCTAGGTCCTTGATGTAGGTGATGTCTTCGTTGGTCCGATGTTGCTCGTCGATGATGGCGAGAATCTCTGCAGGTATGCCGTTCGCAGCCTCTTCCGCTTCCGCAAATGCCCTGTGGTTCACCTCCTTCTTTGGGAGCGCCTCTTTCGCAGGATCGTATGGTCTCTCCGACTCGTCCTCGTCGTGGTCAATCAGAAAAAAGCCTGGGTTGAATGTTAATGGAAGATCTGGTTGAAGGGCTTGGTTCTCGGAGCGTCACTCACTTCGTTTGCGCTGAGATGACTCACTTCCCAACACTGGAGCTGGTGAGCTTGAAAGGGTGATGGGCGCATCATGCCGGTGACGCCATTCAGTTTCTTCGCATTCCATTTTGATATGGGGGGAAGCGAAGCCGGTAGGCTCCACCTTGTGAGGCTCTGTAGGTGAGACAGACGGCCCTTGGGCTGAAAGCTCACTTCGGGTGTTCACTTCTTCAGCCATAGTACACTAGAAGTGAGGCATGAAGTGAAGAAGGCTTCAGCAGAGATGACCGACCTCCACAAAAGACTCGGGCAGAGGCTCAGGTTGGCGACGGTGAAGTAGAGGAACTGAAGGCTGGAATGTGGGTGGAGGATCAGTTTGGCGATGTTGAAGTAGAAGAAGTGGAGGCTGGACGGTGGGTGGAGGACTTTATGTAACTTTCCTCAAGGTATTCGGCGCTAAGCCCGAAGAGGACAAACGGCACAAACGAGGAAGGAACGAGTTTCTCAGAGGAAGCAGCAGAGCCCGCCATCACCACACTCGCCGATTGAGCCAAGTGATGACAACTGAAGTTTCTTACGTCATGTGATTCCTCGGGCTTCCATCAGCACGGTGATGAAGCCTTTCCAAGCTGTTATTCCAACCCAGATCCAAAAATACGAGCAAAATGCGTGACCTTAAGCTCGGTGAGACGTGTTTAATCCATGCATGCCATGTGATTACACCTGCATGTTTAGCTATCTAATCCCGTCCCGCACCTCATAAGATTCTCCTCTCGTACCGTGATCGGCCAACACCACAGCTACTTAATCGACGATTATATAGAAGGCCATATCTTCTGGTTTCTTTTGTCAAATATGACAAGACCTTCCGCGGAGTTCAGAACGAGATCCCCCGCTGTCTCAGCGACGAAGAGAAGCAGAACGTGGTAGAAGGAATTCCAGGATGGTCCCATCGAAAGGAACATCAAGTTCGGTGAGATGTAAAGAAAAAAACCAATTATCGACAGTTTTTACAGCTCTTCCGTGGTTTGGTTTCAGCAAATTGCACGCCGGACAGATCCATCACCATCAGTGATGCTACACAAAGTGAGTGAACACAGTAGGAGTGTGCGTGTGACTGGCTGTAAGAAGTTCAACGCCATCTCAGGTTATGGCGGCAAGAGTGCCTTTGAGACCGCAGCCACTCTTACAAGATCCATATTATGCTCAGAACTCTACCAGACCAAAAATAGCCCTCGGACCAGAGCATCGCTGCCATATTCCGAGAATACAGGGCCACCGGCGGGACCGCGTAGCACAGATAGTGGACGCCGGCCACAAAGAACAGAGCTTAATGGCGTTCGAGGCGCTTCTCCCCGAGTTTATTGCCATCCGTATGATTCCACTGGCAGGCATGGAAGGAACCTTTGAGCATTTCGCCAACGTCACACTCACCGCCAAGCGGCTAACCATGGTTCCCATGTAAAAGCGGCCTCACTTCGCGCCATACGCCTCTCGGAATCACTCGGTGGCGGCGGCACACCCAAGGCCGTCATCGCCACCATCTTCGCTGCCCTCTTCATCCTCGCCACTTGGTGAGGCCTCGATCTACTCAGCACCTCCACGTCATCCAATAATACCGTCTCACCGGCCTTCTCATCATGAACACCATCCTCCGCGCCATATTCCGCGATCCGGCGAACACTTCTCACCTCACCACCTTCATCTACACTATCAAATCTTACCACGCTGCCAACGCGGCCACCCTCACTCAAACATCCCTGTACGGAGCCCCTCTTCTCACCCCGCATCCCAAGCCGTGCGTCCTGTCCCCCCGCCGACCTGCCGCCGAAATGATACAAACCCGACACAAGAGCCCCACTCTCGTCACCCTCGCCGCTGCCACAACCCTCACCTTCACTCTTGACTTCGATGCCGTCACTCCGGCCTAACTCGGCCTCATCGGCCACCCCGTCCCTCTCGCTGTCATTAAAGCTATGTTCCCTACAGTACTAATCACTTACGTCGTCATCCCCGCCATCGTCGTTGTCCTACTCGGTCTTTTCTCCATCCGACCGGACGGCGATTCGCAGCAGTGGAGGGACGGATTCGTCGTAGCATGGAAGGCGGTGGCAGCGGTCGTAGAGGCGATGTCTGCCAACGGGTTTGGGGTGTTCTCCGCTGGGCTATTACCATTATTGGTCATCCACACTGGCTTGCATGTTGGCAACGAAGATACTAATCGGAATAAGTTCGGTCTGTACCAAGCTTCGTGCGCGTTACTTTCCTTGTAACAAAAGAAAAAGCTCAGGTAGGTTGCTTTCGCAACCGGCGATAAAAGCTGTTAACGGACGACATGAGAACTGTACGTTCTCTCCATCCCTATGGACCGTTATTCGGCTTGCACGATCATGCGGCCACCAGGCATTAACTAACGCGATCGCGAGGAATGGGAATGTGCTCCAGCGTTCCAAAGGCAGATATGCATTTTTTCCCCACACATCTTATTCACTAAAGACTTCGACTTGAACTGTGCAAGCGTAGTTGGAATGTATGAGAAGGATTCTTTAACTTTCATCCCAAGAATGAAATCCACTTTGTGATCTGGAGTACATCCGCGTGCAGTGCGAGTGTATGGCTTTTGAGACCAAACGAGAAATAAATATCGAGAAGGCTCAGCAATAAAGGCTGACATGCAGCAGGCTGCCAGCACCATCTCTTTCGTGATCCTGACGACCATTTCAGCATGGATATTGCCCCGGCGGACAAGCGCCGGATTTTCATGGCCTACAGATCCGTTTTCTCATCTACCACTGCGCAGCTCCGAAAGCGAAAGAAAATCAAGCAGGTGGTTCTCAAGCATGGAGGGCGATCGCAGGACTTAGTCAAGGAACTGGGCCTTGAGAAGGTTGTCTTCATATTGACCCATCTACTGGAGAGGCATTTGTTTGAGTCTGAGTTGAAAGCCAAAGTCGAGTTCCCTGAGCTCTATGACGCAGAATCATCCAGAAGCATTCGGAGAGCTGCCTCGGAGGACGTGGCAGCCCGTTCAGAGAGCGAGGCACTCGACGCCATCGACGCCGAGATACACGACGCTGAAAACACGACTGCTGGGCCGTCATCAAAGCAGTGCATGCTTCCAGCGCCACCCCAAGATTCCTTGGATACGTCACATGGTAAGTTAATGTCTGTTGCAGCAGCGGAAGTTGACTTCACTAAGAGTATATTCGCACAGGAAACGCGAATGCGTCGGCCGACGATGACCCCGATCTCACTCTTTATCCGTCTTACGTGCCCTACAAAGCACAGCATCTCATCCTTACGACAGCTCAACGTGTTTTGGAAGAATGTTGCTTTGACTTCGCAAAGATGTGGTTGTCAGACGTGTTAATCAGCCAAGGATGGGACTGTTCGGAGGCTGCAGAGCTGACAGAATGGCTCACTATACTGAACAATCGTTGTGACAAGATACCAGCCTACGCATTCGCCGTTCAAGGTACTACGATAAAGGGCATCATCGCTTCAACCAGGCGATTGCGTCACACGGCCGTTCATCGCCTACCAATGACCGCCCGAGGGGTCTGTCAGCTCGTACAGAATGGAGCAAAGCTCTCGGAAGCCTTGCGCGATCCACTACGTACAGCGCAGCTAGAGGCCGTTGCGCAGATGCTTGGGTCACTGACTCGGGATATGGAGTTGCACAAGAACTTCTTGGAGAACTCCCTAGATATAAACCTCAAGACGATTCGGCAGCAGCGGGAAGAGTTGGACCAACGCGAAGCGACCCTCATAGCCATGACGAAGAAGGAGGATGCTGAGAAGAAGAAGTCGGTGGGCTCACTAATTGAGGACTCGGTACGCAGGATTATGCATGGGAAATCTGATCTTTCGCATCCCCGTGAGGAGGAATTGGGCTCCTTCGACGAGATCAGCAGTGCTGGAGAAACCTGAACAATGGTGGAGGAAGTGCATGATCACAGCTGGTCCGGTTATCTAGATTGGTACGAATGTGAATTCCTCAAGTCGTTCGCTCACTTGCTCGACATGCTTGTGCACGGCACAGACATCACACTCTAAGAAGCGTGAATATGTTTTGTACTTTAGCGGTTAAAATTATAAGCGGTAGGGGAAACGTCTTACTTTTAGGCTACCGGAGACCTCCTATCACATTGTACATATCAAATTTACCGAACAAGACACCATGTAACAAAATACCTGGATGTGTTGAAGTTCAGTTTCACCTAGCAAAAGCAAAATACTGGAGCCATCTTCCTTGAACGATTACTATCCAGTGTAGAGGCACTGAATGCTTCAACACTCAATTCAACAAAGCCGCTGTGAGCACGTCTTCATTACGGAAACCGACATTGTCATGTCTTGGGATACCGTCTCCAGACCATCCCAACGCGCTGGAAGAACGCAAACAAAGTCCCTCGCTCCACGTAGCCTGCGTATGATCTTTGCCATGCCGCTGCGAAGCTTCCTATACAGAAACTGGTTGTCAGCCAGAAACTCATATCCTGCTCTCCGAGGACAATCTCACCTCCGATCGGGCCGAGTTCACCGAACCCAAGCGCCTCAATAACCCAAGGCGAGAGCACGGCCAGCACGCCGATGGCAATCAGCGTTGTGTAAACAGGGTGTTCCTTGGCGAATCCCTCTGCTGCAGCAATGCTTTTGTCCAGCGCCTCTTTCATTCCGGAAGACATTTGGGCGCCAATGACGATGGCGCGCTCGAGTTTGGCCAGTATGGTTTTCCCCAACTTCTCTCGCCAGTTCATGCCTGTGGTTCCCATGACATCCTTCAGTTCATCGTCAAGACTTTTTCCCGGCTTTTCTGCTTTGAGAAGCGTTTCGACAAATCTGTCTGCAATGTCACCGTCTGCTGTCCCGACGTGCCACTGTTGATCTGGTGGCTCCCCAGTGCACGGAATGCAACATATCATTGCATTTACCGTATCCATAGTTCTTTCAGTGCCCTGGTAGGGATTTTTGACAGTGGCGAGTTGAGGTGAATGGAAGATCGAACAAAGGTGATGAGTGTGAAGGCGATCAATTAGAATGGATGGGAGGTACTGACATATATGGCTAAGTAGCAAAGCAGCTGGACAAATAATGCCGGATAATATCATGGCAAACAAGTTCAGTGGCCTAATCAAGCAGTGTGACGTTTTCAACATTAGTGTTTTGGCAAACTTACTCGAAAACAGCTTTTACCCTTGATCCTATCCGCATGCAGGTTTTCCACTACACTGAAATTAAAAATTCCGGCAGGTGCAGTCGCTTGTCACGCAAACAATATAGTCGAGTTGGCAAGACTTAAAGCTGGGCATATCGATGTACGTGCGGCCTGGCTGTTGGTGACGATGTAGGTGGCCGATACGTTACTACATCTGCATTGGCGAATGTTTGCTCCTATGCTTGCCACATGGTTCTGTTTGATGGATTGCTCTTCTACGGGCCTACACGATGAACTACGTTTTATGAGGAACAGGGTATGTACGCTAAACCACTTTCAGATTCCCGGTTAGGCTAGCTACTTGGCAGTGCTGTGAGGAGTCACACAAATGTAGATAGGGGAATGCCAGTGAACCACAAAACGCTAGGCGTCAATTCATTGAATGTATCGTTATTTACAGCACGCTCTATCTCCGCTCACACCTCAGAAACCATGGTGGCCCTGGTCTGTGCCATATGTTGCCTCATGATCTCCTTCTCCTCTTGCGCAGCAAAGTCTCCAAAGACCTCGTCCATCTGCTCCAGCGTCTTGCCCTTCGTTTCGGGCACAAGGAAGAAAGCCCAGACGGCAGCGCAGTAGCACCAAAAACCAAAGAACACATAAGTCCCGAACCCGAGGTTTTCCAGCATCGGCGGCGTTGCCACACCAACAATGAAGTTGCACAACCAATTCACCGCCGTCGACAAGGCCACACCCTTCGATCTCATTGCGTTGGGGAACACTTCGGCGGGCAGAGCCTAAAATCCGTTAGCACAGTGCAAGCAAAGTAGAGCACGAGGAGACTTACCCATCCCAATGGCGAATACGACACTCCAAACACCAGAATGAAGCAGAAGGCCATGGCCGCCGCCGCCCATCCCGCCGCCGGGTTGGCGAACCAGTTCTTGGAGTACAACCCGGTCAACACGGCCATGATGGTCCACGCGACACCACCGCCAGCACCGCCGAAGATGGCCAACGGCCGCCTGCCCACCTTATCGATGATGACGAAACACAGGGCCACGGCGACGAGCTGCAGAGTGTTGAAGACACCGGACAGAACCAAACTCATCTCGGCGCTCTGTCCGAGGCTCTGGAAGAGGGTGGGCGCGTAGTAAATGAAAGCGTTGATGCCGGAGAACTGCTGGAAGAAGGCTACGCCGACGCCGACAGCGGTGCGGCGCCACACCTTCTTGCGGAAGAGATCCAACCAGCCGAGCACCTCGAGCTTGAGGCGCTTCGCGCCGGGGTGGCGCTTCTCCTGCACGCAGCGCTCGATCTCGACCTCGCTGAGAATGTCGGCGTGTTCCATCTGCACGCGCACGTCCGTCTCGGGCAGCCTCCGCAGGCGCGACAGGCTCTGCAGCGCTTCACGCGGGCGGTCCACCAGCGCCAACCAACGCGGCGAGTAGGGGTAGAAGTGGATGCCGATTCCGAGGATGGTCGAACACACCATTTGGAGACCGAAGGGCACGCGGAACGAGGCTTGGCCTTCGAGGTGGCGTGTTCCGTACGTTATCCAGAAGGAGGAGACGACGCCGGTGACGATGGAGATGGATTCGAGAACGAGGAGCGTGCCGCGGAGGTTCGGGGGTGCGATTTCAGAGATGTAGATGGGTGCGCCCTGGAAGGTGGGGTGTCAGTAAGGTTTGGTGGGGAGGCTGAAGCGTGGAAAGGGGATGGCGACTCACCATGGCCAAAGTGCCGACGCCGATGCCACCGATGGTCCTGCCCGCGACGAGCACGCCGTACGACTGCGCAGCCGTCTGCATGATGGCGCCGATGTTGAAGATGACGACGACGACGGTGAGGGCGCGCTTTCGCGAGATCATGTCGGCCAGGGTGGGCATGAAGAAACAACCGAGGAAGGCACCGAACTCGAGCATGCCCGTCATGAAACCCTTGCCGAATGCCGTGTTGGACTGCGGGAAGGTCTTGTGGAATTCGTCCATGACGTTCACGATGGAGATGACGCCCTGGTCGTAGCCGAACGAGAAGCCTCCCATGGATGCGAGGAAGGCGGCGCCCAGCACGTAGGGGGACTCGACGAGACCCTTCATGCCGCTCTTGCCATAGGAGACATGGCCCTCGGCGTTGCTGGGGATGGTGGTGAGCTCATGGTCGGGCAGGTGTTCGATCTTCTCAGTCGCCTGGTCGTGAGCTTCGACAGCCTTGAAAGGCTGTTCACTGGGCTTCTTGTCCATGGCTGGTGGTGGAGGGAGTGGCAAGTGACACTGGTTGGTGTTGGACAACAGCTCTCACGGTTTGGATATTGATCAACTATATACATTTCCCAAATCTGGGGTAATGTGGTAGCGAGAAGTCTCGGAAGTTGAATTCCACAATCTCGGGATTTAGCGCCTTGAGCCATTTAGTTTGTCTTTTTCCGGGTGGCGATCGTGGAGGCGCCGATCCCCCAGTTCTCCGTGGGGAAAGTATTGCGGGGTGAGGCGGCGCATAATGCGGGGGCTGGCTAGCTTCGGGCCATTGGCACCCCGTGACGTGGGATGCAATTTCCGACGTAGAGGGCGCCTGATGTTTCAGTCCAGCCTGCCCTCCAATCACACGCACTGCTTTCATGGCCAAGAGCCCGTTTTGCGTTACTCAGCGGATCTGCCTGCGGATAGCTGCTTCCGCTAGCTCCTGAGGCAGCAGTTCCCGCACGGACTCTGGGCCTCGAGTCAGTCAAAGTGCCGTTAGCGGTAATGCAAGGCGAGAGCGTTGAGCCTGGCTACGTCAGTGGCTGACGCGTGGTTCGGTACTTGGGCTGCGGGGAGAATGCCGCGCCATGCCATTTCCCCCACGGTGCCATGTCCAGCATCAACGAGTGGCTCAACGGGGCGGCTCAGCACGCCTTGGGCGCCGAACGGCTCGCAGAAGCCACCGTGTGGTCGAGACCTTGGCCGGCTGGTCTCACCCGCATCGCCACACGCACCGGCACCCGCACCGGCACCCGCCGCGTCCCCAGACCGCCATCGATGGCTACCGGTTCTGTCCGGAGCCGCTATCGCGCCGCTGACGATTCCGCAATTTCGTTCTCGGTAAGGCAGGCGAGTGGTGGTTAGGAGCAGGGGCTCGATCACTTCCATGCAGGGTTCGACACGCTTTCAACTGCCGGCCGGTTTCGACACTGCCCGGTTGGGCACCGCTGGACGAACGTCGTGAAGCACAGATCGTGTTTTGGCACCGAACCATGGTGATTTCGTCATAATATGCGGTCACAGAAGCGTTTACAGATGGTGAATACCAGGCAGCCGCACTATTTCGTATGGAATGTCGATGATGCGAGATGGAACAAGGTGAAGTCGAACCTGCAGCCGGATGAACATAAGCCCAAATAGGATGACGCGGGGCTAAAGCTTTTGCCAGTGATGCGGACCCCAATCCAGGAGATTATGTAAGCTGCGCTGGAGGCGAGCTTGAGTAGGCAGTTAACTGTGTCAGATTCCCCCGCAATTTCCTATCACCACTTCTCTGCTTCTCAGCACTGTTCCGTCCAACATGCGCCTTCTGAACTGTCGCACATTCGAACTCGAGCCCTTCGTTGGAAACGCACCTCCTCTCGCAACCCTTTCTCCAGATAGAGAGTAGAAGAACTATTTTCGACCACTTCCCCCCTGACGGGTCAGCCGACCGGAAGACAGGCTACAGAACTATTTGCAGAGAAGGTTGAGAAGAGCAGGAGTGTGGAAACCTCCGAGGCTATAGATTCAATGCTCACTGTACAGCGCGGCCGCGGTGTGCTACGCGTGCCTCTTTCACCTTCTGGATCGACCCGACGGCACGGACCGCAACAAGACGGATGACGTCGCCAGAAGCGAGTGGTACTGTACCACAGAAGATCAAGTTCTATTCAGAAGGCTGGAGAACGATCGGTCACGAGTCCACTCCCACAAATCCTCGGTCCGAATTACGGGCGTAGATGGGTGTGCCTTGACGGGAAACAAGAGAGCGGTGAAGGACACACGCCGCAGACACGAGGGGCAAGGGTTGTGGATTGGCGCGGTATCAGGTGGGGTTGGTAGCTTGAGCAGTCCGGATAGTTATCAAGTACAAAGATAAGCTCGTGAGGGAGAGTGGGGGGGAGCAGATCAGATGAGCAAAGCTGGATATGTGGTGTTGATAACGGCGGTGGAATCATCAACAAACGTGATCAGCTGGTTTATGACGATATTGCTTTGTCTGATACTACGAAACGTAAGTCTTTCATCGTGACTTCGGAGGAGCAAGTCAAGCGGTGCAATCAGCGGTGGACGTCGAGTGTTATTCGACGTTAACCGAGACCATCCTTGCCTTTCCTCAACCCCTTTTATTCTACCCGCTTTTTCTTTGCATCCTCCCAAATCGTCACCGGTGAGATTTTCAAAGCTTGTCACAGATCTGGAGGCAACTGCAGATGGTGCTAAGCATGGAAGAATGGAGTAGCGGGCATGCTCTTGTCGTTGGAACTTGAGATGCTTCTACAGTCCGGACAGTTCGCAGCAGGATCACAATGGCGTCCGGAATTACTACACCTGACGAACGACTAGGGAGGCTTAATCCGATTTGACCCGTCGGGGTCCATTGTCAAGAGCGCGAGGTATGCGAGTGGCACTCAACATTCTTGAAGCTCATTACGTTTGCCTTTGGGCCAGTGGCTGCCAAGTTACCATGTCCAGCGTAGAATTGCCGTGGCGTTCGTCGCTTAATCGCGTAACCCTGCCATCTCTATGCCGAGGTTGCTGAATCGGTCTAGTGATCCTAGAGGCGCAGATACGGCGGGACACAGCTTGCGGAAAGACGTACCCGAGTGAGAAGATGTCTGCAGCCCTTTCTCAACCAACGCCATCCTTGGAAAATTCCGGTGAGGCATACGTTTGCGTGAACGCCCCAACGCTAGGAGCGGTGCTTTCCGGACTGCCAGCCGCTTCCACGTCCCTCATGACTCCGAAACCCGTCAGAACGACATCTGTCCCATCAATGACGAGGCTATTTGAGGGCTTGATGTCGTTGTACTTGTTGCCCATATCGTGGACTTGGTTGATAGCGTGAAGCAGGCACATGAGACAACTCAAAATAAGAGAGCTTCGGTTCTCGATCCGGGGCCCTGTCCGACACGCGCGACCTTGTCCACATGTGTCCTGAGCACCTCCTGGAGTCGATAAGGCTCGGAAGTGGATGCACTGGAACACGTACGGAAGATGTCCGATACGATGCTTTAGAGTTCCTTTGGAACTGACGTGATATGTCCGTTCGGTGGAGAGGTGTCGTGGTTGGTTCATCTGCGTCTACCTTGCCAGCTGAAACAACTGTTGCGGCGCAGCAGTGCTGACTCAGGATCCGAGCCTTCCCGCGGTTTAGCTAGTACCGTCTATGGAAAGGATTCGCGGAAGAACGTTTATTGTACACTGTGGTTGATGCACTAGGTTCTCTCTCTGCAGTGTTGAAGCACAAGTTTGAGTCAACAAAGGGTCGAAGGTACACTTGTTTGCAAAGCCCGAACGAGTATCATCGTCGATCCAGGGCTTCCGTAGCTCTTTTATGACAGACTAAACGGCTATGCCGTGGAAGGCTCATGTAAGGACTATCCCTTACCCACTGCACCATGCGTATGCAGGCCCTCCGGGGGCTAAAAGAGGTACTGGAATAAACCCAATTAGAGTTTATTCAGGCATGGCAGGCTAATATATCTTTATACCCTGACAGCTCACTTCTGAAGTCGTCGAGTCCGGCGGCTAGGGTATCAAAGCTACGAATGGCCATCACGCAGTAGAACGGCCTCTGAAGAACTTGAGATGTAAATCTTTAATTCTCGACTCAACATGGACTATATAGCTAGCTACTCATCTTCAAGATGGAAAGATGACTCGACCAGGAGCAAAACAGCAAGGCTCGACCTCGGATATTGTCGCGTCCGTCAACGGCGCCGTGCATTACCGATCACTCGGATCCGGCAACACAAGCATTTCGATCGCTGGGATCTTTCTCCTCCACAAAAAAAAAGCAACCGATCTCTCGGATCGTCAAAAAAAAACAGCACAAACGCGCCATCGAAAACCCGACACGGTCTCTGGGACATCCGAACTCCAAGAAAACGACCCACGCACCGCAACCCCCTACAACCCCAACAAACTGTGCAGCGTAGCAGGCAAGCTGTTGACCAAGTTCACAACCGCGTTGCTCAACCCCGCGGTCTGCGTCTGCGCGGGCGGTGCGGCAGCCGACGACGACGACGAAGCACCCGCGCTGGACGCCACAACAGCGACGGGCACGGCCGAGTTCGCCACAGCCACCGTAGCCAGCGTCGTCGGCTGCTGCTGCTGCTGCTGCTGCTGTTGCTGAACCGCAGTCGTCGGCATAGCCGGCAGCTTAGTCGCTTCAGTCGTCGCGGAAGGAAGCGCGCTGGTGGGGACCTCAGTGGGAGCCGACACGGAGACGGAAGTTTGCGTCAGGCTCTTCAGATGGTAGGGGCCGCCCATGGCCGGGGGCGGGACGAGCTTGAGGAGGGAGCTGGTGGAGAGCGGGGCGACGACGGCGGTGGAGGTCGCGGCGTCGGCGATGGAGGCGGCGTCGGTGGTGAGGGAAGTGGCCGGGTCCTCGACGGCGGCGGGGACGGTGGTGGGGGCGGAGGCCTCGTCGGAGGTGGGGGAGGCCTCGGCGAGGGGAGTGGCCTCGACGATGGTGGAGGAGTCCGCGGTGGAGGAGGCCACGGCGATAGAGGTCGTCTTTATCTTGTACGCTGGGGGAGGGGCGAGCTGGGCGTCGCGCTTGTCGACGGGGGCAGCGAGGATGGGAGCGCTGAGGGCGAGGACAGCGAGGATGGTGTTGATGGCGTACATCTTCGGTGATGGGTGAAGGTTGGATGGAAGGTGGAAATTTAAGGTAGTAGTGTAATAAAAGGTTGATCAACAACGGTGTGGTAAAGGGTTGTTCAACAACTTCCTTTGTGAGCGGACCGGACGCACGGTGGAGGTGGAGGAGTGGTGGTTGTTGTTGGGATGATTATTTCCAAGTCGTCGTGGTGGCTGGATATATACTGCCTCGAGTTGAACGCCTAGACTCATTGTTCCACGCGCTTCGAGGGTCTACTCGCCCACGAGGTCTACCATGGATGGTCCTTCGAATAGTGGCGAGCACCCTACAACAACGAGGGTCTCAGTAGTGCCCGTAGCTAGCGACCTCATCAACACGGGAACCGCGGGGAGCGGATCCAGCCAACAGCTACCAACTTCGAGCACCTTCAGAACTGCTTAGCAAGAGTATGCCTGACGGGCCAAAGTTTCACGGAACTCTATGACTTTCGCACATCATATTGTATGAACTACCTGTAGCAGTAGAAGTTTACATCTTTCATTCAATATCAAACACTTCACGAGGCTGATGTATCCAGTTCAATGCACTTACCATACCATCTAACCGTGGGATGCAGCTATCTGCAGAAAACCATGTCCCACTCGTGGCGGACGATGCCTGGATGCTCGTAGGATCCTCGAAGCTCTCTCTCCAAACGCTGAAAGCAGCGATGCGATTATCCCTTGCTTGGGGAAGACGTTTTCAGATGACCGTATTCCCGGAAAGAGTTAGCGCAACGAAAAGCTGTGACTCAAGCTTTTGGACCCAGGAATCAAGAGACAGCAATGCATAAACTCGCATCACGACCACTTTGATGCATGCATTTGACCAATCACAGCTGGGAAATTATTATGCATCAGAACAATGAACATCGAACGTGGTACTCGCGCTTCGGGCTCGAATTTAGCACGTTGTATTCACGTTGTGCCGAACGCATGCGGATGAAATTCAGCCGTGATCTTTCTGTGCCCAGGGTTTGATGGCAGCAAGGGATACCACAAAAACGCCTCCGGGGGTCTTACCGTGGATAAGATCTCCCTGTCATTCGAAACAGCCATGTGGATCGTGTTTCCCCTCCTGAGCGCCCCATGATTGGTCGGAACAAAGAGCCTCGGAATATATTGCTTAGCGCATAAGTGTCGGAGCCGCCGGGTGGGCGCTATCTCCGCAGCGAAGGCGAGGATAAGCTTAATTCAGGGTCGGCCCTCGTACCGTTACCGTGTTTCCTTCCCCGGCCGCTAACACGTCGCGCCGCTCTGTCAGAGGGAGCTATCCCAACCTTGGTCTAAGTAGTCGCTTGCCTCATCCTTATATCCGTTTGCCTACTTCTGAAGTCATTTGCCTACTTTGAACCTGCTGGTAGAAAGGAGTGGCTGCCTCCGGATGGAGAATCCATCGTGACCAAAGTGTCGAGATCCACGCGGAAACCTCCTTCGGCCCTTGCCGTGCAAAGGTCACAAATCCCCTTGCTTATGGCTTGATCACTTGACCTGATAGTGTATGTGTAGTTCTACCACTGTGCGAATTCAGAGAATCGGTTAGTCATAAAGTGGTGCGTTTGAGGTATACAGTTCTCATGCACCACGGAGTGGGACCGAGAAGACCAACGGCGAAAGTAATGCTGATCTGATTGGATAAACGTCGAAAGTCATGGATACGTACAATGGTGAAAGTCAATGAGTAGTGAAAAGTCAGACACAAGTATCCCAACTCCTCAAAGAGCCTACAGCTTGTCACCGACCTTCGCTCCACTCGGTAGCAGTGCGGCCCTTGCCATGTACCGAAGACAGAGTTCCGTAATTTTGCCAAGTGTCCCTGGCCCCTACACAACCCCCCACTCCTATTCCCCACCCCCGCAAAATATGCAGCGCTGCGTTTGCACATCTCCGCATCCCTACTGGGCTGCGTATTGCCGCTGCTGGTCCGCGAAAATGACGCCACGGCCTGGGTCTCTGGTTTTATCCGTTCGTTGCGCGGAGTAGAGTTAGCTGTTTCTTACGGATTCACTCAACTCAATTGAGCGGCGTGGCGCGCGGTGGGTGAGAAAAGGTGATTGAGGAGCATGGGCAAGACATGGGTGGTGGAAGCGGGGGTGGCGGATATGGGGGTGGCGGAATCGAGGGTGGAGGGGTTAGTGGGAGAGGTGGTGACATTGTGTGCCACACACGTGATTCGTGATGGGGGCGGGGTGGCGAGAGTAGTAAAGACGGCGTTTCATAGGGTATCGACTGGGGTGTCGCCGTGTCGGGCTTCCGTGCATAACAACAAGTGCAAGTTATCACTTGACAGAGAGACGGAGCCTTCCACTCGGTTGGACAAGTGCCCGATTTGTCCTTTGGGAGCACAGCTATCTTCCGTACTAAGGTATGTTGTTAAGATGACGCTCACGCCTTTCAGGTCGGACCAATAGTGTCCTTGCTCAGACACCGAGCAGTTACCCATGGAAAAAGATGTTTCTTCTCCAGAGAGGCATTCCGGGCGCTTCTTCTTGGGCCTGGTCACGTCTTTTGCACGCCAGTATCACGCGTTGAACAGGCTTGTTTGTCCCAGCAATCTGTAAATCACACTCTATGGCCAATCACCAGCGTATACCGTAATTCGTGAGATCGGAGATTGACCGTGGCCTCATCATATCATCCTCCTGGCTCTTGTGCCGTGGGTACACAGTGACCAGACCCCCATCGATATGAGAGTATGGCGTAGCGTGGAGGATTATTCTCGCTGCATTCGGTGAGCAATATGTCGATACATCGGTCCCCGGAGCTCTCTTCACAATATAAGAGGCACATGGTGAAGGAAGAGAAAAATTTGCCGATGGTGAATAAGGGTTTCGACTCGAGAAACCCAAGTTCTATTTCCGGAGAATCTTTCCCTCTTTTGTCTAAGACATGTGGGGACGAGTCTCCACCATGCTTCCAGCTTCGTGAAACTCAGCGGCAGTGGAGAAGAGATGTGGTTGCCTGCAGGCAGCAGCGTGCTACGCCGCGCGCTTAGACGGTGGAGGAGGCGCAGCCTGTGGGCCACTCAGCTCACCATCCAATCACAGTGTTGCAATAGCCGACCACCTGCATAGCATCACACTTAATCTATTCATTGTAGTAAGTGATTGACGCGGACTCGCGGTAAGTGAACCATCTATGTGCCATGGTGTATTGGCGAATGTCTGGGCGCAAAGTATTAAGTCTTGCCGCCTGCTCGATGAGTTCCTTTTCTAATCCCCCACTCAAACGCCCAGCATCAACACATCTGGTTTATGACAGCGGCAGACCGGTTCGTTCCCGACACGCGTGGTCCAACTCAGCCTCGCACCCAAGCAGAAACGTATCCACCGTTCGAGGAACACAAGCGTGTAGCCTCAAACTTCGAAGCCACCGAGAAGATGACTACGACATACAGGCTCCAAGGCATCAGCAGTGATGTTCAGCAAAAAGAAGCAATTCCAGGTCTTCTTCGTAAAGCTTGGGGCTTGCCCGGATCGACTGCAATCACCGCGCATTCGCTCGCAACAGACCCTACTGGGCCCGGACGGAAGACTGCCACCGTTACCTTTGAGGAAACACCTGGATTCCTTCGCTCAGGAGATCGAACTTCTTGGAAGTCTCCGGGTGACAGTGGCCTGCATCTGGATACAGACTTCCATGGATTAACACCTCTGCATTCTGATGTGGACTCCGACTGCATCTTGGAGTAAGCAATGAGATTTAGATATTATTGTAACCCAGCTGACATTCCATAGTGTCATTGCCGTGTCTGGCCATGCGTTCGGATCGTTCAACTGTAAGAAATACTCCTTCATGTGGCTTCGTGACGGCCTTCCCAGAGACCTACGGCAAACACGGATTTTTGTATACGGATATGACACGAAGAAATCCTCTCAGAGCGTCATGGATCATGGAAGCAAGCTTCGGGACGCGGTCAAAGGCCTCAGGCCCAGCGGAAAAGTAAGACTTTGAAGCAATTCATTTGGCTCTTCTAATATGTAGCAGGACCCACTTAGGCCACTGATCTTTATCGGTCATAGTCTTGGAGGCATGGTTGTTAAACAAGTTCGTCAGATCCCTCAATCCCATATTCATATCTCAATACTGACCATCAACGGAATAAAAGGCCATCATTGACCTGCACGGATCTTCAGAGAATGACGACAAGATGAACTTCGAGTCATTGCGCGCAATTTTTTTCTTTGGAGTCCCAAACTTGGGAGCAAACACGGAGTCATTCATGGACATGGCTGAGGGGAAACCATGTGAAAAGCTCGTACAGTTTCCTCACCCGAGAGGCGACGGATTGCGCTGGCAGCAAAGATATTTCGCACCCCTCTTGCGGAAGTTCGCGCGGTATTGGTACTACGAAACAACAGGAACCCGGACACCTGAAAAGGTATGTACATATGCGCTTGGTGATGCACTTCAACTAAAACAGTTTATCTGACTGAATGCTTAGACTGGGTCCGGCTGGGCTATGACGGGTTCGCCGCAAATACTTGTGGACATGCAATCAGCTACAAACGGTCTTCCAATGCCGTGGGAGCAGGATGAACATTTTGTTTATCCGATCAACCACAACCATTCCGAGTTAGTTCGGTTTCCCGATCGGGGTTATATGGACTATGGGGTAGTATGTAGGCATCTGGACCGCGTGAAAGAAGCGGTTTTGCAGAGTCAAGGTGATACATCGCTGAGTGACGACGCGAAAACTGTGGACTGGGGAGTCAGGCGGGTGATTGCTGATAGGGAGATGCCGCTTCCCCATCGTGTCCTCTCATTTGGGTCAGAGTAGCAAGAATGAATATGTGAGAGTGTTAGGGATGATGGATTAGTAGTGTTGGTAGGGGGTGATATGTACCCAGTAGCAAGCTTCTTGAGCTTAGTCAAATCGAGAGCGAAGTCAAACAATCCACTATAGACCGAGTAGAGCATCGAGTATTTTGCGATTGAGTGCTAGGAGTTCTGAGCGCGAAGCATCGATGGAATCCGATACACGTAGATGGATTGATTGCCATCCGAGATACCAGCCGTGGATCACACTGCATGGGCCCTCTTTGGATGCGAGGACCACTAGAAGTAGGGTAATCAGTCATAACGAAATACCCTACTGACAAGTTTGGTTACGAAGATCTAGGCACGGGAGCTGACTTCCAAACTATTCCAGGGGCCTTGTTTGTGAAAGGAACCTCTGCTCCTATTTACTCATAACGTGCTCCCGTACTGGTATCAAGAGAAATATTTGCATTGCCACGCCATGATACATCGCTCTTTCCAGCTTTATCAACATGTGCGCTCCGGTACCCAAAAATCCTTGACTGATCCTTGAATTTTCGTTGGCGGCCTTTCAATCAACCTATTGGCCTGGTTGGTGATCGTGTAACTCATCAATATGACTGAACCGGAATTTGAGAAACACTTTGGCGCAAAAATCCTCCATAATTCCATATCCCAACAAAGGTCGAAGAGTATCCTTACCCCAGAATCGATTTTCCGAGCCGAGTTGGATTGACCTTCCTCTTTCTCTCCGTTTGGAGCCTCTTATTCCCACTCGAATCCGTCCGAGCCGTAAAGGAATACTGACTCGACGTACGCTTTGCCTCCGCCGAGCGCTCCAACGATGAGGAATCTAGCAATGGCACCTCCGTAGACACGCCACTGTCGCGCCGCCCATCCGCCTGCTGCAGCTGCTGGGAATCCCGCTGCTGCGGAACCCAGTAGTCGCCGACGAGAGGCTGCGGCGGGCCACAGCCCCCCTCAACACGCCCTCTCAGCCCCTCACACTCGCCCCGCAGCCGCCTCATCCCATCCTCCGCCTCCTCGGCCCTGTTCCTCAACGCCCGCTCTCTGCGCTGCGCCTCGTCCTTCGCCTCATCCAGTCGCGCCTGCAGCGCCCTCTCCCTGTCCTTCGCCTCCTTGAGCCGCGCTTCCAAGCTCTCCACTTCTTCCTGCGTGTCGTGTAGGAGACGCTTCACGTTTTCATACTTGGCTTGCCACTCGGCGATGGCGCCGGCGTCTGCGTCGGCGAGAGTTGCTTTGATGCTGCGGACTTCGGCTTTGAGGGCTTCGATCTCGTTGTCTTTGGCGGAGATGGAGCGTTGCAGGTCGCCACAGATTGCGTGCTGGGCGGCGAGCTGGGATCGGAAGGCTGCGATGGCGGGGTCGCCGCTGGGCGGGCTGGGGGTGTCGTCGGGTCGGGGGGCGATGGAATCGGTGTCGTGGCTGGGCGGAGTTGTGGGCGTTTCGACGGAGGTGCTGGGTCGGTCGCCCGTTGCTGCTTTTGGTGCCGCGCCTTGTCTGAGTGGCGGCGATTTTGAATCGTTTGGAGTGGTGGCTGACGAAGACTCTTGTGTGTGGTCATTTGCCGGATGAGCTGTGCTAGACGGGCGTATGATCGGAGTGGAGGCAGCTTTCGGGGCAGTCGAGATGCCATGAGTTCGACATGCTACGCAGCCCCGGCACTGATAGTGAGCTTGGAGAGGCAACGCGCCTCCGGCGTGGCCAACTTCTGTAGCCGCCACCTCCTCTCCCTCAGGAAAGCGTTGGTTTACTCCCCTTTGGATGACATGTAGCTCTCTCGAGATCTCTTGTTGTTTGGTATTGCGCAGGGCCTGCTCCCTTATAGCGCACTCCTGCCTTGTGGCTGCTTCGAACTTCTTGCCAAGACCGAGCCGACCGGGTGGAGACGGTGGAGAAGTTGAGGCCATTTTCGCAGAGGATCTTCTTGGGTAGTGGGAGATTGTGAAAGGACCGTCGAAGAAGAAGATAGCAGCTCCACTGCAGACTTTGTTTGTTGTTGGAGTCGAAAGCAGAGGAAGAAGCGGAGGATTGAGCTGACGAGGTGCGGGGTCGGTTGGAAGGGCGAAGGGTAGTATCATGCATGTAAGCGCCCAACCATAGCGTGGCGATCCACGATTGGTTTCCAGATACCGCAAAATGATAGCGAAGCTAGACTTTCCATTCTCTTATAGAGTCTCTCACGGTCATTCGGGCTACGACGAGGAAAATAAATCACTTTTCAGCAGCTGAAGGCCTCAATTTGGCACAACTGCAATGTTCGCATTCTCAGCATTACAACGTCAAATTTTCTGCAACATTTCAGCTCGCTTGTCCTGGAGCTACGACCTACCCAGCTTTCTTACTGTACGGTGGCCTACGAGCGGGGATGGTGCACGTATTGGTGGGTACGGTGGGCGCAGCGGCCATCTGCGTTGAACCTCCGAGAACCGCCATTGCACGGCACCTGATCAACCTAACCTAAGTATTAGGTCAATACATTGGCAATAGATGCTGTAGAGGAGAGGAGGCTGAATCTGGCATAAGCCACAGGTAAGTGTGTTGTTTTGGTCGGAGTCGGCAAGAGATTGACCATATGCCGACGAGATACTCACGAGAAAGATGACTTCACAAAGACGCAGGTCACAAAAAGTCTTCCACTTCCAATAACTTTCAACAACAGGAACCCTACCTCGTAAACTACTCCCCCAAGTTCACATGCACAGCCTTGACCTGGGTATACGCCTCCAGCCCCGCCTCGCCCAACTCCCTCCCCACGCCACTCTGCTTGTACCCCCCAAACGGCACCCTAAAATCGCAATCATTACTACTATTCACCCACACCGTCCCGCTCTTCACCCTCCGCGCCACCCTATGCGCCCTCTCCAAATCCTTCGTAAACACGGCCGCCCCCAACCCATACGTCGTCCCATTCGCCAGCCTCACCGCCTCCTCGTCGCTCCCAAACTTCGCCACCACGACAAACGGCCCAAACACCTCCTCGTGCCAGATCCGCATCTCGGGCCGCACGTCGGTGAAGACGGTGGGCGCGACAAAGTACCCTTTATCGCGGACGCGCGTCCCGCCGAGCGCGAGCGTCGCGCCTTCGGCTTTGCCGACGTCGACGTAGGATAGCACGCGGTCGAGCTGGGCCTGCGTGACTTGCGGGCCTTGGAAGGTGTCGGCGTGCCACGGGTCGCCGACGACGCTGGTCGTCTGCACGTGGGCGATGAAGCGGCGCACGAAGTCGTCGTGGATGGTGGAGTGGACGAGGATGCTGGGTGGGTCAGCGAGGCGTCGAGGAGGGAGGGAGGGAGGGAGGGAGGGAGGGTGCGTCGTTCGTGCACTCACCGGCTCGTCGCGGAGCACACCTGGCCCTGGTTGCCCATGATGCCGATGTGGGCCCAGCGGACGGCCTGGGCGATGTCTGCGTCGGCAAAGACGAGGGCAGGGCTCTTGCCGCCCGTCTCGAGGGTGATGTTCTTCAGGGTGCCGGCGGCGGCCTTCATGATGCCCTGGGCGGTGGCGGTCGAGCCGGTGAAGGCGACCTTGTCGACGTCCGGGTGGTTCGCCAGCGGGGCGCCGGCGTCGCGGCCGGTGCCGTTGATGATGTTGACGACGCCGCGGGGGAAACCGGCCCGGCGGATCAGGTTGCCCAGGTACAGGATGCTGAGGGGCGTCTGCTCGGCGGCCTTGATGACGACGGTGTTGCCGCAGGCGAGGGCTGGGCCGAGCTTCCAGGCGGCCATGCTGAGGGGGTAGTTCCAGGGGATGATTTGGCCGACGACGCCGAGCGGTTCGCGGAGGGTGTAGGCGAATTTGGAGTTTGTGGTGGAGATGGTCTGGCCGGCGACCTTGTCGGACCATTCGCCGTAGTAGCGGATGGTGTTGAAGGCTTCGGGGAGGTCGTCTTCCATCATGACTTTGTAGGGTTTGCCTGGTGGGTGATATGTACGTCAGTGCGGGCTTGTGGTAGCTGGCGGCAAGGGTTCTTGGACCATTGTCGAGGGTGTCGATTGTGGCAAAGAGCTCGGCGTTCTCTTCGATCAGGCTGGCGAGCTTGACAATCATACGACCGCGCTCTGTGGCAGAGACTTCTTGCCATGGGCCGTCGAAGGCTGCTCGGGCTGCGCGCACGGCCTTGTCGACGTCTTCCTCCTGGGCGGCGAAGACGGAGGTGATTTCATTCTCGGTGCTGCGAGCTGGTGTGAGCGGGCAGCTTGAGCTGGGCGGCGTTGAAGTCGGAAACGTACGCTGGATCGATAGTTGCAAGCTTCTTCCCGGACTGCGAAGGAACAAACTCGTTGTCGATGAACAAGCCCAGCGGCTGGGTCCATTTGCGGCCGTTGGGGGCGGTGATGTCGACGGAGAGAGCCATGGTAATGCGCGACAGCAATTGCACAATCATGTCCAGCGACGAGCTCTGTTTATGAGGCAGCCAAAACTGCAGTGACCATTTCGCATTACGCCATTGAGCAGGGCGTATCGGGCACAGCGTCGGCGACACAGGCGCTTGTGGAATGGCGGAGCGGGCGATAAGCAGCAGCTCGACGCATCTGCCCCGCGCTGCCCCTCAGTCCCGCGTCGAGCTTCCCGATTAGGAAATGCTATCTTTCCGAATCTCGGAGCGCCTCGGCAGCACTGCAGCACTGCAGCACCATCGACACAGCTCGATGCAGCCCTACAGCTGCGAATTCCCCAGCTTCGCCGCCTCGTCCCTCACCGTCTGCTCAATCGCCTGCTGCAAGCTCCCGTGTTTCGGGCTCCACCCGAGCTTCTCAGCCGCCCTCCTCGCATCGCCACGCGCATTCGTCCCCAGCAAGACGCTCGCGTGCCCCACAACCTTATCTGCCTCCTCCGCCGCCAACGCCTCCACCTCCTCGTCCACATCCAGCCCCAGCTTCCGCGCCGCAGCAGCAACCCTCTGCGCAATCTCGCCAAAAGGCTAGGTAGCAACGCACCGTCAGCAACTGTACTCTGACCAAAAAGCAAGCCACCAACCGACTCACCACGCGACCGCCCGCACCCCCAGCAAAATACACCCCATCGACGCCCCACACCCCGCCAGCACCATCCACCCGCCCCTCAACCGCCCTCTCCACCAGCCTCACCACCAAATCGCTCACATCCCCCACGTGCACGCTATCCCACTCCGCCAGCCCCCTCCCCACCCTCCACGCGCGCCCCCTCTCGACCGCCGTCCGCGCCAACTCCGGCACCTGCACGCTGCGCCCATTCCCCGGTCCGCGGCCAGCACCGAAAATGATCGGCCCGACGAGCAGCGCCGTGCGCATCGTGTCTGCGTCGCCGCTGAAGGCGAGCGCGCGGATGTGGTTGTCGACGGCGCGGGAGGGGTATTTGGCGATTTGCGTCCAGATGGCGGGGGCGCCGTCGAGGTCGTTGTAGGTGGGGGAGGTGGCGGGGGAGGGCGGCTCGCCGAAGCGGTGGAGTAGGATTTCGGTGGTGGCGAGGAGGGTGGCGCCGGAGATTTGGAGGAGGTGGGCTGTTGGGGGTGGGAGTGGTGGTTAGTCGGTGAGTGGGAGGGGAGGGGAGGGGAGGGGAGGGGAGGGGAATTCGAACCGGGCTGGCCGCTTGCTGCTGTCCTCTTCTTCATTCCCTCGTGGATCGCCTGCACGCAGGGTAGGTGGCTCGTCGACGCGAGATCTGTATTCTCTCTCGCTGATCAGCACTGCAAGAACACAACACCAGTCCGTCCTATCATCGCGTTCTGCTCGCACTGCCCCCAGACGTACTTATCACAACGTCCGCCGCCGCCGCCTCCTCGGCGATCAGCTCCCCATCATCCAAATTCCCCTGCACGGCGCGCACGTTTGGATACTCCTTCGCGAAGGCCGCCGCCGTCTTCGCCGGGTCGCGGACGAGTGCCGAGATGGCGTATTCCGGGTGCGCCCCGTACAGCGCGTGCAGCGTGTCGCCGCCAATGAAGCCGGTGGCGCCGGTGCTGGTTGAATTTGGTCAGTTTTCATCGCGTGCCGTGTGGGGGCGTTGATGCTGGGGCTTGCACACAGGAAGATTTTGGCCATGTTTTTGGTCGCTGGGTGTTGTGGGTTTTGGAGGGTGGTGTGGTTTGTTTGGGAAAAGGTAAGTAAGTGGGGGGTTCAAAAGTTTCTTGCGATGGAGGTACGCGGAGGAAGGAATGCGTTGGGAAACCGAGTATCGTGGAGGGGCATTGCAGGCCAAGGCAGCTCCGCGCTACTAGGTTTCTTGGCTGGCTCTTTTGTAAGCAAATTCGTCATTGTAAGTTGCTGTTGCGTCCGACCCACCGGAGGGAGCACACAATCGTCGAAAGAGGCAAGCTTCGGCGGCGTCCAGTCAGAGCTGTTCGGCTGTGGTTGATGCTTCAGGAAGGCGTCGCCGGGAGCTGTGGCAGGGCTGCGACCGGGGGCCCCTACCTGCGCCACCGTGCTTGGCCCAGGCCCTGGACCATTGTTCCCACTGCAATTACGAGACATCAGATGTTGTGCACGCCGTCCTCCTATGAATACTTACCGGCTTTCCAACAATCGGACTGTCGAGAAGTGCTTGGCGAAGTTCGGGATATTTTTAGCAGTGGTCACATTCCAACAGCTGGCGTGCTTTCACAGTCTATCCCAGAATGGTCATTTTCAGCTGTAAATTGGATTTGACGTGCGAAAGCGCAGAAATTTGACTTCTGAGAGCGCCAAGGATGACCGAAAATCGCGGAAGCATGGTGACTTGTTGGATGGAGGCAATCACCGTTTCCGCAAATCAACTTCGTCATGAGGGTGTCATCTGAAAATTGCCTGACAATGTAGAGCCCTGGCAATTGAACATTTTCTATCTAGCTCGAACCCGTGGAAGACGAGTTTCCGAATCACGTCTGCAGCGGTTTTGGCTTCGAACCTGACCAGGACAAAATTCAGAACTCTATCTCAGTCGGGATATTTGGAGGAGCCCCGTTCTAGAGCAAAATTGTAGGCATGCCTTTTTTGTAACTATTCACAGCGCGGTAGAAATACTCGCAAACAAAATCAAATGTCATTATCAACATAGTATCGAACATAAACATAACGCTACCGCACTCATGACCCTCAGTGATGCAATCGTAGAAAGGGCAGGGATTCCAACCTGCCTCACCACTCGTGCAAGGTAGAGTACCAGCGCTCGATGAAGCTGATGCGCTCCTCTACCTCGGAAATCGGTCCCGTGCCCCACTTGTCACCCAGCCACATGGTCTGCTTCTTGTCCTCGGTCGACGGCTCCCACGTGGCCAACCCGTCCCCGTTCGGATCACCCGTCTTGATGAAGTTCGCCCAGTACGCACTCATCTTCGACTCGATCTCGTAGTCCTCGGCCGACCACGTCGCGTTGTCGTAGGCGGCGTACGGAATGTTGTTCATGGCGTACCAAAGCTCCGCGCCGTGATACGCGCCAGCCTCCTCGTTCTCGGGCGGCCCGTGGGTGAAGTAGTAGGTATACACGTTGCTCTTGGCGCCACCGGCAGCCCAGTCGGCGCTCCAGCGCCAGGTGCCGATGCGGCTGAGGTCGCGGAACAGGGCGTCGCTGCTGGCGCTGGCCTGGGTGGCGTTGCCGCCGGGGTAGAGGGCGAAATACTCGCTGCTGAAGTTGCGGAACATGGCGCCGTAGTTGGTGGCGTAGTCGGCGGCCGAGACGGACGTCGTCGTCGACGCGCCCGACTCGTCCTTGTTGTTGCCCGTCATGATGGGCACGTCGGCGTGCGAGTTGAGCGCCAGCGACTCGCCGTAGCCGTGCGGCAGCACGTAGCCGTCGACCACGGGCCGCCACAGCGGCGGCTCCATGAAGGCGGCCGTGACGTTCAGGAACACGGTGCCCTCGTACGTCGAGTCGTTCTCGTTGCCGTTGTCGATCAGCGTCTGCGTCGACACGCTGCGCAGCTCGTCGATGGACGACACGTTGAGCGTCTTAAGGAACTCGACGCCCGACGCCTCGGCCTCGTCCTTGGTGCGGTAGCTCGTCGCGGCACCACCAGTGAGGGGATCGTGCGTGCCGCGGGCGCCGCTCTCGGCGATGACGCCGCTGATGAGCGACTTGGACAGCGGGGACCACATCATGTCAAGCGCAGAGGCCGAGCCGGCTGACTGGCCGCCCACGGTGATTTGGTCGGGGTTGCCGCCAAAGTGGGCGATGTTGTCGTGGACCCAGCGGAGGGCGGCTTGCTGGTCGAGGATTCCGTAGTTGCCCGACGAGTTGTGGGCGTCGGCTTCGGCGGAGAGATCCGGGTGGGCCAGGAAGCCGAAGGCGCCGAGGCGGTAGTTCATGGTCACGACGATGATGTCTTTGCTGGCGAGACCAGAGCCGTCGTAGGTCTTGACGTCGCCCGAGCCGCCGGAGAAGCGGCCGCCGTAGATCCAGACGTAGACGGGCAGGTTCTTGGATGACAGGTCCGACGTGCTGTTGTACGTCGGGTGCCACACGTTGAGGTACAGGCAGTCCTCGCTGGTGGTGTTCTTGCCGGTCGAGAAGATGCCTGCGGACGAGTATGACTGGGCGCACTGAGGGCCGAACTCGGTGGCCTCCAGGACGTCGGTCCATGGCTCAGGGGCGGATGGGGCCTTCCAGCGGTTCGAGCCTGTCGGAGGAGCAGCGAAAGGAATGCCCTTGTAGACGGTGATGCCGTCGCGGTATTCGGAGCCGGTGCCGCGGACGTAGCCGTAGGTGGTGTTCACCGTGGGGTACTGAGATGCCACTCGTGGCAGGCTTGCACCGGCAGCCAAGGCCGGGACCGCAATGAGGCCGGCGAGAAGAGGAAAGAAGCCCATGGTGGAATGAATGTTTCTGTCAAACGAGCGTGCGGCGGGCTGTGCTACCAAACATACCGGGAGGCGGCCACAACGGCGCCCTTTATACAGCGGCCATGTAGATGCTCCTGCCCGATGAGGCTGTGTTTCGACTGTCCACGCAACGAACCACGCAACTTGGGCCTAGCCTGCGCAACTCGTGCCGCTGAACGCGCAGGGCAGGCCTGGACAGCGCTCTCTGGCCAGCAGTGTCCACGGTCTCGGGCTGTCGGCTAGTCGGGATCAGGTCCAGCCGCGTCATGGTGCCTGTCGACTAGAAGCAATAGTGGTGTGCGATCAGGAGGCGCAGTAGGCGATTTGGGGACGGTTTAGAGTTTGCCGAGCTACAACGGCTCGGCGATTCGGACTTTACGCCCGCTTTTCCGAGCGCCACCCCCAACCACGCCACTGCCGCACGCTGCCGCACGCCTCCAGTGCCGATTTTTGGGGCTGTGATGAGGCCATTGGTATGCCATAGCAACTGCCGTCCGCCGTCTGTCAATAGTCCTCGTTGCATTCCCATGTCTCGCTCCGCTGAGAGAAGGCTGGACTTCTCCAAAGACCGTTAACACCGAGGATCAGGCCTACAAGGCCTCTGCCTGAACCTTGCTCTAGCCGATTACGAAGGACTAATACGAATCATCTGTCTATATCATACCAGCCCAGCCGTTCTTGGTGAATACTGGCAGGTGGATTAGTAAGCTCAGCTAAATCAACGACATGGAACTTTGGCTTCCTCCCTATTTTCCTTGATTGAACAGTTACTTTGGCATGATATCAAGGTTGTTCTTCCGGATTGGTTATGTAGCGAGCGCCTGTCCAAGAATGGAAGAACATAATATGCTCACTACCAATGTACAACTCGCGCGTTTCACACTGCTACCGCATGGATTTCGAAGTCGGATCAGGCTAAACATCTGTTCCTCAATACGAAGCCTCGCATAAAAAGACCCTTTCGACCGCCGTGGGTGAGGAGCATGTAGATGCTCGCTATGACATTCCTTCATAGAAAAAAAGAAGCACCTCTCTCCCTCTCATGCAAATTCTGAATGATCTGAAACAGTCTTGTCGCCTTCCTTTCTACATCGGCCCTGGCTTGCGTGTCAAAAGGCGCAAACCTGTCCGGATGCCAGTACTCTCGCTCTTCTTTCAGAACCTTGACGTAATCATCATCGCAGCCGCGATACAATCTCTCCAAGCTATGCTCACACCATCCCAGCCCGTCACTTGCGCAGCCCGCCTTCAGACAAAGTCCCACAGGGGGTTCCGGAAAATGCATTACACGGCGCCTCGCCTCCCCATGAGGTCTCCGTTGCTTCCACCTCGAAAACGCCACGCGGTCTTGTGCTCGCCGCTGCTGCTCGACGAACTCTCGGCGCCTCCGTTCCTGTTCCTGGCCGTGGCGCTGCCTCTCTTCCTCTTGCTCCGCCCTTATCCTTGCTTCTTCTCGCTGCTGTGACCTTTCTCTCGCTTGACGTTGTTCTTCTCGGACTTGGTTTCGAAGCCACTCCCGGTTTCGCGTTTGCTCTCGCTCCCGGTTTTGTGCCTCCTCCTGCTCTCGTCTTCTGGCTTCTTCTATTTCGCTCTGCCAACCCTGATACAAGTCGTACAACCATTTAGGAAGAAGGATAGGAAGAAGGAAGAATCCGATCACAACGTATAGTGCTGTGACCAGAGCGTTGGACGCAAAATTGAACACAAAACCGCACAACAAGCAGAAAACATCAATCACAATCTTTAGGGCAGATAACAGAAAAGGAGAGACTGAGATCACAATGATCGTGGCCGCGCCCAAATATGCTACTACAGTCAACAGAAATATCATCTGAAGGCGCTACACAACGAACCCGACCCGCTGCTTCGATGCGTTACCCCCTGATTGCCGCAAAAAAGATCTTGTCCCGTTTCCACAGTCCAGAAACTACTTGCAGCAGCGAGCGGAATCCTCGCAGCGGATAGTTGTAAGCCGGCTCGGTCGCTTTGCCAGTCGTCAACGGGGTATACGATGAGCGCAGATGCGTGCGTCGTTGTCGAGACAGCAAGCGCAAGCGATGCGTCTTTGTGAGAACGCAAAAAGTTTGTCAGAGGCTGATGCGTGTGCTATTGAGGGTACGGTGGAGCTTTGCGTTCAGCTTGGGTCTGATTGTGGGCTCGTGGCTTTGCAATAGGCTCGGAGGTGGTTTCGTCGGTGGATGTGGTTTGTGGGTGAGACTTCAAGCATGGGGAGGAGCGTGTAGAAGTGGAGGGGGTCAAAGATGGTTGGTAAATTCCTTTTTGCAGCCCGATCCTTTGTGCAACGAGTGGATTTCGACTGCATCCCCACTATTGGAACACGTCGCACTGGAAGACACTTTGTCACTGTTACGATTTTCAAAACAGCGAGTTTCCACCATCACAACTAGATCGAGTATCTTTAGAGTCGTCCTGGGCCGACACGGAAGCTTTCCAAAAATTGGTCAGACCAAATGGCATCAAGCAATTACATCCCATACTGCGCGATATAAAGAGGTGACGTAGTAAGAATGCGTTGAGCTTCCCACAGCTCTACTCGTGTTACCCTGTTATCTCCGCCTGATGCTGCCCGTCTCCCTCGCTCTCCCGTCACACCTTGCCTACGGCAGTTATCCCTACACGTGTCTTCTAGTCCTGCTTATGCTCATCGACTCGCAACTCTGTGATCGGAGAGATATTACTGTAATAGTTGTAGCCATTACACCGGGCTTTTCTCATCGTTTCGCACAAGGCTAAAGAGAGTCAACCACTCCCTCCCCACTGATTGGCTTGTGCACAGTTAGGCTAGGCCAGGACAGGGAAGACCTGCTGAAACCGTACAAAAGCATGTCTCAGATTGGATTGCTAGATCTGTTGGGCCCTGCACCTATATAAAGTCTTTTCTACGCTGCCATTGCATCCAATCGGTGCATGCAGCCACTCAAGTTGCTCCACTGATGCCAAGATATGTTCGGCATCAAGGGCGTCTCTCAAGTCGGAAGGTCTCGGAGATCAAGGAGGCCGAGTGCAACGCTGCAACTCTCCGATGCGGCCCCCCTTAACCCAGCCAGTGTATGCATTGAGAAATTTTGCCACACCACGCCATTATCCACCGTCGCGCATGTGCTGCGGGTTCTCAATCTGCAAATAAAATATGCTTCAGTGTCGCTTGAACGCCCAAAAATGGCTGTGACGGCGATTAATATGCGAGAATACGCGACCGTACCCACGGGCGCATAGTGGATAATCTCTTCAAAGTCGCCTCTCTCGACTGTAATATGGGCGCTGGCTGCTCCTCCTCGCTTCGCCAGCCATTGCTGGAGAATGGAACCAAAGATTGAATCGGGAGCCGACATGTCTACGTTTGCGAAAGCGGCCATATGCTTGACTTGGCCTGCGTCGACACTGTGGATGTTCAGCATGCACGTAGATTTAAGTCTGGTAAGACTGTTCGAGAAAGCCGCAAACAGCTCGTTGGCTATGAAAATCAGGCCATGTGGGGTATCACACACTGTGTTGGAGCGTAAAGTCTAGTCTCCTGTCGTGGAAGGACGTGGGGATGGCAAGATGCAATGGGACTTCATGCTTGCTGCCGCTTCCGTGTGATGAGGGAAACATTTACCCTTTTCAACTAACGTTGTACTACCGTGGGTTGTAGTACAAATACTGTTGCGAGAAGGTGAACAGTAGAAGAACAGCAACACGCATTTCGCAATTTTCCCTACATCCTGAAGCTCCTTATCCTTCAGATACCATCATGGATTCGACCAAGGCAGACACCATCGTGGTCGTTGCACACGGAGACCAAAGGCCTGGGGCCTTTTCGAACCAAAACGTCAAGATCATCACCCGTTCGGGCCAACCCTTGTCGTTTCAAGAGGCCATCGACTACATGGAAGGAAAGAGCAGTCCTGGAGAATTCGCGTCTTCATCACTAGGTGACTACTATCCGCTGTCTGACGAGGACTGCAAAGGCCTTTTCCATGGCAATGTCCCTGGTGAAGGGCCCCAGAGCGCGGTTGGACTAGTAGCAACCGGATCAAAAGTCAAAGTCAAGAATTGGCCAATCTTCGCGCTTCGCGGTGATGGCGACAAAAAAATGTCTTTTGTGGAGCTTTGCCTGGCAGCCAAGAAAGAGGGGACCAATGTCATGATCCTTGCGTGCCGTGTCCCCAAAGATCCGGTATGTTCAGTGGAGCGTAGGGTAGACCTGGTTCTGCTGAGCCCATGCACAATCCGGTGTCCTGAGATACATTGCTAACTTCAACGTCTCATTAGGGAGAACACTAGAGTAGCTAAGGGCATCCGAATGGCACGCTTTGCCAGCAGGCCACAAGCCTCGTTTACGGTCACATGGTGTAGCTACTGGAATTCATGTTCAGACTCCAGATTATTCGACCCGTCATACTTTGACGTCCCATCTCTTTCAAGTAAGCCAGAAAATCAGTTATATGTCTGTGTCTTCTCACCAAGTGAGGACGTCCGTCGTCATTACAGACAAAGGTCTAGCTCATTTCTAATAGTGTCTCGCACAGTCTTTGTGAGATCATCTAGATTGGATTCGATAAACATGAAGATAGCAAACTCAGTCACCTACATTCAATAACCGCATTTGCTTATGTGGCACTTAGAAGTTGATTCTCCATGATTTGCTACGGGGCTTATAACTGGACCCCCACCCCCTCGTTCCAACTCAATAAATATAACCACAATAGTGATTTGGACAGGAAGCCAAACCCTCAACGCCCTGATGATCCAAGCTTCAGTCTTACACCGAGTCCTGTCCCTGTCGTAACCTTCCTCACTTGGTGATAGGAGCCGCACCATACCTGCATCAGTCAGCCTCAAATTCTCCCAGCTCACCCCAACAAGTGCACATCCCCGACTGCGCACTCCACCCAACCAGAGCAAGAACCAGGAAAAAGAAGAAGAAAAAAAACTCACCACGCGACCGCCCCCATCCCCAGCACCCCCGCCACACAACTAAACACCAACGCCACCACGCCCCGCGCCGTGAACCCGCCCGGCAGCGGCGCCACGCTCGCATTCTCCCCACCCAAATCAAACACGTCGTCCACATTCCCCGCCGCGTTCCCCTTCGTCAACGTCCCGCTCGCGTCGCACACCTCGTAGTGGTTCGCGGGGACGTCCAGCCCCGACGCCTGCAGCGCCAGCGGCGCCTCGATCATCGTCGCCGCCAGCCCGCTGTCCATGTGCCATTCGATGTGGCAGTGGAATAGCCATGCGCCTGGGTTGTCAGCGGCGAAGCGGATCACGAAGCTGGATGAGGGATGCACGAGGAGCGTGTCGCGTCGGATGGGGACGGCGGGCGCGGTTGTTGCGTTGGCGGCGTTGTAGTGGCCGCTGTTTTCGGGGCTGCGGTGGATGACTTGGAAGGCGCTGTTGGGGGGAGGGGGGCGGGGTGTGAGCGGGGGCGGTGGAGCTGGCGGGGAGGGTGGACGCGGGACTTACTGGCCGTGCAGGTGGAATGGGTGGCGGCCGGTGTCGTCGTTGTTGAGGACGATGTCGATGATGGCGTTGTGCGGGAGGACGAAGGGGTTTGTGTCGTGTCCGTAGACGGTGGCGTTGGCGGCGGCCGGGCCGGTGGTGAGGACAGTGTAGAGGGTTGGGACCTTGGGTTTGGTGTAGGTTATGCCGTTGAAGAAGGCGCTGTGGTGGGGGGTTAGTTGGGGCGAGGAGGTTGCTGGTGGGGTGGACGTACTAGTTGGCGCCGTCGCCGAGGTTGTCCATGGTGAGGTCGAGTGTGATGGTGTAGTCTGCCTCCCCGTAGAGCTCGAGGCCGTCGGTGGGTGTCAGGTCGAAGTCGTCATACTCGTTGAACTCGTCGAGAACGGCTGGGTTGGGTTTGTCCTTTGAGTCGTCATAGACAAGCCATCCAGTAACGTTCCAGTTGAGGTCATCCGGTATTGTGTCGAATAAGGTCTGGAGAGCCGTTAGTGTTTGCAGTGGAGTATATGAAGAGAGCAACCAACTGTATCCATGCTGGCGGCCATTGCATAGTTTGCGCTTGTGTCATTTTTCGTCGTAAGAAGAACGGCGTACCGCTGAGCGCTTGCAATGTAAATCAGGTCCGCCTCAGCCGGCTCCGTCCAGATTCCGTCAACTTCGACAATCTTCATGGTGTGGCCTTCGATCCAGAAATACTGGCCGGCAAAGGCACCGACATTTGCCAGATGCAGAAGGTACGTCTTTCCAGGCTCAACATCGAGTGTGAAATTCTGGGTATCATTCATCAATGCAGCTTTGGGGACAGGCTCCGCGCCGGTGGGGTTGGCGACGCTGATGAACTCCTTCAGAAGCTTTGGCATCTGGTCATGATACCAGTCGGACAAGCTAATAACATACTCATCATCATACTGACCAGCGTAAGGGCTTTCAGGGTCTTGGATGATGAGGGCTTGTCGGAAACCATCGGGATACTGGCCTCTCGTGTGTGAGTGGTACCAATAAGTACCCACTTGGTCAGCCTGCGGATCGTCAGTGTCGATTGCGCTAAGATTCATCGCTGAGGCTTACTGTGAAGTTGTAGATGAAGGTTGATCCGGGAGAGATTTCGCACGCGACAACGCCTGGAGGCCCGTCCATGTTGTTTGTGCCATTCTGATAGAAGCCGTGGAAGTGTAGACTGGTTGTCTCATTGCCAAGGCCATTTGTCAGTCTCGCAACAACCCGATCACCCTTGGTGATGTTGAGCAGTGGCGGCGGCCATTCACCTGGTTCAATGTGAGCTTGCAGGCGGCCTCGCGACACGTGACTGAGGAAGTATTACCGTTTATGCCGATCACTGGGCGCTCCAACATCCCGTCCGGGTTAGCCGTGGTCCACGTAACATTCCAGTCGAGATCAATTGTGGCCGCTCCGGCAAGCGAGCTCGATAGCAGCGCCGCCAGGAGAGAGGCTGACTTGGACAAGAACGAAGCCATTGCAAGGGTGAGCGGCAACAACGAAGCAAAGAGGTGGGCTCACGAGCGCGGTGACGCGACCGACGTCCTTTTCTGCGTCTATCAGAGGGAAAACCGGTGTGACTCGTCTCAAATAGCTTCTGTCCCCTGCTGACGGGCGACCAAAGGCAACGGCTGCGATTGCGGAAGCTGACCCCAGTGGCAGCCAGACCCGGTCGAACACGACAGATGAACTGATAAGATCAGAGCGAGGCAGAGATTTTCCCGCAGGCGTGTCAAACACGTTAGATGGAAACGATAAGATTAATGCAAGGCGGAATCAAGGCAGAGATCTTCCCGTGGTGAAACGTTTCTGGCTAGAAGGCCTGCACGCCCCGGTCAGATGCACGGACGGTGGTGGGGTCAGCAGCCCAGGGAGAAAGCTTGTGGCACGAGCTTGATCCTATCAAGCCTGTGCCCACTCGCGGGATAGGCTTCGACATGAATGCTGACCCCACCAAGTGATACACTTCCTTCCCTATCTCGACGCCTTGTGCCCGGCCCGAGCCCAGCCATTGGCCCGATTGGCCGCCGAAGTCGGCTTCGATGGCCATCTGTTACAGCCAAACGGAATCCCTGTCTGTCACACCATCGGGACACTCGAGTCCAACATTTGAAGTGTAGAGTCCCGCGTGCTGTTCTCGGTTTGCTTGCGGCAAGCACATCGATCCCCCGCTACCGTTCCCCAGCAGCCAATCCGCGAACATGACCGTCAACGTTTTCGCTGTCCCAGGTACGCCGTTTCCACCGCCCCAAAACCCCAGCTGATCTACAAGCTAAGCCCCACACAGTCTTCTTCATCGTCTTCCGAGAATGTCTCGAAACCGTCATCGTCATTTCCGTTCTACTCGCCTTCCTCAAGCAAACCCTGGGCGCCGAGGGCGACACGCCAACTTACAAGAAACTTCTAAAGCAGGCACGCAGAATCCCTCCCACACCAGCCATCAACCGCTAACATCCCGCAGGTCTGGCTCGGCGTCGTCCTCGGCCTCGTCATCTGCCTCTGCATCGGCGCCGGCATGATTGGCGCCTTCTACGGCTACGGCAAGGACCACTTCGCCTCGACCGAAGACATCTGGGAAGGCGTCTTCGGCATCGTCGCCGCCCTCATCATCTCCATCATGGGCGCCGCCCTACTCCGCGTCAACAAGCTGCAGGACAAGTGGCGCGTGAAGTTGACTCGCGCTCTCGAGCCGACGACGATGTCATCCGGCGGTGGCAACGGCGGCGGTGCGCGCACGCGGCTGAAGGCCTGGGCGGAGAAGTACGCCATGTTTCTGCTGCCGTTCGTCACGGTGCTGCGGGAGGGGCTGGAGGCGGTGGTGTATGTTGGTGGCGTGAGTCTCGGGTTGCCCGCGACGGCGTTTCCGCTGGCCGTCATTTGCGGTTTGGCTGCTGGGTGCGCGGTTGGGTATATCTTGTACCGGTGTGTTCGCCCGACCTTACCCACGTTGATGGATGGGATTCATCTGACATTCCTCGCAGCGGCGGCAACTCGACTAAGCTCCAGGTCTTCCTCATCATTTCAACCTGCTTCCTGTACCTCGTCGCCGCGGGCCTTTTCTCCAGGGCCGTGTGGTACTTTGAAACCAACACCTGGAACCACGTCATCGGCGGTGATGCCTCTGAGACAGGTTCTGGCCCGGGTTCGTACGATATCCGGCAGAGCGTGTGGCATGTCAATTGCTGCAATCCCGAATTGAATGGTGGCGGGGGCTGGGGCATTTTCAACGCTATCTTGGGATGGCAGAATTCGGCCACGTACGGTTCGGTGCTGTCGTATAACCTTTATTGGCTGGTGGTCATCGTTGTGTTCGTGTACATGCGCTATAAGGAGAAGCATGCCAAGGTTGCGCCGGTGGCTGAAGATACGGAGAGGGCCGCGGATAGGGAGTCGAGCTCTAGGAGCGAGGCTGAGGGGGTGGTGGCGGTGTCGCCTGAGAAGAGCAACTGGGAGGTAACGCCTACAACTCAGGCAAGGGAGCTGAAAGAGTAGCGCTAAAGGATACCCGTCCCGACTCTTTGATAAGTATCGCTCGAAGCCTGAAGTCATACGCAACGCTGAATGTAGCTCGCTGTAGTAGACGTGAGTGAGAGATCACACTGGGTTTTTGCCGGCATTGGCCACCTTATTACTTCGAAGGTTTCATTACCATGTAAGGGTTATATACTTTACTAAAGGCGAGTTGAAAGATAGATACGCTAAGCGTAATGGGCTCGGACACCGCATTTCCTGTGAGGTCGGAAGTTTTACAGTAAAAACCTCCAAACAGCCGGCAATTCGCGCTCCTCGCGTGGCTTACATGTATAAAGGAGCACCTTCCTAGAGTTACGAGGTACGAATGGTCCTGCATCACGTCATCAAGCTGAATGCCAGTTGCTGTGCGTTAGAAAAAGAACGATTTCTCATTTATCCCGTCCACATCAAGGCACAGGCAATCCGACGTGGACAACACACAAGCTTACACTCGCCCTGCCAAGTCATCGAACAACATCTTCTCTATACCTCAGCAGTACTTAATCTTCCCGATCCAACCGCTTTGGCTTTTTCGGCGCCTTATTAGCTGCTGATCCACACACGCAAGCAAAACAGTGGTTCCGCGGCTGGGTTTTCGGACGCAAAATCGGCCCGCCGCTCACGAACGTCGCGTTCGGGTCATTCGCAGGTTGTTAATCTGACCCAAGTCTCCATCTGGCAGGTATATAGACCAGACTCCCGACACCAAATCTCGCGTCACAAGCCACTGCAACCGCTGCGGCGGGTTTGGTGGTGCTGTATACAGCTGCGTTGATCTTTACGATTGATCATGTGCTGCTAACTGAGCATGAAAAAGTGAGGAAAGGTGTAGAGGAAAGGGTTGATTGGAAGGTGATCATGAGTTATTTGTAGGTGTTGAAGCATGGTAATAGTCGCAGGGCGGTGTTGCTGCATCTTGCAACGTTGGCTAGACTGCTGGGGGTTTCAAGGTCGGGATGTGAGATCTATAAGCAGGGAATGTGGGGTGGCGATTTGTTGATGGCGGTAGGAGCTGAGATGCTGCTGATACTAAGCTTTCTCTTCTCGAATCATGTTCAGTATCCTCATTCTATGTTGGAAAACCTGTTGTGTTGACTGGAAGCATCTTTGGGGATATCCGAAATTAGAAGGGGGCAAAAGATAATTCAGTGATTATACAAACTCTCCTCACCCAATCAACATAGAGATCCGTTTATGGCAGCCGATATACATAAAGTCTTTGGCATGGCCATGAAATTTCATGAGGAAGATTATTTTCAAAGGGCTAAATGCGGACCAAATGGTACTAAGATTCGGACACATCTAGAATAATTTATAGGAACTGCGGGTGGGTTCACGTCTTTAGATCTTGTGTTCAGGATAAATTATGCTGATTTGCAGATTCCATTATGAGTTGCTAGTTCTATTTCTGCTAGAGATGGAGCCGCAGGCACCGCCAACCCATGAGGGTTTCATCCCTTATTTGCCAGGGCAGCCACGACCCCAGCCGGTCTTGATGTCGCAGCAGTCGGCGTTCTGGTCCGCGTCAGTATTTGTTTGAAAACGTTGGTCGGTATGACTTACGCATTGGGCACGGGTGATGCCGAAGTCCTTGCAGTACTTGTGTCCAGGGCAGTACATCTGGGCAGTCAAGAAGTTGGCCCAGCCACCGAGCTGCCTGTTGCAGGCATCCCTCGAGGAGTAACAGCAGTTGTATGCCTCAGTGCACTAGAGGCGGTCAGAAATGGTTGAAAGAGGATTTCGAGGGCTGGAAGCATACCTCGCCGTCCTTCTGGCGCGTCTCGAGGACGGGGTTGGCGGTGGCGGCTCCAAGAAGGAGGAAGGTGAAGACCGCGGTGAGCTGCATGGTTGTAAATGAGTGGAGTTTGGTAAGGAGAGAAGAGAGTGAATGTGATGGTGTGGTGAGGAACCGTCAACGAGCTGTATTTATATCCAACGAGGCTCGACTTGATAGGCGAGTCAACTGCGGTTATCAGAGAGGCATCGGCCGTCACCGTTAAGGATTGCCAAGGGGCGTACCTGGGGAGCGGGAGATGGCGGACACTCTAAAGCGATGACTGACATGGAGATGGCGCTAACGAGTCCTTCCACAGAGTGCGAAAGCTCGTATCGTGTCCTGCAATATACCGTGACCGGTAACCGCGCTAGGCTTAGGATCAAACTGTATTGCCCATCTGATGCAGCCCTGCGCAACGCCGCAACTGCTCAAGATGGGGAAAGGTCAGGAGGGCTGAGCGCCAAGACGCCAGGCGCAGCCAGCACCGGCCCCATCGTGACACCGACTTCTACGGCGAACGCCCACCATACTACGTGGAACCCAATACCAATCCGCTGCAAGTAAGCGGACCTTCTCCTTCCTGAGCACTCTGAACTGCAGAGTATACTAAGAAATTCTAGTTCTGTGCGGAGGGTTCTTGTTTTGTCCAAATGCTTCGGGTACCAATAAGGTAGCTTCGCTGTGTTCTGGAAGCCCAGGGGATCGGCCCGATTCATCGTATTGACACCAACAACATACTCCACGCTAAGCGCACTACTAGTCTCTCGTCCCTCCCGTTTTGCCCTTAGAGAGCTGAACCATCTAGCTCATATCTCACGCTAGTCGTCATTCAAGCTTTAAAGTAAATATGCATAGCTCGTATACTATCTTTAAGTCCAGAACAAGGCCTCCGGCTGGGCTGAGATGACAACCATCTGAATCGAACAGACAGGAGATTGAGCTCGCGTTGAATGCGTATAAAAGTTATCTCTCGACTGGTGCTCTGGAAACCAATACCAACTGCCCGACGCTCCTTCATCCAGAACACCATCACCCACCTCCGTCCTCAATACCACAAACATGAAGTTCACCAGCGCCATCGTCGCCTTCGGACTCGTTGCCAGCGTCTCTGCCACCGTAAGCCACCACCTTCCCCGCGTTTCCCCTCCCCCGCTTCCTTTACTGACCGCCAGTAGTGCAGGATGAGCGCAAACAGCGAGGACCCCAACTGCTGCTGGGGCGGCAAGGCCGGCATTGATGCGTGCTTCCGTCAATCCAAGAGTCAGACCTGCCGCGACGCTGCCGAGCGCAAGAACTTCTGTATCAACCGTAATATTCCGACTAGCAAATGCGTAAGACTTCCATTTCCTTCCTCTCCTTGATCTGCCTGATGCTGACTACACTTCTTCTGCAGGACGCCGATTGCTGCGACACCAGGACCGGCTGGGGCAAGCCTTGCCCGAAGGGAAAGAACTCGTGCGAGGACCCTACCAACTGCCCTTATTAAGTGGGGCACAGGGTGTGGGGGGAGGATGAATGACGGTTTTTGAAGCATCTCGGAGCTTTCAAGCACGATGCTTTTTTTTATGATGTGTGTAGTAAACCCAATGAATATTTGCTCCGTAGCCACATGTGCGCGTGAAATGGTGAATGCATGCGCCTGGTGGTCATTCGCTTGAGCAGTGAGATGCAGGGCCATCCAGGTACCGATCATAGGGCTGTCATACTGAGTCAAGCTGGTGAGCGCCACATCTCGTACAGCCAGTCGGTAGTCACGGTTGCCAAGCTGCCTTGCCGGCCGGCTTGCGAGTCATCATGAAGACCGTGCTCTTCCCCCACGACGAAACACCTTGTTTGATGATGATTTTATTATTAGGCTGTTTACATCTCGCGGTGGCTTGCCAAGTGTCAGCCCTGCGGCGAGTAGCCTGGGAGTCTAAAATTACACGAACGACATGGCGCACCGTGCTCGATTCATGGCTGTGCTACTGCAACGGCGCTGAGGTGTTGGAAGATGAGGCCCGGTATATTTTACTTGGTATTGAGGAGACTAAAAAGAGACTTACGAGTCACGTTCTTGGATGATCATGAGCCAGCAACCTTACAGGTGGTGAAGGTCTGAAACCGCCCGATCTGAACGCCACGACGCACATACGTCAATCGGCCTGCATCATTCCACCAGCGCAAACCCAATGGGAATGAGATCATACGACTGACAGATATCAGTTGGCGGTGAGGTGAAACCCATCTTGAGTCCATGTCACGAGACTTTTACTGATAATCGGGCTAGGGTCACGCCGGCGGCTCAGCAGTATGGCAGAATGAGTTTTCCTTGTCGAGGCCACGCATGGCAAGTGAAAGAAGAGATGGTACGACTGTATATCAACTATTATGAGCTCGGGTACCACCGAGCCTTTGCGGTACAAAGCCAACAGATCGCATCCAATGATTTCAGAAAACGCTTACAGATCCACCACGGCAACCATTCACAAAAACAACCAGACATATATTAAAACCTCAACCAAACCCCCGGCAGCCCCCCCTCCTCACAAACACCAACCCACCTACCTACAACCCTCCCACCGCCTCCATCACCACCACCACCGTCCCCAACCAACCACCACCCCACCACCCGGCACCCCTTCCCGCCGACGCTCTCCCCACCCCCTCCGACCTCGCCGCCCCACCCGTCTCGCTCACCCCCCTCCCCACCGTCCCCCCATCCACCACCACCGCCCCATCCGTCCCCACGCTCATCACCGCGCCCCCCACCGTCGCCGCCGGCGCCCCCGGCTGCAGCGTCGTCCACACGGGCACGACGACACCAGCAGCGGCAGTGTACAGCGGGACGACGCTGGCGCCGAGCGTCGCGACAGTGGCGCCGGTGCCGGGGGGGATGACGTACGAGACTGGGGGGTGTGTGGAAAGGGTGGAGGATGAGGTGGCAGTGTGGGAGCAGGACGAGCCGAGGCCGCAGAGGATGTAGGAAGCGAGGGAGCCGAGCTGGAGGGCGGCGGAGCTGAGGGCAGCGGCGTTGCTGGCTGGGGACGTCGTCGGCGTCGGTTTCTGGAGGTCGTTTGCGGCCGAGACGGTGCGGAATGCGGTCGTGGCGTCGACGACGACTTTGGGGCTCGGCTGCCCGGTGAAGGCGGTGAAGGTGCAGTAGGCGAGGGCTGGGTGTAGGGCGTGGAAGGCGTCGTCGAAGCCGGGGATGTTGGTGAAGTTGACGGAGGCGCCCATGGAGAGGTAGGGGAGCGTGGTGGGGAGCGGGATCGGGGCGGGCTGTGCGAACCAGGCGGAGGTGGTGAAGGTGCTGCCGTTGGCGCAGCTGCCCATTTGGTGGACGTGGATGCGGTTGAGGATGAGGGCGTAGGGGGTGGGGTAGGTTCTGTGGGGTGGGAGTCAGGGTGTGTCGCGGTGGGGGTGGGGGAAGGAGGGGTGGGGGAGGATGGCGTACAAGGTGGCGGTGCCGATTTCCTCGGTGGTGTCATAGATGGGGTCGACTTCGTAGATGTCGTAGGGTCCAGATGGTTGTACTTGGGCGGTCGGGATCAGGCTGGTGTAGCTCAGCATGTCTACGCCTGTTGCGTTGTTGGTGATGGTTTGGGTGGCGGTGGTGGTGAGGGTTGAGCCGTGGCCGACCACGTCATACTGGACGGTCTGTATGTAGAAGGGTACCCGAGTGGTCAGCCAGTAGATGATTCTGACTTCGATGTCTTTCATATGCTCCACCGAGTCGTGGGTACCGCATGATACTGAGGCAGTAGGTTGAACTCCGCACATGTCGAGGAACCCGCTTGCGTCGGGCGTGGGAGAAGCATCTGCCGTGGGTACCGAAGAGGCGGCTGGGTAGCTGGTGTGTAAGCGTGCTGTATTTGACCTTTCGCTGTATTGAGACTCACTGCTCTGCGAAGTAGCCAGAGCTAGACCCGCACCGCATAGTAACATACCACACCACCTCCACATGGTGGAAAGCAAGACGTGACTTCGAAGAAGATGGATGTGCTGTAAAAGTATAGCAGGCTGGGCAGATAAGCACTTACAGGGTCAAAGAGGGCCCAGCCGTCGGCTGAAGACATATATAGAAGAGCATGTGTGGAAGCACAAACCAGCGATTGCGTATGCGCGGCCATGTTCGTATCTGCGCCATGCTCGGCGGACCGCCACGCTACCAGATTACTGGGCTTATGGCGTGGTCTGGCGCCGCGTGGGGGGCGGGTCAGCCAACCCCGCCCTCGCCAACGCACGTGTCAAAGCAAGTCTAGCCGTGCTTGAATGTTCAGCCTTGCATAAAGTGGCTTTGGGTAGGATGAGGAGGCAAGACTGCGTGCTCAGCTCCCGACGTGTTTTCTGGTCCGGCCAGTGAATTTCTGCAGCAGTCGGAAACACGGCCAATCATGGGCTGGCTTAAACCTTTGGTTCGATGTAGCGAATCGCTGTTTGGCTGACGCTGTTGGGTGCAGTCAGATGGTCGAACCCGAAATAAGCAAAACATGGCCACTGCCGTTCGCCGGGCGGGGCTAAGTAAACCGACTGCTGCAAGAGCAAAGGCCGCCTAAATATCTTGCGACTCAATCGACGCGAGCCCAGCTGAACGCTCGAGTGTCGAAATGCTCACGAATGAAACCAAAAAGTCGCACACGACCCGATCCTTCCCGCGATGCACGTGACGGGTAAGCACTCGATCGCGAAACGCGAGACGGAACCAGCACCAGTGGTTGTGCAATCAAGCCAGGAATGGTCAGTCTCTGCTTTTTCCACCGTCGTTCCCCGGCATCTTTCAGCACTGCAGCCATGTTGACACGCGGATGCAGGGACGGGATTGACGGACCGTGGTCAAGCTTTGTACTGCAAGTGGGCACACCCGCTCAACAGGTCCGCGTCGACATTTCCATCGAAGGACAGGAGACATGGGTTGTCGCTCCAACAGGCTGCTCCGGGTCGACATCCGACTGTGCCAAGCAAAGAGGGGGAGTGTTTGACAGCGCCGACTCCTCGACATGGCAATCCACAACCACCATCTGGAACAATTCCGGGATCTATGAGCTGTCGGGACTGATTACCGAGAGCCTGGGTATCGATGGGGTTTGTAGCACCGTAAGATGCCGTGTCCATCACACTGACATTGATTAGAATGGGGAGTACGGCTTCGACACTGTTGGCCTATCGTTCGGCGGAGAATCCGGTCCGGCCTTGGATCACACAATAGTCGCCACATTCAACACAACCGACTTTTACATAGGCCAGTTTGGTGCTAGCCCCAACCCCACGTATTTCACAGTTTCGAACGACAACTCTTCTGCTCTGGACGATCCTGTAAGTACGCATCGCAAACCATGTGACTGCCGTTAGCTAAATTTCTCATCAAAGCAAGAGAGTTTCCTGTCGATGCTGAAGCGGACAGGAAGAGTCCCGAGCTTATCCTACAGCTTTACAGCTGGCTCATACGCACGCCGCAACACCATCAAAAACGCCCTGGGCTCGTTTATCTTCGGCGGCTACGACGCATCACTGAAAGGCCCCGCCGACCTATCCTTTGACTTTGCTCCCAACCAGGGAAGAGAACTAGTTGTCGGCATCCAGTCCATCACCGCATCCAGCCAGAATAACGGGACCGTCGACCTGCTCCCGGAATCCGTTTTTGCCGCCCTGGACTCTTCTCAACCCAACATCTGGCTGCCCCTCGCTGCGTGCCAAAAATTCGAATCCGCCTTCAACTTAACCTGGAATGCGACTGCCGAGCAGTACCTCGTCGACTCCACTCTGCACGACCGCCTCGCCACCGAGAACCCCAACATCACCTTCCGCCTCGGCAACGGCGGCTCCGGCGGCCCAACGACGGACATCGTGCTCCCCTACTCCGCCTTCGATCTCACCATGACGAATTCGACTTCAGACGCACAACCATACTTCCCGCTCAAGCGCGCAGCCAACGATACGCAGGTAAGCCTCTCCACCTCCAACCACCAGCACTGAACCCCCCCC